GTCAGCATTTCCCCCCCCCTTTTTTTTTTTTTTTTCTCCTTCCAAGGCACAGGGAGTTCCAATATATTGAAGGGAGAGAATGAGGATTTGACCGTCACATTCACCAATGACAATGATGCTCCCGCAACGAGATTCATCGAGCCATCCTTTCTCTCTAGGATGCACGGCATTTCTGGTGCCATTTTCTAAGGCTGGGGAGGTTATTTTGATCCATTTTGGGACACCACATTCATCAACATGGAAATTCACGAACGATCGCCAACTAAAATCCACTCAATGGCATGGCGGGTCGCAAGATTAGGTATTTTGTTTCCTGACAACGAATGATCGGCTTCTCGGGGGATAAGACATGGCACACAGATGTATACGAAAGAAGCCTCAAAAGGAGCACAGGCACCAGGCTTGGGTTGCTCTTTAGGGTTCCGGGAATTTAGGCTGAGAATATGGCCAAATACCCCAAAAGTAGAGGTATTCTATTCTCAGCATTCAGGGAGAGAAGGATGTGGGGAACATTGATTCGAGCAGAAATCCGACTGGTACCATCGGACGCTTGAGATAGAAATCAAACATGGGCCATGCCAACGTATCTGACACGAAACAACTTGAATGAGTAGATGGAATGGGTAGAAGAAGAAGGAGGAAGTGGACGTTGACTTTGGAGTCTGCACTTGGCAGCGGATTCGGGTGACGAAGCATATCACGTGTCTGTTCCCGTGCGGCCTCTCCATCAAAACTCCCCAAAAGTTGACTTTGTTGAACAGCCTGGCAATTTCACATCATCTCGAGACAACCACTTCGCGTCGATACTCTCTCCCTTGTTCAACTAATTAAGCCCGGTTTATTATTCGAATTCACTTCTTCCCATCTCCGCGACCCTCTCCACGCGTCAAGAGTGTCTTCCGAGCCTCGTTATCCTGTTGAGTGCCATCGTCAACGCAACCGGGCTGGCCGGCCAGTTCCCTGCCCAACATGAATATCTTCAGGTTACTCGGTATGATTGTTGCCTCTGACTGCGCATGGCGCAGACAAAAACGACGCTGACGGTTCTTCTCCGGCCTTAGCGGACCTGTCCCATCTCCTCTCCATATTCATCCTTCTGCATAAAATGCGAGTCTCCAATGTACGAAGTCCTTGTTCACTCCACGCGACACCAGACGCAGCCCGCTGACTCAGATTCCATGGGAACAGTCCTGCTCCGGCATATCATTCAAGTCACAAGCTCTATACTTCTTCGTCTATGTGACGCGCTACCTGGGTCCGTCTCTTCGACGCCTTTCTCGCTCCACGAACACACCACTGACTTGCTGGCTCCACAGATCTATTCTGGTCTTTCACCGACAGCGCATGGAACACCATCTTTAAGATCATCTTCCTGTCCTCCTCCGCCTACACCCTCTACGTGATGCTGAATGACTACAAACCCACGCACGACCCGAACCTCGACACGTTCCGAGTCTCCTACCTGACCGGCGGCTCCGCCGTACTCGCCATCCTATTTCCTTACAAATGGACCATCTCCGAAATGCTGTGGGCATTCTCCATCTGGCTCGAAAGCGTCGCCATATTGCCGCAATTATTCATGCTTCAAAGAACAGGCGAGGCCGAGACCATCACAACACACTATCTGTTCGCGCTGGGCATGTACCGAGCCCTGTACATCCCCAACTGGATTTACAGATGGTTTGCCGAAGGACACTTTGATCCCATCCCTGTGATCGCCGGAATCGTCCAGACCATTCTGTACTCGGATTTTTTTTGGGTGTATTATACCAAGTAAGTGTCTTCTCTTGGAAAGGAGGGCCATGTTGGGTCCGAATGAGACACTGACAAAGGTTGTCTAGGGTTCTCAGGGGCAAGAGCTTCAAACTTCCGGTCTGAGCATCCACTTCTTCTTCTTCCTCCCCCCGACCGGGTATGGTGACGGATACTTTTAATCTTTACGTCTCTCGGGCATCATGCGTTGACATGTTGACTGGGGGGCAACATATCGAAATGAAGAACAGAACCAAAAAATAGACCCAAATGATGTATTACCACCAGGATGGAAAAGCTTTCAAGCAATCAAGTCGACATTGCATGGATGCATGTTATTCAGAGCATTGGCGAAGATCACGACGTGAAATGTGGACACCACATAAATCAAACAAACTCTCGCCCACGTTGCCGACCTGACACGTCTGCGCCCTTTTCTTGTCTTCGCCCAGTCTTGTCGGGTCTTGGTTCAGGGTATCATACCTTGCCCACGAGACATGTCTCTGCTTTCCAAGGTTGCTTTGCCGTGACGTGACACGACGCACGTATGACGGTGGGCTTTTTGGTTTCTTCCTGTCTTCATCCTGCTTGTTTTTGCTTCGTATATTTGTTCGACTCAGACTTGAGCTGATGTGATTCTCGTGATACATTGAATATGCTACACCCCTTCTGTCGGAGTGTCCATCCATCCCTGGAAAAATTCAATTTTGGGTATTGTTCGTGTCGGTGTTGGACACCGGCTCGGAGTTTTCCTTGTCAAGTTGTTTGCTTCTCCGCTAGCCACTGCCAGCTTGTCAACACACGTCCATTTCATTCCATTTCATCTCTCCATTTTTCCCAGGTGAAAAATAGCTGGATGACTGAGTGGGGTCAGGGAAACCGACGAGGCCGTGGGCTGTGAATGGTGATTCGCTCGATTGTGAAGAGCATTAAGGTAACTTGCCCCTAGAATGGTACAGTATCACGTACGGAAAGCTTTGGAGGGTTGAGCTCCGGGGTCAGTGCCGCCTCGAGAATCAAGAATTGCTAAGCCATGTGCAGCCTTATTTGGTCAGGCCAGACAGGAACATCGGAGAAAGATTTGGTTGAGGGATAAAATTTGATGATATGGAGACGAACGAATATGTATGCAATATTGGCGCCTTGCTCTGCTATGATAATGCAATGCTCAATGGGTATTGGGTAGGGGATAAAAATATATGTACATCATATAGTAACCATGAAAGCGACAAAACCGTTCGTGAAGGTAGTCCGATAAATCAACTCCATCTCTCTCCTCACCAAGCACAGGCCGAAAGATGGAAAAGAGAGACACGATGAGTGTAAATATAGACCCAGGTAGAGCATCGTTCCATTTCTGCCCGTCTCTTGCGTCGACTGGTTACCAATCCCTCTTGGTTCCCAAAACCGCGAGAACAATCACCAGGACACAGACAACCACGCCGACAGCACACATCCAGCGATTCAAAGCACGCCACCATCGGGCATTCTGCCATTTGAGTTCCGCCGCGCCAGCGAGATGACGTTCCAGCCGCAGTTGGGATATGATATCCGTTATCTCCCGTTCCGAGAGACCTTGGTCGGCCTGGGAATGTGGGTGTGATTGTCGTCTCGTCGAACCAGCACGAGTCATGGAATGGGCTTGTTTCTCCAAATCGTTGAATGAGGTTGGACGTTTCGGTAGGGGGAGGAATGCGGCAACAAACCACGTGAAAGGCAGCAGGAACCCGGCAATGAAGCAGACGACCTGGACCGTACGCAAATCGATGCCTGAGAAAAGCCTTCTCGGTTCATAGACCATACTGGCAGCAGACCAACGGGATTTGGTATTGAATGGGAACCCAAAACCCCGGGACACAGACGACCCCGTGTTGAGACGATGGTCGTGATGAAGATGAGGCGACCACGAGAAGCGGCGAGATGTTTGTGGGCCACCAGGCATATAGATCACAGATTGATTCGACGAGTGTCCTTGGCTAATGCTGTACCCCTGACTAGATGCTCGGACGTGGTGGTGATGGATCGTATAGCTTGATCCCCTACCGTCTTCCAGTGGCTGTTCGTGAATCTCAAGTATTCCCGCCCAATGCGCACGTGGATCGGCGGGATGTAGAGGAGCAGAAACGGAACGATTGTGGGTGGGCGTGGACTGAAGAGGATAGGACTGGCGGCGTGAATTCGACAGAGCTGCCGTGGCTGGTTCTCGGATTGGGTGGGATACCAGTGGCCCTACACCTGGGAGAGTATGAGACTTTCGTGCCTCAAGCCGGGAGCGAGTCTCGGGACGAACAAGACTCTCGACACTCGTGGTCATGACATGATGAATGTTGCGGAGGCTAGGGCTGTTCGGAGACTTGGACGTCTCCGGTCGAGAGGGTGCCGGGAACGGTACGGGCGCTGCCGGGGCCGGAGCTGGAGATGGACTGGCGAGATTATGCAAATTGACATGCGACACGCTGGCATAAAGATACTGAAAAGAATCTCGGTAGAAGCCCGAATAATACCGCCGCGCCCACGATGGAACGGGAATGACATTACTGATCGTACTGCTAGATGACGAGGGGCGAAGGGAAGTCGAAAGAAAACTGTTATGTCGTGACTGCGTAAATGATTTCATGGAATTAAGTCGCGATTGCGATGTATTGGCAGATCCAATGTAGCTGCCACTGTGGGAGTGTCGAAGAGGCGGTGATCGATATACGTATTCGCTGAGAGGAAGAGCGGACACTTCATCCGTGGCTTCATGAGAATCCACCTCCGGCGGTCCCGAGTCAGAATCTGGGACGACTCGAATTTGTGACTGGTTCGCGGATTCGTTGATGATAAAGGTGGAAGCCGGGGCGAGATCGTCTGAAGTCCAATACTCGTCGAGATCGTCGGGGGCGGTAAATGATTCACTCGTCTCTCTGGTCTGAGCCCATGAGCCTTCCGAGGGGACGGCGGATAATCTGGACGTAAATCTGGTTCCGGCATCGTCTGTGGACATGGACCTCGAATTTCGTTTGGGCACCACCAGTCCAGCGTGTTGGCTTATCGGAGGCGCGCGAACGACGGGATATTGTATTCGAGGGGGACTGGAGCTTAACGCCGCTTGAAGGCTGGCGTGAGTTTCGGCCAGTGAACTGCCGTCAGAGCTCGGCTCGTCTCTTCCCAACATGCGCACCACGGGACTTGAATCATCAATGGATCGACCCGTGGCATGACTGCTCTGAGGTGCAGAGGAGGGCATGTCCCGATCCTGAAGGGAAATCACGCTGGCCGCGGCAGAGGATGGACCATATCGATCAACCGGCGGACTTGATGCCAATGGGTTTCTCGCTCCGACTCTCTCTGCAAATGAACGATTTCCTCCGGTACCGGACCTTTTCCTTTTCGTTGATGAGCTGGACGAAGATCGCGAATGTGTAGAATAATTCGACGGTCCGGGTCGAGCAGTCGTCGGAGAAGATGTTCCCAGCTTGATGACATTGGGGCTGGATGACTGATCCGTGCTCGGGAACTGTTCTGTACTGGAGGTATGGGCTAATCGTACCACATTCGGGCTTGACGAGCTCTCCAGAGCCGAGAGGGTGCTAGGAGGATCCTCTTCAAACGGTTCAAGTGCGGAACTGGTCCAATCTTTGACGGTGGATGGCCTGGGGCTGGATGTCACCCCGAGCACTCGATAATTGGGACTCGACGTCGCAGCAAATTTCTCGGCTATTGACGTGAACGAGGACCGCGAGGAAAGCCTCTTGACGGCTCGTCCTCCATGAGGAAGGGTGGGCAATAATGCCAAATCATCCGACGAGATCTTCCCGAGTGACTCCCAAGTGTAGGCTCCCGACAAACTCTCATTCGAGCTGATACTTCTCAATCTCGAGGAGCTCGCGGTACTCGGGCGAAGAGGAGGCGACGTGGCTGTTGACGGACGAGAAGCTTCTTCGGCCTGCGCTTCATAGAGATCTCTCAATGCTTTGACCGACCGCTTGAGCTTGACCGTCGGCTGGGCGCCTCCCCGCGCAAGCCTGGGAGTCTCATGGCTTCTCCCGGCTTCACTCTCGAAGGAGAAACCCAATGCATCCGCGCTGGGGCTGGGACCACTCCTTTGTTGGCGAAGGGTGCTGGGAAGGAGGATATGTGCCGGCTTAGTGGGGAAAGGGGTGGTGTTGTATATGCTCAAATTCTCTTGATCTGTCCGGCCATCTGGGCCCAACCGCGACGAGATTTCATTCGCTTGTGATGGCGTTCGTTCTTGCAGAGGAGTCCTTCGGGGCGATTTCCGCTTCACCGACGAAGGCGACGAGGACATAATTATTTCATGGTCGACACTTGGTGATTCAACCCGGAATCGTTGGGAAGGGGGTGATGACGGAATTGGGTCGGGTGGTTATCGTGTGTGCGTTCCGCGAGAGGGATGTTGGTACAGTAACGAACGACTGAAGGTGAGCTGTGCCGAGTCAACACCACTCTAATGGTCGAAAGATATTAAGATGTATGTCCCAATGTTTTGCCGGCGAGACTGTGGATGACGATGGGGCCGAGGTGCATATGCATGCTGCAGGGCGAGTTAAATTGTCTGACGGACCGTTGATGGACGGGAGACGTGCATATGACTTGGTGAGCTTGGAGATTGGTGTTTAATGTCTCTCTCCCAAGTTGTCGAATAGTCGCTGAACAGAAACGCAGAACTCGTCCACCGTCCCTTCTCCGTTGGGTATTCTCTTCACGATTGGGGATCAGGGGAGCAAGATTCCCCTGTTCTTCTTCCCGATGGATATTGGATGCTAGCCGCAGGTATTGCGCAAGGTTCAATTGGCGAAGCGGCGCAGTCTATTATTGCCCATGTGTCAAGGAGTCGCGTTTGCGTCTTGGATCGCGTGGCCGATGTCAGTGCGGTACCAGCCTGACTAATAAATTCTCTGCTGGGTCTGAAGGACTATTCGTAGGAAAATTTCACCAGGAATCCCCCGATTGGATCGTTGAGGTGTCACGAAATTAACGCGTCAACAGGGGGGCGACGATGGTCTGTGTGGCGGGAGATCTCAATAGTCGGTGACACGATCGACAGCAAAGAGAGATGAGGGTGACAGGACATCAGAAGAAGGAAGCAAAAGAGAAAACGATACAGCATCGTTGACCTTATCTGGTCTTTTTGTGCTGCCCTGTGCCGCGGGTGTCTTCGTTGTCGTCCCCCCTTTTTATTCCCCCCCTCCCGGTCCAAGATCAACCTCCAGCTTCAACCTCATCACCAACACCTTCAACTCTGCGACTTTACCTCCCGCCCGCTTGCCACCTGGCAAACCGTATCAATGGCTCCCATTGATTTCTTCTTCAAGCTGAAATCTTCTTATTTTGGCCATCCAGGTGCGTTGCATCATTCATTGGCTGACAATTTGCCCGACGCATGCCACCTGAAACTAGTATTCCCACAGACCTCACCACCACCATGGTCGCATCTCCATAGCGGAGGCGCGCTCTCCCCTTTCTGTTTCTGCTTCTTCGGTTTTTCTTGATGAATTCATTTCATTATCGATAACCTAATTACTGACCCGGGATGACCACAGACGAGGACAAGCCCATCATCTCCGCCACCACAGCGGCCATCCTGTCGGTAAGCCGAACCAGCACACATCCAATCCACGGCGTTTCAAGTGTCTCTTTTTGGCCATCCGGCCCATCGGCGAACTTTGGGGGGAATGGCTGACCCCTGACGAGGATGTAACCAGGTCGGCTTCACTTTGATCTATGTGGTTCCCTTTTACCTGTCCAAATCAACTCGGCCATCACCGACCTTGAATCGAGATGCGCCCTCCGTCATTCGAGCACGGATACACACCGTAGCTTTGGCCTGCATCGTGGCGTCGTCCGCAACGCTCTATTTACTTGTGGTGACCGCGAAACTGACCGTGACGGACTCACTCCACCTCCTTGGCTGGTGGCCTATTCAGTTCGGCGATGTGGTCCGGTGTTGCGCGTTGACCTTTCTTCTCTACATCGGACCTTTGTTCGAACGGATCTTCATCGAAGGCGTGGTCGATGACTTTCGTCGTGGCCGAAAAGTCATCGAATCGCTCAGCAGTTGGCAAGGCTATCGAAACTACGTGGCAAGTCCTATTGCCGAAGAAGTCGTCTTTCGATCCGTCCTGGTATCTCTTCATCTTCTGGCCAAAGTATCGGCGACCAAGATCATTTTTCTCACCCCGTTGTATTTTGGCATTGCGCATGTTCATCATTTCTACGAATTCACATTGACCCATCCTCACACCCCACTGATACCCGCTCTTTTCCGTGTGACCTTTCAATTCGGATACACGACGCTTTTCGGCTGGTATGTGGACTTTGTATACCTTCGAACGGGGTCTCTCTACACCTGCATTATCATCCACACTTTCTGCAATTGGGTTGGTCTCCCTCGATTCTGGGGTCGCGTGAAATGTGGGGAGTCGTATCTTCTCCCACCAGTGGCTATTCGAGGCAAAGATGACACGGAATCCCATCACCCACATGGAAGGGGAGAGAAATTGGGTCTCAAATGGACAGTGGTTTATTACGTCCTATTGATTGCCGGTGCATGTGCCTTTTATACGGGGCTATGGCCGCTGACGACGTCTTCCGCTGCGCTGGCCGAATTTGGAGGGACCAAAGGTCACTGATAGATCTGTAGCGCCACAATACCAATCAACACTGAGATGCAGTGAGTAACTCGCGAAGAGCTCGGCCGAAGCTTCGCGACTCGGCTTAAGTCCGCTATAATTCCGCATGCAAGTGCATTCTCATCCGATGTCGATTCCAATTCTTCCTTCTTCCTCTCCCAACCTCCTTCGCGTTTCCTCCCTGGTTGTTCTGTCCATTCACGGTCGCGGCCGGCTCTCATGCCTCAATTGAGGCCCTCGTTGACATGTCTAGCCCAATCCACTGCATCTACCATACGACCATCGGTCCGCACGGTAGTCTCCCCAAGAATCGTGTCTCCTCCGTTTCCTGTGATCCCAACCTGCCCAGAACCAACATGTGTGTGTTCTCCTATGCCCTCGGGCCTCGACATCGATCATACCCGTACCCTCAATGGGACCATGTCGGCCCATGCGAAGCACCTCATCATCTCCACGGGGCGTTCCGATTGGACCAGTCGGATTGAGGATGAAAAGGATACGGCAGGATGGGGAAAATTCACAGCCGATATCAAGGCGCTGTTGGGACGGCACGGCGAATTTCACGATGTATGTTCCCCTTCACCGGAGGAAAAATAAATGCCTTCAGCTCTATCATCGTGACAGGACCGCTGACTTACACAAGCCCTGATATTCTAGCCGTTCAACAATATCTTAATTAGTCTGTCATCATTCACACCACGGGACACCCGGCAACCAGACGTCAATGTACCGGCGCAGCCCGAAGTCGACGCCGTTCTCTTTCCATCGTTCCAGCATTTCAGGAAACTCAAGGTCGATGCAGCATCTGACAGCTTGAAGAAATTCATCCGCTATGCACTTCTACCCAATCCAGAAAACTTGAATTCCATGTACAATGACTTACCCGAGTCTGAAAAAAGAGCAAAGACACGAGATCCCGCAGCTGGAAAATTCATCTCGAGAGCTGATGTATGCGCGCCAACCATTCTTATTTGCAGTCATGGCCAACGCGACAGCAGATGTGGAATTCTAGGCCCGCTCCTCCACAAGGAATTTACGCAATACATTGAGGAGCATTACCCGAGACTACAGCCTCAGACGCACATATTTGCGAACGAATTGTTGTCTGGCCACGACGCGGAAGAACCTAGATCTGAGCTGCGATCGACGTCACTCTCATCCTCGACAAACGGGGAGGGAGCCCTCAACATCAATATCGGCATGATCTCCCATATCGGTGGACATAAGTGGGCCGGAAATGTGATCCTTTACATCCCTCCGGACTTTACTCGACCGGCCTCGACTTATTCGTCGGTGTCTCCTCCCGTGCCGCATCCCCTCGCTGGCAAAGGCGTCTGGTACGGACGCGTCGAACCTCGTCATATCCAGGGAATCGTCGAGCAGACGCTTCTGCGTGGCAAAGTGATACAGGAATTATTCCGCGGCGCTACGTCCCAGACTGATGGGATTCTGAAGCGCTGACGTGTAGGTTTCAGTCATGTATCATAGACGGGTAGGGTCTGTCAGAACATGTTTCGTATCTGGCTTTCCTCCAAGCTCATCGCTGATCTCTCTCTACTCACTGGATGACACTAGACTCGAATATATCTCCAATAAAAAAAGGCTGTACCGTCTCCGAAGGGCCAGGCCAGACAAGGCCGCATACAGTACACTAGGGTCTACCTTAGACAAGGCAGCGGAGGGCCATGTACAGAGCTAGTAAAAAGAGGTTGAATGTTGGCGATGTGCGATGTGCAACTCATCGCCCTTCAGACAACTGCTCTGTTCTGCTCTGTTCTTTCGAAAAGGGCCCAGTCTACTGCCGTGCTGCGATTTACTAATCCCTTCCATCTCCAGCTCACTGTATGAGACATTGTGATATCCTCGCCATTTTATGTTCAATCTGAGGCTTATATACAGTCAAATTTTCATGTCGTCGTTTTTGCCGTTTCTATCACGGAGCTCATTCATTTCATCGTGAATTCCACCCTCGGGGGGGGGCGTGCCCAGATGACATCACCCATGTCATCGCCACCGACCCCTTCTTACCCTCTGTTGGGGTTCAGGGATATAGGCTACATCCAGCTCATCGTCAAGTTCGTCACTGTCCCACTCATCTTCTTGATCTTGTCTAGCGAGTTGAAGGAAGCGTTCCAAGCCCATGGCACGTACGGGCCCAGGAGGAGCTCCTCCACCAGCAGCGGCGGCAGGATGATTACCTTGTCCGGGAGCCGCGAGAGGGAGAATGAGCAGCTCGCCTTGACGAGGCGGTGGGTCGTGTTGGACATTCTGGACATCTTCGTGGGCGGGTACCTGTGCTCCTCCTCCATTTGCGCGCCGGGGATGGGGGGCTGGCGCCGGCCTCAAGGCTCGAGTGGGTTCGTTGTTCATTGCCCGTTGGCGATTTCCCGGTTGGCCTCGGCCTCGTCGTCGTCTTGCTCTGGGTGGGTCGGGAACAGGCGGCGGCGGATGACCAGCATCTCTTGGCCGCTCGGGCAGTTCTATTCGTTGATGATTCTGACCTCCCGGACGGGCGAAATTGACGATGTCAATATGCATGTTCCGCCGCTGATCAGGGGCCGGTTCTTCATCGTCGGAAGAATCCTCGTCTGCAAACGGTCGATCGCCTCGGAAGGCCTCGAAGTTCTCAGGTGGAAGATCGTCATCATCCGAGTCGGATTCAATTTCCACTTCGTCCCATTCGGCCAGTTCTGGATTATGAAACCCGTTGATCGGGACGTCCTCACCATCTCCTGCCTCAAGAACCCAAAGGCGCATGTAGCACGCATTCTTCGTATCATTGAAATGTGAATATGGGTTGTCAGGCATGAGGTAAGCCGAACAGAGGTAGCAGAAATGCGTTTGGCACTTGAAGCAGATCATGTGGTTACAGCCCATGGTCTTTTGGGCTGGCGCATTGCATGTCGGGCATGGTGTTGAGTATTTTTTCAGATAGGCCAAAGAAGCCGCTTCTTCTTCATTGAGCTCTTGTTGGCGTCGTGGGCTGCATCGAGCCAGTTCACCGTGCCAACCTTTGCGGCAGACGCAGCAGAATGCAAAGCCACAATCTTCGCAAATGGAGAGTCGTTCCGACATGGGTAAGGTTTCAGGGTCGATGGGTTTCTTCGTCGATGGTGTGTTCTCTGATTCCTCTTCGGATTCGGAGATTTCGTCCTCGACATCATTCATCGGATCCGTGGGTTTTGAATGTTTCTCTGATCTGGCGGCGCCTTGACACCATTGGCGGGGGCAGTAAATGGTATTCTTGTCGGCTTCGAGTCGCTTCTTCCGCTTCAGACGAACGTATCGCTGAACCAGCTCTGGCTCAATGGGGATTTGTAACAATTCGCTGGGATCGAGCGTTCGATCTTGTTTCCGCCTCTTTCGAGGTCGGCCATTCAGACCCGTCTTCACGTCCTCGCCTTGGCCACACGAGGGAGACAGGCATTTGACGTTGTCGACGTCGCCTTCGGTGATGCAAGACTTGTAGAAATCTTGTAAACAGGCCACGCAGAATACGTCGCCACACAGCAAGAGCCTATGACAATGGATGCCCTTCTTGGGCTGCAGACAGATTCCGCAGTCAAACGTCTCTTTCTCAAACCGTTCTCGCTTGGTCTTGAGGTCAAAATCCAGTAATGCCAACTGCAGGTCACTTGATAATTGAACCACGGTTTCGCCTGCAAGTCCAAAAGCCGTCTCGGCAGCCTGTTGCAGATGGTCAATGTACGCGTAGACGACTTGGTCTTTCCCCAACTCTTCCCACAGTCTCGCACAGTCATCTCTTAATCTCTTCAGTGCCGGTCGTGAAAGCCATAAAGGCATCACAGACAGGGCTACTTCTGGAGGTCTGGTGGCAGGATAGTCCTCGGGTAGAGTGATTCGGAGGGAAAGAGGTGGCAAGTGTGACAGTTCATGGACATCAAGTTGAGTTGGCTGTTGCATCTGTAGTTTGGTCGGAGAGTTATCATGTTCTTGTTCGGGGGAGGGCGGTGGCGTCGGTAATTCAGGCAGGGTGTCGTCGGCGGCATTCTTGAAGAGGATACGTAAAGGCTGGATAGGAGTCACCGAGAGCTCCAGAGTCGCAGTGTATGGATTCTGTGCGTCGATGACGAGTTCAGGGTAAATGGCTACTATAGACGACAGTTCGATTGTCCTCTCGTCATCATCCATGGTGGAGGTTGAGTATGACGGGCAGTGCGCTCGCGTTGAATGCGAGCTGCGGATTTAAAGAGAATGCCCAAGAGGGGGAACCCAAAAATATGAGATAGGAAAAAGATATGCTGGGAGGTTGAAATGTGCTATGAACCGGAGGAGTGAGTATTTCAAAAAAAGGGCCAGGCCGCAGCGCATACAACCTCTCCGAATTTACGACCTCCCCTCAGCCTCGTCCTCTCTGCATATTTCCCCCACCCCTGCATTGTATATTATCGCGTTGAGCATAGTTTAGACTGTTGAGTTGAGTCACACGTCGGCTTCATTGCAGTTGGATATGGAAGATCCTCCTCTTGCCTCCTTATCGCTAACACATGTCCACTACGTGAGTTTCCCCCCCCTCCCTCAATGATTGCTGGATTTATACTGAACTGGGGAAGAATCCTAATGACCCTATATCGTTTCTCTCGGCATGGCTTGCCCTTGTTCCGCAAGGTCTTTGCGTCATCTACGTGACCTTGATTTGGGCGTCCCGTGAAGTGGAGATTCTGCTCATGTTTGCTGGCCAAATAGCATGTGAGGCTCTCAACTTCGGTCTCAAACGACTGATTCGTGAAGAACGGCCACGACGTATGGTTTCCCTTCTCATCTATCCACGAGACCTGCTCGTGTTGACTCTTCTTAGAGATGTATGGGAAAGGGTACGGCATGCCCTCCTCGCACTCGCAATTCGCGGCCTTTTTCTCGGTGTCGCTTAGTCTCTTCTTACTCTTCCGACATGCTCCCACGCCATCAACAAGTTATTCGCCCTCGACTTTTTCGGAACGACTGTTACTCTCTCTTCTCGCATGTATGGGCGCGGGAGCCGTGGCTGCAAGCCGTGTCTACCTCAACTACCACACGCCCAAGCAAGTGTGGGCTGGAGCATTGGGTGGAGCTTGCTTTGCTGTTATATGGTTTCTATTTACCACCTATCTCCGTCGGTTTGGATGGGTTGATTGGGGGCTGGAGACTTGGCTGTCTCGGAAGCTCAGGATGAGAGACTTGATCTCTACAGAAGATATTCAGGATGCTGGCTGGGAGAGATGGGAGTCACGTCGGAAAGCAAGACGAGATATTACTTCGAGCGAAGAAAGCAAGAAAACTAGGTAGATAATTGAACCGTTGAGATAGTCATATTGTCGCCGTTCTTACCTATCTTGACCAATTTGAAATTTATGCTAAATAGATAAAAGGTCAAAATGGGTCGTAGGGGAGCCATAATGCGGATGTGCAAACCGGACGATGCCATCGCCTGAGTGCTTGAGAAATTCATTCATGCCAGCCTCCTCCGTATTTCCTCCGCGACAGAGTGTGCCAGGTTCTCAATACCGTCTCCAGAGCGCCATGGTACAGATGTAGGAGAGATTTCCCATCTGCGCTCGGTTCGAGGATCAGGCTTTCCGATCATCTTCGACCAGACGTCGTAGTTTGTCAAGTCCGTTGATTTGCGCTGCCTTTCTCAGGATTGCTGCCATCTCAACATCGTCAAATATCTCAATGGTTTGGTAGTCGAAGAGGTCTTCCTCTTCCGATTCATCTTCATATGCTCTGTCCAAAATTTTGAACCCCAGATTTTGCATTGGCACAAGCTCCTCTTCGGTCAAACTTGCCTGGTGATTCACAACCCGGTCAATTTTGGGCATCCAGATCTTTGGCAGGAATTCTGCTGCTGACCCAGAGAAATCTAAGTACAATTCTGTGGACTCTGCAACTAGACATTCATGAAGGGATAGGAATTCGCGCTCTTCATCCCGAATGGACAAGCCTTCTGCCATTGAGGTTGGTGATCAAGGTCACCACTGTGTCGACAACATGTATGGGTCAATCCTAAGGCATTGAATGTCTAATACCGTATGAGTCGTGTGAATAGTTGTGGAAAAAAGGATGGGAAATGTGTCGACAGAAACCGGGCAGGAGACTTGTGGCCAGTCCAATCACAAACCCCTCCACGTCTAAAATTCCGGGAATCGTTACAAGGGTTCCAAGGAGATTTCTGGCCGAGAAAATTCAAAGCAGATAGACATCCACTGTCAGAACAAGCACACATGCAGCCATCGGTACGGTGAGACAAGGCCAGCGTCGTAAGAAGTCCGCTTAATATGTGACCTGGAAGCTGATTCTATTGATCTTCGTTATATCGACACGGAAAACCGAAATCGAATATCCGATTCAGCATAGTAGCCAGTGAGTGTAAAGCCTTGAGTGCTGGTGGCCTCGTATGCTCATTTTCATCTTCGCAATTTCCGACTCCACAACGGGGGAGAAGACGACACAGATGAGCACCGCGGTCACACAGCCATTGCAGGCGCCTGAAATATGTATCCTGGTTGCCTATCCAACGTACCTCATGGCACATTACTGGCGTGTATCCACAAAAATCCGGCATCGTAAAACTTCTGAGCAATGTCTGGGTCGAGATAACACCCATGGTAGATCGTGGTCTGGTATTGTGGAATCGTTAGAGCAGCAGGAATGACAACGCCCGCTTGCTGTAGAGCAGCATATACGTTGTATGCTTGTTCATCCAGACAGCCGTGGAATTCATTTTGTTTCACACAATATGCAAGTGACGGTAGATGGGTATCTGCAAGTTGTTGAAGGCGTTTCCGTCTAACAACCAAAGCCTCGACCAAAATCTTTCCAATGAATCCCTTGTGTTTCTCCTTTCGACAGAAGTGAAAGTCAGTGAGGTCGTGAAATGGGTGGCGCGAATGTCTTTCGATGCGTGGTTGGAAAAGCGGGGATCCAGCGGCGAGCAGGACAATAATCGAAAGTCGAAAATTGAAGAGAGCAGGTTCAGGTGGAATTCCTAAATCCCTGACGGTATAACTCAAAGGTAATTCCCCGTTTCCATCTCTTTGATTAGTCGGCGGCGCAGCCACCGAGCAGAGAGATACGCAAGAGTGATTGACCCAATTCGTTCAACCCACGCAATGATCGTGGTTGGCTTAGAACAAGTTGAAGAACTTCTCCTGGATCGCGGCGGAGGGTCGCAGCGCTCAATGGGCTAAATTCAAACACTAGAAGGATGTGAGTATGCTTGCAAATTCACATTGTGGGAAACACCAGTCGCTTACCATGATGCCATTCAGGAACCTGGAAGAGGGTAGGAAGGATCACGGTCAGGGACGAGTCCAGTGTGTCATCAAATGCCCCTATCAGCGATAAATCTCTTGCCAAAATCCCAAGTCTTCGTTGACACAGGTCATGACGTGAAAGAACAACTGCACTGCGCGTCATGAATTGATATTAGAAGTCCTTCAAAGGGAGATATTGGCTTACAAGAGGAGGTTACCCCAAATTTTCTCTGACTTTGCACCTAGGGAAACGAGTTGCAGCAAGAGAGTACATGACGCCTCGAGTTCTTCATCTGCAGCAGAACGGGATCAGCAATCTCGTAGGATGGCAATGGCGTTACTGTCAGATAAAGAGATACGTAGTCCATTGGTTGCAGAGTTCTGGTCCCGATGGCTGTGTTGGGAGCTAAGTCGGCGGAGCCCATTGACGTCACCAGCCATACCGTATTGATTTAAGACATGCATTTGGCAGACTTTGTCCCTCCATACGTCTCTCCCTAGGATGTGCTTTCCGTTGAGTGAAGAGATTTACTAGCTTAGTTCGGACATGTTCCACGATCTTGTGTCGTATTTGAACAAATTCATTGATCGCCATGGCATTCCAGAGAGCCAGAGCATTCGAAAGCGCCTGAGTATCTCGTCCAGACTATCAAGAGTGTCGAATGCCGGGGAGGAAGAAACGATAGGCTCCCAATCAACATTTCCGCTAATCGAAAGACCGCCTGCGCCGCTCTTTAAAGCTATCATGACCCGGATGCTGTGAGATATGAGCATAGAGCTGTAAGAGAATGTGAATTGCAATCTCCTTCTTGTTCTATTAGGAATGTGCAGGGCAACAACTTTCTGAATGCTCAATTTCTGCTCATGCACAAGAGAAACGGGTTGTTTTCGACGTCCTCGAGGTCGGACAAGAACAAAGCGAGGAGAATCCTCTGCTCTGGGGCTGGACGGCCTGAATGGCGGACTCAGTATTTGAAACTTCCTGGCAAAATTGCTCGAAGAGGCTGGGTTTTGAGATGAGTTGGTTCTGGACACGGTAGCTTTGCGAATTCTTCCCTCCCATTAGCGACGCTTTGCCGAAGAGTGTACTCGTCGATCCTTACCAGGTTGCTAGCCATACTTCTTGACAGGCTGGTGGAGCTTTGCCAGTCAGCAAACTGCTCCGATAAAGCATCAACCTTCTCGAGGATTGTCTGAATGCCCGGATCCAGGCGTGAAGTCGTTTGAGGGTGAGCATGTCAGCCTGCACGGTGGATATCGGTTGGACCAGACTGTGAAGTGTGGAAGAGCCTGTTGCAGCCCGTTGGAAGTTCTGCTGAGATGGAGTTCCGTTGCGTAATTGGATTATACCAGATGGTTCGGAATAAAGAACCCGAGGGTGGTCGAGAAGATTGACCCAAAAATATGAAGGCTTACAGATGCAAGATGGTGAGAATGGTTTTCAAGTTTGGCTGAAGGCCTTCTGGCCCTTCTGGAATGGGAAGATGACTCTCTATTTGAGGCGTCGAAGTTTGTCTCGACAAAGTGAGGGTCCAGGGTAGGCTGACATTGAGAGAGGGTTGCTTCCAGATGTGAAATCCCCCTTGCACATGATTGAATACCCTTCTCGATTTGACGTGCTTGGGCTGGCGTCGGAGCCGTCCAAGACGGCAGAGCGTCGCGAAGGAGACCCAGACATGTCCTAAGACCGTCCACCCTTCGCGTAAGGACATCCAGATATTGGCCTTGGCCTCTGTATGCCTCGCGGTAGGATATCAGGCCGTGGCATACTGACAGGCCTAACGAGATCACGCCTACGGCACTACCCGCCACGGAAAATGGATCCGACGTGGCTGGGACAGGCGGGAGACTGGCTGAGGTGACAAGGACAGCATCATAACAGCGATAAGGGGATTAATCAAGAACGTTCTTCGTCTTAGAAGGCACAATACGACTAACAGATGGAAAAGATAAATCAAAATTGTATGGATGAGGCTGTCGAGAGAGGCCAGTTGAAGAGGGTAGAAATGGAAAAGCTGCCTGAATCTCAGCCTTCGAGACGAGATACCGGTCGAGGGAGTCTCTTCATCGCACCAGAAAAGACTGAGATAGAGACGAAAGCCGAATGAGGCGTGGACTGGAGACGTTTGCGCCACTTCGTGACCTGGACAGGGTAGACACATTTGAAACAAGAGGGGGATATGCTGAAGAGACTATCACGTGACCGAGAAGTGAAATCAATGCTGGACAGGCTCCAGAATGGACTTAGTTTGGTTGAGTGGTGCAAGAACCAAATGTCGGCGAGTTGCACGGCGCAGGCTCACTGTCTGATCATGCTATTAAGTTGAGGAAGGGGACCTTGCATCCATAGCCCTGACAACAAATCTCTTGTTAGGGGTGTGGTGGTCGTTGACATGGCATTGAGCACATGAGAGACCGTCCTCACTCGGAGCTTCGGGGTTTCAACAAAGAGCTCCCGGATCAGGGATTTGTTTTAGATCCGTTAGCCGTGTGCATAATCCAAGCTGGGCGCCGGGGGACAGTGCACTAATATTATTTTAGGTAGCAGGACACGCAGCGGTCGAAGAACCTGTCATTTGTCTGGGCCGGTCAGTCAAGTCCGGTCAGACAAAAATAACTGTCCAGATCAGCCGTGCGGAGCACGGTCTTCCTTGACAGACAAAAGAAATGTTATCAGTCAGACGCCGGCCGGAACCTCGCGGATTCCATCAGCACCATCTCTCTGTGTTGTACTGCAGGTCACACAACTCCTCTCGTTCCCACCGACAACGCTCCCTTCCACTTCTTCATCTCTCTCGTGCCTTTTCTTGTACTTTCATCTATCATCTTCCCGTCTCGTTTTTGATTCTCTCTGTACCGTCCCTCTAAAGCAGCCATGTATATCGCCCCTGCGCTGGTCGCCAGTGCTTTGGCTCTCCCGGCCTCAGCGTTCCTTGTCCCCCTGGAGGTCTCCAATGCAGCAGAACAAGCCAAAGCTGAGCTGGGGGCTCTCTTAGCCCGTCCGGCGCGCACTGTTGACCTCGATTGTCCTGGATGTCCCTTCTTCGGCGCCGAAGACACCACCGAACCCCAATATGGTGTCGAGAACAAAATAGTAAGCACGTGCCTGTCCACCGTCATCCATCACCATGCTGACGAGTTCCTCGTAGCATCTGGAGTTCGATTTCGACCCTCAGCAGGGCTTGACCATCAATAGTCTTCCGATACTCCCTTCCGATTCCTCCAACGCCGCCGTCCCATATATCATCTCCGCTCCCCAAATCAGAGAAGAAGATGGTCAACAGACGGACCCGGTTCGACTCGACTTCGCCTGGGAACGACTCCTCCCGGTGACATCGGCCGACGAACGGGATACCTATATCCTTCCTATTCGATTCACCATTCTCGGCTTACAGGGCCACCCTGTGAAAGTCGACACCATTGCCATCGACCTCCTCCAAACCCCCGAGCAGACCTCCATCGTGAAGATTAGTAGTATCCCATTTGAAGACACTCCCGGTGCGGAGACCTGCGATACATCCTCCAAATGGTCTCTCTGCCGCCTGAGAGCCATTATCGCGGCCCGTCTCCAAGCCATCATGGAGGCGGCCAAGGCACGTGCCCGAGCCGCCCAGGGCTGGATGAAAAAGGGTAAGGGCTGTGGTGGCCGGAAATTCGGAGCCCACGGCATGCACCACGGTCACGGCCATGGACATCACATGGGCGGTCATCATCACCGTGCCCATCGTCTCGGACGCATGGTTCACCAAACCCTGCGCTTCTTTGTCATCCCTGCTCTCCTCGGTGTCATTGGTGGTCTCATGGCCAGTGCCGTTGGCATGCTCGTGGGCCAGCTGATCTCTTATCTCTGGATCCGATTCCACCGCAACGGTCCACGCGGAACCCGGAACATCCGCGTTGTCGAACTGGTCGTCGACGAAGAAGAAAAGGACGGGCTCATTGTGGACGACCGTGATCTTCCCGCTCCGCCACAATACGAGGACGTGGAAGCAACAGCCGTTGAGGAAGAAAAACATTAAACATTAGATCAATGAGGTGGAAACCCCCCATCCCCTGACTCACCAGAGCAAGGAACGGGAGGTTTCCACGAGACAACAGACAGGTCGCAAAACACTTTTCATGAGATACCCTAAGCATTTACAGGTGTTTGTAGCACAAATGGTTCTACACCCCCCAAAATATTGGAATGACGACGGTGGATCGTCGATATCGACATGGATGACCTTGGACTTTATATCAGATGAGGAAAGGTGTTTGGGAACGGGCTGGGTATAAATTCCAAACGAAGTTCGATGGAGGCATCTTTGCCGGCGGTTGGAGCCCAGAAGAAGGGAGAACGGAGGTCAAGAATAAGAGAATGGAAAAAGGCTGAGGAATGAGTGTTGGGGCTACAACGTGGATTGCATCATAAATGTATCAAAATCCCAATTCGATAAGATGCCATTTTACGTTCTTTTATATCTTGACTTCTTCATTGCCGCCCCTTCGGCTTCGGTACTTCCCCTCCACAAGACTCGGGAGGAGACTCATCTTTCTCTCCCCTTCCGCCTTCTCAATCAAGCTCTGTTGACAGTGGATCTCGACTTGATATCAGTTTCTCTCCTGATCGCCTGGGCGACCAGGAGGAAAATACCACAAGGCGAAAGATGTGCTCTGGTTCGAATGAATTTTCATTATGTATTCATTCTTCGGGAATGACTTCTCACGCCCTTTCCTTCATCTCAACCAGGAAGATTACCGGAAACTTACCTCGAGTTTGTTTTCCGCTCTATCCTTGCGACACCTCACAGCCTCGCCCTTCGCCTTCGCCCGAGCACGTAGAGTCTGTCCTGGTCATGTCGGTACGGACACCCCCTTCCCATTTCCATTTCCCATCTGGCGTCATGCTCTCCATCTCCCTCCCCCATTCTCATTCTCATCCCCATAGTCGTATTTTCCAAAGCCAGCGCGAAAATAAATTTAATATCCACCCCCTCCCCACTGCGAAGCCCAGATCGTCACGTCGGACATGACAATGTCGACCCACCGCTGTATGAGAGGGGCGAACCCCCAATAGCTCGGGCCTGGGCAGGGGCGGTCAATATAAACGGGGAGATCGTGGTTATCCTGACGGTCAAGGTTCTTTGGGTATGTCTTTTCAGTGTGGAAATCGAGAGTTGTGGATGTTGAGGACAATGACGTGGGAGATGTAGATGTTGACACCGTGGAGAATGAGGATATTACCGTTGATGAAATGGACGACGCTGATGTGGATAAGAGGCTGTATTCGGTTGAACGGCGAGGCAAATACGACGGTAGCGAGCTCTCGATCCGTGATGACACGGCGGGGGAACTTGGGATGCGTTCAATTCTTGCGGTAGAGATTGACGAAGCGGTGAATGTCGACATTGGCATGACTTTGGAAGATGGCATATGGGCGGGCGGCAAAGGGAGATCAAGTTCAATATCCTCAATCTCTAAGAAATGTGCCAGCCTTTGAATGAGTGGGGGAACAAAAGATTTTTCAGGGGATGTTGGCTTCGATTGGGGAGATGGAGACCAGACTGTAATCGGAGGAGTCGGAGCCCGACAAGGCGGAGAAGGCTGGTATGGAGGACGGCCCAGGGTACATGTTGAATCGAAAGCTGAATTCGATATATCCTCATGGGTACCATTCATTGCTAAATCTTCATTCCGCAAAGAGTCCACATAAACCGAGGCAGGACTCTCAACGGTCGTGAGGACTAGAGGATTCATCGAAAGGACCCTGGAATTTGATGCCCAAGTCGGCGCATATCCAGTGTAAGGAATGTTCCTGGATAGCGAATCCTCGGTGGAAAGATGGCCTGTAAGAGTGGAAGCAGACATCTGGACGGACGTGGACGTTGGAGAAACTCTAGGACACATCCTCAGACCTGATGTTGTAGTCCCGAAAGAAGAAGTGCGGCCGTCGAGTCGGGCAAAGGACCCCGAGTACAGAATAATGCCCGAAATGACCACCCAAATGGTTCCTATGACTATCAAGGTTTGAAAAGGTTTCCAATCTCGAATTCGATTGAAATGTGAGGACGGACCCAGGGGCGTACGAGTGGTCTTCTCAGCAGCCACAACTTCGCCCGGGGTGGCGGAGTAAGGCAAGCTATTCAATCTATGGACCTCAGCTACTGGCGCATTTCGTGGTTCGATCTCTTGCTCGGTTTGGATTTGTGTTTCTGACGCAGGTGGAGGTTGTGGTCCTGGATCAATTTGCACTTTTTCGTCTGACGCTATCAGGGTATGGTTTTCTGGTTCAGTTGAAGTCCATGAACTGGGCAAAGCTCGGGCTTCTACTCCCGGCGGAGATTGAAATATAGTCTCTGCACTGGCGTCTGGTGAGAGCTGGACATTTTCTTCCGTCTCGTTCCCCGAAAAGCCAGCTTTGGTTATCACAGATACTGGCTCTTCTGCACGACTCCATATCTGAGATCGCACAGACCCGACCGAGTCGGTGAATCTTCCCAATATGCTTCCAATCTCGGTTGCGGATGATCTGATGGTTGACGAGATCGACCCCGGATTAAGCTGCAACGCTTGATCGGATGCATCACTATCTCTGCGCTTGTATATCCGTAGGCTTCTGAGGGCACGCAAGCTGGTACCCAGAAACGATAGCTGATAAGGGATAGAGGGACCGGAAGGACTTGAATCAGAGTCCTCATTATTTGTTTCATCGATATGGTCCCCTTGAGTTGGGGTGCTCGTAGTGATCCGGACGATGTCCGTGTAATTTACAACCACCGGCTGAATATTCACATTGCTACTGGCCGCAGAATCAACATCCGGATACGTATCGGAGGGCGGTATACTCAACGGCTCGGTGTCGAGTGATCGCGTACGGATCGATTCAGTACCAGCTGGTTGAGGACTGGAACCAGGCGTCTGAATACTTGCCGGCTGCGTACGGGGAAGCCCATTATTGAGAGCCTCATTCTTGCCAGGGTTTGGGATCAGGCTTGAAATGGTAGATCCGCGGTTGATCACAAAGCGGCCACCTATTCTTGAGGGACGACTTCCCCTTTTGGTGGAGTGAAACCTAGGAAATCTTGCTGGTCTCAGAGGTGACGTTCTCTTTGGGGGAATCTTTGGAGATGTTTGCTTCGAGGAAGCAAGTTTTCGATCGAGGTAACTTCTAGGATACTTGCTCGTCGAGACATTGTCAAGAGGAGAAGATTCAGCTCCGTGGATCCCATGAGCTTTCACAAAGCTACGTTTTGGACCGTAAGTGGACCGCCACTTGGAGTCTTTATCATGGAAATTGGGAGAGAGATGATTACCGTCGTCATAGTGGTGGGAGTCATTCGGGTGTTGAAGAAACATCGTTTGAATGTGTATTTTTCGGAAGGTCTGATCGTCACCGTACCACAGGGCCTTGGCACCAGAATCGGAGTCCATGCCCTGGAAAGTTTTAGCAGACGATAGTCCGTGAGGACGTAGGCCCCACGTGATTGTCCTTCGCAGCACTGAGTCTTTCTTATTGGAATCTGGTCGTTCATCGGGCAGACTATGAGATCTTGAGGCAGGCTTGCCCGAGAACATAAAGTTTGGGTTGTCGAAAGAGCTGGAATTCATCTCCCGTACGGAGAGTGACTTTGCTTGTGAGGGTGAGAAATCACAGCTGTGGATCTCAGGAACGGGTCCAGGCTTTACCACTGCCATTTCGGACTCCAATTTTGCTTTCATGGATGATTCAAAACTTGTTCCCACTTGACCTTCTCCTAATAGGGCGGGTTCGCAAGGAGCCGACTGTGGCAAAGACTTTGGTGAAAGAGAAAATTGGTTCCGGAAACCGGGACTTCGAGGAGATTCGATAGCACTGCCCGTAGCTATGGTATCATCGGTCGATCTCTTCCCAAACGACGAAGACATTGTCCAAGCTTGCTGTTTCCGGACAGTCTCAATCGCTTCTTTGAATCGAGGTGCCAACGGGAATGGTTCTGAAAAGCCGGCAGACTCTTGTGGATGCCGGATCAGGAGATCTGAGACTGTCTCTGGAGCGGTGAGAGAGAGCGTCGAAACCGCTGATGCTTCCTGAGTTTGAATTGTAGACGTAAAGACTGTGTTCCTCTGATCTTGCAACTCAAAGTGTTGCCCCTGTGAGAGAGGGCGAGATAATTCCAGACCTGACATCTTCCGCGTCAGGTCGATTGAGAGCTGTCGGGTAGGGAAAATGGCCTTGTCGCTAGGGGTGCTTTCTCGAGCGGAAAAATCAGCGTCGAGGTTTTCAATATCGAAAGACGACCGCAAAGAGGATGTTCTCCTGGGGACATAGCCTGGATAGCGGGACCCAGAGACTTTCGCCCCGTTTCGATAGTCTTGGAGATTAGGCAAAGATGGGCATCTTGACGGACCAGGCGAATCAAATGACGACAGCTTTTTAAGCGTCAGAGGTTTGGCCTCTACACGTGCTCGACTCGAAGGTGCTGCCTCCATGGGGGACTCAATGAGTTCTTCCAATCGCTCGAATTGCACGAATAATGGCAAACTTGAGTGCAATGCGTCGGGATTGTCCACAAGAGTGGGCACTCGTTGGTCGCAAAAAAGAGTTTGATCCTCATCTCTCAGGATTTGTTCTTTGCGAATTTTTTCCATCCATGCAAAGCATTTTTCGATCTCCACACACAATCGGTTGCATTCCTGTTCACTGGCTTGAAGTGCTTCCTCTGAGCGGTCTCTTGACGCCTTGATTGGACCCATTTCCTTCATGAGGCTCTCGACTTCGTTCGATTTCGTCTTCCATTTTTCCTGGTATCTCAGGTTTTCGTGATGAGCATCAGTCATTTTCTTCTGGATCCCTTCGTACTGAATCCTCAAGTCCTTCTTCAAATCTTCAATTTCCTTTATGAGTGGCCGATTCTTCTCCAGTTGCGCCGAATACTTCTCTTCGGTATCATGGAGGGATGTATGAATTCGTTGAAGATCATTACTGAGCTTCTTATTTTCTTGTTTCATTTGTTGGTGCTGTTGCTTGTATTGATGCAATTTTCCTCGCAGGTCGTCATTGTCAGATGCCAATCCCCTCAATTGATTCTCCATTGTCGTCTTGCCAATCCGAAGCTTTTCCGTTTCAACCTGAAGCTTCTCTATTTTCTTATTGAGGGTTTGTAATTCTTCTTCGTGCTTGTCTTTTTCTAGCCGTGAGCCATCACCTCCCAGTTCATCCTGCTTGGCCGACGCCTCGTCGACGCCAAGGAGCAGCTGGTGTCCTTCCTGGATAATCTCAAGTGGTTTTATACCAGATGTTGGGGAATCGTTGCTTCGTGGACTGTTCCAAGGTGAAAATCGTGGCCGTCTCAGCCTACGGGGCGATGTGATGAGTCCAAGACCAACATTTGCGTACGGTTCCTGCTCGTTCAAATCGAAAGGCCCTTCATCTTGGTGAACGTCCGATGGGTCAGAGCCCTGGCCTTCACCGTGGTCGTTCATGGTACACTCCTTAGGAGCCGATCTAGAGAGAGCTCTATTCTGCCATGGTACTCTCCTAGTCAAGACCTCGGGATTAGAAGTCTTCAAAGTTAGCTTTGACCCGATGTTTTCAGGCGCGTATCAATCATGCGGGGCATATCGGTGAGAAGCTTCCGTTGTTGATGGAGGAGAATAGTACAGGAACAAACGCTGGAAAGCGCGACACAAAAGTGGAGAGTGTTGGATGTTTGAAAGAAGAGTCATTTATGATCGATAGCGAGGCGAGAGTGGCCAGTGAGGTAAAAAGCAAAAAGTACCGGATTCGGAAACGCGGTGAGTGATGTCGACAGATTCAGAACAAAGGGAGCGTTGCGCGCCCATATCCACACAGACCACCCACTCACATTCCTTTTCGCCTAATCGAAGTCTTTTCTTCTCAAGAACTTCTATACTTCGACCTGTGGGAAAATCAGTGCCCAGTCAGTGAATCATCGGACCGTTCAGGTCGCACAATCTATATCCGATCAACGAATTTCGTTCGATTTGCGGTACATGCGCCAAACTCCCCACGGTATGCATCTTGCTGTGAATCGCATTATCCTCAAAACATATGCTTAATCCGTTTCCTTATCGACAGGTGGCCCCAATTTTCCATTGCGGAGAATTTCGTCGACGTCCACTTGTACTGGCGGCCGCGGACGGTGGTCACGGCACTGCACCTGGACAATTTCTTGTTTCCCACCATAATCAGCCACCAAGGCCGTGAGTTTTCCTCCCTTGACACAGCCAGTGTCGAGTCCTTTAGTGTATTTTTGTATTTGCAACCCCTTTTTAGAGTCGTGGCCATATATGACGGTCCTCTGTCCATCCGGAAATTTCTTTTCCCCCTTGCGTAAGCGAGCCAAACTTTGATGTGCTGGTATCAATGGTTGCTGTCTGTTCCACAATTTGTACCAGGGCACGCTTCCCTTTCGCTCATGTTTTTTGGAAGGTACATGTGTGCCAAGATCAATGATTCGCATGTTCATCACCGAGGAGGGATCTTGATTTTCCAGAGCGAGTCCGGGTACCAGGCCGGCATGTGCCACCACAACTTCTCCATGAAATCCTTTCAACTCCCCTACGCGGAGAATGACAGGACATGACTTGAGATATGCAAGCTGATCCGTATTCAGTGACATTGCCAAGTCTCTCTCGGAATCGTCGTTGTGGGGAATTGCTTGTTTGCCCGTAGCCGCACCCAATTTGGAGTTCTTGTTTGACCTCAGTGAGGTCGATTGAAGATCTTCGGCAATCAACAAGAGTCGATCTTCGTGGTTTCCGCGCACACAGGAAGCTTGGTGTCCACGTAAAAGATCGATCACTCCAAGCGAATCGGGGCCTTTGGAGACCACATCTCCCACTGCGATCAAATGATCGGTCCGGGGATCAAATTGCACTTTCTTCAACAGAGATTCTAATTCCTCTCGGCAACCATGGATATCACCGATGAATATCAGTCTCTTCTTATGGAAGGTTCTTCCCCCCGGCTTTTTGGATGACTGTGGGAGGAGGTCGGGATCGAGAGATTGTATATGGATCATACCCGGAAATGGGGGCCGCACATTTGTCCCAAAAACACCTCCAGCGCCGGACTCCGAGTTCAGATTCAGGGATGACCATGCTGCCCGCTCTTCCTCGATGAATGGTCCCAGGAATTTGATCCACAGCACAACTGAGGCGATAGTGAGGAAGACGATCAAGAGAAGGAGTCTCCTGAACTTGGGGGCTCTGATCACGGCAATGGCTCTGACCACGACTCGGTCCAAGAATTCATCGTCGGGCACACCGGTATCGACCGAAGGCTGGTAGGTGGGAGAATTTCGCCAGTCGTTCGTGCAGTATTCTACGAGAGGCTTGCGAAGGCGTTGACCCGGGTGATGATTCGAACGGAATGTCGGATATTCGGTGCCTCGCGTGGTGTCTCGAGCTGAGCCCACATGTCCCATCTCTTTCTCACATCCAAAATATGGTCCAGTACATCGACGATACCTGTGGGAGAGTGGAGTTTGAGGTTCTGTGGGGTCTGAGGTGTGCTCGTTTCCAGAATCGTCGGACTGCCGAGTCTTATAATGATGCCAGTCTTTGTTCGCTTGTTGTCATGGCGCTGGATCGTTGCGAGAACCCAGCATGAGGTTGCGCGTGCTCAGGGTGTGAAGGATGGTCATGTATGACTCCTATCTTGTGCACGGATCGATCGCGCAGTATTAGAAGATTTCCAGCGTCGATGTGGGTTATGGAGAATGAAAGGAAAACAAGAGAGTCCTCTAGTGCAGTATATGTCTGACTCATTGCCAAGCTCAGCCCCAATTCGGACGATGCGCCTAAGCTGTGGCCCCTTCTCTAAGGTTAAGAGTATATCTTGACAATCTTTGAAGCACCCCCAGAACAGTACATGGACTTGACTACTCTGGACCGACACCCTCCATCAATGGTCGTCAATATTGAGCGCAGAATGACCCCTTTGCCAGAACTGCCTAATCAAGAGCCTCGTGAGCTCAAGCTCAGAGGATATCCAATTATAAAAGTCAGGTCAGCGCCGATTCCAAAGTTAATTCGACATCCTGATCATCTATGCTTATTCGTTTCGCTACCGTCTAGCTACTCCTCGGATACACCCTCTTCGTACATTAAACCCAAAAGGGCTGCGATTTGATCATACGTTGTTCCCCCAGAGAATAACAGCAATTTCGCCAACGAGACTCATCCTCCCAAACGATTTCTATCCATCCCCTCTCACAAAGAGCATGTTGCGAATTCGTACGTTAAACCGCGAGGATTAAAATCAGCCTGCGAATGTCTTGCGATATCTGTATTGATGAAGATCCACCCTGGCGAATGCATAATGCCTGCTCCGAGAGGGATACTTTGACACACTCTACCGGAGAGGTATGTATAAAGTCCAAGGTACCTGGCCCTACATGACAGAAGTGCAATCACTTCTCGAGTTCACTCTTCTTCTCGGTCTTTTACTGTGACTTCTTTTTTTCCTTGATTCTCCCGTCCTTCTCCACAGCGCCATCACATCCATCGGTCACCATGATTGAATTCGTTCTCTTTACATCGCTCCTCGCTCCCGTACCGGCAGCAGCACTCTTCAACATCGCACCACAGACAGTCGTTCAATTCTCCGACTCTACATTCGCCGAGAACATCGGAGTGCGTTCCAATGGCCACATCCTCGTCTCTGTCCTCAGCGAACCTACTCTCTATGGCATCGACCCTACCGGCCCAAACTGGACTGCAGAGCCCATCCACCACTTCCCCAACGCCACGGGCGTAGCAGGCATAACCGAGATCGATGACGACGTCTTTGCCGTCGCCTCCGCCATCGGCCCCAACGTGAGCTTCCCTCGCATCTGGAAACTCGATTTCCGCGGCGATACTCTAAACGTTGCCGAAATCGGGGATGTACCAGGCAGTACGTCAATCCATGGCATCGCAGCCCTGCGTAAAGGCAACAGTCCCGCTACCGCCATCATGCTGGCTGACACGGGCGTTGGTTCCATCCGGTGCATGGACCCAGCAACCGGCACTGTCGAGAGCATTGTGACCTCGCCGCTCTTCGCCCCCAGCAACACCAGTACCGCGCTGGGGATCAACGGGGTCAAAATGTTCGGCGCAAGCCTCTACTTCACAGGTTCAGCCAGCGGGACCTTCGGTCGCGTTCCTCTCACCCGCGACGGCTACAGCGCCGGGGAGATAGAAGTGCTCGCCACATTGAACCGCAGCATCGCCTCGTTCGACGACTTCGCCATCAACTCCAACGGCCTCGCTTTGTTCGCCGCGCACAGGTAGAATATCTTCATGTTCGACGTCGTCCGAGGAACGAATTTGACCATGATCGTCAACAACACAGCGCTCACCGAGTCGACTTCTTCGGCATTTGGGCGTGGGCCTGGAGAAGAGAACACCTTGTACGTGTCCTGCGGTGGACGTCCCGTTGACAATGCGACACACCTCGCCGCGTCGGTGCAGAGTTTGAATATCTTGTCGGTTCTAAATACCACTGATAGTACAGCTTCGAATAGTTCAGATGATAACTCAATTGGGGGCTCAGATGGTTCAGACAGTTCAGATGGACCAGAGTCGTCCTCCGGAAAGTTGCTGGCTCCAACTGTTGCTGGGCAAGCGGCACTGCTGGGCCTCTATGCTAGTGTGTGACGAAACGGAATCTACATGGTTCCGCATCTGAAGTTGAAGTTCTTTTGGGAGACTGATTCTACGTGAATGGAAGGGATGCCTTGTTGTCGAGGCCTGAGAAAAGCCAGGTTGACAAAGTTCTCGTACTGTGATCTTCTATAAAATAGAAAACGTTATACAAGATGTGTTGTCAAATAGATTAAATTGAGTGCTCTGCGGGCCGCTGTGCCCATCACCTCGTTGTGACTTTTACACAGAGTATCTATGGTACCCTGTTGCTTTACCACCACCTTTCTAGGTCTTCATGGTCTGAGACATTGTCCCACCTTGAACACATTGAATCTCAGCCTAGATCATTCGATAGAGACCCTTGCCGATGCTAGAGACCTCGTTGTCGTGGAGTTGTCGAAGTGGTAAGTACGGCGTTGCCAGGTAGACATCGAGAATTGCATAAATTTCTCAACCAATCAGAGAAGGTCATTTTCGGAGTCACGTGGTCTGTGCCGTGGTATGGAGAAGATGTGAATTCTGTTTCACAATTCTGCGTTCAATCTTATACGAGACTGGCACGGATCAATTCATTCGATTCCTGGTCGTGTTAGAATATCAAATAGCAATCTTCTCTGCAAATAGCAATCCTTGACGACGGGCTAAAGCTCCATTCCACTTCGGACTGAAGTGGCTCAGACCCTCGGCCGAATCCCTCTAACAACTCTGGGTAGGCTTTTCGAATATCACTGACCTCCGTCCATGCCAATATTCATAGAAAATGGTCAACCGTGGCATTTCTCGAGCTTGCGACACGTGCAGGAGGAGGCGCAAAAGGGTGAGAAATGGCCAGATATTATCCAATGTTACTCGCGCTTACCTGTCATGCCAGTGTGACGAGACCAGACCGGTGAGCGTTATCGGTGTCCTGTACCATCTTTATCATCTTCATCTGCGGCTTTCCCAGCGTACGAGCCAAACTGCTGTTGCTAATCTGGTACCGTGTTGAGTTGTTTCGCATGTCAATTGCGTTGGCCCGTGGCAAATTCCAGGTCTTGCTATTATGTTTCGGTACTTCAGCAACTAACCACCATGGCGACAGATATGTACCAGATGTCAAAAAGCAAATGTTACTTGTCTTGGCTATCGGAGTGAAAAAGAGCTTATCTTCAGACGCTCTTATAGCGGCCCAGTCTCAGTCACTGCTTTGCCCCCAGCAGGTCTGCCTCGAGAGTTTCGCCATTTTCAAATCGAAGAGTGCGCTCTTACCGCCTTCTTTCACAACTACGTTGTTCCCCCTGCAAACGATTTTCTTTCTCGTGGTTACCTTGCCGGTCTAGAATCTCTACTCGTGCTTGCCGGGCCCGAGGCCGAGATCTCCCAGGCTTGCAAAATGGTTGCTTTCGCGAGCCTTGGGAACAGACACAACATTCCAGCTCTCCTTTATAAATCAAGGTTGCTCTATGCAAACCTCCTACGCTCTTTCGCTACCACTGTTTCCATCGCAAAATCGACAAATGTGGTCGAGTCATTTCTCACAGCTGTATTGCTGGGTTTGTATGAGGTTGGTAGTCGCGTCCCCTCCCCATCCCAAGGCCTAGCTTTGCATTTGCAGCTAACTTGTCTAAACAGCTAATCACAGCCAATCTATCGAACCCTAGTAGCCACATTACTCACTCGAGGGGAGCCTCTGCAATTCTCCGCCAAACCCCATATCAAGCCGTCGATGCACTCCGGCTCAACGATCCCGCGAAGGTATCTCAGGACGTTTACTTCCATTCCTCGAGCTTACGAATGTCTTGGAGTAGGTCCAACAGTCAGACAGTTCCGGAATCATTTATGCTCCATTCTCCAATGGTTCAGTCCACGCGATAGATACTGTTCTTGTCGACTTGCACCCGCTCCTGCAGAAAACCAGAGCGTTGCTGTCCAATACGGTAACATTTCCGGAGGATGTCGGTCGTGTTTTGCAGGAGGCGATGCGCCTTGACAAGGAATACTCCAAGTGGCCGGCCAGCCAGCCGGATGAGTGGAGACCCTGGAGGGTCGAACCCTGCGAACAAGCCTCGGTGCGTTATCCCGAGTGGTGGCCGCGAAAGGCTGATTTTTACTTTGACCGTGAGTCCTGTTCACATCCCCCACTACTCGATCATGCTCACTTGTTGATAACAGTGTATGTGGCTGCGGCCTGGAACACCTACCGCAAAACTCGTTTGATGCTTCTTGACGTCATTATGCAATGTCTGAACCGACTTCAGGTTAAGGATGCGTACGGTCAGAAGCAGGCAGAAATTGCAGAACTTGCTGACGCCATCATGTCATCCATTCCGTTTCATGTGACCGATCAATTTCACAATCTCATGCAGCAACCGAATCACGTCACGGGCAAAGTATCTCCGGGGAAATCAGTCGGTGGCTTGCTTCTGATGCACCCTGTATACGTAGCCGCGAACCTGGACGTTGTGTCACCGCATTTACGAGCTCAGATGAGGAACTGTCTGGCGTGGATCGGCGAGCACATGGGTATTGGCCAAGCTACGGTGTTTTCCAAGGTCGGAGCTGGGTCTGCTGCGTACAAAGTGAATTAAGGCTGACAATGCAGAGTAGACTTCGCCTGTCTTTCCGGACGATTCCATTGTGCATGGCTATACCCTCCTTTGGGCAGGAATGCTTCTTCGGCCAGTACGACCTGGCCATTTCTGAGCGCTTCCTGTCCAATACTTTATTGCTACAAGACAGTGTCCTTATATCAAAATCCTTCGGCCTCGAAAAGGGGAGCACAATGTGAAGGGGGAACAGGAGTTATCTTGCATCTGACCAGATTATTGCTCCCGAGAGTTTCCAATGTGATTCGAATAATTGAAACAATCGCATTGTGGAATGCCTTGTCCTGGATGTGAATATGCCTGGTATCTCATTTATCCATCCACTTAAATGCATTGGGCGCAAGTCAAAGTACGACCTTATGTAAACATGACCAAGACCCACACGATCTTGTTCAGTTAGGTTTGCGCGTGTGGTCCAAATGTGGTAAGCGACAAGCCACACAAGCAGATGTAGGGAGAGGGGTATATCATCCTTCGACCAAGTTTCTCGCCAAACATGGACCTTTGGGAACAGTTCTGAATGTTGATGCGTTCGGACTCAATCTGCTTGTGGGAACCATGGATCCACCGTCCTGGCCCCGAATATCCCCAGCTCCAGCGTTGCGTACGATGGTACGTGGGACAAAAGGGTCAACGAATAATCTATAAAGAGGCTCGAGGCATCTATAGAGAGCATACCTGTTTCTTCCTCTACTTCTGTCACATCTTAGGTTACCAAATCCTGCGTCTGGATACAGAGACAGAGTACATCTCTCTTTCCTCTCTCTTACAAAGGCACACTTCGCCCTTCAGCTATGACGACGCAAACGGCCCTGGCGCTTACTGAAATTGGGAAACCCTTGACCAAGATAACCCTGCCAGGACCTGAGACAATAGAACCCCGGGAAAATGAAGTCTTGATCAAAGTGAAAGCCGCAGGCCGTCAGTTCCTCTATATCTCTCCATCAATCCTCATCCTTTTTTATTTTCCCCTCTAACGATCTAACACTTTACAGTTGCGCCCCTCGACCAAAAGTTCCGAGATCGAAACTTCTTCAATATAGCAAACAGACTCCCCGCCGTACTTGCAGGAGATCTCGTTGGCACCGTCGTGAAAATCGGCCCAGGTGTTTCTTTCCCTGTCGGCGCTCTGGTTTTCTCTCAGATGCTCTTGCATCTGCCCACCAGTGGTGGCTTACAAGAATACACTGTTATTAATGGGGAATACACGGCCATCGTTCCTCCAGGAGTATCTGCCCCAGAGGCAGCACTGTATCCCATCAATGCCGTCTGCGCTGCCATGGCACTGTTCTCATCCCATGGCTTTGGCTTTCCCTTCCCGGGGACCCCCGAATCCGCAAGCTTCGACTACGCGAGTCAAAAAATTGTAATCGTCGGAGGCGGTTCGAATATTGGACAACTAGCCATTCAATTCGCACGGGCCGCCGCCATCGGCACCATCATTGCCATTGCGGCGCCCTCCAACTCTGCCACTCTGGAAGAGTACGGTGCGACCCACATTATTTCCCGCCACGATTCAGACATTGAGGATCAAGTCCGTCGGATCGTCGGCGACGATTTGCTGTATGTCCATGACACGATCAACTTCGGTGACCATAGCCTCGCCGTGTCTCTTTTGTCCAACTCTCAGCGAGGAACCATTGCACACAATCTGCCGGGAAACGCGGACAAAGCTGTTTTAGCGCGAAAGAAGGCGGGTGTCGAGGACAAAATGATCGAAGCGTACTCCCATGCTATCCCCGAGTTTGGTCGTCTTTTCTGGAAGGAGTTCCCGGTCTGGTTGGAAAGCAGAAAGATTAAGCCCTTGAAATACAAGGTAATTCAGGGTTTGGATGCCGACAAGGTAAACGCCGCGCTTGACGAGTACAAAGCCGGAAAGGGTGGGGAGCGATATCACGTTAGTCTTGGGGTATGAAGATGATAAGTGCCTCTGATCTCGTCCAATCCCAGGTTGAGACTTTCCATTATACCTTAATCTAATCAGATGCATCGGCTCTTATCTCGGTGGTGTCCCTCGCGTCTCGAATCTTTCCGAACCAAGAGATCTCCGTGCATGAACGAATGACAAACCTATCGGGTACAGGTCGGATTGTACAATAGGTGGTGCTTGCATCCCTGAAAACCCCGATCCTCGTCCACGTACTCTCCAACTCTATCGAGTGGATACCTATATCGGCTATTGGCTTCCTTGATGCAATTTTGAACTGGGCGACTGCCTGTGGATAGATTACCAAAGATTTTTTGGAGCTGGGAGTTTTGGGCCCGTTTTGGTGTGCAGGAGTTCCCCACAAAGTACCCGTGGGGACAAAACACCCACGGGGAGATATCGGAAAGCGAGTCGTATTTCAGAATGTGTTCCGGCTGTTTATGTTCCATGCAAATATCATCGCCGGGCTTCTCATTTGTGCAGTGACGATTCTTGGTCTAGAACGCCACTAGAATTCTGCAAGCATGTCGAGAAGAAGTTCGAGAGATCAAGCTGAGCACAATGCAGCAGCACTGCTGCATGTGGACTTAGTACCTGGCACAGAGATCATGCAAGATGCCGGAGAAGTCCATTTTGTACATGGCCCCAAAAGCGGCGAAGTGTACGTCTGCATATCAGGGGTTGAACAAGGAATTCGGAATTGCAGCTGACGTTGAGACTATTGTAGATTGATCCCACACCCGTCAACGAGCTATGATGATCCTTTGAATTGGGCCTTGGTCTGGAAATGTGAGTCTCGACTTCTCTCGGTCACACCACAGCGTCTGGAAGCCTAACTCATCCATATACATACAGACATGGTCGCACTGGTCCAAGTTATCTACACCTGGGTCACTGTCGCTTCCGCCCTCTCAATGGCCCCAATGTTCCCACTGCTAGGCAAGGAATTCGGCCTAAATGAAACCCAACTTGGCATGCTTACGGGCAGTTGTGTCCTTGCCTTGGGATATGCCAACTTCGTGATTGTCCCTTACTCCAACATATTCGGCCGACGGATGACATGCATGCTCTTTGGCATATTTGTGATATTGACGTGTCTCTGGGAAGCCCTCGCCACTTCATATAGCAGCCTGATTGCTGCCAGGGTCCTCAACGGATTCGCTACTGCGACGAGTGAGAGCTTGATGGTTCAGGTCGTCGCAGATGTATTCTTCCTCCATGAAAGAGGGTTTTGGATGGGCATGTACTTGTGAGTTGATGTGTCGCCGACTGCGTACCCAGACGATCATGCTCACGTTCTTATAGTACTGCCTACTTTCTTGGTCTCTTCACCGGCCCAATCATCTCAGGCAATATTGCTGAACGGTAAGTGATATGGTGCCGGAACCAAGATGGAATTACGGAGCTGACCACTGACAGATGGGGATGGCGAAGTTTTTTCTGGCTTTCTCTTGCTTTGGCTGCGGTAATCTTGGTTCTTCTCATTGTGTGTTTCCCGGAAACCAAATTCGAGAGATCCACGCCCGCTGCCCCAGTTGCAGTTGCCCTTGACGCCGACACCACAAACCAGGAAAAGATATCAGCCAGTATTGGGCAGGAGGATTCGTCATCGCCGCTCGCCCCTGTGGGCAAAGGCCGACCGTCTCGATTGCAATTCAGGTTGTGGCAGAAACCAAGTGCCGATTGGAAGAGTTTCGTGGTCAGGGATGTCTTTTCTCCATTTCAAGTCTTCTTCTTTCCCATCATCTTCTGGGCTGGTCTCAACGTCGCGGGACCTGCCAATCTTCTCTTGCTCTGGAATTTAACGGAATCTAATGTCCTCGGAGCGCCTCCTTACCACTTTAGTGTTTCCGCCGTTGGTTACGCAAACTTTGCTTTCGTGGTCGGTGGGTTAGCCGGCCTCGCTACCGCCGGCCCTGCATCTGATTGGATTGCACATAAGCTCACCATTAGGAACGGCGGCGTTCGAGAACCTGAGATGCGTCTCCCAGCCCTCGCACCATATTTCATGACCAGTGTAGTAGGCATTGTGGTCGGGGCGGTCGCGATCCAAAGGCAATGGAGTTGGCCCATTCTTCTCATCATCGGCTACGGCTTCACAGGACTTTGCGTCACCAGTGTTCCAACAATTGCGATAGCCTACGCGGTTGACTGTTACAAACCAATTGCTGGTGAGATCATGGTCGTGGCGACCGTTCTCAAGAATACGTGTGGTTTCTCCATGAGTTACTGGGTTTTTGATCTAGAGGCAAGACAAGGATTCATCTCACCGGCTATGGTAGAGTTTGCATTGACAATTGGACCGATGTTGCTTGCGATTCCATTGTTCTTCTTTGGCAAATCGCTCAGGAGACTGACGAGGAACTCAAAGGTACACGGTCTAGAGCACCATAGCCTATAGCTTCCAGGTTCCGAGTTTGGAGATAGAAATATACCTATGACCCAGTCAGACGACAAAGTGTTGAGCTCTTGGATTTCTGGGCCTAGCCTCCATTACCACCTCGAGCCAATTTGGAGGACTATTCTTTCATTTTTTTTTTTTTTTTTTTTTTTTTCTTCATTCCCCCCCTCCTTTTCCTCTTCTATCTTGAAGGACCATGCTAGGAGCAAGAACAGTGGACATGGGGGTATATCGGATTTGTGGGACAGGCTTATAGGATGGACAGAGGAGGGTTACAGGCTGCCTTGCGACGTCCAGCCCGAAATACTCTGTAGATGCTGAGCTTCATGAGAAATACGAAACGAGGTTAGCGTGGAACGCCAGCTTTGCAGCTCCCGATCGTTATGCTGAATAATATTCAAAGCCCATCTCGTGTTTCGTCAGATAGCTGTCCCACATCGGTACTGCTCGTAGTGGTGAGATTCATGAAGAGTAAGGGCAAAGGAGAACGCGTTCATGTCGAGAAGGCTGAGGAGTGAGCAACTACGTGTCCAGCAACTCCACTCACATACTACAGTATAGGTAGTATTCTCGTTTTGCGCAGATGGTTCAGCTTCAACTCGAAGTCAGAATTTGACCAATAAGCGTTCGGGAGCGAAGAGCGCCATACACAGAAACAAATACAAGTATCAATAAAATTGACTAAGCTACGACTCTCACTACCACCATAGATACGTGTTCTCCCAGGAACCACGGCGCCAGAAGCCAGCTTGAGAATTGAATTAACTTTTGAGCTTGCTTGCAGAACTCAAGAATATTTTGGTGCTCACATACGCATACCTCATATCCCGAACAGAACAGAACCGCGCTCGCGCTTGTGTTTTTGTTTTACCAAACCAGTCCAGCAATGACCAACGCCAGGAATCCTACTCCGACAGCACCTACGTGGTGACCATTCGCCCCATTGTCACTGTCAGAGCTGCCCGTCGCAGAGGCACCTGCGCCTGTCTCGGAACTACCATCTACGCCAGCGTCAGCTCCTGTTCGAAGATGGATGAGATGAAAACTTACCAGTCGCCGAAGCAGACGCACCAGTTGTTGTCGCCGTGCTTCCACCAAATGAGGAGTCGCTGGTAGAAGACGCACCGCTGCCGCTGGCTGTGGCGGTGGGCGTGACGACCGTGGAGGACATGAAGTACGAGCTGACACACGAGGCTTGACAGCTGGCATATTCCTGTGTCTCGGACGCAGTGCCGTTCCCTTGTGGGCATTGGGCGGCGCATTCGGTCGTCGCATTGGCTTGCAAATCGCTTGGACATGGCACATCGACGCACGCAGCTTGACAGCAGACATCGGCGGAGCCACCTGTTCATTGTCCATTCTTAGTTTCGTTTACCCTATATTACTCCGAAATCTTTTGTGTCGTTCAACTCACATTGCTGCAGACATATTGCTTGCGGGCTGAGAGATGCGGTGGAAGAGGCAGAGGCCACACTAGTGCTGCCTGAGGCAGAAGTCGCACTTTGCGCAGCAACTAAGGCGACAAGGCCAAAAGTGGTGAGAGCGGTGAAGAAGCGCATCTTGGTATAATCGTATCGAACTTTTTTCGCGACGCGAAAATGGTGATATCGGAGGGGTTGTGGAGAGCTCGGGTCACCGTTGTTAGGGGGGAAAAATGGGGAACGAACGTAAATCGAGTTGTAAGTGACTTTGACTATGGCTATTGAAACGAATGTTATGGCAGACAATGCCAGCACAGAAAGTAGACCAGAAGTGGAAGCAGAAACGAGCTCGTGAAACAAGATCAATTCAGCAAGATCAGACTCGAGGCGCGACTGGGGGGAATTAAATATAACACCCAGGTGTGATCACCAATCTCCCCAGGATTTCTGGTTGGCAAGGTCAGTGTTTCGGGTGGCGGTCGACACGTTTTCCCATTGGTTATCCCTTGGTCAGTCTTGTTGCTGGCAACCATGATTTATCCCTGTTCGCCGAGGCGAAATTGTCGCTTGTGTTCCCAATTAAACTCTAGTTTCTTGGTTATGTGCCCAAGACCCGAACTGACGGTGGCGCTGATTTGATAGTCGCTGAACCCACTGAAACATGGGGCTGAGAAGTTTGGAGACTGGCGGAAGGGAAAACCTTGATGTGGACTTTTGGTTCGTGGCGATTGCTGCATGTTTCACGCGTAAAGTGGTTATTTTTATTTTTAATATTTTTTTCCTAGAGTATTCGTGGACGGGAATCATACGTCTCGCCCGATGCCGGTGCACAATGTGTAGGATGTCCGTTGACAGCGTCGAGTCTCCACGTCAATTAGACGCATTCATGCGGGTATTATGGACCCATATCCTACCAGAGGAGGCCCAACTTGGGATTTTCTCCCATTGGGTGAAGTCTATTCGATAAGGTTGAAGCGTCATTGCAACGTGCAAGGAGAACTTCGGATCAGGCCTAGTCCACGCAATTTTCGGGAAATAGGGGGTCGAGGCCGTGGCTGAAAATCAACGGTTCTATGACGTAAAGGTCGTCCACGAGGCTGGATGCGCTGAGGTTTTATAATACGCCGAACTTCTGGGCAACCGCTTCCCTTTCGCAAGTTCTTCTTCGCTCTTACTCCTACTATTTGTACGTGTCAAAAAGGAGCCAGGGATCTCTATTCGCACTCGATAAATAGAGTCATCGCATTGTACTAACATACATCCCTACACGTAATACGGTCTGCGCAGAAGTACATCAGCAGCAAGATATTCACGAGAGCAACACCTTCGATTCTCCGTCAAAAGGTGTAGCTAAACATTCAGCCTAGCATACACAGAAATACTGCATTAAGGTACGGTTATATAGAATGGAAAAGAAAAGTCCTGTCGACCAACCCATGGGACCCGATTGTCCGATAGCTTCGTACCATCCCCATCATTGCAGACAAATCGCCTTAGTCTGGTAGACAAAGTGTCAGGACTCATATATGCGGATAGACAGGATATCAGATGATATATGTATTTCCCTCCCTTTTTGCCGTCATGAATGCTCTAAATGAATATATGCCAACCAATGCTATCGCTTTCTGCAGGGGGTAGTGGGAATGCAAAGGCAGTTTTATAGGGGAAGATGCCTCGAGAAAATGAAAAATCTCCAAAAAAAAACAGATCCTAGACGTACAGATCTCTGAAATATGCAGATAATGGTCGTAACATTTTCCCGCTCACCCTTTCCCCTGGGTTTGACCCAAACCAGACAGTCTCTTAGACGAACAGACCGACAACTGCAACGACCATGCAGACTGCTACGCTCAGCACGGCGCCAGGAAGTTCATCTTGAGCCGCGCCACCCGTGAATGGGGTGATGCTGACGGGAGATACTGAGGATGAAGATAGGGCGGGAGGAGCAAGCCAGCCGCTGTTGCCAAGTCCCGTAGAAGCTGGTGCCACAGATGTGAGGGAGATGGTCAAGATATTTGATGAGCCTGCAGGATGCACAAGGCCGGAGGCCGAAGAACCCTCAACTGGTGCAATGGAAGTTTCTGCTGGTTTGGTGACGGTGGCCAAGGTGAAAGTTGGGACTGGGTGACTATAGTCAGAGGGTTGAGCGGATGCTACTATAGGAGCGGAAGGCTTGACGGGCACGACAGTCTGCGTCTCAACGGCCGTCACGGTTGGTACCGGGATCGTCAAGGTGACGGTGCTCACCGTCTCAGCGCACACAGAGCAGACAGTCACGGCGGTAGTGAATCCGCGTGGGCAACCGTTGGGTTCAGTGGGCCAGACGAATGGTGCTGTCGTCGATGCCGGGGCCACTGGGACGGTGGTTGTCAATGTGAAGGGCCGAGTGGTAAATCCAGTGGGGCAGATATCGATATATGAAGTGACCCAAACAGTCGTGGTATAGTCGGAAACGGAAGCACTCGTGGTTGAAGTTGTGGTGGCAGGCCAGTCTTCCCAGCTCAATGTGGTCGTAGTCGTAGCGGAAGAGAAAGTCGGATCGACAACGGGGAATGGGGAGCTCGTTGTGGACGAGGTTGTCCAGTCGGCCCAATCATACCTGCTAGTTGAAAGGGTCACAGAGGATGTCGTTGATGACGAGGCTGTGGTATCGCCAGTAGGACCAACAGGGTAACTGTAAGAGCCAGTATACGCGCTTGTAGTAGTTTCTACCATGGAGGTACTGCTGCTCGAGCTGCTTGACGAGGTTGTTGAACCGATAGGGCCTCCTTCATGGCTATAAGATGACGTAGTCGTGCTTAAGCTGCGAGACGAAGTGGCGCTACCAGTTGGGCCAACGGGATGACCGTAGGAAGTCGTGGTAGAGCTGGAGACAGAGCTGGAGGTAGTGCTACCGATGGGGCCAACCTCGAGGCTGTAGGAAGATGTTGTGGTGGTCTCAAAGGTCGTGCTTGAGGTAGTAGCGACAAGAGATTCTGAAGCTGTGCTTGAAGTCGTGATCACTGAGGATCCTGAAGTAGTGGTGGAAGTCTCGTGCGGATGCTGATATGTTGTGGTGGTAGTGCTAGTCGGACTGAGGGGAGTGGTTGATGTGGTCGTGGTGACAGGAGCTCCAGTGGTGGTTGTAGTTGTCAAAGCTGAAGTTGTGGTGGTTGATGTGGTGGCCGACGTAGTAGTAGTGAGAACCGGAGCACAAGGCAACTGGCCGAAGAGATCCTTGATGTTTGCGGCATAGCTCTTGTCATTGATCTGGTTGTTCTCCGAAAAAGTTGCTTCCCACAACATTACCCCTCCAAAGATTGACTGATAGTCGTTGCCACAAGCATAGGCTTCAATCAATGATTTGGCCTCATCAAGGTTTAGGTAGTCGGAAGAATGAGCGGCATCCGGGGAGGCAGGAAGACCAAGGAACATCTTGACGCCCGGGTTTTTGGAGTTTTGTTGAAGCCAACTAGCCCAGCCGTACGTAATGTCAGTGTTGGTATTCAGCGTGCCAGAGTTAAACAGTGATCGAGCGGAACATTGATTGGTGTTGTAGTACTGTACAAACCTGATATTTGTCAGCCGGATATACCAATAAGGCGAGTGGAATGGTAACATACACATAGTCAAATGGAGCGTTTGCAATGGCATCTCCCAAGTGAGAGTCGGGAACAACGCACTGGGGTGCGGACGAGATGTAGTAAGTCTTTGGCTGGCCGACGAACTTTGCTCTCAACTCATTGACCAAATCGGCGTATCCGAAATTGCTGCCGGACTCGATGTCCAAATCGAAACCGTCGACAATGACATCGGTACCGAAAGGTCGAGGAAATTGAATCAAGTCTGGATCTTGAAGAGGGCCGAAGGAACCCCACAAGAAATCAGCGAACGCCTTGGCTGAATCGGTAGAAGCAATGAAATTTCCTGGCGATGCGCCTCCGATCGATGCGAAAATCTTTTTGCCCATTTGTTGACATTTCGGAATGTCCTCCGCGATTTGATAACAAGTCTTGAACATTTGAGTTTGTGTGCCATCCGGAGCGACCCAATAATCACCACCACATGCGTTGGCGTAGTTTGTTCCCGGGCCATTTTCCTGGTCGGGGAAGACATTGACAAAGCCGATCGGGATAATGTCCATTGTTGTATCCTGGCAGAAATCGGCCAACCGTTGTTGATTGTAGCCATTCCCCTATACGCTACTATCAGTCCTCTATGCACCAAGGTCATCCAAAATATCTCTTTCTTACCCAGTAGACGGCAAGACTTGGTGAGGAGATGCCTCGCTTTGTAGTAATAGATCGAGTTTCAAGGATCGGGGAAGCAGTTGTTGACGAAATGAATGTGGCTACGGCCAGCAAGCTAGCGGTCAATTCGTACGAATGCATAGTTTAAATGACTTTGGCAAGAAACGAAGGAGAGAAATCAGAACAAATACGACAAAAAAAGGAGTGACTGGGATACAAGAGATCCCGTAAAAGAAAGACTGGACGCAAGCAAAAGCCTGTTACGTAAAGGTAAGGACCGTGAGTAAAGAAAGCGTAGACAGGAAAAAGAAGGAGGAGAGGAGAATGCACAAGTCAGAAAGAGGCCATATGAATGAAGTCTTCGCAGGAAGCACGGTTCCTTCCGACAGGATGGAACAGTGACACCATGTTCTCCACCCACAATCTGGAACACCTTAACCCTTGGATCCAATACAGGACCTCAGCTGACGGGTGAACCACGGCAAAGGACAATCCCTTCGTCTATGGATTCATCTTGCTGGTGGTCGAGGGAATTTGCCTGTCATCAAAGAGACAAGGTTGCATTCCGTGAAGTTGAATCAGTCTCATTAGGAGATGGATGATGATGTGCAGGATTTGGAGGGTTTCGCCAGGGCCGAAAAGCCTAGCCGTTGAGGTAGGGGAAGGAGACGAGGGGCGTAGAACTTGAGACGGCGGGCGCATGTGGTAGCCCTTTGACAATTTTGTTATCGCATAGTGTTCTCTTTCGAGTTTGCTTCAGCTAGGCGTTTGGTGATATCGAGGTCAATCTCCGGACCACGCTGTGGAAAAGGAAATGGGTCTCGGGTGGGGCTGGCGACGGCAAATAGAGGAAGCTTATTCGTCTGCAACTTGAAATTTCCCGATATGTATTAGCATGTTTCCCTTTTAGGACTAAGCCGATCCGTTCAGGGGTCAGCTTGGACACTTTGGTGTTCGCTCGACTCCCCTGGCGACGCTTTTTTCCCTCAACTCGGACCACTAGCCCAGTCGCAACCTTCACCATCCCCCAGACTCGGGACGCCGGAAGATCCGTGACTGCAGCCCTTCCTGCCTCCGTCCTCAGCCACGCATGCAAATGGAAGTTTTACCAGAAGCCCTTGACTTATATGTTGAGTTCAACTTCTGAACGGCTGGGAGTGCCGTCGAATCCATGCGTGAAACCGCATGGCATGCCAACCTTCGCTTGTACTTCGGGCTGGAAATTGAGGATGACAGAGGCTCAGACAAATCCAAATTTATTGCCGCTTTAGAAATCTTCGGGCCTGGAGCTCAGAGGAAAAAACTTGCGTACTCAGTATTTCCTAGGTCACAGAGCCTTCTGCAAGCCCGCTCTAGATTTGGCTAGATGAGATTAGGCTTGTTAATCTAGAATAATTGAGTCATTTGCGTTTTGTGTAATATCCAGCCGAGCTGCCCCATTTTCATCCAACACTACTGTTACGTTGATTCGACCTCTGGAACGCGAATGTTGACTCCAAAAGACTGCTACTGTCGCCACGAGGGATAATTTCTTGAGGGCTGGAGATAAGAACACTGTGTGGTTGATGTGTAAGGCTCAAACCAGGGGAGACAGCCTTGCTTACATGACAAAGGTGCGTTGAAAGCCTGCCAATATGTCAGGACGATGATCTGCCTCTCCCAAATACGTACTAGATTCTCCACCAATGATCGACTCATTCGCGCCTTGTGTTTTTGTTTATGTGGATCCGACGATCATGACGATCACATTCGCAATCTTCCCAGCTCTTTCCGAGGATCCGAACTGAGTATCCTACTAATTGCGTTTTAAGGCGCCAACTTGCCCTTACTGACTGATTACCTTCTCCCTGCTTATTTAAACGTTCTTCTAATTGAGAGTCACGTATGGAAATTTCGAGCCGGTTATGATGCTTTCGAATTCCTGGCCAACGTTCCCATTGACAAAGTCTAGGAATGCATGCAGGACCTCGATTCTCATATGGCCACTCCGCGTCCACGCACCCCTTTTTAGGATTATTCTGGTTTCATGCAGAACCAAAGGATGCGAATTATGCGTGATTATTGGCCGGGCAGTCATTACTCTCATGACAAATTTCTAAGATGTTCTCTAATCAGTGAGAATCTGAGGACGTAGGAAAGAAACCAAGTCTGCACAATTGGCTATTGTTTGCCGGAGTTCTCCATATCATCCATTTGACACATTCGCGGAGTGGGAGAGTCTGGTGATGACCACGCCTTTCGTCAATGACTCTGGGAAGGGCAAGAAGTGCAAGATTTCACTCTGTTGAAGTCCCCGTGGCTCTGGCGGGAGGAGACAGGGAGCGTGAAAGCATGTGGCGAATTAGGGACCATTTAGAGAGGTGCAGCGAAATTCTGCAAAGGTGTATCTCTTAATTCTTCCGGGGTGAATGACCGAACAACATAATCGAACCAGACGAGATATAACCAAGCAGAGTCAGCAGTTCTATCGGATTCTGCCGTGCAAATCAAGCCCCTGCAGCATTTCTTCGCAGAGGAAGCGAATTGGTTATTGGATATTGAGAAATTCGCTATTCTTGTTTCCATGAAGACGTTCCGATCCTGAAGTTATAGCTTGCATGTGTGAAGGGCGTACCGTGGTCGTCCAGAAAGGTTGCCCCTTCGCCGCCGTGAAACTCCGGATATCTCCAGAAACAAAGTAGTCAGGTTCGTTCTATCTGGGAGAGCCTAGGAACGAGCTGTGTAAGCTTTGACCATTCACGCTCGATTTTAAGAAAATGAAACGAGCAACAAACATAAAAATCTACAGTACCCCTGCGGACATACAAGGAGCCACTCTAGTTCTACGGGCCCTCGAATCTGTTATGGCCGAATGATGTGTGCTCTTTGAGCCTTGTTGATGAGAATCAGTACTGTGTACCGGCAGCAGTGCTAGTATGTTTTGGCGGAGCTGCGAACGGAGACTCGCTTTGAGCTGATATCGTGAATGTTTCAATATGTGACGAAGTGCAGCTGCGCAGAGAGTGTTGGAAATTGTGTTATCATAGTGTGCGTTGCAAGATCAAGGGTTTAGTGCGTTGATATCGCTGACTTGCTTTAGCTCTCCATCCCGGCTTCGCCCAATAGTGTTTCTAAGAGATTGGGGCGTTAAGTTCTGCAGTCAATGACTGTCACCAGCTGAAATCATAGTCTTTGGGCCAATGCTACTACTTGGGTGACTGTAGTCTCAGAAGCGGAAAGCCAGCCTCCTGAGCAAGAAAAATGTCTCTCAGGGGCCAGTTGAGGACGGAAAGAGGCGAAGGTAGGAAAAGGAACCAATATAAGACGACGGCCCGATTGTAAAGCAAGCACTCAAGGCAATAAGCGACCGACAAGGTGTCCCATGCAGAGGCTTTTCCTGTAGTGGCAACCAGGAATGGGCGATGACCAAGGGAAGCGCATGTATCTCACAGCCAAAATTCCCAATGACCGAGGACTCCGTTGTTTGGAGTCAATAGTACGGTGCTGAGCTGATGGCCAGCTTCCTGATACCTGGAGCACCTTAGTAAAGGGGTTTGAGGCACGCTCAAGTGTCACTGATATGCCGATTCTAGGAACAGACGAAAGAACAAATCGGCATTCCAGTTGCATTCAAATAGACACACATTTATTGTTGTCTCGGCTGATGACTGTGTCGGCTGGGATGGTTGACACATCAACATCCAGAAGGAGGTCTGCGATGCTTTATCTAACCGACACGTCGACGCCAACGTCCCATCCTCTAGACCCAGGCATCGATCGAGTCGGCGCAAAATGATCGCAACAACTTCGTGGGAATGCCGCAAGAAGTTCGCACAGTCTTCTCGTCGTGCCTCTAGCAATGGTGGATGCCCTCGTACTGGATGGGCGAAATTCTCCACGATGCCCAGAGTTTCATCCTGGCCTATAGTGTATAACCTAATGGCGTCCATGCTGCCGTCGTCCACTTTCAGTTGACCCACCCCTTTGTAACTATGATGTATAGCGGCGAGTGAGGGCGCACGAAGAGAGGGCGGATAAATAGAGGCCAAAGCTGGGAGAACAGTTCACCTACCCCAGCAGATTCTTCGGTGGCTGATAAGCATATCTTTCCAAAACTTCATCGCCCAGGGCGAAGAGCTCGGTACTGAGGTCAAACATCGTTTCCGCATCCTTGAGTAGCGTCTCGCCCTCTCTTGAGCCCTCCAGCTCCAACAGGAAGAACCCATACAGCTGGCATGCTTTGAACAAGGTTTCGCTGACAGGGCGCTCCTTGAGCCTCCGAGATTCTTCGATTAGTTCTGGTAGTGAGATTGTGGGAATATCCGCTACGGGAACTTCGTCAGGAAACGGGGGAATTTTGTCAAAGAATCTTGAAGTAGGCATTTTCGACGTTCTGCCACTATTTCCTCGGTCGGATGGACAGTAGGAGTGTTTTCGACCTGGATTGGTGACCTTGGCGGCCTTATACCTATCCCATCTTCCCCAAGGGTGAAATAAGGCGTTCGAAAGGATTTGCTTCGAGTAAGCGGGTGTACAGTGAGATCGGACGCCCTACCATTCATATTTCACACCTATCGGCTTCGTCGTCGCGGCCTCATTAGCTGATATCAAAGTATCTCTAACATAGAGTTACGCAAAACTGGCCAGGTCCAGTTAAGGCCTCCAGTGGCAAACACTTCCGAAGTCGGTCGATTCTATTTGAGCCCGAGAGCAGAGGTGTTTGTCATCAAAAAAGAGCCGATATGTTGACGCTTTCTAGATAGTAGTTGCTCGTAACAGGCATGTGATTTGTTGCCTCTAATTGATGTACCGAGACATGGGACGCTCCTCCATCACGGCCCAATCCGGCTCTTTCACGTTACTGAAGACTGCTTATGATATCTGCAGATCTTGTAAGCTTTGGGGCCCTGCTCACACTGACAAGCAGAAGGATCAGGCTCAATGGTGAAAGTCTGCGTATTCCGCTGGAATGAAACAACCAAATAGAGAATGGGCCCAAGTGGAGAAAAAAAGCACCGACAGGAAGAAATTCAACCATGGGGATTTGGACTGTGTGGACGCTATTTCGCCAGAAACTGACCATTAGTAATGAAGATGATTTTTCATTCTGTCTTATCACTAAGTGCATTCTCTCCGAGAGAGAGTGTGTGAGCGGAAAACGAAAAAAAAAAAGACAATTCTTGGCAAATTTCGTATGTGCAATTGTTCAGGCCGCAAATATCGAGAGAATTATGTCCCCTATTCGGTGCGTCAAAGGTCAAGAGTACCTCCGTGTTGGATCTTAGCGTGATTCAGGCGCCTTCTTAAACAGATGATCTTAGGAAGACTCTGGAGTCTGCTTCTCTGCCGTGACAGATTCATGTGGAACTTCTTCACTGCTGGTCTCACTATTGACCTCCTTGATCGGACCATAAAATCGCTTGCGAGCACGGATGAAATAATTGACAGCCGCAATGAGCATGACTCCGATGAAGACAGGAGAAGCATAGTTCATATTCTGGCTGGTGACCGGAAGCATCGGTGGGAATGGTAGGAAGATGATGAGGAAAGTGCAGAATGCGAGCGAAAGGATGTTGACGTAGAGGCCGAATTTGCCCATGGTCCATGGTCCAAAGTTGATGGGGTTCGAGGAATCGAAGCGGCGAATAATGAACATGGTGGTCGGAATCGCGTAAGAGAAATAGAAGCCCAGTGTTGTCAATGAGATCAGGGCATTGAATGCGGTTGTGGATCCAATGTTGATCAAAGAAAGCAGGGACACTGAAACGAAGATCGAAATGACCGCATTCGTGGGACATTTATTCCACGGCGTGATGTGAGAGAAGAACCCGGAAAATGGAAGGCCGTGGTCACGGGAGAAAGCCCAGATCAAACGAGAAACGGATGCCATGCAGCCGAATAAGTTCATGGAGAAAACCATAATGACGCCCGAGATCATGGCGCTTGCGGCTTTTTGGTTGTTGGTTGCCTGCAAGAAGACAGCGATAATGGGGTATCCAGTAGGGGTCTCGAAGACCGCATCGGTGTCGGTAATGGCGTACAGAATCACAACGATATAGACAAATCCAGCCAATCCATTGATAATGACCGACCCGATCATTGCTCGTGGGACGTTGCGAGGAGCATCGTAAGCTTCTTCGCTCATGTGCACAACTGCATCCACCCCAGCGAGGGCGAAAGCTGGGGTAAGGAAACCGATGCAGAAACTCACACCGTCGCTGTCCCAGCCGCCAGCATTGATAAATTGGCCCCAGACATCGTGGTCGCTAGCCTTATGTGATGTAGCCAAAATGCCGATGAAGATGATGACGAAGAAGAGGACATGGAAAACTCCCGCCGCGGTCTCCCACAGAGGTAACAATTTCTTGCCAAATGTGTTTCCAAGAGCAGCAAGAGCAGCAAATCCGATCATTATCAACGTTGCTTGCCATCGTTTTGCGTCGTAGTTTGGGTTATTGAGGATGGCAACGCCCTGAATCATCGTGGCGATCAGAAAACAGACCGATGCCACGGCCGCGACCCATCCAGTAATGGTAACCCAGCCTTGGATGTAGCTAATCAGGGCGCGCCATTTCCGCGGCGAATGCTCAGCGCTCCAGTGGTACTGTGCTCCGGCGATTGGCGAACTAGACGGTTATCCTATCAGCAATCGGCGCTGGTCCTGGGTGACAACCCAATACCCACATCGAGGCCATTTCGGCCAAAGAACCTGCAATGCATAGGGTGCCCAACACTGAGACGATGAAGCCGTAGACAACAGAAACGGGGCCGCCATTAAGGTATGCGCCAGCGAACAAAGCACTGGTAGCTTCCCAAGTGCACAGTGTCGTCGCCGACATACCCAAAAGAGCCCAGAAATTCCATTCTCGCTGCCAAACCGACAAGGTTAGCGACTCCGAAGCTTTCAATAAAGGTCGTTGGCCAATTTACCTTGAGCACCTGCTTCTTCCCGGCGGCTTCCAAGGCAGCCTGGTCTGAACTGTACACGGTCATGTTGAGAGAAAAGTGCACCAATATACGGGGGAAAGCAATTGAAAGAAGTGGTGAAACGGAGGCGAGATGAACGAAAAATGGCCGCCTGCGCAAAAGGAAGAACTGGACCGTGTGGGCGCGAGATGGACAGTACTTGAAGGTTGTCTGTGGTCTCTTACTGGAGACATGCTAGGGTTGATGCACATGGCACGCCGAAGCGAGACAAAGCAGAGTCCGGCAGAGCCATGCGTCCCCTGGCCCAAATTTGTGTTGAATTCGCTGGCAAATGCGAACTGTGGTTGGAAATGGTGGTTGTGCCTGTGGCATTGCCCTTGGTCAAAAGGAGCCCCTTGAGGTGGGAGGAAGGCATCACAAGTTTTTCTCTGATAGGATTCCTCCAATGGCAACGAGGAAACCTGCAGGAGATCAGCATGGTTGCATGCCGGAGGTTCTGCGAGGGTGCCACAAGTTTCGGGGCCGGACGAGCTAGGCGCAAAACGCGGCCTGTTCGTTAAAGAACCCGTTACTCAAGCCTTTTGCCGGGAGTGTGCCCGTAGTGATCTTGTTGAGCTTGTCTGACATTGAGTGTTCCCCATGTTTCGTCTTTGGACGAACTCAGAGATCGAGAGTTGGAGTTTGTCAAACCACATACGTTTCATTGGATAGGATTTCGGAAGGGTTCGAAGCCATCTAGAGAGAGGACTTGTCTTATGAAAAGGCAGTTGCAGACCTTGCACATTGTTAGCGAGTGCCAAAAGGAAGGTCCCAAGTCAGAGTTGTAGGCTTGTGGCACCGCCCAATGTTCGCCGCTTATCAGGCACATGTGACAAAAACTGCTAGTATGTGCCACCCCCTGCTCACTAAGCTTCAGTTGACTGGCGCCAGGCGCCAACTGGCAAAAGAAAAAGGTGTGCGTGGTGCGGCAAGCTTCAATGGATGCAATTCCCACTCGTCTGCATGAAGAACACAACCAGAGTCCTAGCTTTTCAGGCATTCAGATGCGAAGATCTCACCGCTTTTGCAGTATTTTAGACTCGAAGGGTTCTCATAGACGACCCAGCAACAACGTGGTAAGAAAAGCAAAGCGAATGCACCAAACGTCCCAGGGCAGAGGACCATATCCGTCCGAGCTTTAAAAGGCCTTGCGGGGCGATAAAATGTACTTTTTTGGCGACTCAAAAATGCTGTTTGACCACCGTGCCGCGGAGGGATTGTCAGGGGCAACTAAAAACGTCCCAGTAAGCCATCGTGGGAAGCTCCAATTGAGGGGAGAAAGCACCTTGCCCGAGGGGCCCCAATCACATCTAGGCATGATGAGAGTGTCGATCTCTTGTGTTCCACGGCTCTCAGGGTGCGGTGTGTTATCTAGCAATTGCAAACGTAATAATAATAACCCTACAGCTTGAGACTTCTTTATGAGGCTTTGCATTTTGCCAAAATTCGAAGGGCTGCTTTGTGCTCCGCTGGCTGTTGGACCCCGAGCGGACTTGCAGAATGGAAGGCGCTTTGCCGGGGTCCTACTCCATCGCGAAGAAGAGGACAAGGAGAGAGGCCTTTGAAGATTGGACAATGACACACCTTTCATCTGTGCTTGTTGTATAGCAAGTAATTTTACCAGGTTCGCGGAAAAATGTACCACCGTCTCCGCTCACCGCCTGCGCTTTTTGGTTAGAGCAGAAAGTTCATTTTTTTTGAGACTCTCTGAAATTGGGCACCTGGAAAGAATGATATTGTTGAAACCTCGGTTTCTAATACCATGTGTCCTGATTTTAAGAATTTCTCAAGATGTCCAGCCCTTCCGAAGATGTCGCCGAGGTCTTTGAAGAATTGGGGTCCCTAGAAAAAGAGTTTGCGGAAGTTGAACTCGACATACGTACGCCGTAACCTAACTGAGGTCTTTTGGTATATTTCTATCTGGTCTTGCGCTGACGTTTGTTCTATTCCAGTGCGAAGGAAAGAATTCTCTCTGAGACCGCTATACTTCAAGCGCAATACCCTGATCGATCGCATCCCAGATTTTTGGCCCACAGTATTCGGGAATGGACCGGAAGAAATCCAACAATTCTTCTCACCCGCTGACCTCGCCCTCATCTCTTCCCTCAAGTCATTCTCGGTTGAAAGATACCAGATCGAGTCGGAAACGAAAGGAGAGCCTCGCAGCTTGCGGTTCACATTCGAATTCGCAGAGAATGAATTCATAGAGAATAGACAATTGGTGAAGGATTTCGAGTACAAGCCGCGAGAAGATGGTCCGGGAAGTCTGGTATCGAAACCGGTCCCTATCAAGTGGAAAGGCAAGCAAAAAGATGTCACTCACGGCCTTCTCGATGCGGCTGTTGAGCTCTATTCGGCAGAGGAAGCCTTGAAACTCAAGAATGGCGAAAAAAGGGTCGACATGGTGGAGCGAGAGTCGCTTTGGCAGCACGAGAAGCTGCGGGAGAAGATGATCCAGCTTGACGAAAGCCCTGAAAAAGAAGCAAGCTTCTTTAACTGGTTCGGGTTCCGCGGTGCTGTGAACACGGAAACACCCCAAAAATCGGCCACAAACGGAGCGACTGGTGCCGGTGCCGATGCCGACGAGGAAGATGAAGACGAGGTTGAGGAGATGTTGGAAGTCGAGATATTCCCGGCGGGCGAAGAGCTCGCCATCTCCCTGGCTGAAGAGCTGTGGACAGACGCCATGGATTATTTCAGTAAGAGACCCTAGCGTCGATGCTTTGACGACATATGAGGACTGACGTGCATCCAAGTGTCTGCTCAGGACGAGGCTCCCTTTGACAGCAACGGCTTCGAGATCGAGGAGGACGAAGATGACGAAGAAGTTCCCGAATTGAGTCCAGCGGTGGAGGACCAAGACGACCGACCCCGCAAACGACAACGGAAGGACTGAGATGGTCGCCGTCCGTGTGAATATGCTGAGACATACCATCACTTTGCATGTGGCATGTATGGAAGCATCTTGGCTTGTAGATAGAAGCAGGGGCGTAGAGAAATATTTCTCGCGCCCTGCCAACCTCTTCAATGGTCCTCAGACCATTGGTGTCTTGCTCATAGAATAATAAGCAAAATCAACAAAATGATCAACACCACAATCAGCACAGCAATACAACAACTGCTGACCGTATCCTCATTCTTCCTAATCACCTCGCCCACCTTCTTCACACCCACACTCAACTTCCCACCCACTCGATCCGCTAACGTATCGACCTCGTCCAACATGTGCCCTTGCTCTTCCAGTTCACGACCCATATCCTCCGCCTGGCCCCTCAGGACGCCGACCGACTGAAACACTCCGTCGAGCTGCTGATCCTGCTCGGCCATCATGGTCGCCTGCTGCTGCGCCTCGAATTCGCCGTAGGGGTCGTGGTCGTCACCTTCATCATCTGAATTGACACCATCTGTGAATGTCGAGGGCGCAGGTAACTTTCCAGTTGCTGATCCACCGGTTGCGGCGGGTCCAGCAATATGCGAATCGGTAGTGACGTCCTCAAGTTCACGACGCATGCCTTCGACTTCGTCGCCAACATCTTTCACGAATTGGCGCCGGCGCCGGACTTCTGCGACGTCCAGGCCGAAGCGGTAGGGATCCGACTCGACGGCGGAAATGGACTCGAGGAGGTCGGCAAGGTCGGCGGTGAGGGTTTCGAGGTTCGAGCGCAGGTCCGCGCGAGACTGCTGGAGTTCTGGCGAGGTCGCGGACGTCGAGAGCGTACGGATGCGCAGGTACGAGGAGAATAGGTGGCGGGTTGATTGCAAGTTAGCTTCAACGTCTCTATGCGAGGGGAACGGGATATGTTAGCTCTTGGATGTTCGTGCGGTTGGCAAGAGGGCGATTGAAAGAGAGAAGCAGGTATCGTACGTTTGGACCACGAGGAAAGGATCCTCGGGCTGAGAATTTGCCATGGCAAAGAATCTCTAGCGAGAGAAGGGCAGCCTTCCAGGTGCAAAGGCTCAAGGGTTCGAATGTTTACTGCATGGTCGTCGTGGGTGATTAGATACAACGAGAGACAAAGGGGGGATCTGGAATAGTAGGTCATGGACGTCGGGGGAGAAAAGCACCCGCCGAGGCGACAGGTCCGGACACCAAAAACACCTCTACGTACAAAGATTATTCAAGTATTGATAGGACAGACGCCACGTACAGATGTCCTCTTCCTTTGGAAACCACTTTATGCCTTTTCCTGCACGCCCTCGAGTCGATTCACCTCTTCCTCCGCCTCGTCCCTATGAGCGGGCACCTCGGTCACAGGATTCAGCTTTGTTTTATGAATCTGGTCATACATCAATAAGCCTCGTCTAGGCTTGCCATTAGCCAATTCACGGAGTACCTTGACTCTGCTCTCGACCATTCCATTCACCTCTTTGAGCCGATTCCTCAAGTCCTCTCCCAGCGGTGACTTTTGGATAGAGCCAATCTGCAACGCCAGTCTCATTGCGTTCTGCATGGGTAATAAGGATACCAGTTCGGAATTCACCACGAGACTCTTCTGTCCAATCTTCTTAGCCTCCGTGTCAATCTCCTTAGGCGCTGCATCGACTCTGTCGGACTCGGATTTTCCCTGATTTTCCGCTTCGAGGTGAAGCATCTTTGTTGCGCAGTTGGCGACTTTTCCATCTTCGTCCTCCCCATTTAGGGCATGGACGGCTCTCGCCGCAGCCAGCTCTGTCAACACACTCGCCACGAGCGGATCTGTTCTAGCATCGACTTCGATCTCCTTGAGCTTTTCGCCGCCATGTAATTCGTTCTCTAGAATCCGCGAGACTTGCTCAGCTCGCCGAGCGGCCGTCTCCAGTTCCGTGCCTTTGAAATCTGCCAGCGCGGCACGATGGTGGCAAGCCAGCATTAGTTCCTTTGCCACTCCCCGTTTACGTAATGTGAAGCCCGTCTCTTTGGATCGTTCGGCGCAATTCATGATAATACGATCTTTGCCTTGTTCCGCCGCCTTTCGCGCAATCTTTTCGTAAAAGAACGCCGGGAGATTGATTTTGGACAGTACAATCCCCGTCAGAAAAGGGTGCAAGTTGCTCCACACTTTCTCACTGTTGGTGTCGCCCAAAATGTCCACGATTTTTTTGATAGAAGCTTTGTGGTTGGGTTTGTCGTAGGCGTCCATAGGCTCGAGTTTGATCTTCTCTCCATCCGTCATTGTCACCGTAACACCAGGGTCGTTTGTCAGGATGGGACGGCGCGATGTCTTGTACATAAGAGCTCGGTGATGGTCCTGCAGGGCCGCTGGCGTGAACACTTTTTGGCGCCATGTCAGGAGTAAGTCATCGAGTTCGGGCGATGATGTGGGTTGGAAGGAAGGAATAACTATGAGATCGTTAACCGGAGGTTCTACTCATATTGTGAATACTCGAGGGACCTTTTAATCTTCTGGGAGTGGTGCTGAAGGAACGTGAAGCTTTTGAAGCAAACGGAGCACTCTGCCGACAGCTTCTACAGACGTAAAGTAGTGGCTGTCCATGCTGTGCCATGACGCACCCTGCACACACTTGACCGGTAGAAGTGGGAATAAGTCGCAATATAATGAAAGATATTTCTTTTGAGTCTCAATTGATGCATTCATTTGAAACGGCAAGTTTCCCGAGCCGATGCCTTCCTGGGACGAAGGTGCTGCCGCTCTATGAGTCTCTCCGTATGTGACTGGCTTCATCGTATATGGAACAGCCATACAACCTCTCTATGCTATTTCGTTTGGAGGCACGTCTTCACAACTTCCACCATTACTTTGCGACCCGCTGGTGTTTCAGTAATCTTCTTTCCGAGTCTCAATCTGAGATCTCAAAGGGTGATTGAGAAGTAATATACAGTTCATCCCAAGCCATATTCTGACCCATGTAGTCTCATTTTCCCATGCTGAAAGATGTGAGCACGGACTCCATGTCTGATGTCGCGTTCAACCAACATTCCGGATCGAAAACCTCAGGCTATGGGGAAAGTTGAGGATTTCGATGACGCACATAGTTTTGCATGTTAACGATCATGCCTGCTGGGAGATGACAGTCTTCAGCCTGCATGCTTTCATCAAGGATTCGGGGTCACCACAACACGATGGCGGGTCCAGGCAGAAGCATTCAGGTAAGGCCGATTCCTGGCAGCTGAAACGTCCACCGGAACACTCTTCGCTTTCTCATGTAGGCCTGGCTACTTCTTTTCGTGTTGAGGCCCTGACAGGGTACAGAGAAAGTACGTCAGTGTTGTGGAAGTAGTCCCGCTTCCTGGAAAACATGACGCCCGTGGCCTCAACGAATTCTTCATGGGTCATCTTTCTTTCCCAGGAAATTGATCCGTGGCTGTCAAGTATGGTGAGATGAAGTGACCTTTCTCTCTCCTGGGAATCCCCATGAACTCTTTGAGGAGGGCTCGACTCCTTCGCTCCCATCCCGTCCGCAGGAACGGTAGACTTCACCGACAAAGATCTGTAGCAACTCTTTGTTCTGCCACTAGTTTTCTAGGCTTTCAGGCCAGAGACATTGTCTTACCTGGAGCATAGTCTGGAACATTCGATAGGGACCGTTGCTGATGCTAGAACCCTCGTTGTCGTGGAGTTATCGAAGTGGTAGCTACGGTGTGGTCATCATAAAAGGGGGTTGCGCTTGGAACCAATTTGCGGAATGGAGGAACTGGAGAACTGCTCCACAGTAGGGGCCAGATCTTGCGTAGGCCCGGATGCTGGAACAGGCGGCTTTGATATTGGGGAGATAAACATCCCTGGACTATTATCACAAAGAACAACTTAACCCGCGTCCTACGTAGCCAAGAAGGATGATATCAACCTACGTATCAATGGGACTCTTAGAAGAACAGCTGACGATGATGACATGCGCGGAACTCCACTTCATGCAGAATGGTACTTTCAACTTCACGGCGCTGGTAGGAATAAGGAGTCTTCAAAACCGGCAACAAAGATTGCTATTGGCAATTGACGGCAACTTCATCGACAAACTGTCCTATTCCCGAGAAACAGGTCTGAAAATGGTTTTGGAGAGTATGTACCTCTCGCTTGGCCTGACGTCCCACATCGAGTGTTAGGTTTTCTCACGTCCCACGCGAACACAGCGCTTGCTCTCCTGGTTCAGAGGCGAATAGGAGAATTGATGACCACCGGTCTCCTATAATAGCCAATCCTTCTCCAGGGGGATAGTCCGGGGTTGAATTTTGGGGTAACTGGCCCCACAAGATCTCACTTTCAACTCCAAGTCGGTCGTCCAGGGTGGATGGCCTTCCCTCGTCGGCCAGATGTCGTTAACGTGATTTCAAAGCGGAGGCCAACTCAGGCCACCTTCGCGGAACTGGGGACCTTCAACATTGGTGTCCAGGAAAACTGAAGTCACGCATCTAGGCGGCAAAGAGGATATGTGACATCTGATACAGAACAGGACCCACATATTAATTGAAAAATATCCCATGCCGATGGTAAATTGAGACCCATTCTCATCAATTCCAATATGTTGGCCCGATTAGCCTTGGTCACGACATCTGCAATCGCTCTGCTGCTATGGCTGGCATACTCCTGGACCACAACCAAGAGACGAAATCTGCCTCCAGGACCGCCTCGCCTTCCAATAATCGGTAATCTTCATCAAGCACCTCAAAACTACCCGTGGCGCACATACCAGGAGTGGACGAAGCAGTATGGGCCAATCTTCAGCCTCCAGTACGGTCTCAACACCGTCATCATGCTGGGAAATCATGAAGCAGCACATCATCTCCTCGACAAACGAAGCAACATCTACAGCTCTCGACCACGAGTTGTCATGGGCGGAGAATGCGTCAGCAAAGGATTCAGACCCTTGCTCATGCCGTATGGACAAAGATGGCGCAATCACCAACGTCTTCAAGCGTCATACCTCAACATCCGAATCTCGCAGAGCTATCGTCAACTGCAAGACCTCGAGAGCAAGCAACTCATTTACGAATTACTTGATCCCCACGCCGACTTCTCGGACCGATACCATCGGTACTCATCGAGCCTTATCTTCGCGCTGGCCTACGGCAGACGCCTACCCAAAGGCGACGAATCCGAAGTCAAGGCCATCGACCAAGTGATGGAGAACTTCCTTTTCGCAGCGCGGGTGGGGACATGGATCGTCGACGCGCTCCCTGCGCTTAACTACTTGCCTGACTTCCTTGCACCGTGGAAACGGTATGGAGACGAACTTCACAAGTTCGAGTCAAAATTGTACATGGGCAACATGGCTCAAGGGCTGAAATCGACGTCGTGGAACTGGGCCAAGCAGGTCCAGGATATGAAAGAAGCCCAGGAAATGTCTCCCAAGGAACTCGCTTATGACGTAGGCATCATCTACGAAGCAGGCAGCGATACCACAACCATGGCGCTCGAAGTGTTCACATTGGCCATGCTTCTGTACCCGGACGTGATGAAGAAGGCTCAAGCCGAACTCGATTCCGTCGTCGGATCGACCACTTATCCAGGCTTCCTTGACAAGGAGCGACTGCCTTATGTTGATGCCGTGATCAAGGAGACGCTGCGTTGGCGACCAGTCTCCGCGGGCGGAATCCCGCATGCTGTCATCCAAGACGATGAGTACATGGGATACTTTATCCCGGCAGGCGCCACGGTGATCGGAAACCACTGGTCCATCCACCTCGACGAAGCTGTTTATAAGGATCCTGACACTTTCAACCCGGACAGATGGATTGAGGAACCCAATCTCCCCTTGGACACTTTCGGATTCGGGCGCCGTGTCTGCACAGGTCAGCATATTGCGAAGAATTCCCTATTCATCAACATCGCGCGGATTCTTTGGACATTTAATGTTGAGTATAAATATGAGGTGGAAAATGGCGTGAAGAGACGTTGTGAAGTCGACCCCTTTGCCTTTACCCAGGGATTTAATTCGCGGCCGTGCAAATTCAAGGCTGATTTCAGACTGAGAGATAAAGGGAGGGCTGATCTTGTCAAGCAACAGTGGGATGCAGCGGAGAAGAATCTGGATTCGATATTGGCCAGTATTAGGGCCGAGAATACGAAATAAAGAAGAGAGGGTAGACGGTAGCGGAAGGAAGACCTCAAAGTTGGCCGTGACTTGGAATTTGAACCCATCTGGGATAGTTGGACGTGGGTCCCCCGGCGTGGGATAACGCGATATACTCGTCAGCGTCTTGGAGACGGATATGGCAAATTTTTGCACCGAGTTGGATCAGTATGACGTTTGGTCTTCTGAAGGACAAGCAAGCGGATTTCCTTGTTGGAAGAGTGCAAGACTTGACACTGAAGTGTGGACGGGGCTGAAGATTTGTGCTGCGAAAAGCTCCGAGAAGCCTTTAAAATGTCGATTGAGCTTTTCTGCCGAACTTGATGGATCTGAACAGCCAGTAGGATCAAGGTTGTGCTTGGACTGTCAGCATTCTTTCTCCGTGTCTTCTGACACGGGCGAAGACAAGTTGCGAAATCATTCTGACAGCAAGCCTGATGTTTCCCTACTGAGAATCTGAGGTCTTGGCGCGCTAGCCTGAGATATAACGCGACCTCTCACTGCTCTTTCCTGGAAATCGGCGTGGACCAATCACATCCTTGCGCCTGGTAACCACGTGACGTGCCAAGGCTGCAGAGTGAGAACTCGCCCTGCATTGGACCTGCCTTGGAACTACACAATCCGCTTGATATCCAATCTCAACCTCTGGTAGAACCTCATTTCTACTCGAGATGTCGCAGCCATTAATTTGCCGTATATCGACGTGTTGCTGGAGATCGTTCTTTGCAGAAACTCGACCAGGAAGACAGTTCCATCGATCAATGGTCACGCTACAACGAGGTCCGGTCGAGAGGCTTGAAATTCCTTCTGATCTTCCTCCACAATTCTTTCCTCAAATACCTGAGAGATTCCGGCCAGGGAAAAGTGGGTCTTATTCCAAGTTTTCTATGCTCGGCACGATTCTGATCTATTCGCAGGCAAACGCGACATCGTAATACACAAACCTCCAAGATCCGAGGCCGAAACCTGCAAAGACCCTATATCCATTGTGGACAAGCAACAATTAGCTCTCCTGGATCCCACGGGCGCACGTTCCAGACTTTTTGATAAATCAAACAAGGATCGCGCAAGAGTTGGGGACGTCCTCTTAGCAACATTCAAAAATGGCGAGCCCGTGTCAGGAGTGATACTGTCCATCAAAGGCTCAGGGCCGCATACATCTGTTCTTGTCCGGAATCAATTGACGGGTATAGGAATGGAAATGAGTATCAAAGTGCATAGTCCCTTGGTCCAGAGTATGGAAATCGCCCAGAGAACCCCGAAGAGAAAGAGACGTGCGAGGTTGTATTACTTGAGAAAGCCGGAACACGACGTGGGAAGTGTGCAGAAGGTGGTGGATCAGTACCTGAGGCAGCGAGCTTTATTGACTGGTGGGAAGAGACCTGGTCAAAGAGGTGGTTCAAGGCCAAGGAGATGAAAGGATTGACCGAATTGGTTTCGATGTCGGTCTTAACATCGGTCGAGGACGCCAGATGCCTTGCGCGGTGCCTGAGTCTTTAGAGCTGGAGGTCACCATTCATCAGTCCATTGATCATACGGCAAGCCGGCGTGGGAGGACCAACTTGTGAAACATCATGTAAGAATATAGCACACCTTCTCCTTGACTGAGTTTGAAGTTTTGATTCAGGAGCACGTCTGAAAAAAAAAAAAAAAACCTGAACACATGCTATCACTTCAATGCCTAGGTCACGTCCGAGGCTTGAAGCCTTTAGAAAGCGTGATTCTGGAGCACCATTCTCAGACGTGGGCACAGTTTCTTGCCGGAAAAAAATAAAGAGCCTTCGCGCCCGTTTTCCGCACCGTTGACCTTCCTACTAACCTCCTCCCCTAGTAAGTGAGCGGTGAGGGAGGATCGCAAGAGGGTTAATCCTGTGCCATAGACCAAGTCAAAAACAATGCCAGAGAGGCTACCAATACACCCCTTCCTACAGCCAATGTCGCAACGGAGACCGGTATGCACGTCGCATCAAAAGACGAGAACAAGGCTAGATCTACATTGCAGACCCAGTCAAAGACGAAGTCACAGACACTACCAACGAAGACCTCGAAGCTATTGCAAAAAATGATCAGTATGTAGATCATGATGGAGGACATCATCTAAGCTAATCATCAACGTCACAGAACCGATCCGAGACAAAGATGCTGTTCCCACCAAGTGCTCTTGCCCTAACACCATCAATCCCGGTAGGCAATCCTGCCAAACTACGAGAGAAGATGATGAGAAGGACCATCTGTAGTCGCATTGGCCCCCAAGTTCAAAGGCTCATGCGCCAAAACATGATCCCAAATCTTGCCCATATCCTATCATCGATAGCATTGTCCAACTCTGCGACGTTTCTTGTGTTCACACTCGAGCTCAAGCTCTCGCCCAACTCGCAAACAAATACGACAGCAGCTCGAAGTTGTACTACCATCATCGGCTGAAACACTAATTTTTACTCTTGGATTGACGGAGCCATTGGAGCGGAGACAATAGTCAGATCGCCAGTTCCACTTCAGTGTTTTTCAGTCAGCCATAGGGCCATGGTAACGGCATGACAGGCGTGACTAAAATCTTCAATGACTTGTGGATTCAATCTAACCGCTGTTTGAATGAAATTCCAACCAATCGACGATGATGACGAATCCGAGCTGGATGACGATCTCCGATACCGGACTTCATGATCGTCATTCATGTGTCTGCCAACTGCATTAACCAAATTTCAGTCCTTCAATTGCCCAATTCTACTTGCTTTGTTATGGAAAAGGGTGACTTTTATGATCGTTACTAACTTTCCAAACTTAGTGCCCAACCGATGTCCTCTTTCATATCTGAGGCTTATATTGAAGCCAGATCAAATCCGACATGAACCACAGCTCTAAAGCAGAAGCAACGTGTGATCTTCATCGATCTGCACTTCGATATTATCCAGTGACGTCTTGCCCGATACCACAGGGGGTCCTTTAATGGTGATCTACAGAGAAATGACCACATTAGATTTTAAACACACATCGCCGGCCAAAGCGGATTCGAGACGATGGGAATATGAGAAAGGTACAACACTTACAGTTCCACGCGGGGTGTGGGTGCCCATCACGCCCTCATCACCGGATAGATGCACTTCGACGGAGCTCAAGGGTCCGCCGACACATACCTTGCTGCCTTTGTCGCGGTAGTCGAGGATGTTGGTCTGAGCGATGGCGCCGGCGACGGAAGGTGTGGTGAGGGCATACCCGATGCGGCATTTCAGGTGTGTGCGCAGGGTGTGCAGGGTGGATGAGGAGAGATGGGTCGCCGATGCCAGCGTTGTGGATTGTGGGATCAGCAGGATGCGCAGTTTGGAGAGTGCAGATGTGGACGGGTCGCCTGATTTGGCTGGTAAATTGCCGGCTTGGAGGGTGCGGGTGGACATGTATCTCGAGAGGCCAGAGGGGAGGGTTGTGGCAGGGTGCGACAAGTAGGATTTGACGGTGGGCGGTGAGGCGATGACGATGGTTGGGTTGGTGAGGGAACTAGCGTGGACAAGGTCGATGTCGTCGCCGGAGACGGAGTTGAGGGAGAGGGAGGCGTTCGAGTACAGGGCTGCCAGCGTCCAGCAGAGAGTGTAGCTGTCTGTGAGGCGTGTCGTGGGGAGGAGCGTGTCTGTTGGTGAAAGCTTGTGGGTTCGGGTCAAGGTCGCTTGGAGCGCGGCGGTGCCGGAGATGATGGCCTGAGACGAGATTGTCAGTATGTGCCCAAGAAAACGAACGATCGAATGTGATATGGAGATCGTGGGAGGCGTGGACGCACCTCGGATGAATACTTGACCAAGTCATAGCTTCCGCTGGCAGTGGGGTAGAACATCGACACGGGGGGAACCTGAGAATCTTTATCCAGAGGCAAGACTTCGGAGTTGGTAGTTCGTTTATTCTTCTCGACGAGTTCCTGCCATGAGCCGATGGTGTAACCGGCCGGCGCGTCCTCAGACCAATTCATATGCAAGCTGCCCGGCTTGGTGACCCAGATGATGGATTTGATGCCCTTGTTGGAAGATTGTAGGTCATCAAGGTCCAGCGTGCCGGCTTCAGCGATCACATGGTCGGCCGAGATCTTGGATAATAGCGGGTTGAGTTTTTCTTGCGGAACACCATATGGCAAGAGAATAGTCGAGAAGCCATAGAACGAGCCAGCTGAATTGAATTGAATTAGACACCGAAGACGGCATCATTTCATGGATAATGCGACATACCGAAGATTGACGATAGCAATTCCACCGAATTCGAAAGGCACACGGCCACAGACTGGCCGTTGTTCCGTTTTACGTACTGACCAATGACATTGATCCCCAGCGTCAAGTCATCAAGGCGGTGCTCAACAACTTTCTCCCGTCCGAGGACCGTCTGGATCTTGCCCTTTTCACCCGTCGGTGTACCGTCTTCCTTGACGGCGCCACGGACGGCCGCTCTCCAGACATCACGAAGGTCCCCAGGGCGGCCGGAACTCCATTTGGGGGTGCCAGGGTCCTTGACACCCAGGCCAGCGCGAAGAGGATATCCATGAGGAATGTCGATGGCGCGGTAGACAGCCGACTCACCGGGTTGACGGACCGGTGCTACCTGCGCTTGTCTGGCCAGGAGAAACGGATGAGTGTCAGGTTCCTGACCCGTAAGCAATGGATAGGTGAGGACCATGACCAGAATGATGACAAGGATGGTGGTGAAGATATTCCATGAGGAGAAGAATTCCGCTATTGCAGCGTCAAGTCTTTCGGCTGTGCTGGATGTCGACATGCTTGCTGCTTGATTATCAGAAAAATATACGTCGCGTTCGGAGATTGAATTAAGGATGTTGTCAATTCTAGCAGCAGGGACAGCGGAAAGTCCCATGTTCCCTCTTCCGAATCTTGTCGAAATCTTGGCAGTAGTAGACACTACTTAGTACTAATGGCCATGCTGCTTTTAAGTCACATACAGGCATATGGCCACGAAAACACTGCAGACGCCATTAACGTATTGAGAACGTGGTCCTTGAGCAGGTACTTGGCAGAACTCGAACACGCAGTGATCTTCAACCACCACCACTACTAATAATAATACCTCCGATCCTCTAATAAGTCGAGGGCATAACTCTGACCTCTCTGTTTCATCACTCGACCTGCTTTACGCCATTTCCTGCTGTGCCTGGTATCGTGCCATCTCACTGATCTTCTTACCTGGTCCAAAATGGCTTGTGGCGAGAAGGTGGGCAGCATCTCTCGCGGTATGAGTCCTTTGTTCGGCCAGAGGCCACACCATGTGAGAGCCCAGTTAAGTTCCCCCCACTTTCGAGGGATCATATAGGACTTCGATAGTGGTAACGTCAATGAATCCTTTACGTGTGAGCGGCGACATTTGGCCACCAGAGACGGAGCGAGGCTGTGAGGCTTGCTGTATTTGCTGAACGCCTGAGCTGTTGGGCTGCATGTTATTCATTCTCGTTGTTAGGTTGCTCACGTCATTGTTCGCCGCTGCTTTTCGTGGTGCCATAACATCCTCGATGAAGAAATTGTTGGGACTGCTTTTCCATTCGAAATCGGCGATGTCTTTTTTATTTTGGCCGAAGACAAGGGGGAGAGATTTCTTCCATTTGTTGGAATTTTATGGCATAACCTTGGATATCAAGAAAGCTGGAATATGATTCGGGAGTAAGGTATCCACTCTGGATCAGGTCAAGGTGAGTAAATATATCGTTGAGAAGAGACGCGAAAATTGGAGCAGTCTGATCGCTCTTGAACAGCGGTCCTAACCACTTGCCAGGGGATGGTCAGATATTGTTGGTGCGGTATCCCACCCGGGGGGGGAGAGAAGAGGGAATGATGGTTACTGAGAGCTTGTCGCTGGCAATCGCTGTGGCAATAGCGGCGGCTGAGGTGCTCTACCTGGTGGAGGCGAAAAGTAAGGTTCCCGCGACGCAGAAGAAGCCGCTAGTGGTGGTGATGATGGAGGTGGTGGTCGACCTACAGGATTTGGTCGATTCTGCGTGTCTTGAAAGCTGTATTCGACTACTCCCGGCAGAGTCTATTGTCTGCTGGACGAGTTCGGTGGAATTGATGAAGGGCATGTGTGCCTGTGTATATTCCGACCACCCAAATTGACGCACAAGTTGAAGTCTGGATGGCTTTGGCAGTGGACTCCTGGCCTCAGAGCTGGTATCTGTTCTGAGCAGCCATCACAAATAAATAGGGCAGGCAGCTGAAGCGTGCGGCTATTGTCAGTACCAGTTACGGCTAGTCAGGAGGCAGTACCGGCACTCATGTTGAACTTGGAGGTTGCAAATCGACTCAAGATTTGGATCGTTGTTCCGTCTGGGGAGAGACCGCTGGGTTACATGCTGAATTGCATTCGTCGCTGACTTCCAGCTTCGTTCCAATTTCCGCCAGTCATTGAGACTAGCCCGTTGGCAGAGCTAAGAAACGCTCCATTTTGGGAGTTCCGAAGGCTTGCCGTAGCATTTTGCCTTTATCATGGCTTTGAGGCATTGAACCCATTAACGGTAGAGTGCGAATTAGGTGGCATCAAAAGTCCGCAGATTTCAGGGCAAGGGAATTATCTCTTGTCACGTGACTATGGCGTGTTTTATTCGAATGTATAAGCTTGCCGCTTTACTGATACGTCCTTCGTAAATGGGAGTTCTTGGCAGAAATATAACGCAGGGAGATCATGTGACTTCGCCTTTGTGTTCGGTCGACCTTCCTTTGTTTCTCGGCTAAATTCCTTTGTGTCCTGTAAACCCCTTGAAGGGCAGTTCGTAACAAGCGGCTTGCATCTTGCATGGGCGTAAGAATAATCCAATTAGGGTTCTCGCAAATGGTGTTTTATCAAGAGGCAAATTATGATTCATGGACAGGCTGTCAAGGTACAGTCTGGCACACTTCGCCAGAACTGCGAGTAATTCATCCATTACCTTGGAGCATCTACACCTAGCTTCTTTATATTGAGAAAATTGTTCAGCCGTTGATGGACACAGGACACGGTGAAAGATTGTTTAAAGAACGATCGCAAAATATTCCCCAGGTATGCCTTCCCGAGGCGAACGCCAGCGCCCTCCTATCATGATGAACGTCACCCACAACCAAGAACGGAAGAGTCCCAAAGAGAATTTCTTGCGAGCAACCTGACTAATTCTGTGTTCTTATGAAATCTGTATCATCTCCACGAGGCAGCAGGATTTGTGACTGATGCCTAGTTTGGAGAGGTTTGGGTTTTAGGATTTTGAAATTAAATAATCAAGTGACCATATGGATTTGCATCTCCTGAACACTTGGGAAAAGAACTCATGCCCCGAACTTGAATTGGCTTGAGATATTCGGTCAACCAATTGGCGGAGACCGACGAGTCTCTACCTCCCACGTCTCTATAGCGAGGCCTCCTTCGACGTCGATGATACGACACTCTCGTCGAGACTGTGGCTACCCTTCACCAACTCCGGACCGAAGGGGAACGTCGTGGGCTTCCTCAGGACTGGTTCCTGACTCGCATGTTCCCAGAGATTGGCCGTGAAGTTCTTCCCCACGGCTTCGATCGGAGGAGTGAGGAGCGGTAGCGAAGCGAAGAGGGAACCGTAGCAGATGATTGCGACCAATAGACAGCAGAGCCAGTACGGCAGGCCGTATTCGAAGAGAGTACACATGGCCCAGGACCCAATAGACCAGAAGATGAACCCGTGAATGAGGTAGATTGTGAAAATGTGAGGGAAAATCCATTGGAGGAGCTTGTGGGAGAGGAGCTTTTGCAGAGCTGGACTGATTTCGACGATCGCTTGCATGCCGACCGTCGCCAAGAGAGCGTTGAGACGGGGAATGAAGTAGTCAGGGTACACCGCGTTGCCGGCTTGAGAGATGCTGAGGCCGGATTGTGTGTCGGGATGCCATCCGTATTCATAAGTCGCGTAACTGACATTGGTCCACTGGAAAACCAAGTCTATCGTGAAACCGCCCAGAGCGACCGCAATCAGGAACCAAAGGAGGGGATAATACACCAACGGCCGCGCGTGAAGCCACTTTTTGTATTGGTAGGTCAGGTCGAGGTCGGCGAGCATGACTCCGGCGTAATAGTAGGAACCCCATGAGAGGCCATACCAGTGGTTGCAAATGCAGAAGGCATAGAATGCAAATCTTTTCCAGGGAGTTTTGCATTCCTTAACCATGATTAAGGCGAGGAGGGTTTGCCACGCGCCTTGGAGTTGGACAGGAATAGTCCAGAGGACACCGGTACAGTCTTGAGACAAAAAGGGTCAGCGGAGCGAACGTGATAGATGTCCAAAGCGAAAAAGGACTTACAGGTATAGGTGATCATCGGGGCGGCATTGGGGATCAAGAAGGCCAATTGGATGATCTGACTGATGAAGACACCCGGGTTGGCGACAATTACCGCGTATGGCCACGTGGACCAAGTGACACTGGGAAGATACTCCAGGTAATGGAGAGCACCGGAGTCCATCAAGAAGTATTCAAGTAATGCGATCGCGGCGACGGGCGTCAGAAGACGAAAGGGCCGAACCACAATCTTCTGCGCCATGTTATCAAGTTTTCCGGTTCGAAGGTAGTTGGAGACAAGGAAGCGTGTCGAGATCATCAAAAAGGGCCCAATCCATAGCGCATCAAAGATGTAGGTGGCAAATGTCTTTCGGGCCCACATCTCCGACGAGTAATGGTAAGGCACTCCGGGTTCGATGACGGCAGGAAAGAACGTCAGAGCGAAGTGATTGAGTGTAACAAGGATGGCAGACAACGCAATGAAGCCAGCCAGATAGTCGACGCGCTGCGCTGGAGGAGGTTTACCGCTCTTTTCTCCAGTTTGGGGCTGGGTGGTCGACCGAGCCGCCTTGACCTTAGGCTCTGGCTTCTGGAAGAAGAGGCTGGGGTTGCTACCATGAGGTATGGTGGACAAGCCGTGCCGCCTGGGCGTTGACGCGTCAGGACTGGCGCTGCTAGGAGTCAATGGGCTACGAGAAACTGCCTCAGGGGCAGGTGTGACAACCTCGGTGTCGATACGAGCAAGGAATGGGTTGCGGTCTTTGGCGAGACTAGTTTGAGACTTGTCCCCGTAGAATTCGCTCATGTTTCTTGGTCTGTCGCGAGAATCGCCGCGAGGGCTCAGGTTCTGGCTCTCTGAGGGATTCGATAGTCCTCGAACGTGGGCATCGGTGGGTCGAATAGTAATGTTGTATGAGGAGTTCTTGCGCGATGGCCACCGAGAGCTGTTGGGAGTTTGGTACTCAGGTGCAGGGGTGTGCATCCCCGAATAAATGGGCGGGCCTGCATGGAAGCTTTCATATGAAGCGTTTCTGGGAAGTTCTGACTCGGGACCAAAAGACTCGATACTTCCCGCGTTGCTCCTTATTATTGAACCTGAGCTCGTTGACGCGGTCTCGGTCATGTCTGCCAGTTTCAAATTTATTTGTGATCCGGTAGCCATTCCTCCATGCTCGTGTTCGGAGTCTGGCTTCCCTTTGAACTTTTTGCGATAGAATCGCCGCCACAACGTCTTTGTCACCAGGACAACAAAGATGCCCCCCATCACGACGTCGATCAGAATAGGCACCCAGGGGGCATGACGCCGGTCAGGGGTTTGGTGCCATTTTTTCCGAGCCTCTTTCGAATATGGTGTTGATCCTCGAAGGGAGTTGTCCGACGCGGGACACGCGTCCGCCGCCGTGCATTTCGCATCAAAGTCCTTTTTCTCATCTTTGGTCGTCAAGGATGAGTTGAAGAAATGTCGTGTCCAAGCGACATCGGCTTCCGTTCGGTTCTGTGGAGGACCTTGCGTGGTATACCGGTTTCCCACGCTCCAGTGTTTGTATTGGATGGCAGCCGGCGTTGAAGGCAGAGTGTGATTCTCCTTCTTGGTGTAACTGTGGCGGAGCTTGTTGCCGATGTAATAATCGATCTGTTCTCGTGACCAATCGACCCGATACTCGGTATAATACCAAGGATTCATGCTCTCATTGAGCAGAGTGCTGAAGTTCGTCCCGAGCCAAGTGTTTGCAAAGACGTTTGTGGCCAAAAAGCTGACCCATGCCTGGCTGTGGTTATTGGTGTTCATGACATCGAGGCTCCAACTCTCGGTCAGGTTGTGATGGAGGACCATCGACATGGCTGATCCGTCAAACCACTGACGGGGTGGGCGCATCGATGCTCTGAAAGATCCGAAGAAGATATCTTGACGTTGCGTTCGAACATTCGCTCCCATGACAAGATGCTCTGGAGTCGATGGGTCTAAGAAAAGCTGGAGGGCGGTGAGATTTCTCGCCGTCGTGTCATTGCCCACATTGACGTTGTTCTTGGTCGCCCCTTGACGGTACAAAGTGTTCCATCCAAAGTCCCGCATATGCTTGTAGTTTTGGATCACGTATTCTTCCTCTGGAAAGCCGTCCGTCTCATTAAAGTAGACGATTTGGGCGTCGGTATAGACGATGTCCGCTTCTGCGTCGTAAAACCCACACAGACAGTCGGATACATCTTTCGTCGGTGCTGCACTTTGCGACGTGACACTCTGGAAGAAGCCCCAGCAGAGGGCAGCAGAAGTGATGAGGGACTTCATCGTCCGCCAGCTCTCGTCAGCAAAACTGGTGGATGCAAATTCTGAGGCTCAGGAAAAAAGCCCGGCGCGGATAAGAGATGTTGAACGAATATGACCCTTGGCATGGAATATCACATCTGCCCGCTGGGTGAAACACGTGAACGAATGAATGGACGACGAGGGTGGTTGAGAAAAGGCTTCGACATCTCCCTTTCTTCCTTCATGCGAGAGCACCATATCAACATAGATCGCCACGGAGCCCGCAATCCGGATTGAAAAGCCCCATGTCTTATCAAGAAAACCGAAAGGCTGATAACGAAAGAGGGAGTTCACCTGGACCTAGAAAAATACAATGTTCTGATCTGCAGCACGGTCCAGTCTGGACGGGTAAACTAGCATGGTAAGGTTATCCGTGACGAACCAGTTTGGGCTTTATCAGGATTCCATCTCGCCAGCTTGAAATTAACTTCCTGTACCTGTCGATCGAAAAATGGGTCGTATTATGGTGGGGTCTTCGGGCATGACCGATACGTCTGCAGACGCGGACACGCTGAAACAGATCTAGGCTGTTGTGAGGACAACGAGACGTGGATCCAAAAACTCACTCATGATTCGGCCGGCCCCAGTCAGGCCAGGCATTTAGACCCGATCTCGCTAAATGACAAGTGGCTGTAGAGACGCGCGGCAGATGGAATCTCTTGTGTACCAGTATACAGACACAACACCCTTAATCTGGTTGCATCCTGATGACTTGAACCCTTCAAGCGCGGGATTCCTATAGAGATCGCCGCAAGTCTTTTTCTTCTCAGTCACACCATACATACAACGATAATCTCGTATGGGCCCCCGAGAGATTCTTTTGGCACATGTTCTGACTTTCACATGCGATTTGCAGAGGAATTTGGATCAGCATATTGTTTGTCATTAGTATATTGCGGAACAGGCTATGGGTGGTATTCTTCTCGGGAATTCACCAATCGGACGGGTCCATTTATCGAGCAGCCTATTCAACCCCTGGTTTTCGCCCCGTTCGATCAACAGGGGGGGGGTTGTCGCCCAAAAAGAGTCGCTCTAACTTTGCTGGACGCCCGTGGGGCTTTGTGAGGGTTCTTCGGCCGCGTGTTTGGCATTTCACATGGTCCATTGACAGCTGCAATGGATTACAACAAGAAAGAGATTGCGACAATGTCGTCTGCTGAGGATTGGCGGAGCGGTGGGTCAGTCGAGATAACCAAACGTGACGAAGGACAGAACCTTTCAACCACGCAAATTGACTTCCTCTTTTCGGAGAGTGGATACCAGGGAGTATGGTCTCGCCCCAAATGGGATGTGAATGTCTGTGCGTTCATGTGGATCACGCTTGAAAATCATACCCTAAATGTGTAATTTGATGGAGGCTTCTAGTTCTCCGAAGTCCGCTACCAGGGGCTCACCATGCACCGTCTTATGCCAAGACGGTCCGCCGTTTGCTTGAACCTGGACGTCTCTCACTCCACTTCCTTATTCTAACGTTTGGCATTGTGGACGACAACCTCGGCCGGATCACAACTGGACGACTCACTGTTTGCTCTATCGCCCAGAAGGTTTTCATCACTACTATCACTATCCTGGAAATAGGGCCATTTCTTATCCATGGCCGGTCTTGCTGAGCCCACATCAAATATCGCCTCATCTGCAATTCTCACATGGGAATGTTTATCCGAGTGAAGTCCTAAACCTGGAAACAGGGGGGTTTGTTGTGGGTGGTGCGATAAACAGCCAATAAATTCTTCCTTGCAGCGCGGAAAGGGTGATCGAAAACAGCAGACCCTTGCCATTTTTGCTCTTCATTTCGGCGATTTGAGGTCCTATCGCTTTCGTCGGACTTCCCTTTCGTAAGTGGGGTACGTTCTTCAAGCATTGGACCACATCTCGAGTTGTCAACCAGCCTTACTGGACCGCTTTGTCACAGTGTTACTTCTTTCCGTCGACAAGGAACCTACCATGTCGTCATGCTCTCCTCGAGATTAGTTGGAGCATCCTTGAAGGAATGATCAGCATACAGATAGAAGCAGATTCCACTAAGATGGCCACCACACCTGGCGGGTCAGTGCTGCGAGAGAGATGTGCAGAGGATGTGGCTAGAAGCCATAACGGCATCTCGAGAGTTTGAGGCTCACACGTCTGCCTCTGTCAAGTAGGGACGATTTTGTCACGTTTACTTCCCGACTTGTTCTTCCCAGTCTTCTCACAAACTTCCACTCGTTCCTTCTATATACAGCCATTCGTTATTCGATTTTCATTCATTTGTTTTCTATCTTCTTCTAGCAGGGGTGTGTCACTATCAGATTATTCATCTTCTTTTTGGTTTGAACAGAAGCAGACCGTGCAATCCACTCCAGCCATGGACAAAGGGGCTCGTGTTCTAACCACCAGGATTACCGACAGCGAAGGCGACATCTTCGACCACGGTACCAAACGCCCTTCCCGACTACGGCAGTTTGGCAAAGGAGCCTCCAGTCTCGGCCGTGACATCAAATATTGGTTCGACACAGCAACTGATGCGGTTCAAGAATGGACACCATTTTTCTTGGTCCTGTCTTATTTTATCTTCTCCGTCTGCGTCTACATGGTGGCTACACCTGGGGTCACCAAGGTGTTCTGGTTCGTCTATTTGATGACGAATACCTACATCGCGTCGGCGACGGTCGTGGAAGCATTGATGAGTATCGGTCCATATCACAACGCCAAAAAGGCGGTGGAGAAGATGGCGAAGAAAAATTGGACGTTTCCGACGCCCGACGACGAGTTGTTGACTTTGGACATCTGCTTTGTCGCGTATCTGCCGAATGAACAAGATATCATTCTGGACAGAATCTCCTATCTACTCGCAAAGATTGTCTATCCAAAAGAAAAGCTTCGAATCATCATGCTGTACAACACCCCCTACCCGATTGAACCTTTGGAAAGCCAGATGCACGATCTGGCTCTCAAGCACAGCCAGCTGAAGGTCATCAAGGTCCCCCACTCCAAGTCCAAAGCCGACAATCTCAATTACTACTGCTCGTTGGAAACCTTTGCAGATGTCTCGGCCATCTTTGATTGTGATCACTATCCTCATCCGTATGGTCCCAGATGGGCGATTGAACGTTTCATGGCTGATCAGAACATCGAAACTGTGCAAGGCCGATGTGTGGTCTTCAACTCGGATGAGAACTTGATGACCGCCATGATCTCGGTCGAATTCGACAAGATTTATGCGGTGTCGCACCCGGGTCGAGCGTCCATGTTTGATTTCGGTCTTTTCTGTGGATCCAACGGGTACTGGAAGACATCCCTTCTTCGCGACCTGAAAATGGATGGCAGTATGTTGACCGAGGATATCGATTCAGCCCTTCGAGCGTTTGGCAGGGGCGCCAACGTGGTGCACGATTTGAACGTGGTCTCCTACGAACTTGCACCGACGGCCTGGCCGGCGTTCTGGAAACAGCGTCTCCGATGGTCTCAAGGCTGGGCTCAAGCCAGCTACCGTCACATTCACCTGGTCTGGTCACGTTCACACCCGGAAAGAAAACGGACTCTCATCCAGCGCTTCGGTCTCCTGTCTCTCCTGTACATTCGAGAGTCTAGTTACTACCTCATTACGCAGTACTTCTGTCTCGTCGTCAGCCTGGTTATCACGGACTTCCCTCAATCTGGAGACGATTTACTTAAGTTGATGTTCTTCCAGTACCCTGTGGCTTACTGGTTGTTCATCCTCAGGTATGGAAGCTGCCTTTCTTTCGATTTTGGAAAAGCTTCCCCACCCACAGTTTGGCTAACTTTTCTTCACTAGTTTCATCTGTCTGCTTCTGACGCTCTATATCACTTTCCACACCAGGTCCGAATTCGTGCGTTGGTGGATGATTCCGGTATTCACCGTCACATATCCCGTTCAGCTCCTGCTCAACGCCGTCATGGGTCTGTTTGGTCACGCTCGACAAGTGAGCAAGTATGTGAAGTGGAACCCCACACCCCGGGCCTAAGCTGGGCTGGTCAGCCCAGCTCGATTATTTTTCAGGTTTACGAGTATATAGAAGGGGTGTAGGCGTCTGTCTGAGTGAACTGGATGGGTTGTTATTAGCAGTGGTATATATCCACACAACCTCCGCATACTTGACCAGAGGTATACGGGAATACATGAATAATATAATATTGTACATGTTCTCTCAAGAGTGGCATCTGAAATTCTGACTGCCCACGACGGGGTAGTCATGCAACGACCTGTAGAGAAACGTTGTCCCCAAAACACCGTCCGTCGCTTAAAATGTTGGTTTTCCGAGTATATGGGTAGAATCCCATTTCGGTAAGGCTCATCATCGACTCTATACCCCGACTGAGTCGAAATGGTCCCGTCTTGGCCGCTCCAGCCCTAAGGCTCTGTGGCGCACGAAAGGCAAATCCCAAACCCCGATGGGCTTGGCTTCTTGAAGCAAACCCACATCTTTGCGCTCTCAAGCCACCCGACAGATCAAAAAGGGGAAAACTTGCAGATCATATCCCGCTCAAGCATTTGACCAGAGAGATTAAAATAATGCTCTAACCGTAACACAAGCGGTAAAGTTCCTTCTTCCGGTGCCTGCCGTATATACTGTATGTGTCTTGGTTCTTGCAGAAAACTCAAACTTTTCAAACCGACCTGGGTCAGGGAGGAAGAAGAAGGGGGAGAAGAGATGATAAAGTTTGGGCACCGGTAAAGACAAAAAAGGATTGTTTTCGAGATGGATTCTGGAAGCCAACGCGTCATCTGGCTTGACACTTTCAAATCCTGATGAGCCACATCATGAGTAGTCTTTTCCTTTTCCCGTTTGTGATCACATTCGATAGCTCCGAGGTGCCACCGAGTATGTCTAGGAGCGGTATAAAAGTTTGTCGGTAGTGGTGATGATAGAGGAACCTTCCAGGACAAGGGCCATTGATCGACAATCTTTGAATGCTTCTTACGTTTCGGACTCTACGTTATTGAAATGTTACGACCAAGGTAGTGCCCACGTCATGAGGATTGATAATGTGATTCGATGTGAAAGCAGGAGAGAAAGGACAAGCTTTGACTAGGAAGACATAGGATCGGATGTTCACAAATGCTGCCCGAAAATAATGCAAGTTTAATCCACATCCGTTCGCCGAACCACCCTTTCCGGTATCCCTGTAGGTGAGCCCACTTCCCACCAAAATGGTTGAAACATGACAGCGGCCCCATCGGCCCCTCAGGCTCTTCTTTCAGCTGCCTTATGCCCGTTCCAAGGGCGCGGGTCCAAAGTCTATCCAAGTCTCCAAACATTCTGCACCAGGTCTTTTTTCTGTCGAGTTGTGAACGCATTCCTGACTCAGTAGTCATCGAAGACGAATTTCTCGTATTGTCCAACATCATCGCCGCTCTCTCCTTGGCGCAGGTGTTAGTGGCTAGAACCCCCCTGCTAAGCGTATGCACAAGAAAGCCACTCCCCATTTACCCGAACTGATCAGACCCACTCCCCTGCGATGCCAGGGGCTTTCAGAAACGCAATCAATAGCGCACAAGGGCCCATGTCGACCTTGCCCAAATCTCTCAGATATCAAGTACCTGATCATCATGACCTTGATCCCCGCTGCTAGCATAATTTAACCGAACGCTATCAACAATCTGGTAATAGGTGGGGAAAAGAGTGATATGATGCATTATGATCGATTACGGATCGTCCAGCGTCACTGCGATTTTTTCTGCTAGCGATCCATTCGGACTCTCAATTCCCCTTTAACACGAAACGAGTAGTTCACGAGTCTTGTGTCGGTGATTTGCACATCCTCATCACATGCCAGGGTTTACGTGCTTACAGCCTGACGTGACCTCGCGTCGTCTTTTTTTTGGGACCTTCGCCCTGTGTTAACAAGGCGGCCGCTGCCGACGACGGAATTTTCACGACCTGAATCTATTACCACCTTCGTCGTTTACGGTCTGCAGGACATCAACAGCAAAGATGCCTCTCCCAGCCATACCTGACGAGGTCAAACAAGTCTTCGGAAAGTACAAAACTTTCAAAGCGTTCATACCAACCCAATATGAGCAGGAATATCTCTACGGGGTCCGCGGCGTCTTGTTGATTGAGACCTTTCTGTGGATGTTCCTGCAGACTTTCGTACCCGTCGCCGTCGCAGGCAGTCAAGACACCAATGGCAGACTGTATCAGCGAATACTGCGGAAGACGCTGTCGGTGCTCTTCTGGAACGAAAACTTGCTCTACGGTTCCATCATCTTCCTGTCCGCTCGCTCCATCGCCATCCCTTTCCTCAAGAAGCCGTGCAAAGAGCAAATCGCCAGATCCGTCATGACCCGTGGGATTACCTTGTGGTTCCCCGTGGCGGTCGCCCTCGCCATCGTCAAATTGGCCTTCACCGGCATGGGCCTTCACTACATCTACGAATTCAAAGAAAGCACCCGAAACCATTCCATGGCCGTCCCTTATGGGTTACCCAACGCTTTCGCCTACTTTAACTCCGTCTTCAACCTATTCTGGACGACTCGCAACTTCAACGTCCAAGCCGGAAGCACTGCCTTCCCGACGCAAACCTTGTGGATCGTCAACGCCATCTACTCGCAAAGCTACACCGTCTATATGACCATGGTCATCATCCCTTACACACGCTCCAAATGGCGGGTCCAAGGTGCCATTTGCTTCATTCTCGCGGCGTGGTGGGTCCAATCGTGGGCCTGGTTCACCATCTCTGGTCTCCTCATCTGTGACATGGTCATGAACATGAACTTTAAAGCCAAAGCGCAAGCTGGCATTCCCTTGGTCTTGCCATTGGGAGCATTCAGAAAATCTGATGGTTGCCCGAGAAGAATCCCCGTCTGGATCCCCGCGGCCTTGTGTATCACGGGGGGATTGCTCATGCAATTCCTGTGGACGGCATGGAGGCCCGACCTTTTGAACAAGGAGTACTTTGCCCACAGCAACATATACTATACCGCTGGGCTGAACTACGACTACGAAGAGCATCACACACAAGCCAGAGCCGATAACTATTTGTACCTCGTGGGCTTCTTCCTGCTCCTTGAGACGTACCACGTCGTACAACGAATTTTCAACAACCCCTTCCTGAAATTCCTCGGCAAGCGATCGTTGAGTAAGTCAATTCGGAGATCTCCTGCCCAATATCTTCCTGTCCTTTGCTCTCCTTTTTCTTATCCGCCAACTAATCAACTCCACCGCCACAGGTTACTTCCTCATCCAACCCATCATCATCTATACCGTTGGAATCAAGACGTTTTCCCAACTCCGCTCCCAACACGTCAATTTCGGAGGATCGTGCACGGTCACCCTCATCACCTGTCTCGTCATCATTGTCCCCCTCGCAGAGCTTTTCTACCGATGCGTGGAGATTCCCAGTAAAGTAGGAGCACACAAATTTTATGATTTCATTACCTCTTGAAGAGGGGGTGGCCGTGGAAGAGGAAAAATGACTGCAGATGGCGGAGAACATCGAGGACACCATATACTATTTACTACATTCCTGCCGTTGAATAGTAGACATCCCTTCCTACCACTTTTTGGATCGAGTCCGAGGGCCAGCAAGGGGCGATGGGAGAGTGCGAACTCGGCACTTTGAAGGGGGGATACCATAGAATATGTACATTTCTAGAACATTCATCCTATAGATATATTATATTATCCTCTACGTAGACAGAGATCGACACGGGCGAGATGGGAAATATCAGCCACTTCGAATTCGAGTATGTGACGAGTCCTGAATTAACTACAAGTAAAGTACACCCGTCCGTCATTGAACTAGCGTGTTACTTTGATCTTCTCCTATACTCGAAATCTGCCACACAATTTGTCTAATGTGGACATCTTGGACACACATCTTTTGAGGTTTAGTTGGGCGGTTTCACTACGATGCGGAGGTTCATGAAAAATACACTGGAGATGCGATGATCTCGATAGCGGCTTCGACGATGCGAGGCAGAGATTCTTGCAACTACAAGCGCAATTGCTGGTCCAGAGATCCTTCCAGAAGACAGAAAATATACTCCGACAACAAACAGACAAGACGTTTCCAAAGCAACATGCCACCAAGATAAAGCATCTTATAAAATTCACTTTTGAAAAGACATCCCGCAGCAATGAAAGATCCGCGCGGTTGCGAGAGCTGGAGTGCAATGCGTTGAAACTCTGTGGAGGACAACAGCTGACGGGATAAGCCCATATCGAACATCGACCTTCGAAGCGGAAAAGTGACGAAGGTACGTACCTCTCTCTCTATCCGTCCTTCTATGACTAAGGATACACAGTGTCCAGTGGACAACAAGAAGAGGGCAATGGAATGCATCCGCCAACTAAAACGTTTGTTAATCTACCGATTTGTGAGCAGGACTCACTCGGAGTAACTAGGTCCACAACGAATCGTACCAGCTCTGCCGTCTTCGAGTTATGGTAACTATAATCATCTCTCTATTCGAGCAACACTTATTTTGTGATAGACCAAACCCAGAACTGCGGTCACCAGCAGGAGGTGAAAACGCCCGCCTTGATGAGTTGGGCCAGACTACCCACCGACTTCTCCCCCTTTACCTCCTCGCTCTGGATCTGTACTCTCCGCTCCTGCACGAAATTCTGACACAGCAATCTCAACTGCTGCACCGTGCGAATCTGATTATACGCCGTACGCGGTAGGAGGACCTTGGCCACGCGCTCGCCGAGGATCAAGTACGCCATAGCGAGATTGCGTACCTGCGGGGTGAGTGAAGTAAGTTCCTCATACAGTCGCACGATCTTGTCCTCGGAGTGTTCAAGGGAGTTGAAGTCGCGGCCGAGCCCAGCTACGCCGATGATGTCAAGGGTTGCTTTGGGGGCCTAGTATTCGATGTCGGTGACACCTGTGGGTGGCTTAGAGTCGCCGATCAGGCGCTGTTGGTTGAAGACCTGTTTGTCGATGGCGTGGGTCATCTGCACGGCCTTGGTCCAAAACAAGGGGTAAAGTTCTTTGATCTGGCGAAAGGCGAAGCTAGGCAGACTATGTTTGGGCTGAAGTTTATGCTGTGCTCCCTCGGCAACGACAAGTCCATCGCCAATGACCGACCTTAGAAACGCTCGTCCCTTTTCGGTCTTGGGAAAATCGTATGACTGGGTGACCAGGACCTCGGCGAAGGCTTTGTGCTGGTCAATAGAACTTGGTCGGCGTTGAAGACTCCCTTTAACCGGATAAGACCATCGTTAGGGATTTCCTTTGTGAACTTGTCATATACCGAGCCTCGGGGCATGCAGAATTGAGCCATGACATGGCCCAAGATCGGGTGGGCGCCCTGTTATCGTGAGAAGCGTTATATGACCCAAAAGTCGGAAGGAACGCTTAGATCCATGTCTTACCGGTGCAAGTGGGAGATCCCGAAGCGCACTGACAAAGTTTGGATAGATGAAAAGGATGTAGATTAGCCATATCACGGAGTCCAAGACTGCGAAAGCGAAAAGGGCTCCGGAGAGGCCATAGCTTGGAGCATATTGAGGAGCAAACGAGACAAGTGCAAATGATTGCACGGCACTCGCCAAGAGTAACAATACCGGTGTGGGAATCATGGCGAAAGATGTTATGGAAGGTTCCAAGAAAGTGCTCATGTGGCCATGATGGATGAAATATATCAATGGTTTCAAGCGAGTCACTAGCTGAGTATATTCAAGGTTTTGGGTGCAAAAGAGCTGGATACCTTTTGCTGTCCCTTTAGCTCGCTGACCAGCAATACGAAATACGGGCCACAAAATTCGTACTGTACAATGTGGGCCAGGTCTCGGTTAGAAAAGAGAAAGATGTGATTTGTCCCCTTGTGGAAAGTGTTGCATATAGCCGTTCATGTTTGAATATGAGAAACCCATCCTTCTGGGGCAAAGGTGGTAGGGTGTGATAAGACGGGCGGGACAATTGTTCATGGACGCCGTTTCAACTTACCTCATGGAGCTCATTGCGCATCCCTTGTAGGGCTTTTCACTGATCGTACTTCGTTCACTCCATAGACACTACCTGCAGTCACATGATTGCAACGAAACAAACACCCTCGGTATATACGAAGATGGCGGCGAGTTATTCCTCCGGCAGGATCTGAGTTGGTATGCCAGTACCACCAGCCTGCGATTTTTGAGGTTCTTGCTCAGGAGCGCTAACGAACGATGGAGCTTGAATCGAGGTGCTCGCACAGCAGATGGTTCGTATGGTACGACTTCGGCCACTGGAGGTTCCTGACTGGAAGGTGATTGGATCGAGTGAAGCCTAGAAACCGAGGGCAAGGTCGTGGCCTCGCGAAGTCTTCCAGGAAGGGCAAAGCGGCAGAAAGTGATCCAAGGCACTGATCCCGTCGTCTCTCATTCGCAGATTGATATGTTGGAAGAGGTACTCGTACAGTAGACCGCGAAGGAGCGTTGAGATACCTGGGGTATCGTCGCAGTTGGTTGGCAGTCAAACGCAGCAAATGAAAATCTACGCGAATCAATGACGCGCCGACTGCGTCTCCAACCCCAAAAAATTCATCTTTTTGCGCAGGACTTGCACAGCGTCCGCGTGCTTTAATCAACACCCACCCTCTTTCCTTCCCTGAACCCAAGTCGCCCCTCCATTTCAATGAGAGGCCCCGAAGTGCGACTTCTCCTCGCACATCATGGACACGCTTCATTAAACCCAAGGCTCACAATATATTTAATCCGGCCACCGAGATTGACTCTGCGATCGTCATTCAAGTTGCCGACGACATGTGGTCTTATCGGCCATACCCAGCGAGCCCTTGCCTCGACGAGTACTACCACAAGTATTGGGTCTCGAACACCCTCCTCCCCAGCATCCTCCTCTTCAGCTGACTTAACCTCCTCCACCCGAACATCATCCTTCCAAGACCTCCAAAGCCAGCACGATGAAAAACACCCTACCACCGCCAACTCCTCTTATCCTCTCATCTTCCTGACAAAGAAGTTCGTCCCTACGCACCCCATCTTCTGGTCAGATGGCCTCGAAAGCACACTGCCTGCAAAACTCACGACACCCGAACCTCTTCGGAAGGAGGATTTTCCCAACCAGCAAATCCCGTTTGGAAACCAGGCGAAGTATTACTTCGAGCTGGGGAAATCCTATGCGGGCTTCTACAAAACGGGCTTGGTGAACGTGTGGCGGAATTACAAGGAGTTGCAGACAATCCGGCAACGGGTAGGCAGGACACGGGGACTGGAAGATGTGGTCAAATACGGTCTACCCCAGGGCGCAAAGTCAGTACCCGTCCTGACAAGAACCGACTACCAACTAGCTCTACGAACTCAGCACGATCTAGGAAAACTGATCCCCTTCGGCATCATATTCATCATCTGTGGCGAATTCACACCCATGGTGATCGTTGGCATCGGCTCCGCCGTCGTGCCGTATACATGTCGTATTCCGAAACAAGAAGAGAAGGACCTTTTCCGCCCCGTGCGGATACAAGACAGGTATAGGACCCTACTGGACAACCTAAAATCCCAAGGCGCGGCGGCTCAAAAATGGCAATTCGAATTTCTCGAGGCCTGGTGGCTGCGCTTGAATCCGTTCTCTAAACCCTTTCCCGTGCTTGGATATCTATGGCACAGGTTCATCTCGGGTCCCCGGCTGCGAAAACACTGCGAACAGGTCCTCTGCGACACAATCTTGATCGTGCGAGAAGGCGGGTTTGATAAACTGAGCCCGCGCGAGGTCTTTTTGTGGAGTCTCAAACAGGGTTTGCCAATCCTGACCCATTATGTGGAACGGTTGCGCCTACAGGGGGATACCGTCGATCCTGATTCGCCTAAGTTAAAGAGGATATTGCTTCCCTCGGTGGAAGCTGAGGCGGAGCGTATCCTCAGGGTCGATTGGAGACAGGTTCGACCGGAGGATCACTGGCTAGCTGTGTTCAGCCCTGGTCTATTGCCTCAAGTAAAGCACGGAGTGTTTTGGGGCTTGAAAAACAAGCCAGAGATATAGCGACAGGATCATTGGAGGTACTCACCTCCTGCGCCACGAGAAGGTGCCTCCTAAGCAGGGTCCGATGGTGCAGGTACGCGTCGAAGCAGGAGCAATTGTATCAGCATGTATATTTATTCTACATACAAAATTGGCCTGGCAACGAATATGCGGTTGGTGTCCTTGAAGTATACCCAATCTCCAACGCCTGAAATACAGGGAATACCCAAGAATGAAAGAATGACATGGTTTTACAAGCATGAATCTTTCCGGGGCTCTATATCGTAGTACAACGCCGTATTCCTCCAGCTTAACAAGTAGTCCAGGCTATGAGTCAGTGCTATCAACATCACGCGCCAAAGGATCCTTCGATGAACGACCCATGCGGTCCCATTCCGTACACCTGAGGCATATCCGCCCGAGCAATCTCCTCAAACGTCTTCCCATCAAGCGCAATCAAGATACTGTGCGTCCCTTGCTTGTTGACCACGATAGTCAAGACCACGCCGTCGTCTTCCTCGGTCGCCCCGGGGCGGCCCACAAAGATGGGCTCACAGGGACAGCTCTCGCCATCGGTGGGCTGCCACCGCTTGAACAAGCCCGTCGACCAGTCCGACTTGGCCAGGCTGCCAAAGAACGCCGCCTGCACCACTTTGAGTCCGTTGCCCAGTCGTCCGATGGGCACTTCCGTGCCTGGTGCGGCGCCGCCGTTGCCGGCCGTGAAGTACACGTATCGGTAGCCGGGCTTCATGGACACATCTTTTGCGATGCGCGGCAGCTCGGCGGCGACGCCTGGGATTGCGGCTGCGACGGTGACTCGGCCTGGTGTCTTTGGGTTGGCGGCTTGGGCCTTGATGTTTGCGAGCTCGTACCGTATCAGAGTCCCGTCCTGGAACGGCCGTGCCGGGTCTACGATGTTGCTGAGATTGTACTCTCGGTAGGGAACGTAGGTCCCCTCGTAGCTGCACAGATCGACGTGGATGTTGACTTCGTTCGTCTTGGGGTCGACGTAGTCGTACGCGTTGACCGAGTGGAAAAACATGAAGCCGTTGCCGTTGTATGTCGCGACAAGTTCGCCCGAAAACTTGTCCAGCACGAAGAATTGAGTCGGCGAGTCCGGCTCGTATTCGATCATGTGCATGAGCTGTTTGGTCATGTCACTGACATCCATGTGCAGAGGCTGCGCCAGATGTTATGTTAGCTGCATATACTCCGAGAAACCATCTACAGCGAAGAGAGTCAAGACTCACATTTCGAATAAAGACGACATACTTGTCCGTCATGGCGAGCGAGTGAATATAGCAAGGAGGACAGGGCAGCGCCGTCTTCCACAGGACCTTGACCGGATTGGACCGGATGTTCATGCCAAAGACGTACATGACGCCTTCATGCGAGATGAGATAGTTGTACGTCGTGCCGCGGGCGCGGTCTTTGGGAGGGTGTGCGCAGATGCCGTACCCGGACAGCTGGTCATCGATGTGCCCGTAGTTGAGCATGCGCTTTGGCATCAGCGTCTTTGCATCGCAGACTTGAAGCATATTGAAGTCCGTATGCACGAGTACCTTTGAAGAAATGTGTCAGCGATCGTTCCGTTGTAGGGGCCTGATGGCGATTTACCTCTTCAGTCTCTGGGTTCTCGGCCGCCCGCCCAGTCGAGTAAGGGTTTTGGTCTGGCGGGAGGTGCATTCCCCGTCGAGGCACCACGTTGACGTTGACTTCGTCAGGCCCGACGTGGCCTTGTGGGAAATACATTGATTGCTGGGGAACATGTTAACGGAAAATTCTGACATCGGCAAGGCTATTGAAACCTACCAGGCTTCCAAGCAGAGCAGAGCACGGATCCTGGGCATCCTTGAGCGGCGTGTTCGCATTCACGCCAAACATGACTGTCTCGACATATCCGTTCTTCTTGGCCCGGCGAACGACGCCCTCCGCGGTGTGGCGGCTCATGTAGTAAACCGAGCCCTTGTGCATGCGGAACTTGTGCAGAATGGCCAGACCGTCGAAAAAATGCTGCAGCACGGCATTGGGCTTGGATCCATCCTCGGACAAGGGGATGGTAAATCTTCCTGCTCCGATTCTGTAGCATGTCGCGTCAGCAACGCTTTTGGGAAACCTTCTAGAAGCTCAAGAGATCAAAATACCTACCTTACGAACGATCCATCCAGCCAATCGGGCCAGGTACCTTTTGTCCAGCACTTCACCTCTTGCGGCGTATCTGGTACATCCCGAAAGTATGGCGGAACGTACTTGAGATTGTCCTCGGTGATGAAGTAGTTGTTGTAGCAAGTCTTTTCTTCCGCCATGGTTCGTGGCTCGTGACTCGTGACTCGTGACTCGTTGCTTATTTGGCGGAATGGGAAAGGGAGAAAAGCCGAAAGCTATATACCGTTACTGGGAATGAAGCCATTCCGCTCATCTCATCTCCAGCTTTGTCGAAAACCCCACAATACACTTTCTCTCAAAACCTTTCAAAACCTTCTGCTGCTATACGTGCGTATGACAGCAACTGCCATGAGTAAAAGCCGTGCGGTGATTCGTAAACTTCCGACACCGTTGAAACCCTCCCCTGAATTCCTCCGGGCCTATAGGAGTGTGGTATCCCGAATGCCGATATACCCGTCATGCCCAAAGCCACCAAACCACCTGGGCAGACGTGATGCGTCCGCTAGCCTGGTCTGGACCCCAGATCAAGTCAAGAAAATGATAAAAGGGAGATTGGTACCCCGGATTTTCCCACAATCACGCCACATAGCTCCTCTCTTGGTGCGGGTGACTTGCCGTCTAAGAAAAATTTTTGAACAATGGCAGACAGCTCCTGGAATTCTCAGGTATGAGCATCATCTTTCCCAGATCCAAACAGGCCGAATCCGGTGTAACTGACGACACGATTTAGCAATGGCCTTTTTGGTGGCGAGCCATCATCCTGCTCAATGTCAGCTTCTACAATCTCTTGGGAAACGCCTATGCTGCGGGAGTGCCGCCTCTGTTCCAGCTTATCATTGAAGACTTCCACGTTTCCCAGGAGGCTGCGTCGCAGTTGTCGACGTACGTCCTGTTGGCATTGGGACTTTCTGTGAGTGAAGAGCCTTATGGCACTTTGGACGGTTTGAGGTTGACTGACCGACTCTTACAGAACATCTTTGCACTTCCTCTCTCAGCTCTCATCGGAAAGAGATACACAGTCGTTTTCTCCCTGGCCGTATTTCTGGCTTCATGTATCTGGTCTGGCGAGGCTGGGTCATACGGATCCCTGAAGGCGTCCCGCATCGTCGGAGGCTTGGGCGGTGGATTAATCGAAGCCTTGGGCCCGCGGATTGTCGTCGAGACATTCCCTGAACGCCAACTGGCTAGCGCCATGGTCGTTTACGTGGGCTTCCTTGCAGCTGGATCTGCTGTTGGCCCTATCGTTGCCGGTGCCGTCGCTCAAGACCTGGGAAACTGGAGATGGTACATGCGCATTCTGTCGATTGCCATCTTCTGCAACTTGCTCGGGGCGATCCTGATGCTCCCGGAGACAACTCACGAAATCCAACCGAACGACGAGCATATCCGACCGAACAAGGATAGCGAGACTCCGGGAGGAGAGCCTCACGACGATAAAGAACAAAACGACCAAAGGATCGAGTCGGTGCCTGGCGTTGGCAAGGAGACTGTCTCGTACTTCAGAAGCCATTCACTCAGAAAAGAGTACATCGACAAATCCTTCTCTACACAGTTCGTGAGCCTCAACTGGAGAACGGCTATGCTTCTCTTCATTCAGCCCGCCGAGCTCTTCCTGGCACCTCAGGTTCTCCTCGCCATTCTTGTCTTTGGGCTGACCATCGGTTGGACCGTGGTGACTTCCATTCTCACTGCGAGCGTTTATGCGGCACCACCTCTCCTCTGGAGTGCGCTGTCAGTTGGCCTTCTCAGCATAGCACCTCTGGTGGGTATCATCATTGGTTTGCCAATTGGCGGCGCATTCGCAGATATCCTGTCTGGCATCGCTCGGAGGCGATCCGGCGGAGAGCATAATCCTGCAACTCGTCTCCCCGTTGCTATTTTGGGGGCCCTTGTTAGCCCAGCTGGCTGTCTGTTGATCGGATACGGCTTGAAAGATCCAGCAAGTGAATGGTTCCGCGTCTGTGCCGGGTGGTGCATGCTCTCAGTTGGACTGACGGGCTCTGCGAACGTTTTGCTCACTTATGCTGTTGACTGCCTGCCAACCCGAGCTGGGCACATTGGCGTGTTGATCAATTTGACCAAGAACTGTCTTGGGTTTGGTGTTTCCTACGCGTCCATCACCTGGATGCAGACTGCGGGTCCCGTCAGTCAGATGGCTACGATGGCGGGTATTCTCTGGGGAGCATACCTCCTGGTGATTCCCATGGGACTTTTCAGCAAGACCCTCATGAAAAAGACTTCGTGGTTGGAGGCCAGGACTCTGCCTGTTGGTCCTGTACACTGATTTGGTATATCACGTTGACGTCCGTGAATGTGCTTTGGTTCATCGATGGCGAAACCATCACTCCTATATTGGCAAGCTATGAAGTAGCAGTCTAGACTAGGGATGAGATGTGTAAAGCTGGCAGGTAACAGCTGTGATCTTTCACCAAATTATCAGAATCTCCCTTTCTCAGCCAGCTGATCGATTAAACTCCTTCGATTGGCTGGAAAGATTAGTGTACTGCACAAAAGTATAGGCGTGTCACACTTCTTTTACACAAACACCTTGACTGCAGTGCAACACGGTTGGAAAGCGTCGACCACATGCGACACAGACAGGGCCGTTCTTGGAACAAAAAGGTAGCGCTTCTCTGAGCCGGTCCGCGTTCACGGCGACAAAGAATTGAAACGTCCACCTTGGGCGCGGCATGCTCATGGGACTCTCGAAACGAAATTCCGCGATATTGTCACTTCCCTTGATCATTCATGTACTTTGGATTCGATACTCGAGACAAGTAGAGTTGCCACAATGAGCAGCCCTTCTAGAAAGTGTACCGAATGACTCGCACGGTGCCGTGCAATCAAGCAAAAAGGCCTCTGCTTAGTCGCTCTTCCTTTCCAGAAAATCCAATGACACTCTTTGCCCATGATTCTTGGGAGGTTTTGGCGGCATCTCCGACGAGACATACAGAAAGCAGACGGGTAACTGGATCAAGAGCTCTAGGAAATCGTTGGTAAGAGGTTCGCATCACATGCTTACGGTTCTGTTTCCCCAGCAAGAACAAGCATCAAGCTTCTGCACGTTCTTGGCGCCCGGATGATGCACTCGGAAGACGCGCGGCTTGAAACAACAGAATGTTTGCCATGTGAAATTGATTGTACTCCAGATCAGACAACTCAGGCATGAACGATGTTTTCCTGTCCAATGAAAATCTCCGGGTTTCTATCGGCTTGAAAAGTCTGGCTGGAGATCTTGGGATTAACTTTTCCTCAGAATCAACCCCCCTATATCCCCGGCCATCTACTCCAGGAAACTGAGCTCCGCCCCACAAGATGCGGGTATTTTAAAAGTACCGTCCACTAAGTCTGACATATAGCACTCTTCGTGATAGGCTGGCTTCACATGGCCAAAGGGGAACGCCGATTTTGTTACACCCATCTGTCCTTTGTTCACAACTATTGAAAATGCACTCGAAGAAAATACCATTGATAATACACGGAGAAGATGTGTTTGTCTCCGAAGCTGATGGCGGGATTCTTTTCACACCCAATCCAGATATCCCGGACTCGAATCACTGGAAAGCCCAAGGGGGAACACCAGATCTCTGTCGAGAAGCAGTAGAGTCATGCTCCAAAGCTTTTGAGGGATGGAGGAAGACTGCTCCGACGGAAAGACGACGATTTTTTAACCGCCTCGCGCAGGTAAATCGATCTCCATGGTAATTCTAGTTCTACCGGACTCCTTATTAATACTCTCTTTAGCTCCTTCGCGTTCGACGGCAGGAGCTTCACTCCACGATCAAAGAAGAACTTCAGTGTTCTGACACGTGGGCGTCTATCAACGTTGAAGACTCCATTGCACTCGCCGAGCAAATCGCGGGGTTGTGCACCTCAGGGATTCTGTCAAGCACAGTTCCAGAAGTCAGAGCTCCTGGAGCGCATGGTGTGGTCTTCAAAGAGCCTTTGGGTGTTGTTCTTGCCATAGCGCCATGGAACGCCCCGGCCATTCTGGGGTTGCGCTCAGTCGCAGCAGCTGTTGCAGCTGGGAATTGCGCCGTTTTCAAGGTATGAATTAAAGTATTCTTTCTTTGGGCGTTCACAATGCTGACGGTGAGGGCTAGGGATCCGAACTGAGTCCTCGGACACACTATTTCATCGCGAAGTTGTTCAAAGATGCCGAACTCCCTCCCGGCGTCGTAAACTTCCTGGTTCACCGGCCTCAAGATGCAGTCGAAATATTTGAGACTTTAATCTCCCATCCGGCCATTCGGAAGTGTAACTTCACCGGGTCGACCAGAGTAGGCCGGTATGTCGCAATGCGCGCAGCTCACTACCTGAAGCCTGTGTTATTAGAGCTTGGTGGCAAGAATTTTGCCATTGTTCTCAATGATGCTGATCTCGAATCTGCTGCCCAGATGATTTTGGAGGGCGCCTTCCTCAATGTGAGTAAGGACCCATGTCTAAAGGTGATCGCCAACTGCTTACCAATTTTTCCCCAGACCGGACAAATCTGTATGTCCACGGATATCGTGCTCACAACAGAGGAATCGTATCCCAAGCTTTGTGCGGCCCTTGAGAAGGCGTACACATCCCTACACACCCATGCTACTCAAGTCATCAGCATTAAAAGTGAGGAGAGAATCCAGCTGCTCTTGAAGGATGCGGAGAGCAAAGGAGCAAGTCTCTTCCCGCAATTATCACATAACGGCGGTGGTTTGGAGCCGACTATCATCAAAGACTTGAAGCGAGAAATGGCCTTCTGGGAAGAAGAATCTTTCGGGCCTCTGGTGGGAATTGCAAAGGTCAAGGACGTTGACGAAGCGGTAGAGACCGTGAACCAGTGCAACTATGGCTTGTCAGCTGCTATCTTCACACAGAGCAATCTCAAAATGATGGACCTTGGCCGTAGACTGAACTGCGGAGCTGTCCACATCAATGGGCCTACGGTCCATGACGAGGCTACGCTCCCGCATGGAGGATTTCGAGAAAGTGGCTGGGGAAGATTTGGCGGGCATTGGGCATTCGAAGAATTTCTTCAGACCAAGACTGTGATTGTTAATGCATGACGATAACTCATGTGAGAATGCGGAATTGTTCCAAGCCGCCTCATTTCACTCCGGAATCCTGTGATCTATTCCATACTGGAGAAACGTCTGACAGTCTGTTACCCATGATGTGACCAAATTTCACCCCTCGAAGAGGCTCTCTTGCTGAATGTAGAATGAGATTCCTATGAGGACGTCTCGATACGAAGACCATCGCAGCTGCCACCTAATCTGTCTCGTTTACCCCGGGGAAGGACACGGCATAGTGCAACCCGATTGGCTCATCGTCTAGACCTTCTTTGGCACAGTGCAATCATCATTATTTTAGTTCACATTCAATATAAACAATGTGCATAGTGCCAACATGCCATCAATCATGACTTGCAATCCGTCCAAAGACACGTCATTATGGCTCCAGGACACTTTCGTGACCACCTGCCCGACTTATCGCTTCCAAGATTCACCTCTATGACCAGACGGGATGCTCACGAATATGCCGCAGTATTCCAGGAAACCGGAAACCCGCCGTGGATCTTTTCGCTGTATCAAGAATGGCTCGACCTGGCCAAGGAGCCTTTTAAGGGGATCACGAGTGACGGTAAGGATTGGAAGCACAGCAATTCGGGCGCGATCGATTGACGGGTTTTACAGGCACGGTTTCCCCCGCTGGACATCAACTGGCGGATGAGGGGATTCCCATAGAATCGATAGTAGGAGCGGCCACATCTCTTCTCGAGAAACTATCAGATCAGCAACGAGATGCTGTATCTTTTCACATCGATGCTCCAGAATGGCGCACTTGTATGTAGGCCCTTCCCCATCTCAATATTTCCCCAAGATATGCAGCCTCTTGGCTCTCAGAATGCAAAACCTCTGGCTAAGCATCAAAATAGGGTCGAATCCGGAGTTTTTGCTGAGCGACAAAGGCATCCGCTTAGACGAGGTATCGTCCGAAATCAGGGATTGTGTACTTCAGATTCTAGAGGTTACCCTGTCACCCGAAGGTAAAAACAGAAACTAGAAATTCCAACCCCATCGATGCCACCCGGTAACCAATATGCGATAGGCTATGCGAAGGCGTTAGGTGCTATGAGAATGAACCACTTCCTGGGCCATTTAGTCCAAGCACCTGCCGTCACGAATGAACATTCGTACAATTTCGCCTTTTTCGGATCGCCATCGACCAGCGCACCGTGGAGCTTCACATTTTACGGACATCATCTCTGTTTGAACATATTCCTCTACAAGACTCAAATCGTGGTGGCTCCGTGGTTCACAGGCGCCGAGCCTAACGTCATCGACGACGGTCCGCATGAGGGAACGAGGATCTTGTTCAATGAAGATGCCTTGGGATTGCAGCTCATGCAGAGTCTACCGCCCAGCCAACAAGCTCAGGCACAGACGTACAAACTCCTTCGTGATCCTCAGATGCCGTACGGCCGCTGGAATCACGACGACCAACGCCATCTTTGTGGTGCGTACCGAGACAATCGCATCGTCCCGTACGAAGGAGTGCTCGTGTCGGAGATGCAGCCAAGTCGGCCGCTCCCAACATGTACCAGTTTTATGACGACGCCATCAATCTGATCGCGTCCATCGATCCCACCATACCCATCTACATCTCTGACGGCTGGAATCTGAATGAGGCAATTCCTTACTGTCGTCAGAGAAACAGTGTGCAGTCTCTAACAAAAAATCCCGTCGTCATCGACACACATAAATACTTTACCTTCGGGGAAAAGCACAGATCGAAATCCGTTCAAGAAATCATCCAAGAGGTTCAGTCCGTCCAACTTTCCGAACTTGACCACGCGACAGGTAACGTGTGTTCGACAATGGATCCACCGCTGTCGGCGTCTTCATTGGCGAATTCTCCGTCGCATTGGACAGGAGCACGTGGTCCCGTACGACAAACTCATCGGACGCGTCGAACAGGCAAAATCTCACGCGGCAATTTGGCCACGCGCAGTTGGAACTGTACATCAACAAGACGATCGGCTGCACGTTCTGGAGTTACAAGTTTGACTGGGAAGGGCATAAGCCAGGACGGAGAGGCATGGTTCACACGGGAGGAGGGGACTGGGGGTTCCGAGTGCAAGTAGACAATGGGACGATCTTCCCGCCAAGGGCGATGGCGATGACAAGGGGTGCGGTGCAGACCCGTGTACAGATGGCCTGGAAAGAGAGGCAAGGTTAGGAGGGACAAGGCTGTCAGGGAGCATACAAGCTACTGGGACCAGATCTCGCCTGTTGAGAAATTCAAACATGATCTGTTTGAACATGGTTGGGATTTGGGATGGGCCGACGCCGAAGCGTTCTTCTCGAGCCGGCTCAATGGGAGCATACCGGTGACGGGATTCAATCGAGGGGGAGACCAGGATTGGCTTGGGGGAGACATCATCGGTGCAGCAGATCTTTGGGTACTGAAGAGGATGAGGGAGAACAATGTGGTTGGGAATGGGAGCAAGGCTTCCGGAAGGGTTTGGCAGATTTTAAGCAGGGAGTCGGAGTTTAACTAGCGGGGTAGTCATACTGTATCAGGAGGGATCCACATAGAAACCAACGAGCCATAAAGACTGCCACTATTCAAACTTGCTAAAGGTCGTGTGGTTCTGGCGTATTATTCGGAGCGGCGTCGTAACTCTTGGCCAGGCCTGTTCTTAGCTACACGAGCCCAATCAGGGTGTGATGGCACGGGCAGAATAGACGCTAGTTTAGGGCCGGTTTAGGTCTGGTGCAGGCAATCTTAAGCCACCGAGATGAGCTTACCCATACCCTAGTTCCCTAAGCCACGGCTCCATGCTCCACTCAGGACAGGAATTTTTCAGCAGGTCACTTCTTTCTTGTCAACCAACATCCTCACAATCCTCATCGGCAAGGGTGTGCCAACTTGTTGGGGGGCATGTGGAAAACCGACTTGTTCAATCCTTCACTGCTGACCCTCGCCCTTCATTTAGTACTCGATGCTGAACGTTGTTCGCCAGTCGTCGCCCACATTCCTTTCTTTCCAGCCACTGCTTCATCAGTTCATTGAACCATGCATTTTATTAATGCTTGCTCTGTCATCTTCAGTTCACTTCTCGCTACTGGCTCCCGGGCCTGGTTGCCTGGTGAGCACCACCAAATTCTTTCTCAAGACGGTGTCAATCTGTTCAGCCGCGGTAGCCTTCACCAGGCAGGACTGTTGACGAAAAGATACCTCCCCAACAACTACGGAAACGACAAGAACTCCATCCGCGGGATTAATCTGGGGTCCCTTTTCATTATCGAGAACTGGTTAGCCAACGACGTCTTCGCTAGCTGGGGGTGCAATTCGACTTCAGAATTTGACTGCGTCTCGTCTTTGCATGACCAAGACAAAGCGAACCGCCTCTTTCAAAATCACTGGCGGTCATGGATCACTGAAGAAGATTTTCGAGTACGTGGCTTATTCCAATAGTGTTGTCGACATCGTTAACGTTATGATAGCAAATGGTATCGTACGGCTTGAATACGGTCCGGATCCCGGTCGGCTATTGGTTTCTCGAAAGTATAGTTGATGATAAAAGCGAGCACTTTGCCCAAGGAGGAGAACCGTACCTCGATCGAGTTGTCGGCTGGGCCAAAGATGCCGGTCTCTACGTAATTATCAGCCTACATGGAGCCCCCGGCGCTCAAGTAACCGACCCATTTACTGGTCAGCTGAACTCAGATCCCGGGTTTTACCACGAGTATAACTACGATCGGGCTTATCGTTGGCTAGAGTGGATAACGGACAAGATCCACACCAATCCCGCATATTCGACTGTCGGTATGTTGGAGTTGGTCAATGAACCCGAACGCATCAAGAGCACCGCCAAATACCCCGACGCATGGGCGAATTCGCACAGTATGCGGCAGGTAAGCTCCTGTCTCATAGTCGCTAAAGGAGGCTCGCTTCTAATTTTTCTCCTAGACATATTACCCAACAGCGTGGTCCAGAATTCGAGCCAAAGAGTCCACTCTTAATGTGACTTCCGACGCACAACTGTCCATTATGATGATGGATGAAAAATGGGGATCAGGCGATCCGAATCAATATTTGCCTCGTAATCCCCACCTTGCCGCTTACGATGACCATGCTTATATCAAGTACGCCGGCGTGGCCGAGAACAAAGATGCCTATCTTCAATTCTCCTGCAACTACAGCAGATCCGGTGACAGCAACCCAATCGTGGTCGGAGAGTGGTCGCTCTCGGTTGCGACCAATATCGAGTCGACCGGGAACTGGGATCCGACTAGGGACGAGAACAAGGACTTTTACCGCAAATACTGGGCCTCCCAGGTCATGTCTTATGAGACTGCTGCGCAAGGCTGGGTAAGTCGAATCATCTTGATCTTCCCTCGTCGGAAGATCCGCGAACTTATCTCCTGTTATGGATTCCTCCTTTCTAACTTTATCACAGGTCTTCTGGACGTGGAAAACGACAGGAACGCTCAACGACCCGCGTTGGGATTATCAGAAGGCCGTTGCTGCCGGGATCATCGACACAAATATCGATAACGCATATAGCCTGGACATTTGCAGGAAGGAAAATGAGGACAGCGGCTCGAGCAGCAGGAATGGAGCTTCGATCATGTTGACATTTGTCACAGCTATTATTTTAGTGATCTCGTTTTGCATTCATTGACCCACGATCAGCTAATGACGATACACCTCTTCGCCAGATGGTGTGGACTTTGTTTGTGGTGATATCCGAAAATGCGCTGAACATGAATCGGAAGCCGTTTCCACGATCCTTGGAACGCTTCTTGTCTCTCCTGCGGAGTTGCCTCCATAGTCTGGCCGCTCTTGGAGACACCAAAACCCCCAACTGATGACCAGACATTCTCCCAGAGGCTGTCGTAACTGGAATTGATCTGTTCTCGATATTCGGGGGAGACTGGACATGGTCCGCTAGGCACTGAGTATTGGGGATGGCACTGGAATGACTTTAGTTGAGCAACGATCGGGCCGATAGCAGTCATCACATGGATACCGTCGAACTATTGCCAATGATGCCAACTTTCCTGCCCTCTAGTTTGATCGAATCATCTCACTTCGCGATATGTACCACTTGGCTCGCGAAAGAGTCCAAACTAGGGAGATCTAGGTACATTCAAGCCCATGTTCGAGAGATGGAAAGTCGTATAAATTCCTCCCACTCTAGCACCGACGACGGGCGCGTCTGTGTCAATCTCCTTTGCCATAATAAAGCACCAAACTTGTTCGGATATCGGCACAAGCAGACAAGTTGGGAAAAGAAATAAGTTTCCCTGTTACCCAGACCTTTGGTAGAAAAAGCCGAAGGCAAGACCTGGACACGTCTCTTTTTCAATTTTCGAGGTAATTGATCTTAATGTATGACCAGTTTAGCGCTTGTTTTGTGGCTTCGGCTCCGATCGTCTTCGTCATCCGATGTTGAGAGGGCTATGAGTCAACATCTGTTTTGACCTGTCTGGATTCTGGCGAGGCCAACATTTGCGCAATACTCAGTATGCTAAGACTTGTACTCAGATCCCGGTTGAGTACTTGGCAAAGAAATCAAAGTTCGACATCAACTCTCCTGATTTCCGAGACGAAAACTGGAACCGACGACGGGACCGAATTTTGTATCGACACCACCATTGCTGTAACGCAGCACGCGCTCATTGTACCCAATATAATACCTCGACGAGGATATTGGTGTCCTTCAATGTGACTCGCTGAATACGAAGTAACAGCTGGGCATATTGCGGCAATGAATGTGAGACATACAGAATGACACGATCTCGTTGGATGAGTTTTGCATGAGATAGCGGAGGCCACACTCATACTCCCCGCTCGCTCATCCGCCGTCATGGTATACAGTCTCTTCGGCACGGTTCCGAGGAGCCAGCAAATCTGCCTCAACTCGCCTCTCTTGAGATGTTCTCAGTGATCTGCCTCGCGGTCGAGACTCGCAAGCGAGACATAATGACGAATCCCCATGGGCGAATGGAGACTTCCTCATGGGGATTTTGAGGAGCTACGGTTGGTCGAGGGTGGAGGAGGCAAACGGTCCGCAAGTGGGCGGAGCTAGCCCTGGAATATCAACCCCCATCAAGGCGGTGATCAGAATGCATATATCTGCGTCAATTGTCGCTTCCTCCATAGGTCTCACTTTGGTGATTGTTTTCTGTACCCTCAAATCGGTAATTGTACAAAGCGTTCTAGAAAATGGCCTTCGATACCAAAGATCAATGGACCTGGAAGCAGTTCGCTATCTGTTTCATGATTTGCCTTGGGCAAGTGGCTTTTGGCTATCCTGCGTCGATCATCGGAGTCACTCTCACTAAGCCTTCATTCTTGACATACATGAATCTACTCGACGCCGAGGGAAATTTCACGGATGAGTCCAATGCCTTGATTTGAGCTATGTCGGGAGTGTTCCAGGTATAGGCAGCCAAGAGGAGATGCAATCAAAATTGTCTCTGACCGGATAACAGGCTGGCGGATGCTTCGGAATTCTTGCTGTGTCATATATCATGGACAAATGGGGCCGGAAGTTGGGAGTCTTGTTCGTTTCAGGCGTGGGTTTAGTGGCCGGCGTTATCGTGTGCGCTTCGCAAGGCGTTGTGATGTTTCTTGTGTTCCGCTTCTTCGCAGGAGTTGCTTCATGGGGCGCTCTTACAATTAGTGAGCATTCGGTCCTTCGCAAATCTGCATATCCACTAATTTTCATAGCACCTGTATTCTCCTCAGAGCTTGCTCCTCCGGTGATGAGGGGTTTTTTCGCCGGTATGAACGGTGTCTCGGTAGGAATCAGCTATAGCTTTGCCACCTACGTTAATAATCATGGGCTTTGCTGGATGTCTGATAACTCTTGCTACCGAGTCCGCTCTTGTAGCCACTTATGCATCTCGCATGCCGGACATCAATTTCAACACGACTGCGATTCGTGCAGCCGTTGCCATGCTGTTAGTTCCAAGGGTTTTACCGTTGTTTTGGATCAAGATGTTCTGACAGTCGTATAGCTATATATTCCAGGTGTTCTATGGAATGGGCATTGATGTTACACTGTGGCCCTATTGCCACCCTCTTTGGCGATCAGGACGAGGACACTGCGAAAAAGCAAGAAGTACCCACTCACCGCGAACTCGTGGAGCTCACAATGTGAGCTTCAAGTGTTTTGCAACACTCTCGTGCGGACCCGTACATTTAGATGTCTCAACTCAAGACACGTTTTCGTACTTTTGGACACGTCCAACACATGCTACGACATCAATCTAATTGTATGCCGGCAAGCGAGCACAAAGCCTCTACAACCACGGAAGCTAGCTCCTCGGATTCCGCGTGGTCTACCAAGGTCGGCCGCCCGTCGTTGCTGACTCTATGCGCCCCGACACGGGCCCGGCCTCGAAAACGACCTGATTTAATGGTGTATCGCCGACATTGTTGGCTTGGTTCACACCTTCCCAGAAGTGTGAAATGAGGAGAGGCACCACCTCTGGGTTACAGTAACGCGCTGCTTTGTGGAGGATGTTGTATCTACCAGAGTCCTGGTGCCGAAGGTGAGCATCTATGCCGTCTTTGTCCTAGCAGGCAACGAAGAATCTCGACATGGTTGTACCGGACCGCTTCGTCAATAGAATGGTGATAACCTGGGCGGTTGCAGTCTCGTCGTGGGTCTCGCAGGAGTTCGTTCCTCATGGCTAGGCTGTGAGCAGCCTCTTCAAAGGGTCTCTTGACAATTGGGAGACAACTAAAGCTAACGGCCACACACGAGTTCATTGCCCCACTCTTCCTGGACCAATACATCAAAGATGTCGAAGCCCATTCTCTCGAGTCTCTGTCTGAATCTGCTTACACCTTGATGATTTGACGAAAGAAGTCCAAAGTTCGAACCTGTGACCCGACCCGAAGGTCTCGGAAGAGGATCCATAGTCGGGAGATATCGCCGTAGCAAATGATCTGCTGAATGGCTTGCTTGACCGAATCAATCAGAAATTCCTTGCCACCGAGGTCATGGTCTTACGGGAGCTTTTTCAGTGCGATCTCGGGCCCGTAGTAGATCTGCTTGGTCTCTTGCTGGTTCTCGAGAGCTGGATTCACCACAGAGTCTCGTTGCTGGTCATCATCGCTGGAGTCGCCCAACAATCCGAACCGGGCAACTCCTCGAGCCTTTGGGCTGTTTCTCGTTCTTTCGAAAATAGGCCGTTCCGATTGAATTCATCCAAAAGGAGGTATTTGACGCATATGCGTGGAAGAGCTGCTTCCACTTTGGACTGTCGCTGCTGGATGCGTCGTTTGTCGGCCTTTGACGCTTCGGCGATATTTTGCAACTGTGCCCAATTTGAAGGAAAATCTCGCAGGATCAGCTCTTTCAACGATTGATGCACGAGTCTCACCTGATTTCTCTTGACGTCCTCAAAGTCAACCTGAGATAAGAAAGGCTGCAACAGGCTCAAGGCTCTTTTTTCGCCCACATAGTCTTTTACCTCCTCTATGGTCCGCATTTCCGCCTCAGGATCGTCCAGGGCCAGAGCCCAACCCAATTCGAGTATACTTAGGGGTCTTTGAGCGACAGCTAGAATCTCTAGTGCACTTGTGGCGAGTTGCTCATTGTCAGGGTCGCCTCCAGTTAGGTGACTTGGCATATAGTTGAGAAAGCGCTGCTGGAGATGGAATATCCGCTAAGAAAGTCTTCATTGGGCCGATAGCTTTTATCTTCCGCTTCTGGATGAGTTCAATCGTAATTTGACCCAAATGGCGCTTCCCTGTGCCAATTCGGAAAGCCTCTCTGTCACAAGCGACTGAATGGCCGGAGAAAATTCCCTGAGACACCTTTTGACAGTGTGTCCGACGATGATTGCATCGCGTTCTCGAGTGGAGAACTAGTGAATTTGGGGCGTTCCTCGTAGAAGATCTACGATCCCTTCCTGAGGCCGAGACGAGAAGAATACTTTCAATCTCGGCGTCTTTTGGGAGAGACTGTGGAGCAGGGTAACAAGCTCAGTCTGTGACTCACTGTCGCACTCGTCCAGGCCATCAATGACGACAAAGAGTTCTCTGTTCAGGTGGACATCCTGGATGGTTCCGACAGCTCCTTCGATTACCACGGGTTGGTTCTGAAGAAGGTGACGCCACCGGTCGCGGAGTTAACGACGAGAGAGATAGAGGAAGGAGGCTCTAGTTGATCATTGGCATCCCAGTCACAATTCTTGTTGGTAGAGGCTCAATCCTCGCATGGGCAAGAACAATGGCGGGGGACTCTCCTTTGACGCCGCCAGCGCCGTCCTGAAACGGTTGACGTCTGTAGGATGAGCTAGGAAGAGAGTACACCATTCGAGGCAAGTTGGATTGGCTCGGCTCGATGGGCGATCGGCACTGGGAAGGTACGTGTATCCACATTCGAGCAGTATTTCTCGGGTGACCTTGACCCTGACGACCTTTTGGTTGGAAGGCATCCGCCCCTTATGAAGAATGGGAACTCCTTCCCTCTTGAAACGCTCTGACTTCATCGTAATCAACTACCCCCTTCATCACGGGTCCACAGATTTCGCGGGCTACATAATTGTGACCCCAGTCCCCTTGTATCGATCCAGTCGTCTGATCTTCAAGTGGGCCCAACTGACAGCATAAATGCCTCAATATCTAGCTTGCATGCGCGTGAGGCAACGGCCGCGCGATGCACAGAGCTATAAGTCAATCCGACATGTGTACCGCACAAACTCTGGAGAACGGCGCTGGCATCCTGGATACTTTACATGCGAAATCTGCCGCTAAGATCTAATTCTTCCCCATCTAGAAGTTACAGGGGCATGAGGAATTGGGGTTTGCTACGCATGAGCTTGAACTATAGTGGCTCATATCGTAGCGCGGATGGAGAAGCAGATGTACCTTTTCGAACAGGATTTGCTCCGTTCCTGGAAAGAACATTCACAACGTACATCAGAGAAGGACGAGGCTTTCATCCAGAGGATCGACAACCCTGGACCTATACCTCTCGTCTCTGCCTACCTTCTAGCGAGAATCCAAAAGCAACAGACAAGCGAGCTGGCGCAGATCATCGATAGATTTCGGCTCTAAGAAGATAGTTCCACGAAATCTATTCCTTGGGAAGGGAGCACCCCACTAGAAGATGCCATTCTCCTGCATTTCCAACGGTCGCTCTTGATCTAGCCGCTTCGATCACCCCATCCTGTGTACTGTACTACATGTTTGACGGGGCAAGAAAAGAAGTAAAATGTACTCTTCCTGCGCCGCCACCAGGGGTGGGCCGGGGATGAGCGTTACACAATGTCCATGCTTCTTCAATCTCGACTTAGGAGCAGGCAGCTAAATGGTGCCACAGTGGTATCATGGACAATCAAGGTGAGGTAAGTATCGGCTCCCATCCTTTGATAGCTATTGAACATGGCGGCACCTGAGAATGTGACAAATTCCACTCTGACGCCCCTCGTTTTTAGGTCTGCACATCAACGGGCCGCATATACGTCCACGAGAGCATATATAATGAATTCCTGCAGCTGTTCCTAAAGATTACAAAGGAGAAGCCACCTATCAAGGAGCCCAAGTCTCTAAGGTGCAACACGACAGAATCATGTCTTATATCGAGGATGGTAGGAGAAGCGTCGCCAAGTTGTTGCACGGTGTTACCAGATATGGCTCTAGAGGGTACTTCATTAAGCCAACTATTTTTTACGGATGTACGAAACCCCAGCTCTTGACTGCCTTACGTCTGATTTCAGGGCTAATTGATCTTGAGCAGACTACAGAAGACATGAAGATTGTGCAAGAGGAGATTTTTGGGCCGGAGTGGCAATCTCCAAATTCAGCACTGAGGACGATGTGGTTAAGAAATGCAACGACACTCAGTATGGTTTAGCCGCCGTGCTGTTTACTGAGAACGTGAGACATGCGCACATCGTCGCACGCAAGCTTTAGGCTGGCATGGTCTGGATTAACTCATCGGGCGACTCTCACTACGGCATCCCATTCGAAGGATATAAATCTTCTGGCATTGGCCGTGAACTGGGTAAGTATACACTGGACGCTTACACTCAGTCGAAAGCACTTCATGTCAACCTGGGCACGGAGTTGTGAGAGCTTCGTCGATTGGCACGAGATCCATCCTAAGTCCTTTCCACGCATGGTGCATTTCACTCCGTCGGGATGAGATTTGTAGTTTGTATGTTAGGATGAAAAAAATTCCAGGCAGTCTTGCCCATCGTAGGACACTCTTTACCACAGGAGAGTGAGCACGCTCAAAAGAGTTTTGCCGCCCATATGCAAAGCTTGCCCCTGCATTCGGGGCCCCGGGCTTGCTTCACAATGAGTAGAAATCGTCAAATCATTCTGCTTACGCTCCTGCAATGAAATCCTATATGATTCCCTGAAATATGCCGCTTCTCAATGCTTCCAAAACCACTCGCTGTTATATCTGGTGCAGGGAGAGACGGAAGGGAAGAAGTGAATACCGTCATGGCAAAGAGAGTTTGACTACTATAGCCAGTTGTCGTCGTCTATTCGTACATGGCGGTTCCCTGAGAGGTTGTATAGAGGGGGGGCAGGAAGAAGTAATCGCTCCAGTGGGCTAGCCCCAACTGTTGATTTATGGAGGACTTGTCCTATTTCGAGGGAGTCCAAGAGACCGCCAGACTATATGGTTATCTACGCGTGTACGGTGCGTACATCCCTTTCCCAGGGTCTTTACAAGCCTTGATGCCGCCGAATATCACAATCTGAAGTAGCGCCCGCCACTGGAATGAACTCAATAGCATTGTTTAGGACTATGGGATTATCTCTCCTTCGTAGGCGACACGTGCAGTGGCATTGACAGTGGTGGTCCAGTTTGAAGCAGCTGCAGCATCTTCCAGACCCTGGACAGAGTGGATGAACGTATTAAGTGGCTCGGATGATTTTCGATACGTTTATCCACTAGTCTTAAACGACCCGAGGAGACTAGCGTCGTGTTCATGAGGTTGAGAAAACGCATTTCACTGGTGTTTTTGGAGGGCCGAATAGCTGAATTCCCTGAGACATAGCGTGCAACGATATATCTCTTCGGCGAGCTTTGTAGCCAAATGATTCTGACTTCCTCACTAGGGACATAGGAGTTTGCTGAGCTGGCCCGGCTGGAGCATTTTCTGACTGCTTCCGTTGATTGTCACCTTCTGGGAAATACGATATGTCGTTGGAAGGTGCTTCGGGGCCGTCGAGAGACGCAATGTTCTTCACATCGACCTCTGAGCTGGGCTAAGATTAGCCGAAATTCTGGTTCTTATGCAGAATCGAGGCAGTGGATTCGGCCAAGTCTTTCGTCGCTAATAATCACAGCAGAAAGCTGGTATTTGCAACATAAGAGCCGGACATTCACGCCTACACATTCATTTCTTCACAGATATGGCCCATCCATTGCTAGATTGTGTGTAGATTCACGGTAGAAATATTATCACTTGATGAAGATTAGAAATCAAGAGACATGCGACAGGAGAAATTGAAGCTGGTTCGGGCAAAAATATGGACAGCAAAGGGCGTTTTCCGTCTCGATTTCCACAGAGGACATTTCTCGCCTCTTTTCCCCAGGTTAGGTTGAAGTTGTCTGGAACCTTACCATATCTTCTTTTGCAACGAGTTGCAGTCCCTCATCGGCTGTCATATATATGTACCAGTCCCTTCCTGTACATCTCGACAGTCGCTCCGAAAGATGATCTTCGAACCAAAACTCGATGAAGGGGCTTGTTGAATAACTGACATCTCACTTACAAGGGATTGATAGGTTGCTTCCTGTCCATAATATTTTAGAAGTCTTGCGTCTAGCTCTTCGCTCTGTCTGGAAATCTACACCCCAAGCGTGGAACCCAAACCACATGTTGTACATATACCATCATAGCTTACTCTGAGACTGATAAACTTTCCGGTTTCGTTCAATCGTTTCGGCGGCTTCCTTTTCAATTCTAGACAAAAGTTCGGCGCATGTAGGAATATCATGGATCAATCCGATGACTTGACCGGCAGTCCAGACACCGTAGTCCTTGTCTCCGTTAAGGAAGACTTGGCGGCCCCGCTTGCCAGAGACAAAAGGTGCCACCTCCTCAAATTTCCCCGTCGTGCTGGTCTTTTCGATCTTGACAGCCTCCTCGGTGACCTTGTTCTTGAACAATCGGGACGTGTTCCTCCATCTTCGCAAGACCAGTTCAGTATCGTGTTCGGATGCGTCGACGATTGCTTGCTTGATATTGACGTGGATTGGTGCTTCCACAGTGCACATGAACCGGGTTCCCATGTTGATACCTTCAGCTCCAAGAGCGAGGGCGGCGGCTAGTCCCTGTCCATCGGCAAATCCACCCGAGGCGATGAAGGGGACCTTCAATGTCTGTCTCGCTCGTGACAGCAAGATGAAATTGGTGATATCTGATTCTCCCACATGGCCGGCACATTCGAATCCATCAATGGAAAGGAAATCGACTCCCAATTTCACCGCCGACTGAGCGTGTCGGATGGTGGTGCATTTGTGTAGAATAATGATTCCGGCAGCCTTCAACATTTTGATAACCGGGCCGGGAGAGTTTCCTGCGGTTTCTACCACTTTAATACCTTCATCAATAACCACTTGTGCATATTCGGTATAAGGAGGCGCATTCATCGTGGGAAGAAGGGTGATGTTGACCGCGAATGGGTTGCTGGTCATGTTTCTGCATCTTCGGATTTCCTGGCGCAGATCTTCCGGTGTTGGCTGAGTAAGAGCTGTGAGCTGCAAAGGAACAGTCAGCCTCGTTTCGCATGTGAAGTGCTGAGCCGAGCAGACTTACAATGCCTAGACCACCAGCGTTGGATACGGCAGATGCCATCTCAGCGTATCCAACCCATTGCATTCCACCTTGGACAACGGGTACTGTCGAGCTGTTAGAGAAGGTGCCTGCGATACCAGTATGTCGGCCGTACCTTTGATGCCGAGCCGGCGAGTGAGCTCGGTGTTGAATCCCATATTGGGCGAAATCGAGGCTGCAGTCCGGGGATGTCGGTATTGGTACTCAGCGGCGGTAGGGCCACGGTATCGGGGTTTTATGGGGCTCGGAGAGAAAGGGAGAGATAAATAGGAGAGGAGGAGAAATGTCAGGAAATAGATGAATAGATATAACAAAACATGCTACTGGTCTCACAACTCAAATGATGACCGAGGTGTTGCCATCATCAAATATCGAAAGCGCAGGATGAGGCGTTCCAATGCAGTGGAGATGTGCTGCAAGAGCCGGGGACCGAGGCAAAGAAGGCCGGAAGTCAGGCTCTTTTCCACTTTCTCAGTTCTTGACCAACTAATCACCTCATCACCAAGTCCCCATGTTGAAACCGGGTCCGCCTCGGGGACCCCCTACACCGCAATATTGTTAATCCGATCCGGAACGGAACCTGTGCCCCCTTGGGCCACTGAATTTCGACTGTCTTTTCGCTTCTTTTCAGTTCGCAAAGCAGAAGTCTCGTTGTGAGCAGATATTTTCCCTCGTCCCGATCTAGGCTGCAACATTTCATCCTGGGGCACGACTTCACGGCAACGAGACTATCATCGCGATATAAGTGTCCCAAGACTTATCGTGCTGGCGAGAGGCTCCCGGCCGTAAGCAACAAGGCCAAACAAACCATTGGTCCAACTTGCAGCCTCGCACAAAGGGCTGAATTAGGTCTAGGGCGTCCTTGGCTTTTTCCTGTCTCTGATATCAGTCCACAATCACGATTCCAGCAGCGATCAAACCGACCGGTTCGCCAATTTCATTCGACTGTTGCGCACCGGATATTTCGTCCAGGCTCCAACAATTTCGAACCGCATTGTTGGCTGTCGGGGGAAACGCTGCATATACTGCTGCACCCTCATCACGATTTGTATTCCATTGGTCTATCATCTTTATGTTTATCCTGCTCTGTTGCGCGAGGTTTCTTGGCTATATGTTTCGAACTAGCATCATGACCCTGTCCGTTTATGTTCCATATTCTTCTATATCTATTGCCATATTTATCCCAAAAAACATTTTCTTTTCTCCCATCAAACTTGCATAACCTTGATACAGCTTGACAACTAAGTCCAGCAACATCATCCGGACTTCTCTTCAATTTTTCCCTCTTGTTCCATCCTCCCCCCGAGACCAATCAAAATGGCTGTTGACCCGTCTCATGTCAACCCTCTCGACTGTGAAGAGGTCTCTGAACAATGTCCCGTCGAGGCCTCGATCTATGGCTACTATCCGATCCTTGAGTGGAACACTTTCTTCGTCGCCCTTTTCGGGGTGTGCTTCATTGTCCATGTCGTCCTCGGCTGGCGATTTCGCACTTGGACGTACATGCTAGCCATGACTTTAGCCTGTTTAGCCGCTTGCATAGGCTACATTGGACGATGCCTGATGCACAACAATCCCTTCAACATCACCGGCTTCCAGATCCAGATCTGCTGCTTGACCCTGTCACCCGCTCTGAATTCCGCCGCAATCTATCTGATCCTAAAGCATATCGTCTTACAATTTGGTCGGGAATGGTCAAGGATCCGACCTAAATACTACACGTGGGCATTCATTACGGCCGACCTCTTCGCGCTCGTCCTTCAAGCTGCCGGTGGTGCTATCGCCGCTACTGCTGGCGATGACGATAACTTCCGAGATGTTGGTGACAGGCTCATGATCACGGGTATTTCCTGGCAAGTCTTGACGCTCCTCATCTTCGAAGTTGCTACAACAGATTATATTATTCGACGACTAAGATCGCCTAAGCCGCTTTCAACACAGGCATTCTCTTTATTACACAACACGAAATTCCGAATCTTCATTGGTGCTTTCACAACTGCCTACATTTCCATTTTCATTCGGTGCGTTTACCGAATTGCCGAGATGGCAAATGGCTGGCGGAATCCCATCATGCAGAATCAACCACTGTTCATTGGAATCGAAAGCTGGTAAGTCACACCATCTGCCTACTCGCACTATCAAACTGGCTGACGCAAGACTTTAGCTTGGTTGCACTCGCGACCGTTCTCCAGACCTTGGCCCACCCTGGATACTTCTTCCCAGCCCTTGCGGATTACAGAAAGACCAAGCGAGCGAACAGAGTACAAGAAGAGATGGCCCGTGATGAGAGCGTTGAGCAGAAAGCCGTTGTTGTCTAGAATACGACTTCCGACGTTGGCATACTGGGCCTGATTTGAGAAATGTATGATGAGGTCAGTGGGGTTTTACCATCGCTCAGCTTTTGGATATCCAGCACCCTAGTTTCAGGATTGTCATTGAAATACAGGAAAGCGAAGATACGCTGGTCCAACTTCTTTTTGTATTTCGCAAAGCCCCCGTCCAACATTAAAAAGCAAATGAAGCACACGTCTAATGTATCTTACCGAGTTGTATATTTGAGGAGGATATTTATATGCAATACGCCTTTCCCTACAGGAAGCTGCTTTGGGTGCCTCGATTGACCTTTCCCCCATAATTCTAAAACCAGAAGAGGAAGAAGGCGACGATGAATGACAAAGACACAATGGCTAAGATGACTGTGTCTCGGTATTTCAATATGATAGCGTCGCCTGTCGATACCGTAGTCGAAGCACTAGCCGTCGCAGAGTATGCTCTCCGGGATAAGAATATCAAACAGCCATCCGTGCCACTGTTGCTGGCGTAGACTCTTTTCCCGTCCAAATACCTCAATTTGGCTCGATTCCCAGTTGTAGATCTGTAAATGGGATTCTTGGCCATCGATGGTGGTGGACCTCCACAACTCGAATTGTCGGCTGAATCGAGTGCACTGACACACTACCTCATGACACAGAAAAAAAAGGAATAATATGCTAAAGAACATTTGGAAATACCGAAGGTAGAGAGAACAAAGTAGCAGCGGAAGAGACCACTATCAGAAGGACGAGATTGAGGATACTACAAAGTTTGGGATTGCATTTATTCATTGGAAGCGGAAAAAAGCAATTCCGCCCGTCATGAAATATGTACTTTTTGGAAGCTACGTTGTCAGCGGATGACATGAGGGACCAAGGAGGCATGCATAAAGCGTATACCAGATTGATACATGATCTAAGTTTCCGTGTATGTCACAAATTAAAATGAGTTGAATGAAGACTACACCATTACTACGAACCAGGAGTATGCCGTTGGCAAGCACCGAACTATGACTGTCTCGCTATCTCTTGTTTTCGGGTGGCAGAAAAGAGAGTAGAGATCGAGTAAAGATTGTTCAGTCCTGGAACGTCACAAGGCGCATTCGATATCAGGAGGCTTCGCACAACTTTTGACATCTCCTTAGAGTAGTGCGACGTGTTCACGACTAACAACTTAAACATCTGGCCCAGGACTCAGGCTGTGTTGTCAAATTACGGGTCCAAATTGAGATGTATTGAATGCTCTATCCTTCCGCAACCAGTCCCGCCAGGTTGCTGGTATTTATACATGCTTGGTTGACCTCTTTTCTTCTCCTATTCCTCCCCTATATCCTGCATAGTTGTGATAGCCCTATTCAAGTACAGGGATATTGCCCATTGTTCAACACCCGACAACGCTGGAGAACTTGTCCTATTTCGAAGGGCTCCATATCCAGGTGCTCCTTCAGAAGGTGAACACATGTGCTTCAGAGAGTGTCATGGCACAACCTGGAATCCCCTCGAACGGCCTTGGCAGGCCCACTGCGGCTGTCGAATAGCCTCGTGTGCCTGCGTGGTAGCCTTGCAGCATGACTGTACCGCTGGCTATAAGTATCTGGGATGGGTTTGCATTGCTTTCACGCTCTTTGTCTCTCGTCTTGTACTTTATATAGTGCATTGGATAGTAATATCATTGTCGGACCTCCACTCTCGTTCCCTCGTACGTCCCCACCCTGACAGAGAGAGAGAGAGAGAAGTCAAGGATAGCTGCTCAATCATAATGAGAGGTTCCTTGTCGAGTTCTTTCAGTCTTTCTTACCTATTCAGCAGGTTCAGATCAGTCCTGTGTTTGATGTTGTGTTGTTGTCTCTGGGCAACCATCAATGCTCTCCAGTAGCAGTACAAAGCCCTCATTAGAGCTTGAAGCAGATATCTTTGGAGTAGGCGCGATTGTATGAGGACAATCCAGCCCACTACGATCTGTAATGCTAAGACTTGAAGTGGTGACCTCCGGAGTAGGTGCGAATTTACATTATAACAGCGACCACTACGACTTGAACTGGAAACGTTGTCGGCTTTCCTAATTAGGTATACCGTCCTCTACTCATAGGCCATGAACTGGATCCGATAGAAGATATCGTCCGGCACAGGACACGGTGATCAACATCGCCTACATATGATCCATAGACTGGATCCGATTAGGGGGTCTGGTAGACAAAGGCGGCATTCTACCTATTCCTGGGTGGGCCATGGACTGGATCCGATGGGGTGGGCCAATCAGAGCAAAGGATTTGGTAGGTGTCAGATTATAGATTTTCCGGATTACGAGGGGTTGGCCAATCATGTGAATCCTTATGGGGCGCATGCATCCCCCGGAAACGATATCCGGGATCGACGATATCGACGACGACTTTATCGGTATCCGCCAAATACCGATATATCGACGATATGATCGACTAGTCCGGAGCATTGGAAGCTGTGGAAAATCCTTACCGATGCTTGAAGCAAGGCGGCCTAGAGTCAGACCGAGAGAAATATGGATGGGCCACCTACGCCACAGCTCAAGATTGCTTAGCTATGACTCAGGATAAACGAGCAGGTGTTTAGGTCTAGAAACGGAAGAGAAATTGGTTGAGATGAAGACTCGGGGTTGAATATGTCGGTACGTATCGGCGGAACTGGGATTGAGGACACTAAAGTTGTTATCGTGGTCACCGTATTTAATCGCTCCAGACTCAGGATTTTTGAGATAGTATACGTGATGTCTGAGACATGAGACTCACGGATCAAAGGAAGATCAAACCCAGTATCGGTCTGGATCACTCGAAGGCAGAGTGAATTCAAGGTCGTCTCTTGATAAGTCACGGGTGAGACTGGAATATAATGTCCACATTGGGTCTGCGAACATCCGTGCTTGTTGGAGTTGCCAGTGAAGGAGAAGTCGAGAGCTTGTTCGGTGCTCTGTCTGCGAATGCATTCTGGAATGACGGAAGAGGTTGGACAGACTATATTTGATGACTCAGCCGAGCTAGGGAGAACTGAAAGGGGCGTCGCTTACAATCAAAGCATTCGTTGTCACGTTCTGCTGTGGACATGATGTAGTCTGTTGTGAGAGTAATTTTCCATCTGCCTGGCAAACGGAGTATACAGATCCAGATAATCTGTCTTACGAAAGCTGTTGCGCGCATTTGAGTCCTAGAGCGATAAAGTTGACCGAAGCGAGACAAACTCAATCCCCTTTTCCTGCATGGTTCCTTCATTCTGAAATGTACTTGGGCGGACAGCGTTGGCCTCCTGGAGAATTTCGGGCAGAGATTGTCTCAATACGAAATGCCTCCCAGAGGAATCATTGGCGGCCAGAGAGTATCAAGTAGCAGGACACCCGATCCTTAAATTCCGGCGCTCCTCAGGCCGAATTGTTTCTTACATTCCACAATTCTCTGCTTTTGATCTGATGGTCCAGATTTCGAATTGGCCGCCCTGCAGCAGCTGGGGTCGAATATGAATTGGATGAATTTGAACCACTTCTGCTAAAAGGCTAAAGCTATCGCTAGAAATGCAGCTATTAAGGGATCTACGATGGGAAATAGAGAGGGGTCAGGGGCGGAGTTCAGCCTGACATGTGACTACACTTGGCGTTCACATGTCGCAGGGGTCGGGCATCTCCTGTCTCCCCATCAGACTCGACAATTCTTGGTCCATAACATTGATCAGTTACGCGGACTACAATATGAGGTCGCGGCATAGGGTTATATTCATCATTTGGAAGGATGAAATAAATGGAGAACTCATCAAGCCGGTACCATTGCGAGGGTGTATACAAGGCGGCGATACTCTCATTCCAAAGCAGGTTAGCCCCGTTCCGTAACCTAAGCCCTATCGACTTTGAAACTCCATGCGACTTGGTCACCTTACTGCCTGCGCGAATTGCCATGTAGCACAGAACGTCTTGAAATATCCCACGTTCATTTACCGCCAATTGATTGTTCTGCGCGCGCTCTCTTCTGCGCAGCATCCTTTTTATCTTTGATTCTGCCTGCAATGCCCGGCCTGCGCCATGGGGGCGTCGGAATCCAAGCTGGTCTTCAAGCAAGGCATCTTCAGACTATCCGAAGAGAGGAACATTCCAGCCAATGACCCATACTGGACAGGCGTACGTTTACGAAATTTTTGGTCCCTCAACTCATCGGCTGATAGTTTCAGTTTTGGGAACTTCCAGAATCCGTCGACGATGTCTTCAGCCTGTTCTCTCATAGCGACATTCGCAGAACACGAGACTCCGCTCTCGAGAACTTGGAAACCCTCATTTTAGCCGTGACTTCACGCCTCAATGTCTTGAAAAACCACCCATCGTTTCCAGACCCTGATCTTGCTCCGGAAAGAGATGCGTTGAATTGTATACGAGTCCTTACAAGGCTGCTACCCTACGTGTACGAGGCGGAAGAGCTGACAGAATGGGAGGAGAAGTTCTTCTGGGGCATGCGCCGCCGTCGAACTCGGAGAGCGCAGGTTGCAGGTGAAGTGCTGTTCGACGACAACCAGGGTGACGACACGGTGCCCAAGGATACCCAAGAGCAAGAGTTCGAGAATGCCAAACCGCTGGCCGAAGAACTCATCGATACCTTGACCGATCTCCTCTTCTACGCCGGTTTCACGATACCACATTTACCAAACGCGAAGGGCAAGGTGACGTACGCCATCTGGCAGAGCGGCGTGGGCTGCAAAACCTCTATCCCGACAAACAAAGAACTCGAGAGCAATCGATGCGAAGTACTGAGGCTCCTGTTGACGATGACCAGCAAGGCCATGTATATGCCTTCCGGGGTTCTCCCTGTCCAAGGAGTAAGGTCTATCACATACATTGCGACCTGTCCGGACAAACAGATCGTACTGTCGGTTCTGTGTTCTCTGATCAATACGACAATCAAAGCCAACACGTCCGCCTGGCGCATCCCATACGATCATGTTGTTCGCAGAGACTCGAAACAGACGCTCGTCATCTACAGTCTCCAATTCCTTCTCGTCCTCCTCCTGTATCCAGTTCCTGAGGGTGGAAATACTCCCGCGCCCAAAAATTTCTACCGACACTATCTGGGGCGATTGCACCGACCAGAAGATTTCCAATTCTTGGCCGATGGCATGACACGCGTCCTGAGCCAGCCGATGCAGGCGACCACGTCTTATTTGCCCGGAAGCCAAAAGTCGGTCAAATGGGCCCCGGAAATGATCATGTTCTTTTGGGAAGTTCTGCAATGCAATAAACGATTCCGAGCCTTCATTATCGAGTCAAACCGTGCCCACGACTTTATCATCCTGATGCTTTTCTATGCCATCGAGCACAAAACAGACACTTCCAAGCTCGGGATTGTGCGAATGTGTGTTTTCGTTCTCCAGACCATGAGCGTGGAATCGACGTTTGGAAAGAATCTCAACCAGAAGTTTGAGGCGCAGGAGACTTTACCCGCGTCTATCCGTTTAACCAACTTCAAAGGCACCTATGCCGACTTCCTCATCACATCCGTACACACTTTAATTACCGGCAGTAAAGGGAAACTGGACGCCATTTACCCAGCACTGCTGGCTATCATTAACAACATGGCAGCCTATGTGCAAAATTTGTCCTTGGTCACCAGCACTCGGCTTGTCCAGCTCCTGACCTCAATGTCGACGCCCAGTTTCCTTCTTGCCAATGAAACAAATCATTCTCTTCTCCAAGCACTTCTCGAATCCGTCAACACCATGATTGAGCATCAGTACACCTCCAACACCAATTTGATATACGCCCTGTGGCGTTCAAGGAGGCGGATCGAAGCCTTGAGGGCTTTTACGCTGGAAGGCGCTCAGGCAGAAATTGAGCGAGCTGCCCAGCGTCGCAAAGAGAATGCCCTCAATGACGTGAGTAGTGGTCTTTCTCGAACGTCCACCATGGAAACGCTAGTTTCGCCAACTCGTGGCGGGCCCATGTCTCCCAATGCAGAGAACGGGGTGGATGGGACGTTTGCCATTGGTGATTCGGATGATTCCGACAATGAAGAACCGCCCACTCCATCTCAATCAACACAATCGATGCGGACGTCACGTACTCCGTCGATCGCTTCATCATCGGTGGCCGAAGATCATGTTCCCGTTCAATTGTTGGGCATGTCGGAAAAAGCGAGGGGCAAGATGCCTGCGGGTACACCAACATTTTCTCGACAGAACAGCACAGCCAGTCTTTCAGCGACAACAACTTACACGGCCGGTCGTGGCTCATTCAGCCCGACGCCCGAATGGCTCGAGAGTTGGCTACCTGAACTCCCGCTACACACCGTGATCACCGTGATCAACGTCCTTTCAACACATCCACGGGCCTCACAAAGGTCCAATAACAGCAGTCGGGACGATACGGCGAACCCATCTTCTGTTCCGTCCTCTCGCCGTTCCTCCCTGGCCCATGACGACACCACAATCACCGACTTCCGCGCCCAGATACCCAACACAGCAAACCATCCTGCCATCGCCGCCGTTCTCTCTTCTCCCAGTCCTATTCGCGTTCATCTTTTCGAATGGTCTCCGCTCTCCCTCGGCTGGTACATGTCTGTCCTATGGTCTCTGATATACACCGCCGAAATGACCATCGCACCCGCGTCATCGACAGCAGCGACTTTGACGGGAAAAGGTGCCATGGCAGGACCTGCCGGAGTCTGGAACGGCACCAACGTCAAATTGTTCCAGGTCACTACTGAAGGGAAGCGTGAGGGCCCGAGCTTGTCACAGCCCAGAGGTGCCGTTGACGCAGTGGGTTCCAGACTCGTCCAAGGCGTCCAGGGATTGAATTTGGGTGGATTGGTGGGCAGAGTTGGTGGTGGAGGAAGTGGAGGTGGAAGAAGTCCGAGTTTCCAAGGCTCAGGACAAGGGCTAGGTCAGGCACAGAGTAATGGTGAGGCTAGGCCAGGGACAATGAGGGAAATTTGATGCTCCTCGAATTCCGACCTGTAGCGGGTTTTGAGTTAAAGCTTGGAGAGGCCAGGCCAGCTTGGCCCATTATAGAAAATGCGGATTTGTTTCATTTATGATATTACTTACATACCGCGTCCCTACTAGTATGAGTCGAACTTTTGGAGCAAACGTGGCGTGGCATGGCATGGCATCGAGTTTAGAAGGTGTGGAATCATGAGTATAGAAGTTGAAACATTAATGCTGCTACTTCCATACGTGTTTGATAGACGACGTGTTCCAATGATGTCTTCTTACCTCCATAGAGTGGACACTACCGGGAGTCCTTAATTAACATTCTGGAACGTTGTTTCATACTCAGCTCCCACGTGGATATAGCTGTTGGGGTTGGCGTTTGAGGCTTTTCAGCGCGGTCGGATCAACCTTCCCTCATTTGGTCTCGGGTCTCGCATCATTATGTATTGCAGCATTTCGAATCACCTGCCCTTTCATCCGCATCTGTCTCATAACTTGGAATGCAAACTAACTAATTGCCTTGGCCCTCCACTGATACGACAGCGCAATCGCTTGTAAGTGTTCAATGCACAAAGAACCAAAGATGACGATGCATTTCCGAAGGAGCGACACGTAGATAGTAAATATGCACACCTGACAGGGTGGGGGGAGGGGGGAAAGAAAGGCCTTTGGGCCAGAATGTTTGCATGTGAAATCTGTCCAAGTCTAAATATCAAAGAATTCTAGCTCGCGTGGTCTAGAAACCCGCAGGCTGAGAATGAAAATGCAAGCGGCCAAACCCTCGCTGCGTTATGCTGCTCCATGCAAAACAACATCTGCACAAGATCAAAATCCATAAGAATCGCTCTTGGGTAACTTCCTGCCCTTGTCGTACAGCCATTTGTAATTGAGGCCTGGGACGATCTGAGGACTTTTTGTCCCTGGTGTTGGAGATGTTGGTTCCAGGCCTTCTCGTCGCGTTCGTTCGCGCATGCTTTGTGATCGGCCTAGGCCGGGACCAGCACCAGTGCTGGCTCCGAATGAGCGGGTGCTTGCGCTAAAATCGACGTCGGGTATCTGAGAGGATGGAATGGCAGCTTTGTGGAAAAGAGGACTTGCGGATGGTGAAGGTGAGAAGGGCGAGCCGGATGCAGTTCGTCGGATGGAGTGTGATGGCGTAGGTGAGAAGCCAAGCGTATATCGAGACGTCGATAACGGGGAGGATGAATAGTGTGCAGAAATACTGCGGCGGTCGGTTGATAGCGGTGCAAAGCCATTCTGAGCGCTGCTCGGACTGCCCGTGCTTGAGAAAGACCCGGAACGTCGATAACGCGGTGGTGTGATATAGCCGGCGGCTGAGGGCGCTGAATTGGGCGTGGGTTGGATAGATGGATTGAGGCCCAGAAGGGAGCGTTGGGAGGGCGTTAATGGGATGTCTTGAATTTCATCTTTCTTGGAAATGTAGGGTATCACGGGACGGAGGAGAAGGATGATATTGGCACAGAGAATAATGCGGAGGATGGATAGGACGGTCGAGGATAAGTGGGAGGCATCGGCGACACCGATAGTGTTCAGAAGAGGTGTAATACTGCCATGCGATCAGAACGGTACAGCCCAAAACATTTCGAGTTATCTTTTGCAGACACACCTGCTGTAATATGCATCGGTGAAAACGAAAGAAAGGATCAAAGCCGCCGCATTTGTCAGAGCGCGCTTGACATTGCCGTTTGTAAGAGACGTAGCAGAGCTTCGCAGGAGAATTTCAGTTGTCCTTGGGTGTCTGAATTTTCCGGGAGAAGGAGAATATGTCGAGGGTTCAGTGGCCTTCGGAGTGGACTAGAAGGTGTCAATACTCTTGAGTTGTATCCGAAACACATTTCAACAAGGCTCACCACTTCGCGTGGAGCGATGTTTCGAGTCGATTGAATGACTGGTCCGTGGCTCGAGCTTGTGAAGGAGGGTACGATGGATGTTGCTGTCGCCGACATGATGTATGGGAATCACAGAATACTGGTATCCATGCTTAGTGGAGGTTCTCTCGCGCGCGTCCACAGGGTGTACACTTACCAAATAAAAACTGCAGACGAGACTTACCTATGAGGTCCCAACGTAGTCGCTAGATCAACATGGTTGGGTGATTGTTCTTTGTTCCATCTCATAATGGTCGGTCTGCTGTACGTTCGCGGTTTGTTGGCATCCACCGCAGTTGTACGTGCCGGGACCGCCAGGGGTTTCCATCACGTGATATCACGTGATGGGATCGCTGCTGTTGGGATCGATTCTTGGCGGCCAAGGAGGAAGTAATATGCTATCCACTTCGCGACGATTGGACCTGCGGCCAACTAGGACCCTCCATTAATAGGCCAGGCATAAAGCTCTATATTCCCAAGATGTCATACTGGTAACTTGGACACTATTACCGCTGTCTCTGTCAGAAAGGCAACCTGCAGCCTCGCCCATAATGGGTACTACTTTTCCTCAGCTTTCCATGGCGAAGCAGGGACTCGTATGAAGAGAAGGAGATATTGGCATTTCTTCATCCTACAAGTACAGACTATGTGGATTCCGCAAATGGCTTGCTCTGATTGGTTGAAAATTTATACAGATCTCGATCCGACTAATACCCCTTTATGAAGGCAACACCGTACTTACCACTTCGACAACTCCACGACAGCGAGGCCTCTAGCATCGACAATGGTCTCTACCGAATGGTCCAGACTGGAATTCAATGTGGTCAGGGTAAGACAATGTCCCAGCCCCTGAAAGCCTAGAAAACAAGTGGCAAAGCAATGGGGTACTAAAGATACTCTATGTAAACCACACAACGAGGGGCTGCTTACCACGGCCCTGAGATCTCTCAATGTAATCTATTTGGCAACAGGAGACCGTAAAATCTGCCCTCGACTTAGTCCTCCTTGAGACGACGGTGATGCGCCATGTGCTCATCCTTATGGACTGATGTACATGGGCCGTAGAGGTTTCGAAAAAAGTATCCTCCTTCTGAACAGTCTTCGATAAGAACCTGGCTGGAAAGTCCTCAAATTACATGTCTACTCGGAAGGAGATACATAAATGTTCCCAAGAGGATCGTCCACATGCACCTTAGTATTCCAATTGCGAACCTGGCGCTCCATGGCCCAGTCTCGGAGTGCGTCAAAGTCACGACATGTGCGTAGAAACTGATTCACCGGAAGTACTTCTCCGAATTCCTCGCTCCAGCCGTAAGGTCGAGGTGAAATATCGCTGGAGCACATGAGAGACTCTCTGATAGACTCTATGCAATGGTCCATGTGACGATCACCGACGTAGCCAAAGGGAGTGGTCTCTTCGGTGGACCATATTCGCTGTCGGATCATACTCTAGCAAGACGAAGCCATTAGCCGCGCAGTATCTCACAAACAGTCCGTATCATGCTCACCAGACAATGCAGTTGATGGAAAACATCTAGTGTTACGATGTAGTGGCCAGGATCTCCATAGATAGGGACCGTGCGGTTCGCCAGTAGAACCACCTCCTTCATGGAGATTCTAGTAAGTCCGACTAACGAGAGTCAGCAAACCCACTGATACATTTCCGCTTCTGCATCGAAATGGCAATACTCACAGTTGTACAAATCTGACCAAAGTTGGTCACTCTCATTTGACGGCCAACCTTGATAAGGAGATCGGTCATAGCGGAGTCCCGCTGTCGCAACAATGTTTTTGTATCTCACTGCAGGTGTAGCAGGAGCTATTTTCTCATGCATGAGCAGGCAAATTCGAGTTGGAAACCACAACATGAGCAATATAGATATCCACTCACAAAAAGCCTCGTTTGGAATGGTCGACCTTTTCACCGTGTTCCACAGATGAACGTCGAGGAGTAATAGAAGAGTAATGATAATCCACGAAAGCCCCAACAAGAGCTTTGAAGAGGCCAGACGGTTCCTTTTGGTCGTTGAAATAAACGCTGCGTTTGGCTTTTCTCCGGTGTCAGTACTTTCGCAGCCATCTCCTTGGCTGACTGGAGTATATTGGCTGCTTTTCTTCCAAAAGTTAAGCACCATGTTCAATCGTGAGCCCTTCATGTTGAGGGGGAAAATATGGGTGACCGATCTTGAAGGTGTTAGAGACCAAGGAGCCTGGTATATGACTGTGGAGCAACTTAAAAAGTTAGGGGGTAAAGGGTGAGGGTGGCTTTTCTGTGTATCAGATGGAACTTTCGATGAAATCTATGAAGACATACGTACAGTGTTGCATGTCCCCACTTATCTTTCCGTGGCTTCCCTTGAGTAATAGCGATGATGGTGATGCTCTCCTCGCACCAAAGGAAGATGAAAATGTTTCGGAACAGATCTCGTCGCAACCAAAACCACATTTGGCAGTCAACAGACTCCATAAGCCGGTCGCAAAACTAAAGGTAACACATAACGCATTAGTTCTCATTTGCCACAAGTACATGATATATAACATCCAATTATGGAGGAAGTTGTGGGTATTCTGCCCGTCGCGAACGGGTGGGCATCTTCTTCAGAAAGAGCCGTGGTCACGCTCATCGAATTGATCCACTATGGGGTATCATTTTCAAGCCGGGAATCAGACAGTCGATTTTGTCCTTCACAAGGAACTTAGCATACTCCGTAGGGTATAAATTTGAGAGATGGCTCCTGGAACTTTGAAAGTCGTTCAACTCTTCTTCGTCTTCAAGAGCAGAACAGCAACCAAGCAATAAGACAAATCAAAACTGAGTTCTACAAAAGTCTTAGTGAGAACAAGGATCCCACCCACCCCTCACCTCAGGCGCAACCGTGAAGTACATCACTGTCGCCCTTGCTACATTGTTTGCAACAACTGCGATTGCTGCTCCTACGGCCAATAGTCCTACGTTTCCGGATGTAAGTTATCTGACTGTCCATTCTGTGATATATGCCGGAAAGTTCAACCTAGATCATTTGGTTAACTATGCAAATTGCAGAAACGTGACAGTGATGTCGACTCTGTTCAAGCCGGGGGCTGGTACAATGGGCTGAAGAAGCGAGAACCGGCCCCCGAGTCTGATATTGATACGGTTCAAGCTGGAGGCTGGTACAACGGACTGAAGAGCAAACGTGATCCAGCCCCCGAGTCTGATGTCGACACAGTCCAAGCTGGGGGCTGGTACAATGGACTGAAGAGCAAACGTGATCCAGCTCCCGAGTCTGACGTTGACACGGTTCAAGCTGGTGGATGGTATAACGGCCTCAAGTAGAGAGCAGCGTCGATATCGATGCAGTCACGGCCATTCAAGACGATTGCCGGTGGGGATTTAAAGGCGAGCAAACAGGGGTAGACATATCGATATAGGAACAAGTAGAAAGGTGTACCAATTGGCACACAATTCTAGGATAGAAGTATATCTATTTGTAAGGAGAATGAACTTGCACAACCAACAAGGCCAGAAGGATTAAGACTAATCACCCAGGGAAGGGAAGCGAAAGCTTAGTTTGCTAAGGCTTGAGGGGCCTGCGGGCCGACGTGCTTGGTACCTGGGTCTACTCCACACTCTTAATGCCCCGGAAACTCCCTGCTCTAGTAACACCTGTCTTCGCAACGCGATGTAACTTCGGTTCGTCGATCCTGAGAATGCCTTATGCGCCGGAATTCTCTGGAAAAAATCTATGACTTTCCCTGAGGGGGGAACAAGTGTATACAAAATGTGGGCCCACAAGCAATATCATAGAATACCGAGGTTGGGAATCAAGATCTCTAAAGCATCCGCCATCCCGGTGGTATAGGACACCTAGGAAGCTTGTATACCTGCCTAAAACATCGTTTGATCGGCGAAAATGTTGCATTCGGTATAACTCCAAAGTAACCTATCATGTATACAAGTAATGTGGACAGTGCCTACGTAATCCCTTCATGGGCACCAACCCGGACCAAGAATGAATGAGTGAATCCATCAATCAAAGTAATGTGGAATTTGTACAAGGGAATCGACCCAGAATTATTCATTACATCAGTTCCACGTAGATTCCTTCGGAGTCATGTTTTGCAGCGGGTGGTCAGCATTGATGGCTGTGCTTCTTGCGTTGGAACTCACGATCTACGGCAAGGACCGTACCGACACAAAACCGCTACTCGTATCCTATATAAGAATCATCGTCATAGTTATCCTCGCAAACCTAGAAGGATAGAGTTAGTATTTCTTTCACAGCACAATTGCGAATCCATGGCTTCCATCTCTCGTGCTTGCTGACGATTATAAGGGATCATTCGAAAGGTACCAGAGTAATCCTATTTTCCAGACTTCTCCATATCGTGACCATCCTCGCCCTCGCCCTCCTCATCATCACCACGTCGAGAAGCATTTCTGTTTCTGTTTCTCCTTCTCCTTCTGCTTCTGCTTCAATTTACTTCAACACAACACCATCTTGAAAGACTTGTCCAATATGTTCAATGTACCTCAATTTTTAAAAATGGGCGGCGCCGAAAAGTACCTTACCCATCTAGAACCCCACAAGGAAGACGAGGTACAGCATTTCATCGAGGATCCAGAACAACCGAAGATGATGTCTTCTTCCTCTTCCTCTTCTTCAAACCCAACAGCTCGCTCTTACCGACGAATACCGTTCACTTTGTTATCCATGGCCGCGGTAGCCATTGCAACTTGAGTCATAACCTCTGGGCACGCCATCACTCACCACGGCTTCGACCAATGCGGAACCACAGCTGAAGAAGCACGAGCGAGGGGTTGTGTCTTCGAGATGACAGGATCCTCTTGGGTCCCGAAAGAATGTTATGATCCAGTTACGGAGGCCGAATTTCTCGACTTCAAGGACTGGAAGTTTTACCAGGACGGGAATTATTCGGAAGAAGTACCGCTCGAGGTGGTCCGACGGAGTGATGGGCCTGGATATTTTGTCAGTCAGGACTACCATTTAACACATTGCGGGTTCCTTTTCAAGAAATTGTGGGCGTGTGACTGATGGCTTAATCTTTCGGCTGGGCCATACCAGTCATTGTGTGCAGTGGTTGCTCGATCTTCCAGAAGATAGGTTCAATATTCCTCAGTTTGCCTATACAAAGTTTCCTTATTGTGGAAGGGATGGTGGTTTTAGTGTTGCCGAGTCCAAACAAGGACAATGGTTAGACTGAAAACAGAACAAAACATCACATCACATAATCTTGAATGTCCAGTGCAGAATCACCCAGGATAGCGAGACAGGGAATTTCACCAATCATGTCGTCGAGATATATTATGGGAATAGCTTCAATATCCACGGCTTCCTGCGTATACACTCGTGCCAATTGCAAGGGCCAAAGGTTCCCCCATGTCCACCATTTCCCAAAGAACGTTTGGACTCAGGGTCGGAAACAGTGCCATTGTGGGTTTTTTACATGGATATGTGATTGCAACTACGAGATTGGCTCTTAAACTTTGAATGGCTGAAGGATAGACATCTGCCGGAATGGTGGCGGAGATTTTCGTCGAGGTGCGTTGCAGGAGCATAGAGAGCATATCTTCCATCTCGTCTGGAAGGGGCTGTGTAAATTGAAAAGACCCAGACAGCATCAATACGGACCACCGGCTCCGTTTCAGTGACTCATAGTCAGATTGGACGACGATAGCCGACCTATGGATGAGAATCAAAACTTGATGAATTTGGGAAATGGGGCTCACGTCGGGCTCGGAAAAAGGTTGGATACTAAAGGAATAGAACGCGGCAACACAGGAGAAGGCGAAGATGGCGTCGTAATTGTCGGACGTGATGTTGGAAAGGTGTGGGCGAAACAATGCAGTCCCGAGACAATGGTGGTGGATACCATAACCGTGTGCTTCTGTCGTGAGGCGCCACCTAGTGCGAGATGCAGCGCACTTAGACTCAACAGGCCATGGACGAGAAATTATTCCCGAAGGCAAGCTCGTGACCTAATCGCTCTAGATAGATTGATCTCGGGTATTCGGTATGGTAATTTCGGTGATACTTTTCGACGTGTGCAGAATATAGTGGTTCATTAGTCTCAGTCGCTCTCTTCCTGCATCCGCAGAGGCTAGAGGAAGCTGATCTGCTATCAGGCAACTCGGTGTTGGGTTGTTCTTTGGAAACCTTTATACGTTCGACCAGGATGAATATCAGGTCTGAGGCTTGGTCAGCCAGTGAGCATTCTGATCCTATCCTCTCACATCGCCCACGTTTTGGTTTGTTCTCATCATACTGTGGTAATAAGCATGGGAAGAGCGGAGGAAAGGGGACACACTTTTGTTCGATTCTTCTTGCACTGTAAACAACCATGACGGCTCTTTGTATGAAACCGTCTTTGAAACATCATGCAGATTGTTGGGCTCTAGATGTGTTCGATTAATTCGTAGGCGGTGTTTTTAGAAAGACTAGACTGACCTTAGGAGTTATTCTCGATGGGAAGAAGTTTTGCTAGAGAGCGGTGATACAATACACCTACGCAAATCGCCAAAGGACCAAAATGTACTGAAGAGGGTCGTGGAATACATAATTAGGTGTTGATTTGACATGGCTGCGCCAAGAATGGTCTTTGATGCTTGAGAAATTACTTCGGAATCAAGGCGACCTAATATAAAATCGATCTCATTCGATCTTCTGCGACGGTGATGATTTTCGAGTGGCTTTTTGTTGATCATGGGACGGGGGACGGTGACCCGACATCTCGGCCGTACCAGCAGATTTTGGGCGAGCTTGCCAGGTTAGCTCCAGGGCGGGTTGTTATACGAACCGAAGTTAGCGCGGTGAACAGTCACGGAACATCGATTGGCGAATGAGGCTCCACCGTTTCTGACGGCTTCAAAAGTTTATCCCGTAAGGCGTCCTTCGTGAGTTGCCTGGTCGCCAATGACCGCTCTCCGAGGCGATTAATATATGAGGGGTTTGTGTTTACGAGCATATAAATTCTCCTGGAGAGCTAGACCTGCTCGGTGGTCTTCCTTATTCTCAAACACCCACAGCTGCTTTCACGATGGTCAAGTTGGACGTTGTCCACACTTTAAATCTTGCCGTGGTTCAAAGTCAACCTTTGGTTGTTGTCTTTTTCGGTGGCACGTCAGGCATTGGGCATTATACACTTCGTGCATTGGCCACTGCTGAGGCCAATGGAGGCCAAGGGTTTCGCGCATATATTGTTGGGAGAAAGGCCAACGTGGCTGAAGATGTCATCTCCGAGTGTCGTGGTATATGCCCGCAGGGTCAATTCAAGTTTCTCAAAGTTGATGATCTGTCTTTGATTCAAGAGGTCGATCGAGTATGCGCTGAGATAATCCAGCTGGAGGAAAAGGAAGCTCAGGACCCCAGAATTGACTATTTGATGACGTCTCAAGGGGGTTCAATCTTTCTTCCACGAAAAGGTCGGTCTCAAGAGTTCGATGTGGTGCGTTTCTGACAGTCACACAGATACAAAAGAGGGAATTGACATTACAATGTCCTTGATGTACTATTCTCGCATGAGACTGGTCATCAAGCTGCTTCCTCTGCTTCTCAGGTCCACTCTTCCGGCAAGGGTCGTCTCGGTTTATGCTGCTGGAATGGAAGCAAAACTCTTTCCAGAGGATCTTTCACTTCGTGACCTGACACATTACAGTTACTCGCAAGCCCGGTCTCATATGTGTTACATGCACACTTTGTTCATGGAAACACTGGCCGAACAACATTGTGGAAAGCTCGTCCTAATCCACATTTTCCCTGGTCTCGTGTTGGGGCCTAGCTTTCAAAATCCTGAATTGCCCGCCTGGTTTAAAATAGTGTGGTCATGGTTTTTCGTCCCCCTCTTTGGGCGACTTACTGTCAAACCCAAGAATTGTGGTGATAGGATGTTGTCTCTTGCATCACCTCGCTATCCGCCTCGACCAATTGACAAATCCAAGACTCAGGAGGGTGTTACCATAGGGACGGATGGTAAACCTGGGAGTGGTGTTTATGCTCTCACTTGGAATGGAGAGAACAATCTGAACACGAAGGCATATGAGAAGATAAACAAGGATGAGATGAGGAAAAAGGTTTGGGATCATACCATGAGGGCATTTGAAGTGATTGAGGCAGGAGAGGTCTTTACCGAGTGAGATGGGATTGCAAAACCAACGAGATAGCGTTTTCTTCAGGCTATTGTTGACTTTGTGGTCGCTGTCAGGCAAAATGATCCCATTCGTCAAGTTGACCCTTCCATGAAGCGAAGCCCGGTGGAATTGCGGGATACTGTTATGGCAAGACCTCTGGCTGTCTATCTTCGTACTCCTTTATCCCAGCAGGAAAGCAAGCCTCCTGCACTTCTGTAAAATGATTCCCACCGTACTCCTACTAGAGCGTACTAGGGCGGAGTGAATAGCTCCGAGACGCCACTCTGCCCGCCCCCGATATCCTTCATTTTCATCCCTCTGTGGATCGGTCAATGATTGCCTGGCATTTTGCTTTCCGACCCATCTCCGGTCGTCATGGAAATCACCTTGGCGCGTTGTTTTTTTATTGGTTTCCCAGATCATAGATCTCGGCGTGTTTCGATGGATGAAACGCGCGCCTAGAAAGCCGGGGGGCAGGGGTTCAGGGGCTTCAAACATTCTCAGACACTCCGACTATGCTTGGCCGGCATGATACGACTCCTGACACAGCCTCGACTTGTCATACAGCTTTTTACTGGCCATCAGCGGCTGCCCAGACGCCCTCTCGCCCCTTGACATTGCATCGATCTGCTCTTGGTAGCATTGGTGCCTCTTGGACAGCGTCCCTGCCACATGAGTGACCGAATTTCCATCGCAACCGACCTTGTTAAGAGTGGACAAACTGGCCATGCGGCAACAGAATTTCGGCTCGACTTCCCCGGCAAAGCCAGTATACTGGTTAACCTTGCAACCCTAGCTACTTTCAACCTCTCCCTACCCCAAAAATCCCTCTCTGGACCGGTGAAATGTCCCATTCTGGCGGCAAGTTCCTTGTGAGCTGTCTTCAAGAAAAACTTGGCCGCAGCCTTGTGTTAGAGATTTTCCTGTTGGACGGGCTGGGCATTTGCTTGAACATCGCCTCAATGCATCTAGGAGGCTTTGTGTGGACTGACATCTGAACGCGCCAACATCCACTTCTGGATTTCCATCACGTAACGATTGGCAGGGCTGAGAGGCCGTCAACCATCACCATTCCCCAATTCGTGAATTCCGGTCAAAAAGTTTGCTTCTTCAAAGGAGTATGATACATATATAGGTGTGTGCCAATATCCCCCAATAAATCATGCTCCTTTCTCTCCAAATCTGTACCACCTGTGGGCTTGTTCCTGGCTGCATTTTCAATTGCTGGAGCTGGACTCCCTTTCCTCAAGGTGCTGGTCGCCCATATACCTATTGATTTTCAGTTTTTCTTTGCATGTGGTTGTTTCCCTGAACATTTGATACCTCCATTGTCAGCTGCATTTGAGGCATTTTAGCAAGCGTGGTGTTAACAGTTGGAAATACGGTTATCATGTCGGAAAGATCTTGTCCTGTTGGCGGGCAAAAGGGTAGACCAGGTTCAGCATGTCCTGTGGGCGCACAGCGAGTTGGTCCTCGAGGCTGCGCTTTTGCTGCATATCAGATGTCCACACAATCACACTATACCCCGCAAGGTGTAAGTATACCCGTCCGAGACTACACAGATGGAGGCTGAGTACGACAGACCCTGGCTGATAGCCAGTCCATGGAATATCTTGTCTCCCAGGAGAGAAAGACCCTCTCGGAACTTCTTCTTCCTGAAGCGCCGCCACGGTCAGTTACCAACGGTCTGGCCAATGCGGATCACCTCAATCCTCGAGATCTTGATGTATTGGCTTCGGCCCTAGGGGCTCCAGCTCGGCAAGTTCTCAACAGAGCCGAGGAGCTTGGCCCTCGAACTGGCTGGAGGGATGGCTATCTCACAAGCTCACATGGCTTTTGTCCTCCAGATCCATCGGCTGCTCCTGCTGCTCTTGCCATGTCTCCTGGAAGGATATGGTCGGATCTCTGTGAACGGATGCCAGCAGTGGTGGCTCGAGGCAAAATGCGCGAATCAATTCTAGCTCTACCTCTGGTTTATGGCACCGAAGATGTCATTCCCGACCAAGCTCTCTGGGCGGCCACGGTTTGTCTTGGCATCCTTGCTAGTGTGTACAGATACGAAGAACGAAATGATGGGCATGAGGGAATTAGCGTGACGCCACCTCCAGGAACATTTCGAAATCTGTCGGGCGAAGCAGATGATGAAGAGGAAGAGACGAAAGGAATTCCCAGGAACGTCGCCATTCCTTTACGACAGATATGCACCCGCATGGGCCGGGTGTTGCCTCATTTGACACAATACGATGTCTCTGTCTACAATTACAAACTCCGGGATCCTACCAGCATCAACCCATACGTTGCACGCTGTGAGAACATGGACTTGAGATGGCCCGTTTTTAACGATCGGGGTGAAGCCATGTTTCTGTTGTGCATGGCCGAGACCCATGGCTGCTTCACCCAGGGTGTTGAGCTCATTACAAGATGTCAAGAACGGGTCATGTTGAAGGACAAAGAAGGACTTCTTCGAGAACTGATTCAATTCAAAACTATCGTCGACAGATTTGTCCACGTCTTTCAAAAGATCAGTGTCAACCCTAATTCAGGAGAGAATTTTGCAAACCCGGTCGAGGTAACAATTTGTCTGAATCTCACGTCACTGCTTTACTGACCATGTTTTGTTAGTGGGGCCAACGATATGCTAAATTCAGTGCTCCTCTTTCCAAGCGAGTCCCGGCTCTTTCTGGCCTTGCGTTGCCAGTCTTTTTACTGATGGACGCATTTATTGGGAGAACAAAATACGACAGCTTCCTCGGAAAAGAAGCTCTTCATCTTCGTGCTTGGCTACCGATGAACATTCGAGCCTTCATTGCTGCGGTCGAGTACCATTATCAAGTCCCCACCTTTGTCAAAGAATCCGGTGATCCTCGTTTGATCGGGGTGATGGAGGGCATCCTGGAAGCATACTTGTCGGAAAGAGGTTGGTTTGGACAACATCGATGTATTCGCATCCCCTTTTCCTCATGGAATGCTTGCGGCTGATCACTGAACAGATAAAGTCTATGGCTTTCTGGAAGTTGTCGCAAAGACCGGTCGAAGCGAGACGAATGGCAATGCCGGCGCAACAGATAATGTCGGACGGCCCTGGGAAGAAGTTCACAAAACTCTCTCTGAGTCTATGAGAGAACGTTTGGAGCCGTTTCGCGGCAAGGTGACTCTGCAACCACATGAACTTCGTGGTTCCTTTGAGGAATGTCGATTCAAGGCCAGAATTCTCTCCCGCTCATTTGTGGATGCGGATCCCTCCCGATCCACGGGCATGGTAACTTTTGGTCTTGACGACACAGGTATCACATTTCAACCTGGAGATCGCCTCACAGTTATGCCTCTGAACAGCTGGACAGAGGTTAGAAAAGTAACTGCCGCATTGGGGCTAGATGACTTTCTTCAGAAACCAGTGCCGTTATCACATGCACCGGATTGGAATCGCTTTGCCAAACATCTGAAGTCCATTAATCGAACAGACGGACCCCCTTCATTGACGGTACAGGACATACTACGACGGGGACATCTTGCTCCACTGACAAAGGATTTGATCATGGCTGTGAGTTCAATAACGGGTTCCGCATTATTTCCAATGCTGACCTTTTTTAAATAGTTTCATATGGCTCTCCGTGCATCGTCATCAACTGTGGTCAAAGTCTTAGGATCTGAAATGTGGCCTGTGCAAGGTACCGTGGGAGATTTGCTCCAACTTGCCGTTTCGGAAGTCTCACCAACGATCTGGGACCGCGCATTTGATTTGGTCGATTTGTCGTGGCTGCCAAAGTTGATTCCTATTGAAGTCCCACGGACTTACAGCATTTCAAATTACTCAAACGAATTGCTCCCCAGTACGGTCGACCTCACCGTTGCTCGCAGTGAATATCGGTTGGCGTCAGTGCTGGACGCAGGTCTATCTCCCAGCAACACACGCTACGGTGTGAGTAGTGGTTGCCTCAACCCGGACCCGTCTCATTCAGAGGAGATGTTCGATGACGAGGAATACCTGATTGGCGTGTCTCGCCCTCTCAATTTCCAACTGCCTGTCACGATGACTGGCCCCGTTGCCATGTTTGCTGGCGGCTCAGGTATTGCGCCTTTTCGTGGATTTTGGCAAGCCAGAACACAAACAAGTGTTGGTCGAAATATTCTTTTCCTCGGTGTTCAATCACGAGAGCGGTTTTCTTATGAGCACGAACTGAGGGAATATGTCCGAACCGGCCAGATCGAGCTGCACACGGCATTTTCACGTGACAAAAACGGCCTCATGTATGACCCAGTATCTCGAGACCTGGTCGAAAAGCAAATGAATCCTCGATATCTCGATGCCGCTATTGTCGAACAAGGGCGGACGGTGTGCGACATGGTCATCTCAAAGAGTCAGGGCGGTCTCGGAGGACATCTGTATATTTGCGGCTCCATTTCGATGTACGAGACGATCATGTCCGGCATTCGTCAAGCAATTTATCAAAACTGGACCTCAACAAAAGAATCGGCCGACAGCTTGCTGGCGAAGGCCTTTGCCGAGAGACGCTTTATGTTGGACATCTTCATGACACCACGCCCTATCAGCTATGCCACCCCACGAATACCACTCTCCAAGCTTGCGTTGAATACTGGGCACCGCAAAGGGACTCGGATGTTGATTGGTGTGCACGGAGGAGTTTATGATATCACCGACTTTCTTCCAATTCATCCGGGCGGGACGTTGATTGCTCAGGCGAGTGCCGGCCTCGACGCTTCGAAGACTTTTGACGACGTTGCCCACACGACAAATCCAGAGGTCATGAGTCTGTTGTCCAAGTACTTTGTCGGTCACCTCGCCGGAAAACCAGACTTCAGATCAAGTGAGATCAGCAGCCTATATGACCTTTGGTATCAGTATCTGCGAACTTGTGTTGAGACTCTCACAACTTTACACTTTGAAGTCAACTACATTCAGGAAGACGCCCGTACGTGGTTTCAAGGCGATCTCTTCAACATGGGCGGGGTCAGAAAATTCTACCAATTCCAATCGAGGTTGATGCAGAATGGATTCTCGACTTTATTCGGGGCAAAACTACAAGAGCTGCATCTGAAACTCACCTTTGCACTCGTGAATTCCGGAACTCCAGACACTCGCGTACCCGATGTGATTGGTACCATCACGAGGACACAATCATCTGCAGCTTCTGCAGCGGCCGCCAATGAGATCTCACAGATTGGCTCGTTTGTCTGCAATAGTCAAAATGCTCAATTTCAGGAGAATGGAATCTTACGGTATGCCCGAGCCGTGACCGAATTAGATGTTCAATTTCTAGAAGAAATCCGAGAGGACATTTGCCTAGGTATGGATGCATTTGACGTCGTCGAATCAATGGAAGTCGCCTCGAACACCGAAAAGCATAAGCTGGTCAGCCTTACTGCATATCTCCTTTCGGTCTTGGAGCGGGCGGCACAGCGACTCGAGACGTTTTATTCCCGGCTATCTAGAGAATCGATTTACCGCCCAGAGCTTGAGAAGAATCCGGCCAGGACACGATGGAACGTGCTGAAACGCAAAATACGTGATGGGTCGTTTTTCATCTTGGCTCAAGGTTCTATGTTTAACGGATCAAAGGATGCCACAAAGCCATATCGGTCTACAAGATATGCGAACCAAGACATTGTTTTTGCCCAAGTCGTTTCTCAGGCCAGGGAGGCCGTCGATGTTGGTCAGAGGGCCGCCAGCATTGCCGAACATTATGAATCCTCCCCCGGATCCTCCCCGGATTCTAACCGGCAACGTCGTCTCGCCGATTCACATACGGCACGAGCAGCCCCAAGTGCCAAAGCACCATCATCTTTTGAGGTGCACCAGTCTCGCAACGCACTTCAATCGATCTCGACATTCATGGATTCCAATGTCCAATCTATCAAACGGCTCAGCCAGCTACCCTCCGATCTCAGCTTTGCACACATTATGGCTGCATATGGTACATCTGGCAGAAGGCCGCCTCATCAGCTTTCCATACGGCCAGTGAAGGAAGTCGATAAGCGGCCTCTTCCACCCGTAACGCATCAACGCGGTGAATCTCAATCATCCTATGCTGGCCGGCGGCCTGCGCCTCCCTCCACAAGCTCCTCGAGATCTGTGTCCAGAAACAGGGAAAATTCGGCAGGGGACACTGCGCCTCGCCTCATGCGCCGAGGGACTAATAACTCCATCTCCAGCGCAACGGGACTTCCTCATCACCCGGCCCCAAGTGTTCAGAGCCATATGTCCTTCGTTGGTAGGCCAGTCGTCCAATCCCGTTCCGCGACGCCAACATCCATGAATACATCTGCCATGCCGTTGCCACTTCAACTATCGAGCCGAACCCGATCTCAATCACGAACGAGATCTGATTCTGAGAAAGGGCTGAATCAACGCCAGGTCAGTGATATCTCAGAGCGAACATTTGGTTTACCTGGTCCGGCCGCACAACCAGGCCTTGCCAGACGCCAAACATCAGCTTCTTCTCCTCAGAATAGAATGATGATCGAGCCTCCATCTCCAAGTAGTCCATTATCACAGGGCGGCCGGCTGCAGGATTTCCCCACGAGCGATATTCCGGCTACACAGTCTACGACAACGCGGATGAATGATAGACTGCTAGCCCAGATGCAGCAACAAAACGAGCTTATCCTCAAAGCTCAAGTTACAGGACCTGGTCCTGCCTTGGCAAGTTCAAGTGGACCGGATGCTCTCAACGGCGGCTTGAAGGCATTGAAGCTGGCGCCTGCGCCATCTCTGAACACAGCTCTGAGAAACAAGGAAAATGCAAGCCCGGGAAACAATATGCCGGACTTTGTGGGGACTGATGGAATAGAGAGATTCAGGGTACCTATGATGCCTTTGAATGTGCGATAAAAAAGATCTGGTTCAAGGAAGAAAAGGGGAAATAAAAAAAAAATTCGAAAATGTACGCGTTGTATGACATGTCATGACTGTCTGCCTGTTTCCTGTATCACATTTAGCACTTGTAACGAATATGGATGTTGCCAGCGAAGATGTAGAATTAGATAAAGATGGATTACGAGATATGCCGAGTCTGAGTTCTTGAAAATTAGGACAGCCTGACACGTGATCGCAAAGGTAACCAGATCACGTGACAAGGCTCGAGATAAGTTTGCTGACCTTCCTCGGAGTTGGTGTCAGAAGTTTCGACAATCCGCTTCATGATCCGTCTTCACCACGACCAAATATCAATTGACCACCAGAATGATGACGTCCAACGTTCCTCCAATTATCGTGCGCTCTGATACCATCAGGACTTCATTTCTTCTGTCTAACATTCATTGTCCTACTTGCGTTACTACCATCCAAGATGTTCTACGAGAATCGCACGCCCACCACATCAGATGGGTTTCACCGAACGTGGTAACATCAGTGGTTACCGTGGAGCACAGCCCACTCGTAACTGTGATAGAGATGGAGTCTACCCTAGAGGAAGCCGGCTTTGACCTATGTGCGGTAACAACCTCCGCTGACGGTAGTGGTGCGGACCCGCTAGCGTACTCTGCCGAGGGTGCTTCAGGTGAAGGAAGTGGACAAAAAATATCTCGACCTGTGTCTGCTCTAGCCCAATGGATGGCTTCGTCCAAGGCTGCCAACAAAACTCCTATGGTGCAAGGTCAAAGAGCGAAGGTGCATCTTCAGAATTGCGAAAAGTGTCGCACAGCCAATCCGCAGAGCAGCGATGACAAGCCCTTTCTACTATTTACCCCCCCTCAGCCATCAACTTCAACGGCACTAGACAAGACGGCCATGCCTCAACAGTCGACCAGGGTGCCCGGCAGCTCGTTCATCACGGTGGAAAGCATCGAGGTGCCATCTCAGGCGAGACGAAGAGCTATTGTTGCTATAGGCGGTATGACCTGCGCCGTCTGCGTCAATACCATCACGGATGAGCTCTCAAAACGAGACTGGATATCCAAAGCCGTGGTCAGCTTAGTAACGAACAGTGCAACTGTCGAATTCGATGATGACGGCAAAGTCGGCGAATTAATCGAAGCTATCGAAGATCTTGGCTACGAGGCTACCTTGGATACATTGCTTCACCTTGATAAGGAGAAGCCTATCACCCAGGAGAGAGTCGTCGAAATTCTTCTCGATGGGATATACTGTGAACACTGTCCAGATCGTGTTGCAAGAAGCCTGGCGGGATTCCGACGTCAGCTCGAGATCGTGGGCGAACCGACCGAGAAACGGCCGATCATGAAAGTAAGTTATGCTCCAGAGGCTCCGAGCTTCACTGTCCGACAGATACTCGCTGCCATCGAGGCTGGCGATCCCGCACTCTCCGCCTCCATATACCATCCTCCAACAATTGAAGAGCGCTCTAAACAGATCCTGCGCCACCATCAATTGCAACTCCTTCACCGCATCATCTTAACGGGCATAATTTGCATTCCGACGTTCATCATCGGCGTTGTTTTCTTGAGCCTCGTATCCGACAGCAATGCGGCGAAACGATACCTCACTGCTCCATGGACCTCAGGCATAAGCCGTGCCCAAATCTCATTGTTTGTGATGGCGACTCCGGTGTACGTTTTTGCTGCGGATCTATTCCACACCCGCGCCCTCAAGGAGATAAGGGCCTTATGGCGACGTGGGAGTCGGACACCAGTTCTTCACCGATTCTACCGGTTCGGAAGCATGAACACACTCATATCCTTGGGGACCACGATTGCCTACGTCTCTTCTGTGGCTCAGTTGATCGCGGCAGGTGTCAACCATTCACACAACACCGATAACTCGGATTTCTATTTCGACTCCGTGGTATTCTTGACTTTCTTCTTACTTATCGGAAGACTGATTGAGTCCGTGAGCAAGTCGCGTGCTGGAGACGCCGTAGAGATGCTAGGAAGGCTTCGTCCCAGGTCGGCAATACTGGTTGAGCACAGTGGTACCGAGAAAGAACAGAATTCGGTCGTCCCGATCGACTTACTTGATTTCGGCGACGTCCTTCGTGTGCCCCATGGTGTGTCTCCCCCGGCGGATGGGATCATCGTCCAAGGTGAGACCATTTTCGAAGAGTCAAGTCTTACGGGAGAATCGCGGCCAGTGAAGAAGAAAATTGGCGACCAAGTATTCTCAGGGACCGTCAACAAGGGCGCTCCGGTCTTGATCAAAGTCACTGGCGTCGCAGGCACCTCAATGCTGGACCAGATAATCAACGTCATTCGAGAAGGTCAAACAATGCGTGCGCCAATGGAGCAGATTGCCGATGTCATGACGAGCTACTTTGTGCCCGTCATCACCCTCATCGCCGTTCTTACTTGGCTTATCTGGATGTCTCTCGGTCTCAGCGGCAGTCTCCCTCTCGAATGGTTAGACGTGAGCTCGGGAGGCTGGGTTGCATGGTCCCTTCAATTTGCCACTGCTGTCTTCATCGTCGCCTGCCCCTGTGGTCTAGCCCTTGCCGCTCCGACCGCCATTTTTGTGGGTGGAGGTCTTGCCGCCAAACATGGTATCCTGGCAAAAGGAGGTGGCGAGGCATTCGAGAAGGCTGGCAAGATTGACTGCGTTGTTTTCGACAAGACCGGGACCCTCACCCAAGGAGGAGAGCCCACCATCATCGACTTCATGCTCTATCCCGAGAGCGACGATATCGATGAGGCCCGTAAAGCCACCTTGCTGGCCGCTCTGAAGGCAGTCGAAGAGGTCAGTAGCCACCCAATCGCGAAGGCTATCGTCACCTTCTGCACATCTCCGACTTCTGAGATTGTGAACGTTGATAACCTCGAGGAGATACCCGGAAAAGGAATGAAAGCGACTTACAAAGAGAATGCCTTGGACTGCTCCTTTGAGCTCGTCATCGGCAACGAAGCGCTAATGGACGAGTTCTCCGTGCACATATCTCCCACCATGACCACTCTTTTACAGAGATGGAAAACCGAAGCGAAATCCATTGCTCTCGCCGGAACGCGGCCTATTTCTACCTCCCCCTCCGCCGCTGTACCCGCATACAACCTTGTGGCCGCATTCTCGATCTCTGACCCCATCCGGCCCGAAGCTTCTTCCATCATCCAAGCACTACATACTCGTGGCACTGATGTTTGGCTTCTGTCCGGCGACAATCCCACCACGGCAGCTGCTGTCGCATCTCAACTGGGGATCAAAGCCGACAACGTCATTGCTGGCGTCCTCCCGACGCAGAAGGCGGAAAAAATCAAGTACCTACAGTCAATATTAAAGGCACGTACCGGCTCTAATACCGAATCGACCGCCCGCCGCGCCGCAGTGGCCATGGTGGGCGACGGTATCAATGATGCTCCCGCACTCACAACCGCCGACGTCGGCATTGCCATTGGTTCGGGCTCAGACATCGCCATCAACAGTGCAGACTTTGTCCTCCTCAACTCGGACCTTCACAATGTTATTACCTTACTCGACCTTTCACAGACCGTATTCCGTCGAATCAAGTTCAACTTCGGATGGGCTCTTGTTTACAACTGCATCGCCGTCCCTGTGGCGGCTGGATGTTTCTACCCCATTGTAAGTGGTGGCCGCCATGTGCATCTTGATCCTGTGTGGGCAAGTCTAGCCATGGCATTGAGCAGTATTTCTGTTGTGACAAGCTCCCTGTCGCTGAGAAGTCGAATTCCTTGGATTGGCTTTCGGGCTGGCTCTCCTGCAGGTAAAAATGCGAGTTCTTTGATGCCATGAAACAGAATGGTGTAAGACAGATACCGGTAGCCTTGTTGAGCGAGACTATCAATTCCAGTTGAATAAATCTTATAATGAAGGTGGGTAATCTTTCGATTACACTTTCCATCAGGTATCCGCCAATAATGTGACCCCTATTAACTGTGCTAAGCTCCATCCTCTCTTCGCTACTGGCCGACCAATGCATCCTCTATCCCGAACTCCTAAGTACCGGAATCTTACGGTCTGAGGTCTCTTTCGCGAAAAAGTGCTCGGCCAAGTCAGGTTAACAGAAGGTCTACTGCAGATCGACCCCGGCATCTCTCCTTCATTCCTTGAAATCAGTGCTCTCATAGACTTCCTTGTACTCCCTGACCGTTTCTTCCAGATCTGCGATAAATGCTCTCATTTGAGCGCCCGTGTCGGATCCGAGAGGGAGCCTCAGTAGTTGTTTCCGATTGGCAAACATGCCTTTCTTCGCGGCATATTCCCAAGTTCGGTCCGCCAGAAGGACAGGATTCCCTGGTTGCTTCAGATTGTATTTTGCAAATGCTCGCCTAGCTTCACCGGCCGGAGTGTTCTCGTATGCCTTGATGGCGGGGGCAAGATTCTGGCCTGCGGAGGCGGCTGAGAGGAAGTTCGTCCGGAAATAGCCTGGCTCCACGATCACAGCCTCAATGCCAAAAGGTGCAACCTCTTGTGCGATGGCTTCGGTGATCCCTTCAATTGCAAACTTTGTTGAGCAATAGATCCCATTGCCTGCAAAGCCATGGAAGCCACCGATGGAACTGAAGTTCATAATAAGGCCTGATTTCTGTTGGCGGAAGTGTGGCAAGGTGGCGCGGATTGTACGAAGAATGCCAAAGACATTGATGTCGTACTGTCTCTTCACGGCTTCGTCACTGGAATGCGGCTGAGAATGGAACTTCCCAGGAGTTATGCGTTATCAACACGTACCTCACTTCCTCAATTGCACCCATGTAAGCGTACCCGGCATTGTTCACCAGGACATCGATCCTCCCAAATACGCTGACAGCTTTGGTCATGAATTCGTGGATCGCCTCTTGAGACCACGATAAATCGAATTGGACTGGTGACATGCTTGGTCCCTTGATACTGTCTGGGATTTTTTCTGGAGATCGGACGGCGGCAATAACCTGGTCACCCTCCTTCAGGGCCTTTAATGCAATTTCAAGGCCGATGCCTGTGTTTGCACCACTGATGAGCCAAACTCGGGGCATATTGGATACGTAGGTTGGTCCGCTGGTGGCTGGGGATGTTGCTCGAGGTTGAGAATACCTTATAAATGTCGAATGAAGCACGCAACTATATACCTGGTGACTCAAGGGCTATTCGCCCCGGTCAATGACCGCGCCGCTGATACAATCCAACATGAGGGTGTCATTACTTTTGACTTGGCCTTTTACCATGTCTTCCTACATCGACCCATTTTCCCCTCGTAAAGGCCGCATCCTGTGAACAGAACCCGACGGCCAAGAAGGCTTGGTTCCAAAGCGTTGTATACTGAAGCATGATTTGAGTAACCTCCTCCCTAGTGGTGCACTCCTGTCAGAATTGAGGAAAGTTCGGGTCTTGGTTTTCAGAAATCAGGACACGCCATCTGGCGCCATTTCGTACGTGGTCGCTTAGTCAGTTGGTCGGTTAGGTAAGTGAGATGCGCGTGATCCGCGGGCCCCGCTTGTTGACTCTGATGATTGTACAGAAGCACGGCCACAGGCTTCTTTGAAAAGAGGGTGGAATAGTAGCACGGTATGCTCGTCCAACAGGTGCACTTCCAGCGTCCGCTCACTACTGGGGAACGCTGGAAATGGGGGTAGACCAGGTAACACCCAGTCCCGTAGGCCTAGTCCGCTGTCTGGAACTAGCATCACGCTCGCCTCCAGGATTAATAACCTGTGACGAAATTTGACATGCGGGCCTAGCACAAGGTAGCCATTACGCCAAGTTTCCTTTTTTTGGATCGGGAGCAGGTCGACAAGCGACGTTCTAGAAGAAGTCTTCTCAGCCATTCGGTACACCAGCAGGTTCCCCAGCGACTACGTGGCCAATACGCCCCGAGCAGATGCCTGCGTGCCAATAAGGGCTCCAAACCAAGCCCCAGTTATGAGGGGAGTGATATGCCCTACCTTACCAACCATCACCCAAATCTACAAGGGAATACACCCCTCCCTACCCTCAACATCCGCGGCAAGGCGCTATCAATCACCTCCTAACCAATATCTAACATCAACATAACAATTCCAACTAGCGTGGAGGAAAAACAGCTTCAGAACACTGCCTACATGCCATGCAGCTTACCACTGTCGGAGGAAGCAAGCAAAGAAATGTCGCCGCGCTGAACGTATCGCAAAGGCTCGCAAAACAACCAGTGAGGATTGTCAGATCCGACCAAATATGTGGGAATCTTGTGCGGTATCGCGATTTCGCTTGCACACCCGGCATTGGGTCTGGGGATGTTGGCAGTGGTGCGGGTGGCAGGCTTTCGATTAGAATGCCTGGAGACAATTGATGTTGCTTACGTAGATATGTACATACACAAGTCTTTGTGAATGAGGTGGAGAATGAATGGAAGTGCGCGATAGTTTATTTGCTCCCAGGTGAGAGATTACAGTTAAACGCAAGCTGGAGGGAAATTTCCCGCCGCTTTTGGGGTTGGTTTTTCTCTCGGTGCTCACCCTGGTCTTCCCTTATAGTATCAGGGATCGGAAGCAGTCCCCCTTCAGCAAAACGATCCGTAAAAACTTTCCATTAGTATAGCCACTGAAATCTATCCTGATTCCCCCAGCAGTGGCGTTGCAATTCTCAAAGAAGTGGTCCGGGCTTTACTGAGCATCTCACTCACGGTGCGTAGCCGCACAAATTCTTCGTCTGCTTGGACATCACGGTAAAAGAAGGGCAAGAGAGATGTCTTCCAGAGAGGAGTGCCGCTCTTTTGTGTCTGTACCACTAAAATGAGCAAAAACAAGGCCCCAGCCAAGCTCAGCACAACGGGAAAAAGGATCCATGGCCATTGCACTTTCACGGTCGTTTGGGACACCCAGACATGCCCTTGAACCGTAGCGTTGCTGACTAGTCGGAGGTACTGGGACACAGAAGCACTGATATTGTCGACCACCTTGTCAAGACCATTTGCTTGGATTACATCGAGCTGTTCGTTATTTGATGAGAATAAGGGTACAAACCCCAGCATTGTGCCTTCTTGATCACGAACATTAGCTAAGAAGCTTGTCACGTTTCGGGTGCCCTCGAGCCTCGGTGTAATGCCCCATTCGCCGTTGTAGGTGAAGCAAACGGAACCACTGTCCCACATTAGCTCTGAGCCTGGCGGAAGGATATCGTCATATTTGTGATAAGGCTTCCAGCAGTTCCAGTCGCCGTTATTGGAATGAGAATGCCAGGAACCGTAGTCTGTCGATATTGTTTCGGCCACGACTTGGCCTTTCCGTACGGTAACCTCGATTTCCCTCACACAAGGGTTCATAATGCATTCTGTGGCTTCGGTAACCCGAAAATATCCCTTCTTCGATAAATCGTCATACGCTAGCTCCCCCTCCGCATAAGCAAGTGCAATCGCAGGACGGGAAACGTTCAGATAGATGTTTTCGGCGGAGAAATTCTTCGTGCCAGGAATTGTGGAGTCGAGTTGCCAGCTCATCCCCACAGAATATGAAACGACCCAAGGAGATAGTTGTAAAGAGGGTGTGACGGTGAAGTTTGGGTTGTAGGTCTTCGAGAGGTCCATGACATAGGGAGCTCCCTTGGGGAGTGATATGTTGCAAGTGGTGTTGACAATGGTGTTGACGGGGGCTGTGTCATTGATTAGTATGCTGCAGCCGTCGCCAATGTCTAGCGTCGAGGTCACATCGTCACATCTGGAGCACCAATCGATGGAATGAAATCGTGGCCAAGTACAGTTCCCGGATGCGCAGGAGGGGTTGCGATTAAAACTGCTCGACCATATTCCGGCGTTGATAGCTGCAACCCACTTATAGTCCACATTAGGCCAACTACTTGTATTGAATGAAATTGACTGTCTCGTAGTAGCCTCCGGTGAAAGAGTGGCGATTTGGATCTCTTCATAGTGAAGTAGTTGCTGAACAGAGGACTCAAGTACCAACGCCATGAGCGTAATTACCGCGCCAATGGAGGCGACGGACAGCAAGTGAAGATGTGACAACATGGCAACTGCTCCTAACGGTCCACGACTGGCGTCGTCGAGTGTTTGCAAGTCCGTTAACCGTCGTGGCTCGCGCTGAAACCAGAACCACTTGACTTGGCTCAACGATGAAGCAACCAATAACATTAGACTTGAACGTGACAAGGATGCCAGAAGGGACACAACCGTATTCAGCGATATGCCACGGGGCAACCTGGGTACTTCGTGTCCCTCGTAAACCCGAAGCACGACCGCAATGGCCATGGTGCAGACCACATTGCACAATAGCGCCGCGAGTTCTGGCCACCAAGTGTCGGTGGTCATATGTCTCCAGAAGCCCGTCTGTAACCAATTCCCCGATGTAGCATGTGAAGTTTTCTTGTACCGAGGGTCTTGCGGGAATGGTGATCCTTCGGGCAAGATTGAGGTTGGAACGTGGCAAGAGGTAGTAGTCTGTTGTGCTTACAGACCTGCCACCCAAGTCCATTCCTTCGTCCATGCGCGTGCTTGATTCACGTTTGTCGCCGATACTGATCTTCGGCGCGGAGCCGAAAAGGTCCTGCCTCGTCCTCTTCCTCCGCAGAGGCGGGCAAACAGAAACCTACGAACCCAGTGGTAGAGAACTGAAAATTTCTGGATAAATACGATACAACATACCTCAGGCTGCGAAGTCGCTAAAACTGGCCAGTGGCCACATAGAAGGTGATGAACTCGTAATCGTTGGGGGGAAGGAACTCCCCGACTTCTAGGGCTAGAAATAATGGTTCATGGCAAATGGGTTCAGGCACCCGGTCAAGCGAGTTTCAGTATACGGTATATGCCTGACACTATAATGTTGCCCTACACATCGTGAACGCCGCGGCGGTGGATCAAGAAACCCAATCGCAGCTTTCTTCATAACAATCCCCCTGAAATGAACAGGGCAATGCCGCACCGTCGGCAACAAGGCGCTAAGGGGGCTTGGCCCCTATGAATACTAAGTAGTCTCCTATATCTCGGCCAAAGCTCATACCGTTACTTTCAATCCTCACGAGATCTTTCCATGTCATTAGAAGGCATGACATGGCTTTCATTCTCAGAGGCTACAACTGCGAGCTGCAACGCCAGCCCGTCACCATCAAACTATAAAATCGCATCACCTTCGGGGAGCGCGAAACTCTATCCAATCATCTTCGTCCGCGCCGATGGTTTCGATCTTTATGTACCTATCGTTGAAGAGGATGCTCGCCCCGATATGTTTTATTTGCGGCCGCCGTTGCATTTCTGGACGACAATTGCCATTGCATCACGAAGGGGCGAAGAGGAACGGACTGTGGGGCAAGTATTTTGCCCCTGGTGACTCTCTGCTAGGGTAAACTACCGGAAAACCATCCCATTCACATCTGGAGCTCAAAATGATAGTATAATTCTGCATGTGGCCATTTCCAACTTCGCCAATGACCAGGGATTCGTCTTATATTCTAGCTTCTATCGCCAAACCAGCACCATATGAAAATACACAAGCCTCACATCATCCGAGACTTCTCAAGGACGAATATCAATTTGAAACTAGAAGAGACACGGGACTCGCGCCAGATTTGTTTCGTCTGTTTTAGAGCAGCCGAATGGTACTCAAGCTCCTAGCAATTGACTATGCATTGTCTATATGACGTGTTTCGTGCATCACCAGGTTCATTGAGCAGCCTTATTTGTCACCGATTCGACCTTAGCCAAAATCTGCTCGGCCAACAACCATCAACTACCCTTCGGCGTATATCACGTGTTGGTGATATCACGGCTCCGCAATCATCTCAACAGAACCATGGCAAGCCGGGAGAGAAGGATCGAGAGATCGGGTGAAAGCAACAATGATGGTTTGCTCCTTCTGTTCGAAAATGGCTTAGGAGACCTCGGCCAGAATTAGAGGACCGACTTTGTCCGGTCAGTCTGTTTACCTTAATATCTAGGGGCCACCCGTGACAGTTGTGGGCGACGAGGGAGATGGCAGGTGGCGTGTTTTATCATAATTATCCAGGCGGGGTGGGGTTGACGAAGGCCGTGGTCATTGAAAGGATTGCTGGAAGAGAGGGCGCTGCCGCTATTGTTGCCACCTCTGCTTTATCAAAGAAGTGATCAAGTGAAAGAGCAATGGTGAGAGATCTGCGTAGTTGGGTTGGAGGGAAACTCCGTGTCAAGCTGGCGGATGGAGGATATATGACATGTCTTCCCATGGTACGTTTATTTCCCAGCAAATAGATCGAGACAATTCGAGTTTAGAAAGCCCGGTCACTGTCAAATATAATAAAGGCGAGGTGTTGAAGATGAAGTGTGGTAGCTTGCACACTTTGTATACTCAACACGATAAAGCAGCGTCGTTCTTGTGCAAACTAGGCTAGTTAACAATACCTTTTGCTTTAGGTCACCGAAGCAACCGCCAACGGACCATGAACTCAGCCTTGTCCTTACACTTTCTCGTCTTGATAAACCACGGCCATCAACCTAGCACAGCACAAACCCCGATCTTCCACAACCAACAATCCAAGAAAGATCAACAGTGGCTCGTTATCGAAGCACGGTAGTATGCCACCCCTTCCGCCGGCATCTATCCCCTCCTGGAACCCCCGTGTAGTCTGCTACTTCCAAACCTACCACGACAACAACGAATACATCTCCTTGCTCCCGTTAATCACCAACCCCTCCGGCGCCACACATGTCATCCTTGCCGCCGTCCACGTGAACTGGGACCCGAACAATTTGACCCTCAACGATGACCCGCCCGACCACCCCAAATATACCCAGCTGTGGGACGAAGTCATCGTCCTCCAGGACTCCGGGATCAAAGTCCTCGGCATGCTCGGCGGGGCTGCACGTGGCACCTTTGCGCGGCTAGATTACAGTGAGTCGCGGACTGATATGCCGCTTGCGCGCTTTGAGGCGTATTATGTCCCGCTCCGCGATATGATTCGCAAGTACGGCCTGGATGGACTCGACCTGGACGTCGAAGAGGAAATGTCGTTACCAGGTATAGTCCATCTGATCGATCGACTCAAAGCCGATTTTGGGCAGGAGTTCATCATCACGCTGGCTCCCGTCGCTACAGCATTGATGGCTGGCCGCCCGCATTTATCGGGCTTTGATTACCGGGTGCTCGAGGACATGAGAGGCGGAAGTATCGCGTGGTACAATACGCAGTTCTACAATGGGTGGGGCGGGATGCATAATACGGACGCATATGATGTGATTATGCGCAATGGGTGGCCTACGCGAAAAGTTGTCGCGGGGATGCTGACGAATCCGAAACATGGTGGGAGTGGGTATGTGCCGCTTGAGCTGTCGGCGGTTGTGTTGGGGGCGTTGGTGGAGAAGTACCCTGAGTTCGGGGGCGTGATGGGCTGGGAGTACTGGGATAGTTTGCCCCAGGAGAGGAATTGTTGGATGTGGGCGTATTGTATGGGGTTGTGTCTGGGGATGAAGAAGGTGAGGGATCTAGCGGTCGTGGTGTTGACGGGGAGGAGGTTGGCGGGAATTAATGTGAGTGATGTGAATCGGAATCAAAGTCGGAATCGGAATCGGAATCAACCACGGTGACGGCCATTGCTATGGGGATGATAATAGATTGAAAGGGGAGAGGGCTGGGTGTTCGTGACGGTCCCGTTGGGTACATGGTGGATAGCGGACACTACAGTATTATCTACGTACTTGGTACATAGCTAGAATCCCGCACCAGAGAGCCCAAGAGGCATTCAGATTCGATCCCTCTGCATTCGAAGCGAAAGCTTGGTTTAACAAGCAAGAGTGCGCGGGGAAATGGCACTTAGGAAACTAATACGGCTGATTATCCGATCTGGCAGCGTGCTCTATGGTTTGTGAGCTCGGATTTTCTGTCATATTTGAAGAGAGGACGTCGCTGTCCGAGTTTTCGGGTAGGGCGTAATCTTTTACTACGGTCATTCTGTTTTCTGGTCCCCAGAGTTTCCCGGGGCCCAAGACGGCGCGGCACACTTCCTGTTGTCCACATACTTAATTTTGTGATACGGCAATGGGGACGAGAAGAGGCTACTGCTGTTACGTATTCTTTGCCCTTCACAAAATCGTCTGGCTAATGATCCACGTGATAAGACTTTTGTATTTCCGGCCATATCGTCTCGATTTAAGCCTGTGTATGTCCTCGTTGGGCAACGGACTTCTCCTGAGGGGCTTATGGGGACTGCTATGGCAGGGAGATAATATCGAGCACCACCATCTTGTCAATCTCAGACATACCCCTGAACTCAACGGGTATTGGCGGTGGCAACGAGGACATCTGATCACGACGGACCATCATGTACAGAATCGGACACTTTACGACGCTTGGGCCGGTGCTTTGGCCGGCTGTGGGAGACAATGTTCTCAATCTCAGCTCTCCACTCTTGGAACGGATATTGCGTCCCCAAACTGCCTTTCCATCGGCGACCAGTAGCCATTACACCGTAATTTTGTCTGACTTGGACGCGCCTCTTCGTATATTCTTCATGGAAATGCCATCTTAACAGGGCCAGTTCGCGATCCCCCACGCCGTGGGTTCTTTGAAAATGATCATAGAGGGCCTCGTCGGAGCTGCCTTCGATGCCGCATCCATCTAGCTTGCAGGTCCACTCGGAATCGATTTCCTCCTGGCACAGATATTTCCCCTTGACTAGGCGAGACCGCCGGATCGCTTCTTCCAGAGAGAGTTTTGCCCGACTCTGGAAGACACATCTGCTCCGCTCGTCCAAGTCCGCAACCCAATCTGGAACCATCAAGTCTTCCGTCTCGTTACAGACTCGCTTCCTCTTCTTGTGCGCACAGACATCGTACTTCGAGTCCCACTCAAGAAGATAGTTTTCCTCGCAGAGTTGGTGCCAGGGCCGAAGGTGTTCGAGAACGAATATGCGATATTCTGTTATCGCCCACATGTGGATCTGGTCAATGAGCGAGAGCAGCTCCCTTGCAGCTTGCTCATGAATTACGTGACCACTCCAGATTTTCTGAAATAGCTAGAAAGGGAGCTCAGCTCAATGAAAAGACGTCATTGAGGTCAGGCTTTAGAAACTCACGTATACCGTTTCGCTCATCCCATCCACACCCGCGTGCTCGGTCGATAGGCGTGGCCGTCTGTAGCCCACCAGGAGATGCCAGTAAGCACCGAGTGATGTAAAGACAAACACTTGATAATGATGGCTAGTTTTGGTCTGATAGGGCCTTGGGCTGTTCATTTGTCCAGGCTGTCGCGCCAGGCGATCAAGCATATCAAGGTATGTTGCAGCAGCTAAACACGCTTGCCGTCTTGCCACACGACAATCACCACTCCATCCTTTAGCCTCGTACACCATGAATGGGAAAGAGAGATCGATATCTGGTATCCGTGGATCGGAGATGAGTCCATATTTCGGGTGGAACATCAGCCGTTCTAAGCGATCTGAATGTAGATCAGGCGTCCAGGTGGGTAAATCTGCGAAGGTGGAGGTCCCTGTGAGGTGACAAGTTACCGGGTCGGTGTCGGGAAGGAGTGCCGTATATTCGTGTTTGTCTCTTGCGCGAAAATAAGTACCCAGATCATCTACCGTTAGAGTCGACTCACATTGTCAGGCAAAGATCATCTCTCAGATGTCGAAAGACATCGGACCATGCATCCGCCTCCCAGGCATACTCACTCTTACACCACCTCTCATTGTCTTTCGAGTGGTAAGCGAAACTCCGTGCGCGGATTTGCTGTTCAAGCATCTCTGGACTTCGGCTTTCGCTTTCGGGAAGAGAAGGGGTCCAGACCTTTCGGTCGAATACCACCATGTCCTCAGAGAAAGAGTCGCGATAATATATTCCTCGTGCGTGTAACGCGTAATCCTTTCCGTATTTGGAGAGCATAAATGGTGAATAGACCATCTTCGGATCGAAGTCTCTGTTCGCAAGTTAGAAAACATATTGTATATTCAGTCACAGTGTTAGAAGACTCGCCGGCCATCGTTTGCGTAAAGTTGCTCTATAACATACGCTAATTCAGCTTCCGTTCCAGAAAATGACCTCATGTCGACATCGGCAGGAACGGTAATAACGTCCTTGATATGAATGTGCTCGGGCCTACTTTCCCGAAGCTCTTTCTGTCGCTGCTTGTGTGCGTCTCTGAGTTCTTTCCATTTCGTTCTTGCAGAGGAACCATCCTCTACATGTTCAGTCATAACGAGCTATGATGAGCTAAGTTCGAAGGGAATTTGATTGAGATGCAGCTACTGGATGGGAGACGACGGCGACGACGACGACGCCCCATATACGTTGCTCACTGCCAGCAAGTGGCGGATGCAAACCACATTTACAAGGGACTCGCTCAGACCTGCTCAGACGGGCACCCGCTGGGGGCCGAACGAGGGTTCGCCAGCATCGAACGTTTCATTTCGGGGGCTGGGCTTCACAATTGAGGAACAAAGAAACGGGAGTAGAGAAGAGTGAAAGCTTCTGTTCACTAGGCTTTGCCTTTAGGCAGCAACCTTGGCTTGAAGCATATCATTGAGGCTGATCAGCCACTATCGCCGAGTTCCGGGGCCGGAAATGGGCCTATGTAGGGGCGAGTATTGGGTCCCCTGAGGCATGCTCAGGAACGTTCAGGCGACGCCCAGCAAAAATTGCTAAAGCTAAAGGCGCGGAACCAGGTTTTCCAAACAAAACGAAAGTCCAGAATCGGGGAGTCCTTGCTTGGATAGCGCCTAGTTATAACCCTTGTGTTCGAGCCGAGCCGAGCCTGGCGATGGGTTCACCAGGGCTGCACAGCCGCTGGCTCAGGTGAGCATGGCAAGGTCCTAGACCTGGAAACGGAAAAGGCATTGTGTACTGTGGCGATCGTATGTGAGCAATCAAGTCGGTAATCTACGATGTCATTTGAACGGGCCAACTTGACCAATCCATCGTTGTTGTAGTCTGAAAATGAGTGGCGAGCCCGGCATGCTGAAATTGTCGGGAAAACCCCTAATACACATGATCAATTGAATACCTACCACGTTTATCAAAGCCATACCCAATAGCCACGTAAGTTAGCCGTCTTGTTCAGTTCGACCAATGACCAATCATGCACCCATCTGCGCATACTTTACACTTGGTCGTCCAATGGAATCGCACCAAAGAGTTGTTGACTATCATACTTTCAAAGTTCAATCAAGCCCGCAGCTTGGTCAGCCTTACTATGTCAGCATCTTCATTCTTGAACCGAGCGTATGACACATTCCGTACTATTTAAAAGCGTGTGATATTGATATCCCAAAGATTGAGAGGTCTTCGCAGGTTCAAGCTCCATTGCTGATCACATTCTTTGAGATATCAGCAAGAGAAATTCCTTGAGCTTCAAACATAGTCTCCCCATAAAATATCATGACCACCCGTATTTTCTGCCAATGCTATCTCCCGAACGCGCTTCCCCTGGCTAGTCCGGCGATAAATCTCAAACTCTGCAAATATGTCATCTCAAACATGTATCCTCAAGACTAGCTTTGTCTGAGACTTGTCAGCCCAACTCCTGCTCTACTATCTCAGATGTTCTTTTCCATGTTGAGAGCACATTGTTTATGATGCGCCGCGTTCGGGTGACTGGAAATAGATATTTGTACGCACTGCTTCTGTCAATGGGGAATATTTTGGTAGGCTCTTATGAAGAACACTTTTTGATTGCCCTGCCTCTCGCCTCTTTCTAGGAGAAAAATTGCTTAGTTCCTCCGAGCTTATCCTTCGACTCGACCAAATCGGCACTAGATATGAAAAGAATCGGAGAGCTCTTCAAATGGTGTGGATGGTTGGCCTCCCAGACCCCCTACGAACATTGCACCGCAAACTTCTTGGTGGCAAAATTACCGTCGTCAAGCGAATGGACGTCCACCGAGTTTGGCATGCTGGGCGTATATTCTCGAAGCCTATTCAGAATATTCGAGTGGAGGCTCTATTCTGGAAAGAAAATCTTTCCTGCATAACCCACTATGAGTATCAGGATCGCAGCAATGACGAGTCACAATGCCTGAGACACGATGTCAAACAATCAGTCGTGTACATTGATTGTGGCTGAGTGCTCTATCTGTTTGGTAATTGGTCCTGCCATATCGACCCAATTTCTGCCATTACTCCTATCCCTATATCCCGAATAGGAACTATAACCCCTCTTCCAATAGCGGGGCATTGGCTACTGTTCAACATACGACTTCCATCACTGTGGCTCTTGGATTTCTCTAACACGTATGAAGTACTTATAGTGTACAAGAACATTTCCGCATCGCTGAGGACTACCATTTGATCCCGGGCAATGTTGAATGGCATAGTTGCCAGATGTTCGTGGAGGTCCTGTCTTCTCAGCGAAATATTTCTGACCAGACACGCCCGCGGTTCAGATATGGAGAGATACGGCTCAGTCGATAGAATAAGATCCACTGGCTCGTCGAAGGCCCTCTGTTCTGACATGACAACCTCACCATCGTCTCGGCCATGACGACTTCCATGGCGATTGTACTCAATGCTTTGCAAGTGCAGTATTTGATGTTCTCAGTCTAGTGACAGTCATTTGCTTATTCACGCTATACGTGGTCATTGTATTCCTGCCGAACTGGATATGTACCCTGTCACACTAGCCAACTATAGTCAGACTAGGAGCTCCAAAGTGTGGGACCGTTTTGAGGAGCATCATCGATCCTTATGGCACAGACGAATAAGATGCGGCTATGTCACTGGTGACAAGGGCAATGATAGACAAGGCTCGGCAACCTCTTTGTATCGGTGGAGCCAAAGGCTGAGAGCTTTGGCCCTTATGTAAGCAGAATGTTCGCTAAGCTCGTCGCCCTGCAACGAGCCGGAGAAGAATTGCGGCGAAAGCCTGTTTTATCAATTTCTCGCTTGCTGAGCATCCACCTTCCTCTCCATCCACAATGTGATGCACATACACTCGCTCGCTGCTCTGGCAGTGAGTTAATATCAATCCCGAAACCTCAGCATCATCATGCCTCCCATACTAGAAATCATCACGGGCACAAGCTCTATAATATCAAGGCTTGCTGCCTTCATCTTTCTCAGATGGGTACGAATTCTTCCCACCGGAAAGTACCAGGGAACTAACATCGAGTGTAGATTCCCAGCCATATCTTTCCTCCAATTATCGTAACTGCTGTTGCCATCTATCTCAGCTGCATTTTGGCGTGGCCTATGTCGGATAGCGCTGGGATGCAGGAAAGTAACCACGAGGCCATTCCGCCGCCGGATCCGAATGGAATACCTGCGGAACACCTTACACCCGATGACCATCAAGAGCCCATTCTCTATGACGATGAGAAATCGACTTTCAAGATCCTACTGTTGGGGATACCTGACTGGCGAGAGAAAAGATGGAGCTACATGACGATTGGAGTTAACATATTACTGGCCTTGTTTACTCTCGACCTGGCCTTTCGAGGTCCGCTCTTCCATCCCGCCCAAGATTTAAGTTTTACCCGGGTCGGCTATGTCAGCTCAGATTCGGCAAAAGTCTTGATCAGAGAACCTGATCCAGCCCAGTTGCCAATGTATGTCTACTTGTCCATGGCCGACAAGACTAAATGGACGACAACGGATACGATTTATTACCTGGGCCCAGAGACCGATTACACTTATGCTGCCAACTTTCACGGACTTCGGGCTTCTACCAAGTACATCTATTCATTGTCCAATGATAAGCAAGGCACCTTTATCACGGCGCCGTCGCCATATTCTGAAGCGGCCAATAGCTTGACCTTTCTCACTTCATCTTGCATGAAGGCGAATTTTCCCTACAGACCTTGGGCCCATGCCTTATCCATTCGTGGGTTCGAATACCTTTCGAAAGTTGTTCGGTCCTTGCCGTCGCCAGCTTCATTCATGCTCTTCCTCGGTGACTTCATCTACATTGACGTTCCGATGCGTCTATCCTCCTCTCTTCAACATTACCGATCTGAATATCGGCGTGTCTATGCCTCACCATCTTGGTCGTTGCCCGGCCTAGACTCCCTTCCCTGGATCCATACGCTTGACGACCATGAAATAGCAAATGACTGGTCCGCTGGGAATGATACGGATCCTTTCCCCGCTGCATCAGACCCGTTCATCCACTACCATGTTTCAATTAATCCGCCAGTCCCCCTTGGCTCTCCCAGCGGCTTGGAAGCAAACATTACCTATTTCCAATTTTCAAATGGACCGGCCTCATTCTTCATGCTCGACACACGACGCTACCGTACTGATCCGGAACCTCCCTCCGCCCAGTCCTCAAACACGCCATCAAATTACACTATTCTGGGTACCGCCCAATTGGCCTCCCTGCTGAAATACCTTTCTACCCCTGAACCTGGATACGTCCACTGGAAAATAATTGCCACCTCTGTCCCCTTCACTAAGAACTGGCGTTTTGGCACCTCCGATACCTGGGGCGGATTCCTTCACGAACGCGCCAAAATCCTCGCCGCCATGCATGCAGCGGAGCGCGATCTCGGCGTTCGTGTCATCGTCCTCTCCGGTGACCGTCATGAATTTGCCGCAATCCGCTTCCCACCACCAGTCGTGGACTTTGCAGCTTCAAAGGCCAAAGCCAAAGCGAAAGCGACCGACCAAAATGCAACAGACCAAACACATTCCAACACCGACACCAAAACCGTTTTCTACGACCGGAACCCACAGTCTGGCCCACATGAATTCTCCGTCGGTCCATTCAGCATGTTCTACCTGCCCTTCCGCACCTTCAAGCAAATTGATGACGAGGACGTCACGATCAAGTACATACCAGACGGGAACAATAAGATCGGGGTAGTGGAGATACAGAATCTCGCGGGGGAGGTGCAGAGGAGTCTGCTGAAGTATTCTCTCTACATTGACGGCGCATTGGCGTGGGAGTACGCGCTTACTAGTCCGGCGAATGGGTCAGGGAAAAGGGGTTGGGCGTGGGCACTCGGTGGTGGTAGGAGGAGGTGGTTGTGGAATTGAATTGATGAAACACCTTGATGCTGGTATAAATGTGAAGGAGATTGATTGATGCGCTTTGGGATCTCAAAACAAAAGAGTTACGTTACGATAGTGAGCAACATGGAGATTTCAATATTTCAATATCACCTCATTCATTCATGATATTATATTCCATTCCATTAATCCTGTCCTTCCTTTCCTTCATCTGGCCAATCTTGTGTTTGTCCATGTACGACTTCCATATCCTTGTGGCAAGCCCGAGCTTGTAGATCAAAAACCAGCAGACAGGGCTGAGGCTCCGAGTATGTATATTTCGGTATGCACAAAGAAGACCACCGGTGCTGATTCCTAGGCATGATTAGACCTGTCTGTTGCAAAACAGCATCCAACTTTGTTCATTTGGCGCCGAGTTTCGGAATCAGAATCGGAGACGTAGAGCCGTTGTATGAGCCCTGATACATAGATGCATTGTTTCATGAGGTTGACTTCTAGGCATGTTGTTTCGTGGAGAGAGAGGGAGGGATGCACAATCTCAGTGCACCGTTCTCGATAGGAAAGGGAATGGCCGTTTGAATTTGTCCATACGTTCATCTATTTTCCCTTCCATGTTCGTGCGTCCGGTCAGAACGGATGTCAGGGTTCTTCTCCCAAATTTAGCGGGAATAACGCTCTTTTGATGCCCAGTGATATGCGGCGCTGCTGTGCGCGCTGCGTCCTTCTGGTATGTAATTTCAGACAAGCGGGTTAGGTTGATTCTTCTATCTGCGACCGATGTCATTAGTGGGGTGTAGTGCTGTCGTGCTCATGACAAGCGAGCAACCGCTCGGCCATCTGCAAATAAGTGCCACGGATGAGTGGAGGTATGCTGCGCAGGCATACGTCGAGTCTATGGTCCTGTGGAGAAGAAAGACTATGGAAGCGTGGCGTATTAAGTTCTTTCCAAACGCCAACGCCAAAATCAGCAATTCTGACCAAATCTGCGATCGAAATCTTTAAGCACAGCCATGACATTGGCAGCGTCGATTTCCAGCGCTGGCCGTCCCACCATCGTAGGATTTGCGTCACTCGCATGTAGCTTGGGCAACCAATTTGCAATATCACCGCTCGCGCGTTCATAAGCCGGGTGTCGACTTAATGTGGTGTATGCGTCGGCGCAAGTGAGTGTTACGCCTGAAGCGAGGTGAGTACGGTGGTGGAAAGGGCCGGCAGCAGCGCGGGACCGGGTGGTTCGAGCCGGCAAGGGAGCAGAATCATTGTGATCCTGACTCTGTCGGTATGAAGCGCCGGGCGTTGGTGCGCCCCCACATCCCGTTCGTGCATTCGCGGCCTGGGCGCGAGACGCAGCTAGAGACTTGCAGAACAGTGTACTGTTTGGATCAGTGCGACATTGGGCGCATGTTCCCGGTCCTGAAGCACATCCTGGGTCTGGGCTGCCTGCTGCCGGGATGGATATGGAGACATCACCCTCTGATGGAGGGGGAGTGAATTGATCGAGTTGTCTCGGTGGATCAGCCTCCACTGTTCTTGTCGGTCTGCTGGTGTTTACAGAGGAAGTGGCTTGCTCCTGTACTTGTTCCTGTTCTGCTGCCATTTCGGCACAAATACACGGGGTACCGTCGGTGCAAAATCCACAAGGATCTGCCACGGCCGAGGTTGGAGATCTGTCCTCTGGTCGAGGTACGCCGGTGGCGTGCTTCGAGGCGTAGACGGCGGTGAAGTCAATTTCCATGGCTTCCTCGGGTTCGAGTTTGATCCTTTTCTCTCCAGCTGCTGGGGCCGGGGAATGAGGACGTTTCTCTTGTTGATGAGCCAGGGTGGCCGCTTCACCTCCCATCGCTGTGAAAGCATCGTCGATGCATTGGCAACGCGTGTCTAAGGTGCAATTTCCGCAACCAACGGCATTATCGTTTATCTCAGTATCGGCAGATGCAGGAGGCTCGTCTTGGGACGTTGTCTCTTGGCTGGACCGCGGAGCTGCCGGTGTCGATTTGAGAGCCGCCAATTCACCCTCGAGTTGGTGGCAACGGTCCATCCAGTTGACGAGGTCGACTCTATATTGTTCGACCTCCTTCTCAAGTTTCTCAATGGTCCTCCTCAACAATTCTTGTTCGTGTTCATGCTCTTCCTCAACTTGCTTCAGATGTTCTTCGAGTTCTCCCACTCGAGCGGCACGTCTTTCGCGGAATGCTCTTTGAGCCGCACGATTCTGAGCCTTGCGCTTGGTCGGTGGTGTATCCGTCGCCGGCTTCCGACCTGGCTTGGGACGGGGAGGTATGATCCATTCTTTACTGGTGAGAGATAATGGTGCCGAGGATGATGTTGAGCTGGGGGATGCAGCGGGAGGGGTCTGAGCGGGTTTCATACATAGAGAGGGCTGTCGCGAAAGAATTGGCTTGACATCCACGGGTGTCGCTGCTGTTGCCGTTGCTGGAGGTGATCCAGCATTGGAGGTCATGTTGCGCGTTGCGTGTGGCGGTCTTGCGTAACTACGTGGAATTCCGATATCGACCGGAGAAGAAGGCTTGACGCGGGTTGTTGATGTCGCATGGGATTGGAAGGGCTTGTCCGGTGCTCCAAGGCTCCCCAATGGGTAGAAGAGAAGGAACACACAGTAGCCAGAATAAATTGTAGGCCCTGTGTAGAGAATTAATGGTAAGGAAAAGTGAGTAGACGGCCAGAGATCGTGCTTGGGAGGAGATCAAAATTTGATCATATCAGATTAGATGGGTTCGACCGATAATCGGACTTGGCAGGAGGGGGGAAGGGTTTGGGAAAATTTCGTTGATAAGCCTCCGGAAAGATCAGGCCACTAGGACACTTACTGCAGGTATCTTTTCACAGCACCGTTCCGTTGGAAACAATGGCATGAGCAGTGTCTAAATTCCAAGCAATTCCCAGTGCAAGAAGAGAAGAGTCGGGGTATCACAAAATGACTCCTGGAAACGCCTTGCTCACTCCCGGTACAAATAGATTTCCCACACAGCCAACCATACCAGTGAAAAGAATTGGCCCTTTTTCTTGGACTAGAATTTACTGCTGTGTACCCCCGCACTGGCTCCAGCGGTAGCCTCGCTGCCAATTTGAAGCCCTCCAACAAAAGAGGTGCCCCAAACACCGATGAGGCCCCAGAAGCCAACCCGCCAGCCACGATATAATCCTTCAATTCCTTGACCCTTCCGTTTCCTTCTGGGTGCCTTGCCCATCAATGCAGCCGTTCGATCCTTCGGTGATTCGGAGTATCCCTCTTCCCGTGTAATACTCCAGATTGTGGGGAAGATTCCCCGGTAAGATTGCGGCACAGGTACGATGGTCGTGATTGCTTTGGCTTTAGCGGATGGCGAAGGTGGTGCATATGATGGTGACGTCCAGGTTGCAATCTGTGCGCGACGAAGAACCGTCTCAAGAGGAAACTTGATTGATAGATCCAATGCCGAACCGGCAAAGGTTGCGACGCTCCAGCTCGCGGGATGCATGGCCGGGTCGAGCCCCAAATATGACTTCAGAAACACGGGTGTGCTATTGGCTATGAGAGTCGGTAGTGTGGATGTGAAAAAAGTGATTGGAATGAGATGTGCGGGTATTAGGTACGCCGTGGGTAGTGTACGCAGCGTTCCTAACAGCGTCCGCGGCTCCTGGCTGGAAGGTGTGAGGATGAGCCTAGTTCTCGCAGCGTCAACTGGCGCTAGAATGAGGGCAGAGATGGCTGTCGCGGCAGTACTAATTAGAATGGTTGCCATGGGAGATGTTGAGGAAAGAATTGATATGTCGGGAATCGACACGGGCGAGGCTGGAACGAGAATATCGTTCTCTGCCACCCCAAATACTGCTGCCAGAAAGTTCCTGAAGAATGTTTCCAAGGTTCGCGACAATATATGGTAAACAAACGTGGAATTCGTGGCCCGCCACATTGCTAGGGCGCCACCACTGGAGGAGAGGGCTGAGAGCGTGTCAAGGAGAGAGTGAGGATTTCTCAGATGAATTCGACCACCGGATGGTAGAGTGTGATCCGGGTGTCGGGAGGGTGGAATGTCTCGAGGTGGCCTCCCTCGTCGACCGCGAGTCGGCGAGCGGCTCGAGAGAGGGCGTTCGAAGGGTGCTGCCGACGTGAAGTAATTTGGTTCGTCATCGGAGGAGTGGTCAAATTCGTACTCATCGAGACTATCCTCTTGTCGACCATGGGTCTGTCTCTTCTCCGGCTCGTCTTTTTCATCTTGTGCAACGCGTGCTTGTAATATGAGCTTCGCCACCTCGAAAGGTTGTGCGATCACCACGCTCGTATATTTCCATAACGCCCGGTCCACAACAGACTTGATTGATCCCCGAAGAGAAGGGGAAGCTTCGGATATGTAGTCGGAATAATCGATGTCTGGGAGTGTGAAAGACGGCCCGGAGAAAGGCTTCGACGTTCCTGCGGTGCCGTTTGACACTGCGTCGATTCCAATGGAGGGAGGAACGTAATAGGGTCGTAGAGGATTTGGGACGTGCCGCGTCTCTTGCATGATGCGATATTGACAGGTGAGGATTGTGTTGGATCCGCCCTTCTCGTTATGTTTGCAAGGAAGAAGGTGATCGATCTACGATGCAGCAAAAGATGCCCTCGCCAGCATTTGAATCAGCTTCTCCGACAGGGCATGAGGTCCACGAATCAGATTTGCTCACGTGACAAGCCTATTTTGTCATTTGAAAATCCCCCGATTCCTGGGCTCTAGTGGACAATAATCCTTCTCCATGTCGCTCAATACCGACTTTGACAATGTTCACACTCTATCCATAGCTGTCGAGTCAGGACATGAGTCGACTCCATGTAACATCAACCGCCCTGTCCATCCATGGAGATATCCCGGTCGACCTCGTTCCAATCCAAGTTGCTTTTACGACTCGGTTGTCTTTCCTTCTCATCGCTCACCCTGCCCGGGCCATTAGTCAAAGCCTTATCTTTCTTCCCTCGTCGTTTATCTGTTCGGTACCTTTTGGCGGACACGGAGCCGGAACGCTGTCCGATGCAAGCCAGAACCAGACAGGGACTAAATTAGGGGCAAGCAACACGGCAAGGCAACCCAAGAAAGCGCTGGGCCAATTGACACCCGATGCTGTTGAACATGTGTGTGACGAACATGGGAAATCCAGCCGCGAGCCCAGAACGAATAATCGTTGCCATGCTGAATACTAGCGCAGGTCTACAAGATAGATGTCAGCCCAGCCATTCAACAATTACAAGCCAGACGGTGCGCTCACTTCGTTTTATATACGTCAATTAAGTAGGTAAAGTGAGATATGAATATCATGGGCAGAAACCATATCCAGTAAAAAACGCCGATGAGGGTAGGCGCACAATCCCCTGCACATGTTGAGGTGGCCCAGCCAACCCAAACAATCCGATGGGAAATGCAACTGCTCCTGACGAGGCGATAGGCATGCGCCACTCAGGTACCATGATACCATTGTTCGCCCTTACCCATCGCGACTACAATTGCTGTGGGATAATGTTTGCGGCTACTGCAAGGAAGAAGCCAACGATGACATGTCATATCCTCTGACAAAGACGACGTCGTAGGAGATCAGGAAAGGTGTAGGGCAATGTATGCACAAAGGCTGAGCCTGAATGAGCATTATGATTGGCCACAAGAAAAAATTTTGCAGCGTTTGCTTGAGAGTGTGGTGCTTCTCAATTTTGGCATGGATGGCCCATTCACACGGAATTCGGCAGCCTTCTGCTTCGGGATATAAGGAGATACGGACCCAGAGGCGAAGAACAGCAGACCGAGGAGTGTACCGGCACCTACGAAGACCGTCCACCATGCGCACCACCGCCAGCCAATCGAAGAATTTGTCGACGGCAAAGCCTCCGAGGGTGAAGGCCACAACGGCCCGCTGAACACGGTGAATGCAAACACTGTGGTTGCATATCCTCTGTGATATATGTCGGCGTACGATGCGGTGGTGATAGTTATCGGACAAACCCCCGTGATACCTTGGAAGCATCGGCCGAGCGCCGATGTTTGAAGGTTCTTTGCATTCGCCGACCCAGCTTCAAAACAGAGAAATTCAAGCATTGCAATGACCATGGGACTTTTCGACCTCGAGATTCCGACCGGGGTGCCCATACAAAGGGACCTGCGACACAGTCGGGCAGGAACAACGTGGACATCGAAAAGGGTTGAGACTTATCGGAGACATGAAAACAATAAGAAGATTTGCGGGGGGGAGGAGAAACGACTCCTGAAGCAAGTGCTGAGCGGAAAAGGGAGAGCTTGATAAACAAGCAAATCATGGGCCTCGGAAATTCATGTTGGAGACGAGATTGCTGTCGTACGACAGGGTAAAGGAGTGTGAAGAACTATGTTTTTCTGCACCAGCCCATTCTATAGTGACGAGAGATTAGCTAGACCATTAAAACAGACTAGGTACGTTTTACCTGTCTTCATTTCGTGTCTCGCCCGGAGATTTCAGAGACGGTTATGTTGTTCTTCAATGACCTCGATCGAGAGAGATTTGAGATTCCGTGTGCTCCTTCAAAGCCTGACGCAAACCCTTCGAAACAGGACAAGTCCTCTATGAATTCACAATAGTGAGGATGTGGATTTCTGCCAAGGACTCTAGCTTGTGCTCGACTAACATTCGTTTACGGAGTATATCAGTAAAGCGGCTAGTTTAGCAGATAGTTCTAATTAGCATATACATTCTCTTTCCGCCGCTATTACAAAGACGACTAGTCGCTCTTGTCCTCAGTTGAGGATATATCCGAATGCAAATTTCAGCACCAAGATGGGAGTTGTCGAAACCTACTATCTCTATGCGCTTGTCGTTTCAGGGCTCAGCCTAGGAACAGAAAAGCGACCTTGCTATTCTGTGGAAAAACAAACGAAGAGAGGCATATGAGGCAAGCCATTCGTACATACTTGATCAATAAAGCCTTGTTGAATGGAATTTTCAATGCACTATTCGTTTGAATGTCTGCAGGAGTTGAACTCCCCGGTCACACACATGATACCATCTAACCCTTTCACCACGCGACGATGTGACATTCGAAAACACCTGGCCTTTCGCAGAACAGGGTTGAGATCGGCAAAGCGATTTGCTCGTCACATTCTGTCAAGCAAAAATCTGATCGATGAATGACCCGAGCGAGGCGCAGTGGGGGCTAGGTACTTCTGTGGCGCCTCTGAATAGCCTGTCCGATCGCCGAACAGATATCCGTGCAGGAGCAAGTCAGTGAGGGAACCATCCTGGAAAATTAGGCGCCAGTCTTTGTATGCCTTCTTAGTAATGGTCTGGCCACATATTCCCTCCCCCCGCTCTCCTGATTTCTGAAACTCTTTTAGCGTTTCATTTATCATGCATCTTCGACCAAATCCCAGTGGAAATGCGGCTAAGCGTATGTAGGTGACTTGCTGGTGCGACACCTGCGGCAATTGTAGGCAAGCGCATTCGGAGCCAGGCAAAAGGCCCAGTTCCTCTACCTTTTTCGCGCCGCCATGACTGGAGACTACATCCACTCCTCTCCGTACGACGCAAATCATTTTACAGTATTCTTCCCACCCCAAATTTCTACGAAATTCGTGGCGTTGGAGGGGAGGTATCCCAGGCAGCATCAGGCTCTATCAAAAATTCCCCCTGCATGATACTTCTAGAGTATTCTGGCTCTTCCAACGAGTGCAAGATAGAGCCCATCTACATATCTATCTGAACAGTGCTTTTCAGTGCTGTTGCCTGTGCTGCAGCCTAGCAGGCAACCATCTTCGTAGGTCAACACTTCTTCTACCGGTCACTAGCCCCATAATATATCACACACTATTTCCCTTTGCGCACGCACTTGATTGGACAAGGAGAGCCACGCTTCGTTCTGGGGGGCCCCGGTTCTATTCAGCAAGCGCCAATTCATGGGTCCCCTTGGTCATTCTCAAGGGATTGCGTCCGCACGAATGTACCCACGCAGGCAGAACGAGACGAATAGGGCTGCAACCAAAGGTGCAAGATATTTACATAGTGCTGCTGGGGCAAATTCCTTTTGAGTACAGCACGAGATTCCGAACCTCACTACCTTGTTCAACTCTTTGCGAACACACCCACAGCGTTAGAAGATGTCCAAGCCCGGTTTTGACCCCAACGGCCGCCCGCTTACTGTTGCCGCGGCCAAGAGGGAGATCAATCGGATTCGAAGCGATCGAGGCCACATCGACGCGTACGATGAAGACCAGATTGCCCGGACGGATGTTGAATTCCAGGAAAGCTACAGGCGCAAATCGTCACAACTCCGCGAGGTGTACGCACGATATACAAGGACGTAAGTCGACTGCGCCGAAAACTTGAATGCTGAGGTTCTAATGTGAAAAGGGTTGCCGAACAGCTCTACTCCTCCAGGTTCAGACTGATTCATGAGCTGTTGCAGAACGCAGATGACGCCCGTTATGCGCAAAGCGTCGTTCCCACAATTACTTTCCGCGTCACGCCTACAGAATTGGTCGTGGAGTCGAATGAACTTGGTTTTTCGCTCATGGATGTCGAATCCATCTGCGACACTGGAAAGAGCTCCAAGATTGGCGATGCTGACACTACCGGTGAGAAAGGTCTGGGATTCAAGTCCGTATTTGGCATCGCAAATAACGTTCACATCCAATCCGGAAAGTGGTCCTTCCGGTTTATGCACCGAAGAGGCGACGACGGTGTGGGAATGATCACCCCAGTCTGGACCGATGCGCCATCCGACTTGCCCTCGGGGGTGGGAACTAGATGCAAGCTCCAGTACTCGGATACTCGCGAGAGCTTCTCCAGGCGACTCGTTTCGGAATTCGAAAAGCTCCCCAAGACCATCATCTTCGCTTTACGTCAATTGAGCCGGCTGGTCGTGGTCCGTGAGAACGTTGATGGTCGATCTGGCCAAATCACCTTCACCAAGGATGGGAGGTTGGATTCGGCTGAGATGCACATCGATACCCAGGTGATCGGCCACTTTGGTGACCATGGATCTGAGAAGACACGGCTCAGGTTATTCCAGACGACTGTTCGCGACATGCCGTTCGAGGCCCAACGGACTGCTCTGCCCTCCACTATCACCATAGCATTCGAGGTAGACGCCAAGGGTTTGCCCGTTATTCCTACCCGGGGACAACATGTGTTTGCCTATCTCCCTGTTCAGCGTTTGCCGCAACTGCCTGTATGTCTTCCAGCTCCTTGAACGGCGACAGGCTGACAACCTCCAGTTTCTTATCCAAGCAGACTTCGTGCTCGCCGCCAACCGCGAGGCAGTGCCAGATAGCGAGTGGAACCAAGCTCTGCGCGATGGAGTGGCTCAAGCATTTGTTGCCTTCGTCAGGAAGCTTGTCACTCGTGGTGATTCGTTGGAATTCAAGTGGATGCGCTACTTGCCTGTACAACCCATGGAAGGCTTCTGGGAAGACCTCTCCGAAGACATTAAAGAATATCTGCAGGATAAGAAGGTTGTGCGATCCTGGTGCGGTGACCTTCGCACGCTCGCATATTTGAGGTTTCTTCCTTCCTGGTTCTTGTACGAGCAAGAGCCACTGCTGCCGGACAATTATCAAGATATCTACTTGTCCCCAGAGTACGAAAAAATGGACCTCGATCGTTTGAAGGATCTTGGTTTGAAGCGAATTACTTCTCGAGAAATCGTGGCGAGACTAGCCGAAGTTCGACTCGATGAGGAACCTCTGGATGATCCCTGGCACACAGCCGTTGCAGCTCTCGTAGAGAGGCTACTGCAGAACCACGCCGTCAAGGCCGAAGTTCAGCTATTGGATATCATTCCACTCAACGACGAAAGCTGGGTTTCGCTTTCGTCCTTGCGTGCTGAACCTGTCTACTTCCCCTATCTCGTCGACGAAGATTCAGTGAGGATCGAGCTACCCGAAGGTCTCGGTCTAAGAAAGCTCCATCCAACAGCCGCTGCAGACGGGGAGCGCGGGGGCATCTACATGAGGCTCGGAATTAGCTCCTGCCATCATGAAACAGCAATTTCCAAAATCTTGGATGCGCATCTAGCGAATGTGCGGCGCGGAAACGTGTACGATTTCGTGAGAGATTCAGAGATCCTCTTCTGGTTTGGCAGACCTGAAGAGAAGGAAGGTGGCGGATTATTTGGGAGACAAGCACCCCACAAGGATATCCGGTTCGTGAGCACCCTAAGATCACTACATCAGGGTCGGTCTCTATTCCTCCCTTCAGATGAGGAGTACCACGCCCAGAAACTTCTTGCCGAGAGCCCAAGTACGGATTTTACTGGCTTCGGATTTCTCAATCCGCTATATTTGAAGTCACAGGTACGAGATAAGATTCGCCACCAATGTGACTGGTTTTCTTGGCTGCGAAAATGCGGCATGTCGTACTTCCCTCGACTGAATGTGTGGACATCAAGTGGTTACTCCCTGAGCCCACCTATGAAGCTCATAGCGAGGGACAATCCGGTTAAATTCGTACCAAATCTCAGAGAACATTGGTCTGACTATCAGGTTGGTTCAATCTCGGTTGAGAAAGAATTGAAATGTCTTCCTGTGCCATGTCAGGACGGAAGCAAAAAACCGATGAGTGAGATAATTCTTCCCACTCAAGAGCTTCTTGAGGAAGCTCAGCAGCTGAATATGGAACACAAACTACCATTTTTGCAACTACCTGCCGGGTGCAAGATTCAAACTCCCGAGTCTTGGTCTTTTCTGAAAGAGTTTGGCATGATTTGTGATTTAAATGCTGCGTTCTATCTAGCGGGAATACGTCTACTAAGCTTGTCAAGGGAGGAGCATTTGATCTCGGTCTGTTCGCGTATCTACGCTGGTATTGTCAAAAGCACGCCTATCGGAGATGCCGAAACATTGCAGGCAAGTTCTCAGTAATGCCGTGAGGAGCCAACTGACGTAGAATTAGAAACCCTTTTCGAGTCAGCCACTGGTGCGCACACGCACAACATTGGAGACATGGTGCAAATCAGCCGATTGCGTCTGGGAAGGGCCCGAATTCCTCCACGCCAAAAACGTCCTGTATCCTGTGTACGGAGCTGATCCAAATGCTTCTACATTCTTCAAGACATTCCTGAATATGCGTAACGCAGATCACAAGGATCTGGTCGATGAGCTTACATTGCTCTCGGATGGGCAACTGGATGGGATGTCGCCTTCGTTCGAAGAAAATTTGCAAGTGATATACACTAGTCTAGCCGATATGGCACGCTCTGATGCCATCGTCGACTTTATACGGTATGTTTTCGTCTTCGGCATGTTCCCTCCATCTTTGGTATACTCCGATGCTTATTATGAGTAGAAATGAATTCAATGCGCGAGGTCTCATTTACGCCAGAGGGAAGTGGTGGAAACCCTCGGAGTGCCTATGGAATTGCAGAATCGAGATCTCTGGACGTGTGCCGCTCGAGCAGACTTACCCCAAACTTAAGAACTTTTTTGTCGATAAGATGAAAGTGATGCCCATGAGCATTAATGTACTTGTCCAAGAACTCTCGAAAATTACGAATAAGGCTGATCCAGACTTCGACGAACACAAGCGTATCATGCTCGAAATCGGACAACTCTTGGCAGCCAACCCAGCTACAGAGGTCAACGGAGAGTATCTCGACCGACTTAAAAAGACGGCCTTTCTTCCTGTCCGTACCCCAGATGGCATGAGGCTATCCTCACTAACAGAGAACTTCTGCATCAACGATCATAAGCGATATGGAGATGCCTTCAGAAACAAGACGGGGATGTTGGACTTCGACTATGAAGATTTGACATCTTTGCACCCGTTCTTCGAACTGCTGAAAATAGAGCATCGATATTTATCAAGCCTTGTGTCAGCTCAAACCACCGTCGGGAGCTTCAGTCCGAGCGGAGATCTCAAGAGACATATCAGAGACCGTGCGTACGCCATGTCCTGGTAAGTATGGAATGAAATGAAATCCTCAAGTAGACGTCATCTGACTCTCCCAAGTTGTGCCAATGCCTCCAACAGCCCCAAATTCTATAACCGGAACACATCAATACACCGGTTACTACAAAACGCCGAAGTCTTTGTCTGTGAGAACATGTGGACGGAGCTCACTTTGAAACAAGAGCATGGTAGTATTTCCCTCAGAAGTGACAGGGCAGTCGTCAAAGTAGAGCAGTCTGACGAGGCGCTGGCTATATATGTTCCAGATGACAACGACGGTCTCTATTCTTGCTTTCACACTGAGCTTCCTGGAGAGCTTACCAAGTTTCTGGGAATTGAAGACCGAGGGAGGATGAAGACTATTTACCGAATACTTAACGACGTGGAGAGGGACTTGGACACGATCATGGGGGACGAGGACATCCCAGGTTATTCATGGATCGACAAGCCACCAACATTACCGCAGCCTTTGCAAGTTCCCGTCGCCCCAAGGCGCAGAGAGTCGGTCGAAAGTGATTCATCTATGTCCACACATTTGTCCCTCCAAGAAGATCTACATGTCGACAGACCGGTTACTCAAGCACCTGTGTGGCAGCACGTGGCACGCACCGAGCTATATAAGAAGCTTCTTCGTGAAGTTGTGCGACAAGCGAGACGGATTGGGGATGCTAGCACGTCATCGCTGTCCCTGACTGAAATCGAAGAAGCTCTCAATGAACTCGAAAACCCACTTAACTATGATGAATTACGTCGAGAATTGGCGACTTACGGCACGTTCGAGGAAAATGCTCGAATAGGAGCAGCCGGAGAATTATTTGTAAGTTATGCCTGCGAAGGGTTTTATGAGCGCGCACTAAATTTCATGATTTGCGAGGTATTCGAACTTCTGAAAGCACGGCATGTCTCGAACTTCACGATCGATAACTGGCGGAGTTCCATTCGTTATTTAGTCAGCGTGCTCCCTGAGTACGCGGAAGAAGCGGCTTGGACTGGACGCGAAATCTCAGATATCATGTACAAAGGCAACTGCTCGCATCTCATGGATTTCCTGAGACAAAATACGGTACATCCATATCCACCGTGGCTCGACTCCAGCACCTCAGCATTCCCCGTGCAGTATCATATCGAAGTCAAGACGACCCCTGGACCGTGCAGCACGCCATTCTTCATGAGTGAAAATCAGTACAAATTGATGCGAGACAAGGCCTGCAACCCTCAGTCAAGGACAGCGCCAGCGGACCTTTTTGTCATTATCAGGGTCTTCAATCTATTCTCCAGAAATATCGGCATACAAGCCTATGTAAACCCATGGCATCTTAGGGACACTGTCTTGGAATTCGTAGCGGACCCTTGGAAAGTCTTTCCTTGTGAGACCCCATCAGTAAGTGTGGAACGTCAAATCGATGAGCGATTCACCAGAGTACTAATTTGAATTAGTATATAGGTTCCGCCAAACTAGGTCTTTCGTCCTGTTGAAAAAATTGTCGTAAGCACATGATCTAGCGAGAAGGATTTAGTCAGGGAGTCATCGGTATCACGCCCACTTCCACTTCAAGGCACTCGAGTTTCCCAAATGGTATTCGAGCTGATCGATTTGTCAAGCTCGCACCAAGGTTGCATGTTGCCTGTATCTTCTCTATATACCAACCTCGCCGCTGGGCTATGGTGTTCAAGCACGCAAGAAGGTCGGCTGACCGTCCTCCCGACGCGATGACGTGGAGGCAGTAGGCTACATGCTGGTGTATTTCATGCGTGGGGGACTCTCTTGGCAAGGCCTCAAAGCGAAGGGGAGATATCCAGATATCTCCTTGTTTTTGGAGATGAAGCTGGCGACCAGCGTGATTTTGAACGATGTTCCAAGCCTTCCAGACAATGAATCACCCCCACATCTGAATCATTGTCCCCCTACAATCGTCGACAGCTGCGAAGGGTATGAGCATGTAGATCGTCGAACGATGATTGTGAGATCACAATGTTGTTCGCATCGACGGTTCACGTTCGAGTTGTGTGCTTTGCATGCCTTCCGTGGTGGTAGGCGCGTGGTACAACTGGAAGACATTGTGCTCGATGACGTGGGACGGCTGGTGAAAGCAATACTTATGAGCTATCTGAAAAAAGGTGCAATCCTGGATCTTCTGGCTGTTGGCTGTATTGCGTGGCGAGATCACTGTCGCTAGGCAGAGCATACCGTCCGTGGCCTTGCCGAAATTCACAGAGGGATATATTCATGACGACTTTACCCTCGACAATATGACCATCGACGAAGAAGGTTGACTTTAATAGGCATGGATACTGAGTGGGATGGGAACTAAGCTAAGCGAGGCCATTCAAATAATTGGGCACGGCTCTATTTCACCTTCGACGTGTGCCCTCCACCTAGCGTCTTCTCCTTGCCTTCCATATTATTTTCAAGCTGTCTTATTGGTGATTGCTACTGCAGAATCTCCACTCTTCCAATGCAAGTTGCGTAAGAAGTTTAACAAAGATGGACGTGTTTTTTCCGCTCTCATGGACATTTTTGTGTCAGCTGGCCTTGGACTATCTCGAGGTACGGCAAGGCTCCCTCCTGTCACCAATGTCAAGCGAAATAAATCCTTTGCTAAAACGTCCGGATCCTTGACATCGAATCCATCCAAGACGACGCATATAACCCCACCAGATACACTAAATGCGTGGCTCCTTCCCTGGAAACAGCTGAACAAGTCTATCCCATATCTCTATCGAAAGCGGCCAGGGCCGTTGACAACCCCCCGCGCCGTGTCCCACAGGCCTTTCCCTCTTCATCAAAGGTTTCCGGTATCTTTCCCTTCAATATGCTGTCGATTTGCTCTTCGTTGATAGAGACCCAGAATCGCAGCGACTGCCATATCCAGCCCGCGGATATGTTGATCCACGGCGGGCGTATGCAATCGCACGCCGAGTGGACCAGGCATGACGATGTCTTCGCGGATATTTCTCCGTGAGGGCTGTTGCCAGGTCGGCAGGTCGAAATGGATGCGATCTAGAGCAGGTAGACGACCATTGGAGTGAGTCATCACGTACCCATCGCAGTATCCGGACAATAAATATTTGTAAAAAATGTTGTAAAGTTCTCTAGCGTTGCCCTTGACGTCGGAGGGGGTTCATCAAACCAGGTCGATTCATCATTGGGACGTTGATGAATGGGGAATAGGACGGATTTGGTGTCAGGTAGGCGGATAAATCGAGCCAAAGTCAGCTCCAAGTTCCAATGAACAAAATATTTCTTGGAAACTAGGCTGGAATAGTGACAGGGACGTGGTGTGGAGATTCTTAGATGTACGCTGAAATGTGGTGGCATTTTCCTGTAGCGATCTTAGTCACTACAGTAGTCGATATTTCATTACCTTCGAGGTTATTGAATTAGACTTGAATACTAATAAAGGGATGGTATCTGAGGTGAAAAGCTAGGCTTTACGGAGCAGCTCCATCTTGACCAGACGGCCATCTTTTGCCGAATGTACTACTGTAATTCTTGATTGGGTGAACCCGGGTCTACAACATATTCATTCACATCACTAAAAAAAAGCGGCTAAATAAATCCCGAGAAAGGGGAAAGCCATACTCGGCTTCTCGTCAATCCAGGTGCGGATGCCTTTCCTCGTTGCTCGGTCTCCTTTGCCGATCCACCTATAAAGCTGACAATAACTCATCTATCAAGCCTCAAATGCCCGAATCTCCTGCCCAAGCAATGTCTGCTGCCGGAAATGACCACCAACAAAGGATATCCTCTCATGGATATTTGACGCACCGAAGTATTGTGAAGATGAACCGGTCAGTTGATCACCACGTCATTCAGAACTTCATCTCATTCTCCTAGATCTACATTGATCCTGAAGATCCACGACGGTCATTGAGCCTGAAGCAGGCCAAATCTCTAATACGACGTCTTATTGCAGGGTTTCGGTCTTTGCCATTGAAGCAAGGAGACTCCGTCTGTGTGCATTCTTTCAATAATGTCTGGCCCCAATCTACCAGGCCCTCGATTGACGGTATGAGCTAAGCCATTCGACAGTTGTACTATTCTTGCTTCTTTCTGGCTGTTGTCAGTGCTGGGCTTGTTTGGACCGGAACCAACCCCGGTTACACCAACCATGAGCTCCAGCAGCACCTGAGAGCGACCAAAGCGAAGTTCATCATTTCAGAGCCGGATCTTTACGACGCTATGTTGGTGGCCACAAAATCATGCAATATTCCAGAAGAGAATCTTCTTGAGTTTGATGGGTTGTCGGAGAAGTTTAGTCCTAAGTCCTGGAATATATTGCTCCAACATGGGGAGCAAGATTGGGTGCGTTTTGATGACAAGTCCATTGCACAGTCAACGCCGGCCTGTCTCTTGTTCAGCTCAGGGACTACCGGCCTTCCCAAAGCTGCTCAACTTTCTCACTACAATCTCGTCGTCCAACATACTCTCCTCCAAGAGCAAGTAGACAAGCCATACAGAGTGAGACTCCCCTTCCTATTTGTGAGTCTCTGCTACTAAACAGGCCGATCGCGATAGGTGAAACGAATCCTCTGCCGTCCTTTCTTCCATGCTGCAATGGTTCCAATCGGCCATGTTACACCACTTCGAGCTGGACATATCTCCTACGTGATGCGCAGATTCCAAGTTGAAGATTTTCTTCGCTACACGGAAAAGTATGAGGTGACGGAATTATTTGTTGTGCCGCCAATTGTCGTCTCCATCCTACAGTCTCCCTTGGTCAAGACATACTCTCTAAGGAGCTTGCGATCTGGAATGACAGGCGGGGCAAAGTTAGACCTTTTGTCTCAGAAGAAATTTTCCGCTCTCATGCATCCAGATGGTGCCATCAATCCTTGCTATGGGATGACTGAGATTAGTTGTATTGGAGCCTGTTACCCCTGGCCGGAGAAGGATAGCGACGGCAGCGTAGGTTATTTTCTGCCCAATCTCGAAATCAAGTGAGTCCGACCCGTCTTAAATGCTGGAGTGGGTTGAATTGACCTGTGCGCGAAGGCTGGTGGATGACAACAACCGAGAAATTCGGGCTTACAACACCCCAGGAGAGATCTGGATTCGGGGTCCAACTGTGATCAAAGCCTACCTCGCCAACTCAGAGGCGAACGTGTTGTCTTTTTCCGGAGATTGGTTCCATACCGGAGATATTGCTTATTGTGACTCGAGGACGAAGAAGTGGTATATCGTGGATAGGAAGAAGGTATCGATCGTTCGCAACATGCTGGAAATAAAACCGCCAACAGCCTTGGTGAACACTAGGAGCTGATAAAGGTTCGAGGCTTTCAGGTTGCCCCACCGGAGCTCGAAGCTGTCCTGATGTCGCATCCCTTGATTTCTGACGCCGGTGTAATAGGAGTGCCGGCATTTGATGCTGTGGACGGAGAGCTTCCTCGAGCGTACATCGTGCCGAAAACAGGCATCGAGGGAGATCGGCTGAGCGAGGATCAGGTCAAGCGGTTCGTTGCAGAACGTCTTGCCAAGTATAAGCAGCTGAATGGCGGTGTCGTCATTGTTGAGGCTCTGCCTAAGACAGCCAGTGGGAAATATCTCAAGAGACATCTGCGGGACCTTTGGAAGCGGGAAGCTAATACGATCCCCAAGTTGTAGTTTGAACAATGCTTGAAGATGCCAATCAGGCTCGCGTGAGCATGCTGCAAAAGCATGATCTTCCCTGTTTCCTTCAACGGGGAAATTTATTGCGCTCTATATTGCATTCACGATAGAAAGCAACGTCAATAGTCCACTGCACCAGAAAGTTGATCTGCTCTCGGATTTCAAGACGAAAATTAAAGAATCTAGCAATCCAGCCGGGTGGCCGAAAAGCTCGGATTCCCGTCGGCAAAGCACTACTCGTTAGAGAACGCGTCAAAAGAAGCTTTATCCTTCAAACCCGACCAATTTGTTGACAGAAAACTGATAGAGTGAAAGGACTAGTACATTGCGGGTCAGTCTGGCACAAGACCTTTTCTACACTTTTGGAAGTCTTTTCCGGCTCGGCACCGCAAGGCTTTGGACTTGTCGTCTCTGCGTTCGATCGTGGCCCTCGGCGCCTACCATGATCGGCCACCCGGAAAACATAAAGCAGGTGCTCATATACAAGAGGACTGGATTATCTCCGCAACTTCACTCCGGTTAAGGGGTTCCTCCTCCAGTCCCCAGGTTTGATTTCGTGGCAACCTGACGCCTCGTCTCTGTACACAACAACTTGCACCATCTCGACATGACGAATGAAGAAGCAACCAAGCTCCCTCCACTGCAGCATGTGGAAGAGACTATCAAGGCGGATCTTGAACTCAAGGACACCTTGACCACGCAGGCGATAGAAATCGATCCGAAGGCGGAGAAGAAACTACGTTGGAAGATCGATCTCTTTTTGATGCCAACACTCTAGATTCTGCTGGTCTTGAGCTACATTGTAGGGTTTGGACGCCGCCGTTGTTGTTGTGAGATACTAATTGCTCTTGAGGACCGATCCAACCTTGGAAACGCGAGGGTCGCGGGCATGTACGACGATCTGAAACTCGATGACCAGGATTATTATCACGCAGTGGTGACATTCCAGGTGGGATATCTGATCGCTGGCACGCCCTCCAAGTATGTTTGATGGCATCGTCTTCCCTCCAGTCTATCGATGGCTCACATAGCACGTCACTATCAAGCATGATCTTGGTTCGAGTACGACCCTCTCTATACATACCGATGCTCATGATTCTGTGGGGCACCTGCGCGACATGCTTGGGTGCCATCCAGACCAAGGGCCAATTGTGGGCGGTTCGCTTCCTGCTGGGAATTACGGAGGCCGGCTTCGCGGTACGATACCCCTCCCATCTTCCGCGCTTGGTCGTGGTTGACCTGACTATGAAACAGCCAGGAGTGTTCTTCCTCATAAGTGCATGGTACAGGAAAGAAGAACAGTGCGTCAATGCCGTTGTCCGCCCCTCTCCACAGAGAATCTCACCGCTGCTGTTAGGTCCAAGCGATTCATCATCTTTCTGAGCGCATCGATCCTGTCAGGTGCATTTGGTGGTATTATCGCAGGTATCATCGCCAAAAATCTGGACGGAGCCCAAGGCATCGCCGGTTGGCGTTGGCTATTCATCATTGAGGGGGTCCTTACCGTAGCGATCGCCTTCATAGCACCCTTCTTCCTCCTCAATTTCCCGGCCACCTCCAACAGACTCACTCTCGAGGAGAAGTAATTGGCCATTGCCCGCCTGGCTCAGGAGCTGATCACCGCTAGAGACACGCGCGCTGCGTCCAAGCTCTCTCATTGGCGAGCATTTCTTTCTGCCGTCTTGAACTGGAGACTCTATTTTCTTGCCGTGCCGTACATGCAGTTGGTAGGGTCGAGTGCACTGGCCTATTTTTATCCCTACCTCATCCAGGGTTTGGGATACACTGCAATTGATGCTCAGTAAGAGGCAATCCATCTTTCCTCCAGCCCAGAAGCTTGCGGTGAACCATCAGTCTGATGCTATGGTAGATTCATGACGGCTCCATTGTACGTGGTCGCTTTGGCGATCAGTATCCCGCTGTCTATTCTAGCCGACAAATACTCGACAGCGCGGAGTCTCTTTGTTTCGGCGATCATGCTTACCGGCGGTATCTTCTGTGGTCTCGCCATGGGTATTCAGACGTACGTTCCTTGCTATGTTTTCTTGTGTTTCATCAACTCGGCGATCTGGGCGGGCAGCCCAATTGCTCTTTCATATGCGAGCAGCAGCCTGGGTCCGGTAGATACAGAGACGAGGGCAATCAGCTTAGGTATCATTAATGGCCTGTCTCAGCTGGCACAGGTTTACGGCTCCGCACTCTTCCCCAGTGCCGATGCTCCAGCATATTACAAAGGCTTTGGGACGTACACCGGCCTTTGTGTTCTGGGAGCCACGGTGTCGGGTATTGGCCACTTTCTCCTCCAAAAATATCCATATCGGGCGGACTTTGAGTAAGGAGGTTACACACGAACAAAAATTGGGTTTTAGAGGAGTGGATATCTCGAGGAGAATGCTCTTCCTCTTATTAGCCTCGATTGACGACAAGAAGGGTTGAACATTCATTTTTTGTCTCTTCCTGTAGTAGACTTTGACAAAAGGCAAGAACGTCCATTGCAGACAGTCTAGCTACTGTGTCCTACCCATTTCACGTACCTTCGATTGCTTTAAGGTGCTGTAGATGATTCAACAAAAGCCTCGTTCGCCTCATTTGACAGCAGGTACCTTTTAGAGTCATATCATTAGTTGCCTTCTGCTAGAAGATCGCCCAGATCCTAATGATGGTATAGAGACCAGCCACCATCTACGGGCAATTCTATCCCGGTGATACCACTTGCCCCTTCCCCAAGCAAGAAGACGACCGCTTGAGCGACCTCTTCTGGAGTGATGTCTCGGGTGAGCGGAGCGCGTGGCAGCGACCGTCTCTGCACCCTGCCGAGATCTCGAGGCTCGCCAGCAGGCTCGCCAGTGGAGGGGCCTGCACAAACGCAGTTGATTCGGATACCATTCGGAAGATAGTCCATGGCCGTTGCCCTGGTCATGCCTACAATACCGTGCCCCGCGGCACAATAACCGGGGAAGCCTGACTCGCTCGCAAGGCCTTGCGAGGCGGAGATGTTTACTATGGTGGCAACGCTCTTGTTGTCTTTTCTCTTTTGCACCAGAAACTGACGCACTTCCGATCGCATCGCCAACCAAGTCTTTGGTGTCATTTCTAGTCAGAAGATTGGAAAGATAAAGAAACGAGAAAGGAAAATGCAATTGAAATTTCGATTAGGGGGGAAGAGGGCTACTTACTCCCCTCTGCCACACGTCCGCGGCGTTGGTGAATTCTGCCAGAGAAATTTCCGTGGTGTTGCCTTCAAGAGGACCCGTCGGCCTCTCGCAGTTGGCACAGTAATTGATCTCACCAAATCGATTGACTGCAGATGCAATGATCCGGTCCAGATCGCTGGGCACTCTCGTATCACACTTTTGGCTTAGAATCTGAAGTTGACTGCCCCCCAAATTCCGACACTCTGCTTCCACCCTGGCGAGATTAGTTTCGTTCAAGTCGGCCAGAACCACCTTCGAACAGCCGCTCTGGACAAGTAAGTGCATAACTGCTCTGCCATCCCCTGTGATGGTAAGCAATGGGTGCTGGTATTGTCTAGATATGCCGAACCGTTACTTACCTGACCCTGCGCCGATCACCAACGCGACACCTGAGAACAGTGACATCAAGAGTACTAGGCAAATAGACGAAATATTGTTTTGACAGGCAGTCTTGTCCGCTCACGACATTACGACTGAAGTGGTATTTTCAAGACGTGGTCATCCTGGTGATGAGAGGAGACGAGATCTTTCGGTCTGGTTTTCTCGGCGCGAGACTAGACAAGGCTCGGCGCATTGCCACGTTCCCCGCAGGCGTACGGCCTTAGCCGACTATCAAAATCCATCAGCCGGTAGGCGGATCGGGCTGGAAGAATCCGAGGCTCCAAAAATTGTCGACATACTCTATAGCTTTATCGTCCAAACATTAGTTTCAAGAAGGTCAGATTTTGCGACCAACAGTCGAAAATGTCTCTCAAGCTGCCTGGCGTTTGTTTGATAACTGGTGCAGCTTCAGGTGTGTCTTTTTTGTTCCGACAAACACATCCCAAGGAAATTACTAAGCACATGTGTATATTTGCAGGTATTGGTAGAAGCGCCGCTGTGACTATCGCACAAGAAGGATGTGAGCGATTGTTTCTGGCAGACATTAACCTCGAAGGCCTCGAGCAAACGAAGAAACAAGCCCAGCAGGTGCATCCGGCAGCCAGGCTGGAAGTTCACCGAACCAATATTGCTGACGAAGCTTCTGTGAAACAAATGATCGATACATGTGTCTCCATCTTCGGCCGGGTGGACTATGCTCTGAACGTCGCCGGCGTGGTGCCTCAGAGAAAAGGTATTGCCGACCTCGACGTCGAGACGTATGATAGGGTGATCCATATCAACGAGTACGGGGTGAGGCCCCTTTTTTTTTTTTGGGACATCCGTCACCTGCTTTTCTCTCCCGTCTAACCTGCTCCCTTACTTTCCCTCCCACAACCAGGAAAAGTCACCTTTAGACGAGATCCCTCTTTATCATCCCATTGCGGCCTTCATTTTCTCTCTGTCCGTCGTTTGGGCCTGGACATTCTAACACCATCTGTGGCCCAAGACCTGGTTATGCCACCAAGCAGAGATTCGGCAAATGATCAAGCAGGAGCAGCTACCAAGCCACGCTCCCGTTCGAGGCAGTATCGTTTCCGTCTCGTCACTCGCCGGCATGAATGCGTCCAGCGGTATGTCGGCATATTGCGCGTCGAAGCGCTCGCTGATAGGGTTTGCCAAAACCGACGCGCAAGACTACGGCCCGAAGGGTATTCGAATCAACGTCGTGTGTCCCGGTATGATAGATACCGAGCTCTTCCGCCTCACCAGCCCGCCGGATGCTCCGCCCAAATTGGCGGCCATCACCCCGATTCGGCGCCTAGGAAAGCCGGAGGATGTTGCTTGGCTGCTGGCGTTCCTGTGCAGTGAAAAGTCCACCTTCATCCACGGCGCCGTCATTCCGTGTGACGGAGGTTTGGTCTTGCAGAGAGGTGTGATATAGCTTGATATATGAATACCCTATTCTCTCCGACGAGTGCTGAACTACCGCGGATAAGTATCTGGTACGAATCGTGTCGAAATCCTTTCAACGTTTACATGCACCGCATGCTGTCTCGAATCGGCGACAAGAGAAAGAACATTAAGAATAAAAATGACCCTTAAGTGATCACGGGCATATGTAGTTCTCCAGGTGCGGCAACAAGTCATATTTGTGCAGTAAGCGATATTTAGACTTCAATGATACCTTCAATCTGACCTAATCGCAACTACACTGCCTGGAGGAATGTCCTTCTGCACATCGGTCAGCTGACAATTGGCTTATCATCTGTAGATGATGGCTTCATCGAGAGGCGAAGCCTCCTTGTCTCAGTACTCTGGGTTTCATTGGAGTACGTTATGCTTGTAATTCCCGCGCTCATCCAACAGCTTCTTGGCATCCTCCCATTCAGCTCGAGCAATTTGAGCGTACTTCTCACTGCGGGGAGCGATGGTACACCTGGTCGAATGAAACGCGTTCAGTGAAATGCTCCATTGTTCTGCGGGAAGAAGCAAAGCAACGCAATCTTGATTACTTACGGGAATGGCACCGGCCGAGCGGCTATTGACTGAGTCACCTCGTCCCTATCTACGTCGATCTCTCGGCCGTCAGATTCTCTGGCTTTTTGGATGGTGAAGGTCCACAGCAGCCGAGCGGTGGCTAGAAAAAGAGTCCTTTCCGCAACGTGAATGCCCGGGCAGATGCGTCTGCCAGCGCCAAACGTCCAGTTGTCCCGCTGCCGATAGTCAGACGCGGACGCTGACTCAGAGAAGGAGAGGTCCGGGCTGTGTCTGCTCGGGTCGAATTCTCGAGGATTGGGGAAGAGATTAGGATCGTTGTTCACGGACCACACAGCCAGAACGATCGTTGCGCCAGCGGGGATTCGGTAACCATCCACTTCGTCTTCGTCGACGGCGGCGTGCGGAATGGCTCCGCTGATGGCAGTTGGGAGCCCTAAGCCAGGAAGATATAGTGAGCCTCGTGCAACAGGGGGAGACGGGAAAAATGGATATCTGGATATCTCAGCGGGTAACGCGTACATCTCAAAGCTTCTTTGGTAACCTGGCGAATGTAGGGAAGCGATTCGAAATCTTCCATCCGAGGGAGCCTGTCAGGACCGACTACGGTGTCCAGCTCCTCCTGAGCGCGTTTCTGGATGTGTGGGAACAGCATCATGGCATACGTCCGGATCAGCTTGAGGCTCGAGACTTCTCAACCAAACTGGGATTCTTACCTTGACCAATCCCGCAAGGGTATTGCTAGTGGTGTCGGCACCGCCTTCCATGGCAATTCCTGCAATGTAGGAAGCTGCATGGTCCGTAAGGAGGTTTCCATTTTCAGTGCCTTTCCAGGATTCCTTGGCCTGGTTGATGTCGGCTGAGAAGCCTTTGGAACAGACAGAGTCAACATTTCAGTTACCGTTATCAACAGCGATGTTTGAAAGGATTCAAGTCTTACTCGGTAGTGAGTCGTCCATCTGCGAAGACCGTGTTGCCTGCTCGTATAGCCGTCGAAACTGGTCTCGTTCGCGGTAAAAGATCTGCTTCGCTTTTCTCGCCGTCGGATACAGCCAGGTAGGCATGGCCTGGACAATGGGCCGCAGCTGTGGGTACCAATCAAGGAGCTTGCTGCTATTTACCATGACAAAGAAGCCGTGAGCGTTGCTGAACAGCTCCTGCATCACCTCGCTCTTGGGGTCGGCCACCCGAAATCCGTAGGCCATGCTCGTTGCAACACTCAAGGTTGTTCGCGTGATGAGATCTTCGAAATTGTGTGGATTGGATAACAAGTCGACAATCAACTGCTTGGTCTCGAGATCTTGGTACGGCACATAGCGCCCCGCCTTGTTGACGTTCAAGAACTGATGGTAGAGCTTACGTTCGACTTTCCATAATGAGTCGTAGCCTCTCATGATGATCCTTGACCCTTCCCAGATATCCTGCATGTACAGCTTGGGACGGTCAGAATAGTTGCTGCTCTTTTTGTCGACCATCTTTTTGATGAGTTGGCCGTTGGTCAAAACGACAACGTTTTGGGATCCCAGCTTCAAGGAGAAAAGGGGTCCATCTTGTCAAGCATGTGAGACATGCTCCGCATCTCGAACGTGGGCTGTGCAGACTCACATTGTCTACCCCATTTCTGATATTGCAGATGGAGGTCACGCTTAGGAATTTGGTGTATGTTTCCAATAATCGGTAGCGTCGGAGGACCTAGAAGCATTGTGAGCAGCTTCCAATTTCTTCCAAACACCGGTTCCTGGATTATTTTACCTGGTGGCGCATTTTTCCATCTCATTGTCACCGAGACAAGCTCAACCAAGAATGCAAACAGAATCACCACAGATGCGGCCAGTAGCATGGCCGGTGTTTGAGAAATCAAGGACAGCATTGTGGTTGTTTGTGGCATGAAAAGAGCTCCTGTTCAGCTTCACAGTCGAGAAATGTCTATGATCTCGTCTACTTCAATCGGACACAATATGAGACCGTCGTACTGCAAGTTTTAGCAAATCGACCCGATTCAATAGCGACACGAACAGTGTAGAATAGAAATGAAATGAAGTGCTTCAGCGGGGCCTCTGGCCTGCGTTTTGCCCTGAATTGCACATACCTCCCATAGCTGCTAAATGAACGGTGTCTGTCGCATGTAAATTTGCGGAGGGCAGACACCCCGCGAAGAATCCTCAGGGATCTTGTTTGACAAGAGTGGCCGAACACCGCAGCCGAAACGTGGACTTGGCCGAAGTCAAGTGTCCGGTGTGGGGCATTTTGGGGATGCGTATGCTGCGGCGTTAGAAAGCTGGAATCGGATGCCCGGCTCTCCAGGTCCGATCAGTAGCCCCATCACGGGGCGGCTCGGTGGCTACCATAAGCCGCTCCTTAAATGGTAATTCCCGAGCCTTTGGAGTCACACCTCGGTGCCGAGGTTATTTAGCAAGTGATTGGCTACTCTCCAACTTCTTAGGTCAACGATCCAAGCCGTTGAGGCCGCACATGTGGCGAGACGACATGGGGGAAATTCTTTCTCGCAGCAAGCAACGTCCACTACTGACGATTTGATGCTTGCTGTCATATTGGCCCAAGTTCCGAGGCCCCGGAAGCACTGAGAATAGAGGGGTGAGATTTTGACGATTCTTCCCCAGATTTTGATGGAGGGTCAGCACAAACACCCCCGCAAATGACATGGACCAAGGGTAGGAAGGCCAACGAGACTCCCCCGCAGCGTTGCCTTTTGGTCAGCAATCCTCGGACAAGTTCATCCTGCCCTTGCAAGCGTCTACATTCTATCAGCCTGAGATAACTAGCACTGCTGCCATCATCTATCCTCTTTCTCAAGCAATGACTCCTATGATAGAGGATCTTGGAGGACGCATCATTTTCGATCGACGCCCAGCAAAAAGACCGCGAGCATGCCTTCACTGCCATGTCCGTAAGGTTCGATGCGATGCTTGGGAAGTAGGCATTCCCTGCACAAGGTGCAAGCGTCGCAATCAGGTGGGAACCTGTGTAGTGGCTAGTAATTCCTCACACCGGAGAGTAGGGAGGTGAGAACTGGCGTCATGCCTCAACGTACCAAGCTGCTGCTAACACCATCGCCTTGGGAAGCTCTTTCAAGCGACGACGGGTCGCACAGGATCCCCCAGATCCGGATTGCTCACCCTCGCACCAAACAAGTGAAAATAATGATGACGCGAATGCCGTAGGGTTGCGCTCAAGGGATCTTTTGTACCAGATTGATTAACCAGGCATTCAGTTTCAACAATCGAACCAGCCCCCACAGTTGACGCAGCAACAAGAGGAGACAGATTTAACGCAGCATGGCTTGCTGCAAGTGCCGAACCTGCCACCAGTGCAACAAGAGGAGCAGCAACTACAACCACTGGCGTCGCCGCAAGTTGGCTACTCAATTGAAGGTGAGCGTGTTGGAGGCATGCGCAGCGCGAGCAATACTCCTACCAGGGAGGAAGATGTCCACATTCGTATCTGTCAAGAGATGTCACGCACCAGGCAAATGGCCGTCTCACCATCGCCACAGACACAGAACAGTGGCCGACGCGAAGTCATTGAGCTTCATGAAGGCGTGAACTCGATGACTATTCTCGGCGAGGCCCTGGGCCAACAACACCCTAACCGCCTCGTTAGAGTCATTGTTGAGGAAGATAGCTCTAGGCGCCATCCTCGACAGTCTTTTCCCGGTCTAGACGATGCGGACGTGGCGTATCTAACGTCGAAAGGAGCACTCAGCTTCCCGCCTCGCTCTATCTGGTATGCTTGTTATCCATCCCATGCCTTTTACGTGATGCTGATTCATGGGGCCAAGCAACGAGCTCCTCCGTCTGTATTTTGCCCATATCTATCCTTATGCACCCGTGCTCGACCGTGTCAAGCTCATGCGGGATTACAGAGCCAACCGACATTCGGTCTTCGTCCTACAATCGATCCTTGCCAACGTTGTCCCATATACTCCCAAAGAGCTCCTCAGGCAAGCTGGGTACGAGGATCGCATCACGGCCCAAAAGACCCTATATTCCAAGGCCAGGCTTCTTTATGACTCGGGATGCGAAAGGAATCAGCTCTATCTGCTCCAGGGCTCATTCATGCTCAGCTCTCTGTCCTTTTCGTATGCAATAGACAAGGACTATCGGTACTGGCTCAGCAATGCCGGAAGGATCGCTACGCGGATGGGTCTCCACAGGAACTATGCTTCCGAGACACTCGGCAAACGCTCAAAGCGGCTCTTTCGCCGCATATGGTGGACTTTATACAATCGCGACACGCTGCTGACAATTTCGGGAATTGACAATCTGAGAAGATTCAATGACCGATACTGTGACACGGCACCCCTACGGGAGTCGGATATGGACGAGGACGGAGAGATTCCGGAAGAGTTTCGCGGCGTCGTCTACCCCGTGTCCCTCCTACATAAGATGTTCATGGTGGAGTATAGCAAACTGTCGACCATCAGTAAGGTTCTGGCACATAAAACGTAATCAGTATTCATAGTCCTGGGACTGACGGATGTGTTCTGATCTAGGCGGCCTCTTCATACGGGATTTCAAAACGCCCGGTAAAACCCCGACGCCCGAGGAGATTGAATATCTAAGCAACCGGATCACCTCCTGGCGAAAGCAGTTGCCTGCCGAAATGCAGATCCACGGCATCCAAGACGACTGGCCCTCTGATAGTGTTTTGGTTTTGGTGTTGTTGGCCATGGGCTATCGCCTGGAGACGGTCTTCTATCGAGCGGTCAAAGAGTATTATCGAGCACAGAAAGACCCTACTGCGATGCAGCGGGTGGCTCAACGGCAAGAGAGCGCAATGTTCGAGCTGTCCACGATAATCCAGCGAGCCTCGATGCACGAGGTGCTACATCTATGTCCGCTGTCCTTGTGAGTCAAGCCCAATACTCCCTGCATACATTTGCGCGCGGATGTCGGGTGGAGGGCACTCTTGAGTTCTGTCTAACCTTCCAGCAATTATGTCGCTGAGTGCAACCGCCTGGTTTTAGGTTTGGAGAGGCCAAGGCACATTTCCTGATTGGCTGATAACTGACGGGTTCCTATGCTACAGCATGACTTGCGCATCAACCAATTTGGCCATGCGTATCGAGATCGCGCTCCACCCATCCATCACTCCCCGCAAGCTGCTGGCCACCAAGACCCAAATCTTCGCCGAGCTTGAGTACCTGCGAGAAAGCTCTGAGTATTGGAGCAGCCTCATCTGGACGCTGCGGATGTTCGAGGCTGTCATTGCTAGGACGCGACTGGGCCTGACCGAAGCGTCCCCCAACGAGCCTTGCGAAGGAGACGCCGACACCATATCCATCAACGCGCGAGTCAACGCTGCTGACGCCCAGAGTCGGCAAAGCGAGTGCTCGAATAGTGGGACGTGTGAGGCATGGGACGATGCTGCTGATCTGAATTTCCCCGTGTCTGATGATGTGTTTGGCATCTTGCCAGTCACGGATAATTATGACTGGCTGCAAAACCTATTTGGCACGACGGACGTTCTAGACCCGGCAGGCAGTCTCTGATCTGATGATGGCGATTCGTGCTAATAGAGAGAATGCTTCTTATGGCTGAGATGAATCGCGGCCATACCTCTCTCTAATTGAATTCGATGATTGTATTGGTTTCTCGTATCTACGTAACATGACATGACAAGATGAATCATCCTATCTACCCGCGCTCCCACTCCCGCTGTCTCAGGCTCGCATAGACCTGCATCAGGCGACGATGCTGCCGTTTGGTGGCATGCGGAGGTGGAGTAGGGATGCGTATAGCATCTCTAGTCAGTAGACGGGGTCCGGGAACGACCGAGGCTGCTTGTCCTCGTTGTTCAGCAGACCATAGTACCATGTAATGTCGCGGCCGTCGAACTCGCGGGTGTCAAAGCCGTTACCCAGGAAGTTGAAGCGATTTTGGGATAGATAGTCGATATCAAAATCTTCGAAGCGAGGCTTTTGCAGCACGGTGAGGTAATGAACACGCGAGCCGGGCCAGCAGAGCGGCTTGCGGCTGGAGTCGCCGTTCTTGAACCAGGAGCTACAAGGACCCGACCAGGCGGTGCGCTTGAGGTACAGGTCGGCGTGGCGGGTAAAGGCCTCGGCCACGGACCCATTGACGCGCACGCTCTTGATGTCCTCAGCCTGCACCTTTTGCAGTACCTGGACGATGTAGTTGGTGTACGCCTCGACCATGGGGATCACGGAGCCGTGGCCCAGAGGGCCGTACGGCCCAATGAAGATGAAGTAGTTAGGCACATCCGGCACCGAGAGGCCCAGGTATCCGACGACGTCGACCCCGTCCGCGAACCTGTCCTGTAGGTTCTTCCCCTCCACGATGACCGGGAACGTCGGGCGGAAGCTCGTGTCGAACCCTGTGGCGCAGATAATCACATCGACGTCATGAGCGTTGCCCTGGTTGTCGACAAAGCCCGTACGAGTGACTTCCTGGATCTCTTTCGTTAGGACCGTCGTCTTATCCAGCGTCAATGTCTCGAGAAACCCGTTGCCAGGAGTTGGGCGGCGGCATCCTACGCCAAAGTTGTTCGGGATCAGTTTGTCCATAAGCTCGGGCTTCTGCATAAGCTTGCGCTGCATCTCCCGTGTCGAGTACTCTCGGGCTTCTCGCGCGTCGTCAGAGCCATTGATGTAGAATTTAAACCGCACGTTCAACTCTGACTCGATGGCCTTACAATACGATAGATAGAACTCCGGGTCGTCTCTGAACTTTTGCTGCGTCTCTTTAGAATAGTGGAAGTTCTCCCCGTTCGGCCCAGCATACGTAGGTGCGAACCCGGCCGTGACCCAGATAGGCGACCGTGCCACGACGTACAACTGGTCGACCTCGTCGACAATGGTCGGCACCACCTGCACACTGGAGCTGCCGGCCCCGATCACCAGAACTTTCTTGTTGCGTACGTCTAGAGTCTCATCCCAGCGTGCAGTGTGCAGAAGATGGCCCTGAAATTCCTTCAATCCTTTGATTTGTGGCCATCTCCAGTTGTTGAGCACGCCGCCGCCGTGGAGGAAAAAGTCGCTGTAGTCCACAATCGTGTCGGACGGGTCATTGTTGCGCTGCACCTTGACCTTCCACTGGCCCTGGCTCTCGAGCCACTCGGCCTCGACAATCCTATGATTGAGCCGCGCATATTTGAGCACATCGTAGTCCTCGGCCACCTTGCGGAAGTACTCGTAGATCTGCTTCGAACTCGAGTAGTATCGCTCCCAGTTGGGCGATTTCGCCCAGCTGTACTGGTAGCAGACACTGGGGATGTCACATGCGCACCCGGGATACCTATTCTCCAGCCATGTCCCACCGATGTCGTGATTCTTCTCGTAGATGACCAGTTCGACATCTTGCATTTGTTGACGAAGCTGATGGGCGAAGTTAATTCCGCTGCAGCCCATGCCGAGGAAAATAACTTTCAACTTGCGTCGGGTCCCCATGGGGCTCTCCCGGATCTGATACTTGACATTTTGTCCATTGAGATGACGGTGATGGCCGTTTTGAAACACAGATTCCGGTTTCTCGTTGCTCGACGACTGAAGCGCGGGTATTGAATCTCTGTTCAATGTATGCTTAGGCTCTGGGAAAATTGCGTCTTCTGGACCAAAGTTGGCCCCGACTGTTTCCTTGTCGGCGATCGAAGGGGCCATTTGTAGAATATTTCGAACTATCTAGGAGGCGAGTGTCGATGGGAAAGCTTGTGATCCTCCATGGAAGAAGGGGAAGAAGGTCATACAGAGGAGATTCAACAACGAAAACCAAATTCGACGCCTTACAATAGGAGCCCTCGGCTTTGGGAGAGTCGATCGGCAACAACAAAACTCTACCGTTGTAGTCAGTCTATGCTCTGTAAAGCCGATTCTACGGTCAAATACGGTCAGCCCCTCATCGCATGACAACGATAGACCCGAGGGCCGCTGTGTATGAGTCGTGGGCTCGGCAACAGGAGAGAGTGGGCGACAAAATCCGCGGCCGTTCTGGTCGCTCCCTGCTCGGTCTGCCGAGATCTCGGTTGGGAGCTTTTGATACCTTCAGCGAAGCTCAGAATGAGTTCTATGATCGACTAGATGCTTTATACTCTGTCCACGCATCTGTATCGGGCATTTGATTTCCCAAAGCCCAGATTCCCAGTGATGAATGCTCCCTTGCGCCGACAATCAATGGAAGTCAGATATGTTTTAGTCTATGCAAAGTATTGACTTGGATTGACGAGCAAACAATGAAATATTTCTATTTGAAGTACCAACGTAGTCTCTGTCTATAATCCTAGCATCAATCCGGGACGTCCGCTCGTAATAATGCGTCCAGCATCTAGATATTCGCAGAACTCTTGGTAGACTCAGGCTTCACTTTCTGCAACTGTCGTCTGATGACTTTGCCACTGGGGGTGCGAGGGATCGTATCGAGGAAGTAGACCCCGGCCGTCAGCCACTTATGCTTGGACAGTCGGCCTTCAACAAAATCCTGGACTTCTTTGGCAGTTATCTCCTGAGATCTGGGGGCCCTGACCACGAATGCTTTTGGATACTCGCCGTCTTGTCTGAGAGAGGATCAGATGGATGTATCGGCGGTGTTTCAATTGATGACTCACCTTTTCTCGCCGACCACAGCCGCGTCTGCAATAGCTGGATGGGTCAAAAGCGTCTGCTCGATTTCTGCTGGCGCAACTTGGAGACCCTTGACTTTGATAAGTTCCTTTGGGTGGACGGTTAGTAAAGCCCATAGTGCGAATAGGCGACATGTGGGGATAGACGGATCAGACATTACCTTTAAACGATCCACAATGTATAAACATCCTCTTGAGTCAACGTAACCCACGTCACCTGTCCGGAGCCATCTCAGCCCGTCTTCGTAGACAATCGCCTCCGCGGTTTCCTTGGATCTTTTGTAGTAACCTTTCATGATATTTGGGCCGGCCACCCAAATCTCGCCAACGATGTAAGGAATATCTGCTTGGTCAAAACTGTGTTCCGGCACTGGGACGATTTTGGCTGATAGATTGGGATTTAGCCATCCAATGGAAAGCCCGTTATCCTCGTCGTCAGGGGCAAATCCTGTCGCTGAGCAGGTTGTCTCAGTCATGCCCCAGCCCTGCTTGACCTGGACGCTCGGCTGCAGGTGAGTCTTCTCGACTAATCTGCCGATATCTGGATTTAACGGCGCAGACCCCGTAACGACCGACTCAATTGCCTTTAAGTTGAAATGTCTCGCTCGCGGATGCTTTGACAAGGCCACCATTAATGTTGGAACGCCTGTCAAAAAGGTAATGCGGTAGATATCGAGAAACAAGAGATATCGTTCAATGCTGTAAGACATCATGATAAAAACCTTGACGTTCATTCGTGCTGCTGTTATACAGTAGTACATTTGACCCTGGCTTCCCCGTCAGTACCATATATGCCTATATATTCCTCTGCTGCTAGTAGCAACGTAGATACTTACGTAGGCATGAAACATTGGGAGAGGAGCTAACCATCTCTCCCCTGATCGGTTAATTCGCTCTTTCCGCTCCTTTGCACGGGGGTTATCGGCCACCATGTTCCGCTTATATATAACCTGGAGTGAATTTGAGATAATGTTATAATGTGAGATCTCGACACCTTTAGGAACACCCGTTGTTCTGGACTCATAAAGTTAGTACATAATGTCCTCATAGGAAGTATTGTAAAGCTAGAGCTCTGAAAATGACAATGAATCTAAGCGTACCCGCTAGAGTAGTTTAGTACAGCAGTGGCTTCTTGGGCCTCTCTTGCACTAGAGAAAGTTCTCCAGGTCCATGAGGCGCTTGCATCCTCTGATGCCCAGATTTGGGTCCAAGAGGGTAGGCCACTCTGAGTACTTTCATCCTGCGGTTCAGCCAACTCGAACACTCTATCCGTTGGAATGCCTGCTTGGCCAGCGGCCTGTAATGCAGTGGTGGCTCCCGCAGGGCCAGTGATTATCAGACGCGCATCGGAATCCTTCAACTGGTAAGAGAGTTCTGCGACAAGTCCATTAGATTCAGCTTCCAGTCATACAAGGTTAAACTATTGACAGAGAGACAGATACTCACCTGTAACAGAGGCACTGGGGCTACAGCCTGTAAACACGCATCCTGCAGCCACTACTCCCCAAAACAGAATGGGAAAATAAAGCGAATTGCCCGAATACAACAACACCTTCTCATCCGGCTTCAATCCGAGGTCCTGTAGTCCCTTCCCCAGTCTCTTGACAAGGACCTCGGCCTGTCGTAAGTTGAAGCATCGTTCGGGTCGATCTGCGTCGAAATACTGAGGGCGAGACCGCAGTTCTTTGCTCCCAGATGAGAAGATGAATGTCGCCAGATCAATTGGCGGGATGTCCACCTTGTACGGCGAGTCGTATCGCCTTGCCATGACTAGAACTGACAACACCTAAAGACCTCAAAGTCACTCCAAAAGACCAGAGCACTCAAGAGATGTCATGGTATGTTTTGATATGTTAGCACTAATAGCGGTGGAGCATGAATCTCGGGTAGGATAAAGAATATCCGAATCTCGGCCTCGGTTCTCTCGACAACCTATCGCCAATCCCCGTTTGACGCCGCTGTTTCCAAAGGTTGATTGGGCGCAAACCCTCCGACGAAATGTCAGTAGTCTCCAACCAGATTCTCCCAGTTCAAACTAATGTACAAACAGAAGAACGTCCCCCAAGGAAAGAGAAGAGGAAAAGAGTCGAGACTTTTCATGAAGCGGAAGACCGTTATATCATGGAAGATCGCAAACACTCTAAGGCCGAACGCTACACGACAGATTTGTTGGAGATTCCTGGGATGGCGTTCGATGTGAGCGTGCCTGATCCCAAAGAGCGGATTCAAGTGTATATCGATGCGTATCGCAAAAGCGATCCTGCGAATCACCAGGTATGTACTCCATGGTTGAAAATCAGACTTTCCTTTCAGAGCTCTTGTGTCTGATACGTTTTTGCGGGTGTTAGGGGTTTGACGAAGTTTTTATGCGCGAGCATATATCGGTTGTCAGTGCCACGAGGTCGGCAGACAAGGCGGCAGCAGTGTTTGAGATGAAGGCGGCACCTGTGTTTACGAACCGGATGGGCAACATGCACGGCGGCGCGGTCGCGATGATTCACGACATGTGCACCACCATGACCGCCGCGCCATTGGCAAAGAAGGAATTCTGGTGGTTTGGCGGAGTATCACGGACGTTGTCGATAACGTACCTCAGGCCGGTGCGGAAGGACATGGAGCTCTCCATCGAATGCGAAGTCCTGCAGCAGGGCATGCGCCTGTCCACGATCCGCAGCCAGATGCGGAACAAGAAGACGGGTGCTCTGCTTTCAGTCGCGGAGCACAACAAGGCCAGCATCGACTTTGTGGAAACCACAGGACGATTATGATTGTAACGAGCGGGAGCGTGTTCAACTTCCACATTCGTTACAGAATAGAGCCTAGGTTTAAGAGAAGACCCTTTGAACTAGCACAGAGGACACGGACGATTCCAGGCTGTGTCAGCCCATCTCTCAATCGATGAGGAAGAGAGCTCAACATATGTATATCTCCGGCTCTACTTGACAACCTCGGTCAACAAGTCCTCTGGCCATCTTGCCTCATCCACTCCATTACCCCGAGTACCAACATTATAGCCCAGCTGTACTGTATCGGGAGGAAACTGTAGGACGGGCTTAGGCACTCTAAAAACCAGTCCATTCAAAGCCTCGGAAGTTCGCTTTTCGAAAAAGTCGAGATTGAGCACGGTTTTCTCTTTCCGCATCATTTCGATGTAGCGTGGGATGGTATAGTTCATGCTGTGGTAATGTCGGAATACCTGTCTTCCGTTTCTCGTCCACACGTCGTCCCATACATCCGGAGGATATTCGCCAACTCTGAGAGCAAGCCACTGATTATAGTAGTTGAGCGATGTGTCAACCAAGTAAGAACCGCCATGAAGCGCTTGCTCCATGAGAGCTTGGAGAACGCCACAGGTTCCAATAATCCCGGTGCAGTAGTCAGAGTTGGGGAAGACCGGAGTGACGGCTTCATCGTTTCCCATGGCCCGTCCATAACCAATAGAGACTCCCGAGTGAGCGTCACTGATCGGCTGCCAACCGCTCCTGTGGGAGAGCGGACCGTCCCATCCAAAGCAGTTCTCCCGAACGTAGATGATGCCGCGGTTCCTCTTTTGGACCATCTCAAATACCTGGTCCTGACCGAAGCCGTATTTCACAAACACGTCTGGCCGATAGCCGTTTATGACGACGTCCGCCTCGAGGATCAGGTTTTGGAGCTGTTGTCGGTGGTCGTCCTTACGGAGGTCCAAATTGCAGTTCCACTTGCCCCAGTTTAGATCAGGTTGTAGACCTGAGAAGTCTGGAAGGTGAGAAGCAGTCACTCTCATCACGCTGGCGCCAAGTTCCGCCAGGCCTCGACCAATTGCAGGGCCTGCGATGACTCTTGTCAAATCGACAATCTTCAGACCTGCAAGAGGTCGTCTGGAGCTGGTAAAAGAGGTGGGCTGCCACCATCCGGCTGGTTGCCGAGACCCTTCGTGCTTTGTCACACGATACAGATCGACCGCAGAGTTGACCTGTCCTTGGGGACTGTTAGAATACTCCTCAGCGCTCAAGCATATTGTAGCAGCTTCTTTGAACTGCTCTCCTAAAATGTAATCCCATTCTTCAGCGGTTTTCTCTTTGAGACGTTCAACGAAGGGTGTCCATGAGTCCTCCACGGTCATGATCTCGGGCATGTCTTTCGGAAGACCAGCACCCTCGAGCGATGGGTCTGGGTTGAGACTCCCATGAATGTGGAACCAGCGGTCGTCTTTGGTCTTGTAAATGTTGTACGCTGCTCGACGGTACAGCGATGATGCCATGTGATGGAGGTCGCAGTTTGGAAAGTACTTTGCATACTTTTCTGTCAGGTCACGGACTGGAGTGGGCGAGATAGGGGTAGTAAAATCCGGGTTGACCTCTAGGACTATGGACGACATGAAGAAGAGCTGTGCATGATCGGTGTTGATGGTGATCTCCTTGGGGCTTTCGTTATACTTCCTCCCAAGGAGAGCATTGATCAGAATTGCTTCTAGGCCTTTCAAGGAAGCCACACTCTCCGCCAACCTCCAGTTGATCGCAATACTAGGAATTTCTGATCCCTCGAACTTGACGTATTTGACGAGATCCTTGCTCTCCAGAGGCAAAGACTGACGCAAGCGGCCTCCTAGAATCCCATGCTCGAGCAGCGTTTTGCTTTCCACTGGGACTGAGTACGGTTTCGCCTGACCGGATATCGTTGTGCTTGTCACCATTATGAACGATTCAAAGGAATTTTCATGTAGCAAAATATGAAGGCGCGGCTATGACCATTAAAATAGAACGCGTCCATGCTTGTGCTTAGCTTGTGGGCTTTGTTTGTTGCCATTCGGTGCCGAAACGCGATAGGCATTACCAATCCCCGGGGTTTGTTCGGCGGGGACGTCGCCTATTAGGATCTTGGAGGCTCGTGCATAGAAATGGGGGGTCCAGTTGGATTGGGAAACGTCGCTAATTGGCCGCTCTTTGACTCGAGAGCTTTGTTTCTCGGGAAAAAAATCTCAGCGGGCACCGAACTTTGTGAAGAGGCGACGAGTACTTTTTCTCCTGCCTTATTGGCAAGTCTGGCTTGTAGTGACTTTATATTAAAGTTCTGAGCCCGGCGAATCTACAACCATACTCCCAAATCTTGAGAGAACTTCTTCTCGCCAACCCTCCGTTCAGGTGGGAAACATCTCTCCCTGTTCTCCTGGCGAACTATTCTGAAAGCGTTTCGTCCCCACCATGACCCGAGGCTAATTTGGTTGCAATCCAAGCCATCGCCGGCGACACCCTCGCCCTGAACTCTCCCAACATATGGCTCATTTAGTGACTTGCTCGAAATCGCAAGAGACAACGTCCCCTGCAATGTGACAATAGGTCTCTGTTGGCAACTCTGGACCTCTAATTCCTTCTGCGAGAGAACTGGAACAACACAGGTTTTGAACAATAGGAAAGTACCTTTACTTGGAAAAGGGTTATCACCCCTATTCAGGATATAGGGAAAGAGGAGGGGGTCAACCAAGCATGTATAAATATTAGCAACCCGGCGGGACCGGTTGCAGAAGGATAGAGCATTCAATACATCTCAATTTGCACCACTAGCTTGACAATAGGCGTCAGTCCCGTCGAAGATAGATTCCTACTGCTTACGGGTCTTTGACTTGATATTCGCGTAAAGCAGGCCCGTACGAAGGGCCAGGTTGCTTTGCCATTTCTTGGCCTAGGGAGGTCAGAAGACTTCAAGGAGAGACCTTTGAGCAATTGAGCGAAGAACTGCGGCTCCAGCACGCCCCTGTGTAGTCATTGTTAGGGGACATGTTAGCTTGATAAAGTCGAATTATTTGCGCTCGCGCTGGAACATATCGATTCTTGGTGGCTAACTTAGGGGACGTAGCGGTGAAACACCCTTCCGTCCACCATATTGACTTCCACAACTTGGCCAGCAGTGCGAGGACGATCTCCACAAAGCAGACAAAGCCACCGCCCGCAAAGTTTCCCAGCAGGTCTAAGGCCGGAATGAGCCTGCTGTCCTTCGGACCGAACATGGATAAAACACCGGACACGACGGTGTAATTGATGTCGTGGCCGGCCATGTCTCAGTATTTGCCGTCCCGTCTAAATACTGTCATACGAGCAAGAATGAGTCCAGGGTTCAAGGCCGTCAACGTCCATGGTCCCAATCCCTGCTTTTCCAGGACGCCGGGTCGAAACGGGTCGATCAGTGTATCAACCTCTTTGGCAAGATCCTTGACCAGCCTGATGCCACCTTCGTTCTTCAGGTTGACCTGAATCGAGCTCTTCTTGCGTGTCAGGAGATCGGATGTTCTAACTGGTACGTCATTGACTGTTGCCCGGTCAAGGCTTAAGACACTAACACCCCCAGTCCGCACACAGAAATCCAACGAAATGGCCTATATGTCAAAGGAAGAGGATCAGTCCTAAGAATGGCCAGACGGTGGCTTCTGGTGCCTCTTGCCGAGGGCAAGTCCAGCAAGTTCAACGACCATGATTCCTGCTAATGGGGTTTCTGCGACCATTGTTTATGTCTGAAAGGCGGCAGACTCTGCAGGGTCCACACTGAAATAGCAGGCATTCCGGCTGCTCTGTACACGGGTCCATCTCGGCCAAGCTGAACAGAGGAGATTCGCAGCGACTATGCAATACTCGAACCCAAAACCAACTTTGGGAGTCGGACTTGTTTGCAAAATGTTGAAACCCATTTGATAAACCTAAGTTCGTTCTATTGTTGATCTAAAGACGCTCTGGTAGCCATTCCAAAAAGAAGCAATGCGGGATGGGGCTCGATTTTTTTCTTCATTTCCTTTTTGTCTAACCCTCCCTATATCTCTACCCTATTGTTAGGTGGATCCTATAAAACTGCTTCATTGGCAAGGAACCTCTCGGGTATATCTACGTGCCGTGCTCTCAAGTATTCAGCCAGATTCTAACACCAGAATAATCAGCCACTTTGTCTCAAAGGCACAAGACGAAAGTGGTGGCCTAGCGCATCCATCTTGACTGAACTGCTGACGCCTGCACCCAGAATGCCGTGAATGACAAAGTGAATAGCTTGGATCCGAGGAAACTCGCATCGCTCGATGTCCGTTTCCGGCGTTATTTCTCTCGCAAGGAGCTCTAGGATCATAATGTTAGAAACGCCAATGGCACGTCAGTGAAGGGAGAAAAAAAAGAGGAGGGGGGAGGAGGTGGAAGAGAGAAAGAAAAAAAATAATAGGCTACCAACTTACGCCGAAATTTTTCAGTAGTGAGTAGACTTCTGAGCCAATCATACTTCTCAGACTCGTAGAGACCGCGGGGAGTGAACAGTCCTATGTTAACATTCGCGCCCTTGTCCCCACTACGAGCAAAGACTGCTAGCCCCAGCGGAGCCTTCACGTTTGGACCGAAGGAGGACATTGGCACGGGTTGCGCTGGTTGATAGTCCAATTGATTTGGCAGCTGGTGGACTGGTGTATAAGCTTGGTGCAACGGGACAGAGACGCATTTTTCGTCATCTTCGGCTGAGAAGAAGTAGACCCTCTGCTGGACATGTTTTTGATTGATCAGTCCTGGAAAGTAGGTACAGATCGATTTTGGCTCAGCGGTCCGGAAGTCCAGGTTGGGAGTGAGGCCTGGGAAACCTGAGAGCTGGTTACTCATTAAGGGGCCCAGGAAGCGCCCGGCCGACAGGACCTTGGGATCTTTTGCTTGGGCAAAGACGCGAAGCTGCAAAGTTGATTCCAGCTGGCTCTGCGGATCTTCCTTTGGGGTTCCATAAAGCTGGAAATCTAGGACCTCATATTGGTTCCTTTTGAGCATTCTCCGAGACATGATCTCGAAGCTCCGAGCCTTCTCCTTCGTATCAAGCCCAGTAACATAAACAGAAAACTCAGCTTGATAACCCCCTAGCGCCATAATTGCAATCTTGAGAGTCTCAGGAGCCAGCATGCCTACCGAGCAATAAGTTAGAGTTGATTCCGGAGTGACCTCGTAAGAAATGGAAAGACCAACTAACCAGAGAGACCAAGACTTAGACGTACCCTTAAACCCAGAGACATAGACTCGATCTGGGCCAACTTGCTCAAAGCATATACGGGAGAAATCAGCGACCACATCGGGGTTGAAGTAGAAGATCCCCCGCAGTTCATAGAGGAACTGACCTCGTACGGTGTCGATCGTCACGCTAGGACAAGAATCAACCGACGTAATGTACATCGTAAGCAGGGACAAACTCATAGAAAGTCATACATTCCATTCTGATTGGGCTGTTTTTGAATGATGCTTGTACCATCTACTGCAATGGCCGCGATTGGAAATGACAGGTCATAGTAGTTTGGGAAGAGAGTTTGAAACCCTCCGAAGTTGCCTCCGGTCTAGACCAAGGGTGTGAAGGTCAGCTCAGCCGGATGATGGATCGTAGAGGGACAACATACCACGTAGCAACCACATTCTATCAAATGTCCAGCTACTAGAGAACCTGCTAGCCTGTCCACTTCAGTCCGGTGCCAGTTGTGCCACCAGGCTGCTACTCCCATGACCTTGAATATCCCTCATTTGTCAGCTTCAGGTTTACCCAACCAGAAGGGGAAAAAAAGAAAAAGTGCAAGACCTCATACCGTGCTTGCGTCAGTACATCTCCCGCAGATGACGATGTCGGCCCCATCCTGCTGGCCAAGATGATCTCCGGATACTTGCGCCTCCAGCTCTCGAAGTCGCCCGTCGCTCGAGTGAGGGGCTGTATCTCGAGGCCATCGATCTGTGAGAACAAGTTGTCGCCAACAACGTAGGCGACTTTCTTCTTGCTGCCCCGAGAAAGTAAAAGCTTTTGGACCTCCTCAGCCAGTCCCCGTGGATTCAGACCGCCGGCGTTCACGGCGATCCGAAGGTGTTGATTCTTGTAGTCGATGTACTCATCGAGGGCCTCGCGAAGTGAGTACAGAAATCCAGGCTCATAGCCGCCTTTTCTACCCGCACGAGCCTGAAGTGCCCTCGAAGCCAAATTGAACTGAGAAATGTCAGTATATCCAGGCTCGAAGATTCAATTTTCCCAGATTTCAATACCTCTGACAACCAGTCTCCAATGATGGCATCAACTATCGTATCGCCCTTCAGCATCAACTTCAAAGCTGTATTTTGTTCAGCTATCCTTTTTGACTCTCAGCGGCGTGGGCATAGCACTCACCGTCTAGTCGGTCACCGGTGGACCCGGACACGTTACCGACCAAGATAGGCCTCGATCCTTTGCCAGGAATATTTGCAGCCATTGCGGATGCTGTATACTCCCAATGGAAATTTTTGGTCAATTAAGATGAGGAACTTGCATCAAGTTCGAAGCTGATGGCTGAAATAGTACAATGAACAAAAAGTCTAGCATTCAAAGCTCTTTGTCTCTCTCTCTCTCGCTTGGCCGGATATGAGCCCTCGCCGTGACAAGGCTGTTTGCTTCGGCATTTGGCTGCCGACGTGGTGGGCGGCCCCGCCTCACCGACTCTGTTGCCGAGGGTCTCAATCCAAGTCTATCCCCCAGTATTCTGCCCGACTTGTCCTTAAAGACATGTTCCAACACGGGATCCCGCTTATGTGTTACCCCATGTCGATGATTGAATGCTGATATTGAAGCCTGCATAAGTTTCGAGTTCGTTCGGAGATTCAACAGTCGTCTGGTATAGGATACCAATCTAGAGAACCATCTGGTTACATTTTTCTATCCACATATAGCGCCGATTGCTATGTTAAACACTAATGCGGTAGGAATCCCACGCAATCTCTCCTTCGACGCATGACTGGGGGCGTATCCGGGAATTTCACTTTGTGACATAATTCTTGATCCATTCGATGATCATGGCATCGGTCTTGATACGGACAGCTGGATCAGTTAATTTGGATCCAAGAGCATAGACATGTAGCTGGGCCCATTCAACGGTCAACTTATACGGTAGTCCTGCTCTGTAGCACAGCTCCGCCCATTTTTCCGAGTCAGAACGTGCAAATTCAGCGCCACCTGTGAAGATGAGCTGGGGACTGAGGCCTCTGAGCTCTTCTGGCAGGCGGTAGAGAGGGTTCAAGTCTGAAGAGTCTGGGGGGCGGCCTCCAAGAAATAGGGATGCGAGGAGGGGGACCGCTTCGTTGGCCATCAAGAAGTAGTCACTTTCAACCGCTGGGTTCCCTCCTTCGTGAGCTTTCAAGGTCATGTCTATCCAGGGAGAGATCAGGACCGTCGCTGCTGGCTGGGGCAGATCAAGCCGCTTTAGCTCGAAGCCTGTGAGAATACAGAGCCCACCTCGAACATGCCCGTCAGTGAGAGACCTTCAGAAGATGCTAAGATACTCACCGCCGGCGGAATCACCCATAAAAACAACGGTTTCAGCTGCCACACCGTTGTCAAGTAAGTGCCGATAGGCTTGAATGAAGGCGTTCCTCTGTGCTGGGTGGCTTTCCTTGGTTGAGAGCGCTGTTATACACTCTTCAGTCTCGGAGCTCGGACATGACATTCGCAAGAGACTCACGGTATTCCACGGTGAAGAAGGCCAGATCAAGATTTGCCTGTGCCGAACTTGCAATCCACCGTTCCATGTAGTTGACATACATTCTCGCCTCACCACGGGCGTAGCCTCCGCCGTGTGCATACAGTACGACGCATCGTTGCTTTTCATCCACGGGCCGTGCATAGTCGGAAAGTTCTCGCGTACCAGGTATGAGGTAGGCTGGCACGGTGTCATCTACTCTGCGAGCTCGCTTTGGAGAAAGGTTTCCCACCGGCAGTCTGTGGGTCAGATCTGGAAAGGTCAAGGATGCCGCCGCGAGATAGGCTCGTTCTATCTGAACTCGCAGTGGCTGATAGACCGGAAAGTGCGGAAGCAGCAAGCGTCGTAGAAGGACGAGAAAGACTTGAGACAGAAACGAATGTGTGAAGAGCAGTGAGCGCAGTGGATGTCTCAGCAACAGCAACACAAGCCTCGCCATAATGTAGGGAGAGTGAGAGGCTTAGATATGGCTCGTTGATAATTCAGGATAAGTGAATTGGTAGTCGTGAAGTGGGAAACGGATTGGACTTAGATGCGTTGGTATACACCGAGGTTGTTGCTCGGGCCTGTGGTGCGGTGCGGGCAGCCAGATATCTTTTTCCATTTCGGTTTTCAAACGGCCCTATTAAAATAAAGAACTTAGTATTCCAAACGGCCGGCGCCGATGCCACGACGACTTGGAGCGTTGATACTACTACTTCTCGTCAGGTGGGCTATCAGCTCATCTACGGGTGTTGAATTGCCATGAACTTGCTTTCATGAGTGCTCAGACGGTTCTTCAAGCAAGGGGATATTCCCATTGGAACAGCAATCATTGCCTTTTTCCGAACGCTATCTGAAGCAGTGTTTGTCGTGATCGGACAGAACGTTTAACTCAACAGATTGACCGGATCTCTGAGGCAAGAATTACCAGGCCTCAATCCCCGAAATAGTCTTGCGTGCTGGAGTAGCGAACCCAAATCAGACGGTGGCACAGGAATCGTCGGAGACAGTCCAAGAAACACATAATGATTCTCTAGCATATATGTGGCATATTTGTGTGGTGATGGCATGCCTCACAAATATCGATGTGTTGAAAATCGAGCGGAGGAGCATAAAATCTTCAAAGGACGAGATAGCCGCATAGAAAATATGGGTATGGGAAACCAAAAAGGATTTTCTCAAAGTCAAGAAACCACAGATTGGACGATAGTAGTGTGAAATAGGAAAATCAGAGTTCAAGGTTTCTGTCAAATGCATCAATTCTCGGCTACGAATTTTGACAGGCAATGTCAATGGTACCAAAAATTGACATGGCATTATCATCGCCAATTGAGTGCAGAGTCGGAGTTTGCAAGCCTGAGGCCCAGAAACAATACTCAGAGCACCTCAAATGCCTGCATCCATCTGGAAAATGCCATCGATAGCGGCCTACAATGGAGGCGTCTCGCCCATGATTGGTCTCATCATCCTGTAGCTCATGAGTTAGCATCTGGACGAAATCCATAAATGCATGATCCTAACTTACATGGCTGGATACCGATCACCTGGAGTCTCCGTCTTGTCAACTGCCTCTCTGAGTGCTTTGACTTCTTCAGGAGTCAGCTTAAGATTTGCAGCAGCTGTGTTTTCTTCCAAGTACTTGATGGTTCTGGTGCCGGGGATGGGAATGATATCTTCTCCCTGTGCCATTAACCATGCTATGCTAACCTGTGCTGAAGTTGCACCATGGCTTTTCGCAATAGATTCGAACTTTGCTACCAGATCCATGATCTTTTTGAAATTTTCTGGAGAGTATTTTGGAGTGACGCGGCGGAAATCGTTCTCTGGGAGATCCTCGAGGGATTTGATTTGGCCGGTTAGAAATCCTCGTCCGACCGGAGAATAGGCAACGACAGCAACCCCGAGCTCGCGGCAGGTCTTCAGAAGGTTTGTCCTGTCGGACTCGATATCAAGCACAAATGGATTATATTCGACTTGGAGAGCCGCAATTTGGTGCACAGCGCAAGCTCGCCGAAGAGTCGAAGATGAGACTTCCGAAAGACCTAGGTATCGAATCTTACCCTCACTATTCAAGGTCCGTTGTCAGTAATCAAATCCTTCCATTTCGAGATGATGAGGTGTTGATATACTTCTTCAATTCTACCATCGCCTCGACAGTCTTTTCAATCGGGGTCTTGCCGTCGACTCGATGACAGTAGTAGAGGTCAATAGTTTCCACTCCTAGAGTTTTCAGGCTCTTTTCGCAGGCCGATCTGACATATTCAGGGTCGGATCTTTCAAATTGTTGCTTCATCTCCCAATCGAAGCCCAATCCGAATTTTGTTGCGAGGAAGATGTCCTTCCGTTTCCCAGAGCGTTTGAACCATTTGCCAATGATTTCTTCGCTATCAAAGTAGATGTCCGCGGTGTCCCAAAAAGTCTCGCCGATGGCGTGTGCATGGTCGAGGAGAGCGATCTTGTCTTCTTCAGTATCCTTTTGTCCATAAGCGCCACCAATACTCATAGCACCAAAACCGACGGCACAGACTAGGGGGCCATTACGACCCAGGACTCTCGTTGGGACTGGCATGTCGAACTGATCTATAACTCTCTGGCTTGAGAGGAATTGAAATGTTAGGAGGGAATGGTCATCTATATATGTACATTCCAAGCATTTTGGTGTTGGGCAAGTTTGTCATGCGTCAAGGGAACTGGCTAGGACGAACGCGGACGAAAATCATACAATCTCCGCCGGAGCGTTGTTTCACCCGCAAGGAGACACAGGGAATGGGTGGGGTCATCAGCGAAGTGGTATCTAGGTGGGGTTGGACCTATGCTTACCAGTCAATCAGCGTCCATACTAGGCGAGGTGCCCAGTCGCATTCAGCCTGGCCTTGACAGTGTCTTCTTCACCCCTTCAAAAGAGTAACTTCCACTCCGTATCTCCCACCGCCCTCCTTTCGAACAATACAACGCTATCATGCGATCTCGCCCACTCGTCCGTCCTCACAATGTCTTTCAATTGTTCATCAAATCCCGTAAACTGTTTATTGATACATCACGTCCGACCACGGCCGTCCTTTGGTTTCGGGTCGGAGATGGCAGTCACCAAAGAGAGGAGGCAGGCCACCACACCCAAAACTAGATCTAAGTCTGGCTGTGGGACTTGCAAGTATGTTTCATGACCATTACCTAGCGAGCTCGACAAGATCCGAGGATATCCTGGCTGGTTCCTACGGCGGCATCGTCGCCAGAGAGTGTTTATGCTGATATATTAATTTGCAGGATTAGGCGTGTCAAGTGCGACGAAGGATGGCCTCCTTGCAAGAGATGTATAGTGACAGGCCGAATATGCGACGGATATGGTGTCTGGGGGGGCTCCTTTTAGCCTCTCTGGACATCATTCAACATGTTCCAATTTTGACCTGCCATGCAGCACCTTATCGAGGGATCGCAGTGTCACGAAGGAAGAACAGACTTCTTTCGAATTCTACAAATTGGAGGTGGGCGTCAAGCTGTCCGGAATCTTTGAGTCAGAATTCTGGAGGAGGCTTGTTTTCCAGGCCAGCTCAGAAGAGCCCGCAGTCTTACACGCCGTTATTGCACTTGGGTCGGCCTACAGGAGTGAAGGTTTCAATGCGGATCCCATTGAAAACGACCCTTCACACGACAAAATACTCATGGACAAGCACGGAATTTTTGCATTGCTTCAATACAACAAGGCCATTTCTTCCCTACAATCCCTCATGAACAATACTGACGTCCGCTCCTTGCGCATCACGTTGATAACGTGTATGATATTCATCTGTTTCGAGTTTCTCCGACGGAATCTCAACACTGGAAACACTCATCTCCAGAATGGGCTGAGGCTTCTTCGCGAGGTCCAAAGTGAACATTGTTCCAAAGATGCCAATGTCTTATTTGTCAAAACGCATCCGGAATCAGTGGACAGCTACCTTGTCGAGGCTTTTACACATCTGAACGTTCAGTCTGCATTGTTTGGACAAGGACCACAATACATTTACATCACCCCGCATGCAAGCACATCCATCTCTTTTGATCCGATTCCACCAATCTTCGACTCGGTGCAAGAAGCCCGACGACAACTAGACAAGACTGCTGAACGCAGCGTGTTACCTCGCCAAAAATTGTTGCTCGACTTCACAGCAGCAAGAGACAAGCCACAGCGAGTTTGTGCCGCAACAACAACTGCTCAAATCTGGACTAACTTCATGGCTTCAAGTATATGAAGCCTCCGCTGCTTATTTGAAATCCAAAACGAACCCTGGCGTCACGCTCGGATATGCCATTTTGCGCATGTACCATACAATAGCCACCATCATTGTCTCCACTTGCCTCTCATCAGGGCAGGAGTCCGTTTTCGATTCTTACACATCCGATTTCATCTCGATAATACTACAATCAATTGACCTCTTCCAGAAGGTGGCCCAACACCTGAAATCGTCCCCCTCGGCAACTTACTATCTGCGTCGAGGGATTTTCACCGTCGATATGGAGTTTATCCCTGTCCTCTTCTATACCGCTCTCAAATGTCGCGTTCCACGAATTAGACGACAAGCAATCAAACTGATTCTCAGTGCCCCGCATCGAGAAGGTATCTGGGACCGTCGTTTCACAGCTGCTGTTGTGAATCGCGTCATTGAGCTTGAAGAGGGCAATTTCTACCACCGCTTCAACATTGGTGACTTTGACAGGTTTGACGTTCCAAAGTCAGACGAGATGGTGTTACCTGTCCTGCCAGAATCATCCAGACTGTATGAGGTGAGGGTAATTCTCCCCAAAGAGGGCGTAGCCAATGCGATTATCCAGTGCAGCCGTCGTCGTCATGAAGGAGATGGCAGTTGGGAAACCAAATTTCACAATCTGAGCATGCCGTTATGAGTACTGCTATCAGAATCATGGGATAGTCAAGCGCTGCAAAGAGGGTCGAGATCAGACAAACACAGACTCTTAAACCCTAAGTCTTGGAAGAGAGATATATATCCCACGTGGGCTTTGAGACTAGACATTTGCTTGGTTTACATTGAATGGCTGAGACGAATCTGTGGGCCCCCCTTAAGCCGCCCTTCTTCCATGTTGGGGATCGGGCATATTCGATTCCCTCCTTGGCAACCCCCGGGCCCATGTCTACTGGGGCCAATCTCAGAAAATGTGGCGCTGATCAGGCTGCCAGCCTCCAGCCTCACCTGGACCCCAACCAAGTCAAAGGTCCGCTCGACCTCCTGACCTCCATCAAGATGCGACCTTCATCTTTCGTCGGCATGACATCTCTTAAGACATATCATCAATATGAACAAAGTCTAGAATAACTGGTCTCATCGCAACATGAGTCACTGGCTCAATCGCGTTCGCTCGGAGCCTACCTCTGCGCCCGCAGTTATTAGCGGCGCCCAGACATGGCCGCCGCAAACTCCTCTGACTCCTGCGATGGCAGTCAAATTCAGGGATCCAAATGCTCCAGACTATCGCTATCAAGTCAATCAGAAATGTATCTATGAGCGCCGATTGCCCGGGGGCTCCTATATCACCGCCCACGTTCAGCGCCTCCAGTCTGGATTTTACGACAGCCCCGTCATTCACGAGGAACGTATCGAGAATGTCCGTTTTGTTGCCATTAATTTCGTCTTCCACCCTAGTCGCACTACCTTCCGCTTTAAGTCGGCCGAGATCGACATCGCTCTTCACCACACCGCCGAGGACAACAAGAATCCCCTCCAGATGGTTACGGGGATGGTGCCAAGTAGACACACGAGTCACGATCATGGCACTCAGACTGATAACATGCCCAACGCACTGGCCAAAAGTACTGGCTGTCTTCCAAGACCTATCAAACCATCTCGTCCAAGGTTCCTCCGCCATGCGCCTCATCTGCTTTACGGAGCCATCAGCCCGGAGACTTTGAATTGGAATTTCAACCTCGCTGGCTCTTTGGGTGTCTCTCAAGGCCCCGCTAATGCGTCTATCAAACCCTCTTACGGTGTCAAGAGCAGCTACAAGGTGTATGAAATGATGAAAATCCAGGGTTCTGTCCGAACACTGCGATCCTGGTATGGCCACGAGTATGACATTGAAGATGGAGAGATGGTTTGGACCCTTGAGGAAAACAGGCTTCAAAAGTCCGGATTGCCAAGAGAATTCACATTCGTCATGCTACTCACCAAAGGCAGTGGCGGATTTGAAGAGACTGGCGACGTCAGGCTTGAGATCGATGTCCACCCCAAAGTTACTGGGAGATTAGGAGCAACCTACCCAAGCCTAGTGACGAATATGCATCAATTCCGACCTTTTAAGAGTGGGATCTTGGATCTTGATCAAGAAATCGGCCAAGTATTCGAGCCCCAAATCAAGGGGAAAGGCTTCAACTTTGCCAATATCGCGAGCAGCTTCGACGATTTTGTTTTCCTCCCAGGCACGACATATTCGACATCAGACAGCGGTATGCCTCAGTCGCCAACCAGTGGCGGTGGCAGTGCTCAACAGCAGCAAGCGCAGCAGCAGTCTCCCCAGGGCGGTAATCGGCAACAACAGCAAAGTTCAAAGAACCACCCAGCCCTTCCCTCAGGCGACACGACGCTGAATCTGCGCGTGTTCCTAGAAACATCCCGCGGAAGTCCTGTTCCCTTTGCCAACCAAATGATACAGCAGCAATTGCCTTATCTAAATCTTAAGCCTCCGTCCCGCCACCCTTCCCGTACGCAATCACCGCTTCCTCCTTCCATCAATGGCTCGCGCAACTCGACACGGCGCACAATAACAATTGCATCGACAAAGTCTCTGCGCAAGCGACCTTCTCGATCCGAACTTTCAAAGGAATACCACTCGTCGCCGGCGGAATCGAAGGCGCAACAGCAACCACAGATCGTCCGTGACCGCGACCATCCAGTCACACGAAGAGAAAGGACCGCTCCCACTCCCACCCGCCCTTTTTCGTATCAGGAGGAGTATCAAGACGAAGAAGAGGAATATCATCGAGACCACGACCACGGTACTCAGGTGTCACCGCTCCGTAGTTCGCAACGCAGTTCGCCGCCTGAGACGCTCGGCCGGTCCAGCACAGAATATACCACGCCACCGTCACAAGTTTCTCAGCCTGTACGATTACCACGGCAGTCAGAGCAGATATGATATGCGCATTATCTTACCTAGATCTGGGTTTCTCTGATAGTTGCCCCTGGGAGTGGAAGCTTCGGTTTTGACTGTAGCGATTTACTTGAGACATCCCCGTCATTATCGTTATCGCAAGTCCGCTTTTCAGGTCCCTTCTTTCTCTTGCATTACCAACTAGTATTGTGCCTCTCATTTTGCAGCGCAATGCAAACAAGCCATGATTTATCCCAGCCACTCGCCTGCAGAGGGAACTTCTACTTCACTCTGGAATTTGGTTGGGTTGATTCATCGGTCGATAGTCAGGTGCTTATAGCGCTACGAGTCCACTACAAACCACACCTGTTCTCGAGACTCGCATCACCTTCTTTCCCATTACTTTCCATGCCCCTCGCCAGCATCTATTTCTTTCTTTGCATTGAGGCATTTCAGCAATGCATGAATCGCGCCCACGCCACTAAATGCTGCCTACTCCAGTCCTAAACCCGCAGCACTACCATCGATATGCGGTGGCGCCTGTCTGTCGAAGGGTATATTTGGTCAGACACAGAACGTCAGAGACATTGGCGATGATTGCTGCGATCAGGATGCCCAGACAGCGCTTTGTAGTTTGGCGGTAGATTGGATATGACCTAGATGAACATGAGGCAGTGGTAGGGGTAGATTCCGGGGCCAGAGAGGAGCATGGCGATATATCCGCCGGCGGCGTTGGAGGTGTCGAGAATGATAGCATAGCCGATGAGCACTGATACGGGGGATGAGAAGCAAGCAGTTGACACGCTTGTGGAGATGCTGTCAGAGAGTCAGGCTATCAGGGGCTACGGTGGCGGTTGCCAGTACATTGACGGTGATTGTGAGGCAGTTGGCTTGGAGGCAGGTGTAGCTATGATATGGAGACGAAGTGTCAGCGAAAGCGAATGCCATGTGTTTACCATTTTCTCAGGACGTAGCGGAGGAGCGTTCTCACCCGAGGCTTTTTATTATGGTCGAAAGAAATGTGCCAAAGCCGAGCAAAAGCAGCGATGATGGAAACAGCGACAATGCCACCAGATATACCGGCGGATCACTGAACGTGACCGTATATATCTCTTTTTGGAAGCACCATCTGGCCCTTCATACAGCGTATCGTGCCGCTTCATTATCTGCATAGCATTGGTATAGTGATCCACCAGAGTCCGCCCATGACGAACAGCCAACGCCAGAGCTCAAGACTCGCTCGTGTCCCAAGTTGCTAGATACCGTAAGCAGATGGATCTCCAAAATCCACCAGAGAAGGTGGTGTCGCGGAACGGCGATACGTTTGGCTTGTTGATTCTTGTTCCAGATGGTGGAGACGGGGAAGATAATCGACGGGAGCATTCCTGCTTGGGGCATCCCCAAGAGTAGTCTGCAAGCTAGTGCTGGATGGTAATTCTGTACAAAAGCTCCATTCCGAGCCGTGGAGACAATCGGTCTAACAATTGGCGGCGCCGAATTTCTTGATCGAGACAACCCATGATCTGAAGCTATAGTCTCAGTCTCAAGTCTTGCTTGAGCCGCATTCAGTATGGTTTGCTCAACTAGTAACAATGCCGCTAAGGTGACTGCCACGGAGAAAATTTGATATGTTTGAGGATAGGATTTCTGCTGGGGGTGTTCATCGGTTTGGTTTCTTCGCAAGCTGCGGTATACGGTAAGGATATTGTCCATTGCGTTATTGTCCTCTAAGAACGTCCTGACTTTCTCGGTGTGCTGAACACGTCCGCAGAATATGGTTCTGCCCGGCCAGAAGATCGTGGCTAGATGGGAACTCTTTGGTCCCCCATCCGCTTCAAACTGGAAGTCCTATGGAAGGGTTGCCATGGCCTCCAATAGTTAACTATGCAATGGCGTGGGATTGATTTGTATGACTTCAAATCAAGGCTTTCAGACACCGATGATCTGAAAGATCTTTGCACGGTAAATATTCATGCTCCCCCCCGGCGGAATCTTCCAAGGGTCGTGGATTTACGAAGTCGGGGCCAAGATCGAGGTCGATATAGTCCAGTGGCCGTGGCACGTTATTCCTGTGAACTTGAGTGAAAGGAGGCCGGTTCACACACGTAGATTGAAATCTAGAACAGATCAGTCTTGGCTGGTCTTTCCTGATGACACACAAAATCGTTATGGGTATATTTTACTATAGCTGTACCTTTGACCATTTCGGCAGCTATGCTTTGGCTTCTATGTACCAGAGCCGGTTATGAAATAGAGTGACACTAAGGGCTTTCTGTCGCTGACGAGATGATTGTCTAATGACAATCTGCCAAACAAATCGATTAAGTGTCCTCAAATGCATGATGTCACGATTGGAACCCCGTGTCGCCAATATCTGTATTAAATGCTCTCGCCCGGTCAAGAATGATGGTCCCAATATACCGGTGGTAGATCGTGCAATCTTGACTGACTGCACCTCTTCTCGGCACTTCGACGCTGGCGGATCTGACGGGATGTCTGACATGAGTGCAGTTTTCCTTGATGGAGGAGTTCCAGAGGAGACTGCAATAGGAGCGTAGACTTTCGAGGGTGAGATATCCGGTTCGTGTCGAGATTGGACAAATTTCACTGATCCCCATCAGTGTGATCCTTGAGAATCAAGCTCTTGCTGTACCGTGTCCACGAGACTTAATGATCAACCGGGATTCAGGCCTAGCAAGGGGATCGAGCAGCGCGGGAAGGTAGAGGCTTGATCGCAGATATATGGAGAAGAGAAGAGTTCCGTGGATTCCTGCTGGAGCCAGAATAATGGTTATTCCCCCGACAAAATGTCACCATTTAGGTCAGTCGTTGAAGCAACTTGAGCACAAGATCTTTGGCCATAGCACCCTCCTCCTGCAGAAAGTTCAAGAACTCCTCGTCTTTGACGATAGTCTCAACGTGGCAAACAACGTAGTCGGATACTAGACTTCTCAACTTGTCGATCCCATCGTCGTAATCCATAGTGTTTGCATAAGTATACTTGAGCAATTTGACAATATCCCCGGTCCTCTCTCGGAATAAAGTAAATCTTGACAAAGTCAGTCGAAGTTTCTGGAGGACGAGCTCCTGTAGAGCCTTGATGATGTACCGATCCGAGAAGACGTATAGCTTTGCGTGACAAAGGAAGAGAGTGGTGTAGTCCTCGCAATGGTCCATGTTAGCGCGTGGTTCCCACGGAGGCATCTCGCTCACACGTGCTTTGCTTTTGAATAAACGCCAAAGATCCGTGTGCCTCGAAGGGTTCCTGCTCAGAGGTTCAAAACTCATGTCAACGTCCGGCTCTGCCTTCACTGGGATGTCTTCATCTTCAGGTAAGGGCGATTCAATTCCGTTTTCGTCGTACCAACCGCTCTTAATTTTGGCGCTCTTGCTCTTCCAGCTTTTCCTCGTTTTCTTCACCAACAGTCCCCATTCCTCTGCCGAATCAGCTGTTCCAGAACCTGCTGCGACTTGGCCCGATCCGCAGACAGGTCCGTACAGAATGGTGTCCGCCGAGGGAAATGTCACACCTATATTGGATACAGAGTAGTCGCCGGTGTATGCAAACTCGAGAAAATGGATGAAGGTGTCCTCCTCCATGTCCTCCAAGTGGGCACATCTCTCTCTTGATTCGGCCATGCCACCTTCAACCAGAGCAGCTAATGTTTCGGAATGTTGCTTGATTAATCCAGAATGAACGTAAAATGATCTCTTCGCAGGACCTATGAGGAATTCAAAGGGATACGAGTTAACGAAACTGCTGAGCATTAGTTGTCTAATCACTTGTAGATCGGGATGAGGTTACCTTGGGTAAGGGATAGCCATGGCTGGCTGCGGTCATGCTGTAAACGACTATCATTGAAAAGTAATAAAAATCCCTGCCAAACTCAGCGTAAGCTCACAATATATACACCGCTATCCAAGTTCATGACGGGGCGCAAATAGGGTTTGTTATGTGCCTGCAATTGAGAAGTACAAGTGGAGGGAGAAGAGGGGGGCCCTAATCCGTACAACCGAGGGTTGACCGATATTCAGCTGGCAACCTGTCTCGCAGAGGCGTTCACAAACTATGACTAAAGACAAGAAAGTCTTTTACCCCAGAAATCGGCCTTTTGGCTTGAAAGAGCTGTTGCGCATGAGTCATTCCCCCAGCAAAATTTTAGCGTAGCCCTGGGCATCCAATTGCATGTTTCATCAAGATTTGAGCGTGTGACGAAGCTGCCTCAGCTTCTTGGTATCGTGTCACCAATTTTGTTCCGTTGAGTTCCTAGGGGATAGCCACAAAATTGGCGTGAATCCTGCTCTATGGGCGAAGCCGCATCAATCAACGGCTTGGAGCAGGATGGATGACACCAATCAGGACATCCACATGTCAAGATTATTTCGAGGCGAAAGTTTTCCACCCGGATCGGTCAACTCCACTGTCTTCGAATTATCAATCCGAGACATAAGGATTGGCTGCCAAGTGATCATTAGAATGCCAGAATTGCCACCTCGAGAGGACTCTGTGAGTCCGACCTGGACGGGCCATCTAAGGATCTGGAGATGGTGTCCACGAAGGTGACAAGGGCCGCAATCTTTATCGATTGTTTTCGGATCGAAGGCCAGACAGATCCAATTTGAGACACCCTTGAAAAGAAAGCCAAAAAATATCCAACGCAGAGACAAGCAAAGTGCAAAAGGATAGGAAGAGTTGTATGGACTGGACCCAAAACCTTGCCTTGGTGAGGTGTCGACGAGAGCATTCATTGAGCGAAGGAGTGGTGTATGTGGGTGGCGTAATAATGTTTGATTCGAAAACCTGCAATCAGTTCAATAGGAGTGTTAGCTTTCCACATCCTTTGTCTGATCAGCGCCGGTTGCACTAGTTGTCGCAAACAGCACCGAAAATGCGACGCCAAACCAATACGCGGTTTTCGTGCTCGACGCGATATCGTCTGTATTTATGCAAATCGACTGCCCACAATGCCACCTCCTTCTTGTACTTCGATCTTGTCTGCAACTAGTTTGAAGGCAGATTGGAATGAGTCCCTTGAGCGAAAATCCAAGGAACCAAGACAAAAGCCCCAACAAGTTTCGATCAACAAGTGGTACGTACGCCTTGAAAAAGAATATATGGATCACCGGCTTAAATGGATAACGACTGCGTGCCCAAGATGTACAAATGGAAATAGAGCGTGTACGGAATAAATTCTAGCTGCAATGAGAAAATTGCCTGAAGACTATGATCAAGTACTTACACGGATCAATCGAAGAGGCGAATCATCGTCATTTGGCTCCTTTGTTCTCTACCATTGTCGAATGCCGTGTGCACCCCAGGCTACGCGCAATTCTAGAAGAGTTATCCCACCCAAGTTTCGGATGAAGAAGAGAGTGTAGATAAACACCACGACGCATCTGATCCAGACTATCCCTAGATAAAGAATTTCTCTGCAAAATGCTTGTCAAATCCAATGTGCTCGAGGGCAACCAATAGCCACTTGAAACGTTTGCCATTGAACTAGCATTTCCATAGTGCGACGCGGTCTAGCAGGTGGAATTCACGGCCGTTTGACGGACTTGGGAAAGGAGAATAGAAGAAATGATGATACAACGAAATGCAGAAATAAAAATGAGAGCAGATCTTCCGAGTAGTTTGTCGAACGTATATCCTGATCTGTTCTACGGCCCGCCAATCAGAATGCCGCATCTGCGGAGCTTCGAACTGGTTCTTGCCGGGTCTCTCCACCAGTCTCAGACGGATACATGGCCCCGATCGTTTCTGATCGCTCACAACTTACCTCACCTCCTCCCCCGGAATATTCCCTGAGCGCCGACTTAGGCTTCGCCGCCGCCTCTTTTCAAACGCCGTCTCGCGTCAGCTTCAGACGATGGCATGCATCTGGAATGCTGGGAGAGCCTTCTACATCCCCCTTACAAGTTGCGTGGACAAGACAGTTGGGCTCCCCTGTGTTGGCCAGTCACGTGACGCGTTGCCTTGGCAACGTCACGTGAGGCTGTTTGGCTTGGCAACTTGCGCCCTTCTTTTCGTCTTGCTCTCTCTCAGATAGAATAACAACAACACATTCCTTCTCTAGACTCCACCATCTATCACCCTGTAGTGCTCTTACTATCGGAGTGCCTATGTTATCCTCACTTATTTCATTCAAATGCCTGGTGGAGCCAACCTCATCCTCCCCGACATGAAAAACGCGACTCCAAACCAAACTATTATTACCCTAGCCTGACTTTCAAGAGGCACACTCCATCATCCATTCTATCTCTTCATCGATCCGGTGGACACACAAGATACCCCATTGGTTACTCAAGTACGTTCTGGCGGCCGACATGCATACATGGAGAGGAAGCAGCGGAAAAGCATTCGGCAAGGGTTAAAGTTGGAGCGGGGAAAAGGGGGATATCGAGGCCATTTCAGCGCACGGTTGGGTTTGGGTCGAGACGACTTGTACGCATGAATGGATCGGGATCTGATGCGAACTGATTTTCCCTCCATACTCCTTGTTTTTATGGTAGGTTTCTAAATTTCCCAGAACTGACGCTATCAGCGATATTAGATTCTGAAGACTAGATTCAGTTCCTCGTCCTTTCTAAGAGAATTCCATCCGGGAATGAACCTTTTTATGCGACGATTCGCGACCTTCAGAATATGCCTTTGACCTCTTTCCAGGAAAAATTGATACTCGCCTGCGGCAGATGATACGCCATAAAGTTCTTCAATAATAAGTTTCCAAGAATGAACTCTATGATACATCCTCACTGAAATTTGGGGAACGGCATCCTCATGCTGCAGTTTTAGGGATGCCACAGAATTCTTTCATCCTGCCCATATCCCATGTTAGATGATCAGGGCGCTAGAGATGAGGTAGGTAGCCATTCAGTCGGAAGCATAGCGCTGAGCAGAAGAAACCCGATGGCAACCAGAGGTAGAATCGTGATGGGAGATAGGCCAGTTTAAGTTTCACGAGGATGCTAGAGATCGCATCCAATGCATCAGAATCTCGTCCAGTCTGTTTTGGGGAGTATTCAATTATCAAATTTTGGAGAGTCTCTTCCTGGAGGACTGAGAAATGCGGATCGTCGGACTCCTGCATCCCTGCTACCTGTTGGGACATGATCCATGAGACGCTCGTTGCATTGAACAGTAGTTAGTGCCCTGTTACTGGAGAGGGGCTATCATTCCTATTCAGGATATAGAGGGTAGGAATAGGAGTAGACTGGTAATCTGGCAGGACCAGTTGCCAAACAGACAGAGTACTCAACCACAATCAATGTACACCCACTGGTTGTTTGACAAAATACCTGTCGACGAACTCCAACGGCTACGTCCAGACGTAACGAAGGTCTCATTCTTGCAATGTTCCACGCCGTAACACAATATGCATGTCGACCTGCAACGCCGTATTCAAATGCTCGATTTGGGTTTCTTGATAGACTTCTTTTCATTGGGTGTCAGGGTGCTTCATGTATTGAAAGCTCCACTTAAGTATCAATCTCCGGAGTGACAATGAGATCCTGGCCCTGGTGTGGAAGACTTCGCTTATTACAAACCGTAGTTCAATTTCTGTCGCCATAGGCTTCCATCCCTTTTCCATGGCTGATTACTTATACTAAGTGCTCCAAGGCTGCAATGTTTGCCAGCATTGGTCTCACGGCGCTTCAATATGCCTTCCATGGATCAGATCCACTGGGTCACACCAGCTTTCCTATCGATGAACATGGCGATCGGAATCCTATCTGTGATCGACGCCACTAATTTGCGAAGAAACGTCATAATGTGCAACCCTGCACTGGAAATCCGCTTTGGAATTCGTCATGGACGGCCACAAGATGAGCTAGAGAAGGTGAGGGCATTGGCCGTATAAAAGTACGAGGAATTCAATGGCTGTCAGCGTCAAATGGCTCTCCGACGAATTTTATTATTCTGCCTCGCCGAAGGGATCCAATTGTGGTTACTGTAGAGTACAGCAAGGGCCATGTATGAAGGAATTACTTCCCTGATACGTCGCGTGATATCACAGTTCGTGTCTTTCGTTCCCTCCAACGGAGGCCCAAATCGCAACGAGCATTCCTGAGCCCATCCGATTTCGGTGGAACACATCTCGACCTCCATAGTACTTTTCATACCGCACTAATCTCCCTGGTGGAAAACTTGACGAATCAGATTGGGTGAGACAATTTATCTGTTATTAATCTAATCTGATTAGATTGGTACCATATGGTGGGTATGTGCGGTGACTCCCACTCAGAGAGTGAAGCAGAAAACAGATGCAAGCCAGGTCGGTTTTTTGTTTTCTCGTTGCATACGCAGCCTAAATAAATTCGTGGTTGCATTTCCCTTCTAGATGAGAGACTAAAGTCCAACACGGGGACCCTAGAAACATTTCAAGATACAAGATGTCTGGTGTAGCCATGGCCGGTCCCAGTCGAGTTTCGTTGCCAAACACCCTCCAGAAGACGTTGGAAACACCGTCAGGCAGGACCTTTTTGGTCCAGATATCGTGGCCTCTACAGTGGAGTGAGCATGACAGGATCAAGGAAGGAGAGTGTCCAGTAATGTAAGGCCACTGCCAGAAGGCACATATCGAAAGGAAAAGTAGTAACAGACGACATGTCCTTTCAGATACATCGCGGATGGCAACGCCCTTTTTCTAATGGCGACAGAAGCATCCTGGCGGAGAGAAATAGGACCACACTACAGTGGAGGTGGGATCGTGGTAGCCGTTGGCTACGTCCTCGATGGCAGAGTCTTTGATCGGAAAAGGGGCTATGACCTGACTCCCCTCGCGCCAGGGGTTAGCGACGAATTCCTCGACTTCATCCTCGGACCGGTCAATCTCATTGTGGCAGAATGTTTTCCCAACAAAATTATCAGTCGGCAGGCGCTCTATGGCCACTCTTACGGCGGTCTGTTTGCACTCTATGTCCTCCTAACTAGGCCCGGTGGCTTTAATCTTTTCGTTGCAAGTAGTCCGTCTGCATGGTTTCAAGGCGATTGGATCATCAGAGAAGCCGAAAAGTTTGCCAAATCTCCTCCTTCATCGGCACCGGACCAGAAGCAGAGACCTTCGCTGATGTTCTTCTACGGTTCTCTGGAACAATACCCGAAAAGGTGGCACGATGAAAGTCATGAGCATTTTGAGAAGAGAGAACAGTCTTGTGCAGAGCGTAAAGTGTCGGAGAATACAACGGCCCTGCAAAAGTGTCTACAACAAAGCGGAAAGCTGGAGGCTGTAACCATTCAGGAATACGTGGGAGAGGACCACGGTACGGTGATGGCCTGTTCTTTAAGCAGAAGTTTGACCACTTTCTTCGAAGAGTGGCCTCTATGAGAATACTCAGCATATAAGACTTCTATTGGTACCTACCTAAATCTGCACAATCCCCGTTCTTATAGACGACGAACAGTAATTTGAGTCTTTTCCCCGTCTTCCCGGCTCTTCATGGCCATACATCGGTTCAGTCGGCAGGCACAATGAGACCTTAGTGCTTCTCCGCAACCTTACTTAAATCGAGGGTGGCGCTGGCAGAATTTTCATCCCCTATCGAGTCTCTTGGTTGTTGCTCTTGATCGGCGCAACGACTGCAGTTGCGGCAATGGCCAGAGTGCTTGTGGATTCACGGAAGGCCCGATTGATGACATCTCTCGACGGTGTGCCTTCAGGGTACTTCTTGTCCACGGCAATGGAGCCATAGATCGAAGCGGCTGAAGATTTGTTGCCGGCGGGAAGGTACTTTTCCAATTTCTGGGGCTGAATATGTCTCCAGATGGCACCGCCAATGCTGAAACGTTACGAAAAATTGTTAATTCATCTTCCTGAAGCCACAATGCGAGAAAAGAGACTGTACCTTTGTCCGATAGGAGAGCCGATGGTCATGAACGAGAGGAAAATAGCCGTGGTGACAGCTACATCTTGTTGGGTCACGACAGCCTGGACTGACATTTTGGATGCAGTGTGGTACATGCCTCTACTGACACCTACGAGCGCTTTCGACGTCACGAACTCAACTTTGTTGGCTGGATGACCGCCGGGCATATTTGTGAAGTAGGTCATAAGACCTTGACCGAGGACGCAGAGGGGCACGCCGAAGAAGATCCACAGGTTCGGTCGCTTCGTAAACCGAAGGAGAATGCCTGTCAGGATACGGGCTACTTGGTATGCGACAATCAAAGAGTTGTTGCAGTGGAGAGGCTGTCAGCTGAAGTCCAGAACCGACATATACAAGACAGGCATGCCTAACTCTAGACGCTTCTCTAGCAGCATAGTTAGCAGCGACTTGCAGATAGCTGGGGAACAACATCGTGAACACCGAGTAAGAGGCAAAGTCAAAAGCACCGAGCAGGCACCCAGCAACGACGGTGCGATTTTTGAGCAGCCGATATGCCATGATCGGTCTGCGTACAAACCTCCCATCCCATATACCAAAGAGGATCAAGGAGATCGCACCTACCACGACCATGGCGACGAACCCGCCATTCGGCCATTTCCCACTACTGCTATAGGAGCCGGTAAGCGACAACGGAACCGAGATCAGCGAGAAACCTGCAGCCAGCAAGATTGCATCCAAGAGGTCCAGCTCGAACCGGATAAAGCGTGATACTCGTAGCAGATACGAGGAGGAACCTTCAATAGTGGGATCGGTAGTGGCAATGGAAGTTCCCTTGAGCTGTCGTAAAGCACGTCGCTCATAGATCATGAGAGTGGCAAAAAGCGAGATGGCACAGACAGGGATGATGATCGTCCACATGTCATAGCCCCAACGCCAGGTCGAATGGTCCAGAACTGCTTGAGCGACTCTACTTCCGACATAAAGGGAGAAGATGCCAGTTGTGGCTTCTGGGAGTGCAGACCAAAATCCTCGATTAATGAGGCTAGTGATGTCCGCGACGAAGATTTGCTCAGTAATGAGCAATGCCGTGTCGCCGATGGCATCGAAGATATCCGCAACCTGAATACCTTGTCAAACATGGCAAATTACTTCACATCAAGAAGAGAGGCAGACCAGGTAGGTTTCAATGTTTGGACATGCCAGGGCATCTGCCCAACCTAAGAGGGAGGGGGAAAGCGTTAGCAAATCAACCGATCTGGTATGAAGGAACCCCCACTCACCACTGCCGAGTAATTGAGTGTCCACTCGATATTGTGGACGATGTTCTCGACATCAGCACCTCCTCGGAGGAAGCCTAGTCTTTGAGAATAGGTGAGCTCCACAATTACATCGAATGCATAGTATTGAAGCCAGGTACCAAAGTCGCATGAATATCCAGGCCGATCTGCATATCTGGTCTCGATTTGGTGGAGGAATCCCATTGTCGTTGAGTCCACATATGGTTCAAACTGAACTAGAATGCTTATGGAGTAAGCATTGGAGACTGCCCGGCGAAGTTTCGCATGAAACTTCTCGTCAGTAGTGTTGAAAAGCGCATGCAGTGGGCGACCATTGGCCAGCGTCTGCTGCACGTTGTAGAAGTCGGATTTGATAAAGCCTGAATTGAGGGCATAAATTTTAGGGACAGCTGCAGCCTCCGGGACCGAAACCGCCTTTGGTCCAATTCTGGATACGGACACCATTTTATCTTTGATCTGATACTTGCGGATAGCGATCTTTTGTATTGAAGCAAAACAGACAGGAATCTGGGAGACCTTGCGTTGCAGCCAGGCGGCTGATCCAAGATGTGGCGAGAAAAGTTGGACTAGTCGGACCGGGGCTTTTGGCGAAAACGATCTCGGTGCCAAAGCGGATTTCTGCTCCTGCTTCTGAATTGCGTGCTAGTGTCCGTATTGGATAGAGTCACAAAGAGAGGCTTTCTCCTCAACGTCCCTTCTTGTCTCTGGACATGACCCCCCATTATCTGAGTTGGAGGCACGGTCGAAAGAGACAGATTGGCCATTACACACGTCCCGGGTCTGGCGTTGACCCAATCTCCCAATTTACCGGAAGGCATTGGCCAACGAAAGGAAAGTGAAGGCGTTTTGGACGAAAGCAGAATGCCTCGGAATTCTATGAAACAAGAGATTTTGAACTTGAAGTCTCCCAGATGTGATTCGTATGGGTGGGCTAAATGAAGATTTTGTTGGGCATACAAATCATTTGATCGTTGGAACCGGAGGAGCATCTGAGTACGCTTCGAGACACCTCTGAGCGTTTTGAACGCCTGCGATGGATGGGAAACTAGATTGAACCGACTACGGATTCTTACTATGAACTTTCTACTCACCCTGATTGCCCAAGAAGACTACTCCTGGAGGGATGCTTGGGATGTCAACTCCTTATAATGCTATTAGAAGCCGTTACTTCATAGTGCTTCTGTTTGTGGTACAAATTTAAGCAAGACCTCAGACCTCCACGGTTCCTTTTCAGAAGCTCTCTCCCAGACGGTGGCGGTGAAGGGATCTCGCAGCTCGATTTGACTGTCGTGCATTCCATCTGGGATCTGGCATCTAAAATGTCGGAGGATGGCGGCAAGAAAGTATTTCAACTCAGTCATACCCAAGTTTTGACCTGGACAACTTCTGCTGCCGTAGCTGAATGGGATCCAATTTCTTTTCATGGCTTCGGTGGCATCACGGCTGTGACTTTTCGTCTCTCCAGCCTCCCATTTTTCCAGGACTCTGCGAGCATACATGTCTACTTCGTACCACCCACGCCGCATGTCTTTGTAGTGTTTTGTGCCGCAAGTACGCACCCAAAATTCAAATCCGGAGAGGAATCCTCGTAGAGCCATGAATCGGCTAAACTGATGGAATTTGGTCAACAAACCGGAGTTATCACCACCCGAATTAGTGAGAAGGTCGTGTTTATCGCCCCAAAGAATGTCAGTGACTGTATCGAGAGTCAGCAGCCTCAACCAGAAGATACCGTCGAGGGTGCTCTCGTTGCGTTCGGCACGTTGGTACAGAAGCTTGACAAAAGCATTGATGTGCGACTCCATGGAGTCCGAAAGACTCGACAAATTCTTGTTTTGGAAACATTGTAGCAAATTTGAGCGGATTGATACCGCAGAGGAATGCTCAATCATTCCTAGGATCATGTGGACGCCCTTATACCGACCAGCATCCTTGTAGAAGGAAGTTTTGGGAGAATTGCGGTCGTAGATAATTTTCATGGCCATGTCGTCATTGGTATGGACCTGATCTGGTGCGAGAACAACAATCGGGCCATATTTCTTGAGCAGCTCGTGCGCATATTCGTATCTTTTGTTTCTAAATGTGGCAATGCGGAGCGGAATGGGAGTGACACGCGACCAGAATGGGCCGGGTATATGGCGAATTGGAGAGAGGAAATATGCGTAAAAGGCCTAGAGGCAAAAGATCACTTATCAGATTGCCCATAGAGCCGTAGGGGATGGGCACATACACAATACAATGCCCAGGCGAACAGGGCTATAGGCGTCAGAAAGGGTATCTGTAGGATCTCAATCTTGCCGGCAACGAGGTGAAAAGTAATCGCTGCCATGTTTTCGTCTATTGATCAGACCCCTTGCTGTCTGGAGCCTTTTTGTGCAGGCTTCGCGTTTGCGTGTTAGTGTCCCCATTTTTATATGAGATGTTTTAGAATCCGAGACATTAAAACAACATTTTTGGGCAACGATGTGGGAATAGTCAATGTCCGATTGGGATTTTCGCAAAAGCATCGGTTAATCATACGGGGGCTCATGTTCTGATGGCAAATCACTAGTCTCCGCAGCGTGATGTGCTCCAGCGTCAGTCTACGTGTATACCGTTATCATCCGCATTAGTTTCTATGGCGTGGGCTGTGTTGTTGGGTGCCACATTCAATGTTTCTGGCCTTCAATCCCTGCTGAACAAACGCTGAACGATATCTTACCGTATCAGGTATTGACTGGCCGCTTGGGCAACGCGGAGACCGAAGCTTCACCGGGTATTCCCCCGGCATATCTACTTGGCCAGCCCGAACCAATCCATAATAGCTTCCACATAGGATTGAGCTCGTTCCGTTGGTTTATGCAAGCCTCCATTCTGGGAGCCGAATATCTGAGGTACGCGACTAATGACAATCAAGCGGGAGGAGAGTGCCCCCGGAGCCAGTGTTGGCCGTCAGTGCTGGTATTTGTGCTTCTTATCCAAAATCACGTGAATGGAGCCGACAATGGGTGCGTTCTCATGTTAGAATGATTTCGTCAAGAGCAATACCAGTATATACTCAGCCTGAAACTCAAGGCGTCAACCATTCTGCTTCATCTGGCCACCTCTTTCTGACCGACATGGTTGAAAATTGTGCAGGAAGCACTCCTGGCCCCTTACCTACAGCATGTACAGTCCTCGTGGTGGGAGGAGGTCCTGTAGGCCTGATTCAGGCTCTGCTGCTGGTACGCCTGGGCATTAACACTGTCGTAGTCGAAAAGTACCCAAATCGCCTCACAGTCCCCAAGGCTCATGTTATCAATCCAAGAACTCTAGAGATAATGCGCCAATTTGGAATCGGTGTCGCCCGTTTACGGAAGTCTGCTGCAGACAGCAACGACGCTGGTTACGTTTGGTTTCTCAATACCCTGGTGGGATCATTGATTGGTTGCATACCCTATGAACGTCAGGATCCTGCAGCATACGAAATTACCCCAGAGCCAATTTTGAACGTCCCTCAGCCCGAGTTCGAGCTATTCCTCCGTGAAGAGTGTAAGCGGCACAGCGTGCAGCTTTTCGACGGATTTGAATGGGTCATGAAAGACAAGTCAGCATCCTGGGTGAAAGACCGGCGAACGCAGCAGATTCAGCCCATCGAGCACAAGTATCTTATTGCTTGTGACGGGGCGAGAAGTGCTGTCCGAGAGTCTATTGCTATCTCCTTCGATGAAAAACAACCGCCAGTGGAAATGATGACCTTTCACTTTGATGCAGATATAACAGGTCTAGTCAAACATCGAAAAGGTGTTCTTTATTTCTTCATCAATCCGGCCGTGCGCGACTACGCGGTCATTGTTTCTCATCGGCTCACAAACAACCATGTCCTTGTGGCAAAGTGTGGACCAGGGATTCCTTTTCAGAGGGAATATTTCACCTCAGAAATCTCAAAGAGCATTATCAACCGCCTGCTTGGGACTGACCGGATAGAGTATAATGTATTGGACGTCAAGCCGTGGCATATGTGCGTCAATGTTGCTCGCTCTTTTCACCAGAACAACGTCTTCTTGGTTGGCGATGCAGCTCACGCGTTTCCTCCCACCGGAGGTATGGGCCTCAATACGGGAATTGGGGATGCCCACAATTTGGCATGGAAGCTGGCAATTGTCGAGAGAGGATTGGCAAGCCCGTCATTCCTAGATACCTATCAGAGCGAACGCCAACCGGTGGCGCACATAAATGCTGATCAAAGCGCCCTCAATCGAGCAAAGGTACAGCTTCTGCAAGATTCGGTGGCGGAAGCATTGCATGACCTGCCAGACTTCAACGTCACCAATGGCAAGTTCCATGCAGCCACTGATGCCGAATGCCAACGTTTCACCCACCACCTCAACCATCGTCTAACAAACCCTGTTACGGCCCCCTTGATCGAGGCGGCCGTGGACGCGCAACGGGATCATTTCAATATGATTGACCTCCATATCGGTTATATCTATGGTCAACCGCGAGATCCAGCCCGCAGTGTACAGGTTTTCACACCGTCGGCGATCCCTGGGGCGCGTCTCCCACATGCGGCAATCCGTAAGCATGATGATCAAACGTGCTCCACTCTTGACCTGATCTCCCATGATAAATTCACATTGATCAGGGCCACTCAAGAGAGCGTGGGAGTGCCTTCATCGTTCGACAAATTTGTCCAAACAGTGTCTCTTTCTCCTGAATATGTATTTGAGGATGGGGGATTATGGGAGGCTAGAGCGGGTTTGAGCGAGAATCGGGCATTGTTGGTCCGGCCAGATCAGCATCTTCTTGCTTATGTCTCGTCGCCCCAGGAGATCCTATCTGCAATAAATGACTTCTGTCGCACAGAGACATCGATACAGTGATGTCTGATGGGGCGTGGGCGATCGTAAACCTGCTGGATATTTCCCACTGATTCGGGTGATGACCCAAAGAGTCTATCACACGACTATTACAGGCCAAATTGTGGAGGAAGAGAAGGAGAAGGAACAAGAGGCGAATTGGAGACATGCTGGTTAATCTGCTGATGTGAAGCTTCCTGCCTGCCTTGCCGTAGCATTTGGTAATGGAAACATCCTGGTTTTGTAGCTATGAGTCCACGCATGATTGAATCCTACGAAGCTGTTCCTTCTGAGGCCTTCGAGTCTGGCCTTTCTCGAAATGATGTTGGTTTAAGATTTCCGATCAAGACATATTACACCGAGCACGTTGTTTCTCAGGGCTCAATCCCTGTGATACATGTCGTTATACGCGGTCGGCCCGGGATTTACGAGGGTTGGTGCGGAACGCCTCGACAAGAAATAAACTCTGGTAGATATCATCAGGGACTTCTACGGAGCCTTACTTGCCATAGACCTAGCTGGGATGGAGAAACTTGATGTTACGGATCCTCCGACATGGCTAAGCAAGACATCGGCCCAGAGTTCGGGCCCCCTCTTTTCTTGATGCACTGTCCCGCCTTCCAAATGTTCCTAATACGAGGTGAAGTGAAAGGTATGGCAGCCATTATAAAGAGCTTTGCCTGATGCAGTTCTGCTCACTTAATTTTTCCAAGCTCGAAACCTTTTCCAAGAGAAGCAGCATTTGCCAGGAACAAAGACCAAATTTCTGGAGCCACTCGTCGACGTGAGGATTAATAGGGATGATTTCAGACACCAACCGCAGAATAAACACTCCAACCGATGTAGCCCATACCGAAACCGCTGCAGTCATTCTGAAGACTGGCGCGGAAGAAGCGCTGCATGTTGAGAGCACGGATGATGTGTCTCGCGAGCTGAAGACAACCGTGCACGGGAGGATCGTTCTCATTCCTCAACCATCGGATGACCCTAATGACCCCTTGAACTGGTCATGGGGCAAGAAACATCGCGTACTTGCAGCGGTGAGCATCGGGGCCCTGCTCGCAGACTGGGGCACGGCGTGGGGAACGACACTCTTTGAGGCCCAGGCCGTGACTTGGAATAGTAGCGTTCCTTATGCTGCCAATTCCATTGGCGGGGCTGTATTCCTCACTGGAGTTTCTGGTCTACTTGTGGCGCCGCTCACACAGCGATATGGACGGTACGTATCCTTTTTTCACGAAATTTATATTGACCCTCTACCGCTTGCCCATTCTCTTTTGGTCACAATTTCTAGCAGCAGTGGCCGTTCTAGCGGCCGCTTTAGCTCCGACATTCGCCGGTTTTTACCGCCGCCCACAGCTTTCAAGGACTCTTCGCCTCACCACCACAGATTATCGGTCTCAGCATGATCCACGATATGTTCTTCTTCCACGAGCGGACTCGCAAAATCGGAATATGGGGCTTTTGTTTTGTGACGGGTCCATTCCTGGGTCCCGTTGTTTCTTCACTTCTGAATAAGCGAATCTCCTAGCGCGCTAACTTTGGCGTGCTCGCCGGCTTATACGTTGTCTCTGTGCTACTTGTCATTGCCTTTGGGTGGGAGACTTTGTATGATCGAGGCTTCCCAAGAGACTTGGAGAAAAAAGAAGACGTGGTTCGAAAGAAGATTGAGGAGTTGACCGGTATTGCCGGATACCGTGCCTCCTCAAAACGCCCACTGTCGTGGCCGTGATGCGACATCTAGCAGTCATCGCCATCCAACCGCAGTTATTTGTTCTAGGTAAGGGCCCTTAACATGTCAGGTGTTGACCATGCCTTGGAGAAAGATCCTTTCTAATAAAATGTCTTCGCTCTCTTCTACATGCCGACATTTATGTGGAGTATTGGACTAGTCAACACACTCACCCAGTTCCTCTACCCACCGCCGTACAGTTTCAACACCGTCACTGTTGCCACGTTTTACTTTGCCCCTACAGTTGCCTGTGTCCTAGGTGACTTCTGGGGCCGATGGTTCAACGACTTCCTCGCAAACCGGTACATCCGTATCCACGACGGGTCATGGAAGCCAGAAATCCGTCTTTGGGCAACTTGGCCGGCAACCGTGATCGGAATTTGCGCTCTCGTCTTGACCGGACAAACGCTCCAGCATCATTTGCACTGGATTGGCCTGGCATTTGGCTGGGGTATGTTTGTTTTCTCCATTCTGGCTTCCACTGTTGCGCTGTCAGCGTATGCCCTGGACTGTTATTTCACCACTCGATGCTAGCGTCTTCGGTCCTCAATTTCTGGAGAACCACAGGCGGATTGACGGTCGTCTACTTCCAGATTCAATGGATCGAAGCCATCGGTTTCGCTGCTACCTTTGGTTGCCAGGCCGCCATTTGCGCAGTCGCTTTTATCTTCACTGTTGTGACACAATTTTACGGCAAGTCTTGGAGGAACCGATTTCCGCCACCCATCGCGGAGAACTAGTTTCAGCGACAACTCGGGAAAGGTTGGATTTCAAAAGCCAGTGAGCAGACGCGAGAGGATCCAGTGGTCGAGACAGCCGTTGTTCTAGCATCAGCCATGGGAAGAGTAAGTACGACCTCAATAGAGGATTTTGCTCTTTGGCAGTGCCACTACAATTTCCTCTACTTTAGTGATTATCAAGAATGCAGATCTGTGTTGCGGTTTCGAGATCCTTTTCTTTATAGGTGTAGCGCTTCGGGCATAAGATTCGCTGATGCCGCATTTCCAACAAAAGCTCTGCGAAACAGTGGGAAATCGTATCTAGAGGGAAATTCAGTCACACTCTCAATGAATCTGTTTGCAAAGTCAATCGCATTCGACTTCCGCAGCAGAACCGTGGTCTCAATGCACCATGCGTTTCTGACACTCTGTCACGAACGAATCGACTTCGAGCCCTTCAATGGGTTTATTCGCCCAATCTGCGATTTTGAGAACTACCCTGAGCACATCTTTGACAACTTCCGGCTCCCACCCTAATCCTAGTGTCGCTTTGATATGACTCCTTGTCTGTCTCGTGGCGCCCAGCGCCGAAATAGCCGCGGCAATGATCAGATGAGATTGCTGGACGCTAAATACCTCTTCGTTAGCTTTGGAAACAAGGTAACCCCATGTAAAGCCAGTGGAGGAGTTGTCTTTGCAAAACGCCATAGTCAGTGCCAGCTCATCTTCGTCTAATGATTGAAGATGGGTAGATGCTATGCATCTATTCAGAACACAGGGAAGAGGCCAAAACTCACAGACGTCTCTGAAGTATTTGCTCATCAGGCCAAAGATCTCAGAGTTGCCTACTGGAGCGTAGATTTTCGTACGGAGCTCCGAACCTTTGCGGACGTCTTCACTCGTCATCGCTGGAGCTCTGAGGGATTCAGTGCTGCCATAAGCAGCACCTTTTCTTTCAAGTACCCCAATCATTCCATAGCATGCAGGAATGCAATTTGGTAAGCCCAAGAAAGGGAAGGTCATTAAGACTGCCTCGCGCAACCGGATAAAGAGCTGCGACGACTCCTCTGGCGGGGAGTTCAGGGTAAGGTCGTCGAACAGTCGACCAGCAATGTCCGCTCTCCCGACCGCGCAGCTGGAGACCACCTAATTATATCATCCATTTGTCGACCGCGCCTGTCCGCATTTTTAAGGGAAAACGTACTAATATGGCAGAGCTGATTGGCCTCAGCTCCGTAGATATGTCTGATAATTCTTGGTCGAGGCCCAAGTAGAAGTCTTTAGTATATGGCTTTGCTCCCTTCTTCAGGTTCGTCGAAACGTATTTCTTGTCCCAATTTTGCATGAACTCGTCACTGTCCCAGATAGACGTAGACATGCTGGCAATTTCTCGCCTATTTCGCCGGATATTGGCGAAGAATCGTGAGAAGAAATGTGTTTCGAGCTACAACAATCGAACGATAGTGATTTGAAGTTTTCTAAGAAGGGCACAAACAGCGGTCGGAATTCAAGGTTCGTTCCAGAACACGAACCTAGGAAGCAATCATAGACAAGAGGGAAATGCACCCTGTGGTGGGGTAATTAAAATTCCGAATCGGGTGTTCCGCGGGTTTAGCCGAAGCAGCCTTCAGAGCGGTTTTCATAGTAGCCATGACTAGAAGACTCTGAAGGGGAGAGAGTGCATCAGGTCACTTCCAGATTTTAAATATCTGCCACAACTACAAGACTCTCTAATGGATCAGGGTGTAACTTCTGACCACAGCCTTGCCTTGGGACGATCATAATACACACAAATCCCTCTTAGTTCAGCCGACCAACGAGAACGCCACAGATAAATATTTCCAAGTAAAACGCGTAATCAAGGATCGAAGAAGGATGAAAAAGCCCTATTACTGTTCCACAGGATATCCGTATCTCCAGTGAGCCAAGGATAATGGCCAGTGGACGGGAACATGGCATCGTTTGGAAATGTCCACATGTCCATTCGCAGCATTCGGTCCAATGTGGGATCATCAAATGGAAGCGCACTAGTAGTTGATTCTAAAGGGGGGTATGACCGGTTGTGTGCTGCACCAGGTTGGGAAATCGCCGCCTCGGTTGACGACAGGGTTCTAGTCACAATGTCACTTGGAGGATCGGCCACCAGTTCGCCCAACGAAGGCGTTTCAGCATGAGTGCTGCTGTCAGCATGTGTCATCTTGTTGTTGGGGTCTAAATGATGGTTTTGCCTGTTCTGTCTTTTTCCTGTGAGGCTCTTCAATGAGTCATAATAGGCGTTCAAGGTCGTAAGATAACGTTCAGCAGGAGCCCAGTATGACATCAATCTCTTTATGCCGTTTTCTGCATCGGCATAGCGTTTACACGCAGATGCAGCAGCCTCCGAGTGAGTAGCGAATGATTGGCGCCCCAGGATAATACCAGAAAGCAGAAGGAGGTAAGCGGTTAAGGGCGTGTAGAGGTAGGTCGAATAGGTCGTGGTCGTCTTGGTATATATATCGACACACACATGCGCATGTTTGTCCATGCATATTGCTACCTCACGGAGGAAGGTTACCGGAAGGTGGGAGAAATGCGCGAGTACTGCTTGCTCGACGAAGCTGCAAGACGCATGGTAAAGCATATGCATGAAGGCGAGAACTCCGCCCTCGCCGTGACTAATTGCGGAACAAAGTGTCTTCGCAGAGTACTGTAGTCGATCCGGCAAGCGCGAATGCCAATTTCTCAACTGATTTTTCAGCCATCGATAACGAGATGAGGGCTGATCTGGCTCGATTTCCCTGTCAGGATCGGAGACATAAAGCGCGACAAGGCCCCATAGTTCCGCAAGCCTTGCCAAGTAAGCCACACAACCGAGATTCTCATCGTGTTCGGTTTCGCCATCTGTGAATCGAGGGGTTATAGCGGGCCGGCCTTGTAAGAATAGCTTCTCACTGACCGGAAGCCGTGGCAATGGTCTATCACTGGACACTGACCATGGCAGCCCGGATCCTGCGCTGGAAAACTGGTCAACCGTAAATGCATACCAAAATGTCCGACGGCGCATTTCAGCTTCATGCCAATTGGAAGGCTCCGTGCTACTGTCATCTTTATCCAAGCGTAGGAGGTCGCAAATTCGGAAGGCCATACCACCTAGAATCCACGCCTGCGCACCTTTCATGCAGCCTGCGGCATGTAAAGAGAGCAGCAGCAGTGCTTGCACTGTGGCCATCGTAGGCCTATTGAGATTGCGCACAATGATATCCAATGCTTCGGCTGCAAAATCTTCTCCGGCCTTGTAAGGCAGGCTTGCTCGGAACGATGAGTGGTCAGAAAATCTGCGAATTTCAAGCAGGCTGGTCAGCAAATTTGCGGCTTTTGGGTCTCAAAAATCTGGGTCATGACATACCTCGCAGCGACGGCACATAAAGCAAAGATAAGCTCCGGAGCAGCCGCGCCTCCCAAATAGTCGTCGACGAGCGATTCTCGATGAAGAAACGTGTACTGTTGACCGTGCAGGTAGATGAAGAATTTGTCAATCAAATGAAGCACGATATCCATGTCAGGCATTGGTCTCGCTTCGGTGGTCGTGATTGTAGGATATATGCCGTTGGACTGATGGGCACTCATGCCTCTGGATGCGACAGATTTGTCTGTATGAGGAGATCCGTAATATGTGCCCAAGGCTGGCAATGGAATGGCGGTGGATGCCACACTTTCGTCGCTTTGGGCGGTAGTCAATATAGATCGGTCATTGTGTCCGGCGCCCACTGGAGAAGAAGAGCAGCCTTCCGGAGACCTTTCACTACCTGCTGGCTCTGGTCTTTCTGGGTTCCATCAGCTCAGGTCGAGAATGATCAAGAATAACATCGGAGGTCTTACTATGCAAAGAAGGCGGCGAGCTCTCCCCAAGTCCTTCAGTCTGGTGGTTGACATACATTGATTCGGTCAGCGATCGTGGTCCCGTACCTCCTCTCTCATCCCATTGAATCATATTCATTGGGTTCCCCGTATCAGACTGTTTGTTGTTGGATGTCGCAAAATTCCGCCGGACTTCATCGAGAGTTCCTGCCAGGAGCTTTTCGAGGTTGGACATTCGCTGATTTATCTTGTAGTTGATTCCCTTCTCGGGGCCGCGCCGACGGAGCGGAGAATCATATGAACAGAACAGCTCGGCTTCAACACACCGTCTACACTGAGGTTTCTCACCACCACAGCGGACCTTGGCAAGGCGACAGACGTCGCAAGCCTTGCTTACGCGCCGGGGTGGTGGGGAGGACGCAGTGTCACCATCCGCGTTTTGTTTTCTTTTTTTGCTGGGCGCAGTCGTCGCCTCTCTCGAACTTGCAATGGTGGTGTTCCACGCGGGGTTTTCACCAGTGTTCGCTTGGTCAGCTGCATCAGGATCCATATTATGATTAACGAAGGACAAACGCTGGGGACGAAGAGCAAGTCAAAAAGATGCTTTTGTGCTAGCGTTTCACTACCACTGGATATAAATTGAGACTGAAAGTTTGCTCGGGGAATTTAGAAATTCGTGACAAGTTGCCTTCGAAGGAGGAGAGTGGAACTCACGGAATGGTTCCTTGGGGTGAGGAGGTGGCTGAGTTGAGAGAACATGTGGGCTAGGGCATCTCGTCAACATTCGTGCCCAGCCACAGATAACACTTTATTTTCCCCCCAAGCAAAGTGCTCTTTCAGGCATTCGAGAGTCTGTCATTGAACTCCATCGTGGACGTTACCAATAAGCTCTAGGGCTCCAGGTATGGCAAACCTCGGAAAAGCACGAAAGTTGGCACGTTCACGTGCATGTTATAAGAATTCATGTAGCGAGAATGACCTCTAGGGTGCACTAATAGGCATCCGGGCCGACTCTCGGACCGACAGAAAATATTTCTGTGCAAGGAATGGCCCATATCGGAACTTTGTGGAAACACTGAAGAGAACACTGGGGCAGTGCTAAAGGCGGCAGGCACGGGTACGTTTGCTGCGGACGATTAAGCGTCTCGTGCGTCAATCATTCAGCGCCATTTTTCAACTGATGTAGAAGAGTGCCAGCATAGAGCAATCTCACGTGGATATCAAGCCGTATTTGGTTGATTTGGGACATAAGTATGCTTACTTGGCTCGAATGAAAAGCACACTTCTGCACAGGATAAGCTCTATTTACGAGTAAATTTGAGAGATGCGCGGCAGACGCTGATAGCATCTTTTTCCATAGCCCGATTTTTGCACTTGGCTATACAGCGGTGGAAAGGCTGCCGAAATGGTCTCAGCAATTCTATTCTCCCTTTATAAGTACTTAAGAAAGTTCTTTATCAAGGGGGTTTGCCTCTAACGTACCCTAAGCTATGCGTGGAAGCTGCCGTGGCGGAGCGGCAATAGGACAACACCCAAGTCTTTCCGAGGGACTTCTAGAAGGACACATTCCTCGTGACCTTCTTTGCTGGAAACGTGGTGCCAGTGGCTCAACGGAACCAGGATACCAAAACGTGATTAGCTTTTTGCCTTCATTGCCAGCTGTAAACATATCTTCCTACAACTTTGCCATCGACCATGTCTTGGAATCCTTGATTCATGTCGACAAAATTCTTCTTCTGCACAAAGTCAGTTTCCAATGCCCCAATCAGAGGCACTTTGGAATTTTACCTCGTATTTAATCTTCATACGAGTGTCTGCCGCCACTGGTCGGAAGGCTAGGTCAATGCAATGTCCGGGTTCGAGGAGGATTTCGATGATTGATCGAGAAGGGACTTACCCGTGATAGGGACCGGCTCAGTAGGCACTCCGAGAGTAATGATTCTCGCATGCGTTTTTACCGTCCTCAGTGCGAATGCATAGGCTGCTTTAGATCCGCTCGCCACAATGGTTGAAGGTCTTCTCCGCCCCAACGTCCCGTGCCAGTTGTAGTTTGTCAGACGCTATGTCATCTGAGAGCAAAATTATGAGCCAAGTCCTCAACCTGCGAAACTGCTTACCAACTTACAAGCATGGACTCGATAAACCCATTGCTTTCGCGTACTGTACGGCAAGATAGCCTGAATGAGGATTAGTGGCCGAGTCGATCGGCTTGTGCAAGCAGTCAGGAGCGTACCGACTCCTCCAACACCAATGATATTGAGCACTGATCCTCCTAGTTGGCCCTTAGTCACTTCAGAAACTGCATTGAATGCAGTCACACCGGCGCACATCGATGACGCAGCTCTAGAAATCAGTCAGACTGGGAAAGTGTGCGTCCGAGAGGTCGTGTTACTCTTCGTCCGTGATTGAATTTGGAATTTTTGCGGTTGACAGTGGATCTGCCAGGCGTATAGAAGCCAACTTCTTTCCTCTTGGGACAGTATCGGTGTCGTGCGGTAAGACATTCATCACAAGTTTCTGGACAAGAGCGCACTTCAGTTCTTGTTGTGGGTGTTATGGATGCACGAAGCCTTGACGTACGGCAAGTCTCGAAGGGTGGCATAAAGCCGACCCTGTCTCCAGGTTTGAAGCCAACAACGCCGCTGCCGACCTCTTCCACCACGCCCACCGCTATTCGAGTGTTCAGTATCGGCACTTGGATTGTTTTGGACCGAATACCCACGCTCGTGGCCTCTGCAATAAGGAAGAGTTGCCGGTGCAAGGCCTTTCCACACAAAAATATCGCTCATACAGAGCGAGGAGGCCGTGACCCTTATTAAAATGTGCCGCGGCCCTGGCCTTGGCCCCTCAACAGTGAGAATGTCCAGAGGTTTTGACCATCCGGTAATGGTCGCGGCTCTCATTGTTTCTCAAATCGAGAACGGATTTTGGTTTGCAGTCCGATCGTGATTATGCACGCCTGCTTTGTTCATTTATTCCCGACTTGATGGCTTTCCTATCCCCACAGACGATGGGGAACAACCCTGACATCCGTCATGGATTACGCGGAGAAAGGTTGGACGTGATACCGAGTCTCCATGTCTGTTCCAAACGTTGGCATCAAGAAACCTGTGGATGGGGGTTAGAAATTCGGCCCGATATTTCGGCAAATCGAGGGCCTATGGGTGCGATGAATGACCACAGCCTTTTATCCCGAGCTCTGGCAGGCTGTGACATTTAGATTCACACCCTCGTCGGCCGCACCCACACCTAATCAGACTTGCTCGTCGAGATATATTCGTTTTAATCAGCTACATAAATATTATGGGCCATGAGTATCCTACGTAGCTTACAACATGTCTTTTGTGATTACGACGAAACAAGATGGGATCCATGGCTCTACCACATTGCGAGACATAATTATTTATCAACAATGAAGTAAAACGATCCAAGTGATCCCCACCTATTGAAAATCGGGAAGGAGGGTGGTTGTGTTGCTAAGAAGGAAAGTTTGTAGATGCGAAATCAAGGAGAATGCTGACGGTGAAAAATCCATATGACGGTTCCATCATTTCGACCAAGTCCAGGTAGCTGGCAAATATGTCGACATTGCGGTAGATAGGGCAAAAGATGCCATTATCTCTGCGCCATGGAACATTTTCACAAGAGCCCGGACAGCGAAGTGCTTGCAAATGTCGAGACTCTCTTCATAAGTATATCTGTTACCACATTTTTGTACATGGACATCCCTCATTTGGCAGCTTTCTATCGGCGTGAGACAATGAAATACACTTGATTTGACCCATTTGCTGACGGGCTAAGATTACGCTGGACCGGCTGACAAGATCGAAGGCGAATCATTTAGTATAGATGACGATATGTACAAGATTGTTCAACACGAGCCACTGAGAGTTTATACTGGCACCGCGTCTTGGAATGGATCATTCCTCTACGTTGATTGGAAAATAGTGCTAGCATTTACAGGAGGGAATGCGATAGGTACTAAACCGTCCTCGATCTTATAGGGAAGCTGCACGTCTAACTAGGACTGGTACATTTTCAAATCTTTTGAAAAAGTCCTCTTTCGACGTTTTGAAATTGGCGAGCTTGTTTCAAGAAATTGGTTTTCCTTCCGGCGTGGTTGCAGTTCGTCTTTGGGAGTGCAGAGACGGGGGGTGTTCTGACGTCTCACAAAGGCATCGCGAATATCAGCATCACAGGCTCGGCAGTCTCCGGCATCAAAGTTCACGAAAATGCTGTCGAGAGTAATTTGAAACAGATGACATTCGTGCTCGGCGGCAAATCCCCTGCAATTGTCTTCAAAGACGCCGATCTCGATAGGGCTTTAGAAAGACGTGTTGAGCAGTTAGTAACCTCTCGTTCGCGACAGGCCGACTCATTCTGTGACACCATTGATAGGCAACAGCGTTGGTGCACACTGGTTAGATAGATATATAGGTGTGCTCGGTCTTACACTCAAATTGAGAGCCCCGTCAATTCAATTCGCACAAGAAGTTCGACCGTTTGTTTCTACTCTTCATAAAGTCTGTCAGATCGCTCGTCAACACAGCGCCAGCCGCTGCGAACACCAAGACCACGGAATAATAAGGAGAAGGTAGTCCATACGAACGAGCAATCTATTTAATCAACAAGAACGAGTCAAGCCACGGTTGAGGTTCTTTTGCCCCAACGATCGGCTCCACAGTGCTGGCAGCATCACAAGGTCCAATTCCGATGCCGGTTAAACTGCCCGAAGATTGGCGCGAACCTAGGCTGATGATTACGACTTCGAACAACAGCAGACGGAAGCTTTTCCGCTAAAACATGTTTCTACATTACCCTCAGTAACTAGGAGAAAACCTGCATTCATAGCATAAGTATAGCTCTAGTGGCAGGCGTAGAAAAGTTGATGTGGGCGATATCGAGAATCGTCTCCGTCTATACGATTACTCTAGTTGGAAGCTCTGATTATATTCTAGCGATGTCACTATGCCAGCTCAGGCTGGAACTTCCGCGCGCCCTTCATTTCGAGATTATCTGCCAAAGCCAGATTTTCCACGTCTGAAACATCTGTCATCATGCGATGCGCACACCTGGGGAGACCTGCGGATAAAGGAACCATTCGTGGCAGACTGGATGAGTCTAGCGAACGGCCTGATCAGTGCTCCTTACCAGGGTATCACTACAGATGGCGTGGTCCAAAAAGGTCTCTTCAAACTCGCCGGTGTGAACGATGACCATGGAGCTCCTGTCCAGGCAATGATTGATGCTGTGAACAATATTCTCCTTTGCGCCTCCGAACAGGAGCGCCGACTGATATGTCACGACCTCGACGCTCTGCAATGGCGACAGTGGATGAATCCCGAAATTTACGTCTTCAAAAATGGAGTTCGCCTCGAAGAAATCTCCGATGCTTTGGCAGAAAAGATACACGCCCTGATGCGCGCGAGCTTGAGTCCTTCAGGTTACCAGAGAGCGATCGGCTGCATGAAAGTCAACGCATTCTTGGGTCGCTTGGTAAATGGAAGGGGCGTGTTGAATCGAGATTCGTACAACTTCGTCCTCTACGGAGAGATGCCCCCTCGTCGGGACAGGCCTTGGGGTTGGCAGTTATACGGCCATCACTTATGTCTCAATTGTACTGTGCTGAACACCCAGATGGTGCTCTCTCCTGTCTTCATGGGTGCTGAACCAAACGTGATCGATGACGGCGGATCCGACGATGGTTTGTTACTTTTTGACACTCAGGAAGCCAGAGGACTGGCTCTCATGCAATCTCTCCCCCAGGATCTCCAATGTCGTATACGCGTCTACGACAACTTGGAGGACCCCAACATGCCGGAATGGCGTTTCCATCGCGCCGATCAGCGTCATCTTGGCGGAGCCTTCCAGGATAATAGAGTCATTCCGTATGAAGGAGTTCCGGTGGTCGAGTTTCCAACGTGGGCACAAAGCGCTGTCGAAAACATAATCAGGATATCTCTGGATATCCTGCCCGAGAAATCCTTAGATCAACGAATGCGAGAAATCCTCCAACATTGGTCAAAGACGTTCTTCAGCTGGATCGGTAGTTTCTCCGACGTGGACGCCTTTTACTATAAAATCCACAGCCCTGTGATTATGATTGAGTTTGATCACCACACGGGGCTGTTTCTGACAAATAAGGAAGCCCTGCCATTCCATATCCATACTTTAATCCGAACCCCGAATGGAAACGACTATGGTAAGGAGTATATTAGGCAATACAATGAGCAAGCGGCGTCAAGAGCTTGAAATACTTTGATATATCAATAACGCGACAAATAATTCGTCGTGAAAATCTACAACTCAGGAGTATTTTGATCCAGATTCTTTATATTTCGATTCCCTTTTCGTCAGTGTTGCTCGCCCCTTTGCTCACCCCAAACACTATGCTCGCCTACGACTTGTTCACGGCTCTTCCAGCTCATCTAATTCACCCTCATGCTCACCTAGCTCACCCTCTCAATCCCACATCCGTCTCATTGGACAGCCTCCTTGCGCCAAGCGCCCATCGTCCATGATGGCTGCTTTCTGCCTCGAACCGAAGACCGGGGTCCTCCCCAATAGAGGGGAGGGTCGGTGAATGGTGAGACAACGAGGCATGTAACGGATGCTACTTCGAGCTGGGAAGCCTTCTTGCGTAGGGACCTTGTGTGGAAGACTCGTGGAGTGCATGGAAGAACCCATAAGAACATCCACGCTCGGCCCTTCCCCTCTATTCAAATGATAAGGGAAAAGAAGGGAAAAGGGACCTCTTGTTAGAGTGCCCCAAGGTAGAATCCCGAAACTTCTAGGAAAATGAATTAATTCGGAGCAAGCAGTTCTTGAAGCATCTAGCCCCGAATGAACCATCTACTCTTCCGAAAGTCGGTTCCCACATCAGCTCACTCTGGTCATTTTCGCGTTTGCGAGCCGAGATGTCTGATAGGTATACGTAGTACTTTTCTGTGTCGCAGTAGCAGCGGAACACCGAGGCAATGGCTTCCGCTCAGTATGGTTCGCTTTGCGATACGGCAAGTATCCATCCAGAAATAATGTAGATCGTCTTTTCGCGCGTGTTCCTCATAGAACTAAATCTTAGCTTAGCTGGCCTTGCCCTCGCCAGATCCATCTCGCAGATCGTTAAAGGTAACCTCATCATCATACACTCCCCAAGTATGCGAAAGTATCGTGTAGTTGATTTCAGAAGTATCTGCAAATCGGACACAAAGGTGGAAAATTGTCCAATGAATGATAAGATTTGCTGCTGGTTGACTGGGTATACTACAGATCTGACGAACATTGGGCGTTCTAGTATAGCGGAGTGCTACGTATGTAGATTATGTAAGGAGAACAAACATGGGTGGGCATAAAGTCAGAGGGCATAGGATCTTTCCTAGTTGGTTCCATAGATACACGCAGGAGACATAAGAACGGATAGGAATCAGGCAACTAGAGCTTCTCGTGTGGTTGCTCAATGATCCTGACACCGACATCCTCCCTGTATGACAGGCACCAAGTGCCAAACCGTTCATCACCTTTACATCTCAAGTTGCACCAAGTTTTGCAGTGTCATGTAGGGGGATTCTCTGATAAGTGGCGACGCCAAGGCTCGTAAAGACCCTCCATAGTGTTGTTCGCTTCGAACACCCTTCGAGAACTATATAGTCTGATGGTCTCTGAACTCCTTCGAAATGGAACAAGTCCTCCGTAAAAAAATCACACGAAGGATTGGCTGCAGCCTTGGCTGTTCGCGACCATAGCCACGAGGACGTAATTAATAATGGGGTTTTGCTATTCTCAGCGCTCGCAAACGCTCGACCATACAGGCTAAAACCCCAGTGGAGATTCGCAAGCGCCAAACCGGGAGAGAGTTGGCGCTTAGGCAAAAGCTGCGTTATTCTGGATGCTAAATCTCGTGCCGGCCCTAGTCTGTCTTACCCCCTTTCCCCCCCCAAGACATGGACACTTGTCAGGGGCACAGCTAATGTTACACTGTTAGATGGTTTCCATAAGCAATAGCAATCCCGATAGTTGTTCTGTGCCACGGGGCTCTCTTGCAACATCTATAAGAGGTCCTCAGAAGGGCACTAAGATAGAGCATTCAACACATCTCAAGTTGCACTCCGATTAACGTCGTCTCTACATACGGCTCCACGTCTATTTTGCGTATCGTATTATTTTCACTCCTCATTCTAAAGAAGTCGACGTACCGCCAGATTCCTTCCATTGTTCTACTTGCATAACCCTATTTTCGACAATGGAGATCTTTGCTAGCTTAGAAACGAACATCTCGCCCTTCCATCTCGTACTAAATCCTGCGCACTTACCGAATGCACTCTCGTTTCGTACCAGGAATTGGAGAATTGCGTCGAACGTTCTCAGAGTGTAGTCGGCCCCATGTTTCATGGACACCCGAGCCAAAATCGGAGAATGTTATAGGCTGGAGCGCTTGACTCGAACCCAGAATGGGTTAGGAGAGGACGAACCAGAGTTTTATGGTAACTGTCATCGACCCTTGCTCACAGCGCAACGCGCCGTTCCCTACCGTGGTAAAGGGGGAAATGGCTTGTATCTTCATCATGGGCGAATTTTTCCGACATCATTACAGACTTTTAGGGGCTAGTTTTTCAGCTGTCTTGTTAAACTTCCCTTCATTGAGAGAAAATGCTCTGGCTCTGCGAATGAGTGCAGGATAGAGTTTATCTATATATCTATCTAACGAGTGTACGTCATCATTGCTGCCTGTCAATGGTGATACAGTTTGGTGAGCGAATGTTGCATAATAAACCCGGTTAGTCGTGAACGATAGGCCATCAATTGTTCAACATGTCTCCTGGATGGATTCTCGACGGTCGAATTCTGCCTATTGCATTAATTCGAGGTGCGCCTCGCTAACTAGCTTCATGCAAGTCGTGATTAGTCTCAAAGCCTGGAAGACACCAAAGGAATGGCATGGGGCCAAATCAACTCAATCTTAAACTGAAACACACATTTATCAGGCCCACATTCAAAAGTCTCCTGTCTTCTCTTTCCTCAACATTCATCTTCAATCATGTCTTGAACAAGGGGCTGTGCGCCTACGGACCTCCCGGAATTGGCTTCTCGGGGCTTCTCAGAGTCCTACCAACATGAACTCGGTCTTACTCACCCCAGCCTCTGCAGGCCAAGCGAAAGACCCAAAGTCTCCTTGGATTCAAGTTACCGATATACCGTTTTCGCTTACTCCCGCGACTGTGCAGGCCTCCATACGTGAGAACGACGACCCGGCAGTTAAGCTCAGCCAGTTGCCTGACATCTCCCCGAAGTCGATCCGAGTTTTCGATATATGCACCAATGCCGGAGGCGCCCGTCCTGTCGGCTTGCTCCTGCAGCAACATCTGCGCCGGTGGTTTACAAAGATCAAGTTTATGCCGCTTGTTCACAGCCCAAGGCTGCAGAGCCACCTATTTGACCGTTACCAATCCTTAGCATCAGACCCGACTTTTTTAAATGCGCTCTGGGATGAGAATCGCGAGGGCCTGGATGTTGGAATAGCATTGCAGTTGCCTTGTACCCAGATGTCGAAACAGTATAAACCTCTGAACCTGGGGCATTCCTTCACATATCTAGTCTGTGGACTGTCAAAAGCCGATGAATTAGCGAGTACGTGCGTTGAGATCTCGTCTTACCCGAAGAAGCTATCCTGACTAGATCAAACAGTCATCTACAGGCGCCCCACTTTCTTCTCCGGTCCAATGCGGGCTGCAGATGGTTTGGGCTCCCTATTCCCGTCGTCTCAGTGGTCACAGCGCGTTCCATCTGTTGGCTTCTCAAGGCAACAGCTCGTCAAGCTTATCATACTGGAACATATCCGTCTCCATGTTCGCAAACTCAGAGAGATTTGTCGTGCGACATTCCCTTCAACAAAGATGAACCTGTTATACCGCGGTTCTGGTAATACAGCGGCCACAATCGAGCGCCTCAGGCATTCATTCGAATTCTGTCGGCACGTCAAAGAGTTTTCAGAGATGGTCGAGTTCGTGATCCAGAGCTTCGAGGCCGATATCGCCGATACTGCACCGGCGTCACTACTTTGTTACCTGGTTTCCATCCGCCATGAATACACTCAGTTGGAGAGCCTAGCAAATGCCAATCACGAGCGCTATAAGCTAGCGTGGGACATGTACAAAGACAACCTCAACGTCAACGAGTCACGCGACGTCAAGGGTTTGACTGTGCTTGCGGCTGTTTTTCTCCCTTTGTCCCTTTCCTCTAGCATCCTCGCTATGAGCACACGCCTTGCCGACTTGAATATCTTGCTATACGACTTTGTCGGTGTTTTCTTCATACTTTCATCCATTGCCATCGTCCTATACGTTTTCATTCGCGGCATAGGTGCGTTGGCCCGGAACGGACGTTATAGGGTCACACACAAGCAAGTCAAAATGGAGGAACACATGGACACAATGGGGAGACTCATCCCTGATACGAGCACGACCATATATAGCTCCCCGAGGTGGAAGTCATTTGTTGTGTCCACGATACTGATGGTAACACTAACATGGCTGACGGTGACGGTTTCCTTCATAGTGGGCATGGTAGGTGATCACGGCATGGGCGTCACGATGCTAAAGTACACTGCTTTCACAATGGCAGGGATCATAGGTGTAACAGTGATTTTGATCGTCGCAGGAGTTTTCACAGTCAAGGTAATTGGTAGGGGCCTTAGTCCTGTGGAAGTTATACCTGGAGGTGCCAAAGGTTTAATTGCTGGTAGCGGGACGGGAGCAGATATAATGATCCAGCCACAAGGATATGAGATGGAGGACTTGTCGATCTTGACATGACCCCGTCAGGTATTAACGAAGAGTGTAGAGAGGGGCCAAATACGCGAGGAACAGCCGAAGGAACGCCCCTTGGTGATTGCGCAATGGAAGTCAGTGCATGTCAGGATCGGGTTCATTCGTAGAAATTTTCACGCGGGAAACTCAGTGCTACATAGAGATATTCACGGATACAATGACAGGTGGCCCAAGAACTGAGCCTGGAGATATAATCAGGGATCATGCGGTATATGGGTGACGTCAGTCCTACTGAACTGGACATACTATATGAAGCTCGTACCACTCATGATGTTTTCATGGCAGAGTTTCAATTCGGGCATTTGACTCGGGCTTTGGCGCCTTTGATAATGCTAAGCCACCAGAACTACGCTAGTCTACTCTAGTCGTGGGAGGGGCCCCGGAAGGGGGAACCTCGGCGTCTTGCTGGAGATTGGGGAAACGCCAATACTAGTTAGGTGCTCTACTCCGTACTCTAGGCTCGCTCTAGACGCCTCCCCCCGCTCCTCCCCGACATTCTCAACCTTTTATTCCAACCCCCATCGGAAGCGATCATGAGTGTTTCGCTGCTATCACTGTGGAAATGCATAACGACCATTACCAATATCATGCAGTTACTCAGAGTCACCAGGTCGGGACGGGCTCCGCGAGTCCTTTCGCGTGTCATGTCTGCAAGAAGACTTATACTCGATCGGACCATCTAGCTCGTCATTTTCGCACACGTCAGTGAACCCTCTAGCCCAAATACAACCCCTAGTATAACAAAGGCTAGATACAAGTGAAAGACCTTTTGTATGCAAAACGTGCGGTAAGGGCTTCGCAAGACGGTATCGACTACTACTCCTACTCGTTCAGTGTGTTCGTCTCTGATAGGATATAGCGATCTTCTAAGCCGACACGCTAGCATTCACAACATCAATGAACAACTACGCAGCACCTCCAGAGGTGTCAGAAAACACAGAGCAAGAAGTGCATGCATCGCTTGTGCGGAAGCGAAATTGCGATGCAGCGACAATCGCCCCTGCGAGCGTTGCGTAGCGAAAAGAATTCCCTGTGACGCTCCGACATCTGCCGCAGCAACCGGACAGCAAAACATTGTCCCTGCAAGTTCAGCCATGGATTGCCTGCCGTCTGTCGAATCGTCCAGTACGGCGCTCGAAGAGGAGCAGCAGCAGCAGCAGCTTTGTGCGTTCCGTGAGACGCGTGTTCATAATGACCTCATTCTCGACCAAGGCCAGAGGTCAACAAATACGATGATGGACTCGGATACTCCGCACCCTGTGAATTGCGATGAGTTGCCTATGCACTTGGCAGAATCATATAGTTCAAGTGAGTGGGATCCCCCGCAGCCTTGCATGGCTGATCGTGTCTAGACAGCATGATGTGCAATGAAGCACCCGACCCATTCCTCGGTGTCGAAGGTGGATTTGACGACATCCTCATGGGCAACTTCCTCCATGGTATTATCAATACAGACCAGTCTAACAATCAGTTTCCCAGCCACAGTACAGGAGGACTACCAAACGTGCTGCACTTTGGCTTTAATGAATTCGCAGACTCCCTCTCCTCCGGTTTCGACCGTGTACATTCTCCCCTTGCTCCCATGCGCACCGCCACAACCGAAGACAAGAACCTTTCAATCGGTAGCCGCGGCGGCATGGAAACACCAGCGGTGCGAAGAGCAGTCCACGCTGGCGAGCAAGCTTTCAGGGAATCTATCTGGCTTTGGGACCCTTCAATAGAAGACAGTAGTGTGTCAGAGCAGATTCACCTCACCCTGCCCCGAGATCACTCCATTGCCGAGCATCAATCACGAGAAGTGGATTCAGGCCTTCGCTTGTCAGCAACGAGTCGCGATCGTCTTCTCTCCATGATATTGAGAACCTGTGAGCCTCAAGTACAACGTCAAGTGGTGTCTTGTTTTCCGTCGACCGAATTTCTCTCTTGTCTACTTGCCGACTTCAAAATAAGGCATGTTCGACAAATATCGCCCTGGATTCACTTTCCCACACTCAACCTCGACGACGAATGTGAGGAATTTTTGGCGGCTTTGATATGCGCTGGTGCTGCCGACTCAAGGCGACCGGAGATCCGCAAGCTTGGATTCGCCCTGCAGGAGGCTGCCCGCCTCGCCATCATGAAGAGATTCGAAGAAGATAACAGGAATCTTCGGGACCTACGTTCGATACAAGCACTTCTTCTGATACTCCAAGTCGGTCTTAATAGTGCATCACGACGCAAAATCGAGATCGCCGAGAGCTTCACCCTGATTGTCGTGACAATGCTTCGAAGAGGAGGTCGGTTCTGGAGTAAGCGGGACAGTCTATTAGTTCTAAACGACAACGACGACAATCGGCGTCAGACTCTTGAGGTGCATTGGAAGAGATGGGTCGAGGAGGAGTCCTTCAAGAGGCTTGTCTATCATGTCCTTTTTCAAGATGTGCAAACGTCCTCGGCCCTCTTTCGTCAACCTGTGGTATCTTACTTCGAGATCAATCTGACCATGCCATGTTCGGCAGAGATGTGGCAAGCGGAATCAGCTGAAATCTGGCGGCAGGAAATTCTGACGAGACAACGTCCCCCAAATCTATCCCCGTTGACACTTCAGAATTGTCTCCAAGATCCAGGCTTACTGAGTCTTCACCACGGTCACATTGATCTCCAGATGAGCCTCAGGGTGATGGTCTCCATTTTCTGGTCGCGAGTGTGGCAATTCATTCAAATGAGAGCGATTTCCTTGCCTTTGAATAGCAACCCGAATCTGGTCACGGTGAATTACTTCCGCCAGCAACTCGTGGCCACTAGTCAAGACCTGATTGTACGATTTTCCGAAGACTTCGAGTCAATGCATCCTTGCGTGAAAATGGTGCTGGAGCTCGGTTTGATGCATCTGTACGTCTCGCTCGAGGATATCCAACACCTCGCGGGAAAGGAGGGCGAAGAACAAGCTCGGAAAGCCGCTTCCCGTCTTCGATCATGGATCGGCCTGCCCGAGTCCCGACATGCTTTGTTTCATGCTGGTCAGATTGCCAAAGCGGCGGTTCAGTGTCCATTGCAGTATCTGCGTGGATACCATGCCGTGGTGATCTACCATGCAAGTCTCACCATGTGGGCTTACGCTCTGCTGGCGACCAGCCAGACTAGCGTGCAAACAGCGCAGGTGGGAAATTTCCACGGTGCCGAGAATAAATTACCTCTGGTCCGGCTCGACGGCGATGAAACACCAGAATTGAGACGTTTCATTCTCCTGGGGAACGGCACTGCTTGTATACGAAGATATCCTCCAGATGAACCCAGGATGGTGCCGCTAACGGACTCAGCAGAGGTTATGATGAGCATGGCCGGACTGCTTTCGAGTCGAGACGAAAGCGAATACTACTGCATCCCTATTGTCAGCTATCTGACCAGTTTGATGCACTCGTTGGCCAAGGCTTCTGCTGGGATGAAGCTTTTGCGATAGATGATTGGACTGAATAGGCAACGAACGCATCTGACCGCTACGAAAAACTTCATATCTGACAGTGCAACCGCATTCCACCACCAGGCAGCTCAAATCTACCGCACAGCAACCGCATCTGCAAGGCTTGCTGCCCCAATCAAGGACGCCATGTGAAACCCGGATGTCGCCAATCCAAATCTGCCACCTGTTTCTGACTGAGGCCCAGAATCCTCGCGTGTACATCGACCTGCGCTCGTTTCTTGTTATCTTGGGCCAACCAGACACCGAGAGCAATACTAGAGATCAACACAGTCGCTTGCGCTGCAAGGTTTAACCCATTGCCAATGGGATAGTTCGGCCCATCGAAGGGCAGAAAAGCCCATGTTGCGATTAACCCACCGATGTTTCCGAACATGACGTTCGTCCCGATGGCGGATGAGCGGGCCGTGTCGCTCACCACATTCGCGGAGACCTGGGCGTTACATAGCGCACCGCCGTTGAAAGCGCCCATGACGATGATGAAGATGGCTCCGTACCGGACTTTGGCGTTCTCGCTGGCCAGGAACATTATGTACCCTACCACGACGGGGACGGCGCTGCATGTGATGATGATGTTGCGACGGTCGATTTTCCAGGCTAGCAGGTTGGATGCGACAACGGAGACTGCACCGACGATGTACGGTGGGACGGTCATGAGTTGTTGTCGAACGACCGAGTAGGTCGGGTAGATGGTTCGGATGACCGTCGGGGCGAAGAATGCGAGACCCTGCACGGTGATGCATTCGAGGAGAAAGATCCAGGCGGTCACCAATGTGACGGGGTTCAGGATTCCTCGGAGGAGTTTCGGTTTGTCGAGCTTATCGAGAACTTCAGTCGTGCCCACGCGCTCAGTTTTGAGGCGGACAATCGCCAACTGCTTCTGGTCGTCGGTCAACCACCTGGCGGTCTCTGGTCGGTCGGTGAGTGCGAAGAAGGCGATGAGCGCAAGGCCGATCGTGACGATGCCTTCAATCGCGAAAATCATTTCCCAACTTTTCGTGCTTCCGAATGAATCGAGTTTCAAGATTGCGGATGCCAACAGACCTCCAAATGCCCCGGCTAACGGCGCCGTAACGATGTACAGTGCAAGACGAAAAGCGAGTTCCGAACGTCGATACCAGCGCGACATGTAATATGCGATTCCGGGCAGCATAGGAGCCTCGAAAACACCGAGCAGGAATCGAACGCCACAGGCGGAGTGGATGTCACGAACGAACGCAAATGCCACGGTCATGATGCCAAAGCCCAATGTCGTCGCGGGGATGAACCAACCGGGTCCGATCCATTTGCAGGCCATGTTGCCCGGGATTTCGAAAACGATGTACGAGATATAGAACACGGATAGGACTTGGTTATATTGGTATCCTGTGAGGGCGAGATCCTCTTCGAAACCCGCAAGTCGAGCATTGCCTGTTTAGCGGAGATTTATTAGCAAAGGGAAGCTAGAGAGATGGGGTGTTGAGGCGCTTGCTCACCGATGTTGGCACGGTCGATGAAGCAGAATAAATACAGGAGAGCCACAATGGGGACAATGTACAGGTCAATTTTGTACATGAGACGCCGTTCTTCGACCGGGTCGAATTGCGCCAATGGTTGCCCATATCTAAACGACCATGTCAGCAGCCAAAGACTTTGGGAGGGAAATGGGATTGGCGAGAGAATACTCATCAGTGCCGGCTTGACCACTCAATCCAGCCTTGATATGGAGGACATCAGCGTCACTTTGCAAACCCCCTTCCATATGGGCAATTTGAGGAGTCTCTTTGGGCTCGTGAGTAATGCTGGCCATGGTGATTGTAGCCTTCTCTGTTAAATCCGGAAGAGACGTGATGATGAGGGAGACATAGAGCTAATGCCTGAAGGAAAGTCTCTTTAAATATTGATGGGGGCTTAGAGCATTCGGTTAAGGCACTCCATCCTGGGGGTAATGCACCACGGGGTAGTGGCTTGGTTCGTGATCGTGTTTCTGGGAGAAGACTGTTGTAGTGCGGCAGCAACGCGTTATCGTGTTGACTTGGTCCTTGATTTCCGTGGCACATCCTAAATGACACCGCCACTAGTGGCATTCACACGTGTGAAACCCTGCTTCATTTTCCTCTTTTTCTTGGCCTACGGTTCGTTAGCGGTATGGCAGACGACCTCTTTTCGTCTCACTGGTCTCCAGAGGGAGAGGTTGGGTCGGAAAGTGGTGCACCACTTCGGTAACCCCCAGCCTTGCCAAGACCAAATGTGGATTTGGCAAAATCCTTTTGTCGTCGCCCCCTCGTACTCCACCCCCCCGGATATGATCGTTCTGCTTTGAGTCGCGAACTTCAACTACCGTACTCGCTTACCGAGATTCAGAGGCATCAAATGCATTGTACTGGCCTAGCAGAATACGAATCGACCTGGACCAGTGACCAATCATCGATGTTGATTTCATATCAGTTTAGTCATGCGCCAAGGCCTCCCCCTCTCTGACGTCCCGGATGGTGCCTGAGAAGTTCTGGGTTGAGCATTTATACGGCACGTGAATCTCATAAGTCTTCAAGAGGTATAGTATATTACGTCGGAACGCGATCCCAAAAACCCCCACGGGACTTTCAACTTGGCTTTGGCGGGGCCGAGAATCGCATGGAGGCATCTTTATTGGGATGTCGTCACTACCATTTGAATAGACACCATTTTTATTAACATTCCCTTTGCCCGTTTGTTCCTGGATTCTTCAGCCACTTCTCTCCTCAGGATTTGAGATCACATCATCTATCTCAGCTCGACTAGAATTTTCGCAACTCTCAAGGAGACAACATGTTCACCGGCCTGGCGTTGCTGTCTATTTGCCTGCTTATACTACTTCGCGTGACGTATACATATGTCACATCTCTCGAAAGATCTATACCTGGGCCATGGCTGGCTCGCTTCAGTCGTCTTTGGTACTTTCTGCATGTACAATCGGGAAATTTTCACCACGAGAATATTGCCTTGCACGCCAAATATGGCCCCATCGTCCGCGTTGGTCCCCATCTCTACTCTATCAACTATCCGGACAACAATGTCTATGGTATCGGTTCCAAGTTCAAGAAGAATGACTGGTATGAAGGCTGGAAGCATCCTAGTCCCGACCGCTGGACATTATTCCCAGACCAAGACATCAAGCGCCACGCCGAGACGCGGAAGAAGTTCCAAAACTTATACAGCATGAGTTCATTAGTCTCCTATGAGAAATATGTCGACGAATGTATCGATATATTTCTACAGAAGATGGCGTCTTTTAGCCAATCGGGCGAATCAATCGACATGGCCCATTGGTTCCAATGTTACGCTTTCGACGTCATGGGAGACATCACATATTCTGAGAGGTTCGGCTTCCTTGACCAAGGAGAGGACATCGCGGGCATACTTGTGGCATTGGACAACTCCATGGTCTACTCGACATTGGCGGGCATCTATGCCTGGGCTCATCCGTATCTCTACGCTATTATGGAGAGGATTCCGGGTTCGGGAGCTGCCGGAAGGAACTTTCTCATGAAATTTGTACAACAGAGGATCGCAGAGAGGAATCATGCAAGGGCCAACCTCAGCACAAGCGAGAAGCAGCGACCACTTGACGCTAACGATGGGACACCCCAAGACTTCCTCGACAAGCTCACCGATGCTCATGAACGCGATCCGCAACGGGTCACACCATACCATATCTTCATGATGGGCTTGTCCAATATAATCGCCGGGAGTGACACAACGGCAGTGTCTCTATCGAGCGTTCTGTACAACTTGGTCACGCACCCGTCAGTTCTAGAAAGGCTGAGGCAAGAAATCAAGGAGTACGACGCACAAAAAAATTCATCCAACGAATTCATCCCCTTCAAGGAGGCTCATAAGATGCCTTATCTCCAGGCTGTCATAAAAGAGGCTCTTCGCCTCCATCCTGCCACTGGGTTGCCTCTGTGGCGAGTCATCCCAGAAGGTGGAGCATTTATCGCCGGTCGCCAACTTCCAGCAGGAGCCACGGTCGGCATAAATAGCTGGGTGGCACATTACGATTCCGGTGTTTTTGGACCAGATGCGGGCACCTTCCGACCAGAAAGGTGGTTGGAAGCTGAGCAAGAGAAGGGGGAACAATATCAGAGAATGGAAGCAAACTATTTACCGGTATGTATTCATTTGTTGATTCGTTATGTGATGGACATGTGCTTACCCAATCAGTTTGGACTGGGCTCGAGAACGTGCTTGGGCCGGCATATTTCTACGCTTGAAATGTACAAATTGATCCCCGAGCTAGTCAGAAAGTTCGACTTCGAACTAGACATGGCCACGAGCAACTGGAAGACGAGGAATTATTGGTTTGTGAAGCCAATAGATTTCCGAGTCCGGGTCAAATCTTGCTTGTGATCAACTGCCCGGAGGACTAGAATTGGATAGATTGTATATTATCAAAAACTTGTCACAAATATAGTTGTTAAGAAAGCACGAATTTTGCATGAACATGGCTTTGTCTCGTGGTAACAGCTTGAGCCCTGGCTAGGGATGAGTGTACGAGTAGCAAACCGTCGAATAGGTGGCAACCTATTGTTCGCGACGGGACCGACTCATTCTACTGTAAAGGTGATGAACGGTTTAGCACTTGAGTGCTTGTCTTGCAGGGAGGATGTCGTCGTCAAAGTCGTTTAGCAACCACACACCAAGCTCTCGTTACAAGAAAAGTTCAATGCTCTCCCATCTTTCTACCCACCCATGTTTGCTTGCCCCTTGCATAATCCATGCACGTAGTGCCCCGCTACAATACAAGTCACACCTGAAGGCCAATCAAATATTTTTTGTCATATTTCAGAAACATGACAGGAAAAATCTGATTAGCTTACCTTTTGAGAATGAGAAGAGCGGGAGGTTGATGCGTTAGCAAGACTAACCCTCAACTGACTACATTGCTCACATCAAAACGCTTCGATCATACACTAAACCCTCAGGCTGGTCTGCGTTAACATCGGTTGGTTACCCTAAGTCCATCGTCGTTAACGATTGACTTACCCCGGGCCAACAGAGTTACATTTTCGTGGCCGCCTAATTTCAATTCTTTCTTGATACATACACCTAGTTAACCCGCTGGAATGAGACATTTCTTGCGTTCAGGGACTACCTCGAATGGCGTACACGGTCTGGCAAGTCCTGTAACTTCTGGACTTTACCATCTGACCAATAACTATGGTCAAACCGGCCAACAATCCGAAACCCAAGGTAGGTATAACTCTTAGAATCGAATACGCTTCAACAGAGACTGGCTTTTAGAACAAGGCTGACTCACCTTAAGTCCAGGGACAAAGTACCAGAATCGATACTATAAATCGTTCTAGTCTAGCAAGGACTAGAGGCCGAAGTAGCGTAATAAGAGATCGATGTGGCTGGTGTATTGCAAACCGTAAGGGCTATGAAAGTGCCAAACCCGTTTGTGGCAATTGTCGGAAGAAACCAGAGCGCTGCCACTGGCCTGTGGGTAACCATTCGAGAAGCGGATTAGGCGAATTGCGTATTTCACCAAGACCTAATGAAGATAATCCGCAGCACAGTGGGATTAACACAGTTGAAGAGGGTTCGATAAGCAACATTGTGGCTGGAGCACAATTGACGACGAATAATGCGCTGGCCCAAGAAGAACTTGTCCCTCTAAGTCAAGTTTTCAAACAAGTCGAACGGACCATGTCGAGTGTGGTCTTGAGGCAGCAATTGCCAGTTGAAGACCAGGTTCCAGGATATTCTTTGCAGGAGATGCAGCGTCTTGATCAAGTCCGAGTGAGAGTCCTCGAGGGCACTAGAGTATACCTAGGCTATGGTCCTCAATTGCCAGTGGTGAACGGAAAGATGGATTGAACTTCTAACTCTAACCCCTCTTCCGTTATGGTAGACAAGATGAGGTGGTTACATGTAGGTAGGATGTTAAGATCAAGCAAGGAAACTCTCACAGCGAGGAGAAACGTTAGACTTTCGGTGGCCAGTGTTAACAGAAGCTTAAGCAGGCTTGCAAACAAATAAATCAAATCAAATCGAGCCTCGAATATACATTACGCTGCGCCGATAATGTCCGCTCGAAGTCGGCTTCTCTGAGCCGTTATCGCAATATACTGAAGCCTCACTTCCTCTATTTAAGGTCTGTGGCCCCTTTCTTGTATCTTGTATTCGTCCTCCTAGCCTCCCTACATTCCTCCTTAAGCACGGTAGTTAGGTTAGTGGCTGAACCCTATCGGTGGCTGGATATCACACTACGGTGCCACCGGCAGAGGAATCCGCCACTTTGGCCAGTTGGTTTGCCGTTATGTAGAGTGCTTTTCAAAAATCCCATGGACTGCATCCGATCAGGCTGGGGAGGCTGTGCCGTACACGCTGCCGAAGGAACGAGACCACTGCCCCCGGTCCCCACTCGGTCATATGGTCGAAGAATTGGATCCGATGGCGGTGGTATATCATGGGATCCTGTCAAACAGCTGGAGCCTACCTGTGCCTATTGCCAAGAGCCCCTATTCCCTGGCGTATATAGAGGGGCTCTCCCCCTTTCTATAGCTGCAATCTATATACGAGTTTCACCCTTCTATCCGCCACTCTCAAAGTTCGACAGATCCGATCCATGGACCATGTAGATATCGAGGTTCGTACATTAACGTTCCATACGAGCCATCTCGAGTACGATTAGTAACGATTGTCTAGGTGGTTCACAGACTGGATCCGATGAAATACTACGACCCATCGGATCCAATCCATGGATCATCTCGACGTCGAGGCTCGCCCGTACGCTCGGTTACGAACCCTCTCGAAGGTGATCAGTAGAGCTTCTCTGGGTGGTCCACAGACTGGATCCGATCCGTGGCCCATCTCAATGTCGACTTCCATCGAGTAGGGTGCCCCCCCGGCCACATGGTCCACGGATTAGATCCGATGACGGTGCCCCGGGGGGGGGGCCTTACCAGTGTTCGATCATAGGTAAGGTAAGAATGTTGTCTGGCCTAGGTTCCATTGAGGTTCTAGGTGCCCTAGATGGGTAAACGTAATGCTCCAGCCAGTGATTGCCGTCTTGTTCATACCGTTAGGAGGGTCACTGATTTAAACTCTTCGATGGTTGAACTTGTGTGGCTGAAGCTTTCACTGGCTGCGGCGCCGCATCAATGAGTTCGTTAGAGATGGGCTATAGGAGGGGGCCCTCTAATTTTTGGTATTTCCGTCCTAAGTCCTATATCGTCAGTATAGTGGTATAGATGGAGGATCGCGCGAGTCATAATCTATTAGAAGATACTGAATCTGTGAAGTGGGGGCTAAATAGAAGGATTACGATATTTGCGTTTTTCAGCTTAATTGGGTAAATATTGTCTAATGCTGACGAGCGCTGATTGGATAGAATTTTTATCCAAATTATCCAAATAAATCCAGCATCATAATTTGATTTGATTTGGAGAAGATCCTCCAAGGAGTTGAGGGCACCGTTACCTAAAGGGACCAGTTCCTGGTCCATGGGTATTTGTGTACGTGGGGGAAAATAATCCCATCCTTACCTTGCTGGACAAGGTTGGGTTGAACTTAGGAGCGGGACGTATGAAGGATCCTGGTAAAATGACCGTGATTAGTAAAATTGTGGAGAGGAGTGATTTCTTCACAGGTCTGTTGGATGATGGCAAAAGTACAAAGGTCCAGCTGGAGCGCTCTTTCGGTCTCTTTCACCCATATCAAACTTCTGTGCAACCTGAATTTGAATTAATGCTCTGGCTCTCCCAATGAGTGCAGGATAGAGCGCATCTATATATCTATCTGAACAGTGCCCTTCCGTGTTGTTGTCTGTACAACAGCCTAGCGGGCAACCATCTCATAAGTCAACATCAATCCTTTCCAGTATCCCAGCATATTCCCTGCCATACTGCAACGGCTCGACCTTGCCGCTGGTGAAAGCGCAATGAGCGACCCCGCCCTCATCGCCCGAGCCTGGGATGACCCCCCACTGGACGGGCTTGATTGCGGCGTCGGCATCCCACGCAGGCTGGTGACACGCGGCGGAGATGGCGGCGCTACAGCTCCCGACCAAGGGGATGGCGCTGGAGTGTTTCCGCAGGCCCAGCATGATAGTCGCGATGATGATGCACACCCCCGCGACAAGCACCAGGATCATGGCCAGTGGGGAAAACCCGCATGACGCGACGGCCACGGAGCTGAACAGCTCGCCCAACGACGTGTACTCGGCCACCACAGCCAGGAAAATAGACTGTGAGATCAGCCAGTGCAACAGGCCCGAAAGGGCCATTAAAGGGATCGCGACCTTGTAAGGTAGTTGCAGGAAATGCGTGCTCCGCTGGGGCCCGCGGGGTTTTGAGACACGCAGGGTTTTGCGCTCGTGGACAAAGTCGCTCCATTCCGATGCGAGCCACATGCTGGTCAGCAAGCCGTTGAGGTTGAGGTAGAGGAACGACAGGATCGTCTGGGGTAGGTTGGCGATGAGGATCGAGGCGATGATTCTTTCTGTAGGTCCGCCTTTGCTCCCCACGCTCCACCCGCTGATGATGGTCGACGGGTTGACTTTGCCAAACCCCAGGCTCGCGATTGTGAAGCCTGTGCCTTCGATGGAGGAGATGGCGAGGCGGAGTAACGCGCCCACCACGACTAGCGCGAGCAGAAAGAACCCGATGGTTAGGGACCAGCGGAGACGGCTCGCCGATTGGGACCAGCGCACGGTTTGAGGTCGGGCTACCGTGGACTTTCTGGCCTCTTCACCGCCGGCCTCTTCCCACTCGACGGACCAATGTCCCTTGCCACGGACGTATCTGACCACGTCCTTCTTCGAAAGCAGACAGAGCCCTCGTGTCGTCCTGTCGGATTCGTCGAGGAACGACTCGACCGCATCGCCAATGGTGATCAGAGGCCTGTCGCGCAGCCGGAAGGCGACGAACAGCATAACCGCAATCTTGACAGCATTGCAGGCTACCACCACAGCGACGATAGGCACGTTGCCGTTGAAGCTGCATTTCTCGGGCACGCGTTCGCTGAGGCAGTACTGTACATCGTATCCATAGGGCTGCCACTCGTCGGCTATGGCGATAATCTTGGACACAAACGTCTCGCAGGGTAGAGCGTAGTTGAGCGAATCTCGTGGGACAGTAATTTTGTCGTCGATTTTCGGGTCGCTGGTACAAATCCTATCATCCCGTTTTTTCCATCAGTGGGATGCGCACAAGTCGACTTTTTTTTGGGAGTGGGGAAGAGGGGATGGAGTAAAAGCTCACCATTGAAATTGGTACAGACCGGTGTAGAAGTATTCCGTATCGAAAATGAGCGAAGTGTCGACTGTCTCGTTTTTAGTGACCAGCACCAGATTCCGTCTGTCGCTGACAAAATTTGTAGCGTAGGCTTTAATGCACGCAACCTTGTCTAGCCGCTCATAAACGCCCGGAATCCTAACGTCGGCGTGGATCTTTGTAGGGTCGGCGACGGTATCCGAGGCTGGATCAGCGGAGGTGAAGGTCGGGCTGTCGATAAAGTCTTGCTTGACGAAATATAGACCGTAGTCATTAGTGGATAGGGATTTGTAGAAGGCCGAATTGTACCTGAATAGATATATCAAAACCCAAGGACCCGCGCATAGAGATACAGAGAGCGCGAGATGCCTAGAGAAAAGGACATTGGCTTACATCAAATGTAGCGGCACCGACGACAGCCCCAACGTCAACCACAGGAGTGTCTTATAAGTAGGAATGCTTAGAAGATTTCGAACGCTGGGGACTCCAATATCGAGAAACCGGCCATTGACGTGGGCGCGATTAATCTCCGGCCTAGTCGGGGCCGACAGGCACTGCATACAGTAGTTCGACCCGCCGAGGAGGAGCGTGCTGATGGCATTAATGGCCAAATGGATCCAGATGTCCAGACGCTCGACTTTTTCACAATCGCCGTTAAACACCTCGACGAGGCCCGAGTCTGCCTTGTGGGATCCCAGCCAGGCGAGGCCGACGACATTGATCAGCAGCGACACCACCGCGATCCCAGCTGCACCAAGGGCGCCGCTTCTCCAGCCGTATAGGCGGCTGGACCAGGTGAAGCACGGAGGTCGGAGATGTTTCTTTGGGGGCCGGTCGAACATCGTTTCTGTAGGGATGGGATCCGCGTGGTCCAGAAGCGGTATCTGGTCTTTGAACGCGTAGCTGGAGCTGGACTTGGTCCGAATCGACGACAGTTCGACATCGTAGTCTGCTTTGGAGTCTAGGTCGTCGGTGTTGGCGCGTTGATATGTCTGTCGTGGCTGAATGAGGTCCATTTTTTGGGACACAAGTTGCTCTCAAGCCTTTTCCGTCCAGGTTCGCTGCAAAGGCATCGACGACGCTGGAGCTTTGGAATAACTCGCCCTCATTCCGCAAGACTGATTGTTCTAGAGAGGCACAAGAGAAACAGTCCTGTAGTTTTTTGCGGGGATTTGTAGAGGGTTATTCGCTTGCACCTAGGTAGGGAAGGCCTAAGTCCTTCAAGATTAGTTCAGTATCATATATATCAAAGTCTAGATGACTGTAGTAAGCGTTATATTTAGGACAACAAGATAACCGACCCTAACGAAAAGTTAAAATCAATAGTAAGGATGCTGCCTGTTCTCGTCGACCGTGCTTGTTTGGTGTCAGGATACAGAACCAAACAACGGGCCCAGAGGTCAAGAAGCAATGCAAGAGATTCGGCATTTGCGGAAAGGTTTGAAAAAGATGGAGGCCTAAGAAAGCCGGATCATCACCTTTTTGGTCGAGTGATCCTCAGGAGGTGGATTGTCAAAATACTGCAAGGTCGTGGGTCTCCATGACCAATGATAGGTCAATATTGAGTTTCAGCCTTACGCCGTCGTGTTTGGTTCGACTTTCCGTCTTTTACGCCGGTGGCTACTTATAACTAATGAGGGGCCAGGGTGAGGGGTTTTGAGTAAGCGAACAGCCTTAACAACAGTGAAACACGACCCCCAGGCGATACTCCCTAATTACGAAATTTGATTGACCAGGGCAAGAATCACCGCTGCGCCTGAGTCTAATGAAATTCCCCAGCCTCTCTACTGTGCAGCATGAGTAGGCGTACAGAAATTGTCGAGAGAATAATAAAAACTGTCGATATCAATGCTCAAGGAGGATACTATGGCAATGCACTGCAAACGGCATCAGTACGTGGTCACGAGAGGGTGGCGAAGATACTACGAGACACTGGGGTGGATGTCAATAATCGAGGATACTATGGCAATGCACTGTAAGCAGCATCAGTATATGGTCATGAGAAGGTGGTTTAGATGCTAACGGACGCTGGTGCTGTTAAATAAGGGGACACTGGTATCTTCTTCTCGAAATGAATCTCGATACCCTTGGTTGCTACTTGTTTTATGTTACATCTTGATTTTGATATTACGGGTGTTGAGCTTTCCCGCTGCTCTTATTTGTGGATTAGTCTGCCTTAAATGTTCCGAAGATGGTAATGCAACGGACCATACTGTGGTATCCAGGGTGATTTTCGTCAGTACGCCTGAAGGTCTTGGCAGGCAAACAGAATAGCTTCTGGGTGTATTGATAGAGGTCGCTCAGCTAGAAGGCAGTTCCCCCGCACCTAGAATATCACCTGTAGAGTCACGTGGTTTAGTTTTGTACGAAGGAAAAATTACCCTAGATACCACAGTATATTGGTCGATTATTGGATAATGGGTGATATTAGGGCTTGGCTGTATATAGTAAAGCCTCCGCTGTCACTGTGGGGCGGAGAATCTTCAGGTGTATGTATGAGTGACACCGGTGTGCAAGAGGCAGTACGTGTATGATCGAACTTCTTGACTATTGGAAGCATTCCTCTATTCATATCGGCAGAGGCTAGACCAATTAAGAGTCAGCCTACTTTCGACAGGATGTTCTATTCACATGCGAGCCAAACATTGTGTCATCGAGTGCTATGGAACTTTGATTGCGGCGAGATCTTCTGCAGTGACCTATCGAGAGACTCTCCATTCTACCCTTCGACCGTCTAATCAATTTTGGAGACACACACTATGATTCAATATCGTCTCCCTCGAGATCGCACCGTCTAATACCTCTTCGTCCTCAAACATGTCTTCAGCGTCTGTCGAACAAGGGAGTTATTATACACAGGATCCACCACTGAAACACTGGTAGAAAATTTCCATAGGAAACGCCATTCTCGACGGTTGCTTTGCACAGCAACGAGACTTCCGCAACGCCTATAAAGAGGACATCAGTAACACAACAAGTAGATGGAAAACAGAGCATTCAATACATTTCAAGTAGTACCCCGTATGACAGCATCATCTTGGGCGCCTCCCGTACGCCGAAGGATTACCTCTGTGAATGTAAATATTGTCAAACTGGGGTGGCAAATTGAGATGTATTGAATGTTTTGTCTCTCTAGCAACTAGTCCTGCCAGATTTCTAGTATATATACACGCTTGATTGACCCCTTTTCTGCTCCTATTCTTCCCCTATATCCTGCATATGCGTGACAACCCTTTTCCAAGTAAAGCGGTACTGCTCATTGTTCGACACTAGACGACCCGAGGTATTCCGCCGGCCCTATATAGTAAGGAGGTTCTAATCCCTCGAACGTGGTATAGATGGCGGTGATAGCTTCAGCTAGGTCAGCCGGAAGCGGCCCAGCTTCAAGAGCATCGAGAGTCTTGTGGAGCTGCTCGATCTTCGAAACTCCAAAGATCAGCGCGTCACCATACATTCCATCCAAAACACTGTGAAACGCTGTCCATCTGAGCGCAGCTGCATGTCCGCTGATGTTATGCTTCTCAGCAGCATCCCGGACTTTAGCTACTGCGGCATGAACGGAAGGATGACCGTAAACGGTACTATACAGTTTCCCGATCATATTCTCGTAGTCCTTGTCAGGTTTGAACTGGACATGAGTGCTTGGAAACTTACATCTTCACTCCACCGTGCTCCGGTGCCAGCATTGCTGGAAAAAAGACCACCCGCTGCAGGACTGATGTAAAGGTTAGTTCCATGTCAATACCGGTTGCGATATCAGACTACCTGTAGGCATAAAAGGCGATGTTATGCTGACGCAAGAGTGGAAATAATTCTTTCTCGCCTCCTCTAACAATCGCATTGTAGTGGCCCTCATATACGCTGGGTTTGGCATAACCGTTGTGCTCGCTTATCTCAATGAATCTCTGTACTTCCGCGGCAGAATAGTTCGAAAGTCCGAACTTCTTAAATTTGCCTTTTTGGATAGCGTCATTCATTGCCTTTGTTGGATCCTCAAATGGCGTTTTACGATCAGGTACATGCAGAAACACCGTTTCTACAGTTGAAGTCCGGAGATCCTCAAGGGACCGTCGAATACTCAGATCAACCTTCAAAGATTCATGATCCCCAGGCTGGCCACTTTGAACTTTGGTATGAATGGTAAATCGAGAGGGAGCCCCGGCTTGGCCAAGTCGTTTCTCAGAACCAGGATAGTTACGGGCTGTGTCAATGTGCCTGTAACCGCGATTGTGGAATGCTTGCAGAAGGGCCTGAACGTCTTCTTCGCTATCAAAGTGCACGATCCCGGGCTGCTGGGTAGCATCGCCAATCTATTATGTTCTGGTTGGAAGCAATCAATTGCGGCTAGCGGGGCATACGTACAGTGTGCGTACCGAGAATGATATTCACAGGAGCTTTGGGAGACATAATGGGCCTGGAAGGACAATTAGAGAGCCTGAATTTAGAGATGACTGGCTGTGATGGCATGTGATGTATATTATAGAGTTCGACAACTTGTTTCTGCTCTGGGAATATTCATGCAGCATCCACATCGTGACGTTTCACGGAGTATCATGCCTCCCTTCTCCGCATTCCGCAAGCCGCTTCCATTTCATGTTACTAATCTTCAAGTGCTTGACCCGATATTGGGCACCATATTTCCCCTTGTCGACCATGGCCTATCTCTAAAAATCTGCTTCGCGATACAATTACCCCGAGACTGCATGACCCCACTTCTCTAGGTGGAGGGCATCCTCGCCTAGAGCCGTTAAACGTGCTGAGTACGTCTTGCCGCGTCGAATTAAACCAGCTTTCTCGAGATAATTCGGAATAGGTAACGCCGTGCTCCGCAAAACTCCAAGTAGACCTTGGCCAATTGTGTTCGCTTGGGCTCCATAAAAGTGCGGTGTTCAGGGCTGAAGAAAGTCCGCACCTTTGCCGCACTACATGCCCGCACATATTCCCGCCACAACGCCCGCGCGCCAAAATTCACCCGCATGCGGCCCCCCAAATATCTCAACGCTTGCCTAGATAATCACGCTTACTACGGAGAACATACTAGACAGTCTAACAATCAACTTCTGGTCACGGCGATCCCTGGTGGCTCAAAGCTTCAGTTCTGCGATCGAAGCATCGACTGATCCGCTGTGTGGCGCAATGAGCACATTTTTCTCTTCTTAATAAGCTTGCCTTAGACTATCCTATGCCGCAAATCGAAGCAACTGCGGAGATAGGCCGAGAAGAATGTATCGCCCTCTCCCACCGGCACTCGTCCAGCACCAGTTGCACGACAAATTTACTAGAGAGCAATGTGTTAAAATTGGCGCCGTGCGTTATCGCCCCAGCGGTGGATTCGAAGGAAGAATTCTTGGTCGCTGTTGGACTTTTCGGCTCGATGGGCAGCAAAAGCCTGTAAGAGTGCTTTATGGCGAGCTTAGTGAGGTCGAACGAGCGGAGACTGTGAAGATACTCTCAAACGAGTTTGATTTTCTACGCCGAGTGCAAGCCGACAAAGACTCAGGACTCAAATGGATCCTCCTTGAGGCCTTAAATGAAGTCATATGTACACCACGTTCGAGGAGGAAAATAAACTAGGACGATTCTTGGAATTCATAATATAGTCTCTTGAGAGTTAGCCAACGGTAAGACATGTTCTACTTGTCCTGCTACTTCTATCAATCCAGCATTGAAGCTTTTCTGTACCAATTACACATATCCAGACCACCCTCGCGAAATCATCGAGATCCTCGGCTGTATGTTGTGAGATGAGAGCTTCGGGTTGCAAAGGCGATACCAAAAGCGGGGCTTTTGCACAAGAGAGTTCGAACCATTCCACCGCGGACTCTGCGTCCCACAGACCACGACGTGCAGTAAACATAGCAGCTCCGGTGCAATAGGCCCGGCCCTTGGTCATGGTTGGATACACATTGGTGACTGTGTCGATGATGAGCTGAGAGCGCCGAACGCTTTCGGTCAATATCCATAGCCGCCACAGCTCCGAGACGGTGTCATACTCCCTATCAAAGACATTTGCCGTCCATTGAAGAAAACGGTGATCCCCGTAGCTGTCTCCTTCTCGGTAGCGAATCACTGCTTCCCACATCTGTTTCACCCAACTCCGCAGCTTTTGGAGCTGCCGCTCGGCAGCAGCTCGTGCGCGGACGGAGCCATCAAACAGTCGTATGAACACGTAGATGAACAAGGACTGGACACGCGCCAGGTGGCCCAGTATACCTTGCGTGCCGCATGCAGTCGGTAAGCTCTGGCTGGTAAGCGCGCACGAGCGCTCCTCAGCAATCTGCAGGATTGTCCGCTTCACCGCGGGAAAACGACCATTGTATGTTGCAAGTGTTGTGAAGGCATCCTGAAGACATGTTGGCATTCCCTCCTCATAAAGCCGCCGATGAATGAAGCCATTGTAGCCATTCTTGACCCAGAGCTGCAGCATCGCCTCTACAGCGTCGATAAAACGTTCTAATTCAAGATCAATGGAACAGGCTGGTTCTTGGTTGTTCTGCTGCATAACCCACGTCTCATCTTGGAGAAACCAGGGGTGTGGCATATTGGAGAGGTTGCGATTGTCAGGTACAATACTCCCAGCCAAAGCGCCCGTACTAGGAGCCGGTAGTGTTGGGACTTCCGCGGTTGTCACATCTGGCAGTGAAAAATCGAGCTCAGTGAAGTCTATTGCATCCCAGTCCGCGAAATCGAGGCTGCTTCCGCGAGCATTATTGTCGGTAGCATTCTGTGCAGGAACCAGCCTTTCAGCCTGGCTCTCATACGCAAGGGGGTACCTTCGTCGGCTCTTGGGCTGCGGATAAACGCAGTGGATGTCCTTGCGCAGGCACCGCCGGCACTCCGGAAGCTGCTTATCGCACCTACGCTTGGACTCAGCGCAGGCAATGCAAGCTTTTTGGCGGGGAATTGCGGGCATTCTGAGGAACTATAGAATCGAGAACATTAGGCACCAAGGTGAAATCCCACCTGAAATCCCCGTTGCGACTTATGATGTCGATGTCCTTCAAACTGCTGACTAATATGCGTCGCAATATGGAGTCAAGGATTTTCCCTAGCGTATCTCTTACATTCAATGGCGCTTTGCTGAATTGGTATCGTAAGTTGGCACTGCACAAAACGCATAAAACGAACCTCCTGCAGCCATGGATATACTTGTATGGATGATCGTACATGCCATTTCTTAGCTTGAATTTGAGTGTACGGCCGAGACTTAAGCGAGGCTGCTTGCCTGGAACACTATTCAGGCTCATGAGAGATAGATAGCAGAACTGGATCATGCCGCCTCTCCAAAAGGACCACAACCCGAGTGGTTCCCCTCACTCAAGGATATGCTTGTCCGCCTTGGTTTCGCGCCAGAATGCATTCAGCAACCATTTTCAGCAAAGCGGGAACGGAAAGTCGTGTCTTGTATTCGATGCCGCAGCCACAAGGTCCGCTGCGACCGCAAAAGGCCATGCGGCCGCTGCTTCAACCTTGGGAAGGAAGCAGAGTGCATTTACCAGGTTGACCGAGACAACCCGGCTGATCGCCAACAAAGTTCCTCCATCCCACTCAATAAAATAGCTACCCAGTTCCTGGACGCCAGATGGGATCAGAAGACTCGTAACCAGTTCCACCGGTCAACGATGGTTTCTGCGGTACGGGGAACCAAACTTCCATCCAAGTGGTATCCATAATGACATTCCTCTCTAGGTCAAGCCCTTTTTTGATCCTGCGGCTTGTAGCACCAAACCACACGAGAAAATTTGCACTCATTCACTTCACTTACCAATCAACTATCCTTTTTGTGGATCATCGACACAAGGGCCTTCGCTTGAGACTTTGCTCTCCAAGCTCCCCAAACGAGCCATTCTCGAGTGTTTCGTCACCAGCTTCACTTGCACCGTCGAAAGGGCATTTCATAGTCTGGATACTACAACGTTCCAGCAGGGACTTGACCAGTATTGGAATGACAAGTCTCTGGTCGATGACGATTGGATGGCATATTTCCTTCTGGTGCTCGCCCTGGGTTGTCAAGCCCACAATTCAGCTGCAACTCCTGGTCTTGAAGCATATCAGTCTCTCCCATCTCTGTTGCTCCACGCCGCGGAGCTATGTCTCATGCGTACGCCATTCATGTTGAGACCCACAACGAACACCATTCGGGCTCTTTGCCTAATGGTAATTGCAAAACAAATCTATGCAATGTCCTGTCACGCTTCCGACACATGCTGGCCGCTCATGGGTTTGATTTACCGACTCGCAATTGCAATGGGTCTCAATAACCCTGTAGCAACGGGAAATCTGCCAAGCCATGATATCCGCTCAAGAGAGCGGCTGTGGAGAGTAATTGTGCTCCTGGAAATCAGGCAGTCTATTAACTGTGGCATGCCTTTACTCTTAACGAAAGACGACCTTCAGCCTCGTACAAGCCATAACCCTGTTCTGGACGTCGGAACCTCCGAGTGCTCGGCACAAGAGGCAGACGACCAGGTCTTCCTCCTTGAGGAAGTACTCTGCCAATCTTTCCCGACATTGCTTCGGGTCTTCGAACTCGCGGGAAGCACGAAAAACCATGTGGCATACGAGGAGATCGTCGAACTTGATGCCGACTTGAGACGATGCTTGAGGAGACCGGACATGACACTTGGCATTCTTCAGTCATCATCAATCCTTGAGCACCCGGGTAGCTTCGACGACCTGGAGGTCTCTATGCTTGATGTCCTCCTCCGCCGGGCACTCCTAGTCCTCCATTCACCCTACGCTCTGCAACCGCACTCGTCCATCGATCACCCTCTATCTTACATCTCCTCCCTCGAGAGCTCCCTCGCAATCTTGTCCCATCAACGAAATCTTTGCGAGGCAGGCACCAGTCAACGAGAGAACACTTGGTTTGCCGGTCTTTTCAGAGAAGAATTTTTCACCGCCGCCATGACTATATGCTCACTAATGGTCCACACTAACACAAACCTTGAGACATCGTCTGACTGCAAGTGTCAAATGGGTGCCAGACAAATCGTCCTTCAGGCGCTTCAGTCTTGCCGCGACTTGTGGAGCCGGGAGAAGCACGCTTCTGTTTGCAATGCCCACGCGTTCCAGATTCTTGATAAACTCATCGCACACTTGCAGGGTATAGGGCGAGGCAATTTGAGTGGACTTGGCTGTCCAGTCATGACACCAGAAGCGATTCCCAGAAGCAATGAGACATTATCTGCTGACCCTTAAGAGCGCAATACTTTCGCGCGGTTGTATGCTCATAGAGGTTGGTTAGCTGTAAGCCTAGGTTCGGGTCAATAAGGGAAGAAGTTGAATTGAGGTACAGATGTGGCGTAATTATTTAAAAAAAAGGCAATTGCGACTTCAGCAGTGTGTGGTGGATTTAACGGGAGGGCACACACAATATCGGAGTGGATGCGTTATTGGAGGGTTGTTGGCATTTATCTAGACTACAGTGAAAGAGAATCCCAATATCCATTCGCCTGATGGTGTTTGCTGGTTGTTTTGAATTCGCAACGGTGTACGTTGCATCGGTGGTCCTCTCAGTCTAGATTTCGCCTGATTTGAGTTTAACTTCTTCTGACGGGGCAGCTGTTGTCGTGGCGAGCATGGTTTCCTGGCCTGACGCTGAAAGGCTGCCCCGTGGTGTTGAATGAGTGGACGTGGCGGAAGAGATATTCAACGTGGCTTGTTGGAGTCTTTCCGAGGTAAGATAATGTCCTGCAAATAGCAAGATTCTATGATCGTCTGGTCGGCGCGATCATTTATACGTGCTTCCCTAGAGCAAAGGCCATTCCGAGCGGCCCGAGATCTCGGCGGAACGTATTTACTCGACAGACTTCTCAAAGCCTTGTCAGATGATGCACCATGAAGGGTTCGCGGAACCCCCAGCAGAGAATGAGTCACGTGTTCTACCCTGATCGGATCCAGTCCATGGACCACCTTTTTGGGGGGTGTGATTGTGAGGGTTCAGGGTCGAGAATTCAATCAATGTATTCCAGCTAACATCGAGATCTAGGTACGAGACGTAGCGCGAAGAGAGTCGAGAAAGCAAGAAGTGCAAAAGGGCCCCCTGAACACGTGATCCTTGGCATGTGGTCCCGTGACACCGGGGGCAGTATATGGCGCCGTGCCGCACCGCCCATCGGATCCAATCCGTGGACCATATGGACGAGTAACTGTATGGTGCCGGCCTCGATATCTAGACGGTGCTTAGATCGGATCCCATGATATACCACCGCCATCGGATCCAATCCGTGGACCATATAACCTATAAACACTAAGGGTTTCTATACAAACAAAGTTGACGACGAGGCTTTTGCGACTGCAAGACTATTTTCATGAAGGATGGAGTAGGTACCTACGTTTGTGTGGTGGAGCCGAGGAATCATAGGTACCATTACATAATAGCCGAATTTGGCGCGAGCTGAATTTGGTGCCGAGTTTGGCGCCCCGATCCATTCCCAAAACTGCCTTTTGCATTTGTCGCCGTATGCTGCGCAGCCTCACGCCAGCGCATGCTCGTCTACCTAAAACATTTGTCCTTCATGGTCTCAGACTGGTGTTCGTTTCAAAATGCCCTGTCTATTCAACGTCCACCATGAACACGTATTCGCGCGGATAATTCTAATCTGCGTAATCCTGCTTCTGTCTGACTCGCAAACGGTAATTCTACCTTACGACTCTTCTACTTACCTTCGATAACTTTATCAGCGATTGATTCGTCGACCCCGAGATACTTCTACCTAACCGGCAAATTGCGCAATGGATCCGCTGTCGATGACGGCTAGCATCTCTACCGTTCTACAGATCACCTCAGAGCTTATCGGCTATCTTAAAGACGCAGGGAATGCGACGAAAGAGCAGGATCAGGCGGCGGTCGAGGCTAGAAATCTTTGTACCTTGTTGACTTTTCTACGCTGCCGAGTGGAAGGAGCCCGCTTTGACGATCCATGGTTTACTCAAGTGCGGTCGCTGGGAATGGAAAATGGCCCGCTGGACCAGTTCAAAGCCTCTCTTGAGACAATAGTGGGCAAATTATCATCATCCAGGAAAAGGGAGCAGATCAAGTCAGCACTACTGTGGAAGCTCACCAAGCAGGATGTGGAAAGTATACTCAGTCGGATAGAGCGTCTCAAAACGCTCATCAATTGTGCCTTGACAAATGACCTAACGTACGTACAACAGTATGTGGGATTGGAAGTGCCTACTAATAATGAAAGGACGTTGTCGAAGGCAATCTACGACGACGTCGTCGCTATCAAGGAACAGAATAGTCAACTTCAGAGTCGCACGGTGGCGATTCATGACGACGTCATTATTGTAAAAGAACGAACGGAGCAAATACAGAGTCTTGCGGATGGTAAGTGAGATGATTACCCGTATGGATAGCAGAGCTAAAACATAGTGACCACAGAGGGGCAGCGAAATAGATTGTCACAATGGTTGAGACTACCAGATCCGTCTACCAATTACCACGCGGCGCTTCAGAAGCGTCATCCTAAGACTGGGCTATGGCTGCTCAATGGCCAAGACTTCCTTGATTGGAAAAGCTCGACATCTTCTTTAATGTGGCTCCACGGAAATGGTACGTCGCTGTCGCTGTATCCGATGAACAGAATTGACAGAATATCGCAGCGGGTTGTGGCAAGACCGTCCTCAGGTGAGCCCGACGAAAGTTGTTTAAGAGTATAGGGTTGGCTGACGGACCAGTGCTGCGACGCTGCAGTATATTCTGGAGGATCAGCAGCCTCGATCTGACCTAATGGTGAGCTATTTCTACTTCGATTTTAATGATATTGAGAAGCAGTCCTGGCAAAAGGCTATACGATCGTTGTTGTTCCAGCTTGCTCTCCAGGACAGTGGTATCATTCAGCATCTTGAAAACCTATGCCAAAAATGCGCCAACGGACAGCAGCAGCCCCCTGAAACCGACATGCATTCACTATTTAGAGAGGTAGTGGCTCGTCCCCGTCAGAAGTTTATTGTCTTTGACGCACTGGACGAATGTACAGACCGGGAAGAATTGTTGTCTTTCCTGGTCGAGTTGATGAGCTCGAAACCACGGGACATTCATATCTTAGCCACTAGTCGTCGGGAAAAAGACATTGAAGAAGAACTGACTCCGGTTGTCGACCATAACCTCAATATTCAAAGTGCCCTAGTGGATTCTGACATTCGTCTCTACATTCGCGATCGGATGGAGACAGACAAGAAACTAAAGAAATGGCCACCATCGGTGCAGGATGAAATCACCACTGCATTAATGGAGAAGGCCGGAGGCATGTACGGATGCTATCAGTTATGCTACACAAATTGTCCTAATGGTGAAATAGGTTTCGATGGGCGTATTGTCAACTTGAATCCATTCGTCAATGTGTCAAGTTAAGTGCCCTCAGAGAGGCGCTGTCATCCCTACCAGAGACCTTAGATGACACGTACAGACGAGTCTTACAAGGCCTCAAATCAACCGGCCAACTTCAAGACGCTATTAAGGTTCTGCGGTGGCTGTGTTTCTCCGATCGTCCTTTGAAATTGGCGGAAACGGTCGAAATTCTTGCAATCGAGACTGGAGATCAAGGTGGATTCTTCCCGGAGGAACGTCTGCCTGATCCAACAGACGTAATGGTTGTCTGTTCCAGCCTAATCAGTCTTACTACCAGAAAAGAGGAGGACGACAGCGATTCAGAAGATGATAGGATCCAGGTTCAACTTGCACACCTTTCTATCAAGGAGTTTCTCTTATCTGATCGATGTCCCTTTGGAGTGGATATTCGACCGAAAACCTGCCACTTCGCAATAGCAGAGGGTTGTCTGCATTATTTGCTGTACCTTAGTCAGAACGGACCCTGGACCGAAGCGGTCGTCAAGGAGTATCCGCTGGCTTTATATGCGGCGGAGCATTGGTGGCAGCATACACGAAACACTAGGGGTATGCTAAACGATACCTTGTTAGATCTCGTGTTATGCCTCTTGACGGATGAGGATACTGCTCTGCTTTCGTGGTTACGGCTTTACAATATTGATAGACGACGGCGAAAAATACAGGTGCGTCTGCGGTCTAATGAAATTGCCCAGTCTCTCTACTATGCTGCATATATAGGGGTACCGGAAATTGTCGAGAGAATCATAAAACGAACTGTCAATGTCAACGCTCAAGGAGGAGAGTATGGGAATGCACTGCAGGCCGCATCATTTCGTGGCCATGAGACGGTGGTGCAGATGCTGCTAGATGCCGGGGCGGATGTCAACGCTCAAGGAGGACGCTTTGGCAATGCGCTGCAGGCCGCATCAGCACGTGGCGATGAGAAGGTGGTGCAGATGCTGCTGGATGCCGGGGCGGATGTCAATGCTCAAGAAGGAGGCTATGGCAATGCGCTGCAGGTCGCATCAGCACGTGGCGATGAGACGGTGGTGAAGATGCTGCTGGATGCCGGGGCGGATGTCAATGCTCAAGGAGGACACTTTGGCAATGCGCTGCAGGCCGCATCAGCACGTGGCGATGAGAAGGTGGTGCAGATGCTGCTGGATGCCGGGGCGGATGTCAACACTCAAGGAGGATGCTATGGCAATGCGCTGCAGGTCGCATCAGCACGTGGTCATGAGACGGTGGTGCAGATACTGCTAGATGCCGGGGCGGATGTCAATGCTCAAGGAGGATGGCATGGCAATGCACTGCAGGCCGCATCATTAGAGGGCCATAAGACGGTGGTGAAGATGCTGACAGATGCTGGTGCCGTTAACTAAGGAAATTGAGATTTCCTTTGAGTTGCAACTTTTTAAAAAATTTGAGCTGCTGGTGGGGGCCCTAATGCTCGGCGTTAAGGTTACTGTGGGGGTACTGCTTCCTGCGAAATGGTTGGCTCTCGACGATCGATAACAGCAAGAGGCACGGACTAGAGTCCGTTTTTCGACGAGTTACCTTAGTCACATCCTGGGTCCACAATATTTTCCGCCGACAAGGGTTCGAGTACGACAATGTTCCTGGTTCTGCTTTCAACATACACGCTTAACCACAACCATGGCAACTTACGCAGTTTTCTGCAGGCTCTGCATTAGCCTTTGGCCTAACGCGACCTTTTCGCCCCCAATTATTGCGGTGATGACAGCCCACCGGCCCACGGCGACGGTGAGGCTGAGTTGCTGTCAATGTTTTACGACCGCACGAGAGCCTCAGAATTTGTCGCCAGGTGACAGTGTGGACGAAATGGCCTTTTAGCAACACTATTTAAGCATCTCATTACATACGCCTAGCCTTTCAGCCTTCCAAAGCTCCAAGCTGTCTGGAGGTCAAGATGGCCATGGACGCCGCGACAGCGGCTGCAGTTGCGGCTCTGATTGTCTCCATACTAGCTATGACCGTGGCTTTTGCCCAAGTCGTTCAACAATATCTCCTCACCGGCCAGTTGATCCGGATTTGTGACAGCGTCGTTTATGGCAAGATGCCCGGGCGGGGCAGACGGGTATGGGAATTCTCCCAGTTTCGCTTTCGAGTCGTCTATTCTATGCCTCAGATTAGTCTACGACCGAGTCTATGGATCGACAGCCTCCCCCATTCTTCGTCATTTTCAAAGGGCCACCTTCCCCTTCCTGACCTTCGTCACACGAGTCGCGGGACACAAGGTAATTTCCGTCAGGCGCTGAGTCGGCATTCGGGCCAACATCAGCAATCCGAGTACTCTGCAACTCCGGGAGAAGCTTCTTGGGTATCTTTCTGCCGAGTGGCGCAAAACGCTAGCGGGAATGATCTCTTCTGTGAGCTGATTGACTGTGATGCAGATCGATGTCCAGCCGATCTTCCAGTGGCACCCATGCAAGTCTCACTACGAGATATTGTTGTTGTCGCTATCATGGCTGGAATGAGGTGTACGGACGCGTCTTTTGAGAAGAAATCGCTCGCAATGGAAGGCGCAGCCGGGACGATCACGACTTCCTGGCATCCGCTATTGGGAGCAATCGTCCACTTTGCTCCACGGAATTTCGGTCCCCCTCTGCGGCCGGAATCGCGTATAGATGAGGTTTTGGGGCTGCGCATAGGCGATGGCAGCATTAGCTCGAAATGGATGGCACGCATGTGGGACGTTGCAGTGGTTGCTGGCCGCCAATACGATTTGCGCGACAGGAAATTCTATCAAGATTACGAGGGCCATAGCTGGATCACCCTGTCACGAAGCCGCACCATGGTCAAGGCATCAGCGCCAAAGTCCTTCCGGTCACCCTCACCAGTATTGAGCTTTCGATTGCGATCAGTTTCCCCTAACCAAAGATTTCGACGTCGGAGAAGCAGCGAAGCGTCTGTCAGGTCAAGATCACTCCAGGCCACTAGTTCTGGATTCGAAGATCCTGTCAACGCAAGGCCTATATTAACTCCTAATCAGACTAATGGTCGTCTAGATACAGATATACCTGTCCTTCGGAATGATGGAGACTGGTCATTTATATCTGATGCGGAGCCGTCTAAGTCAAAGTCGGATGTCCATCCCATCCAACCCCCTGCTGAGACTCTGACCGCAAAGCGAAGACCGCCTCTTCCACCAGGAAAGGCATGGTACAAGTATTTAGCCGCGTTCTTTAGCACCGTCTTCGATGCCTCTCCTGCAAAAAGCCATAGCAAGCCGTCTGTGGCTGACTTGGAAAGCAACAGCATGATGACCGCGTCAGGACCACCGGTCCCGCAGATACCAAGGGGGCCTGCACAGCGAACAGACGAAGATCGGGAACGAACAATAAAAAGCTCCTCAATGCTGCCATTACCACAACAGTTTAGGTCGCGGCCTCCGAGAAGTAATGATATGCCGAAATACTTCCGGAAAAAGCTAGATGGCAGGGCGTTGCAAGAGTACATTGAGGAGAAAAGGAAGCACGAGGAAACCTTTTCTTCTCTGCATGGAAGACTTCTGCTGACCTGGCCAGAGCAAGCAGAGGACGAATTTGAGATGAATGTTGACGCTCACGGGCTAGACGGCTGGCGCAAGTCTGTGCTACACTCGAAACGAGAACGGGTCATCTCATATGTCGAAAGGTGGCGGACAATTGTAAATAATAGACGGCAGGAGCGAGAAGAAAGAGATATGCAAGACGAATGGGAAATCGAGACATACTATTCGGCATCGCGGCCGTCAAGTGTTGCACCGAGTGAGAGTACAAGGAGATCTTCACCGGCCGCAGGTCGTTCTGTGTCTAGAGAAAGCCGGAACTTGGGTCGAAGGGGATTCGGCTTGCACGAGCACCAAGACCTACAATTAAGGGGTCGAGCGAGAACCCCAAGAGGTTTCGAGGGCTCACAACATCGATCACCAGTTTCAAGTGTTCGCAAAACTTCTGAAAAGGATAGCAGCCACAACAAGTCTGGTCCTGGCAACGCAGGTCGTGCCATAGCTTACGGTGATGGCGCCATCACCACACCGAGGTATCCGCACACGCCAGAGAAGGCCGATGAATCGTATGGGAACGATAAAATGTCGCCCGATCGACGGAAAGGAAAGCTTTTTGTTGAATCTATATTTGAAGACAGCAAAAATGAGACTCCGCCAACTCTACAAGCGGACACAAAAGACCGACAGCAGCCAAGGAGGGTCCGCATGTTTATTCCCGAACATCAGATTACCGATGCGACTGATTATGGCAGCGACAAGAGTTGGAGTAGTCGAGAAAGCTCCGTTGAAAGAGCAAGACCAGATGTTGAATCAATGACTCGAGGGGGGATGCGCGGACCTCAATTCAAGAAAGATGCTGATGAAATTATTTCGAATGAGCACGGGAACGCAGAGGGGGCGGTCCGTGAAAAAAGACCGCCAAGATCGGAACCGCCTAAAAGCATACTCAAACCACCTCGAGAGCGGTTTCCAGAAGACGAGAACCCAATAAGGGAAGGCGTGGCACCTCTGAGAGACAGGAACACGACCAAGGAAGGAATCCCACCTGAGGCACGATGGACCAAAATCAGCCGTGCGCTGGTTAACCCTGAGGCATTGGAAAGGGCGCACGAGAGATTTGAGGCACGTAGTGACTACGTGATAGTTTTGCGTGTCTTGACTAGAGACGAGATCGTAAGGCTCGCGGAAATCACCAAACTTATTAGAGGTAAGTTTCGTCAATGTCGAAAATGGCAGTTTTGTCTGGAGTGCAGTCAAATTAGCTCTCGCAACGACCTCCGTTCTATGGTGAATAGACTAACATATGAACAGATGCACGCCCGAACGACTCCGAGGAGGATGAGGATGAGGATGAAGAAGAAGATGACCAAAGCGTCTACGAGGCTGAGACTAGAAATGAAAGTGAGGCTTCGAGTGCGGACTGGTCTAACCGATCAATACTTGGTTCGGTGGAAAGCTCAAGAATGTCGGATTCTCCCGTTCGCATATCTGAAAGCGAGGACGGTCAAACCGAACCTTCTGTTAAATCTAGCCACAAGTCCCGGCAAGAGCAAAATGCTCATATGCTCTCGCAGGACTTAGGAGAGACGGCTCTGCCGTCAAATCCGTCCCTTTCGTTGGATGCTAATGGGCGAGTCTTTCCACCGCTACAGCCACTCCCGCGTCGGGCCTCGACCCGCTCCGACCTCTCAGCAGCAGAGAGTTCAGAAAGTGATGAAGACGATTGGAGAACCATTGGATCCCAAGGGACAGGCCGACGCTCCGGCGACCCACTGGCTGTGGTGGGTGTTACCGACTCAGTACCTGCCGCGGCGAATAAAACCCAGGATAGCTTGAAAAACGGCCACATGAATTGGTTCTGGATATGCCAGGCAGATGTTCTTCCCGGCTACTTTGCAACCCCGTGGCATAGTCATTTCTCGGAATCCGTGTGCTTTGGGGCGGTTGTCACTATGCTTGAGGCATTGGAGTACTTGACCGACGATTCGACACTGCGATATGTGGAGAAGCAGCCTTACTGCGAGGACTGGGTGTACCAAGGAAAGAGCAGCTACCCTAGCTACGCAATCAATGCTATGGGGGGTGTCATCGTTTCTGCAAAGTACAGTCGGGTGAAATTTGAGGTGTTTAAGACGAAGATTCCTCCAATCGAGCTGCTGCGCTCGTACGAATACCAAGTGAACCGATCCAGCTTGGGTGGCAACACACGAGCGGTTGTTGAACGACTGGGCGAACTGATGGGACTGGATTCGTGGCTGTCGTTTTGCGGACGACTGCCAGAGATTTACGACGGGAGAAATAACTTACTTCGAAGCATGCCGGCGCTGGTACAGAAAATCATGATTGATTTTGAATACGAATTCAGCCACTTGGAACGGACACGTACAGAAGGAGGGCTGCAGATCATCAAAGAAATGGCCGAGCTGATTTTGCGGATGTTAGAAAAGGAAATGATGTCGGAAGAGGAGCAGCTTTTCGCCATTGTGGCGGTGCTGAGGGCGGCGAAGATGGCGCTGTGCGTGGTGTATGGGCCAGACACAGTCAAATTGCGGGAGATACTTGTGAATGATGTACAGGTGCATCTTGTATAGATGGATGGAAGGATGCACAATTACACCGGTATCTAATAGTAGAGAAACAGGGAACGAAACTGCATGAAATGTTTCATGGCTTCTCAATCGATCGAAATCGCAACTACCAGGTTGCAGGGAAATTTCCCGCCGAATTTGGTTGTCTCCTTCATGTTCGGTTTTTTTTTTTTTTTTTTTTTTTTTTTGGCGAACCACCAACCAACGTATCGTCGTATCTACAGCTTCAGCAAACTTTCCACTCTCCTGCGTCTTCATCTAGTACCGCGTCCCTTCCTCGCCGCCATTTCTCTCTCACTGATCTGCCTTTGCTATAGCGATGATCGGCAGCCGGCCGGTCGACCTGTTCAGGCGCTGTACCAGGCTAACAAATCCCTCACTTCATTTTCCTCAAGCTTGCCCTCCTCTACCCCGCATCTACAGTCGAATTCCTCTCGTGGTAGTCCGCCCGAGTTCCACTTCGCCATCGAGCTCGAAGCTCCTAGTGTCCGACGAGCTGAGAGAGTTCCCCGTAGGGGAACCAGACTTTAGAGAAATTCGCCAGCTCCCCGGAACGGCATACTTTGACAAGACGGAATATATTTCTAGGCTTGAAGGAGGGTCAAGAGTCAAGCTCCTTTGCCGCCCTAGGTCACTACGCTGCGATACTTCCATGGATTCCAGTTTCGCGACCAATACGACAAGCTTTTCAAGGTGTGTGGTGACGTCCTTACTGCTAGATTTGTGACTTATACTTAATAGAGTCTCAACGTGGATGAAGCTGTCAACAATAGCACAATTCAACCTGGACGATATCTTCTTTTGGAATTTGACTTCTCCCAACCTATCCGTCCTCACGACCTTGACCAGTCTGCGCAGTTCATTGGGGAACACATAAACATGATGCTGTCGACATTCATAAGTGATTACACCATATATCTAGGCGAATCGTTTGCATCGCAGACGTCTACTTTCATGGAGAATAACCCGGTCGGAAATCTCGCACGCTTAGTTCTTGCCGTTGATAGAACGCTTCAAGACATTCATAAGAGGGGAGGAGGACCATCCCCTCTGGAATGTACAAGGGGTATATTTATTCTCAACCAACTACTGAATACATTCTAATGCATCTAGATCTATCTACTAGCGGACGAATACGATGCTTGCGCCAACGATTATATGGATCCGCACAATCCAAGGTTATGGTCCGATGCCGCACCCTTTCGTCTCTTGAAGGCATTCTGGGCTAGTGTCAAAACTAGCCAGAGGTGGAGTTACGGTATTAAAAAGGTATACATCACTGGCGTTACGCCTCTGCTTTTAAGCGACCTTGTCAGCGGTGCGAACAACCAAGAAAACGTCTCTTTCAATCCATTGTTTTCAACCGTTTGCGGATTAACTCGATCCGACGTACTAGGAGCACTAAGGGTTATCTGCAACAATGAGGAAGAGGTGCAAAAGCACCTGAGGGAATTGGAACACAACGCCAATGGCTATCATTTCTGCGATGAACAGAGTGTAGAGCCGGTGTTCAACACCCATACTGCTCTTTCATATCTTGAAGTGAGTAAAGAGAAGTGTCAGCTAACTCTAATACTAATTACCGAACATATAGGCAATTAGGGAGGGAAGAAGACCTAAAGGCGTGGAAGCTCCCAACTCGAAGGTCTCTGAGAGCTTCTTAGAGGCTTGTACAGGGGCACCTAGAGCTGTGAACGAGATACAATTAGCACTTCAAAAGGACGAAGGCGGCGCTTACCGAAAGATTTCATATGACACAGTTGCTCCGCAGCTTTAAACTATCCGAACTAGTAAGTTTTGTTCCATTGTCAGTCGGAGTGATTATGCCATAAGTGTGGTCTCTCACATCCTTGTCTACTTAGAACCTCCAGGCTGCTAGTGAAGACGACATGTCTGCATGGGAATCGCGCTCCTTGATCGACTTGGTTTATATCATTTCATGATCAATGCTGTACATACTCTTGCGAAAACTGGGAACCCAACGGACGTATTGGCTGGGTACTGTCACATGATGCGAGAGCGTGATATCGTCGGAGATGCATTTTTAAAGAAGGAGGAACACCATCGAGACAGTATTCGATGGGTATTCTACAAAACGACGTCATGCAGTCTACACAGGTTACGAAGGTAAGACCCCTATTCATATCCAATAAGAACGAATATGAAGCTGATTTGTGCAGATGAATAACAGTTCAGGTTTTGTCGATCTCCTCATTACAGACAATAAAAACCTCTACACCTTCATGGAGTTCAAGAATATCCAAATCCCCTACCTGGAGCTTAGCGGAGAAGGCAGCATTGAAAAAGCGAAAAGACTCGAGCCCATGAAGCTTAACGACATTCTTAAACTGAAATTTAAGGGCGACAAATACCGAACAGGGAGCATCAACAACTGGATTGATGGAAAAGGCCGTGGTCCGGTATCTAGAAGTGTCCGCAATCAGCTTCAGTCTTGGTAGCCCAGAATAGTGAAGTGTGTCGAATCGACGATGAGGTTGACCCTACTTCCACACCACTAGTATTAAGCTGAAACAGGAAAGGCCTTCGTCTTTTGATAGCAAATACTCTTTCCTCTCATATACAACCAATGGATCTCCCCCGTCCATTATCCTATAAGAGTTATTTTTCAAAACGTCGATTTCTTCTCCTCTACACCACTAAAACCCTTCCTTAAAAGTACCTAGTTCCGACAAGCCTAACTCGCTAAAGACCATCGACACACACGAGCCGATATTAATTCAATCCAGCTTAAAGAAGGATAATAGTTTTCGATCTAGAGCTCGTCTCCTTAGTCGGTAAGGTGTTACGTGTGTCACACCGGGTGACGTCACGTGGGTTGAGGTCAGGGACTATGAGTGTAAGGCTGTGGAGCAGAGATGCAGAGCGTATCGATGTATCTAATGGTAGGGGTGTGATAATGAACGAAGTTGACTACGTAGAGTATCGAGGGGTGAAGCCATAACTATATAGGCGAAGGCCACTACCCGGAAGGGTAATAATATGTGATATGTTGATATGTTGTTATGGCCCCCATATCATAGTCCAGCATATCAACATATCAAGTATTGCCTTTCCTGGAAGTCACGTGCCGCGCCGGCACACCTTCCTTCTTGTGTCCCTTCATGTCCTCCTACGAGGTCTGCAGCCCTCTGCGAGCACGCAGAGCGCTGGCTGCTGGCCAGTGGGACGATGGATTCGCACCTTCTCGCGGTGTCCGGTGTGAGTACCTGTCTCGATGGGGAAACCAAGACGAATCCAACAGCAGACGGGGACGTGCTGGCAGCTCAGGGGTTGCGCGTCCTGCACCACCACACGACGACAAGCACGACAGCACAATGAAGTCAAGAGAGTTCAAAAGAGGTGGAATGGATAACGCCACTGGGATACAATGTCAAGGGTTACACAGTGCAGTCCCCCCTCCAATAGTTCTATCTCAACGACCTCGACCATCATCTTCAGCATAAGCCCTCCAACTTCCTCGTGCAGTTGTCTGCACTATGGGGTAAGCCCCTCAACACGACGTTAAAGGACTGTCGTGGCCCAACAAATGCGCTGGATGGAAAGGTATCGTAAATATACTCCGGAATTGGGAGAGGATGGATGACGGATCGGTTGGTGCCGAGGGACTATTGAGAATAAATCGCGTACACATGCCCGACAACTGTATAGGGAATATGGTTAGGACTTTGACTGAGTTGAGGGTCAGTGCTAGCAATAGCTAGAATCTGCGAGTTAGCCTGCAGCCTGTCATGGCCAAATGGGCGTAAATGAATCTCTCACACACACACACACTGTCAGGGTGGGGACGTACGAGGGAACGAGAGTAGAGATCCGACAATGATATTACTATCCAATGCACTATAAAGTACAAGACGAGAGACAAAGAACGTGAAAGCAGTGCGATGCTATCCCAGATACTTATAGCTATCGGCAGGCACACGAGGCTATTCGACAGCCACAGTGGGCCTGCCAAGACCGTTCGAGGGGCTTCCAGGTTGTGCCATGACAATTGCTCTGTGCAACGATGTAGCATTCGCATGTCTATAAAAGGAGTCTTAGCACCTCGATAAGTAGATAGAAAACAGAGCGCTCCTTCATCTCAAGTGTGATCAGCAAGGGCTTGTCTGAGGTGGTCCACAGACTGGATCCGATGGAATACCACGACCCATCGGATCCAATCCATGGATTATCTCGATGCCGAGGCATGTCCGTTCACGCTCGGTCACGAACCATCTCGAGGGTGATCAGTAGAGCTTCCCTGGATGGTCCACAGACTGGATCCGATGGCGGTGCGGCAAGGGGAGCGCGTGCACACGTGATTAGCCGGCACGACACTCTTTGGCGTCGCTACATAACGCCAAGCCACAACCAAGCGATTTCAAAATTAATTAGCTAAGCACAGTAACATATGGTATTAACCAAGCAATTTTCAAATCATTGAATTGAAGGGAATGCTCATAAAGCAATGATCATTGTAATAGTTAACTTAGTTGGGATAATATACTACGAGAAAGTTTTTAGCATAGTTCATCGAGTCCGAGTTCTTGCAATAGTAATAATTATTGTAATAGTTACTAATGGGATTACGCACATTTATGTCATCCTGTATTTAATTAAACTTTGGGCGACCCAACGGGTTTTGGGCGGGTTCGACCCCTTTTGTCACGGGACCACATGCCAAGGATTACGTAATTAGGAGTTCAGCACTTCCTGCGTAGCATTCTATCTTGACTCTCTTCGTGCTACGTCTTGTACTAGAACTCGATGCTAGCTAGAATACATTGATTGTATCCTTGACCCCGAACCCTCACACTGCTAATAAAATCAACTAGATTAACTACTGCTTACAAATAATATTTACGTCCACTTAGGAGTAACTCTAGGCAACAGACAACGATAGGCAGTAGCAGAGTGTAGCCCTTGGCACGTGGACCCGTGACAGGTACGATATTCCCCATCGGATCCAGTCCATGGACCATATGTCGACGATGTTGATCACCATGTCTTAACGAGGACGATGCTGACAATATACTCAATTTGGAAGGTATATGCGACGCGAGTGGATATTGCGAGTAACCACTCGCGAGTGTGCAGCACTGATGTCAAGCGACTGTCGTGATCACGATTCGGGTGACCTCATCATCACCTCCCTCTCCAGCCCACCATCCACCTCACTCTCTGCTTTTTGCTTGCTGCCAATAAATTTTAGCCTTGGGGCTAAAATTGTTGGCAGCCATGGCATGGAAGTCCCGAGCAATAAGAATTCCATTTAACTCGAGACCCCCAATGAGCCGAGGCTCTTCAGCCAAGGTTCCTGCCTGATTCATATCCCACAGCAAGATATGACGCGACCCAACAATGATAACAAGATGTGCCTGCAACTCGCAATCGTTTCCTATCTTTTGCTGCACTTCTTGGCCTAGGATATAATTCTTCAACTGTTGGGCATCCTTTTCCCGAACCCATGACCCAACTGTTCCGGAGTGGAATTGGTCAGAGTTGGTGAATCTAAGCATGAGGATTTGGGAGAGCGTGTAGTCGCGTAAATTGGTTGCTTGAGGACGAAGCTGACGGTTTGTCAGAAGAAATAGAAGCTGTCGCGGTGGTTTTCTTCTGTCCTCCTAGTTAGATCATCTGAAGAGGCGTCTCGTTGCATCATCAATCGTCGATAACAACCCAGTGCCCCTCCAAGCTCTCTGTCGGCTATAAGGCGCCGAAGTGACACTGCCAAAGAGTCACGAATGGCATACTTATTCAGAATCGCGGCAGCGATACGGCGCGCTGCAACATTGTTCGCTATCTTCAGGTGCGTTGATGGCATTTCTGGGTGAAATGTAAAGCCGCCATAGTAGACTACTAGTGAACGCCATGATGAACAATCATCATTATTCTAGAAGTAACAAGTTAGCGTGAATCGGGGCTGAGATAAGAGTACAGTTACCAATTCTTGAAGCTTGATCTCCGTCTTGAATTCGTCGTATTTGAGAGGCATAAAGTGCCCTTTGTCGTCACGTTTCAGGCCATCTTCAAGGTCTTTTATTACCGATGCTGAAGTAGCAAGGTGGTCGAGAAATAGCGAAGATACTTCAGAGTTTTCCGGGTTTTCTATCTCTGGCGAAATACCCTCGATACGACTCTGAAGATATAATAGACATGTCTCCGTGTTGTAAACGGTTTTGACCGCTCGTTCTCTGCAGAAATGAAATCCGTTGAAACGGATGGTCATTTCTGAAAGGTACTTCTCGCTGTCTGTGGGATTTTGGGTGATTTGTTGTAGGGTGTCTTTCAATTCCGAATTTGTCAAGCCACAGAGCTGAGCCAAGTCCTTATGAAATGACAGATTCCTTGCTATATTAAATCCACTGCCCACTTGAGACAGGGAGAGTGGTGAGATGCCCGTGATGAAAATTCTTTGGATGCGTCCTGCTGCCGCCAACTTCTTCATTTCAGCCCAGAAAGCCAGCCAGGTTGCCCCGACACTAGTCTTCTCCCAATTTGTCGTCTTATGTCCTTTGATGCCTTGGGGTGATTTGAGGTAGTGATTGGGAAATGAATCGTACTCGTCGACGAGTATGTAGACTCCTTCAATATCTGCAAGACGCTTGTCCTGTGCAATCGTACTTTGAACTAAATCGACACACTCCACAAGACTAATGTTAGGGTCTTTACTGTTAATACCTTGGCGTAGAGTTTCAAAGTTTCCGCCCAAGTATGCAGTATATGCTTTATAAAACTGCTTAATGGAAAAATTCAACGCCCTGATAAGTGCCTCATTTGCCTCCGTGAGGTCTGGGCGGCGGGGTATTGATGAGAAATCGAACTTCAAGACGAAGTACTTTCCGGGGCTCACTTTTCTTTCATCGATATCTTTTTGCACATCAAGACCCTAGAATGATTGAAAAGATGTAAGTTCTCACATCAAGGTAATTAAGGATACAGTTGCGTACCTTATACAGCCATCGATGTTCATCTGCATACTGAAGGCCGTGGAAATGTTCCAGCATCCTTATTGTTAGTGTTTTGCCGAACCGACGTGGGCGGCAGAAAAGTATGAACTTGTCGAGTTTGCGCAACTTAAAGATGTAGCCGGTACGATCGAAGTAAGCCTGGCCCTCTTCCTGTAGAAGATTGGGAAAATCCGTTGCTCCGGATCGGAAGTAGTTCAGTTCGCCGTTGATTATCAGGTCACCATTGCCAACTCGGGTTCTCTTTGGCGAAGGAGCCATCTCGGGCGCATGCTTTCTCTTCCTCGTCTCGGGGCCAGCGCCATCGAATTCTCCCATTTCTGATGCTTTAAGTCTACGTCCACTTGTAGAACGAGAAGTCAAGTTTGACAGTTGCATCATTTGAGGTTGAGATTGGGCTGCTGGAGGAGGTGCGTACTGATATGGTTGCTGAAAACCCATTGCAGGAGATGAAGCAGGGTAAGGGTTCATTCCGAAAGGTGTACCAAAGGGTGCCACACTGGGAAAGACACTCCACTCTCTAGGAGGTGGTTGATATCGAGGTTGCTGACCTAGAGGTGACCGAGTGTCTCGATGGGGAATAGCATAAGCATCCTCGACAGGCCCGTGATCGAAACGACGTCGGCGTCTTCGTTCTTGTGCAGTCTCAACGGCAGAAGTTTCATTTAGAGCAGGGCCTTCAACAAAGCGATCAATGAAAGCATGAGCACCGGCTTCAGTGAAAACTTGTTCATCGTCCTGATATCGTTGCTCAGCTTTTAGACGATTTTCTCCTCGAGTGCGTGAATCAAGAACAGCTACGGCACCTCGAGCAATCCCGAGAACGACATCAGTGACCAATTGAGATAGATAAGGTCCAATCTCATCGATGGGAACTTCTTGTAACAACAGTATGAACTCAGCATCTCGAAGGTAGTCATTCTTGGAGTATGTAGGAGGGGGAGATGATGGAGGGTTCGGAATTCGAGGAGGGCGTCGACCTGTTTCTCGAGAGTCACCACCGGAAGGTCCTGTGGTATCATCCATTTCGTTGACAGAGGTATGGACGCTGTGGGAACGTAGAAGTGATAAGTTGAAGAAGCGAGGACTAAGGTCTTCGAGATCACTGACTAGAGTCCACTCAGGTCGAGGTTGTGGACGAGGTGAACGGAAGCCAAGGTCACGAGGGGAGGGTTGCTTTTGAGTGCGATTTCGACTAGATTCCTGAGAAGAGGAAGAAGGAGAATGACGTCCTCGAGCAAGAGGTTGGATTTCTTGAAATGCAGGTGTTTTTGGAGGCCACGTCGAGGAACCAAAGGTTTGGTGAGAACGCGTCGGTTGAGGTGCTGATCCCAACAAAGGTAGAGGATTTCTTTGTTGGATGGAAGATGCTGGAAACTCTCGAGTTGGGAAACCACCAGGTGCTGGAGGGGTGTTTTGGGAAGGAAGGCGTGCAGACAACTCCCCAACGAGTTGTGTCAGAGTAGGTGCGGGCTCAACAGATTCTGAGGGAGATGAAACCACTTCTAGAGTCGACAGTTCAGACCCTCCCCTCTACGACCGGTTTCCCCTGCTAAAGTCTCGTACGCGGCTGTCGTGGCTCGTCCCCCCTCAGCATCGTCGCCGCTATCGCCGTCACCATCGCCATCATCATCGAAATCTTCGCGACCTCTAGCCTCTACACCCCCACCACCAGCAAGTACTCAAGCACACCGCCTCTCACAACCTAGATCACCGCCCATCCTCTCCATACACGACCTTGAACGCCGATTTCAGAACAAAGCGAGCCCTTTTTCCACTCAGCGCTCGAATTACACAGCACGAATTTCCCCTAGTAATGCTCTTTCACAACTTCTACACGCAGTTACAGATCTCCTCGAACCTTGTAATCCAAATGGCATCTTTTACTGCAATCATTATCCTTTCTTAGCGAAACACGACACTTATACACAATGTTTTGGTAAAAATGCTATCAACACCATCGGCAAGAAGAAAGAACAAAGGGGTGGCCAATAGACTTTTGTTGGAGATACTGTAAAGGTGATGAACGGTTTAGCACTTGACTGCCTGTCATGCAGGGAGGATGTCGTCGTCAAAGTCGTTTAGCAACCACACACCAAGCTCTCCTTACAAGAAAAGTTCAATGCTCTCGCCATCTTTATACCCACCCATGTTTGCTTGCCCCTTACATAACCCATGCACGTAGCGCCCCACTACAATACAACTATCCAATGGTGCTGAACGCATAACCCACAGCGACCGCGAATAAGACTCTAGAGACCCAGGGAAGTCTCCCAAAGCCACCAGGGTAACCTGCCGACCTGCCGATATTATGAAGGTCAACACTCGAGAAAACGCTCCCGACGTTCGTTACCCCGAGAACGCTAACAGCGGAGGATGACTTTGAACACAAGGGGCAGAGCCCCACACACCACTCCACACGAACTATCGAATGGTCAAAGAGTCTGGAATTTTCTCTGCCGGAGATAAAAGAATGAGTCTGGATCACCTGTAGGATACATCTAGAATAGCGCTAGTACCCTATAGACTGCACAGCCTGCACGGGAGTATGAGTAATAATAATAATAATCGGGATATTCTCACCTCGTGAAAGGAGAGGCTTCATCATTTGTTCGTTAAAGCGTCTTGCTACTTCAGTAACTATTCCTTCCATGATAGTGACACTATCACTTTGACAGATAAGTTCCATCACCTCTCTTCCTTCGTTCCAATTCCCTGCAGCTGCGACTACTACTCCTGTCGTGATCGAAACGTTCTCGCATCGTGAGAGGAGGAGCTTCATCGCTTGTCCGTCGAAGCGTCTTGCTATTTCAATAACCATCTCTTCTGCGACAGGGATGTTTTCGCCTTTAGAGAGAAGGAGCTTCATCATCTCTCCTCCAATTGGCTTATTCTGTAACGCCGCCTGCACGACTTGTGTGGTTATCGGAAGTTCAAGGTATCTAGACAGAAGGTTTATTATCTCAATCCCATCTCTCTCGTTGCCCGCCGCGGCTGCCACTATCGCCTCGCTCAGCGGAAGATTGGTATGTCGATCCAGGAAAAGCCGCATTGCCTTCGCTCCATTCCAGAAATTGCGTGCTGCCACTTCAAGTAGCGATTGCGTGATAGGTAGATCCCCTGCGGCATCCAGGAGGGATTGAGGCAGATCTAGGTCCGTTTTCGAAGTTCCAGCCGTGGCTTGCAACAACTTTTCATGGGTCGCAGAATCCATATTTCTGCCAGTCGCGTATCTAAATAAGTTCAGCTTCTTGCTTCTCCAGTTGTGGCTTCAAATAGCATTTTTCTCGCTGTGGCAGATTTGGTGAAGCCGGATTATATCAGGTAGGCTATTCGGGGCTTTTGGGTGCAATTCAAGGCTAGCTTCGTGTAGCCGTAGGTAGGTTGTGCTATTATGGAGGTCTTGATAGAGGAGTATGCAAAGGATATTAGCGTAATCAGGATCGGCTCGAGATCGAGATTCGGCTGCTACCGTAGCATGGGTGGAAGATTGGCACAGCCTTCGCCGTCTCCGCGTTCAGCTCATAGGCAAGATCATTGAGTATTCCAGTATCACAGCTGAACATGTTGCCATATACAGTACGACAGTATATCATGGGATCCGCTCCAAGGACCATCTAGATATCAGGCCAAGCGCCAGACACTGTCCCCCGGCTCCACCTGGCCACACGGTCCACGGATTGGATCCGATGGCGGTGGTATATCATGGTGTCGGATTCATGGATCACGTCGACATCCGCTACGAACCATCTCGAGTGTGATCAGCAAGGACTTGTTTGAGGTGGTCCACAGACTGGATCCGATGCGTGGATCGTCTCGATATCGAGGATATCGATATCTATCGAGTAGGGTCCCCCCCCCCCCGGGTACATGGTCCATTGATTGGATCCGATGACGGTGCGGCAAGGGAAGTGGCCTTGTGCCCACGTGACACCGCCAAGCCATATGCTTACGTGATTGGCCGCCGGCACGTCGCTCTTGGCGTCGCCGCACAACGCCAAGCCCTAACCAGGCGGTTCTAAAATAAAAAAAAAAAAGAAGAAAAATCAAGTTTATATTTTATAATTCCAAAAAACTGCTTCAAAATTGATATCAAATCGTGGTTGACCTATCAAGGACGTAACCGAGTGGCAAAACACTTGGCTTACAGTCGAACCGATAGAATTGAGGGGCCTTACTAGTGTTCGACCATAGGTAAGGCAAGAGGGTTGTCCGGCCTAGATTTCTAGGTGCCCTAGATGGGTAAACGTAATGCTCCAGCCAGTGATTGTTGATGTTAAACTGAGTGATACCGAGGGAGGTCACTGATTCAAACCTTTCTTGAGTTGAACTTGTCTAGCTAAAGCTTTCACTGGCTGCGGCGCCCCATCTATAAGTTCGTCAGAGATGGACTATGGGAGGGGGGCCTTTCTTTTTTTGGTAATTCCCCCCCAAGTCCTATATCGCCAGTATAGCGATATAGGTAGGATCGCGCGAGCTATAACCTATTTCACTGATCTGGAAGACACTGAATCTGTGAAATGGGGGCTAAATAGAAGGATTAAGATATGTGTTATCCAGCTTGACTGGGTAAATATTGCCTAATGCTGCGCTGATTGGACGGAATTTTTATCCAAATATACAAACTTGATTTGATTTCGATTTATCTGGATACGATTTATCTATTTGCAAGCCTGAGAAAGAGTGCTATGGCTCTCCCAACGAGTGCAGGATAGAGCCTATTTATATACCTATCTGAACAGTATCCTTTCGTGTTGTTGCCTGTGCTGCAACCTAGCAGGCAACCATCTCATAGGTCAACTGTCGAACTTTGAGCGGGGCGGATATAACTCGTGTGTAGATTGCAGCTATGGAAAGGGGAGAGCTCTCTATATAGACCAGGGAATAGGGGCTCTTGGCATTAGGCACCAGCGGGCTCTAGCGTAATAGGCTAGCCTTCATACGCATACCCATCGTCGTCGATGTGATATCGACCCAGGATGCTGTCTTGACGATCAAAACCACTACCTGGCCAACGCATCCCATTGCCTGCATCCGATACGAGACCGTTGGTTATTTGGGCAATTCTTCCGCTACAGTGTCTTTCGTATACCGCATCCGCGCAACTGCCTCTATCGTCCTTCCTAGCCCTCCAACTGATACCATATCATGGCTGGCGAATTCCACGTTTTTAATGCATCACAGAGGTGGGAACCATCAGACACTAGAGCATACAAGACCCGAAAATCCCATACAAAGTCCCGCTCAGGCTGCAAGACGTGCAAGCTTCGAAGGGTCAAGGTAACCCATACATAGCCCCTTCGCTCACAAAAGTGCTGCCTGCTCATTCATGCGCGAACCAGTGTGACGAAGTCAAACCCCAATGTGGCCAATGCCGACGAAGAGGGATGATATGCGCGTACGCAGGCGAGGAGAGTCCTCCGGTGCCGCTGTGGCCCGGACGCAAGACACCTCCAGTGCTGGCCAATGACAACTTGGCGTTTACTACCGATTACGATCTCGAAATGTTGCACCATTTTATTAAAGTCGTCGGTCCAGATATGTACAGCAGGAGAGCTCTAGACATGCAATCAATCGACATCTGGAGCCTAGCCCAAAGTGTCTGTTCCCCTTACCCCGGTCCCGCGCTGCCATTTGCCGCCTACCTTTCCTGACTAACCCGTTACAGGTTCCTCACGTAATGCACGCCGTCCTGGCGGCCTCCGCCCTCCACCTCAATACCACATCCAACAAGCCCCTGCACGCTCTCATCGAAACCGGTCACTGGGTCCACGCCTCCTCCTCCTTCCGCACCGCCCTGTCCAAAATGACATGGCACGCCAACCCCGATCCCCTCATCACATCATGCATCCTCCTCAATCTCCTGTCTTTTGCGCACGTTGACGTACACGCACCCGCAACATCGCGGTGGCCGCTCGCTCCCGACATCCCTGGTGCTGATCCGCTGCAGTGGTTCAGTGTACAGCTAGGGTTAAGTCCACTACTCACGGGTCTGAGTGCTCGCACAAAGGGTGAGAGTATCTGGCAACCCCTCTTCATCGCGTCAAATCACACATGTCTCTACGATGAGCGGGATGGGACAGTCGGCATCCCTTCATCATGGTGCCAGCTTTTCGGCATAACAGACACCTCCAGAATAGAAGAGCACATTTACCTTCGACTTGTCCGCCGCATCACTCTCCTCCGCTCTATCTACGACAGCCTCGAATTCACACACGAAGTATCTGGTCTCCCCGGTTGTCCTGATCACGATATCAATGCAGTCAAATACCTCCAGTTCGTGCAAGGCATAACCCCTCAGCACATCCACTTACTTTCTCAGAAAGATCCTCTCACGATGCTATTGTATGTACATTGGATGGCGATGTTATGCGCCGTGAAGCACTGGTGGTGTTGGCCTAGGGCAAAAGCGGAGACAGGGGCGGTGGTGACGTATTTGGATGAAGTGCATGGAGAGTGGTTGGGGAGACAGGGGTGGCTGGATTTTCCGGCCAGGGCGGTGCGTTATGAGCTGAAATGGAAGGAGAGGAATCGTAGACTTCTATGAACGAAATAGACCGTCATTTTGTGGGCCATTACCGTCGAGGTTAACTACAGAAGGGCAGAATCACAAGCCGTTCCCTTTTGGAAGCATTCCACCTCGCACCCATGTCCCCCTTCTACCGTCTTCAGTTCTTGCCGAGCTAATTCCGAATCCGGATATCCGCCACTGGATCGCTCTGATTGGCAGGCTTCTTCTGTCAGAATGTCCATTTCACCAATATCAACACTTTCCCCTGGAACATCTACACGAATGAGGAGACCCTTGGGCTTAAACGCAACCTCGTTCCATCGATTGATGACCTAAAGAATATTTCGTAATCGTGCCAATAAAAAGTTCCTCTCTTCATTACATTGCCGTGCTTTGTATCCGACCAGCAAGCCGAAGAGAAGTGCTAACGTTCTTGCTCACAGTTGCGGTCCATTGATGGGAGTCATTTCGGCTTCTTTGGTGATTTCTCTGATAAATTCGGACCATAGCTCTTCGTTGATACCGCATTAGGCCAGCAATATTGGATAGTGGAACCTAGAAGTGATCAAATGAGACTTGGTGGGTACGTGGAGGCCTCTTCCTATGGATTCTGAAGCATGGCCGAGTCTGCCGCTTGCGGGTATGACAAGGCCATCTGTCAGGAAGAGGTTCACAGTCCCTTGGGGATCGCCCAAAAAGACTAAGAATCCTGTCATTTTAGGACAGAAACCTGGACCTCTTAGCTTATATACTTGTCAGAACCCGGTTCGTGGCAATTATCCCCTCTTCCTAACGTTGGATTGCCGCAAGGATTTGCTCGCGACTCTGAATCTCCTTCGTTTCCTTCATAACCGCATTCCTGAGGTCTGGGTCAAGAGCATTCAAGAAGTGCCAGGCACGTCTCTCGCGCAGAGTCATATCATCAGGGATATCTTGCTCGAGAGCCTCGATTTCGTCGAGCAATTCGCGCCCTGACTGACCCTTTCGTTGTCTCTTTTGTTGAAGTTTTAACGTCGCTGTGGCAACTCGGTTGGCAGGAGCCACAATCAGATCTCGAAGGAACTGGATGAAAGCAGGCCATGTCTCTACGGCCTTCTCCTTTCGAATCCATGCCCGTGCGGCAGTTCCCTCGAGGTATGTTGCTGCTACACGTATGCGTGTAGCGTGCTGGTCCTCTCCGATGCCCAATCCAGCGAAATACAGGGTCCACCCGACTTCATAGTCGGATAGTTCACGGACATTCTTCGCAGCGAACGATGGAGGCTTAGCCAACCGCGGCTGCTTCGCCAGGAGTGTTTCTGCATTCGCCGAAATGGGTCTCTTCTGGCTGTTCGATAACATCGCTGTCTGTACGTTACCAGCAGGCGCTTCTCCTGCTAGCTCGGCCTCGAGGGCCCTGATATCTTGGTCCATTCTTTTCTCTTTGACTCGTTCTTTAAGCCACTCTAGATACTGAGGCTTGGTCATCTTTCCTCTTTTGGCATGCAGTTCTTCGACTTCTTCGAATTAGTCGTCGTCTTCCCCTTCGATGGTGAGCTACTCGCCTGCGATTCGCCTGCTGTCGTCAGGCTTGCTCAACTGAACCGTGTTCGAGCCCGTGGCTTCGGTAGGGGTGATTTCGTCTCGATCGGCGTTGTCGCCCATAGCGACACGTTCGTCTGTGTCTTCTGTGCCGCCTGCGGCCGTGCCAAGTGCCTGCGAGCGCTGCCGCGCCCGCTGGCGTGTTGCCCTTGTCATGCTCACCGCAGGCTTGAATCACGTCTGCTCATTCTGCGTCAAGGGATCGAGAATTATCAAGGAATGCCAAGGAACAGAAGAGCAAGCGTGATTCAGTATGGAATTGATGAATTGACAGTCCTATATGATATCGGCTCGTTCGCTTGAGGAGTCAAGCGATGATGCGATGAGATGAGAAGGATATAAGCCTGCGTCTCGCCCGGTATTTAGTGTCTTGGCAGGGGCAAGCCTGACATGATCAGAGAAGGGAAAGCGGAGCCCTCGTGCACGGCAATGACGTCAGCGCAGTTGGTCATAACCCTGCAAGAACTAGGACCGTAAGTCTCAACGCCCTCCCAAGACAAGGCACGAATGCAACATTTGTTGGTATGTAGTATGCAGAGTGCATCGCCATCAACACATGGGGCACGTGGGGGAGACTAGGGAAGGGAAACGAGGAAAAGAAAATTGCTGATCTTTCAAAACAGCCCCCCGCAACTACAGAGTTCGTTTTCCTTTTTAAGTTAGTGTGTTTTTGACATCGCCTTCTTTTGTCGGAGCATGGGTGCACGCACATTCGACTGAGTCGGGAAGAGCCGGGGTTAGGTGATGCCTAGGCTCTGCATCAGAAACACCCCACTGTGGGCATTCCCCATTAGGTTTAGACTAGTCACGTACACTGCAGCCTTGTAGCCTTTTTCTCGCTTGCTCCTCGCTCAGATAGACGGTTTAGGCTCAACCTTGTCCGAAGGAGCGTTGTAATGATGAATCTAGTTACGTTTAGATCAAAAACCATGTTGGGGTGGGGGTTGGAGGGGGGAGAGGAAGGGAAATTTATTCCTGGCGTCTGTCGTTTTCCTGAATGGAACTAGTGATTCCCAAGATATGATCTTCTCTTCTGACCTTGCCTTCGCTCCGCTCCCTTATTTATTTCCTACTTATAGCCACGATGATGATGCAACAGCAACGAGTCAAAAGTATTATGGAGTTCCAAGTGGATGGTACGGTTCCAGTCGTAGGTATAAATGGGAGAAGTCTCATGCCAGAGCATCAGGGCCGAGTTCGTCCAACTCGTCTGCAATCATGACTTTCTTCAACGCCTATCTGCATCTCTACGTACTGTTCGTCCTCGGGACTTTAACTTCCTCCGGTCCTACCTCTTCAGACTATATTGACCTTGGTTACGCAAAACACTCTGTTACAACCACTAACGCCACAGCCCGAGGCCACAAGATCAATATCTACAAGAACATCCGCTTCGCTCAGCCTCCAACAGGCGACCTACGCTTCAAGTGGCCCCAGCAGCCAGTACATCATGACGGCATACAGAATGGCACGCTCGCACATGGATCAACCTGCATCAGTTCCGCCCCGGCATATGTACCCTTCCCACCCTTCAATGGCACCCACTTCGGCAGCGAGGACTGCCTATTCCTCGACGTTTACGTCCCGCAGAGCGTCAAGGCAGCGGATAAAGTCCCAGTTCTCCATTGGCTCTACGGGAGCGCATACGCCTTCGGCGGTAAAGACTATTTCTCCAATCCCATGGGACTCTTCGATGAGTTGTTGAGCAACGAGCGGCCATTCGTGTTCGTGACAAGTAACTATAGGATGGGGCTGTACGGCTTCGCCTCATCTCCCTACGAAGAAGGCATGGATCCCAACATTGGTCTCGCAGACGGTCGGATGGCCCTCGAGTGGACACAAAAACACATCGACAAGTTCGGCGGGAATCCCAAAGATGTGACTGCCGTCGGCCAGAGCGCCGGTTCCGGCATCGCCGAAATGATCATCGCCGAAAGCAAGTATAGGCAGGTCCCATTCCAAAGGGCTTTTCTTTCGTCTTCTGCTCTGCCGCTGAAGCGCAACGTTACGGCAAGGCGGGAGGAAGTATACCAGACCATGCTTGAATTGTCCAACTGTACATCACTTGCCTGTCTCAAGAGGTTGTCGGAGGCTGAGCTGAGTGATGTCAATAACATTATGGTCACCAAGATGCCGAACTATGCCGGTGGAGGGTGCTATGGGCCGGGTATGGGGTTTGCACCGTTTGTTGATAAGAAGACTGTGCATGATCTGACGACTGTTACGCTGTCGGATCAGCATGGGGGTGATGGGTTGAAGGGACTGATCATGAGCAATATGCAGAACGAGGTATGCAAAGGAAAATTTCCTCGCCAACGTGGGACTGACGGGGCAGCAGGCCTCAACCCTCTCTTCAGACTCCAACATGCCAGAAGCCTTCCCCTCTCTCGTCCGGCGCATCCTACCCTCTGCCTCCAACGTCACCATCGCTACGATCCACTCGTTCTACCGTTACCCACCTAGTCTCCCTGAGAAGCTTGCATGGGACTGGACGGGCGATGCAGTGTTCTTTTGCCATGCTCTGGCAATGATAGGAAAATATGGTGGGAGGGCAAGGAAATATGTTATGAGCATACCGCCAGCGGTACATGGACAGGATTTGAGCTGTGAGTTCTCTCATTATCTATCTTCGACTTTTTTGAGAATACTTGTGCTGTTTTGGACGAAGTAGAGAATGGTGCTAATGAGGGGTATAGATTCCTTCTATCCCAACTTCCCACTCGGCTTTGATGTCGATGAAGGCACAGCCAGGGGACTGCAACAGCTGTTAGGGGATTTCATGTATGGTAGGCCGTTGGAGTTCAATGGCATTGGAGGGGAAAGGCTACAGTGGCATTCATTTGGGAATGATGCGGCGATCTTGAACATTACAGCAAATCGATTTGAGATGGATACGACGGTCGAGGATGTGGAGAGATGTAGGAAGGTGAATGCTATTATGATGGATGAGAAGAACGGGATCTGAGATGTGATTAGGTAGTGTTGAACAGGTGGTGGCCTATCGTTCACGACTAACCGGGTTATTTTGCAATACTCGCTCACTAGGCTGTATCACAAACAACCGGCAACAATGATGACGTATACTCCTTAGATATAGGTCGGCTCAACCCTACCCTCTGACCGAATTCGATCAGAGCACTTTTTCAATGAGATAAGTTTGACAGGAGGCTTTGCAGCCGTGCACAGGGCCGCCTTGCGATGCAGTTTGGGAAAGCTGTCGGATGATAGACCATCAAACCGGATCGGCAAAATCGGGTCAAGGTATAGGGGTTAACCACAACGAGGATAGAAGTGAAAGAAGCTCTCAAGCAGGGATTCTTTCACAACTCAAAATTCGTTCTGAATCGCTCAACTCTGGGTCGACCACGAAAGTCAAGGGTGTCCTGACGGGCCCGGAGCAGTATCAAATTTGAAAATTGGAAGCAGCATTGGTCCAGAGTGGTTCGGTCCACTTGAACGAGATTATTCGACATCGGGAGACGTATCGCATAACGTAGTGATATGTTTTCAGAATGAAAAGTTCGTGACTATTGTAAAGGTGATGAACGATTTAGCACTTGGGCGCTTGTCACGCAAGGAGGATGTCGTCGTCAGGATCGTTGAGCAACACCACACAAAGCTCTAATTTTTTCATCTCTCTATGCTCTGTGTATCTTGGCGTGCGTGTGTGTGTCCTTGCAAAAACAAACTAAAGGCTCGATGCGCTCCTTAACTTTCTACCCACCCATGTCTGCTTGCCCCTTACATAATCCATGCACGTAGCGCCCGCTACACTACCAGAAAAGAGGAGGACGACAGCGATTCAGAAGGTGATAGGATCCAGATTCAACTCGCACACCTTTCTATCAAGGAGTTTCTCTTATCTGATCGAGGAAGTTTGACAGGTTGTCGTTAAACGGATCTAGTTAAACACGCTGGTAAATCTGTCGAACAATGAGCAGTACCCCTTTCCTGGGAAAGGTTATCACCTCTATGCAGGGCATAACGGAAGAATAGGAGTAGAAAAGAGGTCAACTAAGTATACATATACTGGTAACCTGGCAGGACCAGTTGCCAAAGGGACAGAGCGTTCAATACATCTCATTTGCACCCCCAAGTTTGACATAGTCACACTCCTGAGATGGTCCATACTCTGGATCCGATGAGGGTTGTTGTTAAACGGATCTTGTCAAGTGCTCTGGTTAATCGCACACCCTCGAGGTGGTCCATAGACTGGATCCGATGAGGGTTATTGTTAAACGGATCTAGTTAAGGGCTCTTGTGAAGGTTCAGGTTCAAGGATTCAATCAATGTATTCCAGCTAGCATCGAGATCTAGGTACAAGACGTAGCACGAAGAGAGTCAAGAAAGTATACCACGCAGGAAGTGCTGAAGAACCGCTGAATACGTGATCCCTAGCCACGTAGTCCCGTGACAGCTCTAGTTAATTGTTATGGATTTATGGAGGACTTGTCATATTTTGCCAAACTTCGTGAATTGAAAGAGTGCTCGTTTACGTTGCTTCTCGACTAATGCCGCAAACTTTGCATCTTGCCCGAGTCGCTCTTGAAGCTTTTTCATGATATTTAAGTCGGGAGACCAACCCGGTGGTCGAATAGTATCGATGATATATGGGCATTCACTGAACCAATGCTCCTTACCACATATACACGAGTGTGGAAGTGCTTGTCTCCCTTGAAATGTCGAGAAGGCAGCATTTGATATTCTCCTTAAGTTGCGAAATTCTTCGATTAAAGATATCACATCCTGTGACTTCTTAACCAATTCGCTAAAGTATCGCTCTGCGAAGGATGGGTTGTATCCTTCAATAGCATTGAGAAAGTCGTAGCAGGCTCGATCTCCTTGAACATCCGGTAGTTTAATCTTTTCTGCTTCGGTGTAGAAGACTTGGAATCATCCATCCGTTGATTGCTCGGAGCTTTCCTCAGACTTCTCAGTTCGTTGATAAGTTCCCATTCTCGTGCTGTATCGGTAGGCGCGAGAGCTTGCCTTAGCTTCCTGAGTTTCGACCATGGTGTAGGACAGCCCTGGTCAATATATGTAAGACAAGTTCGAGATGTCCTCTCAACAATAAGAGCGTCAATATCGTTAAGAGCCTTCCTTTGAGTTTCCCACTTGCGAAAGTTTTGCTTGTACTGCTTTTCGAGATAGTAGTACTCTTCCTTCTCTTCGGTGCGAGGTATTTCCATTTAAGCTCGGTCTCATCATAAGGACCAGACAGAGCATCTTTCAGTGTAGGCAGACCTGGTTCTGTGAGAGTAGAAGGTTGAGAGTCTTTGTCAGGATCGATATACTGCGAGATATTGGTGTTCTCAGCCCTTTGACGAATTGTGAGCAGCCATTGTTTCCAGTCCGCTGGCTTGTCCAGGATGAGAGTTACTGTTTTGGCAGGAGAGCTGTCGAAAGTATTCTGTGTTGATGGCATAGTGGCTATATGTTTAGATAGCAGTTGGTCTAGTTTCCTGAAGGGTAACGTCGAGCGCTGATTGGTAGAGAAAGTTTAGGCTAGTACAAATCAGGCAGCGTGCGATAGCCGGGCTCATAACTGTCAAACTTCGTGAATTAAAAGAGTGCTCTTTTCAATTCACGAAGTTTGACATATTTCGAAGGGGTCCGGGGGACCGTCAGACTATACACTTTCGAAGCGTGTACGAAGCGTACAACGCTCCCGAAGGTCTTAATAAGCCTTGGCGTCGCCACATGTAACCCCGAAGTGGTCCATAGACTGGATCCGATCATGGAGGTATGGCACGTGACTCATTCTGTGCCAAGCTTTATTGGTAGGATTATCGTTATGCCGATAATCGATTGTCGATAACCAATTATCGATCAAGGCGCTAACGTTATCGGCTTATCGCAAACCACGCTGTACCACTTTCGGATCTTCGCATAAGGCCAGCACGTGCAAATTTGGGGTCGGAAAATTTTCCTTCCGGCCGGAAAATGTGCGTCCTCACATTCGCTATGGAGATGGACCAGGAGGTCTTTGAAGACACGGTGGAATTCCTCGAGACGCAGGCGAAGCAGAACCCAGGGAGGCTATTTCTGCGGCAATCGTGGCTCACCATCATATCGGGATCTCCGCTTGACCGGATACCCGTAAGCCAAATCATCCGCTGTCCACTGTTCCAAAATCAACGCTACTGGCCAAGCTTGTTCCATCGGAGGGACTGCCCCAGCAATTCGGTTCAGTGTGTATGTGGTTCGCTACCCTCTTGGAGAATACTTGCGCGGCTGGGACATTGCTGCTGTGAAAAGCCTTCTGTGGCATGGCATTAAATGGCTGCTCCGACTTGGCGTCTTCCTCAGCGCACTCTGTCTGGCGGCGTCGCAGTTCGTGTTCTCGATCTGGGCGCTTGTTGGGAGCGATCTCGGCAAGGTATTGCGACACTTGAGGAAATAGTTTTTCATGACTCTTCGTATTTCCATCGAAGCCGGCATTCTTTCTGGGCTCGCATCAAAAAGGAGCTGTAGATCAAGCTCTGCATCCTGCCAGGCTCACAAGGAGTTCTTCGAAGAAGTCTTTTCATCTTTTTGTTGAACGGATCCGCGTCCAAAGTCAATGCATGCTTTGACCGCGTTGCAATAAGTGTCACCCATGCGAGACGACAGCCGTGCAATCCAAGAACGGAGCTCTTTTGAAGTCAAAAATTCTTGGGCAGACATTTTGTCAGCAAGCGGTTCCGCTAGTGAGTCGACAATCTTCCACAAGCCGACCTCAAGCATGACGATGCCCAAGCCAAAGGTATCGAATCTGGTGTTCCGCAGAGCTTGAAGCCTTGAGCGCTCCGTCGTCGTGCCCTGATCCGGAGGCCTCGCCTGCTGCAGAGAAGGTCGGTAGAGTTGAAATGTTGGATCATGGCAAGGCAAAGTCGACAGATCTTCCCGCTCGGCGTCTCCCGATCTCATGTAGGTGAATCCGGCCAAAAAGAGCTCTGATAAATTCTCTTTGTCAAACACAAGAACATTATGACTGCGAACGGCTTTGTGCATCCAGCCCACAGTCACCATATTGGCAAGACTCTGAGCGAGTGCGAGCGCCATGGCGAACCGTAGGTCCAGCGCCGGCGGATCTTGACGCCGCTTGCGATCAGACAGCGCTCACGCAGCAAGCTTGGTGCGGATAATACATCTTGGAGGAATTTGTAGACAAGCCCGATAGATGTGAAGCTGGGATCCGTAGTGATCCACCCCTCACGGTAGAGCATGGAGAAGTTGACCGGAGCGGCCGGAGACGACTCTGTTGAGTTCTCAGCGATGTGCATCTGGCGAAGGGTATACACAAGTTGATCCAGGCGATACTCCTTGAAGCTGGTCGGGTTGGAGAAGCCAGAGCGCCACTCTACCACTACCGGTGCCTCCACCCCATCCTTGTCGCCGGCAACCGGAGACATTCTCTGAGTCAGCAGGCCAAATGCGCGTTCGGCTCCAAGCACCTCTGCCAGATTGACTTGTGTCTGCCATTCCGAACACAAGTCTCCTGGCCTAGTCGTGGTGGGTAATCTCGAGCTAGTCAAACCGCATACGTTTGATCAGACTATTCGAAACCGTGAGTACAGTAATCCACGATCGTAATCGATCTTACCATAGCTCCTGTAGTTAGATCTGTGCTCAAGGCCTTGATCTTTGCCGCTATCTTCCAGTCGTCATATCCGGTCCTCGTGCCCTCGTGAATGTCCATTAGGCGATCTGAATTGGCTGGAGCCACAAATGTAGCCCTAAGATGATAGTGCAGTCCGTCCGTTTCTGATGGAGACAAAACGAACATCATATCTTGGTTCAATTGTCTCAAGTCTTTGAGTAGCTTCTCCAAGCTCCTTTCATTACTGATGATCCAGGCTCCAGACTTTAGTAGCTTCGATAGCCCCTTCTGATTCTCTGTTGCATGCTTGTTCACAAGAGCACAAATCTCCGTCAAAAGTCTTTCCGCTTCCGAGACAGCTCTCAGGATCCATTGATTCCTAGGACCTATCCCCGTGGATTTCAAGACTCGGTGGAGGCAGATCGACCGCTCCCGTTCGAACTCTACGGCGATGCCGTATAGACGTTGATCTGTCTTCCTCCTCTTGATGGCTAGTATCTTGTCAGTTCTGAAACACGCTGAGAGCTGAGGCAGTGCTGAAGGCAAAACTCGCGGGATCTTGAAGAGAGTTTGATGCCCTCAGCCCTCAAGATTTACTCCGGCGGGATATTGTGGCCCAAAAGCTCGTAAAGACGACTGGGTGGCTTTCGAAATGTCTGAGACGGTCATATGTCCTTATGCTGTCCCATTGCACAGTCATCGGTCTTATAGCAGTTGCATTAGGCAGCAGCCCAACTCGAGCGTTCTCCAACAGAGCAAAGGCATGCTATTCGTTGAAACATGCTGTCAGGGCAGCCCCTGCCAAGACACTAGATACCAGCGAGACGCAGGCTTATAACCTGCTCATCGCACCCCTCAAGCGATCGAGTCTATATCATATAGGACTGTCAATTCCATCAATTCCCTATTGAATCACGCTTGCCCTTCCGTTTCTTGGCATTCCTTGATACATGCCAAGGAGGGAATTCGGCTAAGTGGCCTCTTCTCCTGCTGCCACTACTTTCGATTCGTCCATCGCGGCTCTGTGGGCAGTTGCCTCTCAGGCTGACCGGGACGATGAATTCACACTTTCTCGTGGTGTCCGGCGTGAGCACTGGCAAGGCCCACTCACGGGTGAAGTACGCAGTAAGAATCGGAATCTCGGTAGCAACCAGACACAACGCTATAATGGCTGGAACAATTTGGCTGGCGGCTTCGAAGACGAAAAATTTGCTCACGATAAAGGTTTTTGTGGTGCCGGCGACGCTAGCAGCTACCAAGAGTAGGAGGCTAGCGACGTTGATAATGCGTACGAGATTGAGCCAGACATAGCAGCACCTCGCGATCTTTGGACTTTTATGATTTAACAGCTTGTCTCTGACAATTGCCAGGGTGATTGAGAGCATCCTTGCGGGAGTTGGCAAATCGAGACCAGCAGAAGGAATGAGATCTAGGTTGCTAGCGAAAGGTTATGGTGCAGTTGAGTGAGACTGAACAGTACATATGAAGAATCGAGCTGCAGCTACCCAAGGACGGGATTCGGTCAGCGGGTATCAAAACGTCCAGAACTACTTGACCTTGTGGGATGTTGACTCGATTGAGACGTCGGTGCTTCAAAATGTGGTCTGGTGACCATTCGTGCAGCAATTCACCTGTCGTCCATGAAAGGATTCTGAGACACAGATGGTCGAGGACTCTTTGCCGTACATTTGGTTAAGCCGAGAGAGGGCGCTTAGACCCTTCAATTGAAGTCCGCAGCTTACCAGGGGCAACCTCAGACGTAATCAAGCACTTTAGTCCCAGCCGTACTGACACCGCTTTGCAGCTTCCTATTCCGCGCCTCATCGATATAGGTGACAGGAACATCCGTGAACTACTCAGGCAAAGAGTCTGCACCACTACAGTCCTCGTCATCTTCAATGGAGGAGTTGAAGGGGCCCATTTTGAGTTGGGACATCTCCCGGCAGCTATTGTGCCGTTCAGGCATCCTGAGAAAATCCAACGCCCTAGGACACGGCAGGTATAGTCCGCTTTCGGAGCCCCCAACATTAAGATGAAATTGCTGAACATCAATCTCGGAAGCGATAGGCAACAAACACAAACGGCATGTACTCTTGAGACAATATTGAGTGTCGGAGTGGAATATAGGCGCCGAGGGGCGGAAGTTGCTAGGAAAGATGCAACACTTATTGGACAATGCGACGGGCTAGGGTGGCCAATATTGTCGAAGACGGGTGAGGGCTGGTCACTCAGCGCAATGCATGACGCCTCGAAGTCCATTTGAAGAAGCAATATGGTGTGACAGGGTAGCATATCAAATTGATTTTAGTCCGGCATTCTCGACCAGAGGAAGTCACAGCGCGAAAAGCCAAAAGAAGGGTGCTCTCGAAAGCAGAAGTAACTTCAAGCTCCGAAAGAAGGGGGCCAACTCCGGTTCAACTATGCAGACACAAACCCCCATGCCCCCAGCGAGCGACAACGTGCCAACCGGAGACGAAGGCGGAGATCTTTGCCTGGCTTTACAAACGGGGGTCCGGAAAACTATAAAAGCAAAAAAGAAAATTGGTCCCTACGAGGATCGAACTCGCGACCTAAACTACAGTTAGCGATCAATCGAAATTGAGATTGTCAATAGTTATTCACCTTGGCGTTATTAGCACCACGATCTAACCAACTGATCTAAGGGACCATTTCAACCCGTAGAGTCGGGTTGTATTGTTGGGACGCATTGTGGAATTAAAATATAAATTATCAAGCAAGCGACCATGACGTCACTCTTGTCCAACGTCCTCTTGACTCGAGATGTTGGCCAATCACGTGACATATTACTTGGCAATGTTGTAGCCTCCTTAGTCTAGCTCTCCTGTTAGATAGAACAACGCATTCTTCTCTAGACTCCACAGCCTATCAAAAGAACGTATACAACTTACAACTAAGGCCCTGGAAGATGGCACCATTCCATCTTAACGAAAATAGCCTCCCAGTTCAATATACCCAGAACTACCCTTCAAGCACGATTCCATAGCAGATGCTCTTTCAATGCCACCTGAACGCAACAATATGTGTACCGCGGTCTTTATCGGCGTTTACAACATCTCGGTGACTGATATGCCGGTTTTTATGCTCCAAAATGAGACAAATGCCATTGTTCGCGTTACTGCCTTGCAGTACTACAATATGGGCAATTCAGCAGTCCTGAGCAACCGTTTGCGACAGCTATGAAGCCATTGGGTACATCGACTCGATTGGTCGTGCGGGCCAGTCTCTGCACGTCGGAGATTACGTCATGATTCCGGACAATGTGGATGATGGCCATTTCACCTTTGGACCCTACTTGCCCATCTCATTCGGAGCTGGCCAGCTTGGTGGTTGTCAAAATACGATTGATCAGACCCTGTTTCGACAAACTTATTGCCGTTGGCAAAACCCAAACACTAGTGGAGGATGTTCTACTACATAGCTGAATACGTCTCAGTTGCACAATGCAGATGACAGCCAGCGAAACCGTCCATGCTACCACAGTAATGGATAATTTATTTTTGTCTGACATATTCGCCACTGGATGGACGGCTCTCGATTACTCTGACTCTCAACCAGGAGATCCTGTTGTAGTCCTTGGTGTTGGTCCCGTTCGGTCTTCTCGTTGTATATTCTGCCATGCACCGAGGTGCGTCGAGGGTGTATTCTATCCACCATGTCCCACAACGCCTTGACGTCACCGAGGCGATTGGGGATATTCGAATCAACTTCAACTGCGCTGATCCAGTGAAGCAAATCATGGCCCTGGAACCAGATGGCGTCACCCGAAGTGTCAATTGTGTGGGCTACCAGACTGTCAACGCGCAGGGGAAGATCGAATTGGTGGCATCGTGTTGTACAAAATGATACTGTAGAAAACACCAATGATTATAGAGGTATAAGCATCCCGGGGTATGTTTCGGAGATCAAAACCTTTCTATCCCCCCTGACGCAGTTCTCGGCCCAGGCTTTGAAAATGGGCAGGGGCATGGTTCTGCATTGCAACACGCTACGGAACTGACTCAATTGATCTCCAGCGGCAGAGCTTCACCAAGCTTTATCGTTAGCTCAAACATTGGTATCGAAGACGCGCCTAAGTATTGTGCTCTCTTCGATCAGCGTCTCGAGACCAAGGTTGTCATCCAATTCTCGTGAAGGGGCCGACTCAGATGAGATTGAATGGACAACTGTCATCAAATGGGTTCCGTCGAATGCTCGGAGGCCTCCGTAGGAAAGACAGCCTCGCACAAAAGTAAGCCGACTCAACCGCATCTGATATATTGACGATATTATAGTTCTTCTGCTCTTCCAAGATCTTCTGATACACCTGGATATGCTAGTGCTTCTGGCCTTCTACACCCTCGAATGGATACCACGTTCGCCCATCTCTTCCATGGTGGGACAGCTGTTTTGTCGCTAAAGTCCATCCTAGTACAGAAGAGCATTCATTATGGTCTCATGCTACGACTCTCGAGAGCTTAATTTGCAGTCTCGACTTCTACCTTATACGGCCGTACTTGCCATTCAAACTTCACCACAGTCTACATTAGTGTATGCTTCGTTGGAAGTTTTACGCCCGACAGGTCATTTACAATATCCAGAAGGAAGCGGAATGCGCTGATTCGGCCTTCAATTAGTATTGTCTTGTCCAACGGTGAGCCATGGATCAACCGGACCAAAGCACGAATCAAAATGCTTTAGGTTACTGACACTTCCATCGACTTGGATCACTTATGTGGCTGCCACCCCTATGCAGAATACGACGCACAATCTTTGGTTTCCTGTGGTCCTGTGTTTGATCTTTCTATGCTTTCCGGCGGCTCCGCAGTTTTGCCACAACGATGTTCTTTTTACCCCAGAGGTGGCTTCAAACCGGAAAGGTTCTCGTAGAGACAGCGTGAATGAGATGGCGCAAACGGAAATTATCAATGTTCGCGTATGGGTAGATTTGCCAAGAGAGCATGGCAGGGAAATACCTGGGGAGATCTCATAGTTTGTCAAAAAGGCCGATGGCTCAGATTCTCGAGTAGTAAGGTAACGAAATGAGGTAATCACTTTATCCCAGTATATGAAAAGCCTCTTTGAAGAGACGTTCAATGTAATCCGCCAAATTTATTCAACATGATAGTTATAAGAGCGATTTTCTCCGAATTCTTTACCCGGACATCTCCAAACAATAGCAGCTTTCCCTTTGCAAGGATCAGTGCTGGAACGGAGGAAGGATACGTACAGACAATGATATCACGGGACAGAAGGTGTGTCGAGAGGTAGAAGGTCCTGTATTTGTCGGTTGCTCTTATGATAGCGCCGTAGATAGAGGCAGATAGATTGACCTTCAATATTCGCCCGACTGTCAATCCACCACACAGTCGGCCCGGCCTTTTGATACCAGAGAGCCAACAGTAAGAGAGCCACGGGATCTTTCTCTTGTAATCGAGCCTTGAAGGATTTTTGCATGTGGAACCCAAAGGCCAGAGATCTCGCCATCGTCACCCGATCATGGGGAAGGTTTTGAAGTTGAGCTAGAACATGTACCGCTGTAAAGTATGGACTGTTTTCGGCCGTGGATGATGAGTCGAGGCCACAGATGCGGGACAGGGAGGAGGGAACATTGTCGATTCCAACACTGGGAATGGAAGCGAACAGCTGGGCGTACTCGTCAGAGGTGGACCGGAATGCGCTGTTGGGTCGTAAGGGATCTGTGAGCTTCCAGACGGCCATCTTTCCCTTGCACATGTTCAGCCAATCCAGATCACCCGGCTCCGATGGTTTCAGAGGCCATGATTCTTCTGGCGACAATGATTCGATTGACGAGAAAGCAATGATCCCCACAAGGGCCGCGGTCAACCATAGTGGGTCCCGGGCTTCTGGCTGAACAGGTTGGGATAATGCATGGTTGAAGAGGGTTATGCATTGAGATGCATGATAAGTTGCTGGTATACTTCGCCCATGTCTGGAATCCCGCACGCCCATGTAGCGATTATGCAGGGCCGTGATAGCTAATAAAGCGTGCATTAGAAAGGGATACTATCTCTTTGTCAGTATGGAACCAAATAAGGACCATGATCGCGCTACCGAGCAAGCAAATTTGTAAAAGGCATTCTCTGCGAGTTCCACGTATTTAGCTCCGAGAGAATATATGGTGCGGGTCCGAAACTGATTCAATAGCTCGGTACATTGCCTGTCCAATTCGAAGCTGACAGCGGTATTGAATCTGGCGATGGCGGGGGCATTGTCTTTGAATGCTGGCATTGTTCCGCGATATTGGATGGTCCAGCTCTGGGAGGCTTGGGCCGAAGCCTGCAGCAAGTCTGCATCGTCCAGAGTATAGTTGCAAAGGACTCCGTATGATTTGCATCGCTGACAGTGGGGTTTTGATTCATCGCACTCTTGAGGTGAGCCGTGATCTCAATCAATGTACAGAGGATGATGATCCGTACCTTCACCCTTCGGACCTTGCAGTTCTTGCAGCCTTCTAGGGACTTTCTATAGGATCTGCGCTTTCGCGAAACATTTCCTCCCTGAGTTAAGATAGCCATCTCATGTCGACGATAGTTTGTGTTTGACAGGTCATCGAATGGAGAAGCGTTGCTGGCGTCGCAAACAATGGAGAGTATATCAAGTGATATTCACCACTGGGGAGCGGGAAAACCACTCCGCTATCTCCGAATCCCCTTGCATGGACCCACCAAGGCTAACCGCAGCTCGCGTTGGATGCAACAAGCCCTTGACCCCAGGTTGCGCTAACCTCGACCCGTGTTTTGCTGTGGCATACGAATAATACATCTGGTCAGAGACATGACGTTATGGATTTGAGGGATTCTTTATTCCCTACCCCTAGCAGGATGAAGGGTATAAAAGGGTGGCACATCTGTCAGGTACTGTAGCACGACCAAAGAGTTCCTCACAAGAATACAGTCAATTTCCGAATCGTTATTGATCCAGTTCTCCGTGTCTATACACGTACATCACCGGACCAGGCCCACAATGCGTGTTTTCGTCACGGGTGCCACGGGTTGGATCGGCCTTCCTGTTGTCAAAAGGCTTCTCCGTACTGGCCATCAGGTCTTAGGCCTCGCTCGCTCAGACAAAGGGGCAGAGGCACTGACTGCCCTCGGAGCTGAAGTGCTTCGAGGTTCGCTACAAGACTTGGACAGCCTCAAGAAAGGCGCATCCGAATCAGATGGCGTCATCCATCTAGCCTTCATCCATGACTTCGCCGACTACCAAGGGAACTGTCGTACGGACAGGCAAGCCATCGAAACAATGGGGGCTGTTCTGGCTGGATCGAACCGGCCTCTGATCATCACTTCGGGTACTCTGATGCTTCCATTTGGCCGTGTTGCGTCCGAAGAAGACACCCCCGATCTTTCCACTCCCGGTGGCGCTGCTCGCGGGCCATCTGAGAAAGTGGCTTTGTCTCTGGTGGATCAAGGAGTCCGCGCCATGGTTATGCGCCTCCCGCCTACGAATCACGGAGATGGCGATCATGGATTCATTGCAATGCTTGTCGCTATAGCACGGGAGAAAGGCGTGTCCGCCTATATTGGCGATGGACTCAACCATTGGCCTGCAGTTCACGTTTTGGACACCGCCCGAGCATATCAGTTGGCCTTGGACAAGGGTATTGCAGGCTCCGTGTATCATGCCGTGGCGGAAGAGGGCGTACCGATCAAAAGCATCGCAGAGGTTATCGGCAGGCACCTTGATGTACCAGTAGTCAGCAAAACGCTAGCAGAAGCCCAGGAACATTTTGGGTGGTTGGAATTTGCCCTGACGGCGGACAATAAAGCTACGAGCGTCATCACGCAGGAACAGCTAGGGTGGAATCCTGTTGAGGCTTCTCTTCTTGATGATCTCAACAAGGGAACATATTTCAAAGCCTAATTGAGACTGAGAGGCGATCGGAATGCTCTGATGATAGCTTGGAACTTCGTACAGGAATATACATATGGTGGAGGATACGGATATTCTTGAGAGGGTTGAGCATGTCCGAGCCGCGCTACTTGTCCTGACAGAGACTGTAGAGCAGTGTAGGCGGGTGGAGGTTGGTATCGGTCGTTATAGTCTCGTGACGAATGGGACCGACGGGAGTGAACGCCTTGCGAAGGATAAAACCCTTGCCCGGAAACCGCACTCATGGGTGTGAGATAGGCGGTCTGGTACTCTGGAGGAGTAGGTGGAAGTCGGGAATGTTGGCCATTTGGCCCCCAACCGTGATACGAAGGCATGCTCGACAGAAAGAATTTGGGAGCGGAGCAGACCTATGAAAAAGTGGGTTGAAGACTAGCCTAAGCTATGAACGATCGTTGGCCATTTTATAGGTGCCGTCCTTGGCGTCTTGGCCAGAATCACACTGAGACATTTGCTTCGCCCGTCGTAAGGGGGCCGTTTGCTCATCTAGGCGAGCCCGGGCCTATTGCTCTCACCCGGACCTGCGTTCGCACCTGTCGACTACGTCTTCCACCTCCCACATTCGCCCTCCATCGTGCCTTGGTACTCTCCCCTTCGATCTGTCCGTAGCAATCTTCCTTACTGTCCTGGCGGCTGTGCTTATGACTATCATGCCTCCACCATAGGGCCTACCCTCGACAGGGAACTGATCACTGAGCACAGTTTCGACAGGCTACACGGTTGTGCTTCTACGCTAGGGCCAAGCGAACCACTTGATCTTCGATGCAATCCAATGAGCAGATGGGCGAGAGAATACAGCTCTGGGAAAAAAGGGAAATAAACATATCAGCACACAATGACCAGAGATGGGAGACTCATGTTGGATTCAGGCGAGCGGCCACAAGAGAAAGAGAGCGTATTTTCATTTTGCCGTTGGATTCAGGAACCCAAAGAGATTCAATATGCCTTCGTGGGATCTTCTAAGACTTCGTTGGCTGGCTCCCAATGTGCCAGAGCTTCAAATAATGTGCCAACTTCTCCCGATCGAATGTTTGCTAAATGTTTCGTAAATAGATGCTCTTGATCTGGCTGTCGAACCCATATGTACCTTCCGAGGTGTCTGGTTCTAACTGAACTTAAGCTGGGATGACGAGGAACAAGTTTTCTCTTCATCCGGGAAGATGATAATCTCACTTAGATGGTCGGCCAAGGTTTGTCAAATGGGCTTCTCGAGTTCGTCCGACTTCGAGAGGCACCCGTGGACAAAAAGGTGTCGTTGGCTATGTTGGCCTAAATCGAATTCCACTCTTTGGGCTTATCGCATGAGGAAGACAGTGCTGGCCGGCCAGCTTTCTTCCTCCCCCTTCCGAGATTGTCTATCCGACACTACATCAGACGCGCAACCTGTGGATGACTTTGCGATATACAGCGCGAGGAAACACCTCGACGAGCTGCCACTCGCAACGTCTCGAAATGAACGTGGGCCCTCTAACGTCCCGACAACACCTCCACAGACCAGCTGAGTAGTTTCGCGAGAAGCATTGACCCATCCAGGACCTACCTAGTACATAATATATAGGGCGAGAATACTAGCATTCTCAATGTACCCACCACTCAGCAGCTCGCAATAGCCCCCGCCTTCCATCTTGGACGCTCTTTTCCTCTCTGGGGAAATAGTCAAGACAGAGATCCTCCGAACGTTTTATTTGCTATGGCACTGCTCGAGCTGAGCCAACCCTCCCTCAATCTTTCTTTGACATGGAAAGATAGCTCGACATGTTCTCCGTCCTAAACCTACAAGGACAGAATGACTCGTCTCCATCGCCAGAAGTCCCACCGCACCCTCGTTTCAAGACGTCCACCGGTTGCTGGACGTGCCGGGCTCGTCGTATCAAATGCGATAAGCACAAGCCTCGGTGCCAACGATGCCTCAATCACTCTCTTCACTGTCAAGGATATGGCCTGCGATTGGGGTGGGCCAAATATACTCACAATGGAAAACCGGAGCCGGAAGAACGTCTTCGGAATCCTGTCACTGCGTCTGACCATGGACCGGCGCTCGACAATGTGTCCCCTGTCGATATTACTGCCATGTTGGATACCCTAGAGAAATGCACTGACGAAGACATTTCCAAGTCGATGGGCCCTTTCTCGGTCTTTCGCGTGAGCAGCCACCTCACACCGCGTTCCAACGTCGGCTCCAACCCTTCTCAGTCACAGACTGACGCCGATGCTGTTGATTCGGACTCGTCTGGTATCGCCCACTCGTGGTCCTCTATGGCGTGCAACATATCCGGTAGACCACCATCGGATAACAGCATTACTGGCACAGGACGTGCCGAGAGTACTATTTCGAGAAGACCTTCTTCCCCCATGTGGGAGAGTCCCCAAAGATTCTCAATCTCGGATGAAAGCCCCACCACAGATGCCTCCAAGGGTCATTACCACCAGTCGAAATCGGACATGACTTCCAAGTCATGGAAGCAGACTCATGGATCATCACGCACTGTGCGCCATATGGACATGCTCGTTCTTCCGGCCTGGCACAGAGAATTGATACACCACTGGGTGACATTTCTTGCAGAAAACCTGATCCCGCTAGATACTGCATTGAATCCTTTGCGAAAGATTCTTCTGCCAATGGCGCTGCAGGGAATCCTGTCGAATTCAGGAAGGCCCAATGGGTCTACTGCTCTATTCCACTCGATGTCGGCGGTAGCTAGCTACAGTCTGCTCGAATTGAAAGGGTCACATGGCCGCTACCAGCAATTGGCACTCCAGCACGAACAGCTATTCTTCCACTACCTGCGTGAGGCGCTCTCGCTGACCGATCATCTCAAAGATGAAGGCATTCCGTTAGCGATTTTGGTGTACAACACAAAGTTCTCCATCTCTGGTCACCCGGTCGAATGGAGGCAGCATGTTCTCGGAGGCATCAGATGGCTGATCAACACTGGCTTCTGTAACCAGGACATTTTGCAGAAGACCCGGCCGGTCGTGTGCTCATTGTATCTTTACGGTGCAATAATGGGGAATCTGGACCTTCCCGCCGACGTCATGGAAACATTGACGGCGATCAATGCCGACGATGACGGATTCGACTACATCTTTGGCATGAATCAATCAATGCTCTGCAATCTTTCCCAAATTCACGAGTTTCGATTGGCACAGCGCGCGCCAGATCCTCAAGACCTTCAAACCCTGGAGATGAGACTGTATATGCAGGTTCCGGGTCCTCCACAAAGAGACTGCGCAGAAACCAAAGAGGCCAAGTTGATACGCCATCTAGGCGACGTGTATTATTGTGCAGCCCTCATCTACTTCCAACGTGGTGTACTCGGATTTCCTCCGCACACCATTCAATACTTTGTGCGAAAAGGCCTCGACAGTCTAGAGGCGATGGAGACGTTAACAAATGGAACATGTGGATGCATTTCTGTCTGGTTTTCCATTATCATCGGTGCGGAATGCGAAAGCCCAGCGCTTCGTGAATCCATGCTGTCCTGGTTTCGACGCAAGAGACGCCATGGGTTGAAGATTGTTGATGTTGCGTCCACCATTGTGAAGACCGCGTGGCAGATGCGAACCCTACCCGGGAAAGAGAAGTTCTACTGGCAAGATATGAGCTTGGAACCAGAATACGACGTTCTTCTATGGTGACCATTTGCGCTTTCCTCCTTGATCCAGATGTTCCACGGAGTCCATGAACGAGTTGAGTCCGGGAAAAAGGAACTCTGGCTCTCGATTCAGAACCACGCGGGATTGTAGCGCAGGCGCGAAGGACAAGGGCCCTCAAGAGGACCCGGGTTTGCTTGGCTTCAAAGATTCCTGTGCCATCTTGAGTACCTCTCTGATCTCGTCCTTGAACCCATTGATGTATCCTGTTTCGACGATGTCATGATATGCCTTCGGTGAAGTATGGAAATGGACTATATTCTTTTCATTCTTCATCAGGCTCACGAACTCTACAATCTCCGAGTACATCAACTCCAATGCACCGGCATGAATCCACAACGTTGATTCTGTGCGGAAAGGCCTTCCAGTGAAGGAAATATATCGGGAGTTGACATTTACTTCGCCGGGGGGTGCAAAACTATTGGCTGCCCATTCCACAAACGTTGCTGGAATGTAGTCGGTGTGGTAATTCGGGTTCTGGCCAATGGTGGCGGTATTTTGACTCCTGGCGACGTCCACCCATGGACTCCAAAGGAAGGTGCGCCTTGGTGCGGGCAAATCGAGATGTGAATGCTCGGCTAGATATCGCAGAAGTCCCAATGCAAGGTTGCCACCTGCCGAGTCGCCCGAGAGAATAATGTCGTCTTGTCGATAACCCAAGTCAAACAAGTATTGATAAGTGGATACCGCATCTTGCAAAGCGGCTGGAAATCTGCCTCGAGATGTACAGGCCAGTCGATATTCGGGGAGGAGGACATATGGCGCCAAATACTCTGTCAACTTGATGGCCATATATCCATAATCTGCCGGTTTACTGCTCCCAATCACGTATCCGCCGCCGTGAAAATGCAATACGATACTGGTATTTGGTTTCCCGGTCGTGTCGAGTGGCGGCTGAGGATACCAGGTGCCTAGGATTTTGGAAGGACGGATCGACTTGTCATCATCGAGGGGTGTTTCGTATATCGGTTCGCTGGAAATCGGGATGACGACGACATTAGACTGATTTTGAGCGTCAACACCAACGTCTTGACGTGAAACTGGACGGATGTGAGCGATGAACTCCAGGAACCAACGAATGACAGTGTTAGCGGTTGCTTGATGCCACGAGTAGCTAGGATGCGGTCGATTTCGTGGGAAAAGGTAGTAGAGCATAACCAACGGTAGGGGCACGCTAAGCCTCATCACAAGGACCAAGCCAGCGTATACCTTCGAGACAGCCTTCATTTAGTTCCGCGTGATATGTCAAGAGAATACAGATGTCGCTACAAGCAGAGGAACGAAATGTTCATAATCACATATTTAAGCAACCACCAGGAGCAAACTCTGTTCCGCTGATTTAGAACGCCCAGCAGGCAATTCTCACCGATCTTATGACCGGGTTCACATCAACGAGCAGCAAATGAAGGGTCTAGCCCCGCCAGCACTAGCACGATAATGAAATTCAAGCGTCCAGGTCGCCGAGGTGCTCAGTTGGCCGGAAAGGAAATACGTTGTTTGTTCGATATGGCATAGTGTTCGGCCATTATCCCTTTCTGCGATAAAAATCCCATCGCACCACACCCCCTTCTCAAGCACACTCAAAGGTGGGCGCCATTTACATGTAAAGTCGATGGTATAGAGACAAATTCTGAGAGTTCTATTTCCACCTCCCTCATAACCAATATGGCAGACTTGATTGCACCATCGATAAAGCCCCTCCACCCATGAGATGTCTCTGCTGGTACACTTCAATCTTCCTATCGGCTGGAAAGAGCTGGGGTATGTTTGAATCTTACCAGTCGCTCCATCTTACCATCTAGGGTTTCTAGATCCTCTTGCTGTTCTTTTGGGAATTCCTGAGCATTTAATGAACATCTGCGCCGAAACAATGAGGTCTGTGTCCGAACCAGAAGACCAGTGACAGTCACTCCTAGCAAGTACTGCATCAACATCATTGTACATGGTACCAGACCACGAGAGCATGCAGTTTGGGTGTGAAATTTCCGCGACCTTGGGCAATGGCTTGGCTTTGAAGGACGGTAGGAGTGTGTGAAACTCTTATTTTTCAAAACTGCCAACGGAATCGTATAGATGACCTTGCGGGCATGGAAAACCTGAACGTCAGCTGTCATGACTGATGCTTTTACCGGGTCCGAGCTGCGAAATGGGGTAATCATGACCAACGTGTATGCTTCTACCATACTGAACTCCTCTTCAGTCAGGACACCTTTGGGTTAGTCGAATCGGTCTATCGCAGACATTGCGTCGTATTTTGCTGTGCATGCTTGATTATGCAGGGGACTGTGTAAGTACGTTATTGCGTTTGTGCTTTGCATACCGTCCAGGCTAGAGAACATGTACGTGGACATACATGGCTTTCCCTAGCCACGTGTCCTAAAGAATATGTTAGATGAATGTCCACACAGCGTCCAGCCTGGGAAATCAAGAGCAACATACCAGTTCGGCCGCAAGACGATCCTTTCTGGCCCCATCCAAGATCACGCAGAAGGAGGCCCTGACCTCTAGAACTGCTCTGCGCAGTCATTGGCGGAATCTTTCAAGCCGTGCCGTGAAATCTCAGTCCACACGCGCCTCATGGATATAGGTGCCTCCCATCTCACACACATCTCCATTTCCAGCTCGACATGACCAGGTACGGCCACCAATACGATCTCGAGCTTCGAGAAGGAGAACCTGAAAAAGGAGTCAATTATGTCATTCAGTCTGCCCTTGCTGCCTCGAGGCCTTCAACATTTGGAACATATTAACTCTTGTAGGAAGATCTCTGGTAGCAATCTGGCCCGTATGTCCTGTGCATCCCGCACCAACGACTATCACATCGTATGGATTAGTCGATCTTACATCCAACTGAGCGAGGGGTCATCAGTCCAGCTTTCGGTCTACCAGAAGAAGTATACTCAAACCATTCGGACACCGACAACATCGTTGCTTAGTCTCCCAAAGCCGTACCAATCGGTTCTTTCCGGTGGTTAGGTCTATTGGATCTGGATCTGCAGAGCAACCGAAATCACTGACCACTTCTGTTGAAATTTGGTGCAAAGAGATGTCCACGGGCGCGCAGCCAATGGATCTGGCGTCAACAAATAAAAACCAACGACAGATTGACCCTGACCTGACCTGACCACTTTCCCCTTCGACCTTTCTGAACAAGCGGAATGAGATATCTGACTGTCTTGGGGTATAAGTCCTATACTGTTTGGCCAAAACCCCCGTCTCCACTTGACTTGCCATGCCGCTAGAGGCCATTGAGGACACGTCACTATTCCTAATCGGCCGATTAGGATACTGATTACGACCGTGACAGATATGCCGAGAGTGGCCCTCCGGAACATCTCCGTGCTAGACAAGTCCCTGACCTTGCGAGGGTGTTTCTTAGATCTAGAAGTTCCATAGACGTCTTCCCGTCTCTCTTTGTGGCTTGATATCGATGACTTTCCATTTTCGGTTATCTTTGATGAACACGAAGATACACCCTAAAGTGGGCGAATCCGACTCAAACCTGGCATGTGAGTATTGTCTGGTTATCTATTGAAGTGTGTGAGAAGGTAGGTGTATCTCCTATCTCTGCCATCCGCTGGGTCTATGTCTTGACAGCCCTTTCGCGGAGGTCGAAATGTATTTAATGGGGCCCGATATATCGACCTTTCCCCGAGAAAACCAGGGGACGACACAATCGAGTCTTTCAAAACATATCTTTCTATCAGCAGGAGACCTCCCAAGCGAACCCCGATTCATCATGTCAGCGTCAGCTCAAGATCCCCCCTTGCCATACGATAAAGATGGTAAAGACTCAACCATCACCATACAAGGCAGAAACGTCGAGACCGCATCCGTCACCCGCGGACAAATGGAGACAATATGTGACGCGCAACCTGTCCACAACCCCAATGAGTCCATCAAAACATACAAGCGTCGATGGCTAGGAGTGGCCGTCATCGTCCTGACCAATGTCGCCGTGACCTGGGCCTGGCTCAGTTTCGCCATGGTCACACAGTTCGCGCAGGTTCATTTCTCTGTCGGTGCTAGCGCCATCAACTGGTTCTCCATCGTCTACTGCTTCACATTCATCCCGTTCGTCTTTTCCTCGTGGATCCTGAGTCGGTACGGCATCAAGACCAGCCTCGTCATTGGAGCCTTAGGGATCATCGTTGGCAGCTGGATCCGCTACGCCGGAGTCCGGACCGCCAGCTACGCCGGTACCATGGTCGGACAAACAATCCTGGGTCTGTCACAGCTGTTCATCGTGCCTCTTCCTCCGGTCTATTCACAACTCTGGTTCTCTCCTGCTCACCGCACCACACCGACGGCTTTGGGGACCATCTCTCCGGCTTTGGGGTCGATGCTCGGAGCCCTCTGCACTCCGTACATGGTCACCTCTCCTGCCGCTTTGCCCAACAGCATCTTGTATCTTGCCATCGCCTCCACAGTCATCAGCGTCGTGGCCTTTTTGGTCCCCTCCGCCCCTCCAACACCAGCCTCATTGAACGAGTGCGACCCATACTCCCACATCACGCGCAAACAACACGCCCTCGCGATTCTGCGTTCTCCCGAATTCTACATGATCGCCGTCCCCTTTATGACCGAAGTCGGCTTCTTCAACGCCTCCACCTCACTCGCCCTCCTCATTCTCATGCCATATGGCTTTCCCTACCAACTCGGCGGTCTCCTCACCGGCCTCCAAGCGGGGATCGGCATCACGGCCGGTTTGCTCCTCGCTCCAATCGCCGACCGTTTCCAAATCCACATTCCCGTCCTGAAAATCTCTCAAACGGCCATGGCCATCTGCTTCATCGGATACATCTGGGTCCCTCCCTCGGGAAACGTTGCTGCTGTCTTCGCCATGTCCATCCTCATCGGCATCTGCTGCACAGGCGGCCTGGCCATTACGATGGAAGCCCTCGCCGAAATCTTGTACCCGATCCCGGCCGAATTCACCGCGTCCATCGCGTGGTCTGTGGGCAACTTTTTGGGGGCAATTTTCCTGTTTATTATGGACGCGCTCCGCGCTGGTCCCAATGCGAACCCGCCTTTTAATATGCAGGATGCACTGTATTGCCAGGCGGCGCTAGGTATCGTGTTTATCTTATTGCCGATTAATCTTTTGGGATGGTTTGGGAGGAAAGACAAGGTGAGGTATAGGAGGAGGCACGTGCAGTCTTCGGCAACGGGGATGGCGGTGTCAGGTGATGAGGGGACCAGGAAGGAGGAAATTGTTGAGGAGATCGATGTCAAGGGTGGCAGTGTTAAAGATGTTTAGGAAATATCTGACTGACATGGCGAGGCGATAGGATGTGAACACTCAAGAACCTAGATACATAGAGAGAGAGTATAGGAAGCCAGTAAGGTAAATGGGAAGCAGAGAGGGAAGGCTACCTTAGATTTCGTTCCTGTTTGGCTTGATTTGTCTTAGAGGACTTGTCGATTCAAGTGAGCATGAAATGAAACCGAGACGTGGCTGGATTTTCTGGACTGGAGATCTAGCGTAGATAATCCGGCCTTCATAGCACTGACAGAATATTAGACGGATCGATGAGGCTGAGGATCAAGACCGCAAGCAAGCGGATGAGAGTGATATTCTCAAGGTCACATGGAAGAAGAGTCCACGAATCCAGCCTAGTGTATTGGTAGTGGGCAGGAGAAGATTGCAGGGTGGCCGTCTCCATTGCTGCAACGAAAAATAATGATGGACAAGATGTTGTAAACCGGTGAACCAAAACAGAGATATACTATGCATTCAGACGGTCCTACAAGAATTCGTATACTTACCTCATTTTCGAGCATTTGCACGCAGGACGCTCGCTAACCTTTCCGACGAGATAAAGCGTCTACCGCCATCTCCGACCAAGGAAATCATGATTTTGATCTTTACAGGATGCTCCAAACATGACAAGGCCATCCACCATTGGTCGGTGGAGGATGTATCATTCTTCGGATGTTGATTTTGAAGAGGCTTGGGTGCAACAAATCATCAGTGCTTGTTCGCTTGCCCAGTTTTCAGGCAGGGTGGGAAGCACACAAGACATGTTCGATGCGTAAATATTAGATCTGTAATCGTTTCCGAAGCCGTATTATGGCTACAGTACAGAGGGAAACGATACTCTCGACGTTTCTTGTTATAAAGAGAGGCATGCGCCAAGATTGCGTCACAGCCCCAATAGCAACGCGCCGCAGTTCGGCCTCGGGTTTCGGTCCTTTAGATTTTGGGTCGCTCTTTCAGTCGTTAACAATTTGTACTCGACTGGTCTTGACTCAGAGCAGCAGTCCTCTCTCGACATCTCACCTCGAGCACCGCGGAGAGAGCGAGAGAGCGTGAGAGAAGTATGTCTGCATGGAACGGGGCCCGGAGTCTTGTTAGGGGAAACATATCCAGATATCTTCGATCTGACCGGACGACTCAACCACCAACCGGCGTCGCATGTCGAGTTTTTAACCAAAAGCACCATGCATCTGCGTTCACAATATGCCGGCGCCATCAACATGAAGTCGAATTGAAAAAAGATCAGATTAGACAGCAGATACACGTGATGGAACTGGGAAGGCGGCGGTTTTCTACGAGCCCAGCAAAAAATCATGGGCATCTCGATCCGCCTAAACTTGGAGAAGAGTATGATAATACGCTACAAGAGACAGGAAAAAAAAAAAAATCAAGAGCTGGGGTGTGCTGACACTTTGTACAGGCTGCACGTCACATTTATCGACAAAGATGGCGAGAGGCATGAGTTTGAAGTGTCCAAAGGCGACAATCTGCTTGATATAGCGCAGGCTAATGATTTGGAGATGGAAGGTGAGCACAGGATCACCCTATTTGGAGATATCTTTCAGCTTGCTATGCGCTGCCGCTGCAACGGTCATTGAACTGGGCTAACACCTGCTTCTAGGTGCGTGTGGAGGTTCCTGCGCCTGTTCTACATGCCATGTAATCGTCGAATCCGAAGATATGTACGATAAGATCCCCGAGGCGACCGATGACGAGAATGACATGTTAGACCTCGCTTTTGGGTTAACCGAAACATCGAGGTTGGGATGCCAGGTGCAGATGTCACCAGAACTCGACGGGCTGGTGGTGAGACTGCCCCAAATGACACGCAACATGCAAGCTTCGGATTTTGAAAAGCGAAGCTGACACGCGAACCGGCTATGGTTCCCTGGTGGACGATAGAAGATCTTGTACTCATAATACGCTGTCATGCTCGCTCCTCCTGGCTTAGGATGGTTCTTCTTGTTTCAAAAGGTACGAGTCATAAAAAGGGTTCGTATTCCACGCAGGCGTCACGGCACCGAGGTGCTCCTGGTTTTCGATTTCCCGCCAATCAAGTCCAAAAAGCTTTGTTTACTCATTTCATTGACCTTCTCCTCCCTGTTGGCCATCCCAATTGTTCCTTTCTTTCGCTCTTCTTTGGCTGCCTGCTCGCCCTTGACCTGGGCCGCACGAACCGCATTGAAAAGTTTCACGACTCCCCGTTGGGCGATCTTTCGTAACCTCTTTTCCTCCTCAGCGATTTCCCCCGCCTGTCCAGAATTCAGACCGAGGACGTCCTTGATTCTCCCCCTTTCCAGATCTTCTTTCCGTTCTGACCTCAGCTTGGCCTTGGCCTTTTTCTCCAGTCGTTCGTTGGCGAGAGAGATGCTGATTTCTGCAGCCTCTCTACTTCGTGACAATACGGGATCTTTCCTCGCCGACTGTGATAATTTGGTGGATAAGATTTTGGAGATTGAGGTGGAGAACGCCTCGGGATTGTTTCTTTTGCTCGGGGGCTTTCGTGTAGCTGCCGTGTTTGATTCTTCTTCGTCATCGTCGTCATCATCGTCGTCCGATGAGGTATTCTGATCCGACTCTTCATCTGGGTCCTCCCTTTCTGCGCCGTCTTCGGACTCAATTTCAGAATGTTTCTGCTTCATAGCTTTGGAATTTGTCTGAGAAACAGCTCTGGATTCCACTTCTTCATCAGAATCGTTGAGATTGACAGCCGCAAAATCCTTGTCCTCTCCATCAGAGTCTTCGGAAGAACTGTGGTATTCCAACTGTTTGCGAAAGCGCTTCTTTGGTCGTTGGGTGTTCCCTCGCATTCCATCTTGAAGCTTGCGCTTCTTTTGCGATAAAGGAGCCATTCTAGACATATCTTGGAGCGGAGAACCCAATTGCTCGGAATGGTGCAACGGGGATTGCACCGGAAAAAAAAAAGTCAGCTGCACCAAATTTGTCTACTGCGGAGCGTTCGCCTGCTCACTCCACTTTTCCATATGCGTCATGCCGCAAACCACGACGCTGAAAGTACCACCGACCCTTGACCTGATCCAAAGAACTTTCCATATATCTCGATGCTCTTTGCAAGATGGTACTTTCAGATCTCGGACGGCGTATTAACGCCGCAGTCTCGAACCTTAATCGCGAACCTAACCTCGACGAGAAAGCCTTCGATGCTATGATCAAAGAGATATGTTCGGCTCTTTTATCAGCCGATGTGAATGTTCGACTGGTCAAGAATCTTCGAAAATCGATTCAAGGCGCTGTAAACTTCAAAGATCTACCACCGAATACGAGTTCCAATAGTAAGAAGCGACTGATACAACAAGCCGTCTTTGATCATCTGGTTCAACTAGTCGATCCTCATGCCGAACCCTACAAGCCCAAGAAAGGAAAGTCGAACGTGATAATGTTCGTTGGTCTACAAGGTGCTGGAAAGACCACCACTTGTACGAAATTGGCCAGATACTATGCACAACGAGGATTCAAAGCTTGTCTAGTTTGTGCGGATACTTTTCGAGCGGGTGCATATGACCAATTGAAGCAAAATGCCACGAAGGCAAAGATACCATATTATGGCTCATTGACCCAGACAGACCCTGCTGTCGTTGCAGCCGAAGGAGTTGCCCGGTTCAAGAAGGAGAAATTCGAGATCATTATTGTGGACACTTCGGGTCGACATAAGCAGGAGGCCGATCTTTTCGCCGAGATGGTTCAGGTACAAAAAGCGATCAAACCGGATCAGACCATCATGGTACTGGATGGGACCATTGGCCAAGCGGCCGAAGCACAATCATCCGCCTTCAAGGCGACAGCGGATTTCGGTGCAATTATTATCACCAAGACGGATGGCGGTGCCGCCGGAGGTGGCGCCATATCAGCGGTCGCCGCAACCCACACGCCAATTATTTTCCTGGGAACCGGTGAGCATATGATGGATCTGGAAAGATTTGCCCCGAAGCCGTTCATTTCCAAGCTTCTAGGCTATGGCGACATGTCTGGGTTGATTGATCAAATTCAGTCCATCACGAGAGAATCGGCTGGAATGAAAGAAACTCAAAAGCATTTAGCGGAGGGTATCTTTACGATTCGAGATATGAAAGAACAGATTACGAATATCATGAAGATGGGTCCGCTCTCGAAGATTGGGTCCATGATACCCGGTCTGGGAAGCATGATGCAAGGTACGGGCCCTCCGGACAGACTCTAACCGTCCTCTAACGCCGATTCTTAGGTATGACCGACGAAGATGGTCAAGAGAAGCTCAAGCGCATGATTTATATCTTCGACAGTATGACGACGAAAGAACTTGATTCCGATGGGAAAATTCTCATTTCACAACCGACACGAATGGTGAGAATCGCTTGCGGGTCTGGTACCAGCGTGCGGGATGTTGAAGAACTTCTTACACAACATAAAGTCATGAGTGGGCTTGCTAAATCAATGGGACAAAGCAAGAAGAATATGCAGAGAGCACAGTCTATGATGCAAGGAGGGAACAAAGCCCAGCAGATGGCAGCCATGCAAAAACGGATGCAAAGTTTGGGCCAGGGACGTGGAAACTTCCCTGGAGGAGATATGGCAAAGATGATGAGCATGTTAGGAGGTCAAAACCCCGGTGGCATGGATTTGAATGCCATGATGAGCCAGTTCATGGGCGGTGGTCGAGGTCGCGGAAGGTAGCAACACTGTTGACTTTCTGCCAAGTATGAAGTGGACTTCATATCGCAAGGACCTCTTATTGGCCTAGTACATGACGGGCACCAGGTATGCTTTTTTCGACTTTCGCCCTCACCGTGCTTTATGCTGACCTCCTTCTCCAGTGCAGATAGTCTGCCTACTCTTTTTTGGCGCCACTTGGAAGTGTTTCTTCCACCGGAAGGACCCCGAGTCTCAAGTTTCAGACAGCATTGTCGATAATCTTTGGTTCGGGGTGGGGGGCCCGTTGACAAACTCCAATACTATAAATCACGCCGACGGAAGATCCTATACCAAAATGGACCTCTAACACCGCGACAACACCACGTCGCACCAAAGTCTCTACCTACCATTCCCACTCTTGCTGGCACCAACAAGAACGAATACATGAATTTACACAAACACCAATGACTTAAGAGTACGAGATGATGAAGGGAATTTGAAAGCCGACATCAATAGCAACGACGCACCAACTCAACCACCAAAAGAGAGGCAGAGATCAGACCGCAATGTGTGGTTACGTCTTTTTCAGAGTGGTATTTGGAATAGGTTCTATGACACAGAGAATACACTGTACCGTGGTCTTTCTAAGAAGCCTCTGAGCACAAGATATGCTTCGCTAGTCGCTCCGGCGCAAGATATACGTTGGCCCTAGGGGGGAAAGAATCCAGGAACCAACACCTGGCACAATCATGGCGGAAACAGCTCAGCGGCCAGATTTGGTCGATGTCATGGCTCATCAGAGCAATTCTGTTGGCTCCAGGCCTACAAAGTGGACAATCAAAGCAGATAGGTTCGGCAATGCACGATCAAATATCAACAGACCTTCTCACACCGTAGCAATCCTCGGGAATTCCCCGGCCTCAATTAACAACCCATCTCCCTAGATATTCCTCTCCCTTTGATCGCTCCGACGCTAGAATCGTCAGGAGCTCAAATCATGTCAACAACCACGGCAAAACCAAGCTTATGTCCGCCCTCCGTGACCAAGATTAATCACTTCGCCTTTCCGTACTTCCTGAAAAAAGTTCCTGCACGCCGAGCCTTGCTCACTCCGTCGAAGCAGCACGTGACACCGTCTTTGCTCCGCCAATCGGAGACGAGCTTTCCGAGCCTCTTATCTCCAACATCTCTTCGTCCTCGCAAATTTCTTGCATTTTTCGACAACCGACTTATCCACCCCTCTATCCGTGTTTTCCTCCGTCCCTATTTGCTTCCTTGTTTCCTTCTCAGTTGTGGGTCTCCCAAAATGTCTTTTCCCGGCATGTATATTCCGGGCATGGGCGGCGCGGGAGCAGGCGCAGGCGGCAACGCAGGTCTTAATGAACAAGAGCAGCAGATGGTGAAAATGGTATGGACACTCACACACATTCTCCATGAAGCCGAGTCAGACGATGCCCATCATCGGCATGCATATGACAGGAACTCAACGCTTTTCTATTACTCGAGCAACATTCGCGCATTTGTAGCCAAGAATAACGGACATTTGGCTAATATGGGTCTGGCGAATATAGATGCAAAAAGGCATGGAATCATGCGTCGCAAAATCCATTCTGGCTGGAGGCATGGGCTTCGTCCTCGGCGGAGCTTTTGGGCTATTCATGTCCAGTGTACGTTTTCCCTTTCATCTCCCGTCGCCCGTCCTACCAAAGAAAATTTACTCGAGATTCGATACCGATAAATTGTATTATTAGATGGCCTACGACACTCCGCTAAGTCCACAAGGGCAACAACTCACCTCTCTTCCTGTACGGGAGCAACTACGCCGCGGCCTCAAAGACATGGGCTCGAAATCCTACAGTTCCGCAAAGAACTTCGCCATGATCGGCGCGATATATTCCGGGACAGAGTGTGCGATTGAAGGGTTCCGAGCGAAGTCTGACCTCACAAACTCCGTGCTTGCGGGCTGTCTTACGGGAGGGGGGCTGGCGTATAAAGCGGGACCTCAGGCGGCAGTATTGGGGTGTGCGGGTTTCGCGGCATTTTCCGCAGCGATCGATGCGTACATGCGCATGCCGGAAAGCGATTGATCGGTCGATGTACTACTATCAGCGGGTGATAATCTGATTTCGGCTTTTCCCCCCTCTTCTCCCTGGAGGGCAATTTTGGGGCGAAGAGAAACGAAAGAGAACGGAACGGGACGGACATGAATGTGCTAACACACTCTGTCGTGGGGAATTTTTCGTCGGACCCTGAAATTCTTAGCGAGCATTGCGGGCGCAAATGAGATGGACATAAATAGAGACATAGAAGGAAAGGGAATCATCAACATTCCAGGATTTGGGAATGGGAAAGGGATGCTCCGCTTCATACGGAATTTACGCTGGTGATATTGAAAACTGGAAATTGACCTGTCGAGGTTATATCATGAAAAATAACATGCCCACCATCAGAACCGGGACTATCCAAGCATTTTAGAACTTCACGTTCATGTCGAATCTACCATGACCCGACTCAATGACCTGTGGACAGAAGAAAAGTATGAGCATTGGATGTCATCCTGGCTCTCATCATCACTATCCTCCTATCCTAACGCTGACACTCACTTCCCCCTCTGTGAACTCACTGCTCGCTGCTTGCCCTGCCCACCTTCAACGGAAGAAACCTTTCACAACGCTCGAGGCTCCTTTCACCACCGAATCATTGGCATTCCATCCATGCTGATATCGTAACAAACTTGAATCCGAGTCTGTCAATCTCTACTCTAACTGATCTTCGCGCCGCCAAAACCAGCTCAGAAGCAAATCCAGGAGGTTGTGGTATCATGACTGTTGGACGCGCAAAATCGACCCCAAAAGGGATTGTCGGACATGCACTCCTTTTCCCTACACCATATGCCTATTGAATTGTCGCAATCGCTCCATCACCAAGACTCGCATATATATATCCGTGTGCTTTCTCCTTAGGCCTGAGAAAAGCGATCTCCACTTAAGACCAAAGGAAAGCACTGTTTCTTCAATGAAGTCGATGTTCTGCGCCACTCTACTGCACCTGACTGACAATTTCGCTGGCTTTGCTCAAGCTCTCCACCATCTGTTGGCATTCTTTTCGTCGTCGGATAGTGTAATCGCTCTCCTTAAGCAGTTCATCGAGTTCTTGTGCTCGGTACAAATGTTCCAACAATTCACGTTGCATTTCGTCCTTCGTATGTCTAGTCACGGATTAGCGGCAGAGAATCGAACAGAGGTGAAGCCAACATGGGACTCACTGGACTAGGGACAACATGATGGCCTTGGGCACCATGTCGATCATTGTTCTCCGAGTAATGTTGAAATAGCTGTTGATCAATAGTTTGATCACTTCCACTTCCTGGTTCTCACGTTCCGACAATGTTCCACTGGCTTTGAGGGTGGCTGGAGGCGGTTCCATGGCGGCCATTTTCTTCTTGTTCTTGCTGGCAAAGAATGAACCAAAGAACCCTGAATTTTGCTCTGAACCGTCAGTAGGTAGACTCGGTGATCCCGCCCTCGGTGGCACCGATGGTGGTAGAGGTTTGCCCGTCTTAGGGTCCACTTGAGTCGGTTTGTTGGCATTGTGTCTGTCATTGACAATAGCCATGGCACGGTGGCCGTTGAGGAAATCCGGATGGCCGGTGTTAATGTAACAAGCTTCCATCGCCACCAAATCTTTCACCAGCTTATTGGTTGGTTCCATTGCTTTGCGGAAGAAGGCGATGACCACGGTGTGGAATCTTTCCTTGAGTTGTGGGTACCTCCGGAAAAACTGTTTTTGCAGAAGTTGACCAAGAATACGAACTAGTTCATCGTAGACGAGAGAAACACATTTCAAAGAAGGCTCTTCCAGCCGTCGAATTTGTTGTTTCACAATGAGTTCGAACGCAGTGGTGCCGACAAAGAGAGCCGGGGAAGAACCGGACGAATTGTACAGGATCGTCCGGATGTCGATATCCTTCACCTGCTCAAATGGATCGATGGCCTTGATCCCATTGGAATACAGTTCGTGGTAGACGAAAGAAATTCGAGCACCGCCCGAGAGCTCATTGCTAGACAGTTCGGCGCTGTTTCCATCCAGAACCGTCCTGTACTCATTGGCGAATTCAGTGATGATATTGAGGATGATGTTGGAGCTATTGTTCCCCAGGAGGTCGCCCGCACCCAACTGTTCCAATTCTTGGGAGTATTTCTGTAGCGACGTGGTGATTCGGGTTTTGATATCCGGGAGCGTTTGTTTGATGTGCATCATCAGAATGAGATTGAGTTTCCGGGCCAAATAGGGAGTGCCGCAGTACGACGCCTTATTCCTGTAGGAAGGATGGTTTTCGAAAAATTCCTTCTCGGCTCTCAAGGCCAAATCTATTCGCTTTTTGTTTTCGATATCACGCTGGCCTCGGTTGACCACCGGGACATAACCCAATCGGAGAGGAATGATTCTGCCCGCGAGAATGTCGACCACGTCGGTGCCGGTATCCATAAGATCGATCTTGGTCAGTACACCAATTGTTCGCTGACCTTCCGGGTCCACCTCACGGGCCAGTTTCAACCCATCTGAATTGGCCAAATCGACGTTGGCCGCCGTGACAGCCAAAATGATGGCGTTAGGCTTGGATATTTGCTTGAGGACCATTTCTTTGATTTGTCGTTCAATGTCTCGTGGCTGATCTCCGACGGGGACTTTGGTCAGGCCCGGTAAATCGACCAAGGTGAGCGTCAACACATTGGGGGAGTATATTCGCAGATTGATAGGAGCGGGTGAGATCCCCACATTCCGGCCTGCCTTGGCCTCGGTTTCTTTGACAATTTCATCCCGAATCTTGTTGAAGTCATGGAATTTCTGGCCGGGAAGGTGGAGGAATTCTCCCCATTCATCGACATTGGCTTGACTATCCGTCGTCTCTTTCATCTCTTTTTCTGAGACTCCATTTGTCTGCAACTTGGCCGGGGGCGGTCGGTTGATGAGTTGGAGAACGAGAGGTCGACGTGTAACAATTCCGGAACCTCGAGGAAGACTCGGGAAGGAGTTAGGATTGATTCAAGGGAAACCACCAGGGGAGGATGGAAGAGGGGGGATCGTTGTGTGCTTACAAGTCTCTGCCGACAATGTTCTCTAGAACCGAACTCTTTCCGCTGGATTGTGATCCGACTACCACGATCTGTGGTAGGTCTATGGGATTTTGTACCTGGAGGTTGACGGTCAGACTGATGCACGCCGGGGGATGGACAGGAGAACATACTCCGACCGTTGTGAACACATCTTGTAATTTGTTGACAAGGGCAATGAGGGTAGGGTCGTTCACGTTGATTCTGTAGCACAAGTCAGATCATGGGGGTTCTATCGTCGATGTGTTGATAGCACTCACGAATATCCCCCAGGAGGTGCCGCCATGGTCGGGGCAAAGGTGAGCGGAAGAGGGTCTTGAAGCAAATCAGAGCGGATAGATTTGACGCTGCGTCGAGCGGATATCTGTAGAGCGAGATCGAGAGACAGGTGCTGGGTGGGAGGAAGTGGTTGAGAAGTGGGAGTGATATGTAGGCTGCTGGCTAAATCTTGCGATGGTCAGTGATGCTCGCCGCGCTTGGGCCGTAATACAAGAAGCCACAAGACGGCAGCCACAACAAGATAAAAAGAGAACTAGCAGCTCACCAGCGTCAGGCCCTTGGCGCTGTGGCTTACGTGTCGTACCTGTTTTCAACATTCAGCTTTGAAGGTACTGCCACAGCCAGGCACCCGTCAAAGACTTCAGGGGCAATTCCTGTCTCGCGGCGAGCCGACAATTTTTCAATATACGTCACTCGCCCTGTCGTGGCGAAAGAACAGGCAACATTTAGAGTCGGTGGGATATGTAGGGAACGAAACGAGATGAGATGAAAAACCTCAATAGTGATCCTGATATATTAATGGATGCCTGGTGACACCAACCATCTCCACAACCATCACTAAGAATATGCGAGGGATTGCCTGATTTCGTGGGCAATTAATATCATTACATTGGGTGACTGATTCATCCCGACCACTTGCCAGCAAACTTCATGTCATTTATACGGGGGTCTGCATTCTATAGGTGAGGGAGGTACATAGCTAGCTAAATCTAGTCCTGGCATCTCGGACAACTGAATTGCTGCTGTTCGACGTCGCCTTTCCAATCGTAACATGCTTGTCTCGGTGCTTCCCATAAGGGAGGAGATAGTTGATGACGATCTCTTCTGTCAAAATCCCATAAACCCCATCTCAGTCACGATGCTGTCTGTATGTCCCCACAAAGGAACTCCTTCAATGCAATGCTGTACTCAAGTGTCTATCCCCTGTGCAGATCGTGATCACCGTGAGAATATCCCCAAATCCATTCCCAATCCCATTTCACCAACTCCATATGCACTTATCCGTCCCGCATCCGGTTCCTCTAACCATCTCAGAGTGTCGATCGCATGGCACTCGTTCGACCGGAGTCGTGTCGGGTAATGGTTCTGTTCAAGGTGTTCGGGGCCGCTTCAACTGGAGACTGGGTATTGGTCCATCTATTCACAAGTGAGCGGGAGCGGCGTAAAATTCAATCTGTTTTCCTTACATTCGCACTTTGCGGTCATCACCGCCAGATGCAAACATGCCAGCATCTTTGGGATTCCAGTCGACCGTTGTCACACACTCCTTGCCGCTCTGGCCTCGGCCGTGACCGGGCAACTTCTCGATGAGGGCTTCGTTCTCCTTATGCCACACGTAGATCATGCCATCTGCGGGTCATTTAGTAACCTTTCGAGAATTCGAGTACCATCACCGACCTTCAGAGCCGCTCACCACGAAATTCTCCGCTGCTCCTCCGAAGCAACTCCGAATCACAAACTCGCCTTGTTTCTGGCCCCGGAATTTTCGTATCGTGTCTCTCGTGACGAGGTCGATCATGTGGACTTCTCCCGCTGCTAGATTGACAAGAACAGTGCTGCCATCGTGACTCAAAGAAATACTCGTCATCTTGCCGATCGTTTTGATCGGAGGCTCTTCCCGATACGTGTGCATGTCGAAGACGCGGATAATATTCTGGGGGTCCAAGGCAACAAGCCAGCGTCCGTCCTCGGTGATGGCCACGTCCTGGACTCGAAATCCCCGAGGCCACGTGTGGACGGGATGCTCTGGGTCCGGGGCTCGAAGATTCCAGTGGCACAATTGCGAATTCCGATCGTGACTGGCCGTCACAAAACTCATCGAATCGGGCGACCACGCCGCAGCGGTGATGCCATAATTCTGATCGACGGTTTGATGTTCCAGCGTCACCCTTAGTCTTCCCGACTCAACGTCCCATACTCGAGCCTTGCAGTCTTGGGAACAGCTGATGAGTTGGGTGTCATCGGGACTCCACGCCACGTATGTCACCTCTCCGGAATGTTGCGTCAAGCTATGGATGCGTTTGAACGTCACCGTTTCGTAGATATTGACGGTCTTGTCTTGACTGGCGGTGGCCAGTTTCGTGCCGTCATGTGAGAATTGGACGTGCCAGACTTCGCCTGTATGGTCTTCGAGTTGTAAAATGTTCCGAGACGGAAAGTCGTCGCGATCACACAGATGGTCCGAGTACAGTGACGGAGGTATGGAGGTGTTATGATAGAGGCACTGATTGATCTGGGTTTGCTTGACTTGATCAAACAATTCCGCTAACCGGTGATCTCGAATCATCACCGAAGGGGCAATGGACCGAGAAAGATCTTGAAGGAGCATCTTTCTCGACTCTTCCACGGTGCCGGGCCAATGTGCTTTACTTCTGAGATCCTCGGGAGGGCACATAAGCAAAGTGGACAAAGCATGCAACTGGTGTATGTCGTGTCCCAAGGGTGTTAACTCTTGTCTCAACACCGTCAAGGCGGCCCCAAGATCTCGTCGATCAAGCAACTCAAGAAATTTCTGTTGTCGAATCCAAAAAAGCATCTGACCCCTGTCGGCACCTTCGGCTAGTACGAGACCTTCTGCATATCCGTCGCCATCATCATCCTCCTCCGCGCGAGGTCCCCCTCCGAGATCGATGCGATGGGGACCCAGGAGGATTTCTTCGGCTTCAGACCAGATGCCTTCTAGAATGGCGTTCCGAAATGCGGCAACCGAGGGGCTCTCCAGTTCATAACCACTCTCCGTGCTCAAAACATTAGCAGCTTCTGGGTATCCCATGTCCAGCAGACCCTGAATGAGGATTCTGGTTACTTCTTCTCTATTATGACCGCGATACGTCGGTGATCGGACCGGCGATAATTTCTTCGTGGCACCGTTGGTAAAGGAGGGGCTGGATCCGTTGACGTTACTGGGGTTGTGCCCATTGAGGGCTGTGTTTAAAGGCTTCCGGGGCGTCGAACCATTGGAGTTTGTTGCATGACCGTTGGAGTACACTTGTCCCGCGTCTTCATGGGCTCTCATGGTGTATTTCTCGGTTCGCCTGCGTTTCGGCCAAGGGTCTCCTTCTCTCACGCGAGTATCAACCGCAAGTCCTGCGCCACCAGATGTAGTGTTTACTGGACTTGGGTGGGAGGCTTCCGCTTCAATTCCCACGGACGAAGACCGTCTTCTCCTCCGTCTTCCTCGCTCTTCAAAAGCCCGAGCCTGTGCTACAGTTCGTTGATTTGCCGGGAGGTTGCTCGCGAATGATGAGGCCGGGTCCGCAGTTCGATCGGATGAGGGATTAATGGTGGATGTATTGGGGGGTGGGGAAGAGGAATCTGTGTAGGAAGAATGAGGAGGGTATGTCGAAGTGGATGGGTCGTCGGTAGTGATTAGGTCGATATGTGTGTGGTGATGGTCTGCCAGCTCGTGAGGGCGGCAAAGCCGCCGATATCAGTGTCAAGGCTCGGTCGATGAGTGCTCGTTAGTCCGCCACTACTATTCGAAGTGGATGAGGCGTCACGGTGTTTCGCGGCGCTGGGAGAACGTAGAAGAGAGGATGAACCGGAACATTCACTTCTACTTTCGCCAGCCACTTCACAGAAGTGGGAAGAAGAAGTTGTCCTCGATCGCTCTCGGCGGAGTTGGTCTCCCAGGGTGTCAAGTCGAAGGCCAAATGAGGATGGATTGATGGCCCAGCAATGATATTCGAGGTTTCTGGTGGTAGTACCTCTTCGACTAGACAAGATAGTCGTATTAGAAGGATACGTGGAAGCTGGAATGGTACTCCGAGTGCAGTAATGGTAATGCTCTTGTCGTAGAACGGAAGTGGATGACAAAATGGAGGGATTCGGAGGATGATGTCGGAGATGTGCAGTGCCCCGTGCCTGTGCAGGGGAGTTGATGGTCCCCCCTCAAGGGCGAAGCGTCAAGTTCGTTTTTAGCCGTCATAGTAAATGCTGATTCCTGAACCAACCAAGGAGCTAACTCGCCCAGCTAGAGCTCATCTGTGTTGACTGGTGAGCACTCCCACCGCGCAAACACCCGCTAGGCCCGTTTCAAAAGGTTGGAGCCTGATAACCTTTTTGCTTGGATAAAGCTGGTCTCAATCACCGCTCCCAAGTCCACCGACACGAATTCGAATGTCTCCCCTAGTTCCCTGGCAGACTCTCATGGTACAACTTGTCATCTGCCACATGGCAACCCATTCTTCTCTTCCGTCTGCCACGCCCACCTCTACAAGTGCAAGGTTAAAGCGACCTGGGTCTCGAGGCCGGAAGAGATCTCGTCTGAGGGGTTATTGACTGGAAGTGGACTGGATGCGGCCTCGGCCGCCTAATTCGGGTAGACGAGGTACAATTGGGGGCCCATTGGTTCAACTCATCAGCGAAGATGGATTTATAGACAGTAATGTAAAAGCCCATAAGTTCTATAGTCATGAACTCCGAAGCAACTTGCACTCCATACAACGAAATGTAACAGCTCCTGTCGGCCGGTACACACCGCAAGCGGAGGAACCTTGAAGCGCAGGAGCTCCCAGCCCACTGGGTCCCCCAACTTTGACCAAGGTTGGAAGCCCACCAACAACCTACAAAATCGGTTTCCTTTCCCTTAAAAGATGATTTCATATGCTTGGAATTGGTCGTCCACGTCTCAAACATAAAAGATCCCTTGTCGAGTTCATCACTGGCAAGAGTATTGACGATCTTGCCAGTCTCTCAGACCTCAAGTATCTCCACGTCCAGCTTGGCCTTCCTGAGCTTATCGAAGAGGATCTCGAGGAAGGCGAGCTTCCTGGTCCCAGCTTCAACGACAGCTCCGTTTTCGCCTTTCCTCAGCCACTTCAGACGCTACACACAAACGCTCGCACATACAGAAGGATGCCTGCTGCGAAGGAGCCTGCTTCAGGCGAAGACCTCCAAAATGGAACCATCTTCTCCGTTTCTGGGCCTGTCATCATCGCCGAAAACATGATCGGGGTCGCTATGTATGAGCTTTGCAAAGTCGGCTACGATGAACTTGTCGGCGAGGTTATTCGCATTGAGGCCGACAAGGCCACCATTCAGGTCTACGAAGAGACTGGTGGGTGCCCCTCCTTCTCCTTCCCTGCATGCATTGACTCGGTGTAGCTGGTGTCACCGTTGGAGACCCCGTCCTTCGAACCGGCAAGCCTCTCTCGGTTGAACTTGGTCCTGGTTTGATGGAAACCATCTATGACGGTATCCAGAGACCATTGAAGACCATCGCGGGCAACACCAAAAGCATTTACATCCCCCGCGGTATCGCCGTTCCTTCCTTGGACAGAAAGAAGAAATGGGACTTTACACCAACGATGAAAGAGGGGGATCACATCAGCGGTGGTGATGTCTGGGGAAAAGTCGTCGAGAACAGTCTCTTGAATGAGCATCGCATTCTCATGCCACCGAGAGCCCGAGGAATCATCAAGAAGATCGCTCCAAAGGGCGAGTACACCGTTGATGAGCCACTTCTCACGGTCGAGTTCAACGGAGAGACCAAGGAATACCCCATGATGCACACCTGGCCTGTTCGTGTTCCCCGACCGGTCACTGAGCGTCTCCAAGCAGATTCTCCCTTTATTGTCGGCCAGAGAGTGCTTGATGCTCTTTTTCCCTCCGTGCAAGGCGGTACCGTGTGCATTCCTGGCGCGTTCGGCTGCGGCAAGACCGTCATCTCTCAGTCTGTGTCGAAGTTTTCCAACAGCGATATCATCGTCTACGTGGGCTGTTTCGCTGCCGGTACTCCGGTCATGATGGCAAACGGCACTGACAAGAACATCGAAGAAATCGCCGTTGGTGACTGTGTCATGGGTAAGGATGGTGACGGTCGTGAGGTCGTTGCTTTACCCCGCGGCACTGACACCATGTACGAAATCGGTGTCACGACTCAGCATCACAATGAGACATATAGAGAGGTCTTGTACACTTGCAATGCTTCCCACCAGCTCGTTGTCTATACACCCCAGCATGTCCGGATCACGGACCGTCACATTCGTGGCCAAAGACAGACCAGCGTCACCTACTTCGACTTCCAGACCGTCACCGTTGCTACTGAAGCCGAGGGCCATTATCGTGTCGTTCGTCTGCTCAAACAATGCACCAAGTCCTGGCCGCACGACCATCATGGTGGCCGCGAGCGCGCTCGAGGCCTCGCCGAGACTTTCGCATCGAATATCCCTCGTACTGGCTTCGATTGGACCATTGAAGCCCGTGATGTGGCCCTGCTCGATGCCCAGGTTCGCGAAGCGACCCAGCAGATGTTCAATCCTGTTCTGCTCGAGAATGAGACTCTCAAGACCCGCCTCGTCCACCGGGGCTTTGATGGTAGTCTCGCTCCACAGATGGCATATCTTCTCGGATCTTGGGTCGGTGATGGTTCCTACACAAGATCGATCCTGTCGATGGATCCCAATGATGATGAATTGGTCGATCGAATTACCTCCTATGGCAAGTTGTTTGACCTGGAGACTGCCACGGTCGAATATCATCATCACCGGAACAAAGTCACCGGCGGGGAAAGGCATGCTTTGGGTGAAATTGACGGCAATCGCTCTGGCCCGACCCTTTCCTCTCCCGAAGAGTCCAACGTTCCCAAGCGTACGAGACTCGATTATGACCAGCGTGGTGACCTGTCTGTGGAGCTTCGTGGCGGCTCTGTTCGCGGCAAGGGCATTCACAAGAATCAGAACGCTCACAATCTTTTCTGGGATATGGTTCTTGAGACTGGAGTTCGTGGCCCAAGCAGCAAGGAAGCCAAAGCGGTCCCAATGTATCTTGCTTCTGAAGCCATCGAGGTCCGTGAGCACTTCCTGGCTGGCTTGATTGATTCGGACGGCCATGTCAAACTCGGCGAGGGCAGTGCGACTGTCAAGACCATCTACCCAGCTGTGTGTGAGGGCCTTGCTCGTCTCGCTCGCTCGCTTGGTATTCGCGTGAGCATCAGTGTCGAAGCCGCAAAGGTCGTCAATGGTGTCTCTCATCAGAAGTCCTACGCGGTGTGCATGAGTGGAACCGACCCGGTCGCTTCGGTCCTCAGCAAGTGCGCTCTTGAGAGGAAGAAACTGACCGCCGGTAATTGTGTTCGGCGTGAGCCCCAGCCGGTCTATTTTGATGCCATCAAGAAGCCGGCAGCCCCCTTCTATGGCATCACCTTGGCGGATGACACGGATCATCAATTTCTCCTGGGCAACATGATGCGTGTGCACAACTGTGGAGAACGAGGAAACGAAATGGCCGAAGTCCTGATGGACTTTCCGGAGCTGTCCATCACCATTGAGGGTAGGAAAGAGCCCATTATGAAGAGAACCTGCCTGATCGCCAATACCTCGAACATGCCTGTTGCCGCCCGAGAGGCCTCCATTTACACTGGTATCACGGTCGCAGAATACTTCCGGGATCAAGGCAAAGCCGTTGCGATGATGGCTGACTCTTCTTCCCGCTGGGCTGAAGCTTTGCGAGAAATCTCAGGTCGTCTGGGTGAAATGCCGGCCGATCAAGGTTTCCCTGCATATTTGTCTGCCAAGCTTGCTTCCTTCTACGAACGGGCAGGCGCAGCCATCTCTCTCGGTTCTCCAGAGCGACATGGCAGCATTTCGATTGTCGGAGCCGTCTCGCCACCTGGCGGTGATTTCTCCGATCCTGTAACCTCAGCCACTTTGGGTATTGTGCAGGTCTTCTGGGGATTGGACAAAAAGCTGGCACAACGAAAGCATTTCCCTAGCATCAACACTTCATTGTCTTACAGCAAATACACCAACATTCTGGACAAATTCTACTCCAAAGACCACGCGGATTTCCCCAAACTCCGTGATCGCATCAAAGAACTACTCACCAACTCCGAAGATCTCGACCAAGTCGTGCAACTCGTCGGTAAATCTGCTCTTGGTGACTCGGACAAGATCACTCTTGATGTCGCCGCCATGCTGAAGGATGACTTTTTGCAGCAAAACGGCTACAGTGACTACGATCAATTCTGCCCTCTCTGGAAGACGGAGTACATGATGAAGGCATTTATGCAATTCCACGATGAAGCTCAGAGGGCCGTCTCCAGCGGTCTCAGCTGGGCTAAAGTCCGAGAAGCGACCGGTGAGATCCAGCATGGTCTGCGTAGCATGAAGTTTGAGTTACCAGATAACCAGGAGGAAGTCGCCGCCAAATACGATAAGTTGCTGCAGAACATGTCGGAGAAGTTTGCCAGCGTGAGTGATGAATAAATACTATGAATCGGGGGTCTGGCCGGGCTTTGGTAACTACGATGGGGAGGGAAGGTCCGAGAAAGTAGATGAAACATGCTGGCGGTGCAACATGAGTCTCGAAGTATTCAGTTACAGCTTAAAGAAGAGAACAGGCGCAAAGTTCAATTGAAATGAGGATTATCATTAAGGTCCGTTTCTGTTCGCTTGATTATGGCCGTATCTCCATACCATATTTGTTTCCACACATTTTTCCATTACAGAGAAAAATCCTCGTTTATTGAACCCCAGAACCATGGTCATACAATGACCAAGGGAATGGTTGGAAGATATATGCGCTCTTTGAGAGTACGGCTCCACCGAGTTCAGAACTTCCGTCCCTCCCCGGCTATCCGGATCTAAGAACATTCTTCGTGCCAGCCTGACGGCAGTGGCATTTTTCCCTTGACATGGTGGGAATCAGGCATCAAGGGGTCGATAATGTTGCACAGTCGACGGTAGGAGTGTAGAGCGTGTCATGTCCATGACAGTCTAGTGTTGCTGTTTGATATAAGCACTTTTGCGAGTAGTTGGAAAGCCGAACCTATTCATTCCTGGACGTCCCCGAGACGGCCTCCCTGAGGGGTCCACTCTTGAATTTCGCCAGCCGTGGCTAAGAGAATGCTCTTGGGACCGTCACGGACCTGGACGATTCTCGCGCAAGTCACCGGCTGCCGGAATTTGTGCTTGCTCAAGGGACCTTCAAGTAGCTGGCCCGTCGCGACGGACCAGAGGCCGACACGGTTGTCCCTGTGGTTGTCTGTAGACGTACTGAGCACGATGTTGAGTTCGGGGTCGTAGGCAAAACCGAGTCCGTATTGCTTCTGTTGGCGTGTTGGCGGGATGTTGAATGTGACGTACGGATTCGAGGGAGCGTGCATGGTTCGACCGTGAGATTTGTATGTGGAGGAAGGGGCCGACGTGAAGCGTAGATCGTAGATTTTCGTGTCTGGCAGTCCGCTGACAATGACTCGATTGCCATCGGGGAGGGTTGCGAGAGCACTGGCCGCACTGGAGTGCTGCAGTCGGGTTTGACATGCGCCTGCGCGACGGTCGCCTATGGTTACCTTCCCAGTCCTTGCCCCCGCCAGGAAGACATTTTCATCCTTGAAAGTTATTGACCTTTGCTCACTAGAACGACGGGACTCGGTCACCGGTGAATTGGAGTTCAGGTTCGATACCAAATAAACGCCACGGCCAGTAGCCAATGCTATCCAGTCCTTGGAGGGTGAAGATGCCAGACCCCAGATCAGAGTGTCGAAGGTCAGAGTGACCCAAAAGTCGGATTGCCTTCCAGTGTCACGCCCATAGTAACGTGAAAATTCCAGTTGAGACCGGTTGAACCCTGCTGAGCTTCCAATCGTCCAGCAGACTAGGCCGGGAGCAACACAATGAACATAGTCCACTTTCGGCACTCTTCGCACAAGTTCGCAGTTTTTAGAATGATATAGGCAACTTTCAGAATCATTCCCTGAAGAGAGAAACCCGGCATTAGCAAACAGGATGTCTCTGTGTGCTGATGCAGCAGTGTGGCGATGAAGGCCCATCAACAGAGAGACTGGTCGACGCTGTTGACCCCGTAAGTTATCGGAAAAGGCTGTAAACAAGCTGCCTAAATGTTCCTCGACGTCGAAATGTGAAGCTGGTCTTTGTTCCTGCCAGGAATCGAAGGGGGACAAAGCACTAGCTCCTGCCAGGCCAGCGGCATAGTATTCCGCGACAAAGGTACCGGCCCTCTGCAAATTTCCCAGCCTCTTGTCCAAAGCGAGCAAGGGATGTTGTAAGAATTGAGATCTTTTGATGGTGGAGGCATTTTTGGACAGGCGTGCAGACTCTTCACGGCGCTCTGCGTGGTCAATGACTTCTCTCGCGTTGACCGCTTGCCGACTGTAGTCGGATCCAGCAGGGGCATTCTGGTTGGGCTGGATCTTAAAATATCGGTTTCTGTCTTTGTCAAAATAGTATCCGGGTATGTCAATAGTCATGCTGGATACGTCAGACTAAAGACATGAGATCGAGTCTCGGGCTCTGTCCCTCCAAGGGAAAAGGAAAAAAAGAGACAAGAATGATAAGAGAGTGCTGCGCCACAGCTGCAAAGCTGCTTCTTTTTATTTTTATCTTGTCCGTTTTAAAAATCGGGCCAGCCAAATTAAAGGCGAATATTGTACAGCCATGCAGTGTCGGCGCATATCCCAAGGTTGACGAGACATACGAAACGAGGGACAAGTGAATGGTCAACATCGAAGTCGAGTAGAGAAATAGGAGGAAATAGCCGTTCGACTTCTGCCAAGTGCAGCCTGGCAAGATCCCGACTTTTCATGAACATACAACTGTCATGATAACTTTGTGGTTACAATGGCCCTCGTAGAAACATGGATCATATGTCCTGCTCTATCTCATATTCGCTGACTCCCATTCCCCATACGTGGCCCATGCTCACAACCCAGTCTCTCCCAACATTTACTCGCCACTTCTCTTCCCCCGAATCATCACTCCCTCTACCTGTTGTAATGGTGCTGCCAGATAGATTAGATGTTGCACCAGAGCCTGATGCCCATGTGCGTACAACGAGTCTCAATTTCTCCAATTCGCCAAGCTCGCGGTATACACGATCGCTTACACCGCCACCAGGGCGATTGGGAATGCCGCGCGGGTGTATCGCGCGCAAAATTGCGAGGAGACGTTCGAGCGTAAATGGTCGTGGCGTACCAGGATCTCCGTGGACAGAAAATAGAGATCTTGTACGCGAATTGGTCATGGTCGAGGATTCATGGCTCGTCTTCGACGGTGCACCATTTGGTGTAAGAATTGTCTTTTTTTTCGTTGGGGTCTGCCTCAGTCTTCGAATCTTTTTACTTGTCGAACTTGATGTGGAGCTCAGACGAGAGAAGAGAAGAATGTCATGCTTGGGGAAAGTGTGACTCGCGAGATAAGACGATAGTAGGACGAGTGTTGAAAAATGTTTCAGTAAGGGTGGTCGAGTCGGTGCCAACGTCCATTTTGTGGTTAATGACGAGGCCTCTCTGGGCGTTGCAGAAAAGTCCCACTGCCGTGTAGCTCTTTTCGACGGCGTGCTTAACACGCTCAATGATTCTGCCGTAGACTCTAGCTGTGTCAATTCCTCCGTTACCGGTCGACGGGAACAGAGAGACAGCCTGTCGTGGAGCGCCTTTTCACCTTCAGATTGGAACAGCCCACGATTGTGGACAAGTAACTTCGCGAAGTCCCACGACTTGGTTTTTCCTGTGCCAGTGGGGTTTTGGCCTGATACTATTGGTGAGATAAATTGTGGCCAGAGCTTTTCACAAGTTGAGAGAAATGTCTTTATTGATGTCGACGAGGTAGACGAGATTAGCGAGTCGTACACCGTGACGGCAAATTGGGCATACAGTTTCGAGATGTGGTTTTCTTCAATCTGAACAGTCGGGTTGGCCGACTGAATTGAAAGGAGGTGTGTGCTACGGGATGTGACAATGAAGACTGCTTCGGAGCGTGTATAAGGCGGAAAGTGGGTATGAGGAACACCAGCTTTGTGCAGTGGAAGTGGTCTTGGAGAGTTCGAGGTCAATATGACCGACAGTCCTGGGATCTGGTCACCTCATTAGCATCCATTCCCTGCTCGCCATAAAATTCGGGTGATCAAATAGCATACCTGATCTCCCAATCTCGCAAGAGCAGGGATCAACGTCTGGCCAGCCTGTTTCAGTCTGTCTATCTCCTCCAAGACAATCACAAACTTCCCTCCAGAATTTTGCTCAAAAATCCTGCGAAGATTGCCCAGAAGCGCATTGATACTGTCCAATTTATCATACTGTTCGATTTGAGATTCTTGTGCCAAGGCACTGACGCATGCGGCAAATATCTTTGACAGCAAGTGTCTCTGATTGAGGCATTCTCTGCTCTTAATGACCGCATACTGTATCCCACTCTTTTCTAACACATTGACTATCACTTCTGTTTTGTCTGTATATTCGAGACCGTAGGCAACTAAGACGGGAGGACTAGGAAAAACACCCTGTTGATCTGCTGTTAGAGAGACCATACGCGAACAGGTCTCCTCGGTCTAACTCACATTGTAAATCGAAGCCAGCTGCCGAATCTGGGACTCTCGACAGGGGCACTGTTGTAAGATCAAATCTAGTATTCCCGGAGGGAAGAGAGCAGTCATGGCTATCGCTCAAGTTCTGTGGGGGAAGGTTGAAATTATGAAAATCACTTAACGCGAGACGCGTCCGCAGCTTTTCTTCGTCCGACTGAACGGCCTCCAAGCGCAGTTCATCTTTTGTCTCGTCTCGCACTACCCACGAGGCTGTACATGAAAAGGAGAAAAAATCTCTCCCGATCAAATGTAAGAGCTGGTGGGGCAGCTTGACTATGTCGCAGGCTGACTACGTGTCCAGTAGATTTCATGGGGTCACGCGGAAGAGTGTGATGGTTGTAGGTTTCGCGTGCGCAGTCAGAGGGAAGGAATACGGGAGCATCTAAGATACATTTGTGTCTAGCTATGCAATCTAGCCTTCGACTGATGGTACAGACTCTGCGCTCCATCATTGGGATGTAGCCAAGAGTCACCTTGCATGTAAGTACATGACCAATCCTCCACGGCAAAAGACAACCATTCTTTCTAAAGGAGCACAACCTTTTGGGTTAAGCTCGCCATTCCATGTCAATGCTCGTCAGTACATGATGGCTTTGCCGATATCATGATTGGATGTAATATTTTTTGAGTTTTTCTCAGGATAAAACAAACTCCCAGCTGTGGACAGTGTAAAGAAAAAGGAGGGGGAAAAAAAAGAAAAGTGTTGTCAAGCAAACCATCATTCATGCATGAGTCCTTGGTTTTCTGAAAACCCTCGAACTCAGAATGAGCCCCTTATCTCCTGCCAGACTGATGCTGGTCCGATAGCTAGCCTTGAGCATAATACAATGGGTGGGCCGTGAGTGTTTGTCGTCAAAATTTTGCGAGGCTTTTTTGTGGAATTGGTACAGTCGTGAGAGACGCAACGTGAAGATAGAGCGACAAAAACGCCGCAGATCTATGACAGCGTACCAAAAAAGAAAAAGAAAAGATGAAAATTCATCATGTCGTGACTCATAATTGCATCTGGAGCCAATTTGCTGGGAGTTGAATCATCAAAGGACATTGTTGGAGCTTGCGCCTGACCTGTTGATGTACCCAGTATAGCCATTCTGACCAAGCTCATTTGCATAGGGTGCGTTGTACATGTTGACCGTGGAATCATTAGAGTTGGTGGTCATGTGGTGCATCATACCATAGCCGTTGCCATTGGAAGGAATAGTCTCAGTGGACATGTCCCCCGTGTCATAACCATTTGGAGTCCGAACGTTGAAGCCGCCACCGACAATCTGGACAGCGCGACGATTGCTTCTCGTGAGGAGAGCATCGTTCGAAGTCAATGGACCATTGGACCGAACTTGAGCATCGTTACTCAAAATCTTGCTTGCAATGCGTCGACCATGAGGAGTCTGCTTGATCAGTGGGAGAATAGGACGGATCGCATCGACAAGACGAATCTTGGTTGGTGGATCGGCAAATTCCATTGCAGTCTGGACAACATAGTTGGCAAATGAGTCTCGAAGCATCTTTTCCAACTCGTTGCCCCGAAGCATCTCGTCAATCATGGCTTCCTTGGTTTCGGAATCGGCGGTACGCAGGCACTTTTCAATGACATTGGAGCTGAATTTCTGTTTGGACAATGCTGGGACGCGGCCGAAGAAGCTCTCACAGAGTGGTTTGGTGAATGCCGCTTCGTCGAGATCGAGAATGTATTGGACGACATAATTGCCAAAAGGATCTTGGACGAGATCGAAAGCGCAATGAGTAATTCGAGCGATGAGTTGAGCCCGCTGAAAGCCTTGGGCATGGTCGATACAGCGCTGAAGAACGCAGCATCCATGACGATGAGTACCGACCACCACGCAGTATTTGCCAACGGCATCGTAGATGAACTGAGAGCGCTCGGCGCCAAGACGAGTGAGACACTTCTGAACGACGTGATTACCGTTGAGATCCTGAACAAGCTCAACAACGCGTCCAGACAATGCTTGGATAATCGTATCGACCTGCTCCGGGGTGTGAACGAACTCAATCATCTTCTGGAGAGCACGGGTCCCGTGTTGATTGAGTGCAATGGTGGTCAGAGCCGGTGAGGCCGTGTTGATCAAGGTGGTACGTTGTTCCTCGTTGCAATGCTCAAAAAGCTTCTGGCAGAGGTAGTTGCCGAATGGATCGGTCATCAGTTCGATGATGTGAGGACAAGTTTCGACAAAGATAGCCTGGGCGTGGTCCTCATCACCATCTTCAAGCTTGCGCTGGAGATATCGGCAACCATGTTGATCCTTGCAAAGCTCATAGAGACTGCCACGATAAGTCTCAAGCGGAACATTGTTGAATCGGGCTTCGTCACCGTGATTGCGACGGCCAGTGCCAGCACGAGGAGGTGGAGCATTGTAACCACTGTTCATCCCAAAGACACCTTGGTTCTGACCATATGCACCAGCAGATCCACCAACCGGAGCCTGAGGATTCATCTGGTTGACGTTGTAGCTTTGCATATTGTAGACATATGGCTGCGCAGGAGGGTAGGCCGCAGGAAGGCTCGTCATGTTCGTCAAGTTCGGATCGGACGCCGCTGAGTAGGTGGAGCTGAATGGTGCTGCACTGGCGTGGAGATTCGACATTGGTGGGGCAGAGGAAATGGCCTTGTCCTCAACCTTGGCGGCTCCGTTGATGATCTCTCGGCTCTGACGATTATTCATGGCGTTTGCAGGAATGCGTCCCAGGCTGACGTTGTGGTTATGGAATTGCTGTTCGGCCTGCGTCTTGGGAGGGGTCGGGATGGAATCCAGAGTCAAGGACTTCTTCACAGTAGGAACGTCGTTGCTTGAATAGGATGTTTGGAGGGAAGTGGGACGTGAGACGGTCAAGTTGGACGGTAGAGGTGAGTTGTCTTCAAAAGTAACTCCCAGAGAATGACGTTGTGATTTGCGACGCGTCAGATCCGCCGGTCGATCCGCTGGTGGGCTACTGATGTTGAGATTGCTGAGGACAGGTCGGTACATGGAGGAATCGGTGTGGGGCATGCTCTGATGAGCCGGTCTGTACCGTGATCCCAGGGTCCAGTCAAGATCCGGGGTTCTTGAATTTGCCAGATCCAGAGCAGCAGAGTTGGCGGAAAGCTATGAACGAATGAGTGAGCTCAAGTTTGGGGGGAAAAGAGAAGTTCCAGGTCATACCTTGAGACCGTCACTGGTCAAAGTGGGAAACGTATCATCGCCTTCAAGCTGGGCAAAGGCCTTTGCGACAGGAGACTTCAGGTCGATTGCGTTGAGAGAAAGGTGCTTGTCGTCGTCCTCATCAAAGAGGAAGCTGGTAGTATTGGTTGGACTGAATGAGCTGGGAGCAGCACCACTGAGACTTAGGCGCTGGGGATGGCGACTACTGTTGACGGGCATAGAAAAACGATTCAGTCTTGACGTCAAGAAGGTTAGCGAACTGTTGTGGGGAGATGAATAAAGAGTGAGGGCAGGGAAAAAAAAAAAAAAAATATCCCCGTGTTGAGAAAAGATGTGGGTGAAGATCCCGTGACTGTGTGACTGATCACGTGCCGAGTCATCACGGCGACAAGATCTGAAAAAATAGTGAAGACAAAGGTTCGGCTATTTGGAGGGGAAGGGGGGACTTACGTGGCAGCAGCGCGTGTAGTAGGCAGGTCTTCCGGATAGTACTCGTCTTCGTCCGATCCTCGACGAGAACCAGGGACGGATTTGGCACTTGGCTTCTGAGATTGGCTGTAGATGCCGTTGCCCGAAAGACGATTGCCGGGAGGTGAGGTGATCTGAGAGCTGGACTGTGACATGCGCTTGCTGAGACCGGGAGGGGAAATGACGCTGTTGACTGAGAGTCGACTGGAGCGCGAGAAACGATGGCTGAATCCGCTTTCGGCATACTCTGGCGGAGTGGTCGGCTCGCTGACAGGTCCGTTGAGGCTGATGCGATTCAGTCGGGTAGAGATCCGCTCGAGATCTTGAGAATTTGCTCCCATCTGCAAGCTTCGTTCCTGCAGCTCCAAGAGTCGCAATTGCTCCTCTGCCTTGCGCTTTGCGCTTTGAATGTCGTCGTACATCTGCTTATTCTTCACCTGCTTTGGATTGTAATCAGTCTCCATGATGAGCTCAAATCTGCGCAAAGGGTAGAAATGTGACAGGAGATCGGCTGATCTAAGTCGGGGGTAGAGATAAGGGTTCGACTGCGGTATTCACTTCACAACTGATTTTGACACCCCATAATAGGGCCATTGTCTTTCCCCCACGAATCAATGGGGTTACACAGGAGTATGTGACGTACCGCAGTCGGGTTTATTGAATTGTACTGTTGTCCGAATGGTCGGGCTACAGGCATCTTGCTCGAATCAGTCGTGAAGCGACGTTGGAGGCTCGCGCGGGCGTCGTTGGACGAGGTATGTATATTGGAGAAAAATGGATTTTGGTCTCTCGTCGAGGACGCATTCGAATTGAATGGGCTTTCGGTGTCAGGGGATCGCAAACTTGGGAATCGCAGTTCTTCCATGCGGCCACTGAGCGTGTTTGAAAATGCCATGGTGGAGGTCTACATATTGTCCACATTGTCAGCGAACGAGCATGACGATGGATCGCCACAGCACCGATGTCGAGGCCAGAAAATTCGTGGATGGGAGGAAGTAATGTGACCTTGGAATCGGGCAGTCTGCTTTGAGCCCGGGCACTAGGCAAAGGGCAGATGCATCTCTGGTAACCGTGCGTCGTCTGTGGCTCGACGTGACGAGAAAAGCATACATACCTAAAGGTGGAAAATTATCCTCAGCAAAACCGCAACCCCTTTGTCGATCCAAGGACGTGTCCTGAGTCTTGTATTTGAAATGGATGCCGTAGCAAACGTTCGTTGCGCGTGGTCCAAGAGCGTCCAAAGGGAGTGAGAAAATAAAATGCAGCAACGCTGCATGTGCGCCCGGGGCAGCACGGCAGCTGAGATATGCTATAATGACAGTGATAGAAAGGAAACCAGATCCGGAAGAAAAGAAAGAATGTGTTAATGTTACAAGTTGTGCAGGTTGGTGGGAGGAGAGACTTCAGAAACGGAATCGAATCTGGAGAGTAGCAATGGAGGTTGGACTCGACTCTGTGCTTGGGGGGCTTTTTGGTGGTCGCTTTAGGCAAGCGCCAGAACCGGCGTGGGTAGCGGGCCTAGACGAGTTCATTAGTTGGGTTGAACCAGTTGTGGCATAGGCCTTTTGGGCTGGGAACTTGTCTCGGCCACTAACTAACTGCACACTGGTACTGGACCCTCCCTCTGATTAGTCTTGAACTAATCCCAGCAACCAGGGATCAAGGCACCAGGACCGAGGGACAAGGGGTCGGGTCGAAAATCGAGGTCGAGGTCGTGGTCCAAAGCTGAAGTCGGGAGTTCGAGGTCTGATCGAGATTCGACGATTAGCATTAGCCCTGAAATCCCCTTAACAATGGTGATCTTTACCTTCAAGCGGGTTTTGAAACAGCCAGAAGAGTTTGTTAGATGCGTCGTGTAACTTGCAGGTTGAGGCTGCTCCAATTCGTTCTACGCCAAACCCCTGGAAGCATCTCTTAAGGCACAGAGGATACAGAACTCCGTATGCTTTCGCCGTTCTTGGTGGGCTGATGTGATGGCCAGCATTCGCCGCTCGGCATCAGGCCCACGGGACATGGAAAAGAAAAAAAGAAAAAGAGACGGAGGTGCGAACAGGTCATAGGCACGAAAACGCCTCCTCAGTCTCCTCAGTCTCCTCAGTACTCCAGCTCGGGGACTTCGACCCTGCAGAGCCACTCGCAAGCGATTGCTGGATGCTAGATGGTGGCCATGGTTGAGTGAGTCCTCGTCAAATGGCCACGCATATCATGGCTGTGCCAATAGGATGAATTCTTCACTGAACATCACGGACATGGTTCTCATTGCTCCTTCGAGGATCATTGCTCGTCAGACAAAATGCCAGTGGTGTGGGGAAAGGGCTCTCCTGGGATTTGGTGGGTGTCTTTGGCTCTCTAACCTCAATTAGCAGCCATAGGCTCAGGCAAAAAGGCGGTCAAGAAGGAGGAAATAAAGGATCCGTTCCTAGCGGCGAGCCTTTTAAACTTGGAGGACCTTCCAGTCAACTGACTGTCAAACTGAGGATCCAGCAATCAAGATCAGAGTCATATGTTCTTGTCTGGCGCTGCCGTCGATAGAATATGTTTGGGCTGGCGAGCTCTGTTGCCCGCCCGATCTGCATGGCGCAATCCAGTCCAGTCCTGGCTTTTTGATTTCTTGGAGATGTTCCCCACAACTTAGGCCGCTGGCAACTTTTGGAGTGGGGGAGAGGGAGGCCACCACATTTTTCCACCTGATTAGACACATGGGACAAACACATCGTGAGAAGCGACCACAGGGTTTTCCCGACACGAGTATTCCGTACTCCATACTCCGTATAAGACACATGATGTGGGAGTGAAGGTGTGTATGGCTATGGTCGGTGCTCATTCTGCTATGGCTCCTTTAGCTGCATAGTCTTAGGAATCCTGGCCAAAGAGACCCCGTTTGATTCTCTGCCGAAGATACGCCTGCCGCGAAATTCCACCCGATTAAGGAACAGGCCGATGCGGAATGATATCGCCAGTTGACCCTGCATCTCTGCCCGCCCATCTCTTCTCTCGAAGCTGTGGCCGCCACAATTCGAGGTATGAGAAAGAAATTTGATTATCTCTCTTGGATCTATAAGCCACCCGCACCGTGGGCTAAGCAAATGCATGTCATTGTGAGGACAATTGCTGAGCATCCGACAAGAATAGGGAACAATGCGCAATTGGTGGCAGGCCAGAGAGAGCATCCAAGCTAGAGCCTCGTTGGGCTTTACGCAAGGCCTACGCGTCGGGCTCCCAAGCTGATTCAGGGATGGGACGGGGGGGGTAACCATTGTGCCCCCTTGCCGGTGGTGCATTCCCCTGCATAAAAAAAAAGCATGAGCAACCAGCCCCGCCAAACTTACATTCTCCGAAGACAGCCGGCTTTCTCCTTCTCTGCTGTTCTGATTTCCGTAAGACAGGCTTTGGGGGGAGAATTGTGTTTCAGAATCGACAAGCCTGAAAAGTTGACATTATTGGTTATCTTCTTTGTCTCCCATAGCTTACCTTGTCCTTTACTGTGCGATTTCACAGCCACGGCCCTGAGTAGGTTGGCCAGGTACCTCGCATTCATTCCATCACGTGAGCGGCTCTCGCCATACCTGCCTCCTTCTTCCCCTCATGCTTCACCGCCTGCCGAAAAGAATTGCTGCGTTAGTCATTCCGATGCGGCAGAATTTTTGTTTCGCAGTCACCCACCTTCCAAGCCGAATACACAATTCTTAGAAGAATCCGTCTCAGTGCCACTATACCGCCGCAAGTTGGAAGGTTGATCTTGCAGGAGGTTGATCCCATGCACTCTTTGTGACCGAACTTTCCCCTTGCATGATAAGCCTCAATGCCGCCAAAGAGGAGGGCGGTTCCGAAGGTGGTATTTTGAGAATATTCCAAAGGTGCTGCTTCGGGACACTGATATCTAACAGAGACCTGCCCCTCGTAAGGCACCCGCGAGAGGTGGTCCCATCAATGAACCTTCCACGGTCGGGGATGCTGTTCCGGGTCGCTCTGCGAGGGATGACGCTAGGCAAAACCGCCGAACCCATCACCATGCCGACAACTTTGATGCCGCTCTCGAACCGTTCTACTACGATAAATCTCTGACCGATCCGATCGATACTGCCCGTGATAAATGGAACCTTCTCCCCGCATTCCTCAAGGTCAAAGGACTGGTCAAACAACATATCGAATCCTTCAATCACTTTGTCGAAGTCGAACTGAAGAAGATTATCGATGCTGAACCGGTGATAACAAGCGACATCGATCCGGACTTCTACATCAAATACCAGAACATCTATGTTGGGAAACCGCGACGATACGATGAGCAGTGGATGGGAGATGTGCGAGATTCCAAGGATGAATCCACCGTGACCCCGAATGAGTGTCGGCTGCGGGACATGACATATGCTGCTCCCATCCTCGTGGACGTTCAGTACACCAAATCAAAGACGGCCTATCGAAGAAAGGGAATGCCAATCGGCCGCTTGCCGATTATGCTGAGGAGCTCCAGATGTGTTCTGGCCAACAAGACCGAAGCAGAAATGTGCGCCATGGACGAATGCCCACTCGATCCTGGCGGATATTTCATCGTCAACGGAACGGAGAAGGTGATTCTGGTCCAGGAGCAACTCAGCAAGAATCGAATCATCGTCGAGGCCGACCCGAAAAAGGACATGATCACGGCCTCCGTCACCAGTTCCACTCACGCCAGAAAATCGAAGAGTTATATCGTCCTCAAAAAGGACTTACTCTATATGAGGCACAATATTCTGAATGAAGACGTGCCGGTCTGTATTCTATTGAAAGCAATGGGAGTGACCTCAGACATGGACATGATGGCGATTGTTGCGGGACCGGATGGCACCTTACAAGACGACTTCGCCATCAACTTCGAAGAAACGGTCAAATATCAGATTCATACGCAGCAACAGGCCTTGGACTATCTTGGAGCTCGGATAAAAATTACCCGCAAACCCACCCCCTTTGGACAATCGCGCAGGAACTATGTCCAGGAAGCATTGGAGGCCATCAGTGGCGTCTTCATTGCGCACGTCCCGATTGAAAATCTCGACTTCCGACCCAAGGCTCTATATGTGGCACACATGGCTCGACGCGTTCTCATGGCCAAGCGGAATCCTGCTCTTGTCGATGACAGAGACTATGTCGGCAACAAACGGTTGGAGTTGGCAGGGCAATTGCTCTCTCTCCTTTTTGAGGACTTGTTCAAGAAATACAACTACGACATCAAGATGAACATGGACAAAGTTCTGCGAAAACCTAATCGAACTGAAATGGCGGATCCCTGTGTCATCATGATGGGTCACGCCAATCACATCACCCAAGGAATGAATAGAGCCATTGCCACGGGGAACTGGAATTTGAAACGTTTCCGAATGGACCGGGCCGGTGTCACCCATCTACTAAGCCGGTTGAGTTTTATTGCCTCTCTCGGTATGATGACTCGCATATCAAGTCAATTTGAGAAGACTCGCAAGGTCAGTGGGCCGAGAGCCCTTCAGCCATCGTCTTTCGGTATGCTTTGCCCGGCCGACACGCCCGAAGGTGAAGCTTGCGGGTTGGTCAAAAATCTCGCCCTCATGACACACATCACGACCGATGACGAAGAGGCGCCCATCAAGCGGCTTATTTTCATACTCGGAGCGGAAGATATCGTCACCGTCGGTGGATTCGAACTCTACGCTCCCGGATCGTATCTGGTCCTCTTGAATGGTACCCCCGTCGCCACCACCAAAACCCCGTCCATTTTCCTGGCCTCGTTCCGACGTCTACGCCGATCAGGACGTATTTCTGAGTTTGTGTCGATCTTCATCAATCATCATCAGAGTACCATTCACGTGGCCACTGATGAAGGTCGAATCTGCCGGCCGCTTATCATCGTCGACGACAAGAAATCTAAAGTCACCAAGAGATATCTCAAGTCCCTCAGACAGGGGTCCATGGACTTTGATGACTTCTTGGCCCGCGGCCTGGTTGAATATCTGGATGTCAACGAAGAAAACGACAGCAACATTGCAATGTATGAGTCCGACATCGATGCCACCACAACTCATTTGGAAATTGAGCCCTTTACCATCCTAGGTGCAGTCGCCGGATTAATCCCCTACCCTCATCACAATCAATCTCCGCGAAACACTTATCAGTGTGCGATGGGTAAGCAAGCTATCGGATTCATCGCGAATAATCAGTTCCTGAGGATTGATACATTGCTTTACCTCATGGTCTACCCTCAAAAGCCACTCGTGAAGACCAGAACCATCGAACTAGTCAAGTATGACAAACTCCCGGCCGGACAGAATGCCACAGTGGCCGTCATGTCGTACAGCGGCTACGATATTGAGGATGCCCTGGTGCTTAACAAGGCATCAATTGATCGTGGCTTTGGTCGTTGTCAGGTTCTCCGAAAATATCCAGTGAGCTTGAAACTTTATGCCAATGGTACCAAAGACACAATCGAAGCACCTACCAAGGAGAATGATATTCCCATCAAAGCACATGCCTTGCTTGATGATGATGGAATTGCATGTGTCGGTGCCAAAGTCAGCCAAGGCGAAGTGTACGTCAACAAGTATGTGCCTGAAAATGCCAATTCTTCTGGCCTGTCAGATACGGGCTCCAACAGCCTGGGAACTGCTCTGATACCTCAGTCACAAAAGTACCGTCTACCCGACCCAAGTTATATCGACAAAGTGATGGTATCAGAGGTCGAGTCGGGGAATCAACTCGTCAAGGTTCAGACACGTCAGACCAGGGTTCCGGAGGTGGGGGACAAATTTTCCTCCAGGCACGGGCAAAAAGGGGTCGTGGGAATTATTGCCGAACAAGTGGACATGCCGTTCTCCGATCTGGGTATAACGCCCGACATCATCATGAATCCCCATGGTTTTCCGTCTCGAATGACTGTTGGCAAGATGCTGGAGCTTGTTTCCGGCAAAGCCGGCGTCCTCAAAGGAAAATTCGAGTATGGAACTGCCTTTGGAGGCAGTAAGTTGGAAGACATGTCCCGAGCACTCATCGAAGCAGGTTACAGTTACGACGGCAAGGACTATCTTACATCCGGGATCACGGGTGAACCTCTCCCGGCCTACGTCTTCACAGGCCCTATCTATTATCAGAAGCTGAAGCACATGGTCCAAGACAAAATGCACAGCCGTTCTCGAGGGCCACGAGCCATCCTCACACGCCAGCCAACGGAAGGTCGATCAAGGGATGGAGGCCTCCGGCTGGGGGAAATGGAGCGAGATTGCCTCATTGCCTATGGTGCATCACAATTGCTGCGGGAGCGCCTGATGCTGTCAAGTGACAAGCATGAAGTCGACATCTGCGAGGCTTGCGGATTCATGGCATTTGGACGGTGGTGTCAACGATGCAGCACCGCAGGTGAAACTGGATCCAATGTTGTCAGAATGACGCTGCCGTATGCATTCAAACTGTTGCTCAATGAGCTTAGCAGTATGAATGTCAATGCAAAGTTGATCGTCTCGGATGAGTTTCCTTCTGATGGATCTAGGAGGGCATGATGTCGGCCATGCATGGGATGAATGTACAATGAGGCATCCAGGGCTTTTCCGAATGCGGTGACGGAATTGAACTTATTTCAGACTCACGAGCAACAATGGTGAGACGTGTTTGGGAAAGAGGAAACGGAAACGAATGTGAGTGAGATGAAATGGTATGATTTGACATGGACATGGGCATGGAACATTGGTGTGGTGAATTCCCTTTGGCATGATACGCATCAGATTGCATCAGCGACGGAGCTTCGTATCTTGATTTCTGGTCTTCATGACCCCTTGGCGAGGGAAATCCTACACAAATTCGTAGGTGCCGCCGTTGCTAAAGGTATAGATGGATGTACATCAGCCAGATCATAGCCTCGTAAGAAGACAATTAAAGTTCATGAAAGGTTGATATGCGAGATTCAAAAATTGCGGAGGAGAAACTCGGCCTTGGGTTGTTCATCGGAAGGTAATATAATAACTACATTTGTAACCAAATCTCATGGACGCCTTTTTTCGCACCCGATGTACCAATTATATGGAAGTGTCTCTTCTCAAGGCCACCCAACTTCCCGTCCATTACTCCTTGTCTTCAGAATCCTGGAACCGCTAATCATTGTTGTCGTCAGCGTGCGAATTCAGTTTGTGCCAATCGATTCGAGCTGTGAACTACGAAGCTGGGATCACACCGTCCTTGGCCATCGAAAGTTTCAGCCGCGGAATGTCCAGGTTAGCGAACCCGAACCAGACCAGGATGTCGAGGACACGGTCCACAAGACGAAAGCCCGCGTCCCCATGAGGCACGTAGTTGATTTCATGGTCTTTGTAGTGTAGGTTTTTTGGGCAGGAGAGGAGGCGAGGTGGCATCCCGAACATCATCGCCATTGGCAATATGGGCTTCTCTTTGTGTGCACAGGGCACAGCGTTCTGCTTGACATAGATCACGTAGAATCTCATCGAAAAGATCTAGTTGGCTGGGGCAATTGGCAGGATGGGAGTCGAGGCAGTGGTGGATGAAAAGGCGGAGGCGGCCACTGTAGCCACCGGCTTTTTGCTGAGGACTTTGGGAGATTTGGTGGTAGCCATTATCTTTGAATCTTTTCAATGTCTTTACGTGGATCCTGTCGAAGGGCCGGCCTTTGCCAAGCGTGACGATGGCAAACATTGTGGCGCCGACGCCGTAGATCTAAAAACTTTCTTAATGATTCCTTTTTCTCTAGGGTGCCGGTGCAAGGATGGATGTTCTTACGAGGGCAAGGCGAGAGGTAAGAGAGGATATATAGCACTTCCATTCGCTTACATAGTTCAGAGCAACATTCCCATGAACAGGTTTTGGAGCGTGATGTTCTCTTTGTTTGATCTTTGCTCATTTCCAGTCGAGGAGTCTGCCTTTCCAAGCGTGAATTCGGATGATGGCCCCGTGGGGTGGAATGTTCCCAGTCCACGCTGTCGAACATTTATTCCTGTAGAGTATTATTGTCAGCTTTTTTATTTAGTGATGTTGAGGACAATACAAGATATTTGGAAATTCTTACCGTTGGCTTGTATGCTCTGATACTTCGACACCAATATTCAGCGGGATTTCTCTCGTCCTCGACGTGAGCATAATCTGCCGTGCCATAGCCTGATACTTTGAGTATCGGGCAGTCATGTTCTGTATTCTCGTGTACATATCAAGCTGAACATTGCTGGGTCTCTGGTTCAAATGGAGATAGGAAGAGTTGGGTGTGTTGAATTTGAAAATACACACTGGCGTCCTCTACCACGTCGTTCCTCAGGACGTCGCCAAACAATGGCGAGATGTTTCGTCGATCAAATCCTAGGGGCGTTTCCATCGCTTCGGCCAGATGGAGGAGAGACGTATGTTGGGAGGTCTGGGCAGGTCCTGACCGGCCCCTTTACGCTCTGGCCCCTTCCAACCGCCTTTTCATCGTCCTGTGTGCTGTCTGGGACCGACTCCCTAATCGCCACCTCTTCCTTTGCCACGATATCAAGTGACTCAAGGCCAAGGTAGTCACCTATCTCTCCTGCTCAAGACTCTCCGGAGTATCTCGCGCTCGAGCCTGAGAATCGATCCGCTGCATCTCGGCACAGCCCTTTGACTCGTGGAGATAGTCATCCATCTCCTTCATGCACTCCCAGAACAGGCCCTCCTTCATCGGATCAGCATCTTCCATCTTTTCGTTGTCGTCATTTTCGCCAAGCAACTCAGTCACGAATGCGTTCATGTCAGACGATTTATCTGAGTATAAGATTTCACGCAGCTTAAGCACGCAATTGAGAAACCGTTTATCTTCGAGATATGGGCGCTCAAAGCACTTAATCATCCACTTCTTGAATCCTTGCGGGTTATTGAGCCAATTCTCCTTAGCAGTTACAATCTCGATCGCAGCCCTCTTCCTGTCGAGCATCATAATAGCGAGAGGCTTGGCCAGAAAGGCGGATTCGTTGAAAGGATTGAGTGTGGCCATCCAGATGATGACTGCGAAGAATGATTCCATATCATGACCCAACGTTCGTCGAGGGATTTGCTCGTCTTCAAGGAGAACTGGTGCCATGAAAGCAGGAGTGCCGCTCCTAAAAGATCGGTCAGATGACTTTCCTCGAGAGTTAAAGCATAAATTCCAGTCAATCAACGTGCCCCTCCGATCCTTATACGTAAGGCCACCGGTGAGAACACTAGTTTCCATAGGAACCACGATGTTCTCGAGAGAGATGTCTGTGTAGATTGTGTATTAGTACCCAGCACACAAAACGTTCGAAAAATCGCTTACCGCCATGGAGGAACCCAGACTTCGGAAGTTTGTACACCTCATAATATACGATCAGGGCGTCACGTATGATATGGATGAGCGATTCGGGGCCGCCATATCGCATGGCTTCCTTCAACGGCGTACAGTACGACATCAACACTCGGGTTAGACGCCTGCGGACCTCGAGAGGTTCGTTGAATTGTTGTCTCCGAGTTCTGACTCGGCCCAAGTAAGGATCGTCCACATTCGCACCGGGAGCCAAGGGCTTCGAGGTGTGACTGGAAACGAAGCTTGACTGCATCTTGGCCATGAAGTTCGTAGTTGATGCCGTGAATGCAACCCCACAATTTTCAGGGAAGGGGCGTGTTTCTACCTCCAAGTTGCGGTCGTCTCTCACTATCGCACTCTCCAAGTCATAGGGCTGCGGAAGACCCCTGACGTGTGCGTTAAGAAGAACTTGGAGAACCTCCACCTCCGACGGCGGCGATGATCCTAGAGGAAGTTTCTCTTCCCAGGTGCTTTTCATAACCATCATCATGGGAAATTTGGCAGCTTGTTCCTCCACCAGGGCGACTCGGACATTCCTCCCGACAAGACAAGGTCGGTAACAAAGCCGACCGTTAGGTAGTTCAGTCCATAATTTCCCTGCGTGGTAAACTTGTACTCCGTCTACTTGGTCAACGGTCGGATCCCTTCCACGGAGTCCTGGATTTGCTATGAAACCGGTAAGAAATTCTCCTAGGAATCGAGCATGCTCAATATTCTTCCCGAAATAGAGAGGCTCCGAGTATACGGCGCAGCCGTGATCTGCATAGCAGACATAGGCAGAGGGCTGTATGAACATGATCCCATAGAGGTGACGACGGAAAGCTTGATGACGGAACACGCGCCAGGCGCCGCGTAGCCATTGCGAGAATTTCTGGGTGACCGCTTCTGGGGAGTGGCTCCGTGTATGCTCGAACAGAAGGTCCACATCTGCCCATCCAGGAGAGTCTTCACCGACATGGAGGACGAAATCGGGTTGAGAAGGTACCTCCTTACCCCGGCAGCGTCATCGTACCGCTGTAGAATAGCTTGAGGTCAGAAAGAACCTGTTCAGCAAGTCAGCAGAGCACTGAGAGGTGTGTAAAGCGCGCCTGGAACAATAGACCTCGTCAGAAAGATAGTGACGCAATCGACCCTAGAATATTCCCTCCTCCCAATTCCCTTGACCAACATTTTGTAGAGATTCGACGTCAAGCCTCTGTTGTGCCTCTTCGTCGAAGTCACAAAGATATATCGAACAGAATGTGTCCCAGGGGATATTCTTCCTCGTTACTCCACGGGCTTCAGCCGCCATCCGTGTTTCCATGTCCGCAGCGTATATTGCGCTCCCGGTGTTTATCAAGCCGGTATGATAGGCCGCACGCTTAGTGACGAGTGTTCGTTGGATTGACGAGTAGACGATGTCAGCAACTTCATCCGCAGGTGGTGAAGCAGTCGTCTTGCGGATCTTCCTGGTGGGGGGAAGAAATCTCTGTGAGTTGACGCTCTCCACTTTTTGGTAACATGGTTCACCGCGCCACCGATGTCGATCGCTTCCATACTATTGTTTTCTGCCTCATGGGGTGGGCGTGGTCTAGATTTATCATTTATCGAGGGAGCGGCCTCTGCTAGAGCGTATAGTTAGTGGTAGTAGCTTCAAATCTAGACGCGAGGGAAATACTTGCCCATGAAGTCGAATTCTCGTGAGAGAACGGCCGCTCGCTATTGCCAAGAGAGCGAAGCGATCAAAGAATTTTTAAGCTTGCAGTTAGGAAATGAGAAGCCTCGCGTTGAAGGATGATGGGTGTTGCGCTGTGTCTCAGGAGCATGGTCCAAACTTGAGAGCCAGGTGCCTTTTCAATCCGCAGAGCAGACCATCACGTGTCAAAGCCATTACCAAAAAAGGTATGGCGAGAATTCCTCTTCCGCGACAGCGGGGTGAATTTTGACCATGAATCAGTCATATAAATGACCCAGAGAATGGAATAGGCTGGTTTCAACCTCGTCTGCCTCAGGAACAGCCTCTCAGGCATCTCTCCCATCTGTAAGCCCTCGATTCGACCTGACTAACGACCAATATGTCTTCTCCAGAAAAAGGAACCCGCCTTGCAACTGACTTACCTCTTCCTACCCATGTCAGTCAATCGCATGGTACACTCGCCGACCTCCTCCCTTCTCATTTCACGACCGACATAACAGCCTGGCTCGCCGAAGACACCCCTTCATTCGACTACGGAGGCTTCGTGGTTGGCTCGTCGCCACGAATAGCCCGACTCCTCTGTAAATCCACCGGCGTGCTCGCAGGAGTACCCTTCTTCAATGAAGTCTTCCGCCAACTAGAATGCGCCGTTGAATGGCACTATCCCGAAGGCACATACCTCGACCCTAAGTCATCTGGGGGGAAAATCAACGTCGCCACCGTCAAAGGACCCACACGCAAACTACTGCTCGGGGAACGAGTGGCGTTGAACACTCTCGCCCGATGCTCCGGCGTCGCTACGCGGAGTCGCAAGATGCTCGAACTGGTGCGCGAGGCAGGATACAAGGGCACCCTCGCTGGCACGAGAAAAACAACGCCGGGTTTCCGACTGGTTGAGAAGTATGGCATGCTCGTCGGCGGTATTGACGGACATCGACATGATCTCAGCAGCATGATCATGCTGAAAGACAACCATGTCTGGGCCAAAGGGAGTATCACCAATGCCGTCAAGGCAGCACGTGCCGTGGGCGGGTTTGCCCTGAAGATCGAAGTCGAAGTCCAAACTGAAGCGGAAGCGGACGAGGCTATCCAAGCCGGGGCCGATGTTGTTATGCTCGATAATTTTGACGGCGAAGGTCTCAAAGTCGCCGCCAGGAGCTTGAAGGACCGGTGGCGAGGGAAAAGGCAGGTGTTGCTGGAGAGTAGCGGTGGACTCACGGAGGCGAATATTCAGGAGTATATTAATAACGGTAAGTTGATGATTCCTAGTCTTACCCCGGTTTCCGGTTTTCGTTGAAAGAATACCTCACGAAAAAGGGAGGCTCGTGTTACATCATACATGCTGCATTTTGTTTTCCAGCTCCAGCCAACTGATACCCATATCACAGATATTGATATAATATCCACCAGCGCCGTTCACCAGGGCGTTCCCCACGTGGATTTCTCCTTGAAGATTGACCACTAGCTCAGCATCTTGATCAACTTCCTTCCGGTCATGGTCCTTTTTGGCCTCCAATTTGGATTCCGTCCCAAACTCTCTCCTTTCCCTCCCTTCTTACATTTTGCTCTTGCCGCACCAATCTCCCTCTCCTCCTCCCGTCCGCCTCGCAAGTGACTTTGATTCGAATTGAAGGTATAGCATCTACTGCACCTTCCCCGCCCAGTGGGCCGTTCTTCTCATTTCTAACACCCACCCGTACCACGCCCCAAGCAAATGCGCCCCGAAAACCACGATCTGGGGACTCCCCTCCCCATATTCTGGATCCATCCATTTGGTCCCCGGATACAATATCGCCGAGAATCCCGTGACCCAATATAAACTAGCCATCACCACCGCGACGTTCACGTTGTCTTTCGCAGCGGCAAGATCCCGCGCAGGACGCCAGAGGAAATACGCTGTCAACGCGCCTAAGCAGAGGCCCATGGACATAGTTTGACCGTTATGGAAGCGGGCGTGAGGGGGCCACCGCGGGTTTTTCACATGTGTTTCGTTCCAGTCGGCCAGGTAGCAGGAGACGGAGGTCGAAAGGGCGACGAGGCTGAGGAAGAAGCGGCCGGCTGTCAAGCTTGGTGTCAATGCCGTAGTCGACATTTGGAGAGGTAGTTTTCTTGATCGGTTGGCCAATTGACTAGTCGGTTATGTCGTCGGTCTTTGCTTGAGACACAGGACTTCGTTTGGCCTCGAAGATGAAAGATAGAACTTTGCCGGTTGTGCGTGCCGATAATCGGAGTCCGGAGATTCTGGGTCAAAAATGACCAAATTTGTGTTTCTCTGGAACTATGATCAGGTTCGGGTTCCACTTTGCTTTTCTATTAATCTTCTCAGTGTCTCACGTCCTTTTCCGGCACAAGGAATATATAATAACATGATACTGACCTTTAACCTTTGCAACGGCCAAATGCACGTATATAAATGAAGTCAAGACGGCCCAAATCTAGACCTCAATCGCTGCGGAGAATTACTAATTTCCCCCTCCTGTATTCGAGGAACAAGGTACGTTATGTCTCCGGGAGCTGAATCTCAATTCCACCGACTCATCGGTTTCGGATGTCCATATCCGTCAATGCCCGACCCGCTCACTCATTGTCGTAGAGGGCGTTCAAAACAAGCTTAGGTTGTGCTTATCTTGTTGGCATGTCGGTTCGGTCTTTCCGGATGGAAATCTTAGCGATATATCCGACCTATCGAGCGTCACCTCGCTCATGTTTGCTGCTTCTGGTCCGGTCCACGATCGGCCGGTCGATTATAACTGTTTGCACGACCAAGTGGCTTTCCAGCCGACTATGTGTTCGCCGTTGATTATCTTGAGTAAGTGATCCAATGCTTGGTGTTCGCTTAAATGTATTTGCGAATTGATTGCGGAGGACGGTGACATGGGACAAGCGTAGATAAAAAGTGGCGACATGAAACTGACATTTTCCGGTTTCCGGGTCAGCATCAAGCTTTGGGGGCTGAATTCGAGGTCCGTGTTCCACACCATCTTCATGGAGACATGAGTGAAAGTGGATGGCTGAGGGTTTGGTAATTGTGAGCAGTTGGCGCTGATCATTGACATGGCGTGGATTGAGTATATGGGAAAGGAGTGTATAGCAGATCCGAGCACTCTTTTCCGGTTGGATTGATCGGGAAAGGTTGTTCTGGATGCCGTGCAAAAGAAAGCGGGAAATGGTCCTGTCAGGGCAAAAGTAGCCAATGACCAGCATTCCGTGTCTTGGATGTTCTTGTTTTCTCATCGGATAAGCACGTGCCTAAAACGGTTCATTTGATCCAGATGTTTCTTAACGGCTGAAGATGTTACAAAATTGCAAAGAGACCGGGTTTGCGGAGGTGACAAATGAATAGGAATGCAACCGGGTCTTGAATGGGAGGGCGTAAGCAAAGGAAAGCTACAATAGGATATGGAGGAAATGGGGGGGCAAGGCTCGGTAAGAGATCCACTTCATTGATGACAACTTCCACGTTGAAGTTCCAGGGAAAGGCATTGTCTTGGGGTTTCCTATCCCACGAAACGCACGCCAGGCAAATCAAAATGCCAAACAAGTATCCTCATTTTCCCACCACATGGGTATCTATGTATCGCTTTGTCCGCGGAAGTACTCGTCTGCTTTTTCATCCCACGTGGATCGTCCATGTCTGACGCTCTAGAACATGAAGTAGACGATTTTCATTGGCAAACTGGCGTTCCTTCTCTTCTCCATCTCTGCATGGTGTGCCTCCCAGTCAATCTGACGGCGGCCAGAGTCCAGATCGATCTGATCAAGCCTCAGCCAACCCTGTCTTTTCCACGCGTATCCACAGATCCAGAAGAACATGACGACCGGTAGCGCGAGGTAGGACTTGAAGAAACCTTCGGCGTCGTTGACACCACCACCAGGAGGCCAGATGGCGACGTAGAATTGTGCGACCAACACCAGGAAGATCAAAATGAGGCCGAGGTAAGAACCATAGACGCCACCGACAGACTTGAATGGAATTTCATCAAGGGGTCGGCCTTGATGTTTCCATGCCGCTCGGAATCGGATGTGCGCCAAGCAAATCGAGCCCCAGGTAAAGAGTGCCGCCAGGCCAGACAGGGCCAGAAGCCAGTCGAAGATTTCAATGCCGGACTCAGCAACACCGAGGTAGGCAAGGGCGCCAAATGCGATGATCGTAACGGTAGAGACAAGAGGACGGCCGGCGCGGTCGACGTAGGTGAAGATCTTTGGCGCGTATCCTTGTTCAGCCAGGGCGGTCAATGTCCGACTGCCTCCATAGACGCCACTGTTGCCGATAGAAATGACGGAGACGAGAATAACGACGTTCATGAATGAGTCGAATCCGATCAGGCCGGCATCTTGAGCGGCCAGCACGAATGGTGAGGCTTGAGCATCGACATATGGGTTGGCGCCGAGGAGACGTTCATCGTCGGAACGGACAAGGAGACCGACGAAGAGAAGCGAAAGGACGTAGAAGAGCGTAATTCGCCAGAAGACCTGTTTGACGGCAGAGGGGAGTGATTTCAAAGGCGTTCTCGACTCGGCGGCGGCGAGGCCGACAAGTTCGGTACCAGAAAAGGCAAAGGCGGCGGTGACAAAGACAGAGCAGAAACCTTTAAAGCCGTTTCGGAATGCTCCCGGATCGTACCAAAGTCGAGCTCCCCAGTATTCACTGTAGATCCCACGGCTAGGACCACCACCGCAGACGCAGATGAGACCGATGATCATGAAGATAACGATGGCGAAGAGCTTCAGCGCGCTCGACCAGAATTCTTCTTCTCCGTAGCCCAGAACGCCAAAGATGTTGATGATGATGATGGCGGCCAAGAACATGGAGATCCACACCGCAACATGGACATCAGACGTCCAGAAGTATATGGTGAACGACGCGACCGTGATTTCTAGGGGTAATACAATAGCCCACTGGAAGACGTAGTTCCAGCCCATGGCGAAACCCCAGGAAGGATCGATGAATCGAGTCGAATACGTGTAGAAGCCCCCCGAGATCGGATACATGATGCCGAGTTCACCGAGAGCAAAGACGACGTTGAAGATCATCACCCCGATGATGATGTAGTCGAGGAGAAGCGAAGCAGGTCCACCTCGACGGAGGGCCGAACCGGTACCAACAAAGAGACCAGCGCCAATGGAGCCACCTGGAATGGAAGGTCAGTAATGTCCATCATGATGGGGGAGAGGTGAGGAATGCCGACCAATGGCAATCATGTGCATATGGCGGGAACGTAGAGTCTGGTTGAGCTGGTTGGTCTTGTCGCTCACGGTTCGGCGCTTGAAAGATTCGGCCGTACATCCCATGCGAGTCCAGAATCCGAGGCTGTAATATTGCTCGTTGGACTCAATCTGGACGGATTCAGCGCTGCTGAGTTCATGAGGGGCACCATCAGCAGCTCGTTTTTCTGGGTCGACACCTTCGCCGGAGAAGACTGGCTTGTTGGAAGCCATGGTAGGCGGTGGATTTAAGGACGGCAAAAGAAGGAAACAGTGGTTGGGGGCGGTCGAGGTCGGGAGGACATTCGATCGCAATATATGCCCTGAGGAGCGGGGCGGAGGGACCGATAATGGAAAGTGTGTAACGGACGGTGGTATGAGGGAGGCGTTTTCCTTATCTCGAGGGGTGATGCTTGGATCTGCGAGCGATGGTACGGTCAAGGTGAAGCCACAAAGTCTTGGAGAAAGCAAGATAGGCAAGAGTTTGTGCTTGACACACCATGAGTTGGCATGGCCGACCGGTGGAAGGGCTGATTACTTGGATGGGACAGTGTCGGGAACCCATGTCCTGAGACAAATCAAAGGTATTGTGATCTGTATGCCACCATGAATGGTCGAGGAGTGATGTGTAATGGAGTAATTGCTGCCGAGGTGACATGATGACGAGGTTTGAGGTAGCAGGCTGAGTAGCATAAGACGTGACACGATTTGGGTTTCTTGGATCATGATCTTGTTGCACAAGGGAAGTGGAGTCGGTGTGGATTGGAAGATGCGGAGTTGGTGGACTAGGCGCCGAGAAGCCAAGGCTGGGCGGAGGGAGGAGAAAAGGTGCCAAGTCTCCGCTGCACATATACGATTTGCCCGATCGGGCGGAGACGTACTCCGCCATGGCTGGGCATATCTCCTTGCGAAGCCCTCATTCGTCCCTGGCGAGGCCCTCTCTGATCCGTCTCCCCAAAGGCCGCCCGTGCCACTTGATGTAACGCAGCCCACCAAGATCGCCGTCGATAAGCGGCATATTGGCTAATAGTATGACTTTTCTCAGCATCTCTTTCCCAGCCTTGTCACGTGCACCTCCTCTTTTCCCCTTCGCATTCACGGGCCCCCCCGACTTGGCCGGTGGTATCGAGACTAGCCATGCTTCTAGAAGGCATCTAACTTTCTAACTCCCAAGTATGGATATAAGTCCGGTAATCCAGTATTTCTTACTAAATGGTATGTAGGGCTCTATTCATTGCCGGACCCTAATTTGCCAACTTTATTGGTGGTGCCTTAGGGTTGTATCAAGTGTTCATTATGGTGCGGAGTGGGCGAGATCAAATTCATCTTGAATTGTTCTGGCTCCGAGGCATCAGTTGCTGTACTGACGTTGTCGGTAAGGAGGTCAAGCCTGGTGCGTGGTAGTGAGCAAGATGCTAGGGCTTCCATAGAAGACGGCGATTGAGGCGAGAACAAACGTCTCTTTTATCTAGGATTCCCCAGTGTAGATATATGGCTATACCGTTGGAATGTTCGCTTGGCAGGCAAAGCAGAGTAAAATTTGCGCCCTACTCACCTCTGCCCTCGCCCAGACCTCGCCGCTTTTAACCACCCCCATCTCGCCGTTGCGCGAGCACTCACCCTCGACGCACCCACGATTCACCCTCCCACTCACCCTTTGACGACGGTGCGCTTTTTGGCCTGTGGGACCGTGTCCTGATTCGCAGAGCCAGGATCCAAAAATGGCTGCGACGGCTTCAATTCGGTGATCATCCACAGGTCGCAATGGACAAAAGCCGCCTCTCCTCTTCGGCCGGCGGTCGAAAGAGCATTCCTCCTGTCGTCAGGCGTTTCCTGGCAGCCCATCCTGCATTCTCTCTCTGTGTCTGAAGGAAGCCCCTCCCGCCTCCGCCCTCCCACTTCTCCCTCGCTCTCTCCAGGATGGCCAGACAACGTGCCCGTGCCAACGAGACGTCAGTCCCGCTTGCTCAGGAGTTGCAGGCTCGGGCCAAAGCGAACGGCTACAAGAGAGGGGCACACGTAGAAGTGGACAAGATCCGCAATAAAGGGAAACACAACGGCAAGACGATAAAGGATCAAGATGCGACTCTCGACCGCTACGTACTGTAGGGAATTCCCACCCTCTTCCGCCCCGCCCCCCCCCAAAACAAAAACCTGCTGCTGTCATATTATGCATCCTCACACATCAAATTTGGCTATATACGGTACTCCGTATATAAACCTGGCTCCAGGTCTCAAGTTGGCCTTTGGGTCGGTTCTTGGGCCCAGAATGCCACAATAGTCCACGGTACAATGTATTGCTCAGGAGTCCGAATATCTATTTCATGCTATACCAGTAATCCGACAAATATACAGAGCTCCACGTCCAACGCGACATGGCCCTTTTGCTCCAATCTAAGCGGTCAACACGCCTTGATTTCTCAAGTCTTGGATTGCGTCCGCGGTCCATTCTCCACACCTCCTCACTGGTCTGGTGGGGTCGAGCCTCCTGCCCTTGAGATCCAACTGCCGGCCGGGGACTGCGATTCCCCGGCAGATTGATTCGACTCGCACATAGTCGGACTGCTTCACACGGCCAATGTATCGCTTCTCGTGAGACTCGGCCGAGTCCTCGGGGCGCCTTGCCCGCTTGTGTTCGTATGTCATGCCCATCAGGATGTTGCCGGTGACGTGATAGAGATGGCCGGAGTCGGTGCCGTTCTCATGGGTCTCTCGACGAAGATGGCTTCGTGGTCGGGCTTGCCGTGATAGTAGACGTGGAAGACGCGATAGGTTGCCATGATTGAGATTGGAATAATGTCTGTATAGTTCGGTAGTTTGTGTGATGAGGCTGATGACTCTCGGAGGCTTTGTGTTTGTCGGTACTGAGACCGTCCAAGGTGTAATTGGGCGGGCTCTTTATAGTTGCGCTCTCGAGCAAGGTGATATTGCCAGCGAGGCTGTGAGGTGGTCATTGAGGGCCACCAAAGCGCTGATGATGTGTCTAGAATCTCCATCGAGGTGGCCTACTCTTAGACGACGGACAAGATGAGACGCACCGTGGGTCGAGACGTCGCAGAGGTCTCTCTTTCATAACACGGGTTGTTGAGAGACAGGGTCTAAGGATTGGCTGTAACGAGAATCTGAGAGACGGTCCCTGAGCCGAGTCTCTTGAAGCTCTCATTATCGGTTGCAAGTCCTCAGCCGCTTGGGGCGACATTTCTTGTACTTAAGCGCCAACACAAAGTCGTCGCAAAAGGAGATCAGGTTCCAAGCACTGGGTCGCTTAGAGGCTCAAATCATGGCCTTCGGCGGCTGGGGCCAAATTCAAGACATCATGCTGACTCCTGAGGCGCAAGGTGAATGTGGCTATCTTCGGGGCAGGAGCGCGAACTTCCGGATTTCTTGACATTGGGAGGGCCGAGCCGCCGACTGATATGCAGTCGGGGGAGTGCTAGCCACTGCTCGGTCCGGATACACTTGAAGGCCATGCGGCGAGTTCAGCTCCGGACCACTCCCAAGAAAAGTCCTCCGTTCGTACCACTCGCAACAGCCGCAGGGAGAGCCCACGGCAAAAGCGTCTCGCCTTACCTCCCCATGGTACCTGCACGATGCTTGTAGGAATGGAATGAACAAGGACATCGTATCGGTTATTCAGGTAAAGGAGAATCTGATACACGCAGTGCCTCGGCGTAAACGTATCCCTGTGGGTTCTTAGACAGTGCTGTCCGAGGGTTGAATCAGGACCAGAGTTCATTTCTAAGAATATGAAGCCAGGCATATTCGGCGGGCCATGGATCCAAGACCGTCTCGAGATATTCAGGCCAGTCATCATCGAATCGAAATGCCCATGAGGCTGCGCAATATTCCCAGTAACTTGGATACCAGCCCGCTTTCTCCCAGTCCACCAATGCAACACGCAAGTCCGCTGCCTGGAGATGATCAAAGTCGCCGCTGATGGTCAACGAAACCTCACTGCCGGAGCTTGATTGGATGATGATGTTTTTCCGTTGAAGATCAGCGTGTGTAAATACGGAGGCGTGATTTCGAAGGACGTCGGGCAGCATTCGTTTGTAGAACTGTGATCTTTGAGGTCCCCGACCGTTCCATGTTTTGTCCACAAGCAGCGTCTTCCCCACCAGAGCATTGTTCAACTCATTCTCGGAGTAGAAAGGTCCATTGGCACCAGGACTTCGTTCGTCTCCCTCGCCAGTCCAAAAGATACCATCCGGCATGGGCCGTTTTCCAACGCCTCCAAAATACCCCAACGAAGGTAGATTTCGCAGTTGGTCGATTTGTTGTTTCAAATCCAGACAGACTTGTTGTTTATGCGCAGCCGAAAGACGGGGCCAGGCTTCGAGCAGATTGCTCCCAGGGATGAATTCCATGACAATAACAACCGCACCATGGTCACCCAATCGATATACGGCATACACCTTGGGTAAATTGATGCGTGTGGTATTCCGTAGGAATATCACGGTGGCTGCTTCGACTTCAAGTTCTTCAGCGGCCTCGCCGTACTTGACAACATAATGTTCGCCAACTCACACCACTTTGCGGCCTCCGACCTCTACCAGAATCTGATCGGCATTGTCGATTTGCTCTTGTGTTGGAAGAGGGCACGGTAGAACCTCGCCGAAGTAGGGGAGAGTAAGTTGGTAGTCATCAGAAGCGGCCATGATGAAGTTGCCAACCCTAATGCTGCAAACTGCAAGCTGCAATCAAGGCCTGTGTCGTAAAGGGCTCTTCGCTGTACAGCGTAGTCTGTTCTCTGTAGATTGAGGCTGTCGTTGAACCTCGCTGGTGTGAGTCACACTGCCGCAAAACAAGGCCAGTAGTAAGTGGGTTTATCCGTTGCCATACTATGCAACCACGAGAAAGTGTGGTGGCATGTCAGCGCTCACCGGCATCTACCTCGGTTTGTCACGTGACAAGGTGGGTCTCCTTGTAAGCGGCGTCATGGCAAAGTGGTCACAATTCTGGCCACCAAAAGGGCCGCAACAACAGGAAATCGTGGTGCATCTCAAGGGTTTACGGCATCCCCTTTTGACTCCGAATTTTCTACCTAGAGTTGGGACGCCAAAGAGATTTGGAGTACCCCAGTTCCGAGCACAACGGCTTGTGGTAAACCAGACGGGAGCGTAACAATCCTAAACCGGTCTGAATTGTAATATGCTATTGCCGGACGCTGGCGTCAGGGGTGCTAGGCCCAGGTAGGGAGGCGGTCAAACATTGGCAAATGCCGCATCATCGCTTTCGGCCTCTCAGTCGAGAAAGAAAGCGTATGGATAAGTTTTTCTATACCTGACCGATCAAATTGCCCTAGTTCGAAAACCGGTTTTGGGAGGCACAAGAATAGTTTCCTGACAGCCATGTCAGCACCTGAGGTTCACTGGCTGGGAGACCAGGGACCCGAACCGGGCTTCCACAAGTCGTGGGTGCATTGTCAGGGTCAAACGCGGTTCCCTTCTTTCTTGAACAATCTACCTCGTGCAGTCGCGACCCTCCTCTACTACTCTAGCTCCTCATTTCTTCTTGAACAGCTCCTCGCATCGCCGCTGCAGCATTTGACTGCCAAGGCTTTCCTTCGCGATCAACGACGATCTCCATCTGACCACGCCTTGGATGGACCCATCCTCCCCTAGGTAGACGTCCTCGACGTTTGCCACTCCAGCATAGTCTCTGCCCCTTTGTGAGAGGAGCGAATATGACCACCTCTTTTCTTTGGGCGAAGGTCCAAAGACGGCAATGTCTTTTTGCCTCTCGCGCCTCTCGCGTCTCCCTCACCTCCCTCACCCCTCACGGCTCTTTCCTTGTGCGACGAGACCGTTTCGGCGGAGCAGCGTTGTCGTTGTCGTCATCGTCTTCTTTGTCGAAAGGGGTTACAGCCCAGGTGGAGGGACAGGATCGTTTTCGGGTTCGCGTATCTCGTGGGGTAACAGTACTGGTATCGGACTGGATGGCTTTGCTCAAGGTTTTGCAACGCCGTGACGGCAGATTCCGGATGCTGGACCAACTCTGTCATCGGGTGCATGACAGGCATCGGCGCCTCCCACGACGGCCGCAGAGGACAAGTTTGCCGTTGCTGGATTTGAAGATGGGGGTGGCATGAATGGTACAAGGAGCTGCTTGAGCTGGGAGACTTGATGGCGGCTTTCCCGGTCACTGGTCTCGAAAGATGAACCGACGCCGCCGGGTGTGACAGGACCTTTTGAATCAATAGTGATAGACTCTTTGATCAGTGGAATAAGATATTGCCTGCGAGCACGGCAATGGAGAAAATAGAGGCTTGCATTGGTCAAGTACAACTTCAGAAGTGAAATGCGGGAAAAGGGAGCATGCATCGGCCCTGATCAGAAAACAATTCGATTCCAGTCCGTTTGAGAATCAGGCTGGATCAAAGGGTCGAGGGATGACGCTGCTAATTCTGGAACCTCATGATCAGTTCGCGAAAACCGGTGAGGGCGATAGACCTGACTTTGTGGGGAATCGGGCGCCGCGGATAGGAGCGGGGCATTTGGCACCATTGGTGCGCCTCGCGCGACCGGGGTGAGCACAAAGCGGCGGCACCCCGAGTCCCAAAGCAGGGTGAGCACGTCGCAGATTTCTTGTGGCTTGGCAAAAGTGGTCCAATTTCTACTTCGACTCCTCTGAGCATCTCATCTTCGAACAATCCCGGCCAATTTGTTTCGATTCATCTTCCTTCTCCCCGAGGCGCATATCCGTTCCCTTTGAACTCTCCTCTCATCATGATACCCCAAGAAGTCTTCCCGCGGTAGGGTCCAGTTCGGCCGGGGAGGCCAGGTGGCGGGTTTGGGCAATCGCTGTCGCGATCGATTGCATTGATAATGGGTCTCGCACTGGAAAGAGGCGCCCTGTCACTGGCCAACATCCTTCTCATCATTTCTCTGCTGGTGTTTGCCAAGGGATTCTTCCCCCGGAAAGCATTTCTACCTGGATTGGCGAAGTGGCCCGAGCAGGCCGAGACCTCACCTAGGGCAGCCCCGTTTGATCGTGTTGTCTTCATGGTCGTCGATGCCTTGAGAAGCGACTTTGTCTACGGCAATGCATCGAGTTTCACCTTTACTCAAAGTCTGATTCGATCGGGCGCCGCCGTGCCGTTTACCGGTCATGCCAGCCCTCCGACCATAACGATGCCACGAGTTAAAGCGATCACCACGGGTTCAGTGCCAAGTTTTGTCGATCTCGTTCTCAATTTTGCCGAGTCCGACACCACTTCTACGCTGAAGGACCAGGACTCATGGCTGGCACAACTGAGAGAAAGAGGCGGCAAACTCGTCATGTATGGAGACGACACATGGTTACGATTGTTTCCTGATTTCTTCCATCGAGCCGACGGCACCACCAGTTTTTTCGTGTCGGATTTTACCGAGGTCGACAATAATGTCACAAGACACATTCCTGCTGAATTGGAAAAGGACGATTGGTCGGCCCTGACTCTCCATTTCCTCGGACTCGATCACATAGGCCACAAGACCGGCCCCAAGGGACCTCATATGCCCGCCAAGCAAGCGGAGATGGATGATATTGTCAAGGATATCTACACGGCCATGGAGAAAAGTGACCATCTCAAGTCGTGCGTCCTGATTTTGCTCGGGGACCACGGCATGAATGAAGGTGGAAATCACGGAGCTTCATCCCCCGGGGAAGTCTCCACCGCACTGACGTTCATTTCACCAAAATTCAAATCGGCCTTTGAAGGCCAAGCCAGTCCCATCAACACCGCCGTTGATTATCGATATTACGACACCGTCCAACAGTCAGACATCGTCCCGACGCTCGCCGCATTGCTCGGATTCCCCATCCCGCGAAACAACCTTGGAGTCATCATCCCCCGTTTGCTAGAACTCTGGGCCATTCCACAGGATCAATACAACTTGCTGTACGAAAATGCCGAACAAATCCTCCAAATTGCCCAAGCGACATTTCCCTCCAGTTTCAGCAAGGACCCCGCGTCATCTCAAGAATGTTCAGTCGACTCACAAGATGATGCTGAATCCCTTGCTTGCCTCGGGGTAAAAGTTTCCCAGGCACTTGAAGAAAAGCCCCCTTCCATCACCTCCATGGCCAATTTGAGATCATTCCTCTACAAATCCCAGACGCTTCTAAGTGGCACGGCCAGCAACTACGACATGGCCAGCATGCAAGCCGGCATCGGACTGAGCGCCCTTGCCCTGATGCTGTGTCTCCCCAGCGTCGTACAGGGTGTGGGGCAAGCAGGCCTCGACCACTTCATCCTCGTCTTCATCATGCTCACGTACGCTATCATCATGTTCGCCAGCAGCTACGTGGAGGAAGAGCATGAGTTCTGGTACTGGGTGCTCGGTGGCTGGTTGATGGTCCTGTACTGCAAGGACGGAAGATACGAGACCACCACCAAGGGCATCCTCGGTGGCCCCACCGGCACGGCACTGGCGTACCTTTTGCTCGGCCTGGTCCGTAGATGGAGACAGACCGGCCAAAAATACGCGGGTGGTCCAGATCTACTCAGCGAACTCATCATGCCTAATGCCTGGCTGCTCTGGGCCCTGATCATTTTCACATACGCAGTATTGTCGAGGAATCTCAGCAGGAGATTCGCCGTGTGGATGGGCTCCAAGCAAATGGGGCTGTTGCCGGTGTTAGTCTCGATCGCTGCGTTTCTGTTCAAAATCGCCTTCACTGCCGCGGACGCTCCAGAATTACTTCTGTCCTTTCCCGTCTTGAACCCCATGGTTTCATTCGTCGGACGGTATCCCCTGCTCAATCTGGCTCGCGTCGTCTTTCTGGGCCTCGCACATCTGCTCGCGTGCGCTATTTTCTACGAGGCACCCTGGCGAAGTGCGCACCATCTCCACTCCTTCCTCACCGCATTTCAGGATATCCTCTCGATCTTTCTCGTCACTCAATCACGCACCGTTTATATTCCGCTGTACTTGTTCTTCAATGGACAACTCTACCTATTCCGACGCGCGAGACGGTACGCAGTCAGCGAGATAACCATACTCGCCCTCCTGTTTCAATATGCATCGTTCTTTGCCATTGGCGGCACCAATTCAATCGCCACCATCGATCTTTCCAACGCATACAATGGCGTCAGTGGATACAACGTTGTCGCCGTGGGGATCTTGACCTTCATCAGTAACTGGGCCGCCCCGATCTGGTGGTCATTTGCTGTGTGCCAGCTCTTCAGCCCCCTCGGCCTGAAACGAAATGACTCGTCTTCCTTCCTCACTACGGCCCTGGCAACATTTGCATGTATCCATACGCTATCGGTCATGGTTGCATGCACGGTTCTGCGAGAACATCTCTTCATCTGGACCGTCTTCTCTCCCAAATACCTCTACACGGCTGCCTGGGTCGTCGGTCAGCATACCATTGTAAATGCACTAGGCATTGGAAGCTTATTAGCCAGCCCCAGGCGCAGGAGCTAGATTTTATTTTATTTTTTTTTTTTTAAAAAAAACATTTTCAACATTTCCTTCCTCTCTTTCACTGGACGGCGCGAACAATATTTTCCAAGACATAGACCCCGAATAAATTATAGTCTGGCAGATGGCGACGATGCGCCATTTTGTTGCTGTTTGGATATGCAGAACCCGTCAAATAGCTTGCCGATTCCCTCGGTATCGTCAATGGCCATGACCTTGGAGACATCTACAAATCAATTGGTTCAGCTGACAAGAAGAGTGATCACGGGACTGAAAAGCGTACATTGATCGGGCCGCACGATCACGGTCGCCCCTTGCTCCGGATCAATCCCATATTTCTCATAAGCATGTCCATGGCCTGAATTATAGCTCTCATCGTCGACGAATGTTTTGTGCAAATCTAAATAAAAAAAGAAGAAAAAAAGATACGACGGTCTGTTAGTAACAGGGTCCTTCCTCTCTTTCGCATTTCAAGTTACATGTGGATTTGATTTGGGCTTGGTTCTTACCTCTCATCTTCCATTTCCCCGTGATCGGCCAGAAAAATGGAGGAATCTCCTCCTGTTCCAACTTTATCCGCGTGCCACTGAGGACGATGATCGGTTCGATGAAGCTGTCAATGTCTGCAGACGGCGAAGTATATTTGCGTACTGGACTCGTCGGGGAATTCAGATATTCCGCAATCTATTCGGTTTAAATGTTAGCCCAAAAAAAATTGAGGTACAGTTAAATGAAACGGGGTACAAACCTTCTGCAGTCTTGCGAGTGTCCTCGGTTCACCAATCTTGCCGGCAAAGAAAACCACACGCCACCGTCCATCCGATTTCAACGCTTGAACGAATGGCATGGCTTTGGCATCGCAGTACCGCACGACTTGGGCGTTGGGGAATCTCATGCCGACCACGATCTTCTGTGCCAGCTCTGGCCGACTACCTGCTGACGAAGTGATGCTTGAATCCTCATACTTGGCCGTCAACCCGGCGGTGTATCGGCCAGATTTGATGAAAGCCCGACTGAACTGCTCGGGAGTCATTTTGGTCTCCTTGTTCGACTTCATGGAAAACAGCTTGGTGAAGAACCGATCAAAGTCAATGAGATCAGCAGCCGTCTTGCCACGCTCAATGTTGTACGTTTTCAGCAACTCGGGCGTCGCATGTCCTGTCAAGATCATACCGAGCTTCCATCCAATGTTGTACCCGTCCTGTAGACTCACATTCATTCCCTGGCCGGCTTTGGGTGAATGCGTATGGAATGCATCACCTGTCAGAAACACACGATTGTCTTTGGTGAAGTAGTCTGCGAGCCGTTGGCCGATGCAGTAGCACGACCACCAATATGTGTGGGCGTACTCCATCGAATAGGGGTTGAAGATCTGCCGGGCCTTCGCGTGCAGATCTTCCAGCCCGACGTCTTTCACGTTCGTGCCCGTCGGGAATTCGATGTAGAAGCGTGTCAGCGAGCCGCCTTCGCGAGGAATGACTAGGAGACTGCCAGCATCCGAATGAATGGTGACTTTGCGCCGGATGTCGGGAAAGTTTGTGCGAGGATAGATGTCCATCACACCCCAGACAGCGTCACTGGTGTCTCCGACCATTTGATAGCCGAGTGACTTCCGCACCATGCTGTGGGCGCCGTCACATCCCTGTCGAACCCTTAGGCAAAGAAAGGGATACATGGCGTCGCTTATACTCACCAGCACGTATTTCGCTTTGAATACCTCGGCCTTTCCATCCCTCTCCGCAATGACAGTCGAACAATAAGCATCCGGATCACTCGCCAGCGCCGAATCCACATCGACACTCGTCACCGTGTAGCCATAGTCCACTTCGCGCCCATTGCACCTTCGCATGGCCTCAAGCAAAAAGCCGTTTATTCTTGCCTGATTCAAGATGACATGAGGCTGGTGGCTCAGCCCGGGTGCCGTGTCAGCCGTGCGATTTGTTCGATGGATCCCGCCCTTGCCGTCGGGCGACCAGAACGCAACTTCGAGCACATGGTACGCCTCGCGCAACAGGTCCTCAGCGAGGCCGAAGCTCTCAAATATCTCGACCGTGCGGCATTGCACACCGTCTGCCTGCCCCATGGTCATCGGTCCTGCGCGTCGCTCGAGGATCCTGACTGATTCGATGCCATACAACGACAGATACAGTCCGGCGCAGAGGCCCGCGGAGCCCGAACCACAGATTAAGACGTCCACGTACTCGACCATTGTCACGGTCGTAATGGATACCAGTAGTATACAATGATCAAGATGGTCGGCCCTGTCGACCAGCAAAATATGACAGAATCTCAAATGACGGACGGGTGGAGATGGCTCGGCTTTTATAAGTCCTGGCGACGATGGCGAGGCTCGCGAATTTATCGGGTCGTCATGGGCCAATCGTAGTCCACTCAATCCGACCAAAAAGGCATTTAGAAACGGCATTGTCTTGCCATGATGACTGGAGATGCCGACACTTCAACTTGTGATGTGGATTCGCTGTCTTTGGGGGCTGGAGTTCCCCGCCTTTGAAATTCTCCGGGACCTGGTCCGGTTGCAGGTTTTGACCACTCGGAACCATTCCGGCACGGGAGCACGGGATGGCTTCCGGAGAAGCCCCCTTTGCGGTACGACCAATTTTTTTTTCAAAAAAAAAGGGGACATTTCTCGTGTCTCGCATAGAACGGCCCGAGACGCCATGCTGTACCATGGACTCTGCATGGATGGACCGATCCGATGCAGATTGCCGTAGGCTAGTCCAAACAAAGCATTTGGCCATATGCGAGGCAGGGTAAGCTACTCGGTATCCTCGGGGTCCATAATGTCGTGTCACCCGGTGTGCCCCTGGTCCATCTCAGCCTCATCCAGCTGGCTGACAGATTGGCTCTCGTATGATCATTTCAGAACCACAACGATTGGCTTGGGCTTTGCCGCCACCCAATCTCTCAGATGCAGCATCACGATGGACGCTCGCCAGGCGGTGCCATCGGGATGTCGAATCACCAGAATAGCCGCGACTCTGTCATAAAACCATCGTTTCTTCTCGTGATGATTTTCTCGAACCACCGGCCAGTACTTGAGCAAAACAAATTCGGCGGACGGCGTCTGCTTGTGAAGAGCTTTGGAGACATCCGGATGCGTGTGGAAGAGGTAGTCGGACTCGGCAAAGTCGGTGGAATCAACCTCGGCCAGACTGTTGACAGGGTCGCCATGTGCGTGGCATATGGTCCAATGATCACCGCAGGCGATGATCGGACGAGGAGCACCGGGAGGAGTATACTCTTCACCTTCCGCCCGCACCATTTTGAGTTGAAATCGAGCCACCTCTGAGGCGATCCGGAGAATTCGACCTTCGGGATCTACGGCTGCGTTTCTTCGCATGACACAAGCTTGGGGGTTTCGCTGGTATGCTTGCCGATCATGGGGTTCCGCGCGTACGGATGGATCATTGGCCGTGCTGACGTCTGCGGTGTCTTTCAGGGCGTCTTCCAGTCCGGCCAGCCAGTACCAATATTCGATACCGCCCTGCCAGCCCAGCCAGCTCCAGGAAGGAAAGTCCGTCCGCCGTATGATGGCATAGTCTTGGGCGGATTTCCAACTCAGAGCCTCGATCATCGAGACCGATGGTATAGCCCAGAGAAAGCCCGTGCCGGTTCGCTGCTCAATGTAGCTCAGGATACCTTGGCAAGCGTTGAGTGCATCCTCTTGTAGCGTCAATTGGCGTTGCGTGTAATTGGTGATGAAGGCATCCCAGTACTTGAAGCTAAATTCATCCGCGTCCAATCGGATGGTCCAACCATTATTCCAAAAGTAGTTGCGAGCTTCGGTGAGCGAGGCCCCGCGGAGTGCACAGTCGGTCGGCATTAGATCGTGAAAGATTTCTTTCTGACACTTCATTCTAATATGATACCGATCGAAGATCAAGCAACGCTTAGATAAAAGCCCTTCCTGCAAAGTCCAAGCTCGGCTGTCCCACGGAGCCCGGCCTTGGGTATCCCATACCGACTCGACGAAGGTCGCTGTTAACCTGCCGCCACCGGCCGTCTCGAGAGTGGGCTGTGCCGTACATTCAATCCGTCTCGAGATTCCGGGTAGTCCGGCATCCTCGCTCAACCCGTCATTGGCAAGAATGGTCATTTCGGCGCATTGGTATATAATGTCCATCAGTAACATTTGAAACTGTAATTCCGACTTGTTCAGCTGATTAATACAATATGCATCAACCCAAAGGAAGTCGCGACCCATTCTTTCGGTAAAAGTGATGGCATCTTCGACCGTTTTCGGAAGTTTCGGAGGCAAGGGCCACGGGTCTTCAGAAGACACCGTGAGTTTCTGATATGGCACGCGGGGGACCGTCTTGCCAAACACGTAGCTGAGGGCAAAGTATCTGGGCACGGGGTTGCGCACGCTGATAACTCTCCGTCTCTTGACGTCAATCAGCCTAATGCTCAGGAAGTTCCGCTTGAAGCCCTCTTCCTCGCGGCAGGAGTTACCGTGTCGCCGCTGACAAATATCAAGCCACGTTTGTATCAGGCTGTAGCTGATTTTGCCCGTTATTTCTTTGGGCTTTCGTCGGCGTGGCGGTATCACCAGAGCCTTACCCTCCTTCGACGTTTCATGGTCCGGAGATTTGGATTGAGTTATGACCACATAGCTATACCGAGTGCGCCAGTCACGGATCGGAGCATCCGGCATGTAGGTGAGCCAGTACGTGGAGGGAGATGTCGGCTCTGGATCCGCAAAAAGATGTGACGGCACATGGAGAGAAAGCGCCGCTGCATCGTACCAAGCCTGCTTCTCTCGGGAGTCCCCGACGGCCACTTGGACAAGAAGATTTCCCGTTTCCTCTTTGAGATATGGGAAGCTCGATTCGAAGAAATCTGAATAGCAGTCTATTGTATGCGCGAGGAACCGGCAAAAGATGCACGGGGATTTCCTCCTTTCACGCAAGCTCATCCCATCTAGCTCCCATGAGGGACCTCTGGCTTTGGGATCGAAGAAGGGAAGACATCGGCAGAGGTCGCACACATTATCTCTGTGAGAAGTGTGAACTCTCTGGAATAGGTTGGTAGTAGTTGATGCCGAGGTCATGGTGGGCGAGGCTGAAAATGGCCAAGGCTTACAGATTCGACATGTAGCCTGGCCAATGCTTGGTGGGTTTTCCGAGAGTCTTGGAAAATCAGAAGAGGTAGAGTTAAGCAGCCGTCAAGCGCATCGTCTAAAGGCGAATCGTTGACAGGGACGACAGCCTCACTGACAACCACCAGCACACCAGGCGCCCCTCCATGCTAAACAAGAATGAATGACTGTGGAACAGACTTTCTTCCCGTCAAGCATGGGCGATTGCTTCTCTATCCTCCAGTCGATGTACTAGACGTCGCCAGAATTCATGCAACGAAGAACGACCATAGTCTCGGAGAAACATAGTTCCGCGAGGTTGTCTACGGATAGCAATGTCTACGTCAGTTCAGTAAGTCCTGAAATGTAAAAGCATAGGCGGCTCTTCATGGCTCCCTCAATGGGAAACACGAAAATACCATTGCCCACATTCGGTCACCATGGCCGCAATCATCAAGTCCTTCAACCTTGCTACAAGCCACCAGGTCGTCCACGTCGTTACACCGAAGATTTTGATTTGTTCACTAACCCAGGCCACACTGGGCTTCAATATTCAGCGGACATCTGTCCTTGCTTTGACTCCATCTTCAAGCTTCCTCAGCCTTGTGTGACGTCCTCCGCTTCTTTCCACAATCACAAGAGCGCGAAACCATTTCCCATCTTTTCCACTTCCCAATGTCACGCTCAGAGTTTCCTGCTCCTGAGATCCAATATTATCTCGGCAGATGGTTGCTGCGGGGAAGTGGACGACTTAGCTCATCTCAGACTACCCAACGAAACATTGCTCCCAATCTATGTTGATCTCAGAGTCATGTGCAGCTTTTCTGAGGAACGGAGCTGGAAATATCCAGCTGTGGAAGGCTGTCATTTCCTTGGCCGAATCTGAACTTCACCGTTTCGACGACCCTGACCCGTATGCCTCTCAGCGGAAGACTTAGCTAATAGATGCTATGACAATCGGAACCACCACCCCGCCAGCTTCCTACCAGAAAGCTCTAGAATACCTGTTTGAACATGGTTCGCCCTGCTATGTCGCCATCGTCAGACTTGATGAATGCAGGCCCAACGATTCGTGGTCGTGATCCACCATCATGCACAGCATTCCGAAGCGCTTAGGATACAATCTAGATATACTGGCCCCGACATCGAACAATGGATCTATGCACAAATTAGAACAAGGGGACTCGAACGTAAGATAGCTACATATGTCACACACCCGTTGATTCAAGGGGTTCCGGCGGAGTGTTCGTTTGGGCCCCACTTATATCGATCTGGGATCTAATTCACGGGCGAGAATAGTGTTCCAAATGTTACCATATCTTCAACACGAGGAGAACGATGATGATGATGCGCTGTGACTGAAAGTCCCTCCTCAAACAGCGGGTCGCGATACTGTAGGATAACCAGGAGATGGGGCTCACCGCCTGCCTCCGCCAAGCCTGAGTTACCGCCTTCATATTTCGGCGGCAGAATTTTTCCAGCCTCAATCTGCTCGACAGACCAAAAGATACACACTCAGATTTTGAGCATGTCCTGACTATAGCATTGGTTGATTTCTTCGACGACAGAAATGCCTTCAATGATCCCACCTCTTCCTGCGGGCACCTCTGTCCCCGTGTCCGCCATGCCTCTCATCTCCCCCAATGCCCTTCTTCACGCCCACGTCAAGCAAAATCCGCCTCGACGCCCCTCCAACCGCGCCCCGTTTGAACCTCGACCTATCCAACTCAACACTGGCTCCTTGACTCACTGCAGCGGCTCATCCTTGACCAAGATCGGCGCGACCACAATCGTATGTGGTGTCCGTGCAGAAATCCTTCCAGTAAGCGAGATCCCCAGCTTTCGAATCAGAAAAGCCACTTCGTCCGACAATCAGGGGGAATCTGTGAGGCGGCCGAGTCGTCATGATGATGACGAGGAAGAGGAGGAGGAATACTCGGCAATCTCCCGGTACCATCTCATTATCCCGAACATTGAACTGTCGACAGGCTGCTCACCCAACCACCCTGCCAACGCCGCCCCTTCCGTCGAAGGACAATCAGTCTCGCAACGAATATTGTCATTGCTCCACAGTTCGCGACTCGTGAGGACGTCCGATCTTGAAATCATTTACACGCCGCCCCCGGAAACGCACCACCCCGAACTCGGCATCGACGCTGACCCCCAGCTCAAGGCATACTGGGTTCTTTACATCGATATGATATGTATCAGCCACGGAGGATCCGTATTCGATGCAGCATGGCTCGCCCTCTACGCGGCACTGAGGGACACGATACTCCCAAAGGCGTGGTGGGACGCCGATCTGGAGCAAGTCCTTTGTGCGGCCGAGCTTGAACATGCCAGAAGACTCAGGCTGCGAGGGATGCCGGTGCCGAGCTCTTTCGGTGTGTTTGTCCCGGAAAAGAGACTCCTACCGGACAATCAAAATGGCGGACAAGGAGACGATCAATATTGGATTCTCATGGACACGGATGGGTGGGAGGAAGAATCTTGCCGGGAAACCGGATGTGTTACGGTGGACGTGGAAGACGATTCAGGGGCCATATCAATATTGAGAATCGAAAAGAGCGGTGGCTCGATCGTGGGAGCCGATCAGATCATGGAAATCACTAATTTCGCTGAGCGCCGATGGCGGCAATGGAAAGATGTCTTGGATAACATCAATGTTATGCGATTATGATGATTGTCTCGTGAAATGCGAGCGAGGTGGGAATTGGGACTGGGATTAGGATGGTTCGGAAAGCCCGTTGATCCCCCTGATGCTTTGGATAAATTCAAACAAAACTGCGATGATATGCAGACGATCAGTGAATGGCCCAACCATCCTTTATCCGAGTGCCCTGAGAATTCGAATTCTACCATGAACTGAAATGAACTCGTGCTCTTGCAAATGTCCAATCAGAAGGCGCCCTGGGCCGGGGACCGGTGGTCACTGAGGTCCTGGGTCAGGGTCACCATCACGATCGTTGGGTACCCCCTCACCACCAGGTGACCAGGCGAGTGCCAGGTGGTTTCTCTGTGACTTTGTTTCATTCCTGGTCGTCATTAGTGGCCTCCTCGTCCACTGTCCACTTCGAAACGCCACCACCCAAATGACGATGGCGCACGGCGAGGGTTCAAGTGGAATACGAAAACCAGCAACGAAATTCCTTGGCCAATGTGAAATAATTTAAACGGATTGGAAAAGAGACGAAATGTGGTTCACAATTGCAGAGTCCAAATATCACGCCACCATGTCGCCCAATTTCCAGGACAGGATATTTTATTTCATTGGAATTGGCGATACACGAGATAACAACAACCCTGATGACATGTCAACTCAATTTCCATGTCATGCCATGTCACGAAAAGACACTGACGCGCTCCCAAAACAGGTCTCTACGTTGAACGACGATTTCATCCATCGATCATCGAGCATGGCGCCTGAAGTCAAGAGTACAAACCCGCAGGTCCTATACGAGCGAAGGGGCGCAAGTACAAAGACCACGACCCACGCTATCCGGGATCCGCGATCTGTGCACGAATGAGAAAAAGTCCTCGATCAGCGCCATGGGGAGACGGAATGATTCCAACCAACACCTCGCGTCTCAACGTTCCTCATCGCCAGACGAAAAGGATATTTCCCTGATTGCCTCACGCGCGGATAGACTGTGGAGTTTCCATGGTTGCTCAGCCAGATCCACGCCGGAACGTTGATTAAAAGGCGCTTATTTGCTGTTTCGTAAAAGTCCAGACGGTGAGAGAAAAGGGGGAGGGAGGGAAACAAGAAAAGCCTAGATTCAGACTTTGTTACGCGGCACTGCGAGAGATTGAGCAATAGGTGGTACGCACGGTTGTGCTAAGAAAGAAGAAACTCAGACGTCGCAGGTCTTGTTGATTCTGGGCTCAAGAGAAAACGGTGGCCTTCTCATGTTGCTCCAGGGGATTGGCCGGAGAGGGCAAATGTGGACTAGACTAGGAAAGGCCGAACAGATTTGAGATGGCCATGGAAGCTGCTCGTGCTCCTGAGTTGCAACGTGAGCGTGCGAAGACATCGTCGAGTCATTCTGGTCTCTGGCGATGTCCATTTGAGAATGCCAGCCATGTCTTGTCTCCGAGTCATCTCACCTGATTTCAGCCGTTCGCCCTCATCACCGGTGCGAAGTGATGCACTCCCAACCATGCGGCTTCTTGTTCTTTTGCACATCCTCTAGTCCAAGACCCCTCACTCGGCTAGCCAAATTGCGGCTCTGTGATGGTGGTGGAATCAACATCCGGATGACACGACCGTGGGGGTTCTCATTTTTCTGCGAAGAGAGTCATGGAAAGGCCATGACGAATATGATGACCGGCATGATGCGTGATGGGTAAAAGTCAAAAGAGAAGAGAAGAGGTCGAGAGAGCGGCTTGCAGTGAACCAAGGACATTTGTGGTATAGCAACGTGGTTCCGATTGGCCATTATGAACGACCAGGCTCTAAGCTCCTCTCTAAGATTAACCGGTGAAGCTCTTCACGACGTCTTCCCTCAGATTGATGTGATGAACTTGGACTCGGCGCTACCTTAAACGCCGGTATCCCTACTCCATTAATTAGCCTATTCGGGACTGAACCGTTATGTCGGTGTTACCGACAAACAAGTAACGATTTCGACTCTTATGTTCACAGATTCTTCAGATCTGAAAAAATGCCCCTCAATCCAGACTCTCCGGCCACGATCAGCGGTCAGTTCGTATCATATGTGGAGGGGGGCCTGAACCTCTCCCCTGTCCCCATTGTTCAGTTGGCCTCGTCTTGGAGGTGTGTCCTTCTCGTTCAAGGAGTCCCCCGATGCGAATCATTCTCTGGCCCCAGTCGTGCGCCGATCTGACGACCTTGAGGTGTTGAGCTTTCCGAAGTCTCTTGCGATATGTCGTGTTATGTCGGTTCACCAAGCGTGGAGGAATGAAAGGAAGGGATTTTCCCCCCCAAAAGGGGAAAAAAAAAAAAAAAAAAATATCTGCCGAACAGTGGTTTACCGAAGGGTGATACATATCCTCTCTCCCTTTGGGATTTGTCGGCTGGTCACCTTACCCCCCAGACTCTGCTCCTCTGCGCTGAAATCTTCGGGCTCTTGTTGTGTCCATTCTCCCTTCCGCTGTGGATACGATTAACCCAGTCAAAGGTCATACCCAGACACTGTCTCTCAGTTTCTGCTGCCTTGCTCGTCAACACAGCCCGAGTCCACATGCACAGCTTGCGGCGCAATCGTTTCACTCCCCCCCGAGAGCTCTGTGGCCTTAGTCGTCTTCCAACGCCCCAGTTTGCGATTTAGGACAACACTGGCCTCCGACATCTGATGGGTGATTTAGTTAGGCCTGTAACCCCGTCAGCTTCTGGTGATCAAGACGTATGACAGTTCTGTTGGCGGCCTCCAAATAGAGTTCTGAAACCTCCGCTCTCCATCGTTGGATCGGTGCTGGTTCATTTGTGCGCGGTTCCTTGCATGATACATGCGACTGGCTCATGGAATGCTGGGTAAACAAAATCCGTTCGCCGCTCGGATTCCGTACTGCCGCTCAAGCCGGATCCATTGCATTGGCCTAGCTTCCTCAATACAGTGAGAAGGCAACCGTGACCCGTATATTTGCTAACGCCGTAAAGGCAATTCACCAGCTTTGTAGTCCTTGTCTGGTCCATTATTCAGGCATCTTATGTGGTGTCAAGAGACCCTGGCTCTTCTTCAAGGTCAAAGTTAGGCTGCACACCCTGGGCGTGATCTCTTCTTGACAATGAAACATTTAACGATCGACAATTCTTCTGTAGCCCAATCACAGAGCCAAGACTGAGAGTTTGGGAAAATCACCAGGACTGGATTCGGATCGGTGGAATGGCGTTCCAGGGGCGGAGGCGCTGTATCGGGGTTGGAACTAGGGCTTGTTACGAGACCAGTTGCCTAGTTTGCCGTGGAGAGGCCTGCTGGTACCTTTCCTCAACGTCGCGAGTTCATTTCCACATTTGTGGGTCGTAGAGGCAACTCGCTAGGTGGCGGCGATTTCACGTTTGTCGTTGAGCGGTCACAAGTTTGTTGGAAGCGTCAATCTTGCAAGGCGCAGATTCGTGACACTAGGGGAAGAGGCAGTTGGGATCATGGCCATGACTAGTCATGAGGAAGAATGAAGACGATCTACGGGCTTGAAATTCCCCCTATTGTAGCGCAGAAAGACACAGACATCCAAAGACAAAACGAACGAGAGAAAATAAAATCCTTTCGTGTGAATCAGGTATGTCCTTGCTGGCGTCGAAGGAGATGTTCTTTTGCGGTTGGATTTCTCTTCCCGGCACCACGGTTGACAATGCTTACGACGGGAAAGAATTTGAATTAAGCCACAATACTCCAGTCAATATACAGAAGTAGCAAACATTCTTTTTTCTTCTCCACTGCGGTCGAGGGTTTGCCTGTCGATACTCGGCTGCCCAGTTTGAACTCCCGCACCTTGTAACATGCTTCAAGTTCCAAACAACGAAAGACCATCATCCCATCAACACCCATTTCAATTCTCGTGCCATGTTGAATATTTCGAAGGCTGCTGAGAAATGCGTTCGACATGATAACGAGGTGCCGCCACGAGGGATCGTCGAATGCCATCAAATGGGAGGATGAAAGCCGATCGACAAGTCCCCATGACTGTGATTCTTGATTGGCACCGGAGAGACGCAATGTCGTCGGTGTGTGAGGTTTTGTGTCAACACGATGGGAAGAAAAATAGGTCGTCTCTGATTCAGTCAGTCAAGGAGAATTGTAAAGGCATTGGTCACGCACATTGAAATTTGGACAGTGTCCGTGGTTTGGCGGAAGTGTCATTTTTTCCTGGCGTCAGGAGCGTAGGGGTGCACCGTTCGCAACGACGATGTTCGCATGTCACACATTTGACGTACAAACTCCACAAATTGGGGCTGTTCAAGGGATGATCAGGGCAAGCACAACAATACCAGTATGTTGCTGGCACTTTGTTAGAAGGATCAGCTGAATTCATGATGGAGAGAGGTCGATGGCACTCGGGGGAGAGATAAGAGAGGAAGTTACACAGAATGGTCTTCGAAGAGAGAATGAGCGGACGGCTGAAGTCGTCGCGGAGTTCCCTGGTGTGCTCATCTATATAAGGGAATGCTGAGCCCTGTCTGAGCTCTGGAGTGATGATGCGTGCTCCATGTAAAGCTGGGAGGCTTGTTGAACAGAAGAAAGTGGGTGTGGGACCCCTCGCCGACCAGGGTATCCAACACTGCTGAGGTCTAGTAGCGATTGCTCGTAACGGGGGAGTTGTGCGCCATGCCAAAAAGTCCATCCCCATTGGGAAAGTCATAGACCATTCAAATGTTACTGCATCAAGTCTGTGGGTCTAGCAGGGATGAGCAGCCGCAGTGGTGAAAAAGATTTCTTTAAAAGCAAAGTTGTGAGGGCAACCTTCAATATCTTCCGTTGCCTCGTCATCTAGTTTCAACACAAACATTCATCTTGAACGTAAGAATCACTTTTGCAAACTTTCCCATTGTACGGGACGGTAACGCCGATGGAGTAGACCGAGATTTCTTTGCACTCATAGAGCAGTCTCATCTGGATTGCCGAATAGTGTAATGAGTATCCAACGAACGGACAGGTGCAACAGACGGTCTCTTCTTGTGCAGGCTGGGGGAGGGGTCACCAAGTTGGACAAGCATCTCGCCGAAGAGATGCTGCACGTGTGGGTGAGTCTCGGCATGTTCTCAGTAGCCTAGGGTAGAAGGAGTGGGCTGTGACAATCGGCCTTGAAATTAGCCTTTCGATTGCCCCTATCGACTTGCCTGGTCCAGGCGCGACAACTTATAGGCGTGTGTAGGTGCCATGAAACCACGGGGGGCCGATTTCTTCAATGCTGATCATGTTTAGATGAGAATCAGAGCAAATCACATCCAACCAATGGCTCGGAAATGGCCAGAGGGCCGCTTATCGTCACATATGGCCCACCCTGGCTGCCACGTGGACCTGCAAGCCAAAAAGGGTACTTATCCAAAGATCGACACCTTGAAAAGAACGGCGGAGTCTCAGTTTAACCTCTTTTGGTCTTGGGACGAGATGATGGGGTAGTTCGGAAAGCTTTTGAGGATGGAACTTGAGCAAGGTAGGCCGGCCCTTGGAGGTTCATTGACTGCAGGTCCGCCGGCATGTTCCCCGACGACAGTTCTTTCTGAGAGAAACAGTAATAAAAGAGCTTTCTAGGGTAGGGGGCCCGTAGCAGTGACGTCTGCAAAGCTTGCACGATAGATCAAAGGTATGGGAAGATAGGGCCGAGAGTAGAGAGCGGGAGGGGAAGGCCAGGTGATGGGAGGACGGACACCAGCCGGGGGGATAACTATAGCAGCGGCAGCCGCGGACTCCATAAAGCTAGCGCTAAGGAGCCACGCCCAAGCTCACATGTTTCATACCGTAAATTATTTCAAATGTCGTCATGGTCATAAAAGTATCCTTCCTGACCCGCCACGTACAATCGGGTGCCCATATGGGGTCACAGCAAGAGGCGGTTGCACTGGTGTTCCTGCTATCTAGCACGTAAAGGTACATGGTGGGTTTCATAAGTCTTGACCAGATTTTTCATGTGACGACGTTTCTTTGATTTTCGTAGCCATTTCAAAGTCCTTGTCCGCTATGTTAGTGTCACATCTCACACGATCGTGGAGTAGGAGACCAACGAGACCACCAGAATGGGACGTATTAACGTCGAGGAATAGGCCTATCTTCCATTCTCGACGCCCTCTGCTGCTTGACAATCGTTGGAGGACAAGCAGGGCATTTTTGATGATGGCAGCGAAGGCATTGAGTGTTGTGAAGCAAATAATATTCTCGACAATCACAGCACTTCCAGCCGTTGGCGGGTTTGTATACCTGTTCGGGCATAATTGGGTGATTTCCAGAGTCCAAACCGTCGACAGATCGAGGTCAATGTAATGATGTTTTGGAGAGAGGTCTCGGAATGGAGTGTAGATGCGATTTGGTGTCTGGCCGTCGGCACTGATGGTTGGGGAGATGAAGAAGACTTCCATCTCCTGGTAATTTGTCGCCCTTTATAAATCTCGGGGGGATCCATAGCCTCAGCAAAATCTGCCCGAGCGAGTCCATCGCGGTGATGGAAGCTGATTCGTGTGGAAGTTTTCAAGTTGCACAAAGATAGAAATCTACGGAAGAAATCATAGTTGCCGCCCGACCTACAGGAACGCAAGGCGAGTCAGAAGACGAGGAATTGAAAAGGGTCATCGTTCAACCTCTTCAGGGATGTTAGCGACATGCAAAGATCAATGAGAGCAATTTCATATTCGTACAAAACGACCGTGAGGTATTTTGGCGCCGGACCGAGAAAGGGGGTCTGTCAACCCTGAATGGATGTGAACGTCGGCCAAAGACCACGATAGCCTGGTCTTTGTGAATTTAGTTCCCAGGCTCCTTCGATCGTGGCTTGAAACTTAGTGCCTATGGCTGCTTCTCCACTGAGGCGGCGGAGTGGTCAACAAATGCGTGGTTTCAGAATCAGCACAAAGTCGTCAGATTGTGGTTTCATGCTCGGGACGTCGAAATGACTAGGCATCGAGGCAGGCTTCGCCCGCTCATTCCTGAAATTGCGATGGGGGATTACCCGGGTTAGTGTAGAACAAGGGAAAGTCGGTGAACAATATTCTTTTTTTGACATGAATCAGAGATTGAATGTTATATTCAGCGGGTTGGCATCCAGGCAAATAAACGGCGAAGATCTGATTGGGCTATTAGTCGCGAAGAGCAGCCTTGGGAACCAACATCAGGCACCAATTGATGCCGGCGCGAGAAGACCAGTATGAACGCCCTCTCCGGGGCTGGAAACATTCTGGAATCCACAGCGAGATTCTAAACGGGTAGGCAAAGTCGATGCTCAGCCCCCCCTTCTCTCGCGCGCAATAGGGTGGGCGGTCCTTCGTGTGCAAAAAGTACAATAGTCCTTTTGACAATGCAAAACTTCTGCAAGAGTTGTTGTCGGCTTCCACGGAGTGTCCCAGCAGCTAGATGGGAAACTGGAGATCTGAGTCACCTGGCTAGCCAAATGCTCTGCCAACCGGAGATTTGAGCCACGGATGAAGAAGGCTCTGCGTAATTCTGTTGTACAAACCTACCGTGGCCCTGGATTTCAGCTCATGGGACTTGCGATGGTTGTTGCCTTGAAGGCAACCATCACGGATGATTTTGCAAAGGTGGCGCCGTCTGAGTACCTTGGCAAAACTTCAGGCCATCATTCGTCCCTCCTCGACGCCCCCTCGGCGATTTTCATTCAAATATCAGGCAGTTTGATGAAATGTTCCCCCCGACATAAACTCTCACGGTCAATGATTCGTAAGCTAATAATCCTTTGATCAGCCTGAAATGCTGGAAAGAGATGGTCCGGTCCAATTCCCGGCAACGACCCTGTCTACAATACGAAGATTTTTCCTCTAAGATCTCCATCAATTTCGTCTCAAAGCCCGGATCTATCATAGAGCACTCTACCGGCATGGCCTCACCATCTGATTTGCTCTTCCTATGGTGGGGATAAGGCAAAATAACCGCCGGGGGGGAACTGCTGCATGCCCAAGCCTATCTTTTCGAGGGACAATGTCAGGCTGCAGCATGTCTTGTTTCACTTTCGCTAGGTAATGGATAGTGCCCTTTTTTTTAAAAAAAAAAAAAAAAAAAAAAGGGCCAAGAGATGGACATCAGGAAAACATGCAACTCGACCAAGTCGATTTACGGTATGACGTGCATCCCCCCTTCTCCCTTTACCCATCGTCTTTGTGAACTTGAGGACTTGAGGAATTGCCTTCACCATGACGCCGTAGAACTGTATGATAAGATACATGAGAAAAAGTCAGAATCATAAAAGCCCGATTTCCGTGCAGGCATTGATAAAATAGAATCTCGAGCTTCCAAGTCCTCTAACCGGCACCCAGGGCGCAGTAACAAAGTTCCTCCATACTATCCCACAGACTGCCCACCACCTCCTTCTTCACCATAGACGCCAGCGCTATGCACGCCCTCATGGCGGGCTAGTCTACCAGCCACGATCAGGATGCACAAGCTATTTTTTGACTCCTTCAATTGGGCATTGACTGCAACGCTTCACATAGCAGTTCGAGCAGTGGGTGTTGAGGGAAAGGACCATAGGACCGGCTTTGCACTCGCAACAGTACCAAACGGGAATCTTAGGACCCAAGACTGTAAAAGGTGGTGGATTTGGAGTATCTGCAGTCAAGGACGAAAGTACAAGTTCGTGACTGTGGTCTTGTGCCATGTTCGCCTGGCCCCGGAACGGGGAAGGTGCTTCTTCAGATAGGTCGTGGCGGTCGTTGGCAGAATACGCCTGATGGAGGTTGCTGTAGCTACCGGAGAAGGCGTCAGTGATGATTGGATTCCTGTGCTACCCCTTCCGACCTACCACATGATTGCGTACGTGTTTTTGCGTGATGGTGAAGTTTCGGGCAATCAATCCGTAACACCGGTCAATCGGAACAAATGCGTTGAATATGGGAGAAGTCATTTTTGAATCGCGGACGGTCTCCTTTTATCTCCCAGATTTCAAGTCTCTGGCACTTGCTCAACGCTGCGGCATTTTCTTAAGAGGACCATTCACTTTCAGAACCCGAGGGGCGGTGTCCGGACCACAGCAGAGCAATTAAGGGGTCCTCTCATCCAGCTTCTTCCAATGAAACACCTCCACCGAGGACTCCATATTGCCGTGGAGTAAATCACTTCACGACTGCTTGCGTGCCATTGGAAAGGGCGACGTGGCGCAGAGGGCGCTGTGCGAAAAGCCAGGACGAGATGCATGGAGAAAGGGCCCACTTGCGAGAGAATGAGGAGAATCCGCTGTTTCTGTAAAACACCAAATAACCCATGCCGAGGAGCAGCAGACGTAAAATGTCGTGTCAAATGTTTCTTCAGCGGCGTAGCAAGCTCACGACATGGACCGATCCGCGGAAAGATAACCGCGCAAGCGCAATCAAGCGCAATCAAGCCGGTTGATCCTCCTGTTGCAGAAAGGATCAAGTACTTTCAGCGTCACGGATGCCCGGGCGACGATGTATTCTTTCTCGACAATGAAGTAGACGCCCTTAGGCATCATCTTGCGTTTGTCAATGTTTTGGACTTGAGGGGCAATTTGATTGGTCGCCCCTTGACGCCTGTGCAAACCGTCTAGGCTGCGGAATGTCAGTGATGTTAATAGCACAGCCTGGTAAATGGAGCAAAGGGACTGAGAGCACCATTTCAAGACGTAGGCTGATTTTTCATGTGCCATAGTCGGTGAGAAATGCAAAAGTTGCTGGACTTGAATGTTGCCACCAACCTGCCAAACCGAGGCTGTGCAAACTAGACCCGTAGGTGCTTGGGAGCAAGCAATCTCGAGGGCCACGACACGGGGAAGTTGTATTGCCCGGCATGAACTCGACAGAGGAGACGATCCAATGCCCGCAAGCTCCAGAGACGGCCTTGACGAAACACAGACAGGAGCCAGAAGCGGAGATCGGGAATGTGCATTATGGGAAAGCAGGTTCTGCAGCCCTATCACACAAAGTCTCTAGGTTTCGTACTTCGTAGCATTAGTAATGGCGAGTCAAGACGGCATGAAATGATGTTGAAGCAGAGGGGGAGCTCCCACGGTAAAACTAAGGCGCTATTCCGTGCTCACCACGTGACTGCTCTTGGATGCGGTAAAGTTCGCAAGGGGTTTAGACACTCCCTCAACTTCACGTCCAACTCTGCGGCTCTATAAATCCACTGCTCTGGGGAAAATCTCCGTATTACTTCCTTCTCCCCACCGACCGTTCATACTCCATAGTCTTCTCTTCTCCTACAACAGGATCCAAAAGCCCGTCTCAAGATGCCTGGCAACTCAGGCAGTTCCTACTACCCCTACACCGTCACCAACGGCGGAACCAACAGTCAGGTATTGTTGCCTTCTCTCAGAGCAGATCTGAACCTCCTCGTAACTAACGTGATACCCCAGGGAAATAGCTGGGACACTCGCCAACAACCCTCGGGCTCGGCTTACCACTACTCGAACTCCAGTAATGATTCCCTCGCACGCCCCTCCCATCCTCTTTGCCAAAGACTAACCACGGCGGCACTTCAGATGGCTCATACTACTACTCCAATGCCAACGGTAGCACCTACTATAACAATGGCAGCGGATCATCGACCTACACGACACCAAATGGCAATGTGACCAAGAAATAGACGATTATCCCAGCTGCTCAGCAAAGGGACGTCGAAACAAGCATCCTGACTACACAAACACACTCGCTACGCTAACATGCCATTCGACCAGGAGTCTCCCGGATGTTGGCTCGAAGAGCTTTCACTTTGGACCCATCCTTTCGAATCCTGTTTGGAACAACATCAACCAATCATGGACTGCTTCCTTGACCTATCGCTTTTTTAGTCCTACTTTAGTCAGAGCACGGTTGAGGAATCAGGAGGACTAGGCGTCAAGCACGGGACATCCACATCAATCGGAACGTCTCGTTCATAAATAGCTTATCGCCAGGCTTCTCTCCGATTAGCTGCATCCACAATAAGATGATATTTTGAAACAAGCTGTTCCCCGGCTTCGGCAAACTCAATTTGGGGCCGTGAACCTTTCTTTTTTTTGTTTGTTTACCACATGGGTATCTCCTCCTCACGCCACGATTTCGAAACGGCTCAGTATTCCCAACATCTTCCACGCACGCTCAGATCATGGTCGGCTGCCAAAAATGGGGCGTTTGAAAACTAACAGCGTCCTTCCACACGGGGTCGACGACGGCGTTGCACACGAGACCAAAAACCATTCTCTGGGGCACATTGGACATCTCCATTGCGAACTAAATGGCCTTGGCCCCGTCAAACCTTGAATTCCTCGTCGCCAGAGGTCGCTTGTTTCACCGCCGGGGAAGCGGACCAAATCTTGCTGCCCAAATGGACCCCGGCCTTGTCTGCGCTCCCAAAGCCAATGGAGTTGCCTATTGGCCCTTCGAGACTCTCCACAGGGAATGCCACTGTATTCTGAGGCAGCAACATCGGGGACAATCCGACATTAAAACAATCTGTCATTTCATAGCCATACTGCATGACGCAGCTTGCCCATCCTTCATATCCTGGCGACTTGGCAAAATTATTCGACTCAATCAAGATCCTATTTCAGGTTCGTATGTCCGACCGGTTGGGCTCTGCGAAGATCAACGTTCTACTTTGGGTTTCGTCGGCGACAAATATCACGTCCTCGCTAGATAATTGGAGGCAGTATTGTAAAGATGTCTTCTATCATATGGGAGCATTGGTGCTCACAAATCACTCCCTTCGCTCCAACTGTAATATCTTCTTCCGATTTCTCTCAGATAGGATATGGAACCTTTCGTCTGCTGCCTTAGAATATGCACCACTGCTGCGAAGCTACAACGCGCTGAACCTCAACAAGATCAGTCATCTGTCTTCGCCATGTCTCTGCGGTAAACCCATGCGGCGCGAACAACTGTCCAGGATGCGATTCATCTTCTGGGGCGGCCCTGATCGGGATGACGGATCGCGCAGAGACGGTACGGCCACGCCGCTTGATTCTCAACTCCTTCCTCAGCGCCGTCCAAGGTTCATTTTCATAGTCGAGGATAACGGAGTATCTGTGAGGAGACCCCGACAACGAAAACCTGCAAATATGGTCTTCGGAAAGGGAAACCTTGGATATATCCACCAAAATTGCAGACTAGGAGGTCATTTGATGTTAGTTCAGCTTCTATGTCAGGCCGGAGCAGGTCGGGTGTCTGGCGAAGCTGAAATTGGTCTCTGGGTTAGGAGGTCGCCAGGAACCCCGCGGAAGCCATCGGTTGCAGACAGGGGATACCGTAGACAAAAAGGTTGGAGGCAGAGATTTCGCTTTGACATGACCAGAAGTCCATTTCATCCGGAGCGGCGAGAGCTTGGCTTAGGTCAGTACTCAACAACACTGAGCCACAAATTATTGCATCTAATCCTCGTCGAGCAGTTCCTACCTTTGCTGTTTGAGTCGCGGATCCTGGCAGCGCTATTCACCCCTCCACACGTCATGGCTGCAAGACAGGGAGAGGTCTCTTCAATGTTTCTTGGAAAATCCCGAACGGGATCCAGGTCTGGATGAACGCAGCTGCAAAGGCGAAGGCAATAAAACGAGTCTCGTTGTTTTCTGGAATATCTTGAATGATGACGCTACTGAGCCAAGACAATCCGTAGTCGTCCCCAATCATCTCGAGTAGCGTCAATTTTACCCTCGGGCAACGCCGTGACATTCCAGCTTTGTCGCTGATCGTACCTGATGCCGCCGAGATTGGCGTAGTTTGGACCACCAAGGTTAAGGACAGGTTTGTGAGCGGTGACCTTATCTGGGAGGGGCGAGAAAGAAAAAATAGTAAAGTAGCCACGACTATCGAAAAGGTATGTCGTCGAGGCTTGAAACGTGAGCGACTTTAGTCGGGTTTGTAGCTAGACAATATGGGAAGATTTTATCAGCCCCGGCCAGTCACAGAGGAGAAGTTGAGCAAAAACAAGGGGTTCTTGAAACTGCTTGATCATTTCACCCCAGTATGGCAGCCCCCAGCCCCGTAGAGCCGCCCCGCAGAGATCATTTCTGCCCCGGATTGGGCTTGTTATATCATGGATATGTTGGTCTCTAGTATGGAAAGGATGGAAATTGATCTACGGGGGAGCGTAAATCCAGAGTTGCTATTACGCCAAATGCTCCTCCGCTGTACTTCTTCAACCGATATTTTTCTTAAAAGACAAACACCCAGTGAGCTTGAGTCGTTGATATCCCCCATTTGTTTGCATGTCTGCGCGTCATCTCGGAAGGCCATGTCTCTCCTTCCGGAGATACCAGGCGCCATGCAGGCACTGGTCGAGCTCCTCACGTCGACGAGCTGGTCATAGCAGATGGACCAAGATCAGGCATGACAAGGGCAACAATGATAAAGTGAAGGCTAAGGCCAGGACACAGTTGTCCCATGACATTATTATTGCCACCAAGTGTATGATATTACCTATCAGATCCACCAGGCCTCCAGAGTCTGACTTGCAAGCAGTTGGCGGCCCCGATCCTACCTTCAACTCCAAACTTGCCATTGCGATTGCAAACGCCAAAAAGGGCCAACTCTCCAAGACGTCAATTGAACATGCCATTGCGAAGGGCCAGGGCAAATCTCCCACAGGCCAGGAACTTGAAACCATTACAATCGAAGCATTGTTGCCGCATGGCGTCGCCGCCATCATCGAATGTCAAACCGACAACAAAGCAAGAACGCTTTCTGACATACGCTTGATCGTCAATCGAGCTGGTGGGACCATTACTCCGACCATGTTCCTGTTTGAAAAGAAAGGGATAGTTACATTTGAAGAGCAAGACCAAATCAAGCCTGATGATGCCTTAGACGAGGCCATTGACGCCGGTGCCCTCGATATTATTTCGGACGAGAACAAGTTGGTGGTTGAAACATCACCGACTGATATAATGGCGGTTACTCTGAGGCTGCAGGAGCGATTAGGTCTCCGCGTTGAAAAGTCGGAAGTCGTCTACGTGCCCCATGAGGAGTCAATGGTAACCTTGTCGGAGGAACAAGAGCAAGAGCTACAGAAAATACTCGACACGATAGAAGAAGATCCGAGTTCTCAAAATCTGTACATCAATGCTGCGTAATTGAAAGGATAAAATGCACATGTTTCCGCCCCCCGGGTCAAGAGACTTTGGCATTTCACGTCGATATGTGCAAGGAGTGAGATCTGCGAGGCGGTGACTCAACGCGTCGAGGGACAATTTGGACACCCCAAATCTGAGCCGTGACCGAGGGTGTCCCTCCACTTGTGACTTCAGCCTCGTAGCCTTGTGACTTATACGGCAGAGCATGAGCCTGCCAAGAATCACACCGTGTACTCGCGGCCAAATTGATACATGGTAGATAATTGGAGTCCAATTCGACAGGATTCATATCCCCTTTTTGAATTGGGGGACAAGTGACCATATGAGCGTCGCCTCTGATGTCACTGATCATAATCCAATCACTATCACTCGATTTCAAGTAACATGGACCCCGGAACAACAATCACAACGTGGCAACAAGCATTTGAGGAATATCGCATTCCCACCACCCGGACGATCGAGAAGCAATTGCGGTCCAGTGCGGCACGAGACAAAGAAAAGTTACGGGCTCTCGTTGGGTATGGCTCCTCACTTGGAACCTGTGACTCTGGTTTCTTAAACCCCCCCTTGAACGAATTCACGGTGTCTTCTCATCACATGGATCACGTGAACCGATCTTGATGGTGCTGACTGTCAATCCGAACTGTAGTGGAAGTTATCGAGAACTCCTGGCGACAGCGGAGGCAATTGTGATTTTGGACACCAAAACCAAGACTACAGAAGACCGTCTCTCATCCATCGCCCATGAGTGTCGGCCACCCCAGCAAGATGCTTCTTATCGACCCCCTCCTCCAGGCAAGGCCACGTTGGCGCAATTTCGACTCCTGCAACGGTGCTGCACGACATCGGCCGCTTCTCTACGAACCCGTAATTTACTCCAATGTGCTCAGCTCATCGTCGTGTCTCGTTTGTTGTTGAAGTCTCTAAGTGATCAAGAGGTGTTAGCCAAAGGCCGTGAATTTCTGCGAAACAGAATCAGTACACTCCGCCGACAGTTACTTGGAGAAGTTGATGCTGAATTGGTCAATCCTATTGTAACATTATCGGATCTTCTGGATTCGATATGTTCTTATTGCTTGGTCACTAGTGTATCGTCGGAGGATGCCCTCGCTCATCTTTGTCAACTTAGACTCGAAAAGCTCCGGCGTCAATTAAACGTTGCCCGTCAAGCATCAATGATTTACGAAGCTCTTCAATATCAGCTGGCTTCTCTACAAATGTTCAAGGCTTTGACCGGTCGTCCCATCACCGAAGCAATCCACAACCTTCAGAAACGGCCCATTCTGGTCGATCCAACAATCAGAGACCTCGAGCTCCTTGACCTGGACAGGACTTGGCCACTCATTCCCACCGAGATCCAGTCGTTTGTTCCGTATTTTAAACGGAGTGGGCCGACCGCTGACGAAACGAATGCGAAGTTGGAGGCCTGGTCGCAGGACGCCTGTGGCGCCCTTACTGGCGCCATGAAGAATCATCTCACAGAGCTGAACGATATAACCACGATCCTCGAATTGAGAAAGGATCTGTACACAATTCTGCTCCGTTCATATTTCTCAACCCCCGCCGGCGCCGAGATCCAAAAACAAGTTCGACACGTCCTCAACGAACGAATCAGTGCCATCTGCCATAGCGAAGGATCGCAATTGATGGAAATCACCAAATCTATACTCCAGGGAATCAGTATCAACAGACCAAACAAGAAATCATTATGGGATCCCGACATAGCCCAATCTAGTCTGAGCAATGGTGCTGGCAATTTCATCAAGCAGGTGAAAATCCACCACGCCGGCCTCAGCGGTGCGCTTTCAAAAGCCACCAAGGCGTTGGATTCCTGGATATCATCGGCCCGCATGATTCAATCCCAGATAGACCACCTGGCAAAGATTCGGTGGCGAGATATCATCGAAGAGCCAGAGGAAGAATACGAAGAGGACGCGTCGGATTTGATACAGACGCTTTCGACGAGAGATCCAGATTCATACCATAAAAGCTTGCAAGAGGCCGTACAAAAGGCCATATCGAATTACGAGACGAGCATGACACGAGCAGCATCTGAACTGGTGGATTCAAACGAGGTGGACGTCGCTCCAAATTTCCGCGAGGCTGTGACGTTACTGCGCTCCATACGACTCTCAACAGTGTCATTGCAACAAGCCTTCCCCCACGGGACAAGCTTCACACAACTCACCGATATTGTGCCCCAATTGCACGAGGTCGTGGCGAGGGAGGTGAGCCGCCGACTTTTCGAGGTAATGGAGGAGCGCAAGGAAAGATCATTGAATTGGGACATGACGGCGTTGCCGGAACCCATGCCTTCCCCTAAGGCCTTTAGCACACTACGCCGAATGTGCCAGATCATGCTCGAAATCGGCGGGACAGACCTCTGGTCTCCGCCTGCGGTTGACGTCGTGAAGAAGACCGTCACTCGACGGATTTTCGATGCCGAGCACCAACGCTGGTATGTAGAGAATGAATTGGACGCGGCGTATCTCAAGGCCGCTCTTGGATACGATACCGAAGAATCTGCATCCAATCCATCGGAGGCTGGGCGAGCTGGGGTTGAATACTGGACGAGGACAAAGCTCCTATTCGGTGTGCTGGCTTGAGAGAGTTCAGATCTGGTCAATGATTTCAATATGGAAAATGAAATGAATGTCGGCATCTCAGATACCAGCTTTCAATTGAACGTTTTGATATCCGAGTCCCTCGGCGCAAATTCCTGCCGGTCATCTAGCATCAAGACTGTAGCGAGAATGCCTCCGGCCCATGACGTCTTTGACTCGTGGAATTTGTTCTTGTTTCCATCCTCGAAGGAATGGGATGAAGCTGACACCAGCAATGACCCAATTGGGTTTAGTATGATTGACATATTTCAACGACACGCCTCTCTCCATCGACTCAGGATTCCTTCCCTCTCGTCTTTTCTCTTCTCTTTTCAACAATGATACTGACGATCAAATGCCCTTTCCGGTTCGTATCGGTGTGCTCCGTGCTGCCGTAACGTTCTGTTCTCCCCAAAACGACCACTCACCAAACAATTCTATTCGCCGCAGCGGAGCCTCCTCCCTATTCTCACCTGGAGGGAATCCCCAAAGCCGTCGTCGAGCTCGCCGTTTATGTCCTGGAAAGACATCTTGGCCGAAGTAAGCCTTATGCAGAGATTGTCTTTCTGCTGTATGCTCTCGGGCCAAACATTCGTCAGACACGCGTTGAGTCGTTCTCATGCAAGAATTTATCACGCATGAACCAATGTCCATTACGGTTAACAACAGCCTCTATGACAATTACTCTTTGGTCATCAATGCGCGGCAGCTGTATGAATGAAAAGTCATAACTTCTAATGCCATGCACTGGACAATGATGACCGAAGGCCAAAGTTTTTCCCACTCGGAGAAAAGAAGTGTATACATTTCCATGATCGCTTTTTCCACACTGTCTGGCCAAGAAGAGGACCAAAACAACTTCACCATTTTGCTTTTTGCTTTCGGAGCGAAGATTTCTGACCAGCTCACATTCATCCATCGCTAGGTGAGGGAGTGATGCGACCCCTTAGATACGCCATGTTCCTAGTCACGTTCACATCCGATCCGCGAAAGATGAATCCCACACGTCTCTTCTTCCTCTTCTACACCGGTCATCCCCATCCCAGGCATCCGGTAAACAGATCACGAAGTCATCCCTCCCCGCCTCCTCAAACACTTCAGGGTCCTCATATTGCGTGTCAGGTCTGCGGGGACTCCATTCCTCTTCTGTATACATCTTGTCATTAGAAGCTACACAACCTTTCCTGGTAAGATGGAACGAGATTCGTGTACACCTTAACTCACCTCCCAAGCACCTCAACAATATCCCAGCATCATGGCGTGACGAGTCTGTACAACTCATGCCCAAGCTGTGCGACAAATAAAATCCGATTCACACTCGAGACGTCAACCCCTTGCTATCCTTCTTTGCCGAACGGCTAATACAAAGGGGAATCATGGGTCACCTGAAGCTGCACCGCCAGGGTTGAACAAGAAGATCAAAACCATCGAAGATCCTTTGGATTAGAAGAAGCAAGAACACGACGAAATGAGTGAGACACTCATTGCATACGAGAAAATTCCTTCAATTGTCAATCCGCGACGAGCACTTGATTATCGATGCTTAAGGAGTCTCAGAGGTTACCACTCGCCAGATGACTTGCCGACGTCCAAACAACATCGGCATCGACATCATGATCCAAACCAATTAGAAAGTCCCCTAGTCGAGCTTGACCTTCAATGTCTCAGCTGTCAAATGCACCGCGCTGAAAGAGCTGCGCAATACGATTGTGTCGGCCAGGTCAGAAGGTTTCGAATTGCGAAAGGTAACTCTTTGGTGGGATCATATCCTTCTTCGCTTAATCCAAAGATCCCAGCAGGTCGCCTTCAAGTTGGAAGAAGCTGGGCATGTCGCCAGAATCAACATGACTCCAACCCAAATTGACAGAACCTGCGTTCTCCCGAGGACCGAATATGTGGCTTGGTTCAATCGGGATGCGTACACGGTGGATGTCAAGATTACAGTTTAATTAGGGCATTTCCTTCATCATCGTACAAGCATGTATTATTTGCGACACAACCACAGAACTGCCGAGAGACAAGCAGGCAGACACCGGGCTGAAGCTATCACGAGCTGTACAACAGCGCTGGGTTTACGATTACAAAGTGGCACCAGCTATGAGCTACGGCTTTTCTTGGGGTGGGTTGAACACAGATGAGATCCCTTTCCATGCATTTCGTCCTGCACATCATTCTTTCTATTACCAAGCCGATGTCAAATGCATCGAGACGGCGCTCTGACCTCCAATCATATCTCTCTTCATGCATTTCCCGGGTTCTTCAAGCATCTTTTCTTCCTTTCTTTCGCTTGTTTCGTTTTCATCATGCACGCCGACACTCCAATATGGTCCACGGCCCTGTCCTTACGCGAGTCGTTCGGCCCCAACATCCAGCCCGGATTCATCAATATTCTTCCGACTAATGTGCACCGGAGAGGAGGTCGCCGATCTGTTATTCTCGAGTGAGAGTAAGCCTGCAACATATTGTTGATCTCGTGTCGCTGACAGGGACAGGGTCATGGATGCACGTTCCTAGATATAGACGCGACCGCCCTACTGTCACGGGCAGCAGGATTTGAGAGCAGAAGTGACAAGCAAATGAAGCCCAGCACATCCTAATTTCCGAGGGACACAAACGAGGACAACGATCGACCATGGTCATTCGTCTTTACTGGCTTTTTGACGCATCTAGATCACGCTGCCACCGTCTTCGTAGATGATCGTCTTCAAACTTCCGAAAAATTTCGGATTCCAAGCGAGGGACCGAGCTGAACATTCCTCTCCCCACCATCTCGGTCCGCACTCCCATAGATGCTGTTCAAGTTGTCAGAACAATTCGACATGACGAACAAAGATCTGGCTAAAGCACACCGCAGATAAGAAACCAGCTGCTTATTCGATGTGACATGATACAAGAAACACGAGCGAGAGGCAGAGTCAAAAAGAATTTGGAGCTCAGACCACGACTTATTCTGAGTGTGGGAATCCACGCACGTCCGCAACGATTGCTGCTGTTCGTGTGCCTCCCGTTCATCAATAGGAGACCAGGAAACCAGCACGTTTCTTTTCGTGGAGACGTGAAGACGTGAAGACGGACGTGCTCGACGGACAGCGATGGTAACCGCGACAAAAGTCGAATTCTCAACTTCAACCTCAACCGTCACACTAAATTGGGGTTATGGAACATGCCTTGAAGTGGGCGTCGTCACATCACTGACACCTGCCAACAAACCAGCCAACCTATCGGGGTAGGATTCGCGTCAACAAAGGGCTGTCACTTCTCAGGGCTCTTCATGGCCATCTCACACTTCAGCTACAAGATTCGTTCGATATAGGCTCTTTGTACATGCCAAATTACGGCGACGGATCACGATTTGCTATAAAAAGGCCAACTGCGACTCGGTTCACCTGAATATTACAAACTCGGACCGTCCACGACTTAGGCAGAAGATAGACGAACGAACAAGCTTTTCTACAAGGCTCTCATTGCCGATTTCTCAATATTTATACGACATGCCAGGGGCAAAAGCAGAAACGGAAACAGAATGGGCAGACCGAATAAATTGAATCACTCCGGGTCCATCAGGTATGAGACATCAGTATACTAGTATACGACGCACTACTCCAGCAAGGTATAATATACCGTAGAGCACCTGGTTCTCGTACAGTTCTGAAAGCTCAACCCCGACAAAACGCGGTGGGAACCTGACCAGGACTCAGACTTGATTTGTGCACTCAGAGTCACCATGGATTTTGTTTTCCATTTCCCTGTCCAATCGAGTCATCGGTGTGGTTCGATGTGAACGAACAATCGACCAGGGCTTTGTTCCTTGTGGCCCTCCCGATTTTGCCGGGAGAACCCATCCATCCTCCCATAACAATTTATTTGATCGCCCTTTTTGACCCCCAAACCCAAAAACCCTAGCTTGTGCATAGAAGATAAAGAATCAACTGCGTAGCTCAGTATCCTTCTCCTTCTCCATCTCCTTCCGTTTCAACCAAATCTGTCTTTCCCCTACCAAAACCCAGATTTGTCCACTTGTCATTTCTGTTATTCGATTCGTCGGTTGGCTCCACGTTCCCGACTGATCGCTCGCACCGTTTCGCCTCCGCTGCTGTAATGATTCACCCAAGATACATTCGAAAAGTCATCGTGAAAAATGACCCAGAGATCCTTAGGGAGGGTCAATGAACCCCCCCACCCAGGAACGTCATACAGGTCTACGTTTCACCATCATCTTCTGTCAAAGCCAGTTGAAAGAAAGGTAGTTAAGACGCCATTTTCAAGGTTCTGTATGTCCCAATGCAATATCCAAGCACGATCCCCAAGAGCACACCGGATTGACCACTCGAAAACAGATTGCAGTGGAGAAAAGAAAGCCAGGGAGGGGTAGTCGTCGAGACGTGGTCATAGGTTCGCCCTTGATTACACTCTCAACGAACGTAGGGGTTCAGAATTCGAGCAATTTTATTGCCTTTCGTGCCATCGGCACGAGTGTATACCAATTCCCCGTCCATTAGATCATCGTCTTCCTCTTCTCGAATCTCACGAGTTCTGGTGTCTGGTTCAATGTAATCATTGGCACCGGACGGTGGGTAATGACGGGCCGGAGGGGTGGGGGCAAGAACGGGCGCCATTGGTCGTGCTCCTGCTTTCAGAGCGGCACCATGGTCATAGGTTTGCGGACTGTATGACCGTTTGGTGGAAGACGACTCTGGTAAATTCCACTGTCGGGTATTCTGGTCGTATGACACATTACTCGTGCTGATGGGGAAGTGCAGGGGCGGGAGAATGAGGTTGTTATCATTGTCGGGCGTGATGGGCCTCATGTGAGGAGGCTGAGTGCCGCTGGGCGTGGGCGTGGGCGTGGTGGATTGGTAGGACCTGGAAGCGGGAGCAGGAGGAGCACGCATGGTGGGTGCCGGGCCAACAGGACTGTCGAGGATATGTCGAGGGGCTGGAGGTGGGGGTGGATTGAATGCCGGGGGCGGTGGCATTGAAGAGGTTGGAGTCAAACTGGGTAACGAAGGACTCGCGAGAGGCATGCTTGCAATGGACGATTGGCGACTTGGGATCGCAGGTCGGCCATAGATACTTTCGATTGATGCTCTTCTCGCGGTTTCGGCTTCGTATTGACTGCCGAGGCTATTTCGACTGGCCGACCGTGAATGCTCCAGTGCCCGGTATGTGGCTTGGGGAGTGCCGTGGTATGAACTGTTGTGATCATCATCGGCATCAGCACCGGCCTTCTTCGCTCTCTTTCTCTGCCTGATATCCCGCCGGATGCGAACTCGGCAACCCTGATCGGCGACCAGCTTGCTCAGTGCCGTGCTGGTGTTCAGGCCTGGGAATTTCTTGGCACTGTAAACCTGGAACGGAACCGATTGAACTTCCAAGCGATTGGACATGCTTTCGTGACGAACAGGTGGGGTGAACTTCTCGCTCGATGGGGGAGGAACGGTGAATGGTTTTCCATGGTCCGCATCCATTTCATGCTTGACCCCTTCGAAGAGGGAGAATTTGAGTCGATACCAACCTTCGTGCCGGACCGATAGGTCTGGAAAGATGAAGTAGGCAGCTCGTTCGGGCCGGTCAAGATACGCGGCGCTGGCCACGGCAACACCAGTCAACACTGGAATTGCCGGAGGGGTATGCATCTTGCCCGAGGCGATTGGCCGTGCCACTTCCAAGCTCGCATATAGCATAAAGGTGGCATCATAAATCATGGTGACATCGGTCTCGTTGGAAAATACTCTGAGCTCGACAACTGGAGGGGGATCAACTGGTCTGCGGTCGGCCGATGCTGTTTTTGCTTTAGTGGGCGTTCGAAAAGAGGGAAAAATCAACCACTCACATCTGGGACCGGAGCCGCATGCTCGAGCCTTCTCGGGTTGCTGCACCACCTCTAGACTATATGTGATACGTCTGCCGTCGATGGTGAATCGGGAGAATTCACTCTTGGTTTCGTTGGGTGGTTGCACCATGTTGTGTTTGATGCCGCCAATATGGTATGTTCCGGTGGGAGGGGGGTCGAGGTATACGGCCGAGACGCCTGGGATGAAAAGTTGGGGGATAGCGGGAGTCGGGCCTGGTTGAGGCAGTAAGGGCCGTTCAGCGTGATACTCGGGCCCTACAACCTCCCTCAGGGAGGGGAGACTCTGATCTGGCTCTGGGTCGAGGACCGTAGATGAAGTGGAAGGCTGACGTGACTGTTGAGGGCTATCCATACCGTCGGTTAGCGAGGGATCGGAAACAGATGGGACTTGGGACATGATGAATCGCGAGAAACCTTGAAAAGGAGAACAGAAGCATGCACAAAGAGAATACCGGCGTAGCGGCGGATGGGTCAACCTAAATATTCCCAACCGCGATGGCAACGTGAACACCCCAGTGTTCTGCGGGCCACTGGTGCCTGCGGTTCTCCCGTCACAAGGCACTCTCTGCCTTTTGGTAGCTCACGGATTTCTTTGGGTGTCGAAAGCCACCGTAGCCGACACCTCAGCTGAATCAAGATGGAATCCGAGGACGGGGAAAAGACTAACCTCTGCTAAGCATCCACTATTGCTTCTCCGCTACAACTCGAGGCCAGTTTCCAGTTTCACCAAAGAACTCTTCGACAAAATAGGCGGCTTGCTCAAACAAAGTTGACTCAAGTCTCGGTATGCTATGACTTGGCCGAACACTCTTCCGACCTTGTGGATTGGGTTTGTTACGCGACCAGTGGATGAGAGGATGCGTTGAACAGTAATGGGAGAGCTGGATTTCTTCGGGAATCAATCACGATCATCGATGTCTTTCTTTGGCTCCTCCTGCGCGGGTGTACAATGGTTGGAATACTTGGGTCAACCACTGATGATTCCTGAACTTTCCCAACTAGAGTTTGTCAATCGATTGAATTGGAAGAGACAGAGCTCGTTGTGTGGGTAATGTTATGATATTTCGGGAGGTGTGCGGTAGAAGGACGATCAGTCGTTGGAGGAACCGAAGTGTTGGAACGAGTTTCTTTGTTGCTCGTAGAGAGAACGATCTGCAGCGGAGATACCAATATCGAAGCGGCCAGAGCGTCTGTCCTTACAGTGAGGGGAGGAGGGAGAGACGAGAAGACGACTGATTGAAGAGAACTCCAGGACTTGAACACATCCACGGCGCAATGCCCTGAGTGTTGAGGGTGGCAACAAGTATGGAACAGTTAGCTGGTGAGGGAAAGAATGGAAAGGGATGGGGTGTTGAAGGAGGAGAATTGGATGACCGAAGAATTCAACCGAACGAGCAAAAGATGGACTAATACAGTGCATACTGAAAAGGCATTGGGGACGAGCGGGTATCAGTCCAGCACCAGCACCAGCACCAAGCAAGGTTAACCTGAATGCCTGCCGTCCTCTGCTCTGCGGGCTGGCTGGCAGGGCTTCTCCCCTTCCCTCACACTGATGAACCATCCTTGTACTCCCTACCCGAGGGCTCGCAAAGCACACACCACTTGGACCGCACGCCACCATTCCCATCTGCTCATCGTATCCCGGTGCCGCTAAACTTTCTGGCGGCAAGCGTCGTACAAAAGGGCATAATGGGCATGGGTCCGGCTCATAGGCGCCGCAGTAGTCGGTGGTTCCGGCAAAGGGATAGTTTGACTTTGCTGCCTATCTTCTACAGGTTTAGGTGCTTTCTGGCTGGGCCACCCTTCGTACTCGCTACCACCTGCCGCAATGTCTATCTGAGATCCTTTTGGAGATTTGGACCGGACTAATAGGTGCACGCTCCCTCGGTTTGGAGAGGGAGGCCATCCACCATCCGACTCCCCCGGCCCTCGCCCCCGTCTCTGTAGGTGTATCGAGCGACAAGCTAACCGGTCCGGCGAAAAACTATCCTGCGGCACTAATGCCAGCCTACTGCTGTTATCACAGAACCGCTTCAAAGCTAGTCCTGTCTCATTCCTATCCGACGCAGTGGCCCAAAAAGACCACTGCAAAACGTTGAAAAGTTGGGGGTGTTCAATCATGGAGAGTGCGGCAGACAAAAAGACACACACCCGAAAAAAAAAAAAAAAAAAAAAATTCCACCATGATGAGTGAAGAGAGAGTGAGAGCAAGGAAGGTCGCGTGGCAGGAATTTGGAATAAGGACAAAAAGAAACTCGATGGGAATATTCGTCAAGCCCAAGTGAGCCTTGACAAGCATAAGAACGGTCTGTCTGCAATCAAATTCTTGGTCAAGTAACGGCAGACTGCGCTACTCTTGCCTGAGGTGGCCGAACAACAGGGCTGGTCGGCTCACCTGATCAAGAATATCGTTTCCTCTTGAAATTATTTCGATGTTAATAAACCATTCTAAGCATGAGGAAATTTCGTTCTGCTCAAGACTTGATTCACATCGGGTTGAGTCGAAGACAAGGGGTGGTTCGTTACACACGTGCCCCTCTCACCTGGCCCATCTAGGATTCCCTCTCGTGCAACATTCATCTGTCAGAGATTGTGCGCTACGACCTTGATGCTGCACCCATCCGTCCCATCCTTTTCGATTCACTGCGGCCGTTGAGAGCCCATATGAGGGTGAAGCCGCATCGCCGATGAGAAAAACCTGAATGGTTTGGGTTTGACGATTGACAGCGTCAGAGGTTTTTCACCGTGCAAGTTTCCCAGCAAGCTTTCAAACGTGGTTGACGGGCCGGCTCCAGAAACATGGCTATGGGATGCACGATAGATTGCAAGGGGCAAACCAAAGGTTCGTAGAGGACCCAGAGGACCAGGAAGACAGGCACCACCGATAGACGAGACACGCCAGAGAGGTGCCATGAAAGGTCCCAGGGCACGCTAAACCGATGTCAGAGCGCCCTACTACGGAACCCGAGGCCAGCCCCCCTCCCAAAAGAACCGACGAAGGAGGGTTTCGGACATGATGACACTGTGGGGAAAAGATCGACGGACATTTTGGACAGTTTTGATGGGGAAGCCAGTGAGATGGCTCCCTTTGCCACAACGTCGAGCAAAGAGACAAGGGGGAGGGAATTCAAAGCCGTAGGGCCCGTGCACGATGGGCTCCCCGGCTTTTTTTTTCAAGTTGATTTCCAGATTTCCAGCCCGGCAGCACCAATTCAATTGTACAAGCCAACTAATGCGCCAACAACCTTCCCCAGTCCTTCCTTTAGGGATTCACTGGTCTGTACCTGGAACCGGCCGGGCCTGAAACCGAATTTTGTGCATGAGAACGAAAACCCAGAAGAGCCACTTGTTTTGGTGACGGCATTTTTGGGCTTACAGAAGTGCCGTTCGATTCCTTGCGCTAGCCCACCCAGCACCTTCCGCACTCCTATAACCCCTCAATTCCGAAAAGAGGAAAGTATCTATTAACCCGTTGTGCAATATGCCGCCGAACGCCGCGCAGCTGTCTCGCTTAGAGACTTCTCACCGGAAAACGCTGTGCTAAATAGGATTCCCATGGCCAAAACATCCTTGCGAAAAACTTTGACAGCAACAACGTACCGTTTGAGTATGGTGTACGAAAAATTGAAGGTCGATTTTCCCGTCCTCGTTGTCTTTGGCTCTCAACATCATGGCCCCATCGATACGAGAGATCACTTCGTTCTCATTTCGATAGATCGAGCGGACCACACATGCTCGGTTCGATCCTTCGATCTGAAGCGAAGCCTCATTTGTATTTCTCATCAGAGATATAAGAATTTTGATCTCAACAAATTTGGGGGGTGGCCGGGCCATTATTGAACGGGTGCTGACCCCGCCGGCCCCTCTGGGTACCTGCATTGTGTCCATCGTCGCTTACCACATTCATTTCAAGGACAAGTCAGAGCCAGGATGTACAGGAATAAAAGTCTCGACGTCCGCCACATCAAGTTTTAGACCCCTCTGCACCACTCTTTTCGTGTCATCCACGCTTTTGGCAGGTCTTTTAGTTTTCCTCGAACGTCGCACCCGAGCCACCCTTTTTGGGGGCTAGCTCCAATTACGCCAGCAGAATCACAACGTTCACCAAGCTTGAAGAATCTCAATCTTGATGACTGGCTGAATAAAAATCCGGATTGGCCGTGACCCTGAATGGACGAATCAGATCTTACGAACACGCTTCTGGAGAGTCGTTCATCTTCTAGACTGCTTGAGGCTATGTTGGGATGGTGGGATGGTTGGAATCATGGGGCCTTTCCAATGACGTGAACATCCGCTGTTATTGGACCCGACTGCACCACTGACTGCAGCCGTACATTGGCCGAACCAACAAATTTGACAGCCATCCAGGATGGCTTCTGTACCAATCAACCTGCACACCCAAACCACTCAACTCAAAGGTAATACCGGTCTGAATGTCTTTGACTAGCTGACCAGATGAAAATTTTTCCGGGCAGAAACGGCTTCATCAAAGGCCAGCATCGATGCCCACGTGTCGGTGGCGTTACGAGTGACAAGCCTCAACACCATCTTCATTCTCCGACAAGGAGGTCATTGTTGGTCATGCTCTGGGATGTTCGACAGGAGCAAGCTTTGCTCTCAATTTCGAAAGAAAGGACCAAAACTATCATTTCATGCGTCCCATCTTTGTGGACTATCCACAGAAGTCAGCCATCAATTTGACATCTGGGTAGCTGCTTCGTCCTAACCGAGTGAGAGTATATTCCTGCCTTGTACCACTTTCCTTGGAACTCTATTTGCTGTGCCGACAATTTCGTCCTCCCGGACTGACGAATATTGATTGTCACACCACTTTTTCAAACATGAATTGTTAACTCCAGGAGTGGTCCTGCTGAATTCGATTGGTCGGTCGTTTTCTCCGAAAACCGAGTCGATGATCTTGTTTTTGAGTTGGAACCATTCTGTCAGCGTCTTAACGCCTCTTCCACACATTTACTATCAAGCCCTAAGATTTGCGCCAGACACCCTAGACGACAGGCAGGTAACGTTCTACGACCACCGACCCAGATGAGCTCTCCTTGTCAAGATAAATGTAGACATTGACTTTTTCACTGCTTGTGGTGGGTAGGATCTCACCATGACAATGCTCTCTTTCAGTCACAAGACGTGCTCACATGATTTACCTCCTTTAGAGGGGGCCTGGACGGCGATCAAGTCGCTGTTTTGCCCCCCATTTCAAAATTGATCTCCAAAGGACATTAGGTACCAATTCTCGACTTTATGCGCCGGTGAAATGTATTGCAAATCAAGCCATTAGGTCAGCCAGCAAAAGAAACCCTCCTGTGACAGGTCGATACGTAGGCACCGTATGCTTCCATCTTCGTCGCAATATCTCCTCCGCTTCCTTTCTGATTAAATTGGAAATCCTTAACTCCTGAAATCAGACATACAGCGGCGACGCCGTAAGCTGGAGACAAGTCGAGGTCGGCATGACGGTGGGTCGTGCCCACTGTAGCTGCCAACCAAGTGGATGAGGAACTGTACCTGCCTCCGTTCAACAAAAGCTCGCTCGACCAAATTATTCCTTTGATGTATCTTTCGCGAATGGAATCCATTGATCTCTCACTCACATCCAATCCTTCTTAGCCTCGCAATGCGGTGTTTGTGATTCTATTATCGTTGGGCTTTTCATTCTACTGAATTGTTCTTGTGTCCTTGAAACATCAATCCTTGGAAAGATTCCATAGGCATACATTAATATTTGTCCTGATCATACTTTTCATATCCTCCGGTCATCTTCTCTCGTCTTCGCACCCCGTCGCGAAGCTAACAGTGCTGGTTCCTTCTTGTTCAGGTGTAGTCGTGACGATTTGTCGCTCGTGTATAGCCTTTGACCAAACTCTTGCCTCCTGATATCTATTATTATGAAGAACGACGTCATGATAGTCAACACAGTCAACTCTTTCCTCCCCACGAAAGAGTTGTTCCCTCCATGCGGTCTCCGCGCTCCCGAATTTTCTTCAAACCCTTTCAATTCCGGCAGTGAGGTGTACAGCATATAGCCTTTGTAGATGCCATCGTCGCCCTGGACAAGTCGAAGCATTCCCTTTCCACGTCCAAATTTTGTTTCGATGGAAAGCATGCTCTCGACCCACTCAGGGCCGTCCACTGGCGATGAAGTTGACGGAGCAAACTTCCCTGCTTCATTGAGTTTGAAGCTTGGAAAGCTACATCCTCGAATTCGTGGCTCGAGAAATGCCATGATTGTGGGAAGGCCGTGGAGGGTGTGAAAATCCCCATCCAAAGCGAGATGGATCCCGCCGCCGTGGTTCTGTATGGATGAGCGACAACGGTTGAGAAACATTAGCATTCGACAATGCAGAGGCAAATTGGTCGAGTCATTTTGGCGCGATGTCGCGAGGGGAGAGATTCTCGCTCAGTGTTACCTTCGACTCGGATTTGGAAAGTCGCTGAAGGGATATATCGCAAGGCTGAGGCGGCCCTTGGGCAACGCTCATGGCGGAAATGCTCGAGAAAACAAATCTTGACTTTGAGTAATAGAGATTTCCATCAATGCCCTGAAAAACCGATGGTAAAATAACACGGTGGAGAGAACAAGTTCTGGGGCCTTTTATCTTCGAAACACCTCGTGTATTTCTTGGCCCCGCGATCTGAGAGATTGAAGCAGGTGTGCGAATACATTTCTGCAGAAGCCGTTCTCTTGCCATTCTGGATGCGATTCAAGGGACGAACTAAATATCACTGGTCGAGTGGCATCATTCGTGGAATCTTCGGATTGGATCCCGTGACTGCTTCGATGTGAGGTTCGTTTCGTAAAGTTTTGGTGTCATATCGCTCCCGGAAGGCATTGGCTCCACACGATCAGCTCGTCGGACTTGAATAGCGGGACCATTCCTCTGCTATCGTCGATGTCCGTATTTATGACGACGGTTTTATGAATTCGTGTGAGCTAATTGCATTCTGATTGGAGATCGGGCCTTATGCTGATTCTCGAAAGGGTTGGGAGGGTAATAGTGAGACCTCACCGGAAGCGGTACTACGAGGCTGAATATGTCCACGACCGGTGGTTACATTTCTCTGACTGAATTTCCAGTCTCGAGGATTCCTGCAGCTCGAAGAGAAACGAAGCTTGTTCGAGACCGGTTTGTGATTTCAACTGAGAGGCATGATTGCGTGCCCTTTTGATATTTGACAGACAATTCGAGTGTATTGAGTTATCGAACATGGATGTTGTCTAAACACATCGGCCGCCGTCCACTTCCAAATTCACGCCCGTGATGAATTCTGCTTCGTCACTGGCAAGGTAACAACAAGCGTTAGCCACATCCTTGGGTGTGCTACCTCGTCCTAAAGGTACAGTCGAAACAAAGGCCTTTCTGTTCTCTTCGGTGTCTGGTTTTCCCAGGAAAAGATGTGTCCTGGACGACAAAATGTCAGCAAGAGCTCTTCATGGTTAGACTGAATGGTGGAATTGTGAACTGACATCCCTGTGCTTCCGACGACGGGGCAAACGGCATTAAATCTGATTTTCTTAGGCGCATATTCCACTGCCATCGTCTTGGTGGCATTGCTGACCGCGGCCTTGGAAGCATTATACCAAGTTAGCCCGGGACGTGGCCTGATCCCGGCCGTGGAAGCAATCTGAATGAAACAGCCAGGTCGGTTGTTCTCCATGAAGTATGGCAACAGTACACTACTCGAAAGATAAATACTCTTCACATTGACATTGAAGCACAAGTCGAAATCGTTATCGGTGACTGTCTCGGTTGGCTTGTTGCTGTAAGTGGCTCCGGCATTGTTGACTATGATGTCGAGGCCTCCAAAGGAGTCGATGGCCTTCTTGAGCAAGGATTCCCAATCAGAGCGCTGGGTGACGTTGGCTACTTGGAACTCGCAGCCCAATGACTGCGCGACGCTGGTGCCATTCTCTTGAGACAGGTCACAGATGAGGACTTTGGCCCCTTCTTGAACGAATTTGGTTGCAATTCCGGCGCCAAAACCACTGCCACCACCCGTAACAATGGCGACTTTTCCTTCGAGGCGGCCGGCCATGTTGACAAGCAAGGTTTCTGGGGCTTACTTTCGACTGGGATTTGGGATTGGAAACCGGTAGAAGAAAAGGGACGAGAGTGTCGGGGAGCGGAGTTTTCTTGTACCGAGTTGAAAGTGGTAACTCCGTTGATCGGATGGTTCAAGTTTTTGGGAGCGTCGAAAAAGTTTCCTGTCTAGTTCGAAACACAGCTGTTTGGAAAAGTCCAATACTCTGTTTGCCGGAGAATGGAGGGGCCAGGGACGTAACAATGCGCAGCCTTGTCTCACTGAAAATACCACGCTGTCGGATGTCGGATTATCTGTTCTTCCGGAAAGACACTGTTTTTCCCTTTGGCAGAGAGTGTATCCGGTCTTATCAAACTTCAGCACCATTGACATCCTGTTGTACGTGCCAGGAACAGGGTTTTTCAAATTGTTGAGTTGTAGCATCTGTTTCCTCAACTCAAGGTCGCCCTGCAGGTAAGTGAAGTCCTGCTGCACTGATCAATACTCGATAGAGCAACCCATTCCCTGCGGGTTCTGACGCCTGTGACATCAGTCCCCGAAGAGAAATTTCGTTTCATATCTTCATTCGTGATGGACGACTCCATCTCTCGGGCTTCGTGTTCATATCTTCAATATCGTGTGAAAACATCGGTTCGCGACTGAATAGAGTCCTTACGACGATGAGTCAAGCCAAGATCCTTCCAGCGATAACGAATGTGGCCTCCTGGGCTCTTAAATCCAGCCCGTCCGCCTGGCTGAAGTCCTGGCTTCTGTATCTGGGCATTCAAACACACGTGAGAGCAACCATGGAGCCCGAGATGAAGCCCCTTCACAATGTCTGCGAATATCTTCATGCCCTTCACATCTATACTGATGAAGCCCGACGGGGAGAAGTGAGGACGGTTTCGGCCCATCATTTCTGCTCTCATGTCGGCAAAGGCAAGTAATCACAATCTTGGGGTTTGGAAGGAAACATGCTAAGATACTTCAAGATGTTCGACAATGCTTGATCTACGACTCGTGCCAACCGGGTGCCCGTCTCATCGGGGTCGAGTTCATGATCCCCAAATCCCGTTACCTCACTCTAGATCCCGAAGAGCAAAGGCTTTGGCACTCGCATGAATTCGAAGTCAAGTCCGGCATGCTAGTCCTCCCGTACCCCGAATCCCACAAGCAGCAAAAAGATCAATGGGATGAACTGGAGACAAAGGCCATGGAAGAGGTGGTCAATTTGTACGGCAAACTCTATCATTTCTGGCAAGTCGACCAGGGTCATGACTTGCCGCTTGGCAGCCCGACATTGATGGGCTCGTTGACCGACAGCCAGCAAATCGACATTGACGAGGCGATGGCAGAGAGGAACCAAGAGCAAGAGATTGATCAACCCATGAAACGCGAGCGGCGGAAGTACCTTGAGCTGGCTGGCATTCCGGACAACGCCGACTCTTGGTGGAAAGAGGCAAAAGAGAAGAAGATGGGTATCTACGCAGAGTAGACAAGGAAGTGCTCCGTGGTGACATGCGGATATGAAGGGCACGCAGCATATCCATTAGCACCGCACGAGATAGACATCGGTAGGAGGAGGTATTGGTCGACATTGTAATCAAAAATACGGGCCCATTTCCGAATGACGTAATTAATGTGTACTTTTTCAAATTTTCCGACCGCATTGTGAGACACTGCCGTGTCGGCAACATTCTCATGCGTCACGACCGATCTTGCCACTGATGTGCCTTTTAATTTGTCTGCAGGCAGATATTTCAATCCGCCTTATCGGGGCCACGATGTAACGAGATTTCTCAATGCTCAGAGTCATCACCTTTTTCCAAGCCGACCACCCCCTTCGCGCATCTGCACACTAGCGTCGATTACAATGTTCAAAAAGAAACCTCAAATCAAGAACCTCTCCCCTCTTCGCTCCTCAGACCGACGGAGACTGGCCGACCAAATCATTGTCGATTACCAGGTGCACGTCCCGACATTAGAAGAGATAGATCCCACATTCTCTGCTGCCCAAGGCCAAAGCGCTCCCCCCTCCAACAATCCCACTCCCGCCCTCTCATCCACTCGAACCAGCCTCATTCCCGAGACATGTCTCTCAGCGCGCTTTACAACACATTCGGGACCAAATGCCACTCTGGTCTCAGGGACGGTCTATGTCGGTGCACATCCGGGTCAAGAAGAGAGAATATTATGGATTCAGCATGGAAAAGATTCGCGGCTATATCCCACCGTGTATACACTGTGGCATAATCCGGGTTTGGTCCCGCTATTGCACACGCAGGACTTCGTGGTCGAAAAGCTCCGTACCGGAGCCGATTTGATGACTCCAGGTCTTGTGGGTGGCCCTCCCTGGCCCGATGCCGCCAAGATTGGTGCCGTTGTCGCCGTCGCCGGATTGGAGAGGCCGAGTGTGCCGATATGGGTCGGCACGTGTAAGATTGACGTTTCAAGCCTGGGTCGCGTTCAAGGAGCAAAAGGAGCGGCTGTTGAAGGCGTCCATTGGGAAGGCGATGAGATCTGGAATTGGAGCCAGGCTGGAACTGGAGGACGATCTGCTCCACGGACAATCGAAGGTTGGGAAGCCGAAAATGGAGTGGAACGATTACATCTGGAAGACAATGAAGACGATGATGGTCAGGAAGACGGCGGTGTGGCCTTGGACCCTTCGACAGTGGAATCCCACCATGGAGAAATCCTCGCCGATGACTCAACCGCAGAGCCGGATGGGGCCGAACCCGAACGGGAACCAACGACTGCTGAGGTGGATGATGCCTTTGTCGACGCCTTCCTCTATGCCGTCTACAATGCCAAAAAGAAGGGCGAGCCCCCCCACTATGGATTTGATTTTCCGATTCAACCATCCTATTTGATGTCGAACATGGTCCAACCTCATCTCCGATTCCAGACCCAACACTACACCATTAAGAAGACATCATGGAAAACCATCAAGAAATTTATCAAATACCTCGACAAAGCTGTGTTGGTCAAGTCCAAAGATAGAAACGGAGGTGAGACGGTCATTTTGGACATTGATTTCGATGACGAAAAGGTTTGCAACTTCGCACCATACGAGCTCCCCAAACCCAAATCTCAGCGAGCCACCACGGGCCCCGGAGACACTCAACCATCCTCTTCGGGAAGCGCCACCGACCTGTCACTGGGACAAAAACTGACCTTGCAAATCGTCTACCGAGCATCCAACAAGCTGGTCCCAGACCTCATCCCTTCCAAGACATCATTCTACACCTCGTCGCAAATCTCCTCGTTCCTGAAGAAGTACATCGAAAACAACCCATCCTTGACAACGAATACCTCGTCTCCACGCTTCATCAAATTCGACCCGTTCATCGCCAACAACATTCTCTCGTCGAATCCCTCCGCCATCGATACCCGAGCCCTTGCCGCGGGCGAAATCGCTCGCGACGCTCTTCTCAAACGTATCCTCGACGACTCTCACCTATGCATCCCCCACTGGTTACTCCTTCGCAACGATCAAACCTACGACCCGGAGAATCCCGACTCAACACCCACACTGAAACCCAAATCCGGATCACCTCCACACGTGAACATTACGCTGGAAAAACGTTCGGGCACGAAAGTGGTCACCAAGATCTCAGGGCTTGAAGTGTTTGGTATCAGCCCTCAGATTTTGGGACCTGAGTTGCAAAAAAAGTGCGCGGGGAGTGCCAGTGTCGGTCAATTGGTCGGTGGGAAACCGGGGATGTTGGAGGTCTTGGTGCAAGGGGACCAGAGAGATGTGGTCGAGAAGGAAGTCGAGAAGAGAGGTGTGGACAGACGATGGATCAATGTCGAGGACAAGACGAAGAAAAAGAAGAAGAACTGAATAGGAAGATTGAATGATGTGGTCACGTTACGAAAGAAGTCGTAAAAAGAGACACCGTCGAGAATGAAAATGAAGATGAATATGTCCCATCTAACTCAAGCTTGGGTCCTCCGCAACCATATGTCCCCCCTCTTCTCTCAATATTTCTTCCGAGGACGAGGCCCGCTCCTCATTTGCTGTGAGCATATTCCACGCTTCCAAAATACAATCTCAAGTGACGAATTCTATCAGCGAATAATCCGCCTAGACCCAAGGTCTTCACTTCAAGGTGCGTGATCTGTGGTGTATCCTTTCGACGATGCCTTTAAACCGTACCTCAAATGACGAATTCCAGCAGTGAATTAAGCACCAATACAGAAATTCCAATCGCGTGGTTGGTAGCGAATATATTCGGGTGAGGACTTCAGAGAAGGGGGCGGGGAATTTCTCGTTCGCCTTAACATTGGTTAGAGGTGCATTTCCGTGATTTGCTCACGGTTGACCGGAATGAGGGCCACGGTGGAAGGGCTCGTGTGCGATGTCGTTCGGGTATGCGGTGGGTGTTGGCCAGCTTGCCAGCCAAGTGAAATGATAACGGACTCTTTTACCGTCGCAGTTTGAGACGGGGAGGATTATGGGCTGGCTAGGGATCAAGGCGTGATACAAGCATGGTATGACATGACACGAGAAGAGGGGTCATCCTGTATTAGTCTCCCAACATGTCGCAACTAACAGACGGGATTTACATGAAAAGATTCAGGAAACAATTATCAGAAAAGTCAATTGGAAATGCGTTTCCTTCTTCAAATGCATTTGCAATGCAATAGTAAGGACACTCAATTAACACTGCCCAGTGATGCTGCTTGCTGGGAAAAGAAAAGCTGGAAAAAAATAAAAGGCACGTATGATGTAGTAACCCCAGAAGCCGTCACGATGCTGCCTCCCGCCGTAGGAGTGCTTACTAAAGCATCCGTATACTGTTACGATGATAGCGTCAATGACAAAGAAGGCCTTTTTAACCATCCATAGTAACTCCACGTATGCAGCGATCATGATGTACAGCACACCGATTGCCGTGTAATGCTCCCTGAAATAGTACCATGTTATGTCGCGGACGAATTGTGCAAGTGAAAACCGAGATTTACAAAGAAACATCATATTTGTAACAGAAAGGCCCCGAGGTAGTGCTGATCAGTTCTCCAACAGCAATAGGATCTTGTTGGAAGTAACCCCAACCAGGTTGAAGAGTGTCGAGGGTGACGTTGGGGCTGGGTGGCAGGTTAACCGCCGTTTCGGTCCCATACAATGCATTTGCAAGATCAGGATGCCGATTTTGCCATGAGGTGTAGAGATTGTCCAGCATGGTGTGAAGTGGCCACCAAATCGGATCCATCACCGAGACATAAATCGAGGACCCAGGAGATCCAACAATGAAATGGGCACCAGAATGTAGGCCCAATTCTCCACCGCCCACCACTCCGTTGATTTGGGTGTCGAAGGATGCAATGTCATCGGTGTCCAGGCATTGATAAAGTGCAGTGTAATTACAATATCGTTGAGCAGCATAGGTATTGAGATCTCTTGTCAAGCAGGTTTGATTGAGTTGGAATGCTGTTTCAGGAAGGGGTAATCCTTCGGTGATATAGCTGACAGGAATCGGTTGCATTGTTGTCTGCATACCAGCAAATGGACCAGTAGTAACACAACCACCACCGGAGCCATGAGGAAGTTCGAGGGTGGGGGACAGGACGACAGGACCACTGTCGACATAGAGGCCATCACCGGACATGGAGAATTCAGAACCATCGAAGATCGCAGTGCCGTGGAGGTTGTCTGCTGTTGCAGGCCAGTTCCAGTATGGGAAAGATCCGGTGTAGCCACATTGTTTGGCCAGATCCTCCTCGAACAGGTGGAGAAAGTATCGATGCCAAGTTAAGAAGAAGCCTGAAAGATGGACTGTTCTTGTGAGATTGACGTGGGTGACGGCGTAGTCCATATATCGATTGGTCGCCGCAGGATAGAGGGTTTGATCGAGTTGAGACGGTTTGGTCATCAGACACTTGATCGCGTCGGTGTAGGCCTTTCGTTCTTGGGGTGCCATGGATTCGAAGTCCTGTCGGACCTTGATTCGGTCGTCCGTGCAAGGTTGGTATTTTCCGGGATGCTTGTCATTCAACCATGCGTCGACAACCGGGAAATGCGTAAATTGAGCCCGTGGCTCTGGAGTCGGGGCAGCTTGAACAAGTAAAGGAAGAGCCGACAATGCAAGGACAAGAAGAGATAGAATCGTATTAGCCATGACGGATAAAGGCCTTGATCAACGAGCGCTTAGATGGAGATGAACAAGAAGAAGAAGAAAAGGAATGTCGTGTCGCAGAAGGAAAAGGAAACCGCTAGCCGTCCTGGGGTTTTATACAAAGAGATTTGACAATTGAGAGAGGCAGAGGGAGCGGGAAAGAAAATTGCCAGGCGAGGCCTGATATTTACCTTGGTGAAGGATACCGTATGAAGCCCTGGTTATTGTCCGCAAAGGGCCGCAATTCCGTTATTCGGCCACGGAGAGTGATGTGTCGGACATGTTAAATCTGTGGTTAGGCACAGGGCTGTCAAACCTGAGGGAAGGCAGTGAAGCATGGTGAAGGGTCAGGGATAATGATGACGAATTGGCTGAAGAGCAGAAGTGGTTCTATTTTGGTTTCATAGGACAAGGATGTTGGTGTTTAGTGTTTGCAAATCATAGGCTGGGGTGATGGCAATGTTGTTGGCTGTGGTCTGGGATCGACGTCTTGATAGCATTGGGCCGACCACAAGCCAAGTTTGGGCCCCCCGCGCTGCAATTCATCTTTGAGGTTGTTCCCGGGAGACGGGGTGATTTGACCGCCGTTCTAAGCCTTTAGCGGTGCAGCGGCGGAGGCTTAAATTGCCTTTAGCTCATCCAACACCGCCTCAAACCTTAGTTAAGGCTGGCCTAATCCCCACCCATATTCCAGCCTTTGCCCGGGGCGATGGTTCTTTCGCTGGTGGGCCTTGCCCACTATAACCAAGCTGTGAGTATCATCACCACTTGGTTTTAATGTTCTGCTATACGACGACAATGGGGTTTCTCCAATGTTGTACCTTTCTTGCTGACTTTCCTCGGAAATATCTCTTCTGCGGCGACTTAAGTAATCTATTACTACCCCTGCGCTTGACACTCTTCAGTCCGAGTTAACGTCGTCATCCATATTGGGCCAAGGAAAGCTTCGAAATCCTCAGTAACGCCTTGTCCTGCCACGGGGGAGGGGGTTAATGCGCGAATTTTCCTCGGCATTGAAGCCTTGTATGCTTTGACTGATGTGAAAGCTTACTAGGAAACCCGTAGAATCCGTCAGCGGCAGGTGAAGTATAAACTGACAGTGTCCGACGATGGAATCATCCTTATACGTGATGGCAAAGCGCGTCCTCGGTTCTCCACTCACCACAGTGCTAGTCTCTAAAATCAAAAAGACGCAGTCTTCAAATTGGTATGAATATCTTGGTGCACGGAAGTAATGCTTTGTGAATGTACTTGCCATCAACGGTGCTTCTCTGCTGATGTTAGGTGGCGCCCGGAGAATAACATGCCAGTGCAAATGTCCGCCAGAGTGGCCTAAATCGAGGACCGAGGATCGACACCCGCTAGTGAACTCGGGGATTCGGGTCTGGTGGAAATCCATTCCGGAAGTCCTGGATCGGATGCCCACAATGGAAAATAGAATGTTTCTTGGCAGCCAGGGGGAAACGGAGCATAGGTCCGGGCCAGGATTCCCATTCATTCGGCGTTCTCGTTTGGGTCCGGATAGACGCGTGTCCAGACGACTTGGCCATTCGTAGCATCCAGAACAGTCGCCAAATGAGTTTGTTCGTTTGTTGTTGGATATGCCGAGACCCACTCAATCACGTCAGCTTCGGTAACGGTGGTTTCATCTTCAATGCGGTGCAAATCCGTCCGTCCTTCTCTCCTGGATTGTCTTTTGACTTTTCGCACCCGGGATGTCCATTTTGAAGCAACGCACTCAAGTCTGTCCCGACTCTCCTCTAGAAGTTCCTCCAAACCAGGTGCGATTCGTGAAGACCCTCCGGCAACCTCATTCGCCACGGGAGTGGCTGCATTTGACTTTGGATGATGCTCAACTTCGTCATGGTTGGTGGCGGCGATGAATGTACTTGACTTTCGAATCTGGCCACTATCGTAGTCTTTTTCGATCACAATGGTCGAACCGCCGTCACTAAAGGTCAAGTACGCCGCTGTCGTGTGTCGATGGAGCAGTTCCTCCGAGACCTCAGCAAGAGTCTTGGGCTGATTCTTTTCGTGTGGTACGTCCGAAAACATATAATTCCTTAATATGCTCGAGATTGACTGACGAATGCCTAAAAGAACCAAAAGATGATGAAAATAAAACCTGAAGTGATCTCTCTTTGTAGTGGCGTTGTGCACCGCCCGGAAATTCAGCGATAGACTGAGACGCTCACGCACACCAGTCAAAATGCCGACGAAGCCAACATAGGTAATGCTGCGGGCAAGAACCCGGGATGGGTTTGCCGACCGACTCCGAACAAAGTCGAGTTGCACAATGATTGATCGAAGCGGATCCATGGTCCAGTCCAACGTGCGAAAATGTAGCATCTTGGCTTGACTCTTTGGCTGTCCGTCCTCCAATGTCTTGACCGCACCAGAAGTACACCCCATCAGCGCATCCAGAATGACGTTGAAAGAGACAAGGAGGTACATGGGGATCCCCGTGACCTGGGATATGCCACGGAGTTCTGCCGTTTCGATGGGGGAATGGACGCCTCTCAAAAGGAGGCGAGCGGCTCCATTGACTAATCCGTGATAGGAACCGGGAAGGCCAATATCCCGTAAGAGGGCATTGAATAAGCCCGTCAGGCCTCGAACTTCGGTCTGATAGGCGGTGGCCAAGGCCTTATAGCGATCTTCAGGGTTGAGCGATAGGTCGATGGTAAACTTGGGGGGCCTTGATGGTTCCTGCTCTGCATTCGGAAGACCCATATTGTAGCCTTGGTTTGTTCGACTCCGTAGAAGGACCAAATGATGGAACTCAGGTACGAGAACAAGGCGAAAAATTTGATTTATCTTGGAAGGGGGGTTGAGGCTATGACACCGCTACCAACCACGTGTCAACTCATTTGGACGTAGGCAACAGTGATGCCTTGAACCCAGAGCACGTGAGGCTACATTGAGATTCCGCGGCGAGACGGGATTATGTGTCACACATCAAGGCCGCGGGGCCCGACCAAGCCTGGCCGTTCACAGCAAGTCCCTCCAGATATATCAAAGGTATAGAGGTATCTGTTTTGTAGCTAAAGATGCGTAACTGATATAATTGCATGCAGCGGACAAAGTTCAAGTGGATGGAAGTGGTTCGAATTGACGGTGACGTTCCGCGGCCCGGTGCCAAGACATCACGTGCTGGTCACCTGACAGTTACGTCCGGGCCCACCAAAAGCCGGACGAGTCGAGCCTATTGCCCATTTATTATATCACCCGCAACTAGGTCGCGGTCTTCGTCCGTGACTTGAACCTCAGTATGACGTCCTTCTGCTTGCAGAACCAATAGGAATATGTCGTCCATTCGGGGGACTGAGATGCCCACTCGACATCGAAGTGTCGGAGTAACTGGGGAACAAATTTTGACATCTCCAGCAGGGCAATGTTCTTCCCGATACACGCACGTTCACCGTGCCCAAACTGTTTCCCATGGAGTCAGCATCTCAACACCACCCAAAGCGCAGATGGGAGCATACGGTCGTAAAGTTACGTTCCATAACTATGAGCTGCTCTGCATCGGCCTCAAGCCATCTTTCGGGACGGAACGTATCTGCATCCTCGCCATAGGTCTCTTTGTGGTGGTTAATCAGGGGAGCCATGATGCCGATGATCGTTCCCCCCGGCATATCGTAACCGCAGAGGCTGGCGCCCTCTGGAGGAACCACTCGCTCCAGGGGAAAGCAGGTCGGAGCATGGAGTCGGAGTGCTTCCTTGACAACGGCTCGGCTGCAACATGGTCAGATTAGGTTGAATTTTGCGTGGGTAATTGAGCTCCGCTCACAAGTATTCAAGTTTTTGACTCTCTTCATATGTCACATATGGTGACAGCTTTCCGTTCAAATCAGCTTCGTCGATCTCAGCCACCACTTTCTTGTATTTTGTGGGATTTTTGATGAGAAAATATAAAATAGCTCGAATTCCTGTCGCGGTCGTGTCACTCCCGGCGAGTCTGGAGTGGAAAAGTTAGCTGAAGGAATGTCCGTGAAGGTGTGATTGGGATCTCTACATATTGTTTGATAGATGGTTCATCAAATCCCTCTTGAAATTCACCCGATCAGGGTTGTCTTTGGCTCTCAGCTGCGCAAGGAAATCCGTACGCCTGTCGTGTTTCTCTTCCTGGTCGTAGCGTCGGATTTCCTTGTCAATGTTCTACTGATGGTTAACACTTTGCCCTTTCGCGGGAGGAATATCACACACCCCAAACAGGTCCCCGAGTGGGTCTGGAAGACTGGGAAACAGTCTCTGCATGAGAGCGATCATGTGTCGGTTGCCAAACAGATAAGGGTGTAGATAAGGTAGTTGTCCAATAATTGCGAGATATGGGAGGAGAGCTTCTTGCCCCTTAATCATGCCGTGCACGTCTCCGCGGGCATCCAGGAAGCCCAGCCTTCTGTGATAGGTTATGCTGGCAACCACGTCAAAGGCATACCAGTGAAAATAATCGGTGAAATCAAGTGCTTGTCCTTCTACCTGTTTCAGTATATCCAAAAAAATCTTGGTGCAATCGTCGATATGTTGCTCATAACTCCGTACGTTGGTCATGGAATACACTTGTGCTGTCGGGTTTCTCAGAACTTTGTGCAGGCCTGGATCCACGGCGGTAAACATGTTATCAAGGGGTTGGCCCTCGTAAAATGGCACAGACGGAGAATAAAACCCGGACTATGGCGCATTAGATATCTCCACAGAAGCAGGGGTACTGAATTGGGACCTTTCTAAATTTGCTTGAGAACCCGTAAATGATTGGGATCACTTGTGGATCGCTGACTGAGACGTGATATGGGCCTGTTCTCACGACCGTCCCATACTTCTCATGAAGCTGTTTGTATCTGGAGACTCCCTTTCCGTCGTAAACCATTCCCACTCGATATAGAGCAGTAATTCGTGCGAGAGATGGACCCGGAATATCTCGAAGTCCTTTTCGAAAGATACTTCGCAGGCAGCTCAATATGAAGAGACCTACAACCCCAGAGAGCAGGTAGATCAGCAAATGAATCTCCATAATGTCAGTTATCAGCGGCTTCACGAAGATCAAAAGGTTTTGGCCTTGTCGGGCGAGATCACAGGTGATCCAAAGGTCCAACTCTCATATATTCATTATGGCCTAGCCAGAGCTAACAAGCGATCCCCGGATTTATCAATGGGAAAAGCCTCCCCCACCCTCTTTTCCTCGCAAACCATTCCATTTCGTTTAATGCTGACCGGCTTGCAAGCGAGGTTCACCCAGGGCCACCCCCTCTCTCATCCTGCTTACGGCAATCTCGTCTCCGATCACGTGGACGGGCGTCTTTTTCTTCCATTTTCTCTCCTGTGACGGAGAGTTCGAGAAAACCTCGGGTACCATTTGTGTGGAGTAGATTCGGGGCGCTCCATCAGAGAAGGGCTTGAGCCCGGGACTCCAATTCGAGCGTAGTTCACCATAGGCGTCGTGGCGTTGGTCTGTGTCATATTTTATTCGAGATTCAACAATCTTTCGTTTTCGACATTTTTGTGTGATTTTCCTTACTGGTTGACGCTCGTTTCTGGCTCTTTTGGAGACGCTCATTTTTCGGATAAGTCGAAAGGAAACATGGCCGAAAATTCCATTCTCCTGAAAAATGGCGTCGCCATCCTTCACGAGATCGACGACCAAGCGAAGGCCGACAAGGTGGATATTCTCATTCGAGGCAACAAAATCGCGGAAATTGCTCCGACGATCGAACCTGTGGACGATGTTCAGGTCGTTGATTGCACCGATAAGCTAATTGCACCCGGTTTTGTCGACACACATCGCCACATGTACAACATCGGACTGAGAGGGAGACATGGTGACGATCTGTTACATGACTATCTTGTCCAGGGTGGGGACTGATGCCTTGTGGAGTCAGAGGGTTTGAACTGATGTGTCGAGAACGGCAGGTATCTTGCAAGCGTCGAGTTTTGACCCAGATGAAATCTTTTGGGGCCAACTGGCTGGATGCATGGAGTGTATCAATGCCGGCACTACCACCGTGGTGGATCATTCACATATGAACTACTCTGAAGAACGCCGTAGGTCGCATCACCAAGTTCCTGCTCCAAAGATTTCCTGACAAGACTGTTACTCGCAGCCAAGGCAGCTATTGCAGCAACCGTTGCCTCCGGCTTACGTTCAGTCTATGGCTACTGTTTCAACGGCCGTGTGGATTCGTGGTCTCCATTTGCAATGAATCAAAGCTTTGTGGCGCCGTGGGCAATGGATGCTTTGGAAAGACTCTCACAGCAAGCACCATTTGGTGATGGCCGAGTCACATTGGGCGTGGCATTCGATGGCTGGTTCTTGCCCAAGGAAGTCCTTCAGCCCATGTTTGAAAACATCAAGAAGATGGGCATTAAGCATATCACGACACACAATGCACCAGCTGCGCCTGGTATGTGTTTCCCTTATGCCTTCATCTCGCCCGTCTGGACCTTCCCGGACCCAATTTCACTGTTGCTTGTTAACGGGGGCTTTCTTATTTTTTAGGTCAAGCTTCTGCAGTTGAAGTTATGGAGTCTTGCGGGATTCTATCTCCGTCGGTACTTCTGTCTCATGCAAACTTCCTTTCCCACAGCGATATATCTTTGGTCAAGAAACGGAATGCTTATATCTCTTCAACGCCATCAGTGGAACTCCAAATGTCCATGGGAACACCAGCTTGCTTCGGCAACGACCGGGACATTCAATCACGATCTTCACTGGGAATCGACTGCCACAACGTCATTCTGGCCAGTATTCCATCCGAAATGCGAGCGGCGCTGCTAAATGGTCGAGGCTGTACCAATGCAAAATTCCTGGCAAGTAGGAAAATCCCCACAAAAATCTACAAGACTGTACAAGAAGCTTATGCTCTTGGAACAATCTGCGGAGCCAGAGCCATCGGGATGGAAAATCAAGTTGGAAGTTTGGCTGTTGGCAAGCTTGCTGATATTGTTGTCTTCGATGCTTTGAGCCCATCCATGATATGTGGTGCTCAATATGACCCGGTCACGGCAATAGTCATGCATTCCACTCCGGGTGATATTATCATGACTATTATCGATGGAATCGTGAGAAAGATGGACGGCAAACTTCAACCGGTGGAAACTACGTCTGAAGTGCAAATATTGACGGGAATTCCCAAGTCCACATTTCATTGGTCAGATGTCGCAAAAGAATTATTGAGAACTAGCGCTAGAGTGCAAGAAAAGGTGGATAAGACTGGTTTTGCTCATGCAAAGCAGACTGCCATGACGATGTTTGGGATGGATCCATCGATGCTTGTTGATTCGATCTGACCATTACTGAGTGTCCAAGGATGGTGTGGGCGGGTTGTTGTGGAGCCTTGTACAATGGCACGCTGGACGGGCTCTTTGATCAGCACCTGCCAATGTGTTGATTTTTGACCCCCTCTTCAACGAGACTTATAGAACTTTAGCCTCAGTTCTAAACACCACATCTTGAACTTCCCCAAGACGTCCAATCAAAGGGCTTAGTATACGACCCATCATAGCCGCGATAACCATCTCACGGCTGACTACCTGAAGGACCATTTCTCACCATTCCTTTCAAGATCAAACAAGCCTCTCTGACAGGCTCTTGTTCTCGCTACCCTTCAGCCACGTGAGCTGGCGTGCGCCCGATAAAGAAACGAAACCAGGATTCCGAAAACCACATGTCAACCTTGGGGGAAAAAGAGTTGTTCTAGGCTATTCATAGAGCCGCAGCTGTACCTCCTACCTCTCATCCGATTGCTCTGTGGAACACAGCAGTCCAACTGGCTGGACTTGGCAGATTGGATCATGATGAATAGTAGGGCAGAGACATGGAACAGACCCCTTACCCCTTAATATCACGTGAGCGGACAATGCCATCCGCCCTTCAAAACAGAATTTCATTTGTTGGGAATGCAGTTGCCCTAGATTGCGAGTCTGTGAGGTCTAGATGGTCAAATGTTTCCTGGTTGGCACTGTTTCCCGCCCGTTTAGCCTCCCCCGGATTCACGATTTAGAAGCAATCCCGCGAAATCTTTCTCCGCAGATCTGGGGGTTATAAAAGATGTCAAGGCAAGCTTGAGTACCTGTCTCTTTGTTTAGTGGCAGATTCATCCCTATCATTGCAAGACCACAGCCTTCAAAATGGACTCTGAAGGCAGCCAGATACATGTACAAATTACACAGCCTCAGGCGAGACGAGAGGCACGAGTCTTCCACCAAGTTGGCGATGAACAACTTGACCCTCACATCCACGACGACCATGGCGACCCTCACCGCGCTGCTCTTGAAGACTTGGATCCCGATGCCAAAGTCAGCTTGTCGGTTTGGCTGGCCGTGTTCTTCCTGAGCTTCACAGCCCATCCATCTATCAGCTTCCCTCTTCTTTGTGTCTTCCCCATCAACGTACCTATTGCAATGGACCTGCAAGGAAACAGCCTCAACGTGAATTGGATCGCAGGTTCGTGGTCACTGGCAGGGAGCGTCGCAATGGTACTCGCCGGACAGCTAAGCGATTACTTCGGCCGCCGCCAAATAGTTCTGTTTGGTCAGGCGACTCTCATTGTTGGGCACCTATTAGGGGGGACGGCACAAAGCCTAGGACAGATCATCGCAGCGATGACCATTCTTGGGCTTGGTGTCGGCATTATATTTGCGTGAGTCTCTCTCCCACTTGTTGAAATCTCATCCTTGCATCCTACTGATTTCTGGTAGAATCTACCCTGGCATTTCGGAAATCCTCCCTAATAGATACCGTTCTCTGGGTCTGGCCACAACAGAGCTTCAGATTCTTCCGATCAGCACATTCGGTCCGTTGATCGCAAAGGCACTCGTCAAATATGCCACTTGGCGGTGGGTGTTCCATCTTGGAACTATCACGGCAGCCTTCGCACTCCTCGGGACGATTATATTCTACCACCCACCATCCAAACCCATCAGAGACCGTTCCAGAAGACAAATATTTCGCGAGCTGGATCATCTGGGGCTTTTTCTGTATACGGCAGGGGTCGCCCTCTTCTTACTCGGACTTGGATGGGGAGGCATTCAATATCAGTGGAACAGCGCGGCTGTACTCGTCCCTCTGTGTTTGGGCTTCCTCTTGTTCTGTGCTATGCTATTCTGGGACTTTAGCGGACGACCTCAGCGACCGACCTTCCCTCTACGCCTTTTCCGGATGTTCAGGGAGTTCGTTACAGTCATCGCTGTAATGTTTGTCACGGGGCTTGTGTACATCACCAGCGCCGCACTGATTCCCCTGCAGATCAGCTATATCTGGACCGCGGACCCCATCAAAGCTGGCTTCTACAATATTCCGGCTGGGTTTGGAGCGGCAATCGGCGGTACACTCCTGGGTGGGCTGATTTACAAGATGAAGCACGTACCAATTCAGATGGCGGTCGCTGTTGCTATACAAACCACATTTATGGCTCTTCAGGCTCTGATAACCCCCCACCACATCGCCATGGGCATGGTATTCCAGACATTGGCTTCACTTCCGTTTGGATGGATCCTCATTGCTTGTTACGTGACCGTGGGCCTTCATGTTCCTCATCGAGACCTTGGTTTGGCTTACGGACTTGTTGGTACATCCAGATTCCTTGGAGGCGCCGTGGGTTCTACGATATTTTTCACCATCCTCAGCAACAAGGCCGCAGTAAGGATACCGACGAGAGTTGTCGAAGCAGTCATACCTTTGAACTATGCTCTTTCGGAAGTCCCATCGCTCATTGCAGCGCTGACTTCAGGGGTTACTTCAGGGCTGGCCGGGATCCCCCCCCGTGTCGTCGAAGCGGCGGCCAATGCAATAAAATGGGGCTACGCTGACGCCTTTAGGGTGACATGGCTGGCTACAGTCCCATTTGGCGTCATCGCTATTACATTAGCTACTTGCATTAGAGATCCATCGCCTTACTTCACTTCTCATACGGCTGTTACTTTGGCAAAGGAAAGATTCAGAGATCGGCATCACGAAAAAGATGCCTCTTCTGAGAAAGCAGGTATCCAAGGAGAGTCCGCTCACCTAGAAGGTTAAAGAGAACTTGAGCTTCAAAAAGGCGATCCTCAACATTCACGTCTCCATACATGGCCATATCTGCGTCAATGAAATCTAATTTTTCCAAATGCCTGTTCCGAGGCGCCCTTTTCAAACCCAGCCGACAATTGAAGCCTTGAACTATGGCTGTACAGCTTTGTTCTCGCCCTGTTCTGACTTGATTCCCTTTGCTTGAAGCATTCTGAGCAGCTATCAACATAATCTCTAATGTACCTGCATACGCGCCTCAGAGCTCCCTTCTGAGATCCGTAGAACCTATCAATCCACAACTATCTCGGTATGGACCCTAACGCACCCATCTCAAGGAATACACGAGTATTAGGCTGTGTATCTTCTCCACAAGGTCGAAGGCTTCTAGACCCGAATGGGGCGGAGGAGGAGGAGGGGAGCAACAGTGGACATAACTGATAATAATAGGCCCACCTTATCCACTCCCCACAAAGGCTTGGAAAAGAAAAGGTGTGAGTGCTGTCTCTCTGTAGTATGATTATGATGCCCGGAATATCTTTGATCAGTTCCAATTACTCGCTCAAGACAGCCGTTGAGAACGTGTCTCATGTCACACTACTCCAAACTCAAGTTCCACGTTGGTATTGCCGGAGGCGAAAAGACGAGGCTATCTGAGGAAGGGAGCCTCACTAATCCGTGCCTCGGTTGACAGGTGGTACTATACTCGCCCCGGGATCCTTGACTCCTCTTGGAGCTTCAGGTTTCTTGGTCTTTCTCCGGGTTTCACCTCGATTGAATCCGACCTGGCGCCATATTGCTATCAACCATTGGATGACGAGAGCCGTGGCTTTGACCGCGTTGGGAATAAGAAGGGTCATCCACTTCCAGGTTATCATACGTTCGGTAATGATAGCAGTACTATACCTCGATAGAGGAGTTCTTTTCGTGATGCCAATGGTGTTTACTAGCAAGACAATCTTGTAGTGCTCCACAAACATTTGTCCGCACACCAAGGCCTGCACCAACGAAATGGTCGCCTCTACTTGCCGGTTTGACCTGCGTTGCTTCTCAATTCTTATCAGCACTACTGGTTGGTGACCTGAATCCAAACATAGTTCTCGGTTTTCAACATTTTGTGAACCTACCTGTCAATTTGACGAAAGGTTTCGAAATGGACAACTGGAATCTGGACGACCCCTTTAGCACGAGGCAATGGAGCTATCTCAATTTGCGGAATTCTCAGCCACGCTTTAAGACCAGAGATGCAGCGGATACTAGGCCGCTGCTGAAAGCAATTATCCCATAATCCTGATCCATTCTTCCGAGCTTCTTTACAGAGCTATGAAGGATACGCCACCATCTTCGATGGTCGTGTGCTCTGTCCGACGCCAGCGTTTGACGATTTGAATTTCACTGGAACACCCGATGGATTCGATCTCGAATTAACCGGGCTTGCTATCGTGAAAGATGCCATACCGGAACTCGTCTATAATACGAACAAAATCAAATCATTTCAGCTGAGCAGGCCCCCAAATCGCCGGCAATCTCTACCCGAACAATTTTGGAGCTCCAGTCTCTCCAATGAATCTTCGAGTTGAGAATTAATCAGCAACTTCATGCCTCGGCTCAACAGTTCTCTGCACTGGTACTATCAAGACACGTCAGATCCCGACAACCTTGTTCTGGGATACTGGACCGCATATGAATTTAACGGAACCTCTCCAATCGCAAGCGCCGGCCGTCCATGCGTGATAGTGAACTTTGTGTGAACTTGTCAAACAATCAGCGGTTGTACATTGATTGTTGTTGAGTGCTCTGTCTGTTTGACAAATTGCTATTATATACACATTTGATTGGCCCCTTTTTCTACTCATATTCCAACCCCTATATCCTGGATAGGAATGGTAACGCGTTTTCCAATAACGGGTACCGGCTCCTGTTCAACAGGACCTTTTAAGATCCTCCACGGGTGAAGTCCTGAATATGTCGACGCTATACAGGGCACACGCAGAGCAATTCGTGGTTCAATGAGGCTCGAGTGTTGAATGTTGCATTTCTGCCAAGTCGAGTACAGACGGCGTGCGAGCTTAAGCTCGCATACATGTAGCAGTGATAATGCTCATCATGATAATACTTGAAAAAGGGGAGCTCCATCTCCTGCCTCGTACACGACCAACGAAACAGGGCCTAGACTCAGCTTCTAGTACGGAGTAGCCGGTTCAGCCGTGCCCTGTTGGTTCACAGGAAGACGGGGATGTAGACCATGTCTTCTTCCGATACGGTGATCGTTCCGAGTGCGTAATGTATTACAGCATCTCCAAGTGCCTTGCAAATAACCCAGCGTTTTGAAGGTATATGATTTGCCTTGACTTTCAGAAGGGAAAAACGAAATGTCCAGACATAGGCTATACATTAGCTGCGACTTTGTCGCTTCTCCAAACGGCGCACATATCAGGGTGGAGACATACTATAGAGCGAGAGTGGAGATTCGACAATAATATTACTATCCAATGCACTATACAAGACGACAGATGATGAACATGAAAGCAGTGCGAGGCTATCCTAGATAGTTATAGCCTTGTGGTGTAGTCATGCCGCAAGGCTCCCACGCAGGCACACAAGGCTATCGACAGCCACAGTGGGTCCATGGCAGACACCCGGCAGGCTCCGATGAGCCTACCAGGTTGTGCCGTAACAGCACAGCACCGTTGATATAAGAGTTCACGTAAAGAGAGCAGGCATACATAAGTTGGCAGTATGACAGGATCTATCGGAGTGGAGTAGTACTTCAACAAAGGAACGAACGTGTCGGTTTCGGAAAGCAGAGAATATTGTGGCCAAACTTGGGTGTCTCGAGCATTTAGTTGAACAGTGCTCTGGGAGGGGAGATACGTAGTGAAAACGTTTCGAAGCCGATGCCGTCATAATAGGACTTCTAGCCATGACGCGCAAGGAGCGTGGAACTTGAATAGTCCGACGAGGGCATATTGCGGTCAAGCACAATTTTCTATGTACGGTAGATACAGACCGACATGGCAAAGTCTACTCCGCCTTGCCCCTTAATCTTGTGATTTTACGGAGGACTTCGAAGGGTCCAAGGGACCGTCAGACTATATACTTTCGAAGCGTGTACGAAGCGTACAACGCTTCGGAAGGTCTTTACAAGCCTTGGCGTCGCAACATATCACAATCTTTTTCGGCGGAGAACACGTGAGCGGACGGACGGGAGATGGATCACAATCTGGTCCCGTTTTTCTTTGCAGGTGTACTCTTCGATCTCCACATATTCCACTTCTGGAAGAGGCGGAGCAAGAATCATCTGTAGCCAAGTCTGTGATGTGACTTGTAGACCGAAATATGTCAGCCTGTCCATCTCCAGGCGATTCCATTTGAAAACCTGAACCAGGGTCTATCCTCTTTGGATCTTCGCTGACCCCCGAGAAGATAGCATCATATTCTCATCTCACCGTGTCTTTTCGTCTTGCGGCTTTGGTCTTACATGTGAGAGTATAACAACCTTGGAAATATTGGTATTCAACATGCTTGGTAAAATCATCCTTGAAGAACACGTGTGCATGCCGGAAGACAACCCAGCCACCACTCTAAAATTCGCCTCTCGCAACTCCGAGGACCTAGCAGCCGCCCTACTCGACCTCCATGGCTCCCGACTCAACGAGATGAACGCCAACGGCGTCGAATATGCCATCATCTCATCAAACCCACCAGGACCCCAAGGGATACGAGACCCAAAAGCAGCCGCAGACTACGCTGTGCGCTCGAACAATTACATCGCAGACCTCGTGAACAAGGCGCCAGCACGATTTGCCGCATTCGCGTCTTTGTCTATGCACGATCCGGTAGACGCTGTGTCTGAGTTGGCTCGCTGCGTCGAGACCCTGGGCATGGTCGGCGTCATGTTGCATGACGCCCAGCAGTTCGTGGATGGTGAAGGCAAAGTCAGCGAGTATCACTACGACGACCGACGGTATGATGTGTTTTGGGCGGCGGTCGAGAGGTCGGGCATGCCCGTATATTTGCATCCGAATATGCCGTTGCCAGATGAAATTACACGGCTCTATGCAAAGAGGCCGTGGTTGTTGGGCCCGACGTACAGTTTTGCGAGAGACACAAGTTTCCATACCATGGCGCTGTGCACGAGTGGAATGTTCGATCGGTTTCCTGGAGTCAAGTTGATTATAGGACATATGGGTTCGTCACCTCTTTTCCTCCTTTCCATCCTTCTCTCAGCGGGATTGTGATAAATGAAGCTGACGTTGAAATAGGAGAAATGCTCCTGGCACACCTGCATCGCATTGACCACTGGCTCGAGAAGCGGGATCGTGGCAGAAGCCTCCCCAGTAAGAAGACGCTGCGAGAGTACTTTGAACAAAACATCTTTATCACGACGGCGGGAGCCTTTTCCACGCCCGCGCTGATTCACTCGATGACTGAGATTGGCGCAGAGAGGATTTTGTTCTCGGTCGATACGCCGTATGAGAATATCACGGAAGGTGCTACGTGGTTGGACACGCTGCCAATTAGTCAAGGGGACATTGTGAAGATCGGACGGACCAATACCTTGGAATTGTTTCCGGTGCTGGAGAAGAGAATGAGGTCGGCAGAAGTAGAGAAACTTCAGATGGATAGATCCCGGCCACTGTTTACGACGAATCCTGGGTTTGAAATCGAAAAGAAATAATTCATCCTCAGGGCCTAAGCAAGATGAGCTGTGCTTTGCGCTCTTTTCTTCGTTTAAATATGCATATTTTCACTCGGATCATCTTGAGGCAGAGCTATGATTTAGCTACTTATGGACAGTGTTGGCCCAAGATCGGATCCAGATCCGGGCGTGGCGGGCACAACGTCCTCAGGGGCCTTGGGGTCTTCATTGAAGAGTCGTTGAACACTAGATATATTGTGAGAATGAAGTTTTGTGGAGAGAGGGGGACGACGGGGGGAAAGTTGAGATGGTGCTTGATAAGAACTGACCTGAACTCGCCAAAGGTAGTGGAGCAACTCGCGAGAAGGACATCAACATGACGGACTTCTTCGGGTCTTCCGGCGGTGTTCGATTCCGGATGTTCATATTTCTTAATCGTAGTGTCCAAATTCGAGGCCCCAAAACTAGCTTGAATCTGCATCTCTTGCGAGAACTCGTCAATGAAATTCGACTCGCACATAGAGAGGATCGGAATGTTTTCGGCACAGGCTTCCATGGGCGTGAATTGATCATCGCCTCTGATTTTGAGTCCATGTTTAGAATTGAGGTAGTGGAATGAAGAGAGGACAAAGGATGCGGTCACTGATATCTGGGATATTATGTTCAAGGCACTGAAAATGACTGATAACATGATTTGTCCGGTGGTCGAAGTAATCTTGTTGCTTTCGAGTAATAAGAAGATGGCCTTCCCAGCCCGTGAGAGTGTTTCAACCATCAACTCCGGAGTAGGGTCGAGTAGTATTCTACTTCCGTAGGGAGACTCATCTTCAGAGTATCTGTCGGAATTCAATACCAAGCTCAAGGCGTTAACAATGGCGTTACAAGCGTGTAGACGCGATAGTATGGGATCTGTCAGCGGTTCTGGAACGTTGTCCATTGTATCCACGACGTCAGCAAGGATCAGTGATCCCAGATGATAATGTGATAATAGCAGCACTGTTCTCGTCAACATATATCCGTTTTGGGGGGAGGCTCACAGCAAAGTACTCACGATAGTTAAGTTGACTTGCTTGGCTGAGAGTCAGGAAGTCTCGTGTGCAAATTGCCAAGAGCTGATCGAATAGATCATGAAACCGACGAGACTCGACTAAAACTCGCTGTGCTGCTTCTTCGACGGGTATGGCGTTGTAACGGAACACCGCACCACAAAATTGGCTGATTATGCCCAGATACATTGTCTTACAAGCCGAGGCATGTTGCAGAACCACAACCGTTATGTCGACAGGAAGGGGCAGTGCAGATCCGTGGAGAGGTCGGAATGACTGATCGAATATCACAGTCCGTTGACGAATGAAGTCCCACACCTCGCTATCTCCGGACCGACCAGGGAGAATGACTGAAGGCATCTGATGTATGAGAGTCATGCTGGAGTCAATAACGACACAGATCCAGTATATTGTGTTCCTCATATATTGCTGTGTCTGGTGGCACTCCTTTTTCAAGCTCGGAGAGCACGAGTTAACAGCTTCATGTGTGAGGGGGAGAGCTGTGGTACTTTGAGACAGGGGCTGTAGTGCCGGACGGTGTATCGACGATCTCAGGTACACAATATGATTCAAGAGTGCCTGAAGACAGAGTCGACCGAAGCCGTGATCGTCGCTACCAACAGGCATTTCCGTCAACATAAACAAAAATAGTGCCAGAACCGATCGATAGCTTGGACGTAGGAGTGCGGTGAACATGCATTGACGGGCCCGACGCCATAGCTGGTTCCGCACATCTTGCTGTTGCTGTAAAGATGTGGCACCGTCGCTCGCATTCGATCTTTCATATGCACTTCGCAAAGGAAGCCAGCGAGCCGAATATGCATAAACAGCATGTCTGAGAGCGTCATCCAAGGCGGTGTCGGTGTTTCTCCTTCTACGTGAGTGCTGGAAAAAGGTTTGGCGGGAATCATCTGTGCCCGATGCCGAGGGCGGGTCAGATTCCTGCTCATAATGGTCTAGTTGTAAAACAATCCTGGAAACCAGAGACTTGGTGCCCTAGGGCCGCGTCATTCTCAATCAGCCATTCGATGGACCGTTTCAAGGGATCAAAGACATACGACCGACATGGCCAGATATGGACAGCAGCTGTCACCCAGCCACATGGCAAAGCGCGATTCGAAGACCGAAACAAAATTGTCCCACAACAGGTCATGTAGAACTAATGACTGCATTCGTCGACAAGCGATATTTTCCAGATCAAAGGACGACAAGGCTGGAGACGGGAACGCGACCGGAGAAGTGACTTGGGCCACGTGATCGGTGATCGGTCGTCTCTCGACGGATGTGGAGGAGTGATTCGGGCCATGGTGAGCACTCAGCTGATTGTGGTGGTCGTCCTATTCTCGCTCCCGTTTTGATTAGCGGCATTGCTGACAAGAGAATGTAAGTGGCAGGTCAACCCACTTGAGCACTGCACAACTTCCCACGTCGAACGCAGTTGGTACAGGGGTTGCCTTTCTGCAGAACCGCATCGCACCCGATCCTGGCCTTCCGGCAAGGCTTACAGCTGGTCGTGGACCGGCGGCCACTCATCTCTGCGGGATGAGAAAGGCACTTCTGTCAGGGCAGTTATGTGTGTGGTGTATGTGAATGTTTTGAAAAAGGCCTAACGGGGTACTAACATCCTATTGTTTTAACTTGAACGGACGACCTCGGGTAGTCCTTTGAAAGGGGGGGTGGTCGATGAGTTCCGCTCACATGATGGTTCTCCGCATTTTCTGACCGTAGATCACACTAAACACGGCAGGAGACCCGAACATGGCAGTTTGCCTCTGTGCAAGGATCCTCTTTCGTCCTTCTCAAACATTCCTCTTTGTTTCAGGACGGTATATGTTCATTTCTTGTGCGTCTACCCCGGCCTCAACGCATACATCCTGACAGGGTACAACCCCAAATCCTTGGGAAACCCCGTCTGCAGCTCCGTGTGCACAATCTTCAGCCCAGCGTCCTTAAAGGCCGCCCTCCAATTCGCATCGCTTCGCGTCACGCTGCTGTCCACGGGGTCGAAGATATCGGCCCCGAACGCGTCGGTCGACAGGTTCTCTTTCACGATGATCCAGCCATTCGGCGAGAGCAGGAGGATCAAGGATTTAAAATATGCCACGAGAGAAGATAAGGCCAGGTGATTTAAGCACCATTGGTTGTAGACTAGATCATACTTCGACCCTGGAGTCTCGATTGAAGCATACGCAGGCCTAGAATCAACAGTCCACTCCTGCAACGGGAGATTCCAAACTCGGCCCAACTGGTCATTTTCCACGAGCGGTGACTCTGGTCCGGTGAGCACGTCCGTGAACTTCTGTACCGGTTCGATAATATCGATCTTTGCGCATAGAGGCACGAGCAAGCCGAGCGTAACGCGTCCGATACCCGCACCTGCTTCGAGTGCGTGGCTAAATACGTAGTTCCTGCCCATTGTTGGGTTGACGGTCGAATTCGACAAAGATGTTGACTTCTGAGGTTCGGATTCGGGGGTCTCTTTATATTTCCGCCGGAGTTTCCTGATGAAGTTTCGTGAGAATTGGATGTCGATGCGGGAGATTTGCGGGTAGCCGCCGAGCATGCCGTTTACATCGGCACTGGTGGATTGCCAATACGCGAGTTGGGCAGATATTGAGATCTGAGAGTCGTTGGTGATGGTGGACGGGGCGGTATCGGTGTCCAATGGGACATGGATGTCTTTGGGAGAGCGTGAGGTCTCCATATTCGAAGACCGTCGTAGTCTTTTTCTCCGTCGGCCAAGGGGGAAGAGTCGGAGTACAGGATCTCGTTCGAGCCTGATCCGATTGGATATACTTTTTCACACCCTGTGTGGGCTAAGTTCTTCAGAGCCTCAGTCGGCATAGCAGACACTGTGATTCGAAGCCCTGCCTGGGCGTTGCCAGCTCTGTGCCCCCAAACGTACCAGTTTGAGCCTGTATAATGATTCGAAAATTAGCGTCTTGGCATTCTCTGAGTAATTTTGTTCCTACGCGCTAAACTTTTTAGGTGGCCCTCCCCTTTCGGGTATGGTCGCAGGCTAGGCGCGCCGCCGCTTTTGACGTCTATAAGAACCCTCTTTTCCTCTCCTCCCAACCTGATTTTCTTTTCCCACCTCCGTCGCGCTGATACATCCGTGCGTCGCACGGCACCGCCTGAATCCTCTCCTGCCGCATCAGGCCCCCCTCTGGATTCTCCACCGGCTCCTTCAAATCCGCCTCCCCGTCCCAGTGCACCCCGGTCACCCCGATCACCCTCTCAATCCTCGATCCTCACGGCCTCTGCACCCTCGATGCAGCCCGTTTCGGCCCCCTTCAACATTCGGCTTCGCCGGCCGCGTAACATGCAGGCTCAGCTAACCCCTCCATCCTCTCCGCCTCGACCAGGGTGCTGAAGGTGTTGGCGTCCGGTGCGTCTCCTTGTACCGCCTTGTGATGGTGAACCCGCGTGATGGGCTCTGGCGTTTGTGCCAGTCTTTGCGAAAGCCCGGGGAGATCGTCGTCAACATTGAACATCCTCAATCGCCATGGTTGACACTCAGCTCTCCGTGCTGCACCGTCGGTACCAGTTCCGCATCTCGAACCTGGTGGAGAATGACATGAAAGACGGCGAAGTGCAGCTGATCTTTTGGTACAGGCTGGCACAGCAAGCTGAGTGTTGCGTCCAACCGCGAAAATGCTGCCCGGGTTGATCGGCAGTGTGCCTGCATTGCTGCCTACGCTCCGCCTCGAATATGCAACATCGAGGTGGGGGCTGAGTGCTCCTTTTTTAGGCCCTCGGCGGTTCGGGAGAAAAGGGTTGTCATCCGGCACGTCAGCATGTTACCAGTGGATTCTCAGCTGCCGCCTCGTTCGAGCTGAATGCAGTACGCAAGAGAAAATTTGAAAGCGAAATTCGCAAAACACAATTTCGCTCGGACGAGCACAGATGTCGATTCTCCATCCCAGATGATGATTCCAATGGCGGCCAGGCGTCTACGTGTGAGGTTGGTCATCAATTGGATCGTCAAAGGACGACTGAAGGTAGCCGTCTCGGTCCACCGGGAATGTTCTCATCATCCTTGAATCCTCAGGACCTTGGAGAACGGGCCAGCGCCCTATGCCCTTCCCTCACTCTCGAGACCACCATTCTGTTGGTCAATGCCAGCCTTAGGATAACTGAAGCCATTGCCTCCCACGACGTTTCGGTGTTGTAACCTACTCTACTTCGTCGCCCGTGATGGTTTTCCCCTCCCCGCCGCAAGGGGTCCCGGAAACACCGGCAGAGAAGTTGTTTTGCAGGCAGAGGTGTGAACTCGGCAGTCGTGAAAACTTGAACTGCGATCAGTGGGAGAGGCGAAACAGGATGGCTGTCAGGCAGTGTTGGCTATCTGTATATGCGGCGCCAATTCTTTTCTCATTCTCGACCGTTAGAAACGTTCTCCTTTACATTTTTTTCGGAACCGTCTTCAACCGTTTTGCTCATATTTCATTGCTCCCCAGTCATGACGACCTTTATCGCATATCAACCGAAAAAATGCACCGTCCTTCGGAAGCCGCACCTTCAACAAATCTCCCACAGTTGGCCTCCTCAGTTCGGCGTCGAGCGGACAAAACACAAAATCTCAACAGGCGACATCTGTGAGCAATGCGGGTTTCGTCGATTTTGTAGATTTGAATCAGTGAATAGAATCATACGGGGTTAGCACATACTGTCTACAGGACTTTCAGCGAATTCAAGAGCTAGCCATGCTAGTAATAAGCAGTGAGAGGACCAGAAGGAGCAGGCTTCTCTTCCATGAACTTTGTCAAAGGGGAGGACTTTCGCTAGGGGTCTGTCAGCTTTTCAGTAATCGACTACGTCGTTGTCGTCACCGACATCACCCGCACAAGGCACCGGAAACTCCTTGTTCCAAGGAGTTGATGCGTTGTTTTTGACGGTCAGTGTCTCAGTTAAGAGTCTGCCTTGGCCGGGCGCTGGTTATTCGAGGGATTTGATGCTGCATTAGGCCCAGATTAAAAAGGAGGAGCGACGACTCATATCTTCAGAAGATACCGCGACTCAGGAGCAGCGATATAGATTCTTAGCTGAACAACGGGCGAAAGCATCCACCTTGTGACCTGCTGTGCCCTAGGTGCGGTGGTTTCACAGAGAAGGAGATGCCGTATACTTCCTGTCGCTTCGCCACGAGCGCATTGTCGAGGCACCTGCAGGGGGCACCGACGCTACAATCTTTTCCCAAGCCCGAATGTCACGGTTTTGATCTTGTTCTTCTCAGCGGCACTGAGCTGGCCGAAAGATTCGCTACTACTGGGCACTGCCATCGACCAGTATCAATTTTCGGGGCTGTCGTGGTAGCGCAGCATTCTTCCTCAACATTCTTCCTGCTGCACTCTGCTGCACTCTTCCTCAACATCTTCCTCAGCATTCTTCCTGCCTCGCTCTTCCTCTCTTCTGCAACACGTCTGCACTCCTCTCTTTTGTTATCTGAAATGTCGCAGTTGAAAGCAAATGTGGTTTGCCCTGACTGCGGCAAGACGGTTTTGGCCTCGAATTTAGCCAGGCACCGAAAATGCCACAATCCGCCGACACCGCGCAAGGGCCCTACGTTCTTCTGTCCCATTCACAACAAGTATTACGCACGCGCAGGCAAGAGTCGACACAATCGGGGGAACGGTTGTTCGTGGACGAATCGCGCGATAACCAGTGCGCGAGAACGGCGCTGATGTCGGTGTAGAAACGATCGAGAATGGGGTGCAATTATACGCTAAAGATAACGAGATTCGTAAAAAGGACTGGCAGAAACAAAAACATCGGAGCTCCGTAATATCGGCCTGTGTCGGGGAATGCTGCAATGAAGCCCGAAGATGCAGTGAACGGAAAGGGGATAAATCAGGGCGCCAAACAGGTCAGATGAATCCCTATCATGTTAACAGCTTACTGACTATCGCCGTCAAGATCAAGAACTTCACGCGAACTGGAATGGAATTTGCCTTATGGAAAGGAGAACCGCTTTCGGCGAAGCATCTAAGAGTCGTTATCAAAGCGAGCGAAGCGTTCGAGGTTGACTATAGGGGTTTTGGACCAACTGAGAGCTTGAACCAATATACGTAGGTTGATCAAGGCTGAAATTAACCAGGTTATCCAATTTTGACGTCTGATGCCAGGTAACACTCGAATCCGATAGGGTTCTATTCGAATATGTAGGGAATTTGAGCGACGTTCTATTTCTAAGGTCGGTTGCACAACCAAAAATTTGTGAAGTCGATCTGATTATTTTCCTGATTAGAGTCGTCAATGATATTCTGCAGCCCTGTTCACTCCACCAAAATAGCATTTTTGTATTTAGCTTAGACACCACTCCTGTTCGCTGAACATTCTAGCGCCGGCTATTCTTAAGATTCCGTCCCGATCGCAAGCGACCCCTAGAGGCAGGGTAATGTCACCAGACTGGTCATGAATCCGTGTAGCCCTCTGCACAGGGACCCGGGGTATTTGCCCCAGTATACCATTATTCACACCGTCCCTGAATATGGCAGCGGTCCCAGGAAACAAGTACTTGACATGCATCACACCAGAAAATTTGAGCTCCATACTTGCGAAAACCCCCTTCGTTGCCCCCTCACGGTGGGTTACAGAACCCTCGCGGATGTCTAGTTGAAAAAGAAAGCATAGAATTTGCGTTCCATGTTGGCCATATAAATCCATTGTTGTCTCATAGGTGCACTCGTCTCCTATCGTGTCTTTGAAATCGTATTCAGCAGGCCAAGAGTCGGAATATTTATATGTGACATCGCGTTCCGTTGTCCTGTCGAGATCCCCAAAATGAGGATGGAGTAAATAATAGATGTCATCATCGTCTCGCGTCCAGAGGAAAGATCCAATAGGCTTTGTTGCTGTTGCCATTACAAGTCCAGCGCACCGAAATCTAAGACCCGTATTCGTCCTAGTGGCAAGACCCGCCTTGGCTGCTCTCTCTAACGAACCAGATACTCCAACATTCTCAGGATGTCGCAAAAATGACCTTGGCGCCCATCGATAACCATGCATATCAAGTCGTGGATAGATGCCGAAAATGATCTCAAGAGGGACCTCTTTTAATTGGCTCCAAAACACTCGCATTCTGTCCTTAGGCGGAGCCTGAGTGATCATAGTAAGCGTTGCTTTACTCAGGTTGAGTAATGCCGCAAGACACAACGCCTCATCCGTCTGGACACTTGTTGACCGTTGAGAGAGAGCCGCTTTTATTGCAGTTAATTTCGGTCCAATGGCATCCTCTATTTTCCTGAAGTCCCGGATTTCGTAGGCTTTGTCAAATATGGTTGTTCTTAATGTCAACCCGACAATGGAGTCTTGACTCTCGTGGAGGGCGAGTAGTCCCTGGTCGATGTTATATGCACCGTCAGAAAATTGAAAAAGAAGTTCCTGGGCCAGAGCTCCTTCTTGGAGGGTCCATAGCCGACTATTCCAGGCGGAACAAATAATCGCCATGAGAATCTCGTGGTCAGGAATGGAGTGAAGTTTTAGCGTTTGCAACCATGAGTCCAAAACAAGGACGGCAGTAGCGTTTTCATACGTTTCACGCATCATTTTAATAGCCAACTCCTGAGCCTCGTTCTGGCCGGCTACATCAGGGGGGCATCCAATCGTATCGATCCAAAAGAGGAGAATACCAGAAGACTTGCCAGGTAAGTTCCGAATCAGTTTGCTTAGGCGTAGGATCTGGCAGCGAGGAAGAGCACTACGTTGCACATTTCCCATTCCATCTGACCAGACATGGGAGATCGCAACATATGAATACTCGAAATTGGGTCCTGACGAGACGAGCGTGAGAGCGTTGTCCTTATCCTCAGCGTCAATAGAGAGAATCAAGGGTATGCTGCCACCTCTTAATATGTCAAGAACATCTTGCGGATTCGCCGTCATATCGTAGCAGCAAGTGGGATCGCACCCATCAGCATGCTTAGTCTTATAGGACTCGTCGTTAAGCTGAAGGAAAGAGCACTGTGTCATTGTGCAGAGGTCTTTCGAAGTGTCAGAGCTTGTATCAGGCGTTAAGGCGGTGCTGTTGTCAACCGATTGAGGGGAAGATCTAATTGGATGAATCCGTATCACCTTGTGGTGTTGACTTGGCTTCGGTCGTACCATATGGTACATAAAGTATAGCCCAGCAGTGTTGAGTCTCTTGGACAGCACTGCTAGCTCAAACGGGCACCATCCATTTTTCCTCATTTTCCACCACAGTAAATTGTTTCCGCCTTCGGTGAGGGAATGGCCGCCAAATGCCCCTTTCATCTTAGGGTAGAGATGACGTACATCCTCGAAAAAGCAATATTCAAAAAGGAACTCTAGCAGTGTGGCAGTTGCTAAGATTGTCGTTTGGTCTCGTGGGTCACGAAGACAAGTCGTCTGGATAAATTCTTGAAGGCTTGGTTGTCTCTCTGGGTAGTCAGAAATGGTGTGCACCACGTGCAGGTCCGAATGCAAACGGGCTGCTTTAACGATCGCATCGCGAGCTCTTCTACCTTCTTCAGCAGTTTGGGGCCGGAAAGTCGGTTTCCGTGAGACCCAATCCGTCAGTCTACTTGTATCAATCGCTAATTGACCGGACAGGCCATTCTTCGTGAAGGCGCCTAGGGAGATATGCGTGCGAAATGTGAGAGCCAGAGGCCCGAATAAAAGCCATGTCTGTAGAAAGGCTAAGAAATTTGTAGATGGGTTTTTGAAGATGCTGTGCCATTCATGCGATGATCTTTTTCCCCACCCTGCACGATCAGGATATCCATCGAAGTCCCCGTCGTCATAGTCTTGCGTAGATAGGCATGGAATCTCGATGGTCTGACGCTCACAATTCTTGGGGATAGAGAGGAAGTCCATCGCGGTTGACTAGCGCGGTTGCCAATACTCTTCTATTCGCAGTAGAGAAAGTATTGGGAATGCTTAGACCTTGCTTACTTGGGGGTGACAAAATCTTGTTGGCTTAAAGGGCCCCAATTGAAGAGACGTTGAAATGGGCCACGGGGATTGATTGAAGAGATGAGGATTTAGACAAGGCGTGAGGCTGAAACAATAGACAGAGTGTCAAAAGAATTTTAGTACGTTGCTCCTTCTTATTATATTTCTTCTAAATTTCCTCGCGATGCCTGAAGGTAGAATAATATCTTGAGAAACAATGAAAGCCTGCACTACTCAATGAGGCTATGCTTATATGATGCCCAATTTCGGGCCAACGAAAAGCGCCCACGTCGCGCTGTGCCTAATGAGGCTGTTCTCTTATGCCGCGTGCAATGGCTTGTAATTTAAGCCCGAGAAATCTTGGCACACAAAGGTGCCTCGAGAGGGGCATTACTCTTCGAAGTGAGAGCCCGAAATAGACCCTATTTCGTATTTCGTATCAGCCCGCCCAATCAGGCCCCTGCTTGGCATTTTCTGAGTCTCACACAAGTACACCGGTCAAGCGCACACTGTGTGTTGATGAGCTCCTTGTATGGGACGATTTCTGGTCCCTGACATTTGTTCCATAAAGAGTTCCTGGGACACTTTTTGGTCTTCGGGAGGCGACAGCTCTGCGTGGCCAACAGTCAGGCCAACGGACTTCTCAGTCGGGTAGGTAAACAAAGCCGTCGACAGTCAAACAGTCAGGCTGAGGGCCTTTGCCTGAGGCCGGACGTCAGGCAAGAGTAGATATGCTTAGTAAGTGAGACTAGCCAATCAGACATCTAGGAACGCAATTCCCTAGACTATGTTACTCTAACTTCTAAAATTCAAAAATCCTCTTGTCACCTCTCACTATAGCTAGTCGCTATCGTAGTATTCGCATTAAGATTAAGCAAAGTCTTCTATAAGGCAGGTGGTTTATATGTACGCAAACAAAAAAAATATTAAGAAAATAAACAGCGCCCCTCCTATAGTCCATCTCTAACGAACTTATAGATGGGGCGCCGCAGCCAGTGAAAGCTTCAGCCTGACAAGTTCAACTGCAGGAGAGTTTGAGTCAGTGACCTCTTAACGTATGAACAAGACGACATCATCAACAATCACTGGCTGGAGCATTACGTTTACCCATCTAGGGCACCTAGAAACTCAATGGAGCTAGGCCGGACAACCCTCTTACCTTACCTATGATCAAACACTAGTAAGGCCCCTCAATTCTATCGGTTCGACTGCAAGCCGAGTGTTTTACCACTCGGTTACGTCCTTGATAGGTCAACCACGATTTGGTGTCAATTTTGAAGCAGTTTTTGGCATTATAAAATATAAACTTGACTTTTTTTCTTAAAAAAAAAATTGGAATCGCCTGGTTAGGGCTTGGCGTTGTGTGGTGACGCCAAGAGCGACAAGCCGGCCAATCACGCAAGCATATGGCTTGGCGTCATGTAACTATTTTCCGGGATCACGTGCTACCTCTCGGGGCACCCTCCCAACTCGAAATGATCCACGGATTGGATCCGATGAAATTTCCCCCTCATAATCCATCGGATCCAGTCTGTGGACCACCTAAGACAATCTCTACTAGTCACACTGAGATGGTTCGTAACGGAGCGTTAACGGACGAGCCTCGATGTCGACGTGGTCCATGGATTGGATCCGATGGGCTGTGGTATTTCATCGGATCCAGTGGATAGCTGGAAATGTTGTCTCCTAGGATTTTATGTCAGTTAACTGACTGAACTTTCAATCAGGCAGGCTGTCGATTATGTCAGTTAATCGACTGTTGGCCACGCAGATTGTATCCTGGGTTCGATTCATATCGCGCATCGAGAATGTCCATTCGGAAGGCGGCTGGAGGCTTCTGACGCTTGGGGCAATCTATTTACAAGATTCGATCACTCCCGCTCTGCCTCTCACCATGGCGAGTACGCTGTCTATCCCGTCCGGTGTTGGAAGACCGAGCTCCAGGTGTGTCACTTGGTTCTTATCGCAGAGAGGGTACAAAATCACACAAGACCTCCTTGGAAGTGACGATCCGAACTCCGTTGCCCTCTTGATGACAGATGCGTTTCGTTGGTTCGCTGCCGGTCATTGAAAACTAGTAATTTGGACCTTCAGACCATAGGCGTATGGAGCAAGATAGAGAGAGACGCTGACAAATTTTCCTCTGTGTATCTGGCTGCGGCTAATATCGGTTTTTATAGACACCATCTCGGTATGCAGAAGACACATCTACAAGGGCTAGCCAGGGCCTCGTGCAGGACTTATTCTCTTGTTTAAACTGGAATAAGAAAGGCTGATGGAACTTCAAGCCGTTCCGGAACTTCTCTCCTCGGTATCCTAAGCCTTACTAAGTCGAGAGGGTTAAATCTCATTAGTTCAGTCGATTAGGAATGATGTTGGGCACGTCCGACGACATTGATAGTAAAGAGCCGGAGATATGCATAGATATTATGTTAAGAGGCATTATCAAGTCACAGACCGTATTCCGCAGCCAGTTTCTTCCAACCCATCTGCCCGACTACATACGCTGTAGCTTGAGTGTGATTACTTTGCATTGTGGTCAGTCAATGAACCTGAGGAGAATTCAAGGAAGCACTTACTTTGTGAGCACAGGACAAACACTGAGATCCATGACACGAAGATTGTCGACGTCTCTTACGCGGAAATCAGTGTCGACGCAGGCCTTTGGATCATCCCTATGTCCCATCTTGGCTGTTCCAACCCCATGAAGGACCGACATGAGAGTATCTTTGCAGAATGCCAGTATGTCTTCATCACTGTCCGTCTTTGGAGCAAGGACCGCACTCGCGATGTGCTTGGATAAATGTTTGGACCGGACGAATGTCATGACTTCTCGCACTCCACTGACCAAAGTCTGCCGGTCGTAGGGATGTGAGAAAAAGTTCACATCAATTACCGGATCGGCCGCCGGATCCTTGGAAGCAAGAGTCACCGAGCCTCGTGATTGCGGATTCATGAGCATAACACAAGCGATCAGGGGTTCTTCGCCATGACTCTTGTCCCATTCCTCAAGACTGACACCCTGGAGGAAGATTTCGATTTGAGGGACGTTGGGTTGTTTGATCCACGCCTTTGCCCGGGCATCGAGGATTTCCAGCTCGTCGAATGAATGTCGATGTGGATCCAATTTGAGAAATCCAATTAACGTGGTTAAGTGTCGAGTCGCATCAGGCCCGGTATGATTTCGCATCCACTGCTCTCGAGCCGCCGCGACCATTTTTGAGTCTTTCTCAAATCCGACCTCGTCCCCGAATTGTGAACGGGCCCCCCACTGTGTCACAACGTACAAATGGTCCGTTAGGCCTTTTCCCACTTGAGCATTATCAATGATACATTCAAGCCCCAAATCCTGCAACTCCGACCGCGGTCCAATCCCACTGAGAAGGAGCAGCTTGGGGGTATCAATGGTTCCGAGAGACAAGATAACCTCTTTGGACGCTCTAACTTCTCTCCCGTCAGCAAGAAGCACGCCGATCGCTTTAGGTTTGCCCGAGGAATGAGCGTCGTCCATGAGAACTTTCGTGACCTTTGAATCGGTCCAGATTTCGAGGTTCGATGGGGGGTTGCTCAGGTAAGCCGATGCGCTTGTGGTTCGGCGCCCCTGGTAGCTCGTAACCGAGAGCACTCCAATGCCTACAAGATCGCCAGAATTTTGGTCAGGATTGAGTGGCCACCCAAAATCGAGGGCGGCCTTCATTAAAATGTCCAAGGCGGGGGGCCATTGTCGTCTGGAGGGGAGAGTGATATCCAGGGGCCCGTTAAATCCATGCACACCTTCTCGGAGCTTGATGAACTCGTCACCATCATCATCCAAGTGAAGGTTTTCAAGCTCTTTGAACCTTTCGACAGCATTTTCCCACTTGAAAAAGTCGTCACCAACAAGGTCACCCCAGACATTATAGTCCGACGCTGAACCACGAATATACGCCATAAAATTGGCGACACTAGATCCCCCTAAACCCTTTCCGCGAACATACTCCAGGATCCGCCCATGGATGTGGTTTTGGGGAACAGTGCGATAACCGATTTTGATTTCTTCGTTCTTGTACACATTAGCGAATCGTTCAGAAGGGACATACAAGTCATCTCGTGTGTTCGGTCCGCCCGCCTCAATCACCAAAACGCGTGGCCTGGCGGTCGAATGGGCCAAATTACCAGCGACTACAGCACCAGAATTGCCTGGGATTTTCTGAATGTTAGAGGGTTGCCTTCAAGGGTCTCAGCAGTGAGCCGGACTTACCAGCACCGACCACCACGAAGTCGAACAAGTTTCCTGTTGGCGATCCCATGGCTCAATTTTCGAGCAAAATTTCTCCTCTCCCATTCTTTGTGATGATCTCTTCACCGGGTGAGAAAACGAAGTTATAGATCAAGCTGACTGTCTCCACACATCTGTCAGGGTTTTGACCAATCATCGTACGTATTGACTTGACTTCAGGCAACACGCATCGTCAATCAGCATCTTAATCAGGGTCAACAAATGTCTAGGGGCTCTCCACACTATTAACCCCAGATACTTGGAATTGACCAGCCCAATCGCGTGAATGGTGAGATGCGATCAGGTGAGCGGAGGGAATTCGACCCCCATGTACATCAATACCCCGCAGTGCGTCTACATTTCCAGTTCAGCCGATAGGCGCTCCGGAATCCCTTACCAAGGTCAAGACGGGAACTGATGCGAAGCCGCTGCGAGATATGGTCTTTGAACTCGACATCATACAGGATCCGACTTATCTCCCACGAGCTATTCTTGCCAGTGTTGAAAGACTGTTGACTCGAGGCGCAGAATCAAGCAGGCAACGCCGAATGGTTCGATCCAGAAGGTCCATGAGGCACCAGATGTAGCAGAACGATAAAGAATGTGAATGAAACCCTTTTTGGGGGGGAGGAGAGCCAAACTGTTAAGACAGAGTATCTTCCAGCCGTCAAATACGTCCGGGCTTTCTTCAGGCAGGGCTGCGTACACGGTTTCGCAAGAAAAACTGTATTCATCTTCCCCCCTAAAAGGCCTATCTCACAACTAAAGTTGAAAGTAATTGGCTTTTAGCATCTCATAAATCAATGTGACCTATAGTTCGAAGCGAAAGACATTTCCAAATTCAGTTTTGACGGTGGATGATGTCAAAGAAGGAAAATCCTGGTGGCAGACCTTTTAGTCTCACCGCAGAGCCTGATATTGCATGTTTGGTTCGTGATAGACGTTAGACTTTCGGTGTCGAGCAACTTCATCTGGATACTAGTTGACGTCGTTCCGATATTTCATTCCCAAGGGTATCCAAACCTTCTCCACCTAGACTCCAGTAGTCTTGTCAACCTCTTCGATCGTAGCATGACCCTCAACGCCATGCTCTTGCATGTGCTGCTTCTGAGTCTTGAGATCCTCAACCACGCCACGCTCAAATGTGTATAATGGCTTGAGGTGAGCAGACTTATTCCAGAACACATAGCGTTTGATGAACCAAGGTAACCAAGTGCCGGTTTGATACGACATGAATCTTCGAGTTGGGACGGCAAAGATATAGTCGAGCTCTTCCAGAGTACGTTGCTGGAAGATTTGGTTAGCAAGAAGTGATATCCGGGAGAAAAAAAAAAAAAAAAAAAAAAAGAGGTGGGCATCCGCTTACCTTGGTCTCGGGCACCCAGAAGAAGATCATGATCAACGCCAAAATATTCAAGCCGGCAAAGAATCCAAAGGCGCCGGTAGGAGTAAAGGCTTCCAGGATCTTTGGGAAGGTGAGTCCCAACACTGCGGCCCAGAAAAGGCATGTTGCCACTGCCCAGCCCATGCCGACTTCACGATGAGAGAGTGGGAAGACTTCAGCCGAGTAAGTGAATGGAACTGGGCCCTCGCCCGGCGAATAAAATGCCGCAAACATGAAGACGAAAAGTGCAATAACACCTAGGTGTGCATTACTTTCCTCGGGAATGTAGAAGGCAAAGCCGGCCGCGAGTAAAGTCCAGGCCATGTTAGGGAAGGTGAAGAGGAGGAGCGACCGACGTCCAAACGTGTCAATTGTGAAGAATGCCGGGATCGCGAAGAGGAAGTTGACCGCTCCAAAGCCAAATGAACCGAGAAGGGCTTCAAAGTCCGAGGCTCCGCCTTCACGGAAGATCGTCGAGGAATAGAACGCCATGATATTGATGCCGCACATTTGCTGAGCAATCATGACCGTGAAGGAGGCCAGAGTCGCACGACGCACGCGAGGCATTGTGAAGAGCTGCATGAAGCGGGAGATATAAGTGGATTCGCCCACAATCTCGTGCTCAATGTCAATTTGGGTGTTGATATAGTACAAGTCCCTTGCGGCAAGGAGAGGATGGTTTCTGAGTTTGAGTAACGACTCGTACGCCCGTCGGTACTGCTTGTGCTTGATGCACCATCTTGGACTCTCCGGGCACAGATAAACCAAGATCGCAAGAGGAACTGCCGGAATAAAGGCTGAACCGAGCTGAAGGCGCCAGCCAATATCGCCTGCTTTCCATACAGCCAAGTTGAACGCCGTGCCCAAGAATATGCCAAACGCGGTCCAGAATTGCCAAGTCATCACCAGGGCGCCTCGAATTGCAGCCGGCGAGTTCTCGGCGGCGAAGACTGGTGTGGTCGCTCCCTTCAGACCCATGCCAATACCCATAAGGATACGAGTGATCAGCAGCTGCTCCCAGGTCTGGCAGAAGGCACCACCAATCGGCGTCGCAATCAAGATAATGGCGGAGGTGAAGATTGTGCCTCGTCGTCCGAAGTAGTAGTTGCAAGGATCTGAAAGCCAACAGCCGAGGAAGGCACTGCCGATATAGGGGCCGGAATTGACCAATCCAATGATCCAAAAGTCACTTTCGTAGCCGGGTTCGCCCTCCGGAGTATCCAGGCCAAACGCATCAGGGAAAGATAGATTGGCGCCATTGGTTCCCGTTTGATCCCAGCCCTGGACTGCGGCACCAATGGAGCAGACGATGACCGTCATGTATAGCTTCCATGGATGAGACCATTTCTTGGTAACCTCCGTGCGAAGCGCATCCCTTTCTTCGTCGGTGAGTACTGCGATGTTTTCGTATTCGCTGGGGTTCTGAGCCACCAAAGCACCCTTCTTGAGCAATTCGACCTCTGAAGTTAGGCCTGTCCGGTTCGCAAAGTCCTCAGCCTGGAGGCGGGATTCATCAGCTATTTTTTTGGCGGCAAAAATTGCGCGGTCGCACTCACATCAGCCAAGAGCGCCTCTTCGGGAATATCGGCTAGAGGATTGGAGATCCTGCTCAAGCTTAGCCAAGCATACGGATAAGCTGCAAAACTGAGGCATACTTGGCGTCCAAGTTCTTGTTCCGGTTCAAATCTGCAACCGAGGAATGCCGTCGCCCTTCAGATGGAGGCTTCTCATAATGGCTTGTGTCATTCTCAGCATAGCTGATATCCTTGGAATCCGACATATTGGCCGAGTGTGCCAGGCTGGTGTGGTGTAGAAGTTCGAGGGGGGCCTGGGAAGAGAAGAAGACAAGCGTGGAGGAGGGAGAAGAGCAAACAGCAGGTTTGCGTTCCTCTCATATGTATTGATTGAACAGCTCTACTGCGGAGACTCCAGCATCTCATCTCCACTGGTCGCGGTAACATCGTCCCGTGGGGTCCTTGCACTGCCAAGATTTCCGATGAGGGCGGACGGCAGAATTCCCAGGATCCGTCAACGGGAAAGCCCTGTTCAACAAGAGCCGTGTTCATCGATATGATTTGCGCGCACCAGTCCGATCGACCTACGGCGTCAGTGGGCAGCGGAATAGGCTCCACCTCAGTGAGAATTTGAAAGCAAAACCACCACCCGGACAAGCTTGCCGATGTCACCTAAAGATAGCCAAAGGATGGGCTTGACTGGCTAACCGGTGCTTCTTTTCCAAGAACCAGGCTGAGCGCCAGGAAAATGCGTTGCATTTGATGCATGCGAGCCTTGAGGCGTCTGGCTTGGGGAGCTTAAGTTTGCCTGCCTGCATCGTCACTTGCAGCCTCCCTCGATGATAGTAGATAGAAAAATATGTCTTCACCTTGTGCGGTCCGGAACGAAACATTTGCACTCCTGTCAGTGGAAACTATCACTCGCCCAACAGCGACATATACCTATTGCGATTTGCACCATCGCATGCGCGACTCTGTATGAGGTTCCAGTGGATGAGAGTGGTCACGCGCAGGGAGGAAAGTTTGCTGGGGGACGAGATGCAGTAAGAGTGGATGGGGCGTCGCCAAGGATGCCAAGGGCGGAGATCACCTTGGCGGAATCGACGCTGCCCCGTCTTGTTCTCTCTAGTCCTCCCTCGTCCACGGCTGGGCTTGCATCATGAGTATTGGCATCCCCATAAATTTATCCCTATGATGACTTGGCAAGATCTCGGCGCCCCGAAGTTTTTTTCCAGAAGAAGTAAGGAATAGAGGCTGAAACAGGGACTGTACAACAAGTGGAGGTATATGTTGCGCAAGGTAGCTCAGCAGGCGCAGTACCCACTCTTCGTTGAAGTCTGGCCGAAATTCAGCCAATCCTGGTACGGCTTTCGCAAAGCGGCAATGGGCTTGAGCCCCAGAAGCGGAGCCTATGAACGGGTCGATTTGGTCGATTGACAGTGACGATAAAAGCGGGCGACCACCGTACTCTCGAGCGTGATTTTCTGCCAGTCGCCTCAGTGAACTAAGTACTCAATTCAATGCCCAGCTTGTAGCTGTGACAAGGGGAAGTATTCGTCCAGAGAGAGACCAAGGTTGTCAGTCTTCAAGGTTTTGTCCGCCTCCTTAGGCTGGACGTCAATTCGAAGAGGGTCGTCAGTGTGGTACGTGGCTGAAGATGACTGCCTTTATCCCCGATATGCTGTCGGCAAACCTTTCCTCTCATCTTTGTACTAGTTTCTGCCTCTGTACTTTTGCTTTCCATCTTCTCTTTTTGTGTTGTGACGGCAGCGTCGTATTCATGAGAATCAAGAGTGGGAACGCTGTTCGAGTGTGCTCATTATGGGTTCGCGTCGTTTCTTTTTGCTAGCATTGCTTCTGAGAACGAAGGACATACAGAGGTCATCAATATGATAGCCTAACCACCCGTTCTGACAAATGGTTCTTCTGATGTATCATGTTGTGAGAGAAGGACCATGAGTGGACGGCTAGAATTGCAGATAAAGATGGCAAGTAAAAAAGGTGAGACCCTTTTCGCGTTGAGATTCTTCAAGGACCATAAACAGTGCCCATGGTGGTATGGAAGATGAAATTGAAAGTGGAATGAAACTTGATGAAGCAAAATCACTCGGCCTTGTCCTCCCATTGTACTTTCATCTCGGCTGCGCCCTTCATCTCCTTCTTCAGCCCTCTTCAAGCGATCCAAATATTATTCTACTCAACCTCTTGCCTTTGCCTTCTCCATCTTTGTCATCATATGTTTTCCCGGCGCTGGGTGGCCGTGGAGTCAACCCGTCCAACCTGCCGCTGAACCCGTCAAGCAAGAGAACATCTTCCTTGATGACAAGCCAGGTTGGTACCAAGATACGGGAACGGTATGCAAATTTTCTCTTTCGTGAAGTTTTCACCGTCTCGTAATTTCTGCTCTCAACACCTGACACCGACACATCACCATCTCTACTCAACTTTCATCTACCCGTCATCCTTCGCCTGATCGTATCTTGTCTGCTCCACGCACTCGAGAGACAATAAATCATGCCCACGTTCTATAGCCATCAGAACCCAAACCCCTCAGCTTTGAACAATCGAGAATCAGCTGGTCATTTGGAAAACCCAGCTGATTGGGCACGCACCTTTCTCTATATGTCTGCTCACGAAGACACACAGGGAATTCACCCACCAGCACCTGTCTATCTGTCAAATCAGCCCTCAGAACGAGCAACGTACTACTTTGCTGTTCGTGAACTATATGTTTCCGCTTTCGTTGGATGTGTTTTCACTGACTCTTCACTCTAGGGGAGCTCCAGTACCCCAGCGGGCTATTATGTCAATGGGCTCTACTATGGACTATCGCCTCTTCCTACAGCGACCGGTTGGCCTTACACCTCTTCTCCATACACCTATAACACTCACCATCCTATACAGCATCACAACCATTCACGATTCCAACATCTTCACCATGGTCTCAAACCACACCTTCAGCTCCCGCCGCCGCCGTAGTAGCCGCCAATGTTGCTTATGCACAAATACCACACGCCCCTGCCTATTTCATCGGAACAACTGCAGCGGAAATTCAAGCTCAGAATGCCATTCCGATCGCCTATCTCGTTTCAGCTCAGCAATCTCCCAGCCAATTCGTACCTTATAAACCAGGATCAAGCCCACAGTTTTGGTGCAAGGAATTGGATGGAAGCTGGACTTTGAGAGAGTACAATGATACCTTGAAGAGCGATTTTCCTGCAGGGCATTGAGAGAAGCATACCACAAGTGGGTACTACTACTATGTTCGTCACCCAAGTTGAACAGGTCATACGAGAGAGCGCAACGATGTGGAAAGCGGCGTGAGGCAACAACATCATAATCTGCGGCCACCATGCTTCTGATACAGTCCGACAGGAAAGTCAACAACAAGGGCCATGAGGTGTGATGGAGGACGTTAGTGAGGAGAGCTTGGTTAGCATGATGGTCACCGTTATTGAGTCGCGAGGAAAACGAGTTCGAGGGGCGGTTGAGCTGAGATAGAATTCGATAGATAGCTCAATGGCACAGCATGAACCGGCAGAAGTTAGACGCAAATATCTTGCTCGATGAAACCAGATCAGATCAACCAGTGCTTTCTCCATCCTCTATCCGTCCCACGAAATATTCAGGGCCTCCTCCTTTTCTATGCATGGTTTCACTACTTCACATGCCCCATGGCACTCTCCATCAACAACTTGGTGTACAGCTGATGCAAATAAACCAAATGCGGCGGCATGGGTCCTTTCGACTTATCGGGAACATCACCTTCGCCCTGGTAAAAGACACTCTTGAGCCTGAACTCGGCAAACCCTTTATCGAGATCTGCTTTTGCACAGATTTCAAAGAGACCATCACTTGGTCGTGAAGTGTCCGGACTGTGCAGCGGCGAATCGCCACATCGAAACAAAATGGATGTAGGTGTCTTGTCGAGGACGACAAAATGGTTCGTCAGCTCTGTCCCGGGTTCGTATGTTGACGCCAATAGCTCCTTCGACGTCCAGAGTTGGTGTGCGGTCGTCGCGTCGTTGCCGTACTTTGATTCTAAGAGTTTCCGTTGAATTGCGTAGCCTGGTAGACGTTGGCGAGAGAATTACACTCGGCGAGGAAAATCGTATCACGTGACATTGGTTTGCCTTCCGGCTACCATTCGGTCGATGATTAGATAAAGCCAGCTGGTGGCTTTTGAAATGGGACTCGCCAAAATATTTGCACCACGAGTGGGTGATGGAAATGGATGGGAAAAGATATCATACTTACCAAATGTTCCCCAAACGCCCTGGCTGAACGCCTCGACCAGCTTCGAACCGCCCTTCTGTGCATCCTCGATGAGCTCCGGTCGGATCTTAAACAAAGGGAGTCGACGGACGCATTCATCGTGCATGGTACCATTTGCGTGCGGATTGTACTTCTTGAACCATTTGCTCTGGAACAGAGGCTCGGTCGTGGGCGAAAAATCGTTCGCTTCGCTGAAATGGCAGTGTTTCGTCCATACGAAAAAAGCACCGACGCTTCCCAGGCTAGTGACTGCGAGGCCTTGCAGAGTTTTGGAGAGAAGAGAAGGCCCCATTTCCTTTTTCTTCTCTTTTCGAGGATCTGTTTTGGTAGCTGGGTGGGAGGATGGCCGGGATGGAAAGAGTGTATGTTTGTTGGGTCGCCCCCTTGTCCTCGCCCGTGCCAGATAAATGCTTCGCGGTAGAAGAATTTACGGTGTAGTAAATCTACATTAACTGCAGTATCGAATTTGCATCATTTTTTTCTTCAACGCCGCCAGTACAACTCTCCTTTAATTTTGGATCCGTGTTCGTTTTGGCAAACATGGCGACAGGTCTGTTTGCATCCTTACCAAAACCCAAATATACTGGAGAACACGAAGAAGTCCCTGTTCACGCACAACCCAAGGGTCCTCGAATTGTAGGACCGGGAGTTATCGATCAATCCCAAATTGTTGTTAGGGTGAGTGGCCTCGGGTACCAAACCCTCAAATTCATACTGACTTCTTTTTTCTCTTCCAGCGTTCGGGTCCTCCCCCATATGGTCAACGCTCAGGATGGAGACCGCGATCTGTAGAAGACTTTGGCGATGGGGGAGCCTTTCCAGAAGTTCCTGTCGCTCAGTATCCTTTAGACATGGGTCGCAAAGGCACCGCCTCGACTTCGAACGCCCTTGCGATTCAAGTAGATGGCGAAGGAAAAGTCAAATATGATGCGATTGCCAGACAGGGCCACAGCGAAGACCGAATCATTCATTCCAGTTTTAGAGATTTAATACCGCTACGACAGCGAGCAGATGCGGGAGACTTAAGCCTGGATCGACCGGGTCAAGAGGAAGTACAAGCGACGGCAGAGAAAACAAAACTGGCGTTGGAGAAGTTGGTGTCTGGGGCGGTGGCTGCACAGAAACCGAAGAATGTCAAGGGCGCAACCCGAGATGAGCCTACGTACGTGCGATACACCCCAGCAAATCAAATGGGTGACAATTCGAAGAAGAATGATCGAATATTCAAGATTGTCAAACGGCAGGAAGATCCCATGGAACCACCCAAATTCAAACACAAGAAGATTCCTCGTGGCCCACCAAGCCCTCCACCGCCTGTCATGCATTCACCGCCTCGGAAGTTGACGGCCGAAGATCAAGAAGCCTGGAAAATTCCTCCTCCCATCTCCAACTGGAAGAATCCGAAGGGTTATACCGTTCCTCTCGACAAGCGATTAGCGGCGGATGGGCGAGGGTTGCAGGATGTCACCATCAACGATAAATTTGCCCAATTTGCAGAAGCGTTATTTACGGCGGATCGACATGCACGTGAGGAAGTGAAATTACGAGCACAGATGCAACAGAAACTGGCCGAGAAGGAGAAGCTGGCCAAGGAAGAACATCTGCGGGAGATGGCCCGAAAAGCGAGAGAAGAAAGACAGCGGGCTGCCGGTGGCCGGAGAGACTCGGATTCCCGACGGCGATCGCGGTCGTACTCGGGATCATCATATGATTCGAGATCTCGAAGCGACAGTGAAGACGAGGCTGCCAGGGACAGAGAGCGGGCAAGGCGAGAACGAAGACAAGAACACGAGCGACAATTACGGCAAAGCCGGATGGGCACCGAGAAGAGAATTCAGATGATGGCACGAGAACAAAATCGAGACATCTCGGAAAAGGTGGCACTGGGCCTCGCGAAGCCCACGCAGAACAAGGAAACCATGTATGACTCCCGCCTATTCAACCAAACGTCCGGATTCGAGGCCGGTTTCAACGAGGATCAGCCTTATGACAAGCCTCTATTTGCCACCCACGACGCCATCAACAGCATATATCGACCATCAGCGAATCAAGATGATGAAGACGGCGAAGATGCTGCAGAGAGTGCCATGGGCAAGATCCAGAAATCCAATCGCTTCGAGGTTCTGGGACGCGCGAAAGAGGGCTTCAAAGGTGCAGATTTGGCAGAGCGTGAAGCCGGCCCTGTGCAGTTTGAAAAGGACAAAGATGATCCGTTCGGTATTGATAGCCTCATTGGAGAGGCTTCAGGGAGGAATAATGGTGAAAGCAAGAAGAGATATGGTCTGGAAGAAGCCGGGCCAAGTGACCGGGGGGGGAAAAGGGCGAGGATTGGCGATGATGACTAGCATGGAGACCGATACAAAATAGTGCATCCCACTGTTTAATCACCAATATCGGAGTTCTAGCACCACGGTGTCTTATCGCATGGTTAACCTCGTCCATTCTACGGAAAATTGCCACCACCATCCTTCCGAGCCTAACAATAATTTCGGCCTGGAAACTAGCGAGCCATGGTTATCCAGATCTTACATATGGAGGAGAGTAATACTGCTACTACGTTTCGTCGCTCCCACAGCGCGTATGGCGATTGGACTGTCCAGTTACTCCGTACTCCATCCGATGGGACTGGAGAAAACATCTGCTTTGCAGTTAGTTCTTTTCAACGCTCCCCACTTTCTTACCTTCTCGTTATATCTAGCAACGAGATTGATATTGGCATCGTAAAGCCTCCAGCATAGGCTGATGCTGACAGCTATTGCTTAGGATTCCACATATGCTATCGCCTTTTTACTTTTTCACGTGATTGAAATATCATCCCCAAAGAGGTGAGGCATTGACGTCCTCCATTTACACCAAGCCGTACTACTCTCTCATCTGCCCTTTCCCCGCTCGCTGGACGAATAACATTTACCTCCTTCATTACATTTAGGGTGCCCGTTTGGCAGAAAAGAAGAAGAGGGAGAAGAAATGACCACGCAATATGACGCCATAGGCCTGGCGTACGAATCCCTCAAACGCCTCCCTGCCGCCATGCTAGAACGAAACAGTCTATGCGCAGCGCTCACGCCATTTCTTTCTCATCCTGCCTCAGAAGAGACCAACGGGGGAAGTGATTCTGGTGCCAAAGTCCTCGACCTCGCCTGCGGCACCGGCTACTACTCGCGCCTGCTCCTCTCATGGGGCGCTTCGCAGGTCGTTGGCGTCGACATCTCATCCGCCATGGTCGAAGCCGCTGAATCCTCGTGCTCTCAATCTGGTATCTCCCCAAACCGCCTCTCGTTCCGGGTCGGCGACTGCATTCAACCCCTGGTCCTAGACAGCGGTCCATTCGACGTCGTCCTAGGCGCCTGGTTCCTCAACTACGCATCCACACCTGCCGAAATGAGGAACATGTTCGCCAACATCTCCGCCAATTTGAAGCCTGGTGGCCATTTCGTGGGCATCACGCCGCACCCAGCACTGGACCTTGACGCGTTTGCGGCGCTGCACGATCAGACGAAGAACCCGGGGCGAAACCCAAGGAAGTACGGTGTGAGCGTAGCATACACGGACAAATTGGATGATGGGTCAGGGTACCTGACGAAAATCACGGGACATGTGGAACCGGTGGAGATAAGCTTCGAGAACTTCCATATGCGCCGTGAGGTCTATGAAAAGTGTGCGAGGGAAGGGGGGATGGGAGGGAGGCTGGAGTGGAAGAAAATCGTGGTGCCAGATCCAAAGGAGAGTAGGGAGCGGTACGGGGTTGAGGAGGGGTATTGGGATGAATATAATGAAACGCCGCATTTGGGGATCTTGGTTATTGAAAAGTAAGGAACATCTACTGAAGCATACGAGGGAAAGGGTACCAAAGGCTTTGGAAAAGGAGGGGGAAAAAAGAGTATGCATGGGATTGGTTTTAAAATCTCCTGCTGAGCCCAAATCCTAAAATCCCACGACCCGCAACGGTCTTGATGATCTCAGCTGTCGTCGACACTCCAGTCTTTTCGATGCATGGACAACCCCCATCCATGCCCAGAATGAAAGTTCAAGACTCTGCCGATAAATCTGCTAAATACTTAATATGTGAGCGCGCCGTCGGGGCGTGAATCCTTGATAGCACGCATCACCGCTGTAATCCATGAAACTATGGATAGGGTCGGGATCACGGTAACCTTGAAAGCCGGAAGGGTTCGCGCCTCGTCCTGGTTCGCCGGTATAGCCTCGTGGTCTGGGGTTGGGGAGCCGTCTTTGAAGGCGGAACAGTTACCCATGGCTAGATGGATGGTCATGTCAGTAAGCTGGATAAATACGTAAGTGGAGAGGTTGGATTTGAATTGCTCAAGAGATGATGTGAAAAGAGTGCTTTCAGGGAAGAAAACCAACGTGGGATATCAAAGTCCCTGCATGGAAAAGATAGGTTATTTCGACTCACTCGTACTCGTCATCTCCTGTGGCGGGTCTGCGGCATAATCACCAGAATCGAACGGATCACATCCATTTCTATTGAGCGTATGGAGTATGGCATTCCAATAACTCACTTCATAAGCAGTCGCGACTCCAAGATTATATCCCGCTATGTTTCCTCCAAGCGAAATGGCAGAAAGCACATTGCATCTGTCAGTGACATAGGAGTCGCCGAGTGTAGAGGTCCGGACACTGGAAGTAGGTAAAGTGCAGAGCCCAAGAAAGGTCAAGCTCGGAGGCATCTTCGGTGTTCCGGGCCCGGACCGTAAGACCGACTGGTAGGAGATGTTGAGTAAGAATAGGTGCCGTGGCGTAGAACGTGCCTCGGGACGAGGTTCGTCGCCGTTGGCGGCGCAGACGCAGTAGTTGATTGAGGCATTCGTGTACACATGCACGAGGTAGATGAATGGGTTTGTGACCACGGCATCGGTGACATAAGTTGGGTGAGGAAGGCCTGGCGGTCTGTATTTTGGTACGTCGCCGAAACTTGATGGTATGGAGGCTAGAATTAGTATGAGAAAAAAGGAATACATGGAAAAAACCAATTCTGTTGTGGTTGTCAAGAACAAAGCGACCAAATCTTGGTGAGACGAAAACATCTATTGTGGAACGGATACCGTGACAACCCAAAACACTGGAACGTGAAATCAAATTCCTCCATTCATTCCCACACAATGTGGAGGACCCGGTTGAAATCAATCGACTCATGATATTTGCAACAACGAAAGAGGATGATAAATTTGCTGATACTTGAGGCTGATCTGCCATTTTGACCTCTCTCGACACATTCGAAAAACGCCGGCTCCCAAGTCCACCCGATATCGTCAACGTTAGCAATCATATATTCGGTCATGTAGTTAGGAACGCCGAGGGAAAAAGTCGCGACCGGTCGCCAAACCTGTAGCAGGAGTGTCGTTGTTCCAGGACAAGTACGTGTGATCGCCCATTTTTCTATTCTATCAGCGAATGTTCCACCACTCAAAGAGAGCACACCTACCTCGGCCTGATCAAGTGCGCAACAGTGAAAAGCACCCCGAGAACGATGCATAATCCGCCGACAACCACATAGGCGATGCCCAAAAATGAGTTCTTGCCCCCGACAACTGATCGAGTCGAGATCAGGACGCTCTTCGTACCGTCGTAAACATTGACAGGGAAGACTGCCCATATCAGCGGAAGATCATTCTTGAAAAACGCGACAGACTTACAATCATAAATGTCCATTTGATAGATGCCGGCGGTCATGGTTTCGTTGTCGTTTCGCAGGGCGAGTTTACTGAACGTGGGCAGACCTGCCGTTCTCATCCAAACATGAAACTCCTCGTATTGTGACAGGTCGGGGATGGGATGCTCATCGGTGTATCCATTGGGGTAGCGCTTTTGCCAATTGGGTGGAGGAGAGACCTGATGGTTGGTATATTTCGTTTTCCTATAGAGGGACGCATCAGATCCCCAAGCAATGCCCTTGTTGGTCATGCGATATTGTTGGCTTCCTTGACTCCCTGGAGCATTCACCGCGACAGGCGAATTGAGAGTGTCGTTGAAGATAGAGTTGGCAATCAAGCCGCATGGGTAGTATGCCTTGCCGTTATCATCCAGCTTCAAAGGATTGCATGAGCTCCCGTCGATCGTACCATTGCTCAAGGCGTGGCCTTTTAATTGTTCGGTATTGAGCGACTTGACATATCTTCGGTGGTTTTGGTAGAAGTTGGTCAGGCGGTAATAGAGGTAAACGGGTGGACCAATGTCATTCGGGATCGAGAATTGGAGGGTACAAACGGCGGTGTCCTCGATTTCCACACTCAGCGGTGGCGTGGTCGTGTTCAGGGTCTTTCTCCATTGAGGTCGGACAGTATTGTTTGAAGTTTTGAAAGACGACGAAACCTTGCTGTCGGGTATTTGTGTAAATTCGGTGGTTGCAGTCGCGTTGCAATCCGAGTAATCAATCACCAATTCTTGGATCTGTGCGCCAAATCAACATCCCCCCCCATCTGGGACGAGAATGATGGTTTCTACTAACACTGTAACTGGCCCAGAGAAGGAGGCCCCCGATGGGGGCAAAGACGATTCCGATGGCGAAGAAGATGGGTAGGACGGTTTTCGGGGTGAGGATAGGTCTGGGCAATCAGGTCAATTCGATGGACACCGTAATGCGCCGTCCATGGACTTACTGCCATGCCTTCAATCGCTGTTGACGAAATGCGGTGTCTATACCGACGTCGGTCAGCAATCGTTCAATGAAACAGAGGAGCAGGAAGCATCAGATCGGACGTACTGGCCGGGCGTCTGTTCTTCTGCTTCTTAGGAGGTTCATTATGAGGGTCTTCCTCCTGTATCGAGTCGGCGCGGGTCACTTCGGTTTGCGACATGGTTTGCTGGACAGGTGATGAAGCGCGTCGAGCAGTGATATGTAAATGCCAGTCCCTCACAGACGAGAAGGACAGCGCCAAAACCAGACTGGCAACGGGATGGGGATGTTCAACTTGGAAACTCCCTCACTCAGCAAAGTCTCAGCATGCGCCATTCTGCTTCCCTTCAACTTCCGGGGGGCCATTCATCAGACTGCGCCATGCCCCTTTGAGCCTTAGTCTCCACCACAGCCTCATTCTTTGGTTTCGTCAGCTTTTTTCTTCTCTCTTGTTTGGTTCCCCTTCCTCCTCCATGAACTCATTCGCGGACATGATTATTGTAGGAGCCAGGGTTGCAATCTGCACGAATCTCTTTCTCCTCTGCTACGTGATCCCAGATCACTTTCTGCGCCGTAGCTGGAGCGTGCTAGGAACTTCCGCATTTGTGGAGGATTTCCATGATGCTTTCTGTTCCCTTACCGACGGTCGCTACATTACTTGCGGAGAAGCACAGTCAATTTGTTTGGGAGGACTGGGATTCTGGTCTTTTTTCTTTATGTTTCTTTTACAAAGACTGTCATGCTCCATCATGCACAGATGACATACCTGATCTATCTCAAGGCGATTGGCACCTCCCCCCCCCCCAAAACCACCCGCTTCTCGTGAAATATGCCTGCCCCCTTCCCCCTCCCCCATCTTTCACGACTCCCAACGCCATTGCTATGTATTCCCATGGTGGTACATCTATTGTTTGTTTTCTGCTTGATCTCCTGCTTCCCAAGTACTTTCTTGTTTCGTTCCAGGAGGAAGCCAACCGGTTGAAAAGGTCGAATCAGTATGTCCGTGCTGTCGAACGCGACTGTCATCCCTTTTAGGGTGTGACTCGGACATCTCATTGGAGTAATCATCATGTACAGCGTAGCTGTCCTGTATACCGGGAGTTTGCACTTCCGTGACCGGCAATAGGGCCGATTTGTGACGGAAATGGTCGGCCTTTGTTCTTCTCTCGGCGGCATCTTCCATACTGGTTCGATCGTAGAGGTAGAGACCAAAAAAGGTGAGGGCAATTCCAACCACTTGAACCTTCGTGGTTGAACTCCGGAACCAAATGATCGCCAGGACAATGACCCACACGCGTTTGATAAGTGAGGCCACCGAATATGACACCGGGGACAACATGGAAAGGAGAACAAATGCCATGATGTTTTGGAAAAAGTGAAAGATTCCGTTGAAGATGAATTCCAACATCAGCTCTCCATGATCCAAAGCGCCTTTCTGGGCCGACAGGGAAAGCGATCCATCTTTCCAGAGATCCTGAACGAGCTCGAACCCTTCTGTATAGATCCAAACGGGAGCCGATAGCATGAAGGCTCCCACCGAGCAATAGCATAAGAGATTGAGCTTGTCTAATTTGCGTGGGAGATGAGTCTGCCCATCGGCCTCGGCGCGAGCTGATTCGTTGAAGAGCTTCTTGGAAAAAATATTTTGGGTCACAAAAACGACGGTGGCCACCAAGGATGCACTGATACCCCAGAAGTTGGTCGAGAAATTGGTCGAACACGCCAACATGACGCCGAGAGTGAGTGGTACCAGTGACAAATAGGTGGCTCGTTTATAGCGGATGCGGAACACGGCCCGGTACGCGAGCACCGTGAACAACGGCGACAAGCCTTTGATGGTATGGACAAGCGAGACCGGAATCTTGGAGGTGGCATATGAGCTGAGGAGGTGGCCCAACAATTGGAAGATCGAAAGCGGAAACGCGGTATACATGACATCCCAAGACGGCTTCCTGAGCCCATTCTTCAATGCCGGAAGAGCTCTTTTCAGAGATGGGAAAATAGATGCCAAGGTCGTCAATATCAAGCACCAAATCGAGACCGAGGCAAATTGGACAATCGTCAGTGTCGCCGGTTTGGGTAGGGCGTTCAAGATCGACTTGGACGAGGTGTTGGTTAACGCCGAGGTCATGTACCAAATAATGCAAAGAGCCTAGTGGAAGTCAGCCTGGTATTCAACCGCTCCCTTGCTATCACTCGAACGGACAATAAGTTTATAAGAGACCGGTGCTTTCAGTGCCTGAGCCAACTCTTGCGCATTTTCACTGACGCTTCCTTGCCGAGTTCGGAATTTGTTTATTGCGTCGCTGACACTTTTTCTGGGGCGGTGTGTATAAACTCCTGATGGTCTTGCATCGCGGAGCCTTTGGCTCATTTTTCTGGCCGGCCATTTGAACTCATGATTGGGGAGTTGTCCTGGAATGATTTCCAGCGGACTCTCGACCGCGGTGGGCGTGTTGAGCTGGAAATTCGAGGAAGAATCGTCAAAGGAAGGAAATCTTTCGTGAGGACTGATCTCATTGGCACCCTTATGAGGAGACAAAGAACGGTGAGTGAATGTCCGGGGCTCGGGGGTTTGGGTCATTGTGGTGGTCATGTTCGTGAGAAGGGATCGGAGTAAAGATCGGCTTTGGAATGTTGCATCTGCAGAAAAGTCGATTCAAGGTGTCTTTCCAGAAGTCGCCATAGCTTTGTAACGAGCGAAAGGCCGATGGGAACTCGCTGTTCTGCGGGTTTAGGTGGTTTCAATGGCTCATGGAGAGGAAGTCCTGCTTCAACCTTCACAGGGTATGTTTGAGAAAAAGCATTGGCGATGGAGTGATTGCCGCCGCAATTGCGTGTCCTAGGCACGCTATGCCCCAACCAGTAGAGTGGTGTCGACGAGTTCCGCTATCGGATCGGAATAAGTCGAGGTCCGATATCATTCACCTAATCTCCTGTTCTGTACCCAAACGACGTTGTGGAAATCGGTCCGCAGGCTGCTCTGAACAACCCCGATCAAAACAGATGCTGGACCTCGTTCAGCTTCAGCGGAGCGGCTGACCAAGTAGACGACTCTGTCTCGGATCACCTTTGGTTGCCCCACCAAGACCAAATTCTCCGCGACCCTACGGAAGATCCGTATTACATCTTCATCGGGGGCCTGAAGTGCGAACTCTTACAAGAGCTGCTATGGGTTCATTCCGGAGGGTGGTCCCCCCGAGGCCAAATTTATCAAGGACTTGATCCGCACACTGCGCACCAAAACTCATCCAAAGACCTTGCTCTTGTTTGACCGACGTGCTCTGCACACCTCAGGGCGCCTCCGGAATAATCAAACTCGCTGAAACATGGCGAGATCCGAAGGTGACGCACAACCCAGACCAGGATTTGCCTGGCATAAGGACTCGGCCTAACTGCTCGTATGCGCCAACTGAGGGAGTTAAAGGAGCAATTTGCCGTTGAGCAAGGGCTTTCTTCCCAAAGGGTACAAAATATCTGGAAAGGCGATGGTGCTCCGGAGATGATCATTGACGCTGCGGGCAGTCCTGACTCCATCCCCTTCAGCAGGAACCAGTAGTCACCTGGTGACGATGAGATCCGTTGTCCGAGCCCGAGGTGGTAGGCGTAAGCTACCACGATCTTAATCTCGTCCTTAGTTCCATCTCTTGGGCTCCCGGGTGGCCGATCTGCGAGAAGGAGATATAGTATTCTTCCTGGCATTCGAAAGGAGCGCCGTCGCAACATATAAAAAAAAAGCCACTCGGGATACTCTATCGCAGTTCTGGTACTCATCCACACCACGCGGCTCAGGAAGAACGAGACAATCCTTATTCAAGCAGCAGCCGGCGCAAGGGGGCCAGGCATGCGTGGTGCTTGCACAGCATCCGGGAGCTCGAATCTTTTGCTACTGCTGGCACTAAGGCAAAGAGAGAGTTTCTATATGAGGCCTTTGGCATCCCTAAGAACCAGGTTCATAGAAGCATGGACCTTGTCCGTAAACTTTGGTCGATTTGTGGAAATTGGCAAAAAGGACGCTTTCCCGAACAACAACTTGCCAATGAGGCCCTTTGACAGCAATATGACTTTCAGCGGTGTCGACCTTCGCGAACTCTTCAAGCGTCGGCCGGAAGACCGGAAAGAGACCATTTCCGAGGTTGTCAGTCTGTTTCAGCGCAATGTCATTGTGCCCATCAAGCCCGTGGCCGTGCTACCAATCTCTCAGTCTGCGACGGGTCTGTGCAAGCTCAGGTCTGGTGAGAACATGGGTAAGATTACCGTCAAGATGAAAGCGTCCCGGCTGAAAGCGCCCTATGTCCGCCAACGCTGAAACTCCCAACCAACCTATCTCATCACCGACGGAACCCATGGCATCGGTCTTGACCTGGTGTATCGAGTGATCGAGAATGGAGCCCACAATGTCATCGTGCTTGGTCGCCGCGCTGCTTCTGGTCCCGAGGTCCAAAAGCTGTTGAATCAAGATCAGTACACCGACGTTCGCGTGAGGGCTCCCGTATAGAGTTCGTCAACGTTCTGGAGTCGATCCAGGACCCCTCTCCGATTCCTGGTGTAGTGCACAATGTCCTTACTCCTGAGCATAAGTTGCTGTGGCTGCTAAATTCAGGAAGCTGACGCTTTATACCCGGACAAACTGTTTGAGAACGCCACGTATGAGGACTGGCACATCATCACGCAACCTAGGGTCCAGGGTTGCATGGAACCTATTGCCCGACGACCTCGACATTTTCGTTGCTCTCCTCGTTCCTCAGGGACAACGGTAACGCCAGGCAAGATATCTACGCTGGCACGGTGGTGAGTAAACGACAGGTCTCGCAGCGTTTCGCTTTCATCAAGACCCTCCGTGAAGCTAACTTCGGTATTCTACGACGCTTTCACCCAGTATCGCAACACCCGCGGCCAGCACACCGCTTTCGTCCCTTGCCGGTTGTTCTAGACGTCGGCTACGTAGCTGATAACGATCTCAACGATATACTAAAGCAAACGCTTGGTGCCACCCTGGCAATGGCCGATATCCGAAATATCGTCAAGGGCATTATCATTGCGTATTCTTTCCCTTCGGTCACAACGCCAAAGCCGAGCACCAGAAGAGAGGGAAGGCTGGCGCAAGTGGAGGTCCTGACATGTACTCGGCCTCATGGGCTGCCGCCGAGGACCCGCTCATTGGTCTAACCGAAGCACTGATCACCAAGGCTTCTGCCATGACCATGATTGAACGGGAGGGGGTGGGAACCGACGCTCCCCTCGCGTCCTACAGCCTGGACTCTCTTGTATCAGTCGAATTGCGCAACTGGATTCGCAAGGGAAACTAGTATTGAGTGGGTACTTAGTGACATTACGTAGGCGGAGAGTCTGCGAGCTCTCCCAACGGGCATTCTTGCGCAGAGGGAGTCCAGAAAGCGTAATCAACTTACTCTTCTGTGATGGGGGTTGCCCTTTTTGTGGCCGTATGAAATTCCTGGCAAATCTCTGTAATAACACTTAGCTTTACCCTTCCTGTCCTAGAATAAACAGTATTTTTGACCACGATTGCTCCTGCTACCGTAGCCCGATGGCGCTTTTTCACATATCTTAGGGATCTCTTATTTCCTTATGGGCTTTAAGGCCCCTTCTCCTGTCCTCCCGTCGGTAGTAGTGGAGAATCCATCGGCTCTTCCGACGACCCGATGTCTTCAAAGTCATACTCCAAGAGACGGCCCCATGGGGAAGTTCGTCCTCCGAACCTAGGATCGACTCCAACTTCGTAGCCACCTTATGGTGTCTGCTGCTGCCGTAGCGTGCGGCGTAGGCTAGGTCTCATTGTCAGCATTCTGATTCTTCCTAGCCAGTCTTCCCGCTGTTTGCTTAGCTTGTTTGTCTTCCGACTGGTCTTTGAAGTGTTGGAGGAAAGGCGAGCCAGTCGCGCCGTTCTGCGGGGCCTTTAGACTGGATCGAACGCTCGATACCAGGATGCTTATCCTTGGGGATAAATTGGACCCTTTTGAGGCAGATAGCGCGGTTGGATCCTAACACGTGTCGGTCTTGCTTGACTTTGACCTCGGGAAAGAATATATTGTAAAGGTAACTAGGGGGCCGCGGACAAGATATTCCCACGGGGTTAAAAGCGTGGCTACTGAGATTACCAAGCCTTGGCATCACGTGGTTAGCCAACCACGCGTAATCCGGAAAATCTATAATCTGAAACTACTAGTCCCTTGCTCTGATTGGCTGATCCCATCGGATCCAATCCACGGCCCAACCAGGTAGAGGGCGCTGCTATAATCCGAAAATTGGCAATATTTTGCTCGGATTGGCTGACCCCATCGGATCCAATTCATAGCCCACCCAGGAATGGGTAGAATGCCCCCTTTGTCTGCCAGACCCCCTTGATCGGATCCAGCCCATGGATCACATATAGACGATGTTGATCACTGTGTCTTTTATGGGGGCTAGTCCCCATACCCCCAGGCCTCACTGCGTTTGAAGGTCCTGCTGTCGAGCCCTTCTCTTTCTCTGCTTGTCACGACAGGCCATACCGGTCAAAAAAGGCCTTGCTCCCTGGGGCGGCCGAGGCATCTATGAGAAAGAAAGAGAGTAGGCGCTTTTGAAGACAGGCAGTGTACCCATCGCGAGATCATGTAGCATTTTCTCGGCCAATCACGCTCCGCTTTTTAATAACGTGGAAATGACAGCCACATGTTTAACTCTGAACCACAGCCGGATCGTTTAGCGCCCTTGCCGCCTTAATCACGGCAGACTAGCGAGTCAACACGTGGTCCCTGAATGCCTTTTGGTCTCTCCCTCCGGGGGTATTATTCTGTACAGTAGCTTGAAAATCGGCTTCACCCTAAATTCAACGTGAATTACTCTTCACCCTATTTCCACAGCAAGGGGGAGTGGCTGCTTTACTATTCTGAGTCTAGAGCCTGGAGGGTGACTCGCCAATTACATAAGAGACCCTTTTTACGCAGTGTGTCATCATTGCCATCAAATACATAAATTTATCTAAAGATATTCTAACCAAATTCTGAAGCCAAAAAGCAGCGACAGTGTGGCAGCCGTGGCACATGATGTGTTCACGTGATTCAACGCCAAAGACGGTGGGTAATGTTATTCTGTACACCACATTTTGTTATTCTGTACACCGCTTTTGATTGGTCCGGATTTTTATTTTTCCGGTTATCTGCGCAGTTCGAAGATACGTGATGTCACAACACCTAAGTCTGCCTATATAGAATGCAGAAATGATGGTTAACGATGGTATCCTCTGCACGGTCGATACCTCGTGCTGACTAAGGTAACAAACCAGCGCCCATAGGCTTGGGTGGGAACCGCCCATAAGCGGGGCAGTTGCCCCCCGGCTTATGGGCGGTTTCCCCCCGGTTCATGGGCGGTTTCCCCCTCCGGCTTATGAGCGGTCCTCCCAAGCCTATGGGCGCTGGTTTGTTACCTTAGTCAGCACGAGGTATCGACCGTGCAGGGGATCTCTACACAAATCCGGCTGTGTAGGCCACAATAATTTACAAAGTATACAGAGAAGCTCAAAATGCACGGTACTTATCTACCAAGGAAAAGGGAATCAAATGTGTTTATTGCTTCGCAACCACCTATAACGGGGAGAGTTTAACGCGTCACCCCTCCACAGCTACGCCACTTACTAGTGTTTTCTCGCCATCGCCGGGCCAACGGCAACAAGCTCTGTTAGCGCGGTGTACAGAATAACAGGATGAGAGCGTTAAGTGTACAGAATAAGGCGAGAGAGAGGTGGTGGTGTACAGAATAAGGAGAGTTGAGGCATGGTGTACAGAATAAGCAGGTTTTCCGGTGTACAGAATAACAAAAGTTGGTGTACAGAATAATACCCCCCAAAGACGGTCGCAACCTCACGCCAGCGCATGGTCGTCTACCTGAAAACCTTCTGTCCTTACGGCCTGATAAGCCTCCGGGTGCTCAGCCTTCTTGCCGCTCTATTGATTGATCATTGGATGACGGGGAAGAATGAGGCTTAACTAGATAGTGTAAGGTTCCCGCCATTGGAGCGGAGAACTTTTCAGATGTGTAGGTGAAGCCGATTTTTCAAGCTACTGTACACCAACGTTGAGAGATAGTCGAAGTAGTGGTAGCCTGCATATTCAGACACTGATTTGCGAGTGATACGGCGTTTATGGGAAAAGAAAATAGGCAAGAATGGTGACGAGGAAACACGCAAATCAATTCATACCTTCGAAAAGTTGCACACCGATAATAAGATATAAGGGATGAAAATGAAGGATTACGAAAAGCGGTTAGGATCGAAAAGGACCGCAGAAAGCGTGGTAAACCTTTATTTCACGACCTTAATGCTGGTGATGACAATATGCCTTTTTTCTTTAGCCCAAATAAAATCGCACGGCGACGTCAAGAAATTGAGGAACAGCAGTAAGTAAAGGAGCAAATTGAGCGCGAAAAAGCCGAGAAAAGGCTCAAAAAAGCTCGTAAAAAGAAAGAACGAGCGGTATTAATCGCTCAAAGAAAAGCAGTGGCTGCTGAGAAGAGGAAACTCACTGAGGAAAAATGACTCGAAAAAGCAGCTCAAAAGCAGAGCGATTAATAGAAAAAGAGGCTCGAAAACAGCTACAAAATGAGGCTAGAGAGGTAAAGAAAGGGTAGCGTAACCAAACGCAACTATCCGCGATAAATACTATCGCTAAGGTCGTCGAGGATCGTGATGCGAAGAAAGAGGTGGTTGAAAATCGTATTTCACGTTCGGATAGGCAAATCAAGGCACCCCGGCACTTGCAACAATAAATTTTGTATAAATAGTTTCGTATATCTATACTCCGTAGACTAGCTCCAGTTAAAATTTGAAGGCCGTACAATGTATGGTTGTGGAGTAACTAGTGGGATCGTGCACGTGCATGTGACAACTAGTAGAGGGGTATTGTATTTATGCTCCACCATAGAAACATTGACGACGATGGTTGCTCTGTGCAACGATGTAGTATTCGTGTGTCTATAAAAGGAGCCTCAGGACCTCGACAAGTAGATAGAGAACAGAGCACTCCTTACTAGAAGTTTGACACTAGCTCTTGGCGTCGTCTAGCGCTCTCTATCGTGGCCTAGCGCTGTCTCCGCCACCTTAGCTCGTGGTAACGCGGAGCAATAGGACCAGCAGCTCAAAATTCAAAAATTATTTTTGCAACCTTCCTACTGCACCTAAATGCTATCGTAGTATTCGTATTAAGATTAAGTAAGTCTTCCATAAGTCTTTCTACGTTGTTAGTATATTACTTGCATTAAGAAGGGTCTCTGTTAAGATATAGACTGGCACTGTAAGGGGAGTACTCTCGTAACGACGGTAAAAGAGAGCATACACGTTTTTTGCGAGTAGCCGTAAAGAGCGTAAGGGAATTAAATAATCGTGTATGTCTCAAGAGCCTCTAGTATGCGCCTAAAGTCGTCGAATGGTTATATGGACTCTATAATGCGATGATTCACATACACGCAAATAAAAAATATTAAGAAAAACAGGCCCCTCCTATAGTCCGTCTCTGACGAACTCATAGATGGGGCGCCGCAGCCAGTGGAAGCTTCAGCCGGACAAGTCCAACCGCAGAAGAGTTTGAATCAGTGACCTCCCAACAGTATGAACAAGACGACATCATCAACAATCACTGGCTGGAGCATTACGTTTACCCATCTAGGGCACCTAGAAGCTAGGCCGGACAACCCTCTTACCTTACCTATGATCGAACACTAGTAAGGCCCCTCAATTCTATCGGTTCGACTGCAAGCCGAGTGTTTTACCGCTCGGTTACGTCCTTGATAGGTCAACCACGATTTGGTGTCCAATTTTGAATCAGTTTTTGGCTGTACAAAATATAAACTTGATTTTTTTTTTTTTAAAAATTTTGGAATCGCCTGGTTAGGGCTTGGCGTTGTGTGGTGACGCCAACAGTGATGTGCTGGCCAATCACGTAAGCCTTGGTGGTGTCACGTGGACACGCGGGCACTCCCCCTTGCCGCACCGTCATCGGATCCAATCTGTGGACCATGTGGCCCTATTCGATAGATGCCCCATGGATTGGATCCGATGAAATCCCCGTGGACTAAATATTTTCCGGGAAAGCACCTATCGGATCCAGTTTGCGGACCAAGTGCCCCGGGAAGGGGCGCACTATTCGATATAGTGTCTTGCAAAATCGGTTTCACCCCAAATGTAGTTCGAATTAATCTCCGCCCCACTTCCAATGCAAGGGGTGCGGCTCCTTTGCTATTCCGAGTCAAGGGGCTTTCATTCCCCTCGCCAATCATATAAGAGACCTCATTTTTCGACAGTTTCATAATTACCATCAAATACACAAATCATTTACGAAGCTCTAGCCAAATTCTGAGGCCAGCATAAGAGCAGCAGCAGAATTCGACGCCTCAGAGCGACTGGATGGTCACGCCCCTTACGCTTCAACATTATTTCCTCTTATCCTCCGAAGACCGTAGACGCAGCAGTTTGCCTTTGGTTCCTACAATAACAGCAGATCACCTCAACGTCAACAAGTAAAATACTAGAATGCATTCAGGATCCTATGTGAACTTGTTATTGGAAAGTCCGTCTATGTCACGTGTCCGCATTGTCGACCCAGGTCAATCCGTGTGGTCCACTCATCGCGTAGCAATGAGCGTGCGAATAAAAGGTCGGACGGAGTTTGACTCCTGGCCAGCTCTTCATTCGGGAGTAGCTCAAGAGCGTCGGCGTGTTTTCGTGTAACTGCTGCGGAAATCGGAAACGATAAATGATCGGTCGTAGGGATCATCTTTTTGATAATTCCCATAGGTTGATTATGTTGGATGGCGGGTAGTAGAGCGCCTCCAAAGCGCCACGTGTAGCTACCGTACGATAACGTCGTTGCTCCGTGGTCTAAGAGGACGTCTATGAATGGCGCGTTATCGGGACCACCGTCGCAGGCCGCACTTAATAAACTTGTTTACGTTGTCATCATACTCAAACTGAATAAGCTGAGGTGAGTAGGAGTAAATCAATTTGAGTATTTGAAGATCTGGTCTTTCGAGGAGCGCATGCACGATGGTGCTGTTGGAAAAAATCGAATTTCGGATACATCGAGTGTAGATATGGGACAATTGACGGGTGCCTCTTGCGTTGCCTGTCAGTATTGTACAGGGTCATCGCCACGCTTAACACTGTGTTCATCAAACAGTTTTTATAACTCAGCGAGTCGGCCCGCCTTACATGCTTCCACCATCGCTTCCTGGTGAGGAGGCAATGTCTTAGGCCGCGACGGCCCTAATTGAGATGGGCTGAGAGGTTGAGCCATTCTGGATCTCCAAAGTCCAACTTTTCGAGAAGAAGAAGTTTGTAGACCATCGGGCAGAACAGATGTTCTCAGTGACTGTTATTTGAAGCCGGAGCCGACCATGTTTGCCTTGAACTGACGAAACTGTTAATGTCATGGTTGGCGCGGGTCATGGCGGCCGGGCTTTAAATAGACGATGCGGCTTTGGTGAACCAGGTGGATCCGGGACTCCAAGAGAGATCCATCTACAGCGGCGCGGGCTGCCCAAGCTGCAGGTTTTGTGTGTTTTCTGTATTCGCAGCGTTCTGGCGTGGAGACACAGATATTCATCGTGCCTTCGTGAGCAGACCCAAAGCGATGCGGTTTTATCTTTAGCAAGCTCGGATGAAAGCGTTACTTCGAGTAGGCTAGTCCTCGTGCTCATGGGAGGTTCTGTGACAAAAGGCGCAGCCCGTTCGATGAGGGATTTCAGGGGGAAGACGGGCGTTGTGCGTCCGGCCGGGGAACATTGATGGCCGTGGTTGCATGTTGTTCAGGAACCGCTAGTCTTAGATAAAAGTTGCTTGATGGGTCCGATCCTCATAGCAACGCAAGACTCGAGACTCAACATTCCATTCTGTCCGGTTATGAATCTCTCGCCTAAGAGCTAGCTCTTGATAACGTAGGTGTGAATTACCCGAGTCATGCATAGAAGCAGTTCGACACCTCTGGAGCGTCGGGCATGATGATAGAAGCGGTCCAATCCAAGATAGGTTTGTGATCATTTGATTATATCCCTGAAGCACGATGGCCAACATTCGAGAGACGTAGCACAACGGTGTCACCTGAGTCCGGAACCCTTAGCTAGCACAATGGCAATATCCCGCTAAGGTCCACGGCAATCTGTGCCACGAACACGTAAGGTCTATCGAAGCAAGCATCCCAACGCGTCTCGCCTGAAGCCCAGAATCTCTCCAGGACACCCTTCGCCGTCAGTGGCACGTGTGTGCCGACATGGCGACTCATCTGAGGCAGCTGCTTCTCAACGAAAGCGCGCATCGCCGCGCCACCGTTCACGGCTTCCATGCCGAGCAAGACCAGCGGCCAAAGCACGAATCGTTTGGTCCTTGGGGATGACAGCGCCTCATTGAGAAGCACCTGTAGAAACCGGCCGTGTGTGGCGCAATGGGTTCTCAGTGAACAGGTTAGGGGCAGAAGCGACAGGCTCTGCAATGACGAGATGCCGTATAATGCCACGGCGGCCTGGTATACGTTGCCTAGAAGCATCCAGTCTTCTTTCGACGAGGGCTTGGACTCGGCCCATTGTTCGGGCGAGAAACCGTGGATACGGCCCAGTATTTCGTACGCCTCTTGCGAGTGGTCCTCCGTCCCAGTGGGTTCATATTTCGCGGCTCGCATCCGAAGGTGATTGATCTTGATGATCTCGGCGAACAGGGGCGGCGGACACATTTGGAAGGGAGATATTCCACGGCCATACTGTTCTAGTATGAAGTCAAGTTCGTCGAGGTGCGAACTGGTCATGGCGAGGTCTGATGCCGGGCATGTTGTGTTCCCCATAACTGCAACGCTGTGTGCGGTCAGCTTTAATGATTCTTCACACCCAACAGCCTTGCTCACAACCACGTACGACATGGAGCAAAGAAGCAGCGGCTCTAAGTTTTGGGATCCGGCCAGTGCACGAATACCGCCGCGCAGCGTGATTAATCTCTGGATTCCCTCGAGGTGGCATCGCCAGTTTGACAAGGCGCCTTGCTGGACCTGTGGCAAGACGTGGTTCAGCATGACCGATGATTCCCATTGTTCCATAGAGGATCGACTCACGTCCGCGAGTAAAAGCGACATGATTCCGGCAATGACGATATCGCCCGTACGTTTATGTTCCACGTTGATATCCTCTCTGAGAGAGCGGATGACGTTACCTCGGTACCGATAAAAGGACTCAGCCAAGGCGTTACACTGGAGGTCATTCCTCGTTCGGTTGATTCGGTGGCTAAGGGTCATGCAGACGAAACTCAGTTGCAAATGGTCGGGGAATGTAATCCCCCTCTGGAGACGTGCGGGCGAGATGAAGTGTATGTAAGGATTTGGCCCAAGTTCATGGATGGGGATCAGATCTTGGTATATGCAGGTATTGTCTGTCCAAGTCAATTTGTCTGTGCCGAGATGTCTCTTGTGGCGGCCTTCACTTGCAGTATTTTGCCGCCTGAACCAAGGCACAAGTCTCGGTCCTCATCTCAAAGCGAGGAATGACCACATCATTCGTCCTGCGGGATAATTTTGCCGTCATTTCGTTGTGATTGTCCTCGATTATATCAGACGAAGTCTCCTTTAGCCTCCGATTTCGAGATGTTACTCTTCCAGGTGCGAGCCACCTTAATCTTGAAGGTTTCGAATCGTTGTATCCGGGACATACGGTCCCGGACGTTAAACACCTCTTGCATGCGGGACGTGTGGAATCACAGACTAGGCGGCGTCGGAGACATTCCCAGCAGTGGCGCTTTGGGCCCTTTTCCATCTTCGTTGCTTTAACACGCTGTTTAGCTCGTTCTGTTCGCAATATTGGATATGTTAGAATCGAACCCCTGCTCTCGTCTCTGACGTTGATAGGGCACCAGAGTCTGGAGTGGTTTCCTAACCGATCCCTATTTCCTAGGGTTGGTGAGGTAGGTGCTAGGGATAGGAGAAGAGAACAAAATCCGGCTCTTGGAACCTATAACCAACATCATCCTCAGGCAACAGCGTTTCAAAAGCCCAACCTCCCCCGTCGTTTACGGCCCACTAAATTTCGGTACGACAGGGTCCAGTTCTTGGCAATTGTATTCTCCTGTTCGGGTCAAGCGTCATGCTGTATAGCAGTGATACCGGAAGACCTATAAAGATCCTATGTTCGGACAACAACATCCCAACGAGAAGACCAAGAATTCCACCGCTTTCGCCTTTCGCCTTTTGCCCGAGAATTTCGACTCCGGTCCAAGATGGAGGACGGGCAGCCCAGTAAGACTGTCAAAACTCCTACTCATGAGCATTGCGATTGACATGTCCTAGTCCTGGGAAGCCTCTATGTCTATGCTCCTAACAAGGTAGCACCCGTATTCTTCACTGCCGCGTACGCTGCCTCAGCGGTCGGTCATATCTGGCAGTGTTAGTAAGTGTATTTTCGTCCTTGGCCATACCGAAATCAAACCTCCTGACACCCACGATCAGTTGCTACAAATGCTTCAAGTTGATCGGACTGCACCCACTCTGTGCGGTAATGTTTACTGCCGGCTATGCTTTGCGGGAATACGGAGCCTTCAACTATATGTACAACACTCGGAACTTGATCATCTTCATCCTCAGCCAGGTTTTGATATACGTATGCCCGTGAGTGACCCATCCAATCGAGACAATGCCTTGGAGTGCCGACTGATCCTGTGTCACTACATAGTCCGCTTCTCGAACTCGCCAACTACCACGTCCTCGGCCGAATATTCTACTACGTGCCATACGTCGCACCTCTTCCGGCCGGCAGAGTTCTGTCCACTTTCGGTGCTCTGATGGCACTGGTCGAGGCCTTGAACGCTTTAGGGGTATCCCTCTCCTCGAACCCGTCATCGTCACACAGTCAGCAAGAATTGGGAAGCCACTTGACCATCGCCGCGCTCGCGATCCAACTCGCCGTTATCGTCATCTTCGTCCTCCTCGCGGCCATCTTCCATCGGCGGTGCGCCAAAGCCAATATACACGCCAAGGCTGTCTCGACCCCTCTGATCACGCTGTACATAAGCATGTCGTTGATCTTGATACGTTGCATCTACCGCCTGGTGGAACACTTGGGCAACACGACGGTGCAACTCGATGATCTCGAATCACTCATGACCCTGAGTCCCATTTTGCGGTATGAGTGGTTCTTCTATGTCTTCGAGGCAACCCTCATGCTCATCAACTCTGTTCTCTGGAACGTGTGGAATCCGGGTCGCTTTCTGCCCCGGAACTACCACGTCCATTTGGCGCGGGATGGCAGGACTGAAATCGAAGGGGAAAACAAGTCGGATGACCGGCCGTTGCTAGCCAAGGCTGGATCAATATTAACGTTTGGCCTCCTTTTTGGCAGGAAGTTGGAGAATCCGCGATTTGAGGAGCTTAATGATTACCCGGGTGCTAATCGTCAGGCTTAACCCGGTCTACGTGTTCGTAACCAGTCCACCTGATTGAGGCAATACTCTCGATCCAAGAGCCGAATGGGGAAGGAGGATTGGTTCGGCAACCGACGCGCAGAGCTGGTGGCAAAGATGGAGGGGAAAAAAAAATACCCTGCAAATCGGAAGTAGGCCATGTTTGACATATCGGTCGGTTGATGAGGGAGGACTTGGACACCGATGATGGATCAGCAAAGGAAGTGGACGATCCCTGGTCCTTTCCAAAAGACCAAGGACTTTGTACAATAACTTTGTAATCATACCAAGAACCACAAGCCTGGTACCGACGGACGGTAAAGAGAGTTGAGTACTAATCACAGCGTCTGATGTTCGGTACTGACGACGATCTCCCTGGGTTTTCGCAATCTGGAATAAATGCTAGAGGAACCCAACAGGGGGTTCACCTTCACGAGGCGTTATAAGGAGACTTACCGACGCCGATACCCTCATGACCCTGGTTGAGGTGTGAAGGAGAGGCTGAGCCTACATACTGTGTCGCCGGTGAAGTCAAATGTGTCATGCAGGAGTTAGAGACTCGAAGGGACCAAAACGGGTGGCATCGAGGGTGCAAAGGCCGCAAGGGTTGTGGGAGGGGGATGTGGCAGGGAAACAGGTAGGAATGAGAAGGGGGTTCATGTGGCGACGTCAAAAGCGGCGGAGTGCCCAGCCTGCGACTATACCGAAAGTAGGTAGGCCGCCGAAACCACAGGCAGATTTCCTAGCCAACGATTATTACATTTATCAACATGCCTGACAATGAGGCTAGGTTTCTACTGCAACCTCTTCGTCTTTGTGGTATTTCAAGCCGTAGGGTCTGTGTCAACCAGGACATCCCAAGATGTTCTTGGTGACAACAGCGTCCATCAAGGAACAATATCTTTTCTCAGCGACTGGAAGGTCCTAGGCCCGTTCCGATTGGGAACCCGAGGTGTGTCGCTCTCCTCCATCATCTGTGTACAGAGCTGATTGCTGGAGCAGAAGCCATATGGGGAGCCGATCCTGTCGAACGGTATGGAGGGATCCGATGCATCAGTTACAGCCAGGATGCATGGTACCATAGTTCTCTTACCCGGAACGCATCGGTGAAATGGAGCAATCGCACGTTCAGCAGCCTTGCGTCAGAATCAGGCACTTCTGTTGATCTAACAGTTGATTTTCCTGACGTGGATTGGGAGTTCGCACAAAAGATTTATGGCTGGTCTGCCTTCCAGTTCCAAGGCTGGTTGAAAGGGGGTCTCCTGAATTCGAATGCCGACTCTCAGACCGTGATTTTGTATCCCGACAACATTGTGGAGCTTTGGATCAACGATGTCCACGTATTCGGCGGGGACTTTTACGGCTTCGCCAGGGCTCCCTTGGTTTTGGATCTTCAGCCCGGACTAAATACAGTTAGTGTCCGCCTCACACGTGATGTTCGATCTATGGGAGGCTCATTTCCACCAATCTCACACGCCCTCCTCCGGGCTGAAGTTATCCACATCCCGGTTGAAGTTGTACATGACAGTGTCTTGCTCCCTGACGTGATTGATGGGAGATTTTGCAGCCGACATGGCAGCATTACTGTCAGGAATCAAGCGGATACCTGGACCACAATCCACGGGATCACGGCAAAGTTTGACGCCAGCTGGTCCGTCGTCACGGAACAGGAAATCCAGCTCGCACCGGGTCAATCTCGCCCGATTAAAATGGTGTTCGATGCTGATGATAAGTTGGGAAAAGACATCGAGTTTGCTCTGAAATACACATTGTCGGATTCGAAGCTGCTTGAAGTGGTCTTCAAGGCTGAATTACGACACACCAATGTGACATCGTTGCAGAAGTTCACTTTTCTCCATCCGAGTGGCGCTGTGTCTTATGCAGTGTTACGACCTCCTCCCGTTCCAGCTTCCATTGCACCCAATCAACAGCTTCAAGTGCCGATCCTTCTACATCTACATGGCGCCGGGGTGGAAGCAGATGGCGGGTTGGCTCGTCACACGTTCGATGACGCTCCTAACCTTCCAGCATGGATACTCTCTCCAACCGGCATGAGTTCTTGGAGTGGTGATGACTGGCATACGTGGGGCTTTGCAGATGCTCAAGCCGCAGCGTCGGCTATTCCAGATTGGATCAAACGAACGAATTGGCCAGGACCTGGTGTTAGCTCTGGCAAGATATTGGTTGCAGGCCATTCCAATGGTGGGCAAGGAACTTGGTTCTTTGCTTCACACCAACCTGATCGTGTTCTCGGTGCCGCAGCTGCCTCCGGCTATTCATCCATCGAGAATTATGTCCCATATGTTTTGTGGAACGAAGCTGACTCTCTCCAAAGCGGCATCCTCCAAATCTCGAGAAACAACTTTCGTCATGAATTGTTGACGGAAAACTTGGTCGGTCTTCCCATCTTTCAGCAGCATGGCTCAAGGGACGACAACGTACCGACCTATCACTCTCGTTTGATGAACACTTTGCTTGCGCGAGTCGGTGAGTCGGCTCAATATTCGGAGTTGCCGAACACGGGACATTGGTTCGATGGTTCAATGACAACGGAAGGAATGGTGGAGTTTTACTTGGATTGTTTGAACTCCTCAGATTCCCTTCCTCGTGCTCCGGAGGACTTCGCATTCGTGGCCCCAAACTCCAATGACCTAGGTTCCAGATATGGCATCTTGATCGACCAATTGGGATCACCGGACAGAATGGGCAAAGTGAAGGTGACCGTCAGCATACAGGAATCCCACATTCGGTGGCACCTACGAACAGAGAACATACATCGTCTGCATCTGGATCCATCTGCACGTTTCAGCAACTCCCCCGATGAGATTTTACTCGACGACATGGCCCACGGTTTTGACGTTGCCCTGGAAACGAAGCCAACTACTTTTGTTTTGTCTCATTCGAATATCTGGGGAAGAGAAGTTGCCCTTGATTGGAAAACTCTGGAGCAGAGACATGGTCGTCAAAGGGGAGTTCTTGATTCAATTCTCCGAACCGCCAGTGCTTTCGAGATTGTTTACTGTTCTGACGAGACTCTTACGGTGGCAGTGCAGGCGAGTCGGAACTTCCTGCAATACTTTGGAGCTGACTCGAATGTCGTCCCATCTTCCAAATATCAAGATGCATTGGGCCGTCGAGGCAATGTCATCACAATTAGCCTCGGAAAACCCGTCCCCACTGCTCAACTTCCGACATTTCCCATCCAGCTGGAAGATGAACGACTGTTGTTGACCACGAAAGAGCTAAGGACCATATCCATCCCGTTCTCACCGGGCATGGGCGGAATATGGCTCCGGCCTCTGTCCAACGAGCGGCTGGAACTTGTTGTCTGGGGCCGTGATGAGGTTGGTTTACGACAAGCTGCAAGGCTCATTCCCACACTCACCGGAGCTGGACAGCCTGATTTCGTGATATTGAGTGATGAAGCCAGGTGGAAGGGACATGCAGGCGCTCTCGCCATGGGATTCTTTGACTTTCACTGGAGAATCTCCTCTGCTTCGTATCTTCCGTAGGGATCGGGCTACTGGAAGAAGAACGTATGACACTATATGGGAAAGTTCGAGGGCATGAGGCTGGTCAGAGGAAGAGCTTGAACAAATTAACCTGAAAGCGGTGAGTGTAGGGTTCCATTGTGCTCGCGACATTTCATCTTTTCAAATTCTGTATCCAATTCAAGTTCATAATCATGGTAAAGGCTACAGCATCTGAGGAGGAAAGAACAGACGAGTCGCTTTGTTTCGCGAGTGTCGAGACTGCCTGTTATTCTGCTACCTGCAACTCTCAATTTCATCGCTCTTTTCACTTCTTTCCCGGTGGTCCTTGAATCTTCTCTCTTTTCGATTTCGGTCTCCCTCGCCGACTCTTCTCCATATCGCAAATCTCTGCATTCGCAGGCAAGTTCTCGTCACTCTCACCGTCTGAACAATTCTTCCGTCGCGCGCACTTGTCCTTAATCTATCATTGCATATCCGTGCAGGTTGGTACCGTGTCAAGAAGCCTTGATCTTCCCGCTTCAACGCACTCATGGCGGCGCTCATGTCGACAGGCTCGCCCAGAATGAGCCGCAAGCCAACACCAACCGTCAAGGCGCGAGAGGAAAGTGAAGCAACACGCAGTCTTTCAGTGAATGCCTTAACTGTAAGTGGGCCTCTTCCATCTTCTCCACTGCTTTACTCTTTCACTGATCTCGTGCATTGACAGGTTGCAACAAACTCCCATCCTGCTCGCTCAAACCGACCTCCCTTCCGCATCTTGCAATCAGACACACTCAGCAATATTCGACCATCAAAAAGCAAAGACAAGGGAGGTCTTTTTCCTCTGTTATCATGACTTCTGCTAACCTTCTGTCTACAGACCGCAACTGAGCTCTCAGACCCAAACACCATGTCAGGCATGGAGGACATCCTCTCACGCCTCAAACTCAATGACTCTCGCAAGCCCACTCTGTCGAATGCTTCCGCAGAGCTAAAACTTCAGAAGGCTGATTTTGGCACCTTTGACAAGCTTTTGAACAATCCCCAAGATCAGAACAAAGCTGTGAAGAAACAAGAGAAGGAACTACGCGTTGAGTCAGAATGTGAGAATCACCAAGACGGCGGTCGCACCACTGGTTCTGGTCCTTGTACTCCGGCAAATAACCATTCGGACACGACAAAGTCTAGCTCTCAGGCCTCAGCTAGTGTCAAGGTAGACGTTGCGGAGATGATGCGTGTCAAGCAGGAGCTGGAGGCCGCCAAATCAGTCATCTCACGCCAGGAGCAGGAACTTGCTGAGACACGCAATCTCAAGCAAACCATGGATCAGGCAATGGGTCCTCCTTCTGAAGTTGACTATGGAGCTCCTAATGACATATCCGAACACAGAATCGGTCATCTGCAGAGCGCGTTCCACGCATTTGCGCGTCCGTTCACATCACGAAACGAAACTTGGGTCGCTCCAGATGAGCCACGCGTGGATCAAGCCGACGGCCTTCCGACTACCAACTTTGCTGACGGTCGAGGTATCTGGAATAATGCCAATGCACCCATGACCAGCCTTCTGGCTGCCAATGCTCCCAGTACGATGTATGTTAACCCTCGAGATGCTCGGCTCCCCGGTCAAGCCTACAACGGTGCCTATGGTGCTACCCTTTCCCCCGCTGAAGCAAATTTCCAGCCGCGTCACTTCTCAGGCAGCACTGCTCCTATTGGTTACGATATCAGACCAAACAACGAGATGGCGCAATACGATCCTTCGGTCGGAATGAGACGCAATGGTGGACAGCCGCGAATCAATTCTACTCTCACTGACCGTTTGGCCCAATATGGCAGCCACCCCCCAAGCGCATCCACCCTGACACCGCCGCCAATAAGTCCCGTGGGACTTCCCGGACAATTCCATTATCAGAGTGGTCTTGCGACACCAATAACATCGGCCGGGACCGATTTCCCGGTCAATGCAGTCCAAGACGGTGCCAGTTCGTGGTCGCTTCCAGTGAGTTACTCTTTCGCGTCAATGGCAAGACATACTGACTATTTTAGGCCCCTGATGGTATGAGGGCACGAAGCTATGTTCCACCTGTTGAGCCAATGAACTATCGCCGTCTCCTCGACAAGTCTGTGTCCTGTGACTGGAAGTACATCGTGGACAAGATTGTCTGCAACAATGATCAGCAAGCCAGCATCTTCCTTCAGCAGAAACTCAAAGTGGGCACGGCAGAGCAGAAATTCGAAATCGTGGATTCCATTGTCAATCAGGCATATCCCCTGATGATCAATCGATTTGGCAACTTTCTCGTCCAGCGATGCTTTGAGCACGGCACCCCCGAGCAGGTTGTGGCGATTGCTAATGCTATCCATGGCCACGTGCTCTCTTTGAGCATGGATCCCTTTGGTTGCCACGTCGTTCAGAAAGCCTTCGATTCCGTTCCGGAAGACCACAAGGCCGGCATGGTCCGAGAATTGCTTCGTCGGGTTCCTGACACCGTCATTCATCGCTACGCCTGTCACGTCTGGCAGAAGCTCTTCGAGCTCAGATGGAGCGGCGAGCCACCACAGATCATGCTCAAGGTGAATGAAGCACTGCGAGGCATGTGGCATGAAGTGGCCTTGGGCGAAACTGGGAGCCTGGTCGTTCAGAACATCTTTGAGAATTGCGTCGAAGATGAGAAGCGCCCAGCCATTGAAGAAGTCATTGCCAACATCGATCTGATTGCTCATGGCCAATTCGGTAATTGGTGCGTTCAGCATTTGTGTGAACATGGTTCTCCGCCAGACAAGCGACGAGTCATCGACCACATTCTCGCCAACTCCTACAACTACAGCATTGATCAGTTCGCATCGAAGGTTGTCGAGAAGTGTCTCAAGATCGGGGGACCGGAGTTCCTGGATCGATACCTCGGAGTCATCACTACCGCACATCCTGATCGTCCACGTATTCCATTAATCGACATTGCAGGCGACCAATATGGCAACTATCTGATCCAGTGGATCTTGATGAACACTCATCATCACCAGCGAGAGCAAGTCGCGATCCACATCCGCAAGCACATGGTCTCCTTGCGTGGTTCAAAGTTTGGATCTCGTGTTGCCATGCTCTGCTGTAATCCAAATTCGGTCACTCGACCAGGTCCTGGCGCAGTTATCAATCCATTCGGCGCTCCAGGTCAGCCACGTCATCCATGGCCTCGTTTCCGCTAGGTCAGAGCTTTGACATCCTCTCTACCCGGCACTGGTGACCGCGAATCCACTTATCTACTTACTGATCATCTTTTGCTAAGATGAACGCATCCTACAAAGTTGTCCCTGCACATGGGGCATCTTCCCTGTGGCTTGGAATACTGGCCTGACCGGTGGGCAGGGGACACTCACACACTCCGACACTAAAGTCAACAATCCATCTTGGTGTGTACCTCTTGGCTTCTCATATTCATGCATTTTCATATTGACCGATTGTCTATCAGTTCATTGACCTGTATGCCTTTTTTTTTTTTTTTTTTTTTTTTCTCATATCGACAACGAAATTTCATATCTGCTGGCGAATACGGCATACCAATCAACGTCTATCATGGGTTGATATCGGTCGGCATTGGAGTCAAACTTTGTTGGCGAGGATATTGCAGAACTACGACATTACCCAGACCAATGTTCAATACTTAATAGAGCGTATCACATCATGTTTTTATGAATGTCCTGCAGAGGGTGGATGGGCAGAAACTCGCCGCATGTATTTAGCAACGGCATGAACGATGATGGTCCGGACCATGTAGCACATAATGCACATCATAGCTGAATAGGAGTAAAAATCTTCTTGAGAGAATACATCTCTCTTCAAATCCATTTCTCCCGCCGTGAATGTAGCTGTAGATACAGTGGGTCAACTCATCGTCGCAATATGCCCTTGTGGAATGGTTGTACTGTATCCACCCAACATAGATGGGCCTAGATAATCACCCTTCCTGAAGCAGTTTTGCGGGGGCTATCATCTTATATGTTCCTTTCTTCCGGCGTGATAATCACGGAGGCAGATCGAAACCGCGCCGCTTTTCACTTGTCTTAATCATTCCGAGGTCTGAACATATCGATCGAGGTTCAAGCATCCTCTCTAAGAGGAGGCACCAGCAAATGCGCAAGAGAGCGGAAGGTTCCGAGCTTTTATATAACTCAAGAGGGGAGGTGTATCTTGGAAGCGGCGCTGGTACATAGATTCGGCCATCGAAACCCCGCAGCGCTGAGAGTCTCGAATCGTCTCGAAGAGCACTGAAGTCATGTCCAGTCCATTAAGAGCTCGAAGGTATTGATTGACCATTTAGCCAAGGGCTTGACGGTCCGTTTTTGATCTCGCCTGTCGTGTGATTCATTGTTCAGCTTGACGATCCCTCCTTGGTTCTAGAATCGCTAGACTGGGTAATCTTCCAGATGTGACTTTGTTAGTCTCTCCTGAAGCTTTTATTTCGTTAATCTTTACCCAAGAGCCCACTATCAGGCACAGCGTTGGGCTTCAAAATATTTACCACGCCTTGCCCTGTCTCCTTGTACCCGTTGACATCGATAACCTCTGTTTCTGCTTTGTTCTTATCTTGCCCAGTTTCACCACGGCTAGCAGATGAGTTCGAGGCTTCTTGGGATGGTTCTGCGTCCGTATCCTTTTCCCATGGCTTCTTCCGTCGAGGGGTTTTATCGACTTTGCTTGAACCCGGTTCTAGGACGGTGTTGGGTATTTCTTCAATTCCCGGTACAGGTATATTGCGCGTTATCAAGTCGACGATGGCAGCAAAAGAGGTGGGGTAAGGCGGTTCGGTGTTGGATGTAGACGTAGACGTGGACGTAGATCCGGCTGGGCTTGTATCTGTTGAGGTGATGGATGACGGTGCGGTAGCGGCGGATTGATTTTGTGGTTGGGGATGGGAACGAAGCCAGGAGGAGTATGCGCTGGGGTCCACGGGTGGGAGATTATACTTTCTGGTTGACAAGTCACCTTCCATTCGCTCTTTTATTGCGGTCCTCCACCACGCAGCGAGGAGCGGCACCCTTACCTCGAAAAGAAAAAACATTGGGCTTGTAGAATCAAATCAGACTTCTCGGCCAGCTCTTCCTGTGTCACCGGTGTCTCAGGGTGGCCTAGGATGGTTGCAAGCCCGGCCTGGTATTCTTGGTCGGTGCCGAATGAGTAGGTTGCAAGGCTGCGATAGACTGACTCGATGGTAGGAGCGGAGTTGGCTTCGGGAACTGTAGAGGCTTCATTGGGCGTGTTTAAGCTGGTCATTGTCTTTATGTGTCTCTGGACCGCGTACTAGCCGCCGGTTGGGGATAAATATCGTTGTTTATCGAACGCAGATTCGGGGTCGAGAAAATGTTAGCGATTGTCGCATGAAAAGGTTGCGCCGCGGCATTCTACCAATCACCATTCGGCGATCTACAGCTAAGCCTGCGGCCATAGCGGGTCCTGCGCGCTACATTGCTTCTTATCACACGAACAAACGGAGGGTGATATTCGATTTATAATGCTTCTGATCTCCTGACCCCTTGAACAAGCCCACAAGGCAAAGTCCTAGCTTGGAATGCCCCTGGAGCCAAAAGCTCTTGCGCCTCTGGCGAGGGCGGAGACAAGCAGCCACTATGGCATTGGCTGACCAGCTAGCGACATACAATTTCCCGTGCTTCGCGATACGTATGGGGAAAGACATCTCCGTTTTAGATCAGAAGAACGTGTTATGAAACTCTCTTGCTATTGAGTCGACTCCATTTGACCTTGACCATACCATTGTCCCGCTGCTGTCGACAAGATGCGGGAATTACTTTGTTTGAATAAGAAGTTTCGACCATGTGCTGCATCGTGCCGAAAGAGGTATTGTACCCCTGGCGCCTGCCACTCTATGAAGTAGAGCAAGCATTGAGCGGTCCTATGCATCAAGGGTGTCGAGCCAATGGTCAAAAGCCACGCAGACATCTGGTTCCCTGGTCGACCACAAGGCCTATAGTACACCATCACCGCCCAGATCCTGCACCCAACGATACACCTACCCAGCTATCCAACTCGTGACGTGTTGACCGTCTTCTCTACTCCATCCTCTCCAGCCCCTTCCTCTTCTTTCCCTTAAGCTAAGCCAAGGAGAGCATTTCTGACACAGGTTAAGGCTGAGATTTAATCTTCAGCCTCGAATATCAATGCCTTGGCGAGCGAGGACGAAAGTGGTAATTCCCTACACCCCCGCCACCTTTTGTTTATTTAGAGGCTAACATTATATTTGATTGCTGCGAAGACGAACCCGTAACTACTAGTCCCCGGAATCACCTCTCACGGAGGCGTTCAAAAATCAGATCGATCCGACAGGACTTTACATGCTACCAGAGGCAGAAATAGCTCTTTGTCACCAGTGTCCAACGGAATACGACAAGGACGGCATAGAGCCTGCTCTGTACGACCTCATCTACGTCACTTGCAGCCTCCACCTAAACAATACCTGTTTTATGGGAGCACAACATTCTTCTGAACTGCTTACCTCGCTCAAGTCTGTAGATATGGAAGGTATGTTTCGGTGAACGTGTCCGTTGGAGAGAATAACATATCTCTTTCGTTTCCGATGAACAAACCAAGGCAAAAGTATTTGATCGCTAATTCACCCCCAGAAGAACTACTTCTCGAGGCACAGACTTCACGACCACCAGCAGACCATCGGGCTAGCGAATCGAATGCGGAATCGATAAGATTGTCCTCTGTCCACCAGGAAGAGCTCATAGAAGATCAACTTTTCTGGGCGATCTTAAATCACGAAAAGATATGCCAACAAGTAACCGATCTCACCAAGATCTCCGAAAGCCTCACAGAGAATGTCCGAGTCCTGAGGAGAGAATACAATGAGTCTTTTGCCGATATCAAACGAGTCGCCTTGAAAATCATACGTGGAAACGGCAACGATGATGAGCCGTCTGCTCCCGATCACGATCCTCAACCTGACACAGCAAGAGAGAAGGGGGCACCTTCCATGGGGGATCATGAACGACAGGCAAACGTACAAAACGGATCCAATCACATCGTTGAGGAGGTGGACCCGACAGAGTTGATCGAGGTGTCGCATGGCAAGAGAATAGATATTCCATGGCAGCCAGCTACACCCAATACCGGAACCAAGAGCACTAGCATCCCTAAATCAGGGAATGAGAGGTTACAGCCGCGCGTGGAAGAAGAAGATAGCTGCATAGATATTGACCAGGCCACTCAGCCGGACAGTGCCGATGACCATGCGAGCGAATCTTTTGCGACTTCCGATGAGCCAACCGACATCAACGATGTAGGTTCCTGTCTCGTGTACGATACTACTGCTTTTGATTTTAGCAACTCTGGTCTGGACTCAGATTCCTCGGCAACAGAGCACAGAGATGATGACAAACAATCGCAAGTGCTGCCAACCTCACCAACACCTCCAGGGGACTCGACCAAAAGACCGCCAAAGCGTTGGACGGATGAAGAAGAAGATTGCATGATCAGCATAGTACGTACCTTGATGAATCAACTGGGGAATAAAACGCCCAAAAAGACAATGTGGGAGCTTGCATCGGTGGAGTTGAAGAAGAAGGGCTTCAATCGTCGTCCTGTCGACATGATGGCGAGATGGTCCGCGAACACTCGAACAAAACTTGAAAAGATGGGCCCCGGATGGTATTCCCAGGTGATGAAGAAACGTCCCCGGGTCGAGAGAACGTCGGGACTACGGGCACAGTCGGGTGAAAGCGAGGAGTTGGGCACAATCTGTCCGCGTGCCAAAAGGACCAAATTCACGAAGAGACAACCCAATCATAACGATACAGACGCCCCCACCGGGGATCACACACAGGATTCTCGCCGAGTCAATGGCTCACAAGATCAACCTCGTCTTCACTTAAAAAGAGGACATGGACCTCTACGTCTTCGACTGACCTGGGGTCGTGCGTCTGGCGGCATGGAAGATCTGGACTGGTCACCAGATGGAACACGATTCGTTGCATCCAGTAGAACCCTTGTCAACGATGACCCGGAGCAAAATTACCCACGAAATCTCCTCTTGGGTTCCGTCACCGAACAAACAATTAAGGAGCTTCCCGGTCATCGTGAAGAGCGATTCGACCAATTAACACAGGGTCGCCGACGTCATACCTACTACACTGTCTGTGCCGTCCGATGGGCTAAAGGTGGTGATCGTATGGTCAGCGCCGGATTTGACGGAATGGTGCGAGTCTGGGACGTTCAGGATGATTCCAAGATCAGATGCACGGCGCGAATACCGCACCTGGAGCCGGTAGCGGTTATGGATCTTTCCGTCGGCAATAACAATCTTCTAGCAACGAGCACAGAGAAAACTGGCGCTGACTCCATCCGCGTGTGGAGGTCAGATTCCGACTTCGATCACTGGAAAACAGACATCCGGCCGCTCCAAGGGCACGTTCAAAATTTTGCCGGCTCTCCCATGGCTCTCCAATTTGGCAAGTCTCACGGGTTCCAAAACTGGCTGATCGCCGGCTTTGCCGAAGATGGCCCCAACGGCTATCCATCTCGCAAGGGCTATTTGGGGGTATGGCGATTCGATGAGGCCGGCCATGCGCGCATACCTTTTTCACCAGAAGATGCGTCAGTTTTCGACGTGGCCTGGTCTGCGACGGATGGAATTTTTGCCGCTGGTATTGTTCGTGACCCGGAGTCGAGGAAGGACATGTCAGAATCCTCCGTCGTCAAACTGTATTCCACGACCAATCTACAGGCAGTCGCCGAATTCAGCTGTCCGGCATTGGATATGAACGATGTCACCATTTGTCCCTATCAGGAGAACTATGTCACCGCCTCTTGCACAAATGGTTCGACGTATGTGTGGGACCAACGTCTCCCACGAGAACCAATCCACATTCTGTCTCATGGGCCGTCAGTGTCGACGCGCGAGCCCGGCCAAGACCGGGAGCTGACAGATGTTGGAGTAAGATTCACTGAATGGAGCGGCGAAAATGATCAATTGTACACAGGCGGACATGACGGTCGGCTCAAGCAATGGGACGTGCGCCGTTCCCCAGAAGATGCATTGGTGAGGGATGTGGACAGTGTGGGCATCGAAATCATGTGTGGGCATTTTTCCCCCGATCGATCATCCTTGTTGATTGGCGATGATGGCGGTTGTCTTCATCTTTATTCCAAATCGAGAGTCCAGTTCCGGGTGGAGGAATTCGAATTCGAAGAGACTCATTGGTGATTTCAATTTGCAACCGTTGCGGGACGGGAAATCCCCGACACAATGGTCAGAAGCATCTTCGGGAGTAACAATGGCGCGATCACGTGACTTGCCGCTAAGAAAGGTGGGGGAAAAGATTTTGATTCGGAAGGAAGCCAAATGGATTAGAATGGGCCGGTTTGTTCCTATTGTGAGATTTCGGGTGTGATTTCTGCCTGGGAAGCTGAGTGCAATACGGTTTGTGGAGGAAAATCTTCGAGCGTGTTTAATCTTGCCAAGCACCAACCTGGCCTTAAATCGACCTCGAAGCTGCCACCGCACCCTTGTCTCAATGCTCCGCCATGTTATATCAAGTCTTCTCTTGTTCTCTCCCTCTCATGCTAATGGGATTATGGAATCCACAAATTCGAAGAGCGACATATAGAGCGCGGTCCAGTCAGATGGCGTCGTCCACCGACCGAGGCTCACCCGCGAATCTTGAGTCCCAGGTGAGACCGACATCCTCAACTTAATGGAGTCGTAGGTGTCTTGATTCAAGATTAATCTTTGGGTATGGATCCCGGATAGCCTCCTGTGATATCAATCAATCGTTGGTTCTCGTTCAAAGAAAGCTCCTGTAACGACATGCATATGCCGAGGACTCCTTGAACCGCTTCCGAGTGGCTTCGTTTACCCCAAACCAGTTGCCGAATGGAATTCAAATGGTACGACCACATCCAGCCGCCCTATCACTTGCAAGCACGCCCACAGATAAGAACAGAGATGCGCACACGTTCCTCGGGGGATACTACGTGGGGAGCTCTGCCTTTCTCCTTCAGTGTCGCCCTATTCTCTCCATTGCCTTGATTTGGGATTCGGCAAATATAAACTGAGAAGATCAGGATCCGATCTCGATAGCAAAAGGATGAACGCAGAGATAGTTTTCTGCTACGGCGTCAGCCAGGATGAACTCTAGATCATTAGATTTGGGCAAACATCTTTGCAGATGACCTCTGGTGAGAGAAGTTCCAGCGGACAGAGCATTTCTTAGTGGCAAGAAGTTTTCTGAAGGCGTATGTATTCACCAGCTTTGTCGCTCTAGTCATGTTTGTCGTTGGAATAAACCAATGGTCGCCCATCGGAATATGGATGTCTTCGTCCCGAACGTCGACTTGAGGGCGATGTGACCGCGATGGATCGCTGTTACATACCGGGATGGTGCATATAATCGCCTGCTCAGATTGACAGAAAAGACAAATACTCACATCCAAGCAATTCGGCGTAGGGCCTGAATGCTGCTCTCATGGAACGAGCCGGTTCCACATCTCGTTCCCACACTCGATTTTCAACTCGTGGGACATTGGAAAACGTTCAATCGCTGGTTAATAATGCCCTCAGATTCCCAGTGCCAAATACGTTTGAGAGAATAAGCTTTGAAAGCGTCATCCTAGCAGGAAACCTCGACGTAATTCTGTTCACCATTTCCGAGAGGTACCTCTTCTCCGAAAGAGAAGAATATACACCGCAATCCTAGCATTCCCACCAATTGACAAGCGTTTTGGCAACATTCCTCGCAACGACTATCTGATAATGCGCCTTGAGCCTTTATTAATGAGTTTTAGAACAGCCTTGTCGACCAAAACCCACAGAATATCTCAGCACATCCAACCTCTCTTCTATTCCATCAATCACGTATCCTTCGCCGCCGATCGCAATTGCGCCTGGTGCTTTGTAAGTCTTGCAGAATGAATTGAACTATTGATCGTCAGCGGAATGAAGCGGCAGACGCCGTCGCCGAAGACCCACTTCTCTGCTCCACTGGAATCGCTTCCATTTAGAATGTGAATTCCTAGACTCAAGGCCATTTATGCCAGCAGACTTCAACGACTTTTCGACGCCATATGGGGCACCTTTGAATTCGATGCCCCTTTTTTGAGCTTCCTCAATCGCGGCTTCGCACCATTCCAGTTCAGGTTTATCCTCGTGGCCCGGCCAGAAGCGGAGATTGTAACGCAGAATGGCTAGCACGAGGCCTATGTTTTTCACGGGTGAATCAGGACGTAATAAACCCCGTTTCTCAAAGACATTGAGAGTGTAGAATACCGCTCTTCCGATAAGCTTGACCGTGGCAAAAGCTCGGTCGGAGTCGTAGATGTAGAGCCAAAACTCTTGATCGAGAAGTAGCCATGCGAAACCCTCAATCAGTGACCACAGTTTGGCAGGTGAGGAGGTTTTCTTTCGAGTTTCCCAATCGAAGTTCACGAGCTACGACAGCCGATCTTAGACGCGGCGTGAAATGAAGTGTGAAGATGCAACTGACCTGATTTTCCACCACTTCTTGAAAGGCGTATCCACTCCAGTCTTCGGGGTAGTATTCACTGGCTGCATATTGATTTCGTACGTGGAGCTCTCGTTCCAAATCTCCTGCCATCTGGTATCCATCTTTGGTGAGCAGCCACTTCCATTGTGGATGGTCGGCGGCCGAGTTTTCACAAATGCAGCTCTTGCTGTCACAGGTGCTTTCTGGCTTCTTTGCTTCATCAGAATGTTTGCCCATACTCATTTCGTCTCCGGATTGGTCCATCTCTTCAATCTCCTCCTCTATATCAAATAAAGGCCTACAAATGGCAATAAAGTCAAACTCGCTCTCTATGGTAGCCAGGTGGTTGGGAGTCTCCTGCACCAATTAGTAAAGCTTCCCTTCTCAGCGCATCGAAAGGTCTCACTACCTGGCGACCAGACTCGTCTTGAGAATATATCAGCTCGTCATATTCCTCGAGTTTGCGAATGAGGTCCTGTTTGTTCCCAGAAGCCGGCAAAGACCGATCCTGGAGAAGGGTGCAGAGACGACTTTTGGTGAGACCCCCGTAAGACGGTGCCAGATTCTCTTTTCCAACTGCTGATTCCTTGGAGGCTCGTTTCGATGCCGGTTGTGAGTTGGCGTCATTGCCGTCCAATTCATCCAGTGGACGTTTGGAGCCGGCCATATCGAAGCAAAGAGTTTGCCAGGTATGTCAACCTTACAGTAGAGGGTGGGACACTCGGTAGCCAAATGTCAGGAGTTGGTGTCAATGCTCTCGATCGGTCTCGTTGACTCACATGGGAACTCCCTTTTGTAAGCCTCCCCTCACTTCCACGCGTTGGTCAAAAAAGGTCAGCGCGTCAAATCGCGGCGTCACGTGATCTGGATTGCGTCGACTGGGCGGTTGATCTCTCGCTCTTTCCAATCCCGAATACTCTAGGACCAGATGATGGCTTAGTGGACATCGTATTTGGGCAAGTATGGTGCTTTCAGCAAGGAATCTCCACCAGTGTGCGCAGTCATGGCTCAGAGGCACTTCTTCGAAGTGGAACCCGTGAACCGTTTTGCGGGACTGAATGCCGCAATTCGACGGCCACGAGCATGTTTCCCGGATGTCACACAGACTGTCTAGTGGCTGAAAGATTTCCAGGAGATCACCTTCTTCTCATACGACGAGGATCACCGGTTCCGGCTTGACGGCTCCAGCCTTCGCTACTACTATCCTCCGGCACTCCCCTGCGACCTCAACGGGGGATTCGAGACGTTCCGACAGCTCGATGACTCTGCCGATGATCATCTAGATGGCCTGCTAGAAGCAATGATGACATACGAGAAGGAAAAAGGGTCCAAGACGGAGATGGATTACATTACTTGGAGGGGGATGATGACCAAGGTGGGCCGCTTCACTCAAAACCTTTGCGCCTTTTGTTGACGATGCGGACAGATCATGGTCGTCCCATTCTCCAAATTAGACGATTGGGAAATGAACGCGACGCTATTCCAGGGTACGATCTTCATTGAAGAAAATCACACCAAGAAGATTTCGTCTCGTCAGGAACAGCTCTCTTCAAGAGCGCGTGCCGGTAATGGAGATCAAGACCTTATGAGTTTCTGGGGTTATAAGTTTGAGACTCTATCGCTTCTACCGGAGCCGTGGTCTTCCACTTCGCGGGGATACATTGAATCCCGTGAGCATCAGATTGTGAGCAACTATGCTCAATATTGTTCAATCGTTCGTACCGGTTTTGGCAAAGTGAAGATGATTCTCGGCGGAGAGGTCGACGCGGTGATGGACTTCAAGCCCGAAGATAAAAGCCTACCAGTCAATTGGGTGGAGCTGAAAACCACAGCGGCCGTCACTAATGAACGGGAACAGATCAAGTTTGAGAGGAAGCTTTTGAAATTTTGGGCCCAATCGTTTCTTCTTGGGGTGCCGAAGATCATTGTTGGCTATCGTACTCCTCAGGGTATCCTGGAACGTCTTGAGGAATTGGATACGCAAGCAATTCCAGAAAGAGTCCGACTCCATGGGAAGGGCTTGTGGGATGGCCAGATTTGCATTAACTTTGCTTCAAGCTTTCTTGAATGTTTGTCATCCTATCCCCTATGCCAGACTGGGTAGCTGACCATCGCAGGGCTGAAAGGCGTCATTACTGATGACGGCGTTTGGCGAATTCGAAAGCGAGAAGGCTTACCTGGAATCGAGGTCTTCAAGGTTGAAGAGACAGGCCACGGAGATATTTTATCTCCAGCTTTTCTCGAGTGGCGCATCAGTGGCCTCCAAAACCACCAACACCGGTACCTGCACCACCAGCACCAGCAACAGCAGTCAGATGTAACAGAACAGGCCAATGGCGACGGACCTGCATCCGGATCCCCAGTTTGTCAATCAGGTGGGTGATGAACCTCTCATTGCCGTAGGCCACTTCGACGTGTGAAGTGGTCAATCAACATCACTGAACATTAAGCTGCCGACGTGGTTGGAGACCGCGCCTTGCAGTGTTCAGCCACACCAGCTTGTTGAGGTTCTCGCTTGCGACGCGCCGCGACGGCTTTCTTGTGCCCACGACTCGAAAGATGAACCTGCCATTCCTTCTCGGTCATGAGTGTCTTGTCGCAGGTTTCACAGGTTCTTGCCTGGCGGTCAGTCTCAATGCCCCGTTCGCCGATCTCTGAGAGCACTCGCGCTGCCAGATCTGAAAGGCTTGTGGGATTCGGAAGGTCGTCACCGTTCAGAAAAGACCCCGTGATCCTTTCTGCTGGCCCCATGACTGCGCGGTCCCATTGTCGGAGAGCCGAGCAATCGAGCAGGAAAAGCCTATCTAGGCTGTTGGCGGCGTTCAAGGCGTTCGCCAACCGAATACGGATATAGCGGTTTTGCCGATTCGCATACTGCCTCGTGTGAGCTTTGATGGAGTCAATCGTTTCCTGCAATGCGCGAGAACTCTTTGAGGCATCGATATTCACGGTTTGCTGCTCCTGGACCCAGGGTTCCATCTCTTTGTAACCGATCGAGACCCAGATGCCCATGCTTTTGTCCACCAGGACTCCCCTTTGTATCAAATCCGTTTCGAGCTTGGACAAGGCGAGGGCCTCGTCTGCAAGGCCACTCGCTAGCATGGCATCGACGCGAGCATCAAGTCGACTTTTCAACACGGACCGATCGGCTTCTAACCAGAATAGGAGGGTTGAATAGCGCAGGCCTGCTGGATCTACGCTGCTATCTTCGCGATCAACAGGGTCGGAAATATCGTCGATGATCTGGTGGCGAGCTCTTAACCTGCGTTCCCCCTGCACGGCATAGATTTCAGAGGCCTTCTTTCCAGTCTTGAGCCATATTTCGAGAGATTTTTGGATCTTGCGTCTCTCTTTGGGATGCCATCTTCTCGCCATCTCAGGATCGACTTCCTGCAGCTTTAGCAAAATCTCTTCTGTCGACTTGGACAAGAGAGGAAATTCTTCTTCACTCGATACTTTCTGTTCATGATCGGACTCGGACTCATCCCTGTCATTGATAAGAGTGGCATCTTTGAACAGCAATGCGTGGGTATAGTAATGCGTCCCACCAACCACTATAGGTAGCTTTCCCCTCGATCTGACCTCGTCAACGATGCGAGTGCCGTTCTTGACAAATTGGGTGACCGTCCAGGGTTTCTCCCCGAGATCGATATGGTCGAGCAAATGATGGGGGATACCATTTCGTTCCTGCTCCGGAATCTTGTTGGTAATGATGGGGAGGCCTTTGTACATTTGCATAGCATCTCCATTGATTATTTCGCCATTGAAGCGTGTAGCCAGCTCAACCGCCAACTAGTTACAGCAATCAGCAGTGGTGAATTACCTTGGGGGCAAGAAAACTGACCTTGGATTTGCCAGTCCCTGTCGCTCCGATGACTGCCACGAGGGGATATTTGGGTGGATGGGGCATTCTTCCTATGCCCCCTTTCAGTACCAAAGTCATTAGCATCCAGATAGACAGTTATATGACCCGTTGCTCAGGAATTGTCGCCAGCATCGTCAATAGGAGGACCCGTTCCTGTGAGAAGGCTGTGATGTCCTTATTTGCCCAACAGAGCTCGCCCGAGATATTGAGTGTCCCGTATCTGATGTTCAGGATAACAGTTTCCCCAGTACTAAATTTTCGAACATCGCTTGTGACTGATATAAAGTTGCGCGCTTCAAGACACCATGCTCCGCCGTAATCATGATGTGAAATTTTGGCCGAGTTCTCGGCCTGAATATTTTCTACGAACAATAACTCCCTCAATCTGCTTCCGGCAGAGCGATTCGGCGTCTGCGTGCTTCAGAAATCATGGCAGAAGTTGTACCAGCTCGGACAAGCCTAACATCTCCTCCACCCACCCGAAAACGATCGGCATCGCCGGAAGAAGATGTCGCCACAGACTCGACGACTACAGCGCTGACGAAGACCTCCGAACCTCCGGCAAAGAAAACCAAAATGATCCGACGCAAACGCCGCCCTGCACGCCCTCAGGTCGATCCCGCAACCGTCAAATCCACGCCTCCGCCGCAGACAGGCACGGTCTTCAACATCTGGTACAACAAATGGTCTGGAGGGGACAGGGAAGATGCATACCTCTCAAAAACTGCGGCACCTTCGCGCTGCAACATCCGGAACGATTCAGGATGGACCGCCGCAGATAAAACGCCAGGAAGCTTTTTCTGTCTGTTCTTCGCTCGAGGACTATGTCCCAAGGGCCACGAGTGCCAATATCTCCACCGTCTGCCGGGCGTTTTTGACGTGTTTAATCCCAACGTGGATTGCTTTGGTCGTGACAAGCACAGCGACTACCGCGATGACATGGGCGGCGTGGGCAGTTTCATGAGACAGAATCGAACACTTTACGTCGGCCGGATCCATGTTACAGACGACATCGAGGAAGTGGTGGCGCGGCATTTCCAAGAATGGGGCGAGATCGAGCGCATACGGGTTCTCACGGGTCGAGGCGTTGCGTTTGTCACGTACGTGAACGAGGCCAATTCCCAATTCGCGAAGGAGGCCATGGCGCATCAGGCGCTGGATCACAATGAGATTCTCAACGTGCGGTGGGCGACGGTGGATCCGAACCCGTTGAGCGCGAAGCGAGAAGCCGCAAGGATTGAAGAGCAGGCTGCAGAAGCAGTCCGGAGAGCATTGGGTGATCGGGCAACCAGGGAAATTGAAGGCAGAGAGACGCAAGAGGAGCGAGAGCAGAGGAGGATCGAATCTGGATATGGCCTTGAAGGTTACGAGGCTCCAGAGGAGATCTGGTTTAATCAGCAGAAAGAGCTGGAGGGGCAGAGGATGGGCGAGAGAGGATTGCTTGAGGCTCCGGTGTCCGCTCAGGAATCTGCACCGGAAGCTGCTTCTGATGCGCCTAAGGCGACGGATGAGGCTAATAGAGAGGAGAAAGGGATATTGACGGGCTCAACATTATCTGCGTTGAAAGGGTATACATCGAGTGCGAGACCGTCGCAGAGTTCCAAACCAGCTCCATCAACTGGGCCGCTAGTTGCGTACGATAGTGACGATGAAAGTGATTGATAAAAAAAAAAAAAACGGTCTCGAAAATATTCAGATGCAATTCTCACGTCTCTATCGTTTCCAAATTCTCGGTACGCCGTTTTCTAATCCTACACCCCCCCATATCCCTACCCATTCAAAAGTGTTGGAATTTCGGCAAAGGAATTCTTATCTCACAGCTCGCTATGTTTGATCCCCGCCTCAGCACCCAAATCCGGCATACGCATCATCACGACGACCAGACTGGTCCAGCCGGTGAAATGCTGTGTACGCTGCCCGGCGCCGGTCTCAGGATTATACTGCTCCCACGCAAAACCTGTACGCTCCCATTGGGCAAGCACGTTATTGACAAGATTGACGCGGAGCTCGGAATAGATCTTTGCGGCCTGGGTCTTGACTTTGGCAGGCGCATTGGCACTCTGCGCTACAGTCAGCAGGTTTTGGAGGATCAGATAGTTCATGTTTATCCAGATGGGGGAGCGCCAGTAGTTCTCGTCTGTGCCGTAGAATTCGTCGGATTTTGAGAGTGAGCGGATGCCATATGGGGACCAGAGTTCGGACTCGGAGGAGATCAGAGACAGGACGTGTGGGAGATTGGGGTGGGAGGCGGGTAGGAGACCAGTCATGAATGGGAACAGACTGATGTATCCTTTGTGGCAGACGTGGACGGAGTCTTCGTAGTCGTCGATTGTGGCGTCACAATAGGCTTTATGCTCGGCGGACCAGTGTAAGTCGTCGATGTTGCGGAGGATGGCTTTGCTTTGGGCGGTGAATTCAGAGGCATCGTCGTTTTCGCCGAGGACGGCTGCCAGTCGTGATAGAGTCTTAGACATCATTCCCACCCAGGAAATCAAATCTGTGTGGAGTTCGCCGGGGTGAGGCGGTTGCGGGCGCGGGTAGTCGTCGAGCCCGGAGGGGAGCATGTGCTGAGGCGTGCGGCCGCGCCAGCGGTAGGCCTCCTTGGTTGAAAAGGCTTCTCGATCGTAAGATTTGATGTCGCCGAATTGAGTGCGGCGGAACCAGTAGTATTGCCGTTTGAGAAGAGGATAGAGATATCGGAGCTCTGATTCAATGCGAGCTTTTCGAGCTGAGGACGAGCCGTCTGACATTTTGTCCATCAAGATATCAATGATTAGAAACAGAGTCGGGGGGTTAGCGTAATGAGGGTACTGGACTTGGAATTCTGGCGGGACCTTGCTGCGGGCCTCGGGTCCGAGGATTTGCTCACGAGCAATCCAGCCATCCGCATCCATCAAATTGAACCACGATTTCACAATCTCAATTGTGACGTCGAGATCCCACTCTACGATGGGGACGAGATGGAAACCTTCGTCCCACAAGAAACCACGAGGGAAGAAGGGTCGTGAAGGTATGCTGGTGAATAACTCGACCGGCGGATCCCTCACGATCTCGGCTCGAGCTCGAGCTTCTGCCGCCTCTTCCCAAAATCCTTCATTGTCCTCGTCATACTCAGGGGCATAAGAGCGGTCGACCAATGAATCGCCATAGAAATATCCGATTCCGCCAAAGAGATTGGAGAACAACGACTCCGAAAAGGCCGTGTAGACTGGTTTAGTGAATGGTGCCAGGGGTTTGAACACGTCCTTGAATTTGGCTTTGAAGCTGTCTGATGTAGTGGAGATGGCTTGGGCCAAAGATTCAGAGGATACAGAGGGACCGGTTGCGGAATTGAACAAGACATCAAATTCAAACGGACCGACAAATACCTTCTGGACCATGTGAAAGTTGCCCGGACCGGGATCTTGTTGGATTGTGAACGCGTGCCATGCTGGTGGCATATTTTCCTGGCCGTATTCTTTCACCAAAGCGTCAATACCCTGCTTCATGCTGGCGAAGGCAATATTCTTGGCTTGCCAGAGCGCTTCGGGGGGCAATTGTAAGCTACACATCAGCGGCCGATCGAGGGGTTTGGCATCCCAGGAAGGGTGTGTCTTATATGGCAACAAATTCTCCGGTGACTCGGTGAAGGTAATGTCGAACTCTCCAAGATCATTTGTTTGGCCACGCAGAGTGACCACACCGTCTGGATCTGGCTCGCTGGCAGTAGAGAGTAGCTCCCCAAGTCCTTCCATGCCAGCATAGAAGATCATGGTGGTGACTAAAGTATCTGGAGCATCCGCCCGCGGAGTTCCTTTGATTCGGGCCGCCCAACTTCCCCCATGTTGTCCTCCAGGGACCTTGACAAAGTCAATTGTCAGGTCAATCTTATTCTCCGTGTCGTGTATAACCTGGCGGCCACCATTTCGAACATCGTACTCTTCCCAGCCGTAGCCAGCCATTCCCTCATTTTGTTCGCAGGTATGTCGAAAATTCCGTTGCGTCGTACTGTAGCTATCAGAATTCGCCCACAACAGTCCCGTCGTCAAGCTATTGGATAGACGTGGTCGGACACCAAAGTAAAGGTTGGGCCTATAGGGACCCCATAGTAAGGTATCATTGGAGGCTGTAGCGGACGCATCAGAGGCGATGTACAACGAGAAAAGAGTGAATAAAGAAATGAGAAGATCCCCCCAGAGCGGCAAGCCTCTCGGACGGCTTGACATTATGCCTAATGGCCGACTACCAGAGTCCTGAGTCAATTGATCAGGGTTGCGGGTTGCGCTGGCCGTGAGCCAAAAGATCGACGGTGTGGGATTACTGCAGAGCACAAGACAACATCATTCAGCGCTAATACTCCACCGGATTGGACCTCACCTACAATTGTCGCTCACTGAATACACGATCCGTATATCCCATGGTCTCCGCCACCGCCAACATGAACCGCCTCTTCCCCTAGAAGTGTCACAACTGGTCGCAATCAATATCCCCCATGTCGATGAAGAAACCTTCAATGGACTAAGTACAGGAATTTGCCTTCGTCAGTGGCCTGGGCCTGGATCATATACGATCTCAAGAACGGTGATCTCGATGGATGAGACGTGCATATTACCAAAGTCCAGCGCCATTGAAGACTTCAGAGCAAAGGACTAGGTGACAAGCTCCGTGCACCTATTCGACAAGCAAAGATGCTGCGCCATTGAAGCTGGAGAAATTAGAGCACATCAATACCACGCTCAGATCCAGGACTTGAGATACACAATCCTTTCCTGGGTTCTCAGGTATCTGTACCCGACAGGCGATTCAATGAACTCATGGATCTCTGCAGGTTACGACAAAATGCTGAATGTGAGGCGAACACTCCGCTTCTGTCCTCCTCGGGATTTTGATATCCAGAAGGAAATCGACGCATCTCGCAAAGCGGCATATTTCGTTTGCCAAACGATTATCATATTATGGACTCCCTTGGACCGAAAGTTGTATCATACTCAACCCTGAGCCCGAAATTTATCCAGGGACACCTCCAGGAGTCACTCCCAATCGCATAGCATAAAAAAAAAAAAATCCATTATTCGTCATCATCACTGTCCAGAACCCGCCGCGCCCTCTGAGCCTTCAATGCATGCGGTATAGAATCTGTCGTCGGAGACAATTTAGTTGACCCGGTCGTTGCCATGATAGAACCAAGCTCAGAGGAATCCTCGTTCATTCCCTCATTGACGCTGAGTTGAGTGACATGATATCGCTTCTCAGCTCTCGGAGAACGTTGGGGCGGAGAGACACTAATATCACTTAAATCCGTCTCTTGTTGAGCCCCATCGAATTCTCCGTCGTCGATGAAGCTATCATGGTCATCATATTGACCCGGAGACCCAACCGTATTAGATGATTCAGAGGTCAATAGCACCCGGGAGGCGTCTGCAGGGCGCCTCTTGACAATCTTCGCATTCGAGTCCGATTGCCTATTTTCATCCAGTTCTTCGACCTCATCATATTCCCATGGTCGGCTCCAATCCCGATACGAATCTCGCATTGTTTTGAAGGCCTTTACAAGTGTTCGCGTAGCTCTCGAATGGTCAACAGTATTTGTCCGTCCCAGCCGTTGCTGCTGTTCGGGAAAAGCGTCGAATCTCACGTACTGAATGAACTCGTCTTCCGTTCCAGCGAGTCGGACATATCTCTCTTCCAGCTGATCTTCCTCGGCTTTCGTCAGGAAAACCTCGCTTAAAGAAGGAAGTGTGGCAAGGTCTCGATCAGTCTTGGGTTCTAAAACGTTTACTGTCTTCTTTTCCCGCCCATCAGTCTTCTTGCTGTTACCGAGGAAGGCGAAGCCGGTCTCGACACCATCAGGCATATGAAATTTCTTTGCTGGTTTCTTCGCATTCCTTGCTTTCCTCCTTTTGGGCTCCAATGGCCCGGCTTGAGTGTTCTCAATAGGAATCTCGACTTCACGTTTGTCGACAGCAGGAACGATGTCCCTCGGTACGATCCGAGGGGACAGGTCTTCGTGGAACTGAAATTCTTTGCCACTTTCAATTTTTTCCTGCATTTTTTGATAGTTGTCTTTGGCTTGGTAGTAATCAGATTCTTCTTTTCCACGCATCAGCAGTAAGACAATGTTACCTGCTCTCTTTCTGCCCGTGCGACCCATTCGCTGTAACATCCGAATCGGTGATTTGGAGCAATCGTAACAGACAATCAGGTTGACCTCGCCAATGTCAAGCCCTTCTTCGCCAATGGATGTCGCCACAATCGTGTTGTAGATTCCGGCTTTAAATTTGTTCATGACATCAAGCTGGGTCTTTTGGTCCATACCGTCGGAACTCTTGGTGCCAGATTGACCAACGAAAACATGTGCTCGTATCAGGGGCCCATGCCGATGGAGCACCCTCACGATCTCCTCCGCGCTATCGCGATAATGGGCAAAGACCATGATTCTTGTGCTTGATGGATGAGTCGGACTCCCCTGTCCTTCGCCAGCATCCATGAAATGATTGAGAATCACGGTCTTCAAATAGGATAATTTGGGGTGCCCAACAAACTCAGGATTGTTGACACAACCTCTCAGCCGATTCATCAGCTTCTTGAAATTCTCATCTTCTGCAACCTGCTTGGCATATTTGCCGCCACCGGAGGCCTCGTCCGCAAAGGACTTCATTTTGTGATAGAATGGACCAATGCCATGAAATTTCAAAAGTTCGAGATTGTGGGCCATGCTCATCAGGACGTTGAATATTCCTTGGACCATTCCTTTGACGCTGAATGGAGCGCCCCGGCCTGCCTCTGAACACCTCCACTGATCCGAAGCTTTCTTTAGACCAAAAAGAGTGATCTTCTCGGGGTCCTTGCCCCAATATGCATTTTGAGAATTCAATTTGTTCATTAGCGGTTGAAGTGCTGCAGACAGCAGTTCCAGCGACATAGAAATCTCCTCGGAGTTGTCGAATAGCTGGATTTCGGTGTTTCGAGAATGGACGAAATCACGAATGTCAACTGAGTCCTCAGTCCTGATCTCGACTCGAGCGATGCCAAGACTGTCGATTACTTCTTGCACCGACTCGACCATTGCTCCGGGTGTGGCAGTCAGAGCCAGGACACGGAAACTTGAATTAAATCTCCTCAAGAATCTGACCACTTCAACATAGGCATAATTTCCCGTGGCTTTATGCGCTTCGTCGACCACGACAAGGACCACCTTTTTCGGATCACACATGCCATTTTTCAAGTCGTTAATCAGAGTTTGAGGCGTCATGAAAAAGACTCTTTTCTCTTGCCATTCCTGGGCCCGGACGGCGGGCTGAACTCCTCCCGTCAGCATGGTGGTTCGGGATCGAGGAATACCAACAATATTGAAACAAGCGTCAATTTGTTGTGACACGAGTGGCTTTGTCGGCGCCACGAAAATAATTTGGGCATCCTTTGTCCATCTGAACCAATTCAACATGACAGTGGCGGCTATGAATGTCTTTCCCAGCCCGGTGGGAAGAGCAACGAGGAGGTTGTGGAAAAGACCCTTGTGGACGATGTTGTACTGATAATCTCGAATTCTGCCAAGGTTAGTCGGATAAACCCAAGTATTCATGGCATCTCGATTGATGGCGTGATGGGTAGGAGGTTCATTCCTGCTTGCGAGTGGCCACGTATGAGTTCGGGATTGTGTTTGGGTCGGAGGTAACTCTCGCTGCGTGGTATGAATCCCATGTAAAGTCGTTTGACGGAAGGAAGTGGATCTCTGTAGAGAAGCACGTGGAGCAGTGGTGGAGGGGTGCGCGGGATTGGTGCTCATCCGGCTTGGATTGCTGTTGAGTGAACGTGCAGACTCGGCCGCTTCAAAGGCCTCTATTAAAGCGATATCGTCTTCATCGTCGTCAAAGTCATCGGCCGGCGGCCAAATTTTAGTAGATTGATCTGATTGGATCGCGGGAGATTTTGCTCGCGACTGCGAGGATGGAGGAGCGACGCTGTCTCGAGGCTTGACCCATCGTGGTCCTCTGATTCTCGAAGGACTGGACCATTGCTGAGTCAACTGGGTCACGAACGTGTCGGCGTGTTGATCTCTGCATTGAGGAATGTGAATATGGTCTTCGTATTTCGATCTGTGATTGTCACTGCCATCGCTGTCGCCTCCAGGGCCTAGAACTTTTCGGCCGGGTGGTAGGTCATATTCGTCGCCATTGAAGGCATTCCCACGATGCTGTTTGATCCGGCGGCGTTTTCGAGATCGAGGATTGTCATCGGTCTGGGAGCTCGGAACGAGAACCTCCTCATCAGCGGAGCTCGCATCGGCCTCATCATCTAAGAAGTCCATTTTGCTCAGGGGACAATTCGTTGGCAAATGTTTTGGAAGGTTGAGAAGATGAAGAGACGCGGCCAAGTAGCCTAACCCAGAATGGTAGAGCCTGCGACGCGGAGTCAGGTGACTGCTGAAGCTTGATTATTTAAACAATGGATGGATGGGCTACGAAGACTAGAAGTCTCAAGAAGGTGGCGAAGTTCTCTTTTGGCCCCATTGCTCAGATTACTATCCCCCAACGTCGCCGAACAAGGGATGCCCTTCGACATCACTGCTAGGGAACTAAAGACAGTGAGAATCTAGTTCGGCCTAGATCTAGGAAGGCCAAAAATTCAATTTGGAAAGAGACTTGTGTGCTTGATTACACCCGATCCCTGGAGACTGGCGTTGTTAAGCGTGACACTCTGTGTACGAGCTATCTTCCTTATCTCCCACGAACGGCAAGATGTATATGGAGTCGCAAGTGATCAAGAGCACCCCACTCGCCTCCCAGAATACAGCATGACACCATTTAATTATCTCACCGGCAGAGTCATCAACCCAACTTGACTGGTGAAACGTCGAAAGCGATCTCGTCCAATCAAAATCTTCCCCATTTTGACGTCGACCAGACGACGTTTCGTCTCATTTCACAGCCGTAGGGTTTCAGCAAGCCACCATCCTCCTCACGGATATTCTTCATGTCCGGGGAGAAAGTGTCGTTGATATCGGCACTGACTCGAGTGACGGATTCTCTTCTCTCGGCTATCTTCTCCTCTACCTTCTTCTGAACGAGGCTGGCTCGGCGCTCTTTCTCATTGGCGAACCCGTCATCGGCAGAGTGATCAATATCCTTGTCAAGGACCTCGTCGTTGAGCATCTTGGGATTGATCGACAATGCCCCACGAGGAACAAAAGTTGCCGAGAGCACAACGGCCATGATGATTGTGAATTGAACACCGCCGACGTTGCGGATGGCTCGGTGAATATCACCACCATTGTCGGAGCCTCCTGTGTCGGCATAGACACGATCGATGTATCGGCCAAGAAGCGGCGAGCAAATAGCATAGATGACGATATAGGTCGAGTGGAGGAAGGCCATGACAGCACCAAGGGCGGATACGTCTTTGTTCTCAGCCTCAAGACGAGCAAGAGAGGCCTGGATATAGGCGGCGAGGGAAACGTCACCAGCCGCCCAACCAAAAGAGATGGGAATGAAGGTCCCAGCCACTCTCCAAGCATAGTTGACATCACCCTCGGGCGGGTGCCAGTAAGGAAGATACCAAACAATAAGAAGCATCAGTGCATCGAGTCGGAGCCATGGCATGGGGGTTTGGACAAGATTGGTGAAGAGGAAGACGAAACCAGCACCAAGCAGCTCACCGAAATTGCTGCCTCCAACCATGATCTGTGACCAGGCGGAGTTGCCGAGATATCGTCTGGCGACCGCTGGAGCAATGCCGTTTTCGAGATATCTGTGGCCGTACAAGGCGATCGAGTATCCGGGGAAAGAGTAGTTGTTGCCGAAGGCTGGAATCAAGGCCAAAGCGGTGCAAAAAAGCACCACCGGTGCCGGAAACTTCATAGAAGATGTGGACGAGAGAATCCATACGTCGGAGCTTTTGAACGTTGCCTCCAACAATGTCTCGAGGAATAACACGGCGAATCAATTCGACCATACCGTAAACGATACCGCTGACACAGTAGATGGGAATGATGCCGTCAGTGTTGTAGCTGCCATAGTAGCCAAAGTCATCTTCATCATGGGTGTCCTCCCAATTGTCCGGCTTGAAGCGGCCGCCGGTGCCCGCATCGACGATGAGAAGGATGGCCGTCATGATGCCAAAGACCATGATGGCAATGGCCAGGACCAGCTTAGTAGGCCATCGTCTGATGAGCGGGGCAATGAGAATGGAACCGACACACTGGAAAGCCTGGTTGAGACCGGTCAAAAGACCGACACGCTCGAGTGGTGTCGTTGAGCCAGGCGTCGTAGTCGTATTTGTTTGTGGCCAGGGCAACAATGGAGCCGTTGAACGCTTCGAGGCCGAATTTGTACAACATAATACCCGCGATGTAAATGGCAATGTTTCTCTTCTCTGTCGGGGTAAACATGGTCCAGGTCTCGCGGACCGCGCGAAGGTCGAACATGCCCATGATGGCAGATGAGATACCTGAGCCGGGATCAGTCGTTCATGAGAGAGTTGGTTTATATCAAAATGCGGTCTCAGCCAGACCAGTGACACTTCTGCCCCTCGCTCCCCAAGACAGACCGTCGAATTACATTGCCGCTGCGGACGCTGATTGGAAAGGAGCAAGCAAGACGTCGTGCCAAGTGCCAAGCCGTGCCAAGACCGTCCTGCCACGATCTTGGCGGCTTGTTCGCGCGACGGCGGGCTTGGACCCAAGAAGCTCAGTAAAGCATGGGTAGCCAGCTGCGTTTGGACCATTCACATCTCGAGGGTTGGTACACGTGCGGGTGTTTAATATGCTAGATATCAAGCATGTTCAAACACCATCTGCCCTCCGCTCCCTCAAAGCAACGCCTGCTCTTTTCGTAGTACAATCTGTCCAGGCCTTCTGCTCTCGCGTCATCCGCACATTTCATGATCTGGACGTGGCTATCGCCTCAAGTCCCGATCCGGGGGGGAGGTTCTCTGGTAGCTGACACCCTCCGTGAGTAAAATCGATCCCTCCAGCGCACAGCTTGGTCATATGTTCCTCGAAGACATGAACGGGGGGTGGAACATGATCCGACCTATTGTCGTGTCGACTCGCCTCGTTTTACTTGACCTTGCCCATGACGGTGTCCATACCTCGCTCGGCATAGGTACTCGCGGCCGCACGTTTCACGGCCGTGATCATGCTGCGATCCCATTCGTCTCGAGTTTTCAAAACCCCCTCCACCCAACTCAACTGAAGATCCCAGTATTCACGTTTGAATTGTTCATACACACGCACCACTTCACCTTTGTCGGCCTCGAGCAGCTGCACGGTGAAGTTCACAGCCTTCCATTTGGGCTTGATGGTTTCATTGAACGTGTCGGGGTACTTCTCAAAGAAGGCAAAGGCCGCCAACACGTCATCTCTGAATTTTGCCGCAAATGGTTCCCCTCGACGGAACTTGACTCCTCGGTTCGTCCGGATTGATACTAGATAATTGACCAATAGAGCATCAGAGAGTTCCTCGATCAGAATATCGATCAGTGACGGGTGGAGTACTGAATTGTAGTCTCCAACATAGTCATCGAATGTCGTGGTGATCCGTTTCATGGCCGACTGCTCATACCATTTCCCAGGGACAAACAATTCCGTCAGGATGGATCGGAAATCGACCTTGAAAATGAGCTGCACGAAGCGATTGATGCAGTGAGTGGCCAGATCTACGTAGCCATCGCGGAGAGCATCCAATTCGGTAGTTCCGTTGGTGGACATGAACTTGGCGGAGGGAGGGGTGGGTAATTTAGTAAAGTCTTCGCGGAACCGAGTCAGGTAGCCCTTCTGTGCGGCGGGGTCATCTACGACATCCCCTGCCGCATCATCAACGCAGGCAATCTGATCATTTGCAATGGCGAGAAGCCAATCTTGAAACGGCTGAAGGGTTTCCAGCTGTTCTGATGTCGGATTTTTATATCGATCCACTTCTTCGTCGATAAGCCTTTCCCATTGTTGCTGTCTCGATTTCAGTGCACTAAACATGGCGCTCATCACCCCTTCCACCACATCTTCGCGTTCGGAGTCCCCTGCCGCAACGGCCTGTTCATGTAACATACGCCACATGTCGCCAAGCGTCTTGGTCCTGAAATGGCCATCTGGATCCTGGTCGATGGCATCGGAATCTCGTGACAGAAAGTTCTTTCTGTCGGTAACGTACATCCTGTCAATCCACGAGTTGAGGGCTTTGGTGATGATGTTCCTGTAGTCACGTATCAAATCGCCTTCTCGAGAGTCCAGAACATGTGGTTTCAGCTGAGTCGGGGGAAAGCCTAGTTTGTTCATTTTCTTGTAATAGTCATCGATGTAATGCACAATGCCCAGCATCTGCGGCGGCCGGAGGCCTTCGTCATCCACATAAGAGATAAGAAAATCGTGCATCTGTTTGTGATAGATGTCGACATAGGTTTGGAAGATCTTCCATTTTCTCGGAAAGAGATTCTGCATTCCTTGCTTGCACGCAAAGAGGTCATTGAAATACCACTTGGTCTGCTTTTCCAGTTTGGAAGGATCTTCTTGAAACTCTTGCTTCGTCTGTTCGAACTTGGCTTGGGCGACAGCCTCGATCGCTTGGATGAATTTCTCCTTGTACCCGCGCATGGTTTTGGGCCCGATGGTGAATGAGGTAAACTTGCTCACCAGATCTTGATGATCCTTCTGGGCGTCTTGTAATGCTCGAACGCGATCATCATTCTTCTCTTCAGAAGCAATGACGATGGCAAGCCGAACGATGATACCGGTGTTGTCCCTCTGAACGAGCTCGATCAGATTCATACAGATCTGACCGACGTGGTCATCGAACAAGTCTATGACGTTGTCCAGCTGCTGAAACCAGTCCAGCAGTGTCTGTTCCAGACTGGAGTCCCTCCCTCTGCGAATTTGATCCAGTGCCTCATCGCGAAAATCGCGCAGTCGAGTCAAACGCATGTGCGCCTCCAAAAGATTAGGCTGATTCTCCAGATCGTTCTCGTCGTCCTCCAAAAGTCTTTGCACGTTAGAGCAATCCCTCTCAAAACTGTCAAGACCAGCTTGCATCGCTCGAGTGGCTTCGAAATTCCGATGAACTCTGGCAAGATAGTCCAACTGGGGGAAGTTCTTGCGAATGGCCTGGGCCTGTTCACAGAGGTCATGGATGCTCTTCATCTCCTCTTTGATTTGCCCCACTAGCTTCTGTCCTTCAGAGAGCGTCGACATGCCAGCCTGTGTAGTGTCCAAGTGATCTTTCAGTCCTTCTCGTAATCTAGCGTCGACATCGCCCTTTTTGCGGTTGATTTCCGCCTTCAAACTCGTAATTTTCTCGAGATCTTCTGGACTTCGGAGGACATCTTGGACGCGGGGCATGCCCACGCTACCATTTGTGCTGGTTGCAGAAGACATTCTTGCCGGCAAGAGGGGGACTCAGCCTGTACAGAGACAAGATACTCATGGAGCATCGACGAAATTACCAGATATATATTTGACGTCCTGCTGCATCAGGGAGAGCGGGCCATTGTGTGTCGATCATGACATGAGAGGGAATGCAGAGGCTATAATACGTGGTAAGAGAAACTTCTCGGGGGTGTGAGCAGACGCCGAGTTGGAAATTCCCGGACGCGATGCCGCTTTAAGGGCTTGTCAAACAAACTTGGAAGGGTCTTACATAACAAACACCAAACACCAAACATTCATCGTCTGACATCTTTCAACCAAGCATAGCTGTCTTGAGTATGACACTGTCTATTTTCGTTACGGGAAACTCTGGAGAGCAGGTGTTCTCGTTCTTGTCTTGTCTACTTTTTCAGTGACATCAACTGATAACATCAGCAACATCCGCTGCCCCGACACCGGGTGGTGCCTTTAAAACCAGTTCTCGTTGCAATCCTTTCACTGGCGCTGAAGTTCTCTGCGAGCTCCTTCATTCTAGATCCGTCATTTTGACGGCGTCTCTCCCTTACCCAACCCTGAACCATCCACAATTTCGACGTTGCGGTCGCCAAATTTGACTAAATCCCCAGGCTCGCGCTGATCAGGATCTTGCATATACTTGTCAACTAATCCCATCACTTGCCCAGCCGATGTGGTCAGGTATGCCTCGGAAAATCCACTTGATGGTTGTTTCGAACTGAGCAAAATACCTGTCTTTATAAAGCCCGGCAGTGATGAAAATGATGCGAATGTTATACGCAGGACGCTCGGTGCTCAAAACTGATTGGAGCATGTCGTATGTCGCTTTGGAACAGCTATACATGTTTCTACCAGACATGGATAGAAGCCAAAATTCGACGAAATGGTCTCGATGGGGCCTGACTTATGAGCCTTTATCGATGTCAGGATGCCCTTGAGCACTCGAATAGGGCCCCAGAAATCGGTATTCATGGCTGCCTGCATTTCATCCTCCCTGGCCAACGTTTGGCAAGCCATATCGACGGATTTGAATACAGGTAGCTCTATCCAGGAAGAGACTCACCCGAGGATCTTCAATTGAACCGGACAAGAAATGCCCAACATTGTTAACGACTACGCCGATCCCTCCTGCGTCGTCCGCAGCCTTCTTCACTACGCACTCTGTCTTGGGCGAGGTGACATCGAGTTGGAGCCACCGGCCGCCTTCGGTTTCAACCTCTGGGTGCGCTTTAGTTACCCATTCAGGATTGCGAGCACCTGCAATGACTTGTAGCCCGCTCCCAATGCCGACATTACCATCGCCCATCCCAACCCTGAGAGGCTCATGTGACGAGCCAGGTCTTCGAAGAAGCCGCTTGGTCCATCATACAAATCCGTCGAAAAGAGGAAACTTTCCTCAAGGGTACTATATCTTCAGCGAGACAGCTGTACTCTCATGCACGACCAGTTGCCTCGGCCAGTGATATTTCATGCTGTTCGAATGGGACCGTATTTAAACATTTCCCCGCTACTCACACCAGAATAATGTTGTAGATACGTCTGACAAGTTGAATAATCAAAGTGCCACAAGTCGGAAGGTATATGTTAAACTCACCGATACTGTCTCCAGAAGCACCCTCTTCTCTGCCGAAACCCAACGGCTGCTCACAAGGTAGCTCTTGACATGGCTAGCCTTGCTGTTCGGCCCCTATAGCAGCGGTGTTGGAAGCGGTACACTCGTTCTCCACATCAAAGGTTGTGGCGGTTGAAAAACCGAACGTTAAGAAAATCTTTCCTAGCCTTCAGCTGATAAAGCCTTGATGGAGAAACTTGGGTAGCAGGTCTAAAAATACTGTAGCTGGGGAGGTCGGCCGACCGCGGACAAAGCTGAGCATCATCCCAGCGCGCTACTCTGCGCATGATTGTCGTTGAATTTTGTAGTATACGTTTGAATGAGCGATGAAGGAGGAAAGTCTGCGAAAGAGCTTCTCAGATCGGAATATACAAGGTTCATCGTTCCGATACGTCGTACAGTGTCCTGTTAGCACAAAGTTTATGTTATTCAAAGGCAATGAGCCTCAACGGATCATATCATTCCTCTGTTATGTGGTTTCTATCGTACCTATCTGGCTCGTCCCATCCACCACTAGGTAACGCTGTAAATCGAGAACCCTTGTCCCGACCCCGCCATCACCACATTTCCGATCCTATCAATCGTAATGTACTTGCCACCGCTGAGCAAGTGATAGCCTTTGCCACCACCAAAGTACGTGATATTATACACCAGCGCCTCATTCTTGGACACCAACTTCATCTGCGAACCAATGTATCTTCCATCCACTGCACTGCTGATCGTGTACAATCTGCTATCCGTTGCAGTCTCGTGGATGATCCAACGCTGAGCCATTGCCGAGTGAGTGGATGTTGCTTTCGTTGCGTTGAATGTTGTGGCTCCAGCGCCCGGGTTGGACAAGGCAAAGCCGGACGCCTCGAAGGTTAGGTAGCGCCCTTCGGTGAGGTATCCACGAACGGGCTTAAAGCCTTTTTCTGAGATCAGGGATTCGGCTTCGGTTTGGCCAGCGTAAGGGACGGGAGGGCGCAGGACTGCATACTGGGCCTCACAATGCGAAGACCCATCCCAGACGCCCGATTTGTCCTTGTGCGGGACGGGAGCCACAGGGATCGAAGGGATGGATGTGTTTGGTGCCGAGAAGTCAAATGCCGCGGTGAGGTCAGACATGTGTTCCCGACGCCAGGCCGGCATTTGGTTGGTAACAACGTCGATACCTTTGGCAGCCAACCACTTCTCAATGAACATGATTTGAGAGTTGTGGTCGCATTTCTCCGTGAAGACGTGACCACCACGTGTCCAAGGGGAGATGATATAGAACGGAAGACGGAAGCCGGGCCCGGCGAAAGTGTACCCAAACATACCATATGGGTCTTCGAGCCATTCGCCGGATGTGCCGTTGGGGGAGTGGTATGGAGAGACGTGATCACCCCAGCCACCGGTCTCGTCGTAGCTGATGATCAGAGCAGTACTGTTCCAGTTCTTTCCTTTGGTCACGGCGTTGACGACTTGTTGTTGAAGCCATGCTCCATCGTGTGGAGAGTAGGGAGGGTGCTCGGAGAGCTCCGTGGGCCCAACGACATACGAAATCATTGGAAGGGTGCCATTGGCAGCTTGCTCGTAGAAGGCGTTGAGACCGAGATAGGACATACCCCGTTCTTGGAGTACAGTCCCATTTTTAGCCGTTTGGAACTGCTTGAACCAGGCAAGTGGATTATCATCAAAGTTGTCGGTGTCCTGGTAGACTTGCCACGTCACACCTGCTTTCTGGTAGATCTCCGGGCAAGTCATCCACGACAACGGGTAGCAGTTCAGGCCTGGTGCTTCGCAACCAGGGACTTCATGGTTGTCGATGTAGACACCACCCTGGTCAGCCTTCTGCGGAGAGCCAGGAACATTGATAGATCCGCTGATCCACGTAACCCTGTTCGGGTTCGTCGAGGCTATAACGCTCTCTTGATACATGTCACCAATCGTCCAGCCTTCAGCAAGAGCGAATTGAATTGGAAGATCACTCCTTTTATAGTAGCCCCAGCTCCACGGGGTGTTATTCAAAGCCCAGTGATCGTTGAGGCCGAAATTATAGGCGAGATGATTCTCTTCATATCCATTAGATCCCGCGTCCATGCATTGAGTAGCGTTCAACCATTTGCCACCAAGATAGTTCAGGTACCATGGAAGCAAGTAGTCCGTGTCGTTGGTCATAGTGCTGTTGACGTGTCTAAAATAATGTCAACTAACCGTCGAGGCAATCAGTGCCAGACATACTGATACCAAACCGGTTTACCATTAGGATTGATCTGGACGTTAGGATCGGAGAAACCTCGAACGCCAGCCATGGTGCCAAAATACTGTGGGTTTGTTAGTAGATACCACGGATCTGTATTTCCACTTACATGATCAAAAGCTCGGTTCTCCTGCATGAATAGGACAACATGGTTGATACTGGCCAGAGAGTCTGTCTGAACTTCCCTTCCAATAAAGCCGGCGCCCAAAATGGCGCACAGGTTTGTGAGTGTTAGCATTTTCTATATGGGTGGCCTCGGAGTGTCTATGGACAAGCTCAGCTCCCAATCTCCTTCAACTTGCGCGGCTGATATATAACCTATCAAGGGGGCCTGAATTCTAATACACATACCGACCCCTGCATGCGCGCGGTGAAAATCACTGTTCACCAAGTTTATGCTTCAATGTTAGTGCAATCTTGGCCAACGATGTTGGTCCTGATCAGCGGGGGAGGACGAGGCTGCGGGCTTCATGCCGAGTTCATCTCGTGGAATTTGCGTGAAACGTGCCAGAATGTTGCGGTGAACAAGCACCCAGAACCCAGTCAACCACCTACCAGACTGGGGGGCATGATGTACAAAAAGCTGCGGTTGTGTCTACCTGGTAGACTTCCAGATTCGTGGCACACGTTGTGACGGCACTGAGTATTATTCGCCTGTACAAACTTGGGGCGGAGATGTACGCCGCGATTCGTTTTGCCAACTTTGCATAAATGAAGTTGCATTTACACTTTGCACCCGGGTGCGCGTTCTCGCGGAATAGGTAACAACCGAATAATATGTGTCGGGGTCCATCAGGTTCTGTTTACTTTGTGGTTGGCTGAACTGGATGACTTCGATCCTTCACCCAAAGGTGCATGCAACCCCGGGAGAAGGTTTTGGTCCTTGGGCCTACCCAATATCCCAACTCAGGGCCATTCCGCTCCCCAAATGCCAGCCAACATGACAGTGCATCATCCAAATCCCTGGGTTGTCAGCTCGAAACCTTATGACCGCGTAACCTCTCTGAGGAACAAAAACAGTATCCTTCATAACCGGGTTCACCAAGTTGTATTGTCCTGCCGGTGAGTCTTGTGGTGTCGTGGTAAATGGATTGTAATTGTACATGGCGGATCCGCCGGGTGTAAAAGGAGGCTTCTCACTGCTCCACGGCGGAGGAGGCGGAAAGATGGAGACAACATAGAATGAGTACCCATGTAGATGGAATGGGTGTCCGCCGTCGTCAAGATTGTTGATGATAATGTCAACCCATCCGCCAGAAGCTTCATCTTCCGTCCTATTTGTGAGTAGGGGTATTTGAGGTGAAAGTTGATTGTGGTCGAATTCCTTTCGAGACAATGAAATCAACGGCTCTGGAGGAGATGCTTGCGGTGACCAGCTAGTGTGATTGATGAATCCCATGGGAATATTGTGATGCTTCGCCAGTTTTAAGGTTGTTGTATATATGACAAATTTCAATGGGTCATTTGGCCATGGCCTCCAGGGACTGATAGTGGACACGGCCGCTTGAAGATTGTAGAATTCTAACTCCGGTCGTGCAATATCCTTGTCGTATCCAAGGTTCGAACGAGCCTTAACAGGAAATGTCTGTCTGGGATTGAGAGCTGGATTGGGATATTTGAAGTTCTCATCATCCATCTCAACCTCAAAGCAGCGTTGATCATCGGGTGATCCAGTCTGCAAGATTGTGTCCACTCGTTCGCCCGGGTAGACAATGCCCATTGCTTGCGTCTGTGCCATGGTGATATCATTACCACCGTCCACCTGGAAAGGCGAAAGACTGGCATTGTCCATTCGAAATGAGAAGCCGGTCAAGGAACCTGTATTGACCAAACGCAAACGGTACCGCTTACCGTTCTCTATTGTCAGCATGGGGGGACCAGATCTGTCCTCAGGCGGTATACATTCCAGAGGTCGAGCTGGAACCGCCATCTCGCAATCAAAATTACCCTGGCCGTTGACAAGCACAGAGTCGGGGACGGGCTCACTGCCAAATGACCTCGAATTCATGTACCAACCGAGTACCTCGGGGCTGGATCGGTGATACCAGTCGCCTATCAACAGCAGGATCTCCTGATCATAATTGTATTGGTCTTTTTCATTGCCCTGCTCCCCAGGACGATGGACGACCAGGCCGCCATAGAGTCCGTCGTCCCGTTGCACTTTGTCGTGGCCGTGATACCAGAAGGTGCCGAATTCTTCTTCCCCAATAGTGAAATTATACAAGAAGCTTTCGCCTGGTGGAACGGGTTTCTGAGTCACGCCAACCGCACCATCCATGTCGTTGGCACCCTGCATCCTCAGCCCATGCCAATGTATCGCAAGGCCTTCATTTTGCAGCAAGTTGGTGACGTTGACAACAATCCGGTCTCCAGAGCGAGCCTCAATGGTTTCTCCCGGAAATCGGTTGTTGATGAGGTACACTTCTTTACGGACGCCGTCCGGGAATCGATAACGTTTTGTAACTTCCCAATCATAGACCAATGTCGTTGGCGAACGATTGGTGTAGTCTTCAGGGTGAAGTACAATTCCAATTTCTTCAGAGCCATCGTTGTCATCTAGTTGTCCAGGTCCCCAGATCACGTTCCCAGTTCCTTCAATCATCCAAGGAGTAACGTCAAGTTGACTAAGAAGGAACAGTCCAAGCAAGACAACTACCAAGGCAATATACACCAAATGAGCCAATGTAAACTCCCATGGCCAAACGAGAACGACTGGAGCACCATGCTTGTTGGATGACCTTAGCGAGGTCTCCGGCAGCTGAACATCATGCCGCACGTACTCGTCCGGTTTCGCAACACCAGGTTTGCGTTTTCTGGAATTGGTCCTTTCCATGCTAGGGCGACGAGTTGTGCCGAGTTTTCAGCCTGGCCCTTTTACATCCCTTTGATTCCTGCGGCTACTCGTGAAATACTGCACCGTAGAAAACTGTCCTTTTTTTTCCATCCTGACCGAGGAGCTTTCCAACGCAATACCATTCTCATCGAGTCTTCATTATTTCGTAACGGTTCTCAGCCGCGGAAATATTCTCTCCCTCATATCATCATCACCACAATGTCCTATTTTCGAATCACCTTGATCAGGTCAGCTATCGGCCTTCCAGCAAAGTCAACCAATGTCCTCAAAGCCCTCGGTCTTCGCAAGCGGATGGCAACTGTTTTTCACCCCGTCTCACCTTCGGTGGCTGGTCAAATAATGAAAGTGAAAGAGTTGGTTGCTGTGTCAGAGGTCGACAAGCCTTTGACCAAACAAGAAGTACACCAGGAACGGGTCCCAGACCCTGGTTTCTATGTCGAATCAAGAGCTGCAGACATGCGCCCGAAGTCAGACATCTGATCAACCTACAATCTCGTACCTTTTTCAGACATTGCGCGCGGAAAATAAAAGCTCTTGGACAAACACATCAACGATTCTAGCCCCGAGAATATCATTCATCTTACTTTTATTACCAACGCATTGGTTTGACGCCAACTTGCAGCGAGCTGCTCGACAATTGTCTGTGGAAAGATGGGTTTCAAAATCGTTCAGTTGAAGGCTAGGCTTGGAGGCCTAAAATTCCGTCCAGAATCTATCAGCCTTCCAGTTATACCTTAGACAGCCTACCGACAGACCGAAACTATTGAGAATTCAGGGGCCGAAACTTCCTTCCTATCACTCAACACCCGCGGAAAGAAGAACCGACGAATCTTTTGTACAGATACCGCGATCAAAATTTTTGGTCAATATCATCGATCAAGTCGACCTTGCCTCAATCATGGTGATCCTCTGGTTACAGATGTCTTTCTGTCAACCATACCTTTTAGGAGGAGTGGTGGGAGGCGCTCGACTTTCGACGGAATGGATCTCAGCATTCAGATCTGGCCACAATGCGCAGGCCCAATACGGGACCTCTTTTCAAGAGCCCGAAGAAGCTCCTCACCAGACAGACAACATACTCAATGCTGTTGACGGTCTTCAATAACCAATTTTGAGCGATTATTTCGAATCCTCGGAAGGTTGTGAGCTGGTCTCTAGCAGGGAGGCTGAACAACCAAAGCTCCAGCAGCTTCTGCCCTCCGACTTTTTGGACAAATACATTACGAGGGGTTGAATTACTGGTGCACCTCAGAATGACTGTGGGAACGAGATCTTGTTAGATGAAAATGCTGATACTGTAATAAGTGATCAAACTTCGCCCTCAATCCACCTGAAACCAAGCTCAGTATCCTGGTGTATATCGAAGTAGTATCCACTGGCTTATGCACTCCGCATTGGCACATTCTGCAGTGGGAAAGCATCGACCAATCGTGGAGCTTCCATGGAACAGTTCGACGACGAATCCCAATTGTCGTCATTTCTGCGGGCTCTTTTTGTCCTCCAATGCCGATTAACCAACGACAACAGCACCTGTGTATTGAACTCCATTCGAGGCTCCAGGACCGGACTTCCCCTGCCCTTTTTCTCTCTTCTTGCGAGACACATCGCCTCCCCTTGTACCAGAAGCTCCAATTCTGAAAAAAGATCTCTTAGTGCCACAATGAAAGCCAACACGCTGCTCTCCCGCAACTCGCGAGCAATCACCCTCACATTCGCCCATCGTCCACCTCCCTCCTCAACAAGTCTATACACCCGACCACTCGTACCGACATCGATACTCAGAACTTCTCGATGTTCCCCGCAGACCTTTTTCTCATCACAAAATGCCTCGTTCTCGACCTCTCCTCGCACCTTTAAAGGCCTGCAGCCAGACAGCGCCGAGCCCGCACCACCCAACACAGAACCCATGAGCGGTAGCGGCAATGCCGCACAGATCTCGGATGCCAAGTACCACGAGCTGGCAGATGAATATCTTAACACAATGTTGCTGGCGCTGGAAGAGCTGAGCGAGACGAGCAATGACGGGATCGAGGTAGAATATGCCGTACGTGCTCTCCCCTGGCGTTCTTCCATCTCTCCTTCTCAGCATATTGAACCATTCAACTAACCCCACGCTCCTCTATCCACAGGCCGGCGTTCTCACAATCACACATCCAAAGTCCGGCACCTACGTAATAAACAAGCAACCACCAAACAAACAAATCTGGCTCTCCAGCCCTGTGTCCGGCCCAAAACGGTACGATTGGGTCGTCTCTGGCGCAGGTCAGCACGAAAAAGAAGGCTCCGCCGTAGGCAGCGGTGATGACGGTGCTGGTGGCAGATGGATCTATCTCCGCGACGGGAGTGGGTTGAGCGAGCTGTTGAAAAAGGAGATTGGTTTAGAGCTTCCTAACGGATCAGAAGTGTAAGGCTTCGAGCCGAAGAGAGATGGCTGCTCGGATACACGCACGTTGAAGATGACGGTCAGGAAAGCGATATCACGAATCCAATCAGCGGGGAACATCATGGCGACAGGAAAGATAGTCGGACGGGTGAGGACGAGCGCAGGGCTCAAAACAACTATGTGCAGCTTTCATTTATTATGGCGAATTCTATACCCCCAACTCTACCTTTGGGCTGCCTGTTGGCGAAATTACGAAAGATATGATTTGTCCTCGCAACTAAAAACTTTCGGGGCGCAGATTTTAACATCCACGCCAGCGACCATTATGTTTACGTCCCCCTCCAGCTGTACACTCATTTATTATTTCTTCTTCTTCGAACCCGCCGACTTTGGTGTCGCAGGGCTAGCTGGGGCAAGTCGGACCTGTGGCTCCTGTTGAGCTTCGCCTGGTGTTGGCATGCCGCGTCCGCCAGCCATTCTTCTACTCATGATCTGTCTCGAAATGAAACTGATGCCAATCATCATGACCCAGCTAGGCATGCTGCCAATTCCCCACATGACGTAGCCAAACGGCTGAAGGAGGCCGAACTTAGCCATCCATCCATCCAGCGGGTGAAGGGCGCCGGTGTATTCAACGTATTCAAGGTAGCGGGACTTAGAGGCAGCGGGGATGGAGACGATGTCGTCGATAGTGGTGGTGGAAATGTTCAGCGGCGCAATGTGCAAAGGTGATTTGGCTTGGGGTTCAGATTTCTTGGGAAGATGAAAGTGATACACGGACGGCATGGTGCTGGCCCATGCGGTGCACAGAACTTCGTCCTTTTCGCAATCGACGATACCGAGACGAAGGGGAGGAGAACCTGCGGGTTGGGGCAGGGCTGCTAGGAGAGGGACGGATTCCTAAGAGAACCGGCGTTAGAAGTGGGAGCTGCGTTTGTGAGAAATGATCCCTACATTCCACTTCAAATCCACCGGTGTACATCGTCCGAAGCAACTTTTATTTCCTCCTGTCATGTATACCATCCATTCTTCCTCGGTATCCGGCTTGGGGGACAGTCTGCGCTCCCAATTGCGGATGTTGATTTTCTCAACCACATTCCCTGCGACTTTGGCTGTGCTAGCATCGATGGGATTTGGAGGAGCTTCACTGGGGATATACGACTTGGCCTTGTCAAACCATTTTGCCACCTTGTCTTTCAATGCCGCTTGATCTGCTGCGACGAGGAGAGGGAGGAGAAGAAGTGAGGTGAAATGCATTGTGGAATTGTAATAGATAGGTTGCCCCACTGGGAAGACAACACCTGAAGAAGAGAAGAGAAGAGCAGAAAAGAGACTTGCGCAAGGGAGCGCAATGAAAAAGGAGAGGAAGAAATGGAAACTGATGACGATAGCAAGGGATTGAACTTGAGAAGGAGGGCGTGAAAGATAGATAGGTTTGTGAGTGAGGACACCAAGAGGCATGGCCGTGGTTACCTGGGTGTTCCTTAGGCTCGTTTAATGACCTTCCCGTAACGCACATGGCGTCAATCCGGGGTTGAGATTCAAGTAACCCTGGTCGTCTGCCACGCCTGCAAGCGCTAGAAGTAGATTTGGCCGGAATTCAATCTCTTCACAGAGTTTCTGCGTCATCATACCCTCGAACTAATTCCTCCTTTACAATACGGTTAAGACAAGCAGACACAGACTGAAAAGATGCCGATGATGTATACAAACATCGTTTTCGTCGAGTTATCCCTCAGCGGCTGTCCGCTCAGACGGATAATTGATTCGACATGCTTTGGAGGAACTCATCCCAGTCGCCGACCTTGATCTCAAACTGCCAGTGAGCTTTGTCTTGCTCGTATAGCTCATAAATGCTATTGGCAATGTTTCGGGCATTGACTACGGGATCGTCATCTCTAATGATTCCTGCAATGTTCACGCCGGCCACGTGAACACCGCTAGGGCCTAGAATCTGGTTGAGACTGCTGGCTAGGTTGTATTGTGAAGCTTTTTGCATTGAAAGAGAGAAAAAGTCCGCAATTGGGTGATCCCATAGGCCACTGTTGCAGAAGAGAAATGATGGATGAGAACCAGGTCGTTCGGCCGCGGCAGTCAAGTCTGGTATCGCCCACATTGCCGCAACATACATCCCAATATTCATACTCTGTTAAAGAGGTTAACTAACAATGCGGCAAACTGGGCCGTGCTCAGACGTTTACCTTGAAATCCTCCAGGATGTATTCTGGGGTTGTTTCACCAATCCTGCTGGTCTGGACTCTCGCGGCATTGAAGTAAACAACTTCTGGCGCCCCCAATTCTGATCGTACTTCCGCAAGAACTCTGGGCAGGGCAATATGATCTCCGACATCCACGGAATAGGCTCGGACCGAAACATTTGGATTTGCTTTTCGAACAACGGCAACATCCTGTTCCAGTCGTTGGGTATTCCGAGAGAGTAGGGCAACATCAAATCCTTTGGATGCAAACAAGGATCCTGTGGAAACTCCAAGGCCTGGTCCGCTCCCCACAATGACAATGACTTTGTTGACCATGATTAAGTAAGACCAAAGAAGCACTTGGTGAAGAATGAGTGCGGGAATATATGCTGATAAACAGGTTACCCGACACCAATGCAGACACCTCGATCTATGGCTGAGCTGGAGAGAAGTCTGATCTAAACACATTTGAACCCATGAGTTGAGGGAAGATTTTATAGTTACTCCAGAGTGGCATACCAGACGGTCATGTAACCCCTTTTGAATCCCCGTTCGCCAATGGGGGTTTCTTCTAGATCCCAGGCCGAGCAGTCTTTACAGCTTGCTCCAGCGCCGAAGCGTGCTTTGTGACATGAGGTATCGCTAAGTTCGTGGTCATCGCCTTGGATATATCACGTTCACGCCGGGACATTGAGGCTATTTCGAGGCTACACAGGCGACCCAAAAAAGGGTAAGCAGAGCGAACACGGGTTTGAACACCATCTCTTCCGGCCAGGAATCCACTGCTCGCTACTTTTATTCGCTCTCATCGACACATTCGACCATATTGCAGACGGAATTAGAGGCCTGGATGGATGCTGACTCAGACAGATTGCTCCCACGCGGCGCTATTCTAGCGGTGCATAATAAACCATTCCGGTTTACCAATAACCCGAAAATCCATTTTGCTGGATCTCCGCGGAAAGTCCTTCCTATACTCCAAGCCTACCACGGAAATTCAGCTTACACAAGGGTTACATTGGCATTGAATCTCCTTCAAACCTGCATTATGATGAGCATGCTTCGCAATATCCATACCCAAGACCGTTCATATGGTTCAAATGCTTAGACACAAGCAGTGAGCTGAAGAAAGAGGCTTCGGATGGAAATGCACATGAAGACACAGACATCAAGGCCTGTCAAAAGACTCTTTTAGAGAGTCCTCCAACTCGGAATCTGCCTGGCCAGGATGCGCAACTTGGGGTTAAATGATACTAGGTGGTAAAGGACGCCATTCTGATCGGTAAAGCAAGGAGATTGTGGACCCTGGGGTATGCTTATCCTGTATCAAAATTTGTACATCGTGACCTCAAAGTTGGTCTCAAGGTTGGGCTGGATCCCTTATGGTTTGAATGGGAAGCAGTTAATGGCGAGTACCTCGGTCCTGGAAAGAGCAAGACGATGAGCAAGAGCAGTGCATGAGACTTTGCATTCCCCCCCATTTTCCAAGACGAAATATGACTCTGGATTCTGATATTTTGACTACATTGTGTGATAATGGTGAATTCTCGGCGTAGTGGTAATACTTATCTCAATGAAAGGGAACAAAATTGCCACCAAGTTCACGGCATGAACTCCTATCCACCAAGATATCTTCTCTCTAATCACAAGCACTATGATCAAGAGTTCAAAGAAAGGAGTAATCAGCGCGGGGATATTGATTGGGATATGCTCAATGTCAGATCAGATGTCACGTGCTATGCTGGACGTAGCAACTTGACCGAGAATCTGATGCCCTCATTGGCACCTGGCGCTCTTCCCCACGATTTTAGCAGCAGCGAATTCGTGGGGTCTCCGCAGAAACTCGAGGCTGGAAAAGGACACACTTTGTCTCACCTGACCCCTTCACACCACCACCGCTGCATCGACCACACATCTCCAATAGCTTTTCAATATCACTCAATTCCCAAAACAATCCTCTCCTTCAAGCACACGGACCTTCCTCGAAGCCTCCCTTTGACGTCGAACCCATCAAGCCGTCAAGATGAGTGCGATTCAAGACGCCGAAGCCAACGAGTCTATCCAGGTTCTCATCACCATGCACGAGAACATGGATCTCCTCGACTTTGCTGGCCCCCTTGAAGTCCTGACTCACGCTCAACACAATATCTCTGACCCAGGTAGGTCAATTGGATTACTCCTTTCTTCCACCTCTCCCTTGCCCCAATCACTGACCACGCGTGCGACTATAGACACCAAAGCCTTCGACATTACCTTCGCTGCCGCGCAAGAAGAAGTCCTCACTGCCCAAGGCGTCACCTTGACCGCACACATCTCCTACAAAGAAGCACACAAGCGCTTGAAAGAGTTTGACGTCCTCGTCGTTCCCGGCGGCAAGGCCATGGAAATTCTCAAACAAAGGGCGGAGCCCACACTGTTGGTCAAGGCATTCGCTGACCTACAAACCGCCGACCCGGCCCGTGAGAGAACCGTGCTGGCAGTCAACACCGCCTCCCTGTTCCTTGCGCAGCAAGGTCTCCTGCAAGGTCTCGGTGCCACTGTCCATCCAGACTTCTACATCAAGCTGGAGAAAGAGTGTCAGGAAGCTGCAGCCAGAGACATGGGTGAACGCACCGACGTCATGGAAGAACGATATGTAGTGAACAACGCACGCTTCGACTTGGGTGAAGACCTCGACGAAAATCCCTATGTGTTCAAGAAGGGCCGCAAGAATTCGACTGCCCGCAAAGGCAGTATTGCGCGCAGGGAATCCAACCTCCGTCACGAGAATCTTGTCCGACGCCAGAGCATGAAGCTCGGAGGCATGCGAGTCATTACTAGCGGTGGCACTATCTGCGGGATTGATGCTAGTTTGTACCTCGTCAGCGCGCTCGTGAGCCACGAGTCGGCCCAGGAGGTCGCTCGTCTCATGCAATATGATTGGGTCAAGGGCGTGGTGGTTGATGCCATTGATGTTTAGAATGGGCATCATGTATATGCAAATCGGATGATTTGCAATTTGTAACTTGTCAGATCATACAAAATGATGATGATGAATAATCGAATACTAGACCGTAGTAGCCCAGGGTCAAAACTTCAATATGAATGAGGCTTGGGAAATGATCAACACCGGAAATTGGTACGAGCAGACAAATGAGCGGGATCAACGCATTAAAAAAAAAAACTCGCTGGGAGCAAGTGCGCTCTAAGAAACCACGTCCACTGGAAGGATGAATGAACAGGACCATTGAGAAAAGGAATCTGTCGCTCTCGCTTAAAACATGTCATGTCCTGTCCAACGGTAATAACTGCTCACTTTGACCATGATCAAGGGCCAGGCTCCTAGATCAGGAGTAAGCTATCGACCGCCATCGCGGTAAGGGTGTTGGCGAGGAGCCTCCTAGCCTCCACATTCGACCAGTCATGGCGTATCCCGCCGAGATCGTAAATGAGAGAACCTAGAGTAAGGTCACAATCATAAGTCACACGGCAGCATATGCTGTGTCCGTACTGCCTGCCTTACACTGAGCGAAGCCAACGTTTCTTTGATAGGCTAAGGAGTGAAGATGTCAGGGTTCATGCTCCCGATTGCTGTGCTTTCGAGCAGCGTCTTCCCCTTGCCAATATTTTCCGGCCGATCTCGTTATCCCTAGGCACCACTTCTAAAAGCTGTACCGATTGTATTCCACATTTTCCGCCAACGTCAACGATCAACGGCTCCAAAAGGATCGGCGTACCAGATCTAAGTACGCCTGATATCGGTGTGGAATCAACGGATTCCTCCGATTGCTCAACCGTTTACTCCCGCACAGGTGTAACATCCTCGTTGCCGACGGCTCTCAGAGGGTGGAATCATAGTTATGGCTGGCCGCGGTGTTACCTTGCCGCTTTCGAGATGGCAGAAGGGGAACATATTGTAATAAAAGACCAGCAGATCCGATGCGCATCGCGAAGATTGCGCATGCGTTAGGCCGTGAAATCGCAAGCCCATTGGCGAGAAATCATGTGTTCAGTTAATCCAACTTTGAGTCGATGGTGAACTTCCCAGGACATACGAAGGCCTGACGCATTTTTGACGAGATCTATGCCGAAAGAGATGCAATAAGCATTCGAAGACGAACCTCAGCAGCAGGGCGGTCGATACATGCCTCGTGAAACAGGAAATTTCTTGATGCCAGTTCGGCTATCGGTTTGTGCATGGAGTGTAGGGACAGAAAGTGGGGCGTAAAGTCGTTTCTAGACATCAGACTGCCGAATAGCAGGCCGACAATACGTTTTCGGGTGCTCGAAATGTTGTAATGCTGGTTACTCTTGACTGAGGAAGTGGAATGAAGGGAAGCTCCGCTTAAACTCGAGGAAAAAACGTCAAACATGCCAAGACTCAGCGCTGCCAAGATTTCGTTCCCGACTGGGACTAGTCTTACCACACACTTTCCAATTTTCGCAGGCCATGGGAGGGGATCAGAGCCGAATTGAACAATTCGACTTCTCCCCAACGACCAACCTCACATCCCTCAGACCGATAATTCCACCACTGTCAAGATGTCAAATCGTCCTACCGTCGGTATCCTGAGCGCTGATGGCTCCAGCAGCGGTCAAACTCACCCTCTGCCAGCTGTCTTCGGCTCTCCAATCCGTCCGGATATCGTCCAGTACGAAACCCACGACCTCAAGCTCACGACCGGGAAGCTGACATGACATTCCAGGTCTGTCCACAGCGGGATGGCCAAGAATAAAAGACAACCCTATGCCGTGAGCGAGAAAGCAGGCGAGCAAACTTCGGCTGAATCTTGGGGAACTGGTGCGTGGATGTGAATCGAGAGACGGAGAATGTCTAACAATATCTAGGTCGTGCCGTCGCGCGTATTCCTCGTGTCTCCGGTGGTGGTACACACAGAGCAGGTCAAGCTGCATTCGGTAACCAATGTCGATCTGGTCGTATGTTCGCCCCCACAAAGGTCTGGAGGAAATGGCATCAGAAGATCAACTTGGGCCAAAAGTACGATTGAGTCGAAAAGTCATACGTTGAGAAATATCCTTACTGATGTGTCTGTTACAGGCGCTTCGCAACCGCATCAGCCATTGCAGCCAGCTCCGTGCCCGCACTCTTGCTCGCCCGTGGCCACCGCATCTCTACCGTCCCAGAAGTGCCACTCGTCGTCTCCAGCAAAGCATTCGAAGACGCTGCGCTCGTCAAGACCTCCGCCGCCGTCGCTCTCCTGAAAGCCATCGGAGCCGGCCCCGACATCGTCAAAGTCCAAAAATCCCGCAAACTGCGTGCCGGCAAAGGCAAGATGCGAAACCGCCGACATCGCCAACGCCGTGGCCCTCTGGTGGTCTACAACCCAGACACCGACGGCAGGGAACTCGTGCGCGCCTTCCGCAACATCCCCGGCGTCGAGACCTCATCTGTCTTCGCGCTGAACCTCCTCCAGCTCGCACCAGGTGGTCACCTCGGTCGGTTCATCATCTGGACCTCCTCTGCGTTTGCGGCCCTGGATACCATCTACGGCTCGACGACCGAGGCGTCCTTGCTGAAGAAAGACTTCCTCCTCCCCTCGAACCTCATCAGCAACGCCGACATCACCCGCCTGATCAACAGTTCTGAAGTACAGTCCGTGCTCAAAGAACCCAAGGGCTACGCGACCACGAAACGCACGGGCGTCCAGAAGAAGAACCCGCTCCGCAACAGACAGGTTCTACTCCGCCTCAACCCTTACGCTGCCCAGTACTCGAAGGAGAAGTTAGGTCAGAAAGGCCTAGACGAGCACAAGCCGGAACGTGTTAGTGACAAGTTCTTAGAGGTGCTGTATGAAAACTAGATGGCCTTTTTTTGGGGGGGAGTTCATCGACGAGGTGATGGGCTGATTGGCGATCCTATGTAGCGGATGCGAAGCTGAAAGAGAGACATTTACAAATTAAATTCTCCGTCTTTCTCAAAAAAAAAAAAAAAAAAAAAAAAGACGCTAAGCGTCATAATGGTCCTGTCTTGCCCAAGGCGTTTTTACTGTTCTAGTAGAGCTTGCAACGGAATAGCAATGACATACACTTCAAACAGAAAAGAAATGTTCTATGAAGGAGATGATAGCCATTTCTCGCCTTTTGAAACCGTGAGGACGTGTTCAGAAGGTCGATACTAAACACATCTAGTGTTCTCAGACCACCTGGCATAATAACATCTCCCGGCATATATGTTCCGTATCTCAAGTCCTCTTCAGCTTGTCCAAACCCAGATCGAGGCCTCCACGCATACCTTGTCAAGATAGAGAGCAAGCAATAGACTTCCTGACTGTTTCAGTTAGCCGGTAGCCTCATTCAGGAGCACTGGTGCCCTTGGTATGATTTTACTGTCATTTTATCTAGCTGAAGGAAAGTTCTCCCGTCTCAGTTCGTAGAACGGTAATGGCAACAAAATAAATGCTCTCAGGGAAAGAAGATAGGACATCATACCCATGAAGACGCCATATATTAAAGAGCAAAAATGGTGATGGCAATATTGGCGTTGGGGGGGGGGGGGGGGGGCCCAACAGAACAATAGCATCAAAGTTTCCGCGTGACTGGATCAAATCCAACGCGTTGATCATGACAATCGATGCCTAGGTCCTGCAATGGTTGCTTCATCTCTCATCGGCATCTCCTTGTTCCCCTACAATTGGGTTCTCCTGGAATTTCCAATCGATATGGGCGGATAGGAAATTCGAATTGAAGACGAAATCCTTCGGTTCGCGCAGATCATCTGCCTTGTCCCGTCCACGAGGGAAAGACTTCTCTTTCTTGAACGGCCTTTGAGTAAGCGGCTGGATGTATGATGCTCAGAGTGACATATTCTAGCATCAAGATCGTCCATAGCAAGCATCTTTGATACCACGATATCGGAACAGCATCTTCCGAGCTCTGCAGTACTGAAATGAATAGCGATAACAAAAGCAGCCATGGCCAATGATCTAGCCTGTATCATTGCCGGGAAAATCTTGGGAGGGATGCAGTTGGACTGAAGGAATATCGACTGAGCAGGCCAGGTCCTTTAGCCTCGAAACCCGAAGACTGGGTGAGTAGTGGAACCTGGCACGCCCATCAAGTCGTCAGGTCGGATTGGCTTCTCGTGAAGGACTAGCTTTAGGCTACAACTCAAACGGACTCTAGATACTTGCAAGCCCAATATCTTTACCATTGCAGAAAAATAGTACATGTCGTCAAAGAACGATGAAACCTAATTGAGCAAGCGTCACGTTGACCGAAGTAAAGGAGAACGGTCTTGGTGGCCGCAATCATCGAGGAAGTTGCTAGGGAGTTGCCATGCTTGTCAAAGTAGAGCTCAGACGGTGAAATCTGTCCTGATGGGGCGGCCAATGAAGGCTTATGCCGCCAGAAGACTCGGCGCTCTCTACCTGTGAAGATGATCATTGTCTGTTGCCGGGGGCCCTGGATGTTGAAAATTTTTGCAAGCGATGCCTCATGTGCAGATACTTAGGAATGATACAGAGTGATTGATGTTGATCAATTGCCGAGGGTTGTCGGACCGTTCGTGTCAACTAATGCAGATACGTGCCATAGTGCGCAAGCCGTTTGTGATCAAGCAGTCATCTTTCGGCTTCCCGCTTCAACGTCCTTACACGTGGAGGAACCAACACGAGTCCATGGCCGGATGGATTCGTGTGGCAAGTCTTCATACTATGTAATCTTGGGCCTGTAATTATGTCTGGATCACAGGCTCGGTGGGTACATTGCGGCCCGGATCTTGAGAGATAGGGCAAGCCGACCAGGCTGCTCCCAGCCCAAGAGCTATACTACCCGACGGAACCACGGAGCGCCCACTAGATTGAGCAAAGCGTGATGACACGATGGATTTTAGGATGAGAACACTTACTTGACGCGAGTAGAATGCAATGATAACACCAAAAGGTTGGAAGGGATAGGCTTATGGGCCTGCAGGTGATCCAGCCCACTCACTCCTACAATCACTGGACTATCACCAGGTCTGGATTTCTGCTTCGTTACAGACTGCCTGATCAGCCCCCTCGGGACTTTTGCAGTGGCGAAAATGTTCTGTTAATCCTTGTTTTCTTTGGCATTTTCATTGCGCTTGCCAGGGGCCTATTAGTTTCAGGGATTGGAACCGAGTCCAGAACCGCCTTTGTCTGACGAAAGGACTATGTACGGGGTCACCCTCTTAAGCTTCTAGTTATGGCAAAGGCTCTGCTGAGAAGACGGGAACAAGTCGCAATTTAAAGCGACCGTTAGATGTCACGCATTTGGGCTCTCGGGGGCCCCCTCAATAGTCATGACTATAAGGCTTGCAAGAAATCCGAGTTGAAACCCATGCATCTTACGACGTATGGCACCGAAAAGGATCATAGGTTTCCGAATCCGCCGTCAAAATTGACTATTCGAGGCCGTCCACAAGCCACTGTCGGAGATTCTTTGTTAGCTGCGCTATTGCGGTCCCTAGACTGATCAAGAATTTTCATGTGTCTTATAGTGGGACGATCAAATGGTTTCCTGCTCAGAGTCCCAGGCCAGGGGTTCTCACACAAGAGGAAGCGCTGAATTGGCTCATTCACAAGCGATCCACATGTCCGCCATGCCACGAAACGGCGGCTAGGTTTTCGTTTTTGAGAGACAAATCGTGTTTCTACCCGTGGAAACCCCCGCCCGAAAAAAGTACCTAGAGGAGCTTCACCGCTAATGAGTAGACCCCTTGCAGTTGTATTGGCATTGGATGGGAGAGATCGTCCGCCGTTATCGCGCATTCATATTTTGATGATCATTGAAGAAGTGTGCTAAATCATCGACGCCCGCAAATTCAGGGTCTCAGAACACAAAGTCAAACTGGATTCTCAGTATGAGTAACTTTTCGCCTTGTCCTTCGCCTAGCTACCAAACTCCCGATGTACCCGTGCAGCTCACGGGGATCAATGGATTGATGAACCGAGTCATTCTTGAGACGGGTCTGGATGTGACTCAAATCTTTGCCATGTCTCCCTTGTGCTGTTTATTTGGTGAGATGTCGGCCAAACCGAAGGTCGATCGTACCAGGACCTTAGGATGAGCGCGGGCGGACATGGCAACTCTGGTTATTATACGGGCCACCGCCACGTATAAAGCATGACCGAACTGGCTGTGAACGCAAATCAGACAAGGGGGCGCTGCCCTTTTTAAACCGAGGCTGCATGGGCGTCGTTCCTTGATCACATGAAGCACCCCACTTGCAAAAGAGGATGAGAATTTCTGATATGACATTGTAGTAGGAGTGATGGTGAATCCATCCATCAGCCGGTCTATCCGAGGAATGGTGGCTCCGCAGCCGCAGCTGAATGCTGGTCAGCGGAAAAAGGCTGGTCGCACAAGTTTGATGCTGACCAGGGGAGCTGGAGGGGCCAACAAGTTTCCTCAAGACTCAGAGCAGAAGAGTAGGGGTCCCTGGACCGGCTTAGTGTACATTGTGTATAATGCTTATTGTTAGCGTATTAAACCTTCAAGGGAGAGGGCGGGCCGGAAACAGCGATCCGGGGTTGGAACGGGCCTCCCAGGCTCAATCCCATTGACTTGTCTCCCCCCTCGCAAAATTATTAGGGCGAGAAACCCTCACGCATTTGCCATGCCAAGCCAAGCCATGCCCAAAAGACGGTCGAGACGAGCCCCTGATCAATGCCGGCAGCCTATCGTCGCGGACCGTTTGTTTTACTCCTGGGCATCTGATACGATTACGCATCGTGAATGGTGAACGCAGTTGATATCAAGCGACAGAGGACACCAAGTCCTAATCATATGACCGATAGAAAAAATTAAGAAAGGACACCTTCGAAGTCTGGCGAACGGGTCCCCTTTTATGCGAGCGAATCATTTGATCGGGGTGACAGGACCCGATTCCAGGTACAGGCAGGTTGTTAGCAGTTTACGGAGTTGCCAGAGATAATGAATCCCAATGCAGAAAAATTCTCAATCAGCGACGAGCTACGAAATGCCTTTGTGAACTTCAGAATCCTGTGCGAGACTGATTGTCGGGTGTATTTCATGTTCCGGAATCCCACAGGCACGGACTGAATGGTGGGACGCACACGGTTGCAGCGTCACACTGATCCTCCACGCCAGATCAGGTGTTAGGCGTTCGAGGGGTTAGCATGGCTAGTGTAAAGACGCACGGTCAGAGCGCTGGTGGCGTCGCCTGGGGGAAGCTACATGTGTACTATATTTGACCGATAGGTGAGTGGGTGCCTGACCTCGAAGCTCCTCGTTAATCAACCCAACCTTTGACCCTTCTAATTGCGGTCCCGGATTGCCGTGCACAGCTGCATCTGCCATCTGTTTTGACTTCATGGCGACTCGGCTGGTGCAGCAGTGCAACAGAACGCCTGGCAAATCGCATGGCGTGGTTTCATGACATTGCTTGCGGCCTGCCCCCTCTCTAGACATCTTAACGGTGGTTGTGGCTGAAAGTGTGTTTCACCCTCATGCACATAATTTTTTTTTTTTTTTTCTATTTCTTTTCTATCTAATATCACCACCCACGAGGACCAAATGGAATGTAGTTCCCGACACTGCGCCCTTTCGCAAGCACGAGAGCAGTGCAAACGATAGGCGCATCTATGTATCATGTAGCGCTTCAGAACATGGCCCGGACAGTTCCTTCAGGAGAGATCTCACGGACTGGTATAGCCATTGTATACGGCGACAGACGGTACGAGACAAAACCCATCTTTCCCCTCGTTAGTTTTCGGCTTTCACAACAAGATTGGCGAAAGCGATACGATCAAAACGACTTAAAGAATACCCGGGGCAGTGGAGCGGTCATGACAGGACGGAGTCCAAGGGTAAAATCTATGGCACAGCACAAGCCAAACTGTTTTCGTCGCCGAGGCGATGCGGAACCTAATTCGCGGTACCCAGGAACGTGCTGCTAGACCTTTCTGCTCTGCAGGTCAACAGCAACCTAATCGAGCAGTGGTAGACGATTGCCTTGAAAGGCGGATACCGTACGATAGGGACAAGGCTCAATATCCGAGCCAGCTAGAGCCGCGTGGTGCGTGGCATAAAAAGTTTCCCAATAGTCTGGGGAAAGCCAGGAATGACCCGTGACCTGCGGCCCAACCTTTCAAAGGGTGTCCACAGCTTTCTTGCACAGGTTCGAACTCTGAAAGAGCCTAACGATCGCTGGTGACAGGTGGCTTTTTTGCGCCGGCGCGGACACCTAGTCAATCGGACACCCTGCCGATGTGCCCGGCGCGTTGTCTAACCCGGCACTAAGACCGCCCATGTGTCACGAATATAGCGCTTGGCCCGGAAGTGACAGTCTGGAGCAAGGAGGCTTTTTCGGTGATCTTTGCATCACACCCTCAGGCTAGAGCTAATGTGGCTGCTGCTGCTACCGCCCATGTGCTTGGCTTCCACAAATTTGGCAAACAAGGTTTCCCTGTTTCCTCGTCTGCTCCGGATTGCCTTTGGGGAAATGCTCTTTGTCCAGTTAGATTGCAACGGGGTTCGGCGGTGGTGGCCTGTTCGTTGAAAGCCGACACCACCATGTGGCATTCAGCTCTGTAGGGTGTGACGGCGCAACGGACTCGCACGAGGCCTTCAAAAAATTTACGTGAGGAGGTATGTTCGGGAGACGCAGCGCCAGGGGTGTGGATTGTGGGCATGCCGTTACTCAAGCGAGTTGTGGTTGGTGATCGAATCAATCAGAGGCCTGATTCGTCTTCTCCGCTTGCCCATGCGCTTTTGCCTTGCAGCACGAGCACAAGTTTGGCGCCGGGTATTATCAATTCACGACACGGATGACCACCCTATTGTTCCTTTTTGCTTTGAACTACTGCATGATGTAGTAAGTCTATACATAGCAGGTAATGTTCAGTGAGATTGAGAGGGTCGTACTGTGCCACGAGGCCGTGTAAGGTTCGTGAGGGATAGACGCATTGATGATAGATGCCGGATGCGGAAAGCGGTTCAGGACAAAATGGGGCTTGAGGCACGGGTCGTTCGTGTGACGGAACCTGTCTTAGAGCTTGATAGAATAGGAAGATACAGTTCACTTTGTCGTGGGATCATGGATTCGGATCGAGCGACATGGTGGAGGGGTTTTTGAGTGGTTGAGTGGGATGGTACGGAATGTTCGCCATGCCTTCAACAGCCGCGAGCCATTGATCCCGGCCAGGGAGACTTCTCATAGGCTAGGGAGAACCCCGACCGGGAGGGGTAATGCGCTGAAATAACATGACTTCAACCTCGTATTGAGAGCAGAAATGATGCAGGGTTGGTTTTTTCCTTTTTGCCACACAGAACAGATATTCGGAATGCAGCACAGAGAGGGAAAATGAAACGAAGTGAAAGAGAAAAGAGATGCGACCATGGGTGCCTTGAACTGGCGATTCACGTTTGAGTAAGCGCTGCTGTACGGACGGCGAGGCCCTGTTGCAAGGAATCCGTTACTATTATTGTCACGAATTGTCGTAAACATCTCGATACGTCCTTCAACCTTGATGAATCATGGATTCGTCTAGCAACAGCCGGCCCGGCGACAGCAATTCATCGTGGCCCTTTATGGTAAGTAAGGTAAGTTAAGGTACCTCGCATTGTCGGCAAAGAAAAAATATGACAGGTAACATGTTTTACTTTTGGGATGGGCTCCTCGGCGGCGCAGTAGCTTTCGCTAGCCGCATGCTGTCGCCTCTCTCTATAGCTCAACTTGCCATGTCTAATATTTCATCCCGCACGAAGCTTTCCCAATTTTTTTCTTGCTGTGGAATTGTGACCTTGATCTGATGGGATCTGAGATCACTTGTCCACTCTCAGCCGAATTCTCCGTGCGATCCCCAATTTTCCCCTCCCCTTTCTGGAGCGACAGCTGCCGGTTGCTCTATTCCCCCTCGGTTAATGGCCCTAGAGCATCCAGTCCGGCCTCAGCTCCTCACTCGCCTCTGCTGTCCCTGCGCTGCAATGCATTTCTGCAATCTATGTCCCTGCTCGAAGATCTCCGGCGAGCCCAACAATTAATTGCATTATCCACCAAAACTACTGTAGATACTATCTAAATAGTACCAGTACCAATATCCATACTACCAGCGGCCATCCTGCGTCTTGCTCCTCTTTATCCACTCCTTTCCCCTCCGCGACTGTATCATATCACACGCCAACATACCTCCATACAACTTAGCAACACTCGTCTTCCTCCACCTCTCTCCCCCCCTTTTTCATCCACCAATACAAGCCGCTAACATTGATTGGTATAAGGAATTGCTTGTTGCTTCAAAAACCACTAGGCTCTAGCTCACAGTCCGGCCGCCTATCCTCCGCCTCAGGCTCCTCCTCCCCACACTTCCAAGTCTTATCCTGACTGGTTCACGCCCATCCATGCCTCATTCTTTCTCGTCTGCGACGCTCACCTCTGTTCCCTCGTCCCTGGTCTGCTGAACCTTACCTGACAAAGCGCCCGCTTTTCCCTTACAACCCTGCTCCTCCCTCCTCCCTCCCGCACGAATCCCAGTTTATATCCCTGCAAGCGATCGGTCAGGGTCAGATGGCATGCGTTTTGGTCTCCGGAAGATGCGAGTGCACGAGGCCGCCGTCAGTCGTTGACTTCCATCCACCCATGTCACATCCTTTGCCATTCCCAATTCCATCACCCTGAGGGCCATGAACCAGAACCACACCTCCCCCCCCCCCCCCCCCCCCCCCCCACTCCGTTGAGCAAAGAGGCTTACGCCTAACTAATCTCATTTGGATCTATTATGTGGCTTTTTCCTGCAGGACGACATACATGACCACCCTCTCCCCAAGGATACTATCCTCTCTAAGACACTAATACAATTACCTTTCCTATCGCCACCAAACTTCAACGCTCCCTCCCCGTATTGTGTCTCGGTTTCATTCCTTGCCTCTTGGTTGCCTCATCCACTGATAACAGAAACGTAACCCACGTCCCAGCAACCCCGTGTTCATCTCCTGCCACTCGGCACCTCACATACCTTCTTCGATCAGGTCTGGATCGCCCCTCCCTGGCAACCTTTCTTCGCCAACTTGTGCGCATATACCGTCCTCAACGCCGTCATTCTGAGTTCATTCCGGTTCCGGGATCCAAATCTTCATTTTCCTCACATATGTTGTAAGACAAGAACCGAGTGACACCGTATTCACCTTCCAAAAGCAATTTCTCCGGGTTTGTTCTACCCTCTGTTGTATGACAGGGTTGAAGTCCCCGAGTCACATGTTGCGATGCGGCACGGCTTCGGGCTTGACGGGAGCCGAAACGCACAGGACGACGGTGTCGATTGGAACCTTGACTGCTAAGGTTGGCAGATTCTCCGTTTGGGAACTCGTCTTCGTCATTATCTTGGGGTGGGTCCGTTCGATTTTTTCTCTATACCGACCAGCAAAAAGCCTGAGAAGGGATCCCGGACCCTGAGCCAGCGCTGGCCGCTCTGATCTGAGAGAAGAAGCCAAAAACATTTACTGTTCACCAACAAAACATCTTTTTGTGGCCGGACGTGGGCCCCATGGCTACAAGTGTCGTCCTGCCTACAGACTTGAGATTCAGAGAGTGGCACGATACCCGGGATACTTCTCGACCCTGTTCAACGATCCGAGATTCATCAAATCTGTCGATGGGCTCCATGGCTCAGTCGCCCGTGGGTGCTGAACCAAGTAGGGATACCTTTCCACATAAACCCCAGTTACCATCTTTCAGCAACTTTTTGTCTGGAGCGGGTCGTGCCGACTTACAATTTTCACTGGGTGGTCCAGGCCCGAATCGAGGGGATCATGGATTGATCAACAATATACCATTGGGCCATCATGCTACCCAACCTCAACCCCCTGGACACGGGCCATCCGATCAAAACCGGGCGCACCCTTTCGATACCGTTTCCCTTCCCCGCGGCGGCGGCGGCGGCGGCTATCCAGATTCAAACCCAGGATCGTTTTGGCCCTCTCTGACATCCAGCCCTGTAGATCGGCATGCAACCTTGCCGCGTCTTCTGGCCCTGGGCCCCGCTCCCGATCGTGCCCATGGACGAGTACTGGTGAGGGAAGAAAATATTCCCGGCAAAGGGCTCTGTTACATCTATGATGATGGTTCTGTTTGTCCCAAGGCGATCAATGGTGATACTGTCAATCCCAAATGGGGCACCACCAAAGCAGGCAAACCAAGAAAACGACTGGGCCAGGCCTGCAACACGTGCAGAGAAAAGAAGATCAAGTGCGATCCCAATGTTCCAAAATGTGCGCAATGCCAGAAGTTTGGGCGTGAGTGCAAATTTGACTCTACGTAAGCGGATATCAACTTCTCATCTCTCTCAACACGGGTTGTGCTAATATATGCTTGACAGTCCCCGTGCGAGTTCCAAACAATCGGGCTCCGTACCGTCAACCTATTCATCCTCGTACTCATCCTCCGCAGAACAAATGCTTGAAAAGCTACCTCCACGAAGGGGGTCAACGGCGTCGACAGAAATTACTGCTCAAGACCTCTCTTATTCCAAGGATGGACCGCCATCCTCCATCCTATCGCCCGAGACTCAGATGCCTCCTGCTTCCGAGGACACCATGGGCAACGAAGATGGAAAGGACGATAGACCTCTTCCAAAGAAGCCTCGATTCTCGGCGTCTCCTCGCCCGATTTCAGAAGGATGGCCTTCGGATAGTATGGGGACGGAGTCGGTCTCAGGCTCAATTGCATCGCCACCAGCCACACGCCACTTCTCGTGGCAGACCGATCCCTATGAACTTGACCGTGACATGACACTGTACTACATCAACAAATATTTCGCCAACAGCGACAGCGTTGCAAACTGTATGCTACCCAAAAGAGCCTTCATTCGATGGGTGAAGAGTACTTACTCCAAGTCGTTGGCGGACAAGATGTTACTCTACGCGATCCTCGCGATGGGCACGGCTTTCTCTCGGCGACCCGGATGGGAAACACATCGACCGTTGTTCCTGGATATTGTCCACGAGGCTGTTTTGAAGAGTGCGGATCAGTTTAGCCTACAGTTGATCCAGACGCGATTGATTCTCGCCCTTCTCGCGTTTTCTCAAGGCCAATATACTCGCGCGTGGGATTTCTGTGGTGCCGCTCTGCGCACCGCGTTCGGAATGAGATTCAACACAGAAGAAGGGGTGTCGGCCGGGAAAGACGATCAGGAGTTGGACTTTGGATTTGATTTCTCTACATTGGTCGAGTGTCGAAGGAGGACATTCTGGGCGACTTACATTATGGACCGCTTCAATGGCTGTTGTTTAGCCTCTGCTCCTGCGGTCTATCGTTCGGAATGTCGTATTCGCTTACCGTGTACGCAGGAAGCTTATGAAAAGGGCGAGGACATCCCTGTTACCGCGTTTGACTTGGAGACCACCCACTCCAAGGCGTCAGCAGAAAATGACCGGCTCCACGAGGAAGTATCACAAGTCGGCCTCCTGGGCTATCTGGTCCAAATTGCCACCATCTTCAATGATGTCATGGACAGAATGAGTCGCAACATGTCTCTGGCCCTTATAAAATACGACCAGGCGCATGAGATGTTCTATCATGACACCATGCACCGACTGCATTCGTGGGACAAATTGCTGAGGAAACATCTACACACGAGTGGGGATGGTGGGGACAGGAGGTCAGAGCCGGTCGGCGGCTTACACATCCTCTACCACTATACGGCAATGCTCCTGCACCGGTACGTGCGACACGCGGAAATTGGTCCACATCCGATCCGCGTTCATGTCACGGGCGCATATGAGCATGCCCGTCTAATGCTGGAGATAGTCCAGCGACTCAGCAACGATGAAGAGAAAAATACACCATTCTTCCGATTCGCGACCACCAATCCATTCAGCGGGTTCGCCATCACGGCTGCTTTGGACGTCATCACGGCCGCAGGTACCTTGTCGGATCTGATGGACAACAAAAGTCCAATGCTGTCCCTGATATCGAGCGGACTCGAAGCCTTAGAAGGTCTGGTAGATTACTGGCACAGCGCTCGTCAACAACGGGACATGATCAAAGATCGATTCGGTGCGCTCTTGTCGGCGACCAAGCGAGCGTCGGACTTCAATGGGGCCTTTTACTTTGGGAAACCGATGCAAAGCCCTTGTGGACTCGAGCAGGACATTGTGTACGGGCTGCCGCGCATGCGGTATTTCCAGGCGTTGGGATGGGAGGATAGAATCCACAATGAAGGGGATTTTCATCGACTTGATGACATTGATAACAATACCGACAGCAGCAACACGACCAAGGACAGGGAACAGGAAAGGGATGGGGACAGGGATACGGAACGGGACAAGTGGCCATCAGCGCCCGTGAAGATCGAATCATGACGATTCATCATAATCGATTGGGACCGGGAGGGGATAATGAAAATGTCTTATGAATTGTTGATATGGGGATATGGATTGAGTTTGAACCGGCTTCTCTGACATGTTAATAACGACGAACGATGATACGGAAAAGGGAAAGGAAAGCACTGAGCCGGTGGGAGGACTGGGGGAGGATTTTTGTTGAGCATTCGCTTTTCGGTTGTTTGTCTTGTCGGATGGTTGAAGGGAGGCGAAGATGGGAAATCGTTCGTTCGTTTTTGCGCCAGCATTAGTGAGGGAAGCAGTTGTTTTTATTTTCCCCCTATATCCATTATCCAATGTTGAGCACCAGTTTGCTGTCCTGTTTTTCAACGCAAGTGTTAATTCGAGAGGGGTGGTGATAAAGAGACGCGTCTGGTGTCCACGGATATGGAGGCTACTTCTTTTTGCTTTGCGTCCTGCGTCTGTGTCTTCGTCCGTATGCAGGGAAGGGGATACAGGTGTGGATCGAATGGAGTCGTAGGAATGTGCGTATTTCCCGCTTTGGCCGTAGCCTGTGAATGTATCTATGTACTTGATACGCAATGTAAGTTGACTGCGAAGATGGATTTCGAGGGTGTCAATATTCAGCTCATTCCATTTGTCCAAGGAAGCCGCTAGCCCTCGTCTCAAGTCATTCCGGCCTAAGATAGTATTATCTCATAGGCCAACCTCGATACCGTTCTTGCATCCAGTTGGATGTTTCCGTAGCATGGCCTGCGGCCGGGTTGGCCAGGATGGATCGGTGTTTCAGCCTTGACGGCTTCGGCTTCGGAGAAGGTAGTGCGTGGGTAGTAAGGGTTGTGGAGCAAGCCAGAAGATGACTCCGTTAGGACCTCTAGGCAAATGAGGTGCTGGTTTTTCGGAGTTGAGATTCGGATGAACCCCAAGACGCCGAGTAGGTGGCCTGACGTGGGATGGTCATGACTCGGTCGGGTTTGCATCTCGCAGAATGGGGCATGTCACGTGTAATATATGCGTGACCGGATAACATATCTTGGCGTTTTTGCTGTTTGGAGTGTTTGTCAAGTTGAAGTAATGCCAGATTTTTCGATGGGCTCCATCTTCGTATCCATTCTTCAATTGAAGGAAATCATTGCGGACTACGGCTCTTGTGTTCTTGAAAGCGACGCTCCTGCTTGTACATTCCACGATGGCTCCTTTGTCACGGATGATTTAATCTTCAGCTAGTATTACCCAGATGAGTGAGATTTCGAAACTCGATTCGGCGAAGATCGAGGGGCCAGATTTCCTATTTGAAAGAGACCTTCAACGATGAATGCTGTGATTTACGGGGTTCTTGCGGCTAGTGTGAGTGAGGCGGAGCATTGATCTTGTTCCCTTTCTTCGACAGATCATAGAGACCACCATATCGGAATTCTGCAAAAGTTGTGAACAGAATATGCTCTAAAGAGAAATCTGGAAGAGACTATGGGTCAATTACTGGTGAGTCCTATGCTCCGGATTCTGGTTGTCAGCTGACGGGAAGAGAAAAAGGAAAACGACCATATTACATCATACCTATTGAAGTATGGATACAGCGATTCTTCCTGCCGACATCGCACGATCAGGGTGATCCTCCTTCAAACCTTGCTTTTCCACTGCAACGACATGTTCCATAGTCCTTATCCCTTCATCAAACCGTCCATCATGCCAATATGCCCTGGCAAGCTCGTGTTCCGACGCAAGTCGATATGGATGATCCTCTGACAGAACCTGTCCCCAAATCCTAACGACTTTCTCGAGAAGACCTATCGCCTCCTACACTTGCTTACTTTTCAGATATGCTCGGGCAAGTTCGTGTCCTGACGCGAGTCGATCTAAATGGTCCTCTGCGAGGTTCTCTCCTCTCACCTTCACTACTTCCTCTAGGAGTTGCATGGCCTTTCCATTATTTAGATACGCTTCCGCAAGATGGTGTTGTGAATTCAGGCGATTAGGACGATCCACAGCCAGGCTTTGGTTTCGGGCTCTCACTAATCTTCCAAGGTCACTGGGATTTATCGCTGCAGGATGTCCGCAACCATAAATTGAAGTCTATTAGAGGATTGGCTCCCATCTGCCAGGTCGAGAAAATCGTGTAACTGGGGGCGGAGCAACCACATATAATGGCTCCCCGTTTTGGCCGATAATGCAATCACTAATCCTGCGGAGATCCAAGCTTGATCCTAGTCCTTTGTGTTCTGGCGATTTCGCGCCCAACTGTGTGCGTGGATCCGAAGAAACCGTCGCTGCTCGTAGTAACAGGCATACAGCCTCGTTCTCGTCTAGCCCTTCTAGCCTCTTATGTCCAACGGTAACATATCGGCCACAGTCAGGATGCAGAGAAGGCCATTAGCACGGCACCCAAGTTTCCTCAAGGGACATTGATGTCGTAGTCGAAATCTGGGTCATCAGCACTGTCAAGAATGAGCAGTCAGGGGTGTTTAACGATTTAGCGAGTACTTGCTTTGCTTCCTTGAAAATGTCTACCGCGGCAGAAAACTTTTAGTCATATCGACAAGAGGTTCTCTGCTGTGATGGAGGAAACGTCAACCCAGAATACATCCCAAAAGTTTGTCGCATTGAATTCGCCGCGTTAAGGCAAATTTCGCTCTCCCCTTACCCCACCAAAGCCCGTGATAATAAATCCTTTCTGGATCGGGCTGCAAAGCTGCCTCGATCTTGTTCAAGACCTCTTCGCGACCAGTGAAGAGAGATCGAGGCACTACCCAATGGTCATTTTCAGGTGTCTTTGCTGAATCCGACAGACCCATTTGTGCTCACAACCTGGACTGGTCTGCTCAATTCACAAGGTTCGATATGAACTCCGGTGAGGTGAGCATCACCTAGGGATAGTCTTTGACCCTTGGGCATCCATTCATGTAAGAACCCCTTGGTGCATGCGGCGGCCGTAGCAGCGGCGAAATACTGCCATCTTTTTTTGTGACTATCAGTATAGACACAGACGCATTTGATTATCAGGCACGAGAAGTAATCACAGACGGGACATCGGTCGCGATACTAGGATATTTCGTCTTTTTCAGGTTCCGGATGAGGCTGGAGAAATTTCGCATTGTTTGAATAGGAAAGCTCGCACGTCTAAAGTTATCCTCCTACGAGGCTATTTCTTTGAAACCTTGTGGGTATTGTCAACCAAAATCTTGTGGTGTAAGAGCTTCGGAAAGAATGATATTTCCCAGTATGATCTCTTCCCCCGTGGTCTTGAACCGAGCACCTCCTCCACCTGCGTGTGGAAGGTGGACGAGCACCACTTTCCGGCAGCTGACCGGACTCAAGATGTATGAGTTGCAGTCTTCGGGAGCCCGCTCGTATTGAACATCCTTTTCTTCCCAGATTTTGTCAAATATCGCATAAACCACATTGGTCTCATGTGGCAAGGCACGGAAAATGGCAATCTCGAAATCGTTACAACTTTTCGGGGCGGATTGCTCCAAGTAGGCATGGCAGTACCAAGGCCCGGCAGTACCAAGGCCCAAGGATGACCTATGTTTGTGCGGAAGCGGAGATCTATGGTAAAACACAGTTTATTGAAGCTGGTGACCTCCGGGAATCTCATATCAAAGGTGTACGGACTTTGTATCCAAAGTAATAGCAGATTGCCTTGAAAGTCAAAGGACGTGCGGTACATTATAGCAAGGCAACTTCATTTTTTATCATTGAACTGGCAACGAGGCTTCGATGTCTCCGCTACATAGATGAGCCCTAGTGGAAATTTTAAAAGGACATTGTTCCCTTCGCGCATTTTTGGTCAAGTGACATGACCAACGAACTGGAGACGGCAACAAACGTAGAACTGGAGACAGAGCCGACGACCGTAAACAAGGCAAAGCACTGCACGACAATTCAAGGCGGCCCACCGTTGATTAACACCGAACTCCACCAGCGGCATCCTGGCCGGAAGTGCAAAAGAAATGTTGTCCACCCTAACCAGTTCAACGGCGACGGCCATGATAGTGCAAATTTATGTGTTCGATTTTCCGACATGGTTGGTGTGAATGGGCGGCTGAGCTGGTTAGACAGGTAGGTAGGTCTGAAAGCAGACGGACAGAAGCGATGAGAGCATTGGTCCATCAAATCACAGCTCCTGCAAGGCGAAGACAGTCTCATCCCCAATCGATCCAGGACTTCCGACATCATGCTGGAGTTCATGCTTTTCGTTCTCATCCTTTGCGCTCTCACTCTCCCATATCTCAATCTCAACCTCGGGTGTCTCTGCTTTTGTGAATGGGGCGGCGACAAGCGTCTCATCCGCATCATGATTCATATTGATGGCTGGAGGAAACGGATGGGGCGCTGCGGAACTCAAGATTTCGCTGATGGAAGGGGCACCGAGAGCGTCAATTGCCTTGGATTGGGACAATGATGTAGATGTTGAGGCTTGGAACGTAAAGTCGTGGTGCTCAGTCATTGTGTCCGTCTCGTCCTCGAGAGCGACGGTGTCCGTATCAGAGTCATCATGAACAAGGACCACGCTCGTGGCATCGAGGCCTTCAGCGTAGAATTCCGCGGGGTTGAGATTTGCCAGGGGCGCTCTCTCCTCTTTGTCCGTCATGGCATTCACGTCTTTTTCCTTCGAGGCCCTCATCTCTACCCTCGCTGCTGCAGCCATGGACCTTGTCACTGGGACCGAAACTTCGTTCGGATCAACATTTTCCTTTCCTCGATCCAGCCGTTCAGAAGACTTGGCTTTGCCCTCGTCATCCGAAATATCCAGTCCCGTCGCGCTTTGGGTCATAGTCCACTCGTTCATTCGATATTCCTGCGCCTCCAGACTCTCCTCGAAGATGTCGAAGAACCACGATTTTGGCTTGCTGTCCTCGATTGTGCCGATCGTTTGTGGTTGGGTCTTGTGGGATAGCTGACGAGATTTCTTGGTGCCACTTAACGCAGCGGAAAGAGAGAGCGCAGGGGATGGAGCGTTCAAGGAGAAGGGGGGAGGATTGAAGCGTTTGCGTGATTGGAGGGGACCGGAGCGTTTCCGCGTTGGTGAGCGACCTGCCGCGGGTGCTGAGGCCGGTGTGCTGGTTGAAGGCTTGATGAATGTATCGAGGCGTGGGGTGGGCGAGACCACCGGGTTGTTGAGGCGGCGCCTGGTGGAAGGGAGAGTGTTCAGACTCAAGCTATACCGGTTGAACTTGGACACTGAAACGTCATCTTCCAAGGTGGAGCGCTTTCGTTTGTGCAATGAATCGATAATGTTGGGGTCGATGTTCTCGCTATCGGAGCCTTCTTCAGGAGAGACAGCGCGGCGTTTGAGAGACGGGGCCGAATGGGAGGTTAGTATTGCTGAACCAGAGAGGGATATTAGCATCGAGTGTCAACAGGTGGGTGAGATCAACGCAGGACAGGCCGTACCATTCTGTCGATTCTTGACGCTCTGCATGCTTCGGAGCTTGGATTCATTCAGGAACCCCAAGGGTTGTCGAGCTGGAGTGTTCATTGGAACGAGGGTGGCCATCTTGATGTTGACTTTCGTCGACCGGGTTAATACTGTTTACGAAGAGGCAAAGATTTCCCGACGAAACGAGAAAGGTGTGTGTTGTTTTCACAGCCTTGTGGAGTTTGCCCCTGTGTTATATCCGGTCTGCCACCAGCAGCATTCAAGTGAATACAAGAGTGGCCCGAGGAACTGATAGTGCTTTTCTTAGGTAGCAAGGCTGGTGTTCAAAGGTATTGTCCGAGGAAGAATGCAATAAGGGCGGAGACACGCTCTACCAGGAGGCTTGGAGAGGGAGGAAATGCTGCCAACTAGCTGGGCAGAGGGAAGGGTATATGCCAGTGGGAAATTTGGCCGGGTGCTATGACCAAGCTGGTGCCGTTCAAAGGAGCCGGATGGGAGTTTTGGACGCGGGGCCCTGGTGTTCGAACGCGAAATCCTTAGCTTAGAGGAACAGGCAGAGAGGCCAGCATTTACCTGAAGGTGAGCAAGGCTAGCGTGATCGACTACTGCAGGCTATGCGCAGGCGTGTGAATGAGTGTAGCGTTCCCTGATGCAGTGATTGGCGTCGTGGACCAGCTGCAATTTGAAAAACAGAAGTTGGAAATGTTGATGGGGGCGCGTCCAAGTGGAGGATGAGACGCGACCCGCATAAAATTGAATGGAACTCCATGTAAAAGTGGTATTTCCCCACCTGGCGACCTCAGATGCCAGATGCATGCCGAGTCGAACTGTCGACTTCAGGCATATATCAAATGCGAGCGGTTTACTGATTCTGAATTCCTATGTAATATCTTGATGGAGATTCATTGAGACTTACAAAAGCATTTTCAGTGTCCTGGCCTTCGGGTCAGCTCCTCACCTTGGCGACCAGTCGAGTCTGTTTCACCCGCGTCAGCTGGCGGAGCATCGAGCTCCAATCGACGCCAAGTGTCCATCAACGTGGTGACGTTGCAGTTCACGCCCACAGAAGTTGCGTCGCTGAACCATTGGAACGACCATTTGAGTGGCGACATGGTGATGATCCTGACGGTGCATCGCCTTTCAACGTTTCATTCAACGTGACCTAGAGATAACCGCCGTCTTTGGAAGAGAGTTGCCCAGGGGTTGTCCATTGAATGTCACCAGCAAACGATAGCAAAGCACGTCGTTCCGTCTATGGCGATGACCTGACTTATGCAGCCACTATGACCGAGACAATTGATGGCACAGCCATGTCATGGTATTTTCCAAAAGACTAGTTCTCTAAGGGGCCGCCTACATCAACCATCCGCCAGAGGGAGCCAAGCCCTCCTGTAGGTTATAGTTTGGCCTTCTGCTCGGCCAGATCAATCAAGTTCTCATCCTTGGCGAATTGATAATAGAAGTCCAAACTCTGGGGGTTCAGGAGTGTCCCAGATGGCTTGATGACTTTCCCAGACACGATTTGTTTGACAGGTAATTCGACTTTCTTCAGGTTCACAGTCGTCTGCAGATTCATTCGATCAGCGACATGTGATTCCGTACCGTTCGTTCCAAAACAAGAATTTCAGGAAATATGGGGGGAGGGGTACACGTACCGGAATTTCTTTCGTCTCGAAGACAAACTTGGGCACATGCCTCGGACTTGTTGCTTTTCGAATGGCATCCTTGACTTCCCTCACCAGCTGAGGCGTCAACTGGTGACCGGGTTTCATCAATAAGAAGAGGACGACTCTCTCGTCATGGTCCTGTGGTCTTCGCTGCCCGACACAAATGCTGTCGGTAATGCGGTCTGCAAATTTGGCTTCCATGATGCTGTATATCTCCGCCGAACCAAACCGAACCCCACTAGGATTCAACACCCCGTCGGCTCGACCAAGGAACATGACTTGCTTCGTTATGGGATGGATCACGATGAAGTCGCCATGAGTCCAGACGTTGTCGAAGCGAGCAAAATAGCTGTCGAAATATCGCTGCGGACCATTTTCTCCGAGAAATGTCACCGGCATGGTGGGAAAAGCTTTGTCGGCCACCAATTCACCCGGAACTCCGATTTCGACCTCGACGCCCTTCACGCCCTTCCCGCCTTCGACGGTTTGATCGTATACCTTGACTGGCACGCCAAGAGAGAAACACTGACATCCACCAACATACACTGGCAAGAGAGGATTGCCGATTCCGAAACAAGCGGCAATATCGGTGCCGCCGGAAATATTGTCCAAATGGACGGAAGGTGGAAATCCCTCGTCATAGAACCATTCGAACAGTTGATCTGAGAGCACCATGCCTGTGCTCGTCACGCCTACCAGATGACTCAGATCTGTCACTTTTCTCGGGCTGACGTTGTTCCCTTGCAGCGTCTGCAGGTATCGTGGGCTAATTCCCAGGTGTGTGACCTTTTCCTGTCCCACCAGCTTCACAAAGTTGGTGATATTCGGAACAAAAGGGCTTCCGTCATAAATGAGTGCGCGGCACCCGCAGAGCAGCGCCGACACGCTATACATGTACATGATCCAACCGGTGGTCGTATATTGAAGTTGCGTTGAGTCGGGTGTGAGACAATGATGGAGAACGCTTTCTTTGAAGCTCATGATGACCACTCCACCGATGGCGTGAACGATGCATTTCGGCTGTCCGGTTGTTCCGGATGAGTACACGACGAGGAATGGATCCGAGAAGTCCGTTGGTTCGAATTCCAATGCGGAGGATTTAGCAGCGGAGATGAAGGTCGCCCAAGTCTGGGCACCTGGGACTGAGGAGATATCTGCTGGAGAATGGGCAAATCGGACCTGGGAGACGATGCCTTCGAATTCTTTCACTCCACCCATCCCGGCCATGACAGCCTTCATCTTTGGCCGCAAGTCGGTTTTCTTCCCATTGTACAAAGCAACGTCATCCATGAAGACATACTTGGGCTTGATCTGAGTCAACCGATCCAAGATCCCCTTGACGCCCATGTCGGTGCTGCTCGAACTGAAAAGAGCCCCGAGCGTGGCCGTGGCGAGAAAGACGGTCAGGGTGTCAACACTCGTGCTGGCGACCAGAGCTATCCGATCGCCTTTCTTGACACCTCGGGCTTTCATGGCTTGCGACAACCTCCCCACCCTCTCTCTCAGCTCCTTCCAGGAGACATGGCGGATAGGTTCGAGGAAGCTTCCTTCTCGGACTTCCGTGCAGGCGATTTTGTCGTCGGCTTTGGCGGCGTCGATGATGGGCTTGCCGGTCTTCCTGTCGCCAGAGAAGAGAATATTCTGGGCGAAATTCATCTGGACGCCCTTGAACCAACGAGGGATCGAGTCCATTCGCGCGGATTCGTCGACGACCGGATTCGGGATGGTCCCGCCATACACGACGGGAAAGTATTCCAAGACATGGCGCCAGAAGTCGGAGCGGTGGGTGCAAGAGTAATCGTATAGGGCGTCGTAATTCTACCGTAACATGGTCAGAGATGGGAAGCAATGTTTTCGTTCAAGCAAAAAGAGACCGCAGCTGTACCTCGAACGTCTTCCCCGTTACCCTCTCCAGACTGGTTTTGAACTTCCACATCTCCGTGCCTGTGGGATTGGGATGTTCCCATAACTTTCGCGGAAGAGGATGTTCCTCGGCCATCTTCCTTGACCCGGCTCTGTATTGCCGCGGCCGTGCTCGTTCGGATTTGATTTCTGTATTCTCTCGTTCTGCCTCTCTAATATTGAATAATAGATGGATCTCTCATCACAGCAGCGACGACCGACAGCTCGATATTCAAATTCACCTAAAAGAAAAAGACAAATTTCCCGACAGAGGAACCGGATCACTCTCTCTACTGGACCCGGGAAACGGAATATACCGACCAATCGATCGGAAAATGGAGCCGTGGGGGTCGTTGGCCGATCGGACGCCGTGCCCGCAAAAGGAGTTTTGGTACACTACTGGTTACGTGGGAGGACGATTTTCGGCGAACCTCGGTAGTCCTTGACCGGAGCTGGCCCGCATTCGGGCTCCCTGTACGTAGCTCAGTGTGGATCATCAAGAACGCGGGACAGGAACGAGGAAATCAGGAGTTATATCCGTGGGCTTCACGGAGAAATCAAGGAGACGGTTGAAGCCGAAGTCGGTACCATTTTCGGTGTAAAAAGCGGAGGAGAGTAGCTCTTTCCGACAGGCTTACGGGCAGGAGAGTGGAGAGGGAAGAATGAGAGAACTGGACATGCAGATGCACAACGCAACAGCTCTACCATGACCAAAGCGTTGTCAGCCCACTATACCGTTTCGACAACGGCTGTTCTTTGCAGCGGCCGGGCCTCGAATAGATCGTTGATATTCTTCCTCCACAGGCTGGCCTGGGGTTGCGGCAATATAGAGATCTCAACTACAATGCTTCAGTAGTCTAGGATTCTACGTGGCCGCTTCAAGGCAGGCCAGGTTACGGCGAGATTTGGCATTCACAAAATCCCTGGACTGTTCGGATCCGAGTTGCGTGCGGTTTCGCCTCCGTAAGGATGGCGATGGATGGAATGAAATCTGACCACGGAACCGAGATCTCGCGAGTGTCCCGTGTGTTTATAATCAGCCAGTTTCTGTTGTGGGCTGTTTACTAAAGAACACCATCGACTCTACTCGTCCCACTTCCTTTCCCAGGTGCTATTGATGGCAGGGGTCCATTGACATCTTCGATCCCATCCATCACTGATCCCTCATCTGGCCAGGAGCCCGTCGATCGATTCATCGTTCACACTCTCGATCCTTGCTTGTATTGCACTGCATCGGAGGTAGATAGGTGATATAATCTCGAACCAGCGCGGATGAGGATGTCGAAGGATGAAGCTCAGTTGGAAGTTCATGATCATGGTTTGAGCGTGACCGTTTAACCCATCCCTTCAGATCATCCAATATCACCAGCATGATGGATGAGCTTTGCCGGACCTCCATTCTTCTTTGTCTCGGGTATTCGGCCCGAATGTTTCCAACTCGGGTCCTCCAAAAGTATTGGTGGCCATGAGATGTACTGCCTCAAGTTCATCTTGGATGAACGTGGAGCCGGACCACCCAAGAGTGGTGACAGAGAATATCATAGCCACTTGTTTCATCCGATTTAGGAGCGAGAATCATTCTTTCGCGTGGGGAAACGACATCTTTGCTTCTAAAGGTATTACTGACATGCGGCCGCAGAACGTGATGGGAGGAAGGTTGGTGCAGATTGGTGTGGGTTCGGTGAGACGAAACGTCGTGAATGGTTGGAGAGTGCCATCTCTGCGTAGATAGCTCTCCAGATATTGCAAGGAGCCGGTACAATACAGATGATCCGAGAACGATGATCTGTGTCAGAAGGAAATGAAATAAGAGACGGGTTGGCTTGGACACCGCGCGTATAAGGTACAAGATGTGTGGGGCGCTCGCGGTCTTTGCGCATTTCCACACTCTTTGATGATTGTTTCCCATTGTCGAGCTGAGGAGCAAGTTCCCATTTTTGTGAAGAATATGTACACTGCAACCAGGGTTTTGACAGCCTCTAGGATGTTTCCGGCCTCGAGAAATTCTCTTTGGGTCTTTCAATTGTAATCTTTTGGAAGGGAAAGCGAATATAAGCTTTGTCTCTATTCCAGAGAAGCGGTATCAGTCAGATCGTGATCAAACGAGCTGTTTCGTTTTCGTCGTTCGACCGGATCATCTCTCACTTCAACACCTGGCCCTACAGAATGAGAAGTTCGATGTCGTGGCCATACCTGTGATATTGATGTCAGCATCGGAACGGACGACGGCCCCCTCGTAGGTCAAGCAATCCGAATTGAACCTCAAACAGAAAAAGTACAGGGTCCTGGGTTGGAAAGACCTTACGTTTGTTCCACTCCATCCCAGCCGAAAGGCAAACTCGTGCGCCAGCAATTCACCAAAGCCCAACATCATTCCATTCACGAAAGGTAATAAGAGATTTATGGCAGCTCCTCTCAATATGCTCCATACGGTGGGAGGTTGATATATTATCACTGGTCGAGTGCCGTTATTATCAGAGGATTGCGGTGGTGAGGACGACGGAGGGGACAGCGAGGAGTAGGGTTCTGAGTCAGAAGGAATGGTTAATTGAGATCCGGAAAGATCATGCGGTGGCGAAGGAGACTGTTCAGAGCGTGAAGTCATGATGGAGGTTCTTGATGATGGTGAGAAGGATGCTTCGCGGCAGGGAATTGTGAGGGAAAGACGGTCACGGAGACTGCGTCGAATCGTGCATCTTCGTCGAGACAGAAAGAAGATGGGGGTTACAAAGGCAAAGTGAGTTGATCAATAAATTGGAACCGAGAGATGTACTGGCCCCAGTCTGAATTGTGCTGCAAAGAAAGAAATCGAGGCTTCGACACTGGTACAGTACCTCGTCGATGAAGTCTGAAGCTCGGCCCAGGCACAAGGCTGGTGAGGCACCAGGCCATCCAGCGAGCCACAAGAACATTCCGCGCAAGGCGTCTTTCACAGTGACGTACCACCCTCAGCCTGGTGGTCTCTTCGCCACGACTCACCCACCCTTTATTCTTGACTTTATTCTTGACTTTTACTCATCACACCCTTGATACTGGTGACACCTGTTTCCAACAGTTTGCCCCTGACACCTTCCTCACTTATTAGGGTCGTACCTCGTTCATTTACATACCTCGTTGTCGTGTCAAACCCCTCTCCAGCTTTCCTCCTTCTGCTACATATCGATTCCCCATGGCTGATCCAGCGGAAAAGGATGCCCTGATGGCACAGTTCACTACAATTGTAGGGACTTCGTCTCGACAGGTCCGAACACTTCGCTCATTGATCAGTAATTGAGGCTGACTGGTACTACAGGCGCACCAATTCCTGACTGCCAGTAATTGGAACCTGGAAAGTGCCATAGCAAATTACTACGCTGCCCAAGAAGACCATGCCGAAGATCTCGCTGATGATTCTGATTACGTCGACGAAGATGATCCCGGACTTTCAAGTCAGTCTCATCCCAACTACGGCGCCGGTCGAAGATTAGGCGAAGGACCCTCTGATTCTCAACCCATCCCTGTCGCACCGGTGTCCAACTCGTCACAACCCCAAAAGAAGTCTTCCACACCGAAGAAATTTGCCACGTTAGGTGATTTCAGCGCCGGGGGGCCCAATGGAGATGACTCAGATGATGATGATAAACCAGATTTGTTTGCGGGCGGTGAAAAGTCGGGGCTCGCAGTTCAGAATCCGGATGATTTGAAAAAGAGGATTTTGGAAAAGGCTCAAAAGCGTGGTCCACCGCCCAAAGAGGCCGCTCCTAAGAAATCATTCTTTACCGGCAACGCCCGCACGTTGGGGGGGGATGACACACCATCGCGAGAGATTCCTGCGGCGTCTCAACCAAGAGCACGAGCCGAACGAGTTGATCGCGTTCTCCATTTCTGGCAAGATGGCTTTAGCATTGACGATGGTGATTTGTACCGCATTGATGATCCAAGGAATGCGGAGATCTTGAATTTGATTCGACAAGGACGTGCCCCTCTGAATATCATGAATGTCCAGCCAGGTCAGGAGGTTGATGTGGAGATCAAACAACACGATGAGAAATACGTCAAACCGAAGAAGAAGTTTCGACCATTTGAAGGATCTGGTCATCGTCTTGGAAGCCCAACTCCTGGGCTGCCTTCGATGCCGGGAGCTTTCAGCTCAGAACCCACTGCACCTGCTCCCACGACAGCCGCGGCAGCCCCTCCGGTCGCTGAGATTGACGAATCGAAACCTACGGTAACGCTAAGAATCAGTTTGGGATCGGGGACGAGGCTGACATCTCGTTTCAACACGACTCAAACAATTGGCGATGTGTACGATTTTGTTCAACGATCTGAACCTGGAGGCCGGGAATTCGTCCTCCAAACCACATTTCCGACCACGGAACTTCAAGATAAGTCCAAGGTGCTTGGGGATATGGCTGAATTCAAGCGAGGAGGTGCCGTGGTTCAGAAATACCTTTAATCGCCCATCGGTAGGCTTTTGCATACTCTGTGGTGTTCAGAGCTGGTTGAACGCGGGCTCCTGCATGGCGGAACAAGGAAGACGGATGGACTTTGGTCTCCTAGCATGGAATAGGCTCGATTAAAAAAAGGTCTGAGAGCAGAAATAGAATCGAATGATCAATGATTGCCAAATGCGATTTACTCCGCAAGGCTCGCATTCGGCACACCTGCCTAATATACCCTCCCTGGCGGTACTTCTTCCCTTCGAACGATATTGGAGCAAAAAAACAAATTCACCTGCGACAGCGTGCATGATGTCAATATCGCAGGGGCTGAGAGCCTCAAGTCGAGGTCTTAATAACTGTCGGCAAGTCCTAGTCCTTGGTAGACGAGATGTGCGACACGTAAGTTATCTGTAATTCCTGGTCCCGAGCAATCACACTAATTTACAAAGTTCTCTCACAATGCCACTCGCTCTTCAATGTTCCAGTCGAAAACAACGCGGCGCGCGACACCCACTACTATAAAACAATCACAACAGATCCGCTCCTTGTCATTATTTGGATGGGGCTCTAAGAACGCTCCGGACGAGTTTGCAAACGCTCATTCTTCATCGCTGACGCCTCCGATTGGTAGCACCACCACCGAAGCCTCTCCTTCATCACAAAATGTCATCAATTCTACTCGAACGGTGAAAGCATCCCATGCCACTTCAGAAGCCCCTGATCCCTCCTCCAGCAGTCCAACCGAAGCTCTACAAGACTTGGAAGATTTAATACTCAAACCGCACGGCGCTACTCTACCGTCGGATCCCACGGGGGGCACCCCTGATCTAGCTTCGATTCCGGAAGGCATTGGATATTTGAAAAATGTTTGTGGTCTAGATTTTGGATGGGGCACGTCCACCATGATGGAATTCTGTTTAGAACATCTTCACACCACGGCGGGACTGTCCTGGTCCGTGTCGATCATAGCACTTTTATTCTTGATCCGGGGCTTCATCTTTCCTTTTTCCGTCAGCGCATCTGACCAGAGCGCCAAGCTGAGAGAACTCCAACCGGTTCTCGCGCCGCTCAACCAAAAAGTCCAAGCTGCTCTTCGGGATGGTAATCGACAACTCGCCATGATAACACAAACACAAGTCAATCAGATCAGAAAGGAATCTGGAGTGTCCCTTCGAAAAGCATTTATGCCTCTTCTTCTACAGTTACCCCTGCAAATTGGAGCATACCGTGTCTTGTGGGGTGCTTCACATCTCCCCGTTCCCGCTTTCGAAACCGAGTCATTGCTTTGGTTGACCAACCTGTCCGCCGGCGATCCACTATGGCTCTTACCTGTTCTGACTGGGGCAATCACATATGTCAATATTGCTACTATGCAAAAAGGACAGGCGCAAAATCCTTCGATGACCAACATCCAAAACTTTATGAAGGTGCTTTTCCCTGCCGGCTCGTTCGTGTTTCTCTGTTTCCAACCGGCAGCAATTCAAATGTACTTCTTCGTGAGTGGCATTTTTACACAAATACAAACTTCGATAATCCAAAACCCCTCGTTCAGAAAATGGCAAGGGTTGACCCCCTTGACGAATCTGCCGACACCCGGACCTGGAGCAGGACCAACCTCACCAGGGACGACACGCTCCTCTAGATTCGCCAAAATGAATGTTGCCAAACCGATCGAACCAATCCCCGAGACACCACGTCCGGAGCCTTCTTCCGGCCCTTCTCCTGATGCTGCAAACCGCAGCATCATTGACAAAGGGGTGGATCAGATCAAGGAACTTGGACAAAACACATGGAAAAGCACAATTGGCTCCATGGGTGAAACTTGGCAGAGAACCAAACAGGAAAAAATGGAAAAGGCTAAGGCTGACAAATTGAAAGCCGAAATTGCAAGATACGAGGCCCACCGAAGACAGGATTTGGAGTTGGAGAGAGAAAATCGAAATGCCGCGGCCGTAGGGCCTATGCGAGTGAAAGGGAGTTGGACAGCACCATTGGCGTCCAAGCAAAAGAAGACGGATTGAGAATATAAAACTGGGGATGCATTGATGAGGTCGTTCTGGGCCATCTTTGATCGATTACAATTCACCACGTGTTGTTTCAACATACAGAGTGTACATTGACCCAAGTTTGCCTATCGCATAGCGAATCCCTTTGTAAAGGACACAAGAAATGAAAACGTTCCCGAATATTGGGCGGAACGTTGAAAATACCCAACCAAACCAAGGCCACGAATGACGCGTCGAGATTTCATTGAATCTTGAATTGGACATGGCTGGACATGGCTGGGTATGTAAATGAGAGGCAAATTCAATGAAGGGAAAAGGAATTCCGTCTCCCCCATCGAAATCTCTGGCTCCTTCTAGATATGTGAAATGGGATAGAGAAGCACAATGAGAGCAGGAAGAACGTTGGTGGAGGTGGCCCCGGTGTATGAGTCTCTCGTCTTCTCTGTAAATAACTTGGTACAAATGCGCTTTTTTTATTCTTTTTCCGGCACGCATGTTGGCGACCTTCCTCGGTATGTAACTGAGAAATGGGTAGGCAAAAGGATAAGGTACAAGGTACAAGGAATATTCAATCAAATCTCTTCTCCTTTATCCGTGGGTAATCGATATTTATTCCAATTTCTGCGTAGTAGAAGTCACGAAAATAGATCTGATCAGGCCCCCCCTCAAAATTCAAGTCAGAACTAGTATTTTTTCTGATCTCAGCAAAATCAAGCACAGGGAAATGGGGTCAGATAGGAAGATGGCCTAGTAGAATGACAGTGATAGTAATGGCGGTACTGAGGATGGGGCTGACAAGGCTGCGTCTCCGTGCCCATGCGCACTATGATCCAGTCTCGGCACATTATCATAATACGGCACGACAATCCAATTCTTGTCCTCTGTCTTGCCGACCATCGCCTTCGTGACCTCTGTCACTGGATCTCTCGGAATAGTTGCATTCAACAGCCCTGGTCCTTTCTCGCTCGTCAACTCCTGCATCTTCTCTTTCACCTCTTTAATTGACTCCTGGGCAATTGACCCTTTACACCCAAACTCATGTGCGACAATATCGTAGTGGCGCCTTCCGAGGGCTTCGGACCATACGTGCCGGATCGTCATTTCGTAAATCATGTCCTGTCCCGCGACGGACATGCCCAGCACTAATTATTCATGACGACTGTCAGAGCCTGGAGGCCGTGTCGCGCGTAGGTGTCGAGCTCTTGGATGTGGAAGCCGCGCTACCGTCGCGGTGGATGTTGACAATGAGTCGGTCTCCGGGCATGCAAGGGCGGCGCCCATGCTGTAGCCCCAGCCATTGCCTAGGAAACCCTACTAGCCTGTTGAGACGATGTCGGTGGCGGCGCAGGTGCGCTCAAGAAGTTCGAGGGCCTAGCAGCCAGTTTCTCCGCCCTCGGTCAAGACGATGGGGCCCGAGGGAGGGATTCGTAGATGGCTTTCATCGTGAATCATGGTGGAGGCAGCCGTCGGATCGGACTTCGTTGTCGATCGCGTACATTGATGGCTGGCTTTTTGAGGTCAGCGATATCTTGGAACCAGGCGTTTCTTGATCGGGTTGTTTTGTCGCAAATTCTCGAGCAATGTTGTGATGAATTTATTCCCGTCAGAGACAATCCGTAGGTCGATGGGGTGGGATTTGCCGATTTCCGCCCGTCATTGTCGACTTGGACCAATTTGCGGCCTGAGTTGGATCCGATGGCGCCAAAGGGGCCGCCTGGGGGGAAGCCCGTCCCGTGCTCCCAGGAGTAAAACCAGATCGGGTTGTTGTTTCTTCATGAAAAGGAAATTGAGCAAGGAAACCGGCTGGTCCACCTCGGAGGATGTGATTGTGAGGGGCGACAGGGCTGTATTTCTGCGAATAGGAGACTGAGGTGTTGATTGTTTCGACAAATTGGAGGAGAGGGCTGGCTTTTGATTTTCGGTGCCTGTGATGATGACGGGGTGGACTGCGGATTTCCACAATGAGATCAAGCCGTCGAGGGCAGCTGAGTCAGGGGATGGGGAGATAAGCTGGTTGACGTATGACGGAGCCATATGTGATGGCATTCATTCTGGGAGGATGGAAGAGGACATTGATGGGGAAGTTGACAACTACTGGACCTGGGATGCCACTCATGGCGGTGCGTTAGGACGATCAGGGGGACTTCCTCCACGTTGGCCACTTGATGGACAAATTGGGATGTGGGTCTGGCCAGGACGAGGGTCCCAGCATGGCGAAGAAGTGGTGAGGATGTGACGATGAAGATGGGTAATCTGTCTGCATAGGCCGTGGCAAGGCCGGGGAGAGGATTACAAAAACTATAATCCTCGTTCGATATAAGATTTTCTCTTCTGTCAAAGAGGGGATGAACGATACCCGCTTTGAAACAAATAAAAGGAAAGAGGGTTAAAAAAAAAAAAAAAAGGAGAGATGGTGGAGATCTGGCCGAGGTTTACACACCGCGATGAGCGCGAATTGGTGACTTTGGGTGTGAATAGAAGTTGTCATCTCGAGTAAGCCAAACGTGGGAGAGGGCCGACCGAGACTGCATTTCCCAAGGGTGAACTTCAGGAATAAACCAGTGACGGATTCGAAATTGTAGTTGTGGTTGAAGGGTTGACAGGGAAGAAAATCTGGGTACATGTGTGTTCACATGTTGGTGTACAATACCACTGAACGAGGCTGAGTGTGTTTCTCTCGCACCGCCTCCTGCTTCCACAGTATAGTACAAACATCGGAACGACTCCACACACCAGCCTGCTTCGAGCCACGCCCCTGCGATCTTCATCCTCCGAATTTATGGCGTTTTGAGATGGTGCAATGTCATCAGAGAACTTAGGGCTTCACACATTGAAGATTTTCTTGGTGGTCGACAAGGAGTTAGATCTGGAGCTGGGTGTGGTGTACTTAAGACATTACCATGCGGTGTATCCTCCGTCGATAATAAGCTATGCAAATTAGCGGTCGGTTCACGACGTGGGAAGCATACGGGCAACCCACCTGAGATCCAGTCATGAATGTACTCGCGTCACTCAGACAAAACAACGCAGCTCCTCTGTACTCAGCAGGCTGAGATAAGCGTCCGAGCTATTTCTTGGTCAGCGTGTTCTTCTCTCATCTAGAGGAAACTGGAAGCCACCATATTTTCTCTCTCCCACAATTCTTTCAATTTGGGATCGTCCGCGAAATTTTTCAACACCATCGGAGTAATGATATTGCCTGTGAGTGGTGGAATCAGTTGCGAGAGACATAATCTGACAAGCCAGACGAAGGAGACGTACCGGGACAAAGTGCATTCACTCGGATCGGCTTGCCTTTGACGGCCTTGCCCCATTCCATTGCCAGGCTGCGAGCTAGTTGGCAAACAGCAGCCTTGGATGAGTTGTAGACCGATGAAGTAAAGCCCTTATTCGCGACAAGACCACTCATGCTAGCAATCAATAGGATCGACCCACTACAATTGTACTCGATCATTTGACGGGCACAACTGACAGCTGAACAGTAGACGCCTTTGTAGTTGACATCCAGCATTTCCATGATTTTGTCGGGAGGATATTCGAGTGCTGGCGTGACGTATTGGACCCCGGCGGCCGCAATCAAACCGTCCATTCGTTGATGATGGGCAGCAATATCGGAGATGACTCGATCCACATTATCGGCTTCACGAACGTCGACCTGGTGGTAATGTAAGGCCCCTCCATATTGAGGTCCTAGCCGTCTTTGCACCAGACGGAATTCTTTCTCGGGCTCTAGAAGTTTATCCAGACAATATACTGTTGGCGATGGACCGTGGTGAGGGCATGGCGCGAAATTTGGGGTGGCGGAATACTCACCCTCTCCGGAAGCCTCGACGAGAGCTTCAGCCAATGTTAATCCCAGACCTCGCCCACCTCCGGTGACTACAAACACCTTGCCTTGGAGGTCAAATTCACTGAATCGGAAAGGATTCAAGTCAGGGTCTGGAAGCTTCTCTTTGATTGATGGAGACACCGCACCGGCGAAACGTTCACGGGAGAAGTGTCGGCATGGTTGGCTGACCAAGGGGGGAATCACGAATCGAGGTTGGCTGTAAATTCGTGAAATAGAACGAGCATGGGAAACTCGGGTCCCCAACATGCTGGATTGTATTCGCGGAAGTGTCAAAGGCATGATAAAATGGGATTTGCTTCGGCACCAATCCAGGGAAGACGTAAGGTGAAGAGGAAGCCAGAGGAGAGATCACGAGAAATACTTCCGTACCGGGTCAAAGGATCGTCGATAGAGAGCATCCATCTCTTCGTGTGGTTGGGTGGAAAGACACCAAGATGTTCGTGCCTAGCATTTGCCTTTGAGATGTGACGTGACCAAAAACGGCAAGAGGCGGGGTATGGCAGCTTATGAAGGCTCATCATTTGTTGGCCTTGTGAAACCGTTCTTCTCAGTTGTCAGGTGATTCCTCACCAATCGAGGACAAGAGATCCAGCTCCTTCGATGACCATGATAACCGGCTTAATGGTTCAGATTTGTTGGCAACACAATGACAAGGAAGACGTCAAATGGATCCTTAACGTCCGGGGGCCCCATAGAAGGTCGAGACAAATGCCCGTTTGACATTGAGAGCTCAGAAGGCTGGTCCGAGCTTGCTGGGGGAAGGGAGAGCTCTATGTATCTAGCTAACCACCCAAATATTTCTCCCATTACGAGGGGAAGGCACACGAGAACAAGGGTCTCGAATTCCCATGTGCTCTGACGCGACATTGTGGAAAAAAAGGTATCCGAGATTTCCCCTTGTTGATATTGCATCATGGCCCGGCTGAGAGGGCAACATCCGATGAGATTCAATTATTGGTTGGTTGTCATGAAGATCGTTTCGTCAATTGTTTGGTCACCTGGATACAATACGCCGCTCCAATGGCTGTCAAAATATGCCACCAGCCGTGCAATTCGAGCAAGAATCCCAGGGGAATTCCCATGAAGCCTCTGGTGCCTCGTAACACTTCACAATATGCACCGTCGATCAGCCACACGATGAAGCCGGCGAGGAAGGACAAGCCACCGACTCGGAATTTCCCGACCCAATACCGTTTTTCTTCACCTTGGAACCGCTGCCGGATGAGATACAACACCCTTGGCCATATGGCGGTGACCAGAATAACAAAAGCCAGATTGTGCAGCCACAGTTGGTGCGATTGATAATGAATGGCGCTGATGACTCCTAGGACGGCTGTTAATAAGGAACCGATGGCGAAGCTTGCTGGACCCGATAGGTCGATGGTGTACAGCTCGTAGATGATAGCGGCGCATACCCAGAACATGGACAGATCGTCGCATATTTGAGTGGCATATTTCAGGGTCATATGGAACAGGAAGGACGTGACGCCCACGAAGAAGAGAGCGAGATTTGGGAATGCCGTCGTCGAGAGGAGGCTCTCGCCTGGTAAAAGGGTCTGAATGGACCAGTAGACTAGGGGCATTCAAATTGCTAGGTCAGCTTGTCGCGGCGCATGTCAACTCATCAGGCCCAACATACCATATGCCAGGTTGGTGAAAGCGTTGACAAATTCACCGATATAGTAGGTGATGGAGTAGTCTTCTTCGCAAAAGCTAGAGGGTTTTCATCAGCTGGTGGACTCGATACTGGGGAATCTTGAGCCATTTAACTGACTTGGCTATACTCGTCGGCGGACCCCAGTATCCATACAGCGCATGAGGATCTCCAGCAAAGTTGCGCTCGACATGAACCATGATTGGAGATTCGGTCTAGGCTGTGGTATTCTGGGTGCCTGGTGCGTTTAGCTCAGTCGATGAATTCCCCGAAGTTTAAAGATCCAGGGGGAGGGGAATGAAGGGATAAAAAATTGTAAGGCGACCTGGTCAATGAATTTCTAAGCGAACAATGCACAATTTTATTCACCGACATGCGTTCGATACCATCGTGTGCTAGATTCAACGCGGCTCACAACGTCCTCTTTATAGGGCATCCGGAAAAGGGTTGCCTGGTCAACGCTTAAAGCTGACTGGGTGAGAGTTTTCATCGTATTTCGTATCTCGTAGTTATATCATGCAGATGCCCTGAACCTCCATCGCATAAGCGACATCTCGATGCAAGTGTTGACAGGTTGATCTAGGCTAGGAACCAAGAGGTGAAAGAGTCAATCAAACTCTCCATTTCCAGAAATCCAACTCAACTGATTGCCCAGTCGATTGAAGCGTGGTCCGCCATCTTTCAGGTCCATGGCCAGAAATGGAGAGAAGAAACCATGCTCAATCTCGGTATCTTTTTGTTCGTCTCAAATAACTCGGTGTCGAATCGATGTTTTGTTAAGAGAAGGAGCGGTGGGCTCGTCATACTCGAATAAAGATTCATCCTCGTCAGTTCTTTTCCAATGCAGCTTCTGCCACCGTGATCGAAAGGGACAAAACATTTCTCCAATCTTTTCAACTCCTCTCCTTTGACCAGCTTGAAAGATAGGACATTCAGATAGATGTTTCCAGCGGTATGGTTGCTTCTGATTGCCCATGCTAATGAATGCACTAGGAGGCAATATGTAAGGCTTATTAATGTGGGGATTTCGAAGGTTGACTCTTGCAAGGCACCTGAGACGCTGTTGCCTGGCGAAGACCTTCGCCGCTGACAGCGGAAGTACAGGAGGCGTTAAATCGCGTTATAATTGGTCAATGGATCCATCGAGAACTGACTTATTACTCGAAGGTGTTCTTAACGCCTGAAATTCAAAAGCCATCACTGCACTCTTCCGTCGTGGTCATGTTGATGAACCATTTCAGCATGGGCATGAAGAAAGGAATAGTGATGGGAATATGATGGTGTCATGCAGCAATAAAAGAGACGGTGCAGCCGGACAAAATACAATCTTCAGCAAAATCGGGGGCGAGACAACGATAGGCATTTGACAGATTGACTGGCTTTCTTTGTTTGCGCGTTTTCTCGGAAGACGCGGACGTAACTTGGACAGTTGATCTCTTGAAGGTGATTCGAGGTTAGAGACGGCTGAAGAGGCCTAAAAGCTACTTGTTGGTTTTCTTCAAGCGCGACGAAGGTTGCATTGGCAGTTGCCAAACCCGGCATCTTAGGAGGCTACGAAGAAGTAGCACGAGCACCACCTCCAAAACAACTTCGTTGACTTCCAGCGTCTTTGACTATCAGTGTGAAAATGGTCGACGATATCATTCATACAAAGCGGGAAAATACTTCGCTTTCAATGATGAACGAGAGCAAGAAAGGTCGGATCTCCACCACGTTCGGTCCATAGTGCTAGAAGGTGAGTTCTACAAAGGGCCAATCCAGAATCCTGAGAAAATTCTCGACATTAGAACAGGCACAGGCATCTGGTTGGAATTACCGTCTCAAGTATATTAAATGCGAGCTGACGTTCCACAGGGCTATCGACAAGCTCCCCATGGCAGAAATCATCGCCACAGATCTCTCTCCAATTCAACCATTATGGGTTCCGCCCAATGCGCCATTCCTAGTAGGCGAACGAGAGTCTGAATGGACATTTGAGCGGGATTTCGATGGGGTCCATATCGGCCAACGTGGGAAATGCCATTGCGGATGGGCCTAAATTATTCCAGCAACGTACGAATCATCTCACACTAGGCGGATGGCTGGAATCCATGGATTCGAGGATTGGAGATCAATGGACGACAATAGTCCGCCAGAAGAGAGCTCTTGTCACAAATGGCAGGTCGAGTGATGAATGTCAGTCCTTTGATTAAAGGCATGGTGGATGATGCATGATTTCAAAATGCTCAAAGGGACACCTACAAGATACCTGCTTCCTTGTCATGTCCCTTATCCTGAAACTGATTCATTCCCTAGGCCACCTTTTCGCCATGATCCGAGGACAAACACCTGGAAGAAGCTGGCAATGTCCATGAATCTCACAATGCTGGAGGCCATCCAAGCATGCAGTTTGGCCCTATCCACTGGTGTCCCGGTTGGAATCAAATGGAGATGGATCAAGAGCCGGAAATGATTTGTCGAATTTGAATTATCATATGGACACTCGACTGTGAGTTTGCCAAAGTTCTTATCCAAGGTCATGGCTAGCTAACGAGCTCCTGAGGTACATTGTCTACGGAAGGAACCCATTATGATCACAATGGAAAGACTAAATGGGATTTGGGTGGGTATTTGATTTTCAAGATGGAATAACGGGAGCAATTGGTGGTACTTTCAAGGACACCGATCTCGTTGACTTGTTTATGAGGTGCCATAATACCTTCTCATTCAGCTCATGGCAGAGACGGAGGCGACCAAAGATGGATTTCTCATCTCTGCAGATGCTTTGGTTTTATGCAACATCGACGCCTCCTGTGACAACCGCTATCGACGAGATCTTTTCCATCCCTTCTGTCCCTTACCGTCATAGTCAACCTGATGAACGTTGAATACCCGATCATTGGGGGCTCGGCGCTGCTAACTCCGTCGCTAGTTCCCATCTCCAAGGCTCGCTAATTCATTCTTCTGATCTTCCAACCAATCGCAAAAGCGCCCCCTCGGCGATAAAGTGTTGCCACCCTCCGCTGTCTGCGAGGCTGTTGACTCCTTAGTAATTGATGTACAATTTACCATACGCTCTGGCCTTGCTATATTTATACTTCTTGATGGTGAAGGAAAATCTTTCTTTCTTTTTCCTTCTAATATCCCACGATTTCACGGTTGCCAGTCTCCGTGGCTCTCTCCAACTGGACTCCAGCCATCCAAGTTCAAGGTTGAAAAAACGTTCGACCAGATCAGAAGAAAGGAACAAGTAGAAGACTGATTGACCGGCGTAGCCAAAACCCAAACCATGGCTGAAATCCCACCTCGAGCAAAATCCATCCTCGTCCTCGGCGCCGGCGAACTAGGTACCGCCATCCTCGACGCCCTCACCTCACACCCTCTCTACAACCCATCATCCACCGCAATCACACTAATGATCCGGCCCTCCAGCTCAAGTCACCCGACTCCGGAGAAGCAAGCACAACAATCCCTCTTCCGCGAACAAGGTATTCGGCTAGTCGGAGGCGACTTTGAGTCCTCTTCTGAAGCCGAACTCACAGATCTCTTCCGCCCGTACACAGCCGTCCTGCATGCCGGGGGCATGACGAACTCCTCGGGCACGATGATGAAAATCACCCGCGCGGTTCTCGCTGCTGGTGTTTTGTACTATGTCCCCTGGCAATACGGCGTGGATTACGACATCGTCACGCGCCAGGGCGGGCAGGGTATGTTCAGCGAACAAATTGACGTGCGGGACTTGCTTCGTTCACAAACGAAAGCCGACTGGGTTGTGTTAAGCTGTGGCATCTTTATGAGTTTTCTGTTCGAGGAGTTTTGGGGTGTCGTCAAGCCCGTAGAGGACAAAATCCAGGTCACGGCCCTAAACTCTCTCTCTGACATCCTCACAGTGACTGCAACAAAGGATATCGGGCGCTGTATGGCCGAACTTCTCTATTGCCGCGATACTCCGGTGAATTGTTCAGTGTACGTTGCAGGCGACACTTGGACGTACGCTGAGTTCGCGGAAGCCGTGGCGCGGGGAACCGGCAAAGAAGTTATCAGGCACGAGTGTCCTGTTGAGTATCTGAGGGAAGAAAGCCAACGGGATCCAGGGAATCAAATCAAGAGGTATCGTGTCGTGTTTGCCGAGGGGAGGGGGTTGAGTTGGCCAAAAGAGAACACCTGGAGTGCAGAGAGGGGGATGCAAATGGAAGGGGTGGAAGAGTGGGTCAGGAGGAATTATAAATGAACTTGGAAGAGAGAAGGATTGGAGTTGGTGTGTAGAGAGGAGCAGGACGGGAAATACGAAACGAGCCAGAAAGGAAGATGGGATGCCGGGGGATTGCACAGAGGAATCTCGACAATATCAAGCACTCCTATGTACTATGATTGCCTAGGTACTGGTATCGTGTGCACGCTCTCGTGGAGGAGACTGAGGTACTCGAGCACATCGGTTTATCCTTACCTTTTTTCCCTTTCTTCAGGAATTAGGAGAGAGAGAATTTCATTCAAGATCAAATCCGGCAAATCCTAGTAAATGGCCGTCTATACGAACGCAGTGCTCAATCCAAACCAACGCACAGAATCGGAATGAAGCAATGGTTCAATTCAAATTCGTTCCAAATTGCAACTCACATCTCACAGCTTGCACTGATGTTCCAAAGCTTCGGGTTGAAGTATTGTTCTCACACTGTGGCTCTGCTCAAAACTGTATCGGGCGCATTTACAGCCTCAATTCTGTGGCCGTAGAATCGTAGCATTCGTGATCGCGATCGTGATTGTGATTCAGATGTAAAATGAGAGCTGGAGTTGCCGCCTAAAGAAGTTTCTCACTTGGGGGAAAGAAAAAGGTATCTTCATTTAGTAAACATATGTCTTCCACCATCGTCAATTTTTCTTGTTTCACCCATAACCATACTTCATGCGCTTTGAGGAATTGAGATTCTCCAAATTGGCCCGATGAAATTCACTGGTTCTTCGTCCATGTTCAAAATCGCCAATTCTTGAATTGCAATTTTGGCCGTAGTCCAGTAGCCCATCGATATCCAACAGTGATACATGCATGTGTCGACATGTGGGGATCTGCTCTTTCAACTTTTCCCCGTTTGCTATCATGAGCCATTTCATTTGCGTAATATTTCCAATCCACCGCGGCGGCGGACCACTTGGCTGAGTGGACGGCTCACCACGCTTACGGGACTGTCGTCTCTCTTGTTTGTGCCGGTCTTGAGATTCCGATTGTTGTCGCCATCGACACTGTCATCGGACGAGGAGCTGAAGTACGTATCGATTGCTGCTGTGGGGCTGTCGCGTTGACCTCGCTCTCGGTCCAGATCGGGGTTGGCCCATGCTGCAAGTGCCTCGACGACGGCTTCGGAGCGTTCAGGATCTGTCGCGCTGGCACCAGAGACGACGATGGCCGAGGTAGGAGAGACCGGTTCGAAGGGTTGGACATCTGCTTGTCTTGCACGAGAGATGATAACAGTAGACGCTGGGGAAATTTGTCCCGATGATGGAATCTCAAATGCCGGATCGTCAAGGTCAGCTGGTGCGGGATCTGGAGGATTTGTCGGCAGAGACACCAGTTGACTGAATCTGCTGCTCACTCGTTGAGGAATGATCGGTGGCGTCATGTCTTTGGTAATTGAAATTCCGACTGCCCGGTCGCCTGGCTGATTCCTTGCTCGTGTCTTGTTGACGGTGATGCCATCTCCAATTCCATCTCTAGTTCCTCCGGGGCTATCACGAGTACCATTCAGACTGACTTTATTCGGGTCACAACACATCGTCTTGGCTTTGGCCCCTTCGATACACTCCGGGTGCGTCCAAAGAGCTCTCTTCGCTAAGCTGTCTGTACGCTTTCTTTCTGTGCGACGCCTGATGAACCACCATCCAGATGCGACGAGAACGATAAAGAACACGAAGATCGGAGCGACAATCGCGGCAATCTTTTGCGCTTCGGATATACCTTTTGGTTCGGGAATAGCAGCCACCGTCATATTTATATTGGTGGATTCGGAGCCGGTCGATGAAGGAAGGACCGACTCCACCGTGGTCACATCACCGGGTGAGGCGAGTGTCGACGGAGCAGATAGCGAAGTAGAGAGAGCGGATAAGGTCGAGGAAACGAATGTGGTGAGCTGAGAGCCCATGGTGCACCTGGTTGAGATCGAACCGGACCAAGCTGATGTGACTGAAGTGGCGGCTGGACCTCCGAAGGGCGACAAAGGAGCTGGAGGACCACTCCATGCTGACGAAGCGATCGCCAAGGGCGATGGCAATATCATGCTGCTAACTTTAATTTGAGTGGCCGAGTCAACGTATGGGGGATGAGAAGCCAAGGACACGTCCGCTGGGCCAAAGATCGGTACAACCGTGGTGGCCATAGTAATGGTGGTCAAAAGTGAAGTGAGAAATCTCGCGGAGTTGATGACTGCGTCCTGACTCGGTGGGAATAATGTGCTCCCTTGATCTGTTGTTTTGACCGTCGAATCCGTTTCTTGCTCCTGCAATGCGGCCGTTATCTCTATCTCCGTCTTGGTCTCGCGGCCTTGTTGTGTTGAGGATAGAGTTACGAGGTTGTGGAGGAGATATGAAGGTGCGGACGGCCAGGCTCACGCTAAAGAGATTTTGATCAGGCTTGAAGCTGTGCTCGATGGAGGATCGGAACTCGTTAGGGAGGCGGTGGTTGCAGGGTTTGGAGGCAAAGTATCATCGACCGCGCTTGTCAGATCGGCTGTTGTCTCAATACGGGGAAGACGTGAACAAAATGTGTCCAAGCGAAGGCTTGTCTCCGATGTCCGGAAGGCCGTGAACTCGATCGTCTTGCCTAGATTGAGGCTTTGCAAACTCGTCGGTATCAGCACCGACGATTGTCCTGCTACAGCTCGTCAGAATGCCCAAAATAAGAATGAATACATGATTAGACACGTCGATAGAGTTTCAACCAAAGTATGTAGGGCTCATATCAGTGTCTAAGACACCCAAGTCTTTCGCAAATGAACGGGCAAAGCCGGACCTTGAAAACTTGAACCAACCTCACCCTTGCTCTCGAACGGGCATTGCAACAAAAGTCTCGGGAGGAATGAGAAGAACGTGAAGTGACTTCAAGACATGGTTGGGAATCTGAAGCGAGAAATGAACAAGGCGGGCAAGGCGCACGCCTGGGCCAAAAAATTTTCACCTGGAAAGGCATGGGTACCGGTCTGAAATTATGATTAATGGTTGGATATTGTGGACCATCCACCTCTGGATTCTGTGGTCGAAGGGTATCCTGCCTCCTTCCCACTCAAACCGGGCGTAGTTCAAACTCTTTGGGCCACGGTGGAGTCCACTGGTATCATACAAGATTCGAAGAACCTGAACCGTGCAAGTTCTAATACACGTACTATGAATGATCAGTACCCGGGCTCAACTGCAATAAGATAGACGCTTACAGGGACGAATAGGTAAGGCACTTGTCTCTCATACTCCTCCCATGCCCGGCCGTACTTCTTTCGACAATGTTCTATGTCTCGAATGGCCCGATGGATGATCATGGCACTGAAGAAGACCGGGTAAAACCATGGGAAGGGTGATGACAGGCCTGTCACTGCCCCCCAAGACAGGGCAAAGAAGAGATCGCAGGTATAATGGATCTTTCGCGCGTAGCCATCTGATCAACGTAAGTACAGGGTGAGCCACTCGATATTCTATCACACTTACACCACCCATCCGCAAGAAGAGTGCCGCCATCTTCTGATCTAATGACTTTTGGATTCTCAACTGTTTGCCATGGCAGCTGTGGAAACGCCTTGCGAGTGGTGGCCTCTCCCAACTCTTGTGCTCGGAAGCGATTCTTCTGGCTGTTTGCGGTATCCCACACCCAGTAGACCAACAAATATACCACGTACAAAACAGCGAGGGCATATTTGTTCCAAACGTACGTGCTCGGCGCGTGGTTTGCCAGGTAAACCGTGCAATGGCAATAGGTCAGGGGCACACCGGCAAGGTTCCAGAAAATGAGCATGAACCCCCATTTCTCATAATACATGTCCCAGGTGGGGACAATACACTCTTCACCCTTGCTGCAGGCATTTGCATACAAGAAATGTGCCATGAGGAGAAATCCGACTTCTCCAGACACGTACCCGTGTAGCTCATGTTGTCGAGCGGCAGTTCCCAATGTTATCAGAAACAGAATGTACCAGGGTAGTCTGACCTCGAAGAACATCTTGAAGTCGAGGATGCCAAACATGCGTGGATTGAGCTCCGCACCCATGAAGAAATCATACGGGAGAGAACCCGTCATGCGATGCTGCTTGCCCCGATAGACGGCGGAGGTATAGGCCACGATGGAAACCATGAAGCCGGAAATGATTGCCACGGACATGAGGGGACCGAATTCATCGATGATCTGGTACAATTTGAAGAGCCCGGAGAAGTGGAGGCCGAGTGCCACCATGATGGTAGTCCACCACGACCACACACCAGAGCAGTAGTAATCCAGCCGAAGTCCATTTTCGTGGGGTAGAGGCTTGCCTTTGGTCCAAATCCCCGGCATCAAACAATAGCAAGCACCCTCAAAGATGAAGAAGGTCCAGTACATAGCCCAGGCTTTGGCTGATGGCCATGCGCCGTAGTAGGCCATGCGAAACAGGCCTTGGAAGAATTCCTGCAGAGTCTCCCCTTCTCTGGGTGTCGGGAATTTTCCGTCGTAGTATGTCGCGCCAATCCACATGTAGTACATCAGAAGTGGAAAGCCGATCATCATGGCCGTGACTCCCCATGGTCCTCCAAACTCGAAGTGGCCGGATGTATCGACCTTGGGGTCCATTCCTTTTCGCCAGCCGTCTACCAATTTTTCCGAAGAGACTGAAGTCCCGTTGCCTGCCTTGTCCGTGTATCCATTCTCTTTTGGTTTGACGTGTCCATTGGCATATCCATGCATTGTTTCCGGAGTTATCTCTTCGACAGGACGAGATGCTTTTCGAATGCTTCTCGGAGCTCGCCTGACCGGAACGATATCATCTTCAAGGCCGGTTGAAGAATCCTGAGCGTCAGAATCTTCGGTCGCTATCATGGATTTTCGCGATCGTGGCTTTCCAAATGTGCCGGGGGTTTCGACATAGCCGGGATGAATTGTTTTCCTGTTTTTGGTTGGTGGGAGTAGAGTGGTCGTGGAGAGACTTACTTGGGCGTTTTGCCCGCCTGAGTGCGTGTAACTGTCATTTTGAAAAGAATGTGAGCATATCAATTGAAGGAGCGGAAAGGTTGAGAGCGCGAGGCGGAAGGGGGATGAAATGGAATTGGGTCTCCGCACAGGGATGATTACGTAAAACAGTCCATGAGGATCGACCGCATTCGCGTCCTCACATGACATGTGAGATTTGATGGTTTATTTTCAAAATTCATTCTCATATTTCCTACTAATGATGTGAATATGGGAGTCCAAATTGGGGGGTCTCGTCATGACCTACACTCTTGTAAGCCATACCAAACCCGGTCTCAGGAGCTATCTCAGGGGAATATCCAATTCCAAACATCATCACCCCACTCAGTTTGTTGTGATTGTTTCGGCATGTACTCTGGGTCGAAGAGAGATGAGGAACAAAGCATAACTACTGGCCGAGAAGGGTTGGGATTTTCACGTTCATCGAATCTAGCCGCAGAAAAGACTGAGGGATCGCCAAAAACTTTTCTGCCATCCCTCTCTTTTTCCTTTTTCTCTGTTTCATATTGTGTATCATTGTTGCGATTGCTGAAAGGATTGACGTTGAATATATGGGAGCTGACATCCGGCAGATAGGCCGATATAATCCCCCCTGTCGTGATAAAACTACGACATCTCGGCAGATGGAAGAAGGCTGTGGTGAATGGTAGTCGCTCTCCAATGAACAAAGGTGAAGATATATTCAAGATAATCCCCTTCTCTAGGCCATACCCAACACTCTCCGCCGTGCATAGTCCGAAAGCAAAGCCAAATTAAAAAAAAAAAAAAAAAAATTGAACTCTCATCTTGAACCCGGACCCTTCACATTCTCCCATCTCAAGCAGCAGCAAAGGTCAAACAAATGGTCGGTCACACTAGCGACACCACTGCAGAGCAAAATCTCTCTAACCCATCCGATGACGTTTCCAAATATGTCGACCTATCTGGCGAAAAGATGAAAGCTTTGACCTGGGAGCAGCGTCAAAGTCAACGAGACATTCAAATCGGCCAAGACTGAACCCACGGACATTGTCGTCAAACCTGGTGATCGCGTCGTATGCAGCTTCCAATCGCCTGTGGCAAGTGCATGTACTGTGCACATAAACTGAGCAGTTAATGTAAGAAAACCCATGACGGCACCATCGAGAACGTCATGTACGGCCGCACGGCATGTATCCTGGGCAACTCACGCTACACGGGAGGGCATGCGGGCGACCAAGCCGAGGATGTCAGCCAATCTTCTCAAATTTCCCGACGACGTGCCTGATGAAAAAGGCCTATACCTGTCCGACATACTCAGCACGTCGTGGCACTGTGTGGTCGACACCGGTGTCCAGAAAGGAGATGTTGTCGCCATCTGGGACGCAGGACCCCTTAATCACATATGCGCGGTCGTGTCCTTCATGTGCGGTGCGAAACGAGTGATCTTCATCGACGGCGGACTTGGCGTATGGCGCCTCGACTCCGTCAAGTGCAAGCGGCCCAATCTTGAGACGATCGACTTCATAGATCTGCCTAAAGGCGAGAGCAGGAGCATCCCTTCGACGCTGAAGACGATGGAACATGGTGGCCCCGACGTGGCCCTGGAGTGTGTGGCCGGCGAATATGCCAAGGACGGGGGGGCATTACTTCGAGCTCCTCCTCGGCGCGGAGACAGACGCTTCAGAGATCATCAGTGAAATGATCGCCTCTATCAAGAACGTTGGCCGATGTGGTATCACGGGCGTGTACGCCGGGTATACGAACCACCTTGACATTGGCTTGCTGATGGAGCACGACGTTCGGCTCGTCGGCAACGGCCCGGCTCCTTAGATCTGTACGGAGAAGATCTGCTTAAGTAGATCCAAACCGGAACACTGCAGCCATTGCACGTGCTCAGTCCATCGTGTCGCTCTGGAAGAGTTGGAGGATCCTGGCCTGTGTCCTGAGGAATGGGCTGGGATGGGCTGGAATTATGTCACGAATCTTGATTCCGATGGTCACCAAATCGCCGACATACTCTCTGAAGCCATCCCGCACGTTTTTCTTCGGATGCCTTTGTTTGACCTATTGAGAATGCTCGAGATCCATTAGATTATTTGTCTCTTGATGAAGGCTGGACTGAAATTTGTCACGTAGCGGTAGGCCAACAAGTCCGCAATGTCGTGAGTTTGAGCGACAGGGTGCTGTGTGGAATCAGGGGCGTCGAAAGAATCATCTATGTCTCGGAAGCCGGTCCATAACTCAATGACTTGTGGCGACGACTTACTACGTTCGGGGCCTCATCTTGAATATGAAGGAGGAGTGGAAAGCGAAATTTCTCCTCTGTTTTAAGCCTGGTGGTGCAGTGTTGGCCATATGTGGCGCCAGGTTTGACGAAGGCCATTGCGACTATCAAATTGTGATACGAGGCTTCCGGTATCTTGGGCCACCTCTCCTCAACATTTGGTTATAAAAATATCTCCAGTGGCCTTGTACCATGTTTCCAGGGGGGGATAGAGGAAGAGAGCCGGGCGCTGCCAAAGTCACACGATTCTGTCCGTCGAGGAATTGTTGTTGTCGAGGATGGGTCTCGGGTATGTCCCCAGCGTTGGTCCGCAGGCTGGGACCGAGGTCACCAGGAAGATGGATTTGCCATGAAGATGCAAAGCGGTGCTTGTGCGGAGACTGAACCGTTCAGCACGATGCTCCAGTTCAGGCGCTTTTGGTCCTGTACCTGCATGTTGATTGCAAAGGAGGGAAGACGTACGAATCAAGAGTGAGATGGAAGGGGGCGGATGCGCCAAGGCACGTATATAAATAAACACGTAGAGTAATCTGGACATATCTTTCATAATCAATTCACCATCCTAACAGCATGGCAAGGATTGACGCCACGAGGATGGTCAATGGTGTGGTTATTGAACCACTTGGAGCTGAAGTACTGGTATCTTGCACAATAATTTATGTGACACGATACCTACAGCCTCACAACATTAGGTAAGAAGAAGGGGAGAGAAGCACAATCCGTCATCTCTCACTTGAGGCTTTTTCTCACCCTCCATTTCCATCCAGTTCCTGCTACCTTTCGTTATGCCCCGATCGAGTACCAGCCCTAGATCAAGCCATGGACGAATCCACATCAAACAAATTGTCATCAAGATGGCTGCTAAAGTAGTGGACTTTAGCTCCTTGGGTCCATACTGACTAAGCTCCTGCATTCACCAAAAGCCCTCTTAGGAATACATTGCGTCCAATGGTGATCCAATGGATATGAGATGGACAAACCGAGCAAGGTATCTTTGAATTCTCACTGGCTACTCAAACGGCGCTTGCTGACTGTTTTGGTGTCGGCTATTTGACATTTCGGTAGGGGGTGTCCATGCACTTGATTTCTGGGGGGAGACGACATCCTTGGTATAAGTATGGGAGAAGGAATGCAATGGAGAAAGGATACGATTCATTCTAGAACGAACAATCCCACTTCTCATACCTCTTCTGCTTGTTAGCTAAAGCGAAACTCAGCCTCAGTTTTCCCAGATGCCTCTTTCCACCAACGAACAGACAAACAAGACCGCTGAGGCCTTGGTGAATACTTTGAAAGGTGCCTTTTCAACACCACCAGGCTTCAGACCAGGTGTGCCTCCGTGTCCACATCTCCCGAACCAAATCTTTTATTGACCCCATATCCTAGCTCATGCCAGAGGGATCCTGATCAACGGCACATTCACACCCACGGCGGAAGCGGCATCATTGAGCTCAGCACCACACTTCAACAACGTTTCGACCCCTGTGATCGTCCGATTCTCTAATTCAACAGGCATTCCTCAAATCCCAGACAATGCAGGCGATGCCAATCCTCGCGGTATGGCCGTCCGCTTCGTTCTTCCGGATAAGAATGGTCGTCGTCACCATACGGACATCGTCACTCATTCGACACCATTCTTCCCCGTTCGCACCGGCGAGGACTTTCTTGAATTCTTGGGAGCCATTGGTGCTTCATCAGCCCCCGACGCCCCCCGGCCATCCCCAATCGAAGTTTACCTGGGAAAGACTCCCTCGGCCGCCGCATTCGTGGGTGCTCCGAAACCAACACCCTCCAGTTTCGCCACGGAGAAATACTTCGGCGTCAACGCTTTCCAGCTCATCTCGTCCGACGGCAAAGGCACCTTTGTACGATATCGCATTACCCCCGACGCGGGCGAATCTCATTTGACCGACGAAGAAGCGAAGACCAAAGACCCCGCGTTCCTGCACGACGAGATCCAAACGCGTATGATCGACGGCGGCGCCTCATTCACACTGTCCGCCCAGATCGCTCAGGAAGGCGACACCACCAACGACGCCACTATTCGATGGCCCGAGGACCGCCAAATCGTCAAACTCGGCACCATCCAGCTCGAATCCGTCACCGACGACAACGATGAGAAGCAACGCACCATGATTTACGACCCGGTCCCGCGAGTCGAGGGCGTCGAAGCCGGTGATGACCCGCTCATTGATATGCGCGCCAGTATTTACCTCATTTCTGGCCGCCGGCGAAGAGCAGCAGGACCGCATCAGTAAATCCGTCCCAGTCCGTTAAAGGCCTGCGTTGATGGTGGGCACACGAAGCGAAGAAGGGACGAGACCGAGAATGGATAGCATGGTTCGGTCGCGTCATTCTTGGCTGTCAGGTCCGACTGGCTCACTGCCATGGTGAGGATTTCTCTCGTATTGCATCGTCGAGGTCAGTATGCGCCGGATATGGATTTCAATGAAATTATCATCCCAGGAATGCAAAGCATGTCCATATCACAATGCCATCTGCTTTCTCCCAGAACCAAGTAATTTGATGACCGTCTTCGTATTCCAGTCTGATTAATCTAACTTTATACCCCTAGAGAAGACAGACCTTTTCCGAGAAAATAAGTCTCAACAGTCAGCTCCATGGTGCATGCCTGACCATCATTATCACGATAGCCTTTTTCCTTCTGGCTCTCTTTCGCCCTGTCCGTGGCGCCCGCACTGGAACATGGCATTTGATCTGATCTGATTTGATGTGATTCGCACTTGGTAGACGAAATGAATTGGCAGATGCGGATCTGGGTTCAGATCAATGTGAAGATGCTGCGCAGACGCAACTGTGGATTGCATTCCGATTCTGAACATCCTCCGCCATCGGATTCCGGCCCCATATTACGGTCCTTTCCCCTGCCCTGGTTCGTGTCCGTATCCACACATCGACCCACATCCCAGTGGACACCAAGAAGAAGCAACCCCCCCCCCCCCCCCCCCATAACGTCGATCGGAAGTTTTGCACTCACAACCAATTCTGACCTCGGGTCCTCCTGACTTCCTTCTCACCTTTGAACAAACCCTTCTTACTCGTGGGGATGCCCATGCCAATCAAACTCGCCAAGATCATCACACCCGCCTCGACCGGATCAATGACATTAACCGTCCTCCTTCCGTCTTCGTCACGAACACCATCCTTCGCCGCGCGCGTGAGGTCCGTCATGCCGGCACAGCCAAGCACGATGGTGTCGGCGCCCTTCATCACCAGTGCCCGGGACGCATGGGCAATGCGCTTCGAGACCTCGTCGCGCGGGCGGGACTCGAGCTCCAGCACGCCCAGATGGGTAGCTTCGCTGCCGATGTAGAAGTGCGACAGGCCGTACGCGGCGACTTGATCGTCCTGGAGGATCTTGGAGCGTTGGGCCGTGGCGACGATGCCGAAGCGGCCACCGAGCATGCGTGACACATACAGGCTGGCTTCCATGATGCCGATGATGGGGACGTCGTAGGATTCTCGCAGGGCGTCGATCAGAGGGTGCTTGGAGAAGCATGCGACGAGCATGCCGTCGAAATTTTGCACCGTTTCGCCGTTGGAGGCGGCGTGTTTGGCCAGATCGCGCAGGACGGCTTCGGTGGACATGATGGCATCGGTGGTGGATTCTATGGCGGTGGGGGCGGGGTAGGGCGCGGTGTAGCCGGTCACTTCGACACCCGTGGGGATCACGGGGCGGATGGAGTTGAGGCATGCTTCGGTCATGGATCGGGTGGAGTTAGGGTTGATGAGAAGAATCTGATGCGGGCGGGGGCGTGGAGGAGAGGTGACGGGGGGTGAGAAGGGAGATTTGGCACTGGTGGGTCGCGTGCTCGGTCCACTGCCGGCAGGCATCGAGGGCATCATGGGCATGGAGTTGGTGCCGGACGGTCCCGGGGCGGCGGAGCGGGAGACGGGGCGGGCGGATTGAGCATAACCGCTGTGTTGGGCGATCAGTGGTTGGGCATTTTGCCGTGGTGGTGAGATGGGCATTGTGGGTGGGCCATTCTGCGACGACGATGAGACGGCGATGGGATAGTTTTGACCCATGGTGCTGCTTCGAGAGCGAGGCCCATCGGCGAACGGGTTTCCTGAAGATGTGCCGGGTTCATTGGTCGGTGATTGGGGAGGGAAGTATTGGCTGGGAAATCGGCCGCCATAGGTATTCGCGTTGGAAGGCGGTTGTAAAGGTGGTGATTGAGACGGAGCAGGTCCCATGATATGGCCCGAGCTGGGCCCGAATCCTGAGCCGGAGCCGGAGCCCGACGCATGACGCGTTTGATGAGGTGGCATGTCGGAATCGAACTCGTACTGGAGAGGCTGTGAAGGTTGAGGAGAAGATGAAGGCGAAGGGCCACCAGGACGGAGAGATAGGGGATGTTGTTGCGATTGAGGTTGAGGTTGTTGTGAATCAGCCATATCTGCCCGGTTTTGATGTCGACAGCCCCAAGCGCCCGTTTTTGGATGCTGGATTGGGATTTGCTAAGCGAAGGGGGTTTTTGTGTGGACTGTGCAAGAGGGAGAAACAGAAAAGATACTGGCGATGCAGAATGCGTATACGAATGGATGGCGTCTTGAAGTTGCGTGGCTAACAGGGGCCCATAGGCTAGATCCAAGGAGAGAAAGCCTGTTTTATTCTCCGGCGCGGGGCTGAAACCGAGATGGACGCCTCCGAATGGCGACAATGATACGGGAGGGAAAACGACGAGGGTGTGTGTATGGGACAGTCCTAAAAAGAAAGAGAAGATATAAAATAAAGCACGAGATCCCAACGTGGAATCAGACCCCAAAGTCAGAGTAAAGGTGAATTTGATCCTTTCCATCAGCCTCAGGTCGGAAAACCGACAGGGAGAAACTAGGCAATTAGCCATACGAACTAACGAACCCTCGTCTGCGGATTTTCTATATTTGGACTCCACCGTGGGCCCGAACGATCACAATCAGGGAAGTCAGTGTTTTTACTCCCCTAGAGCAAGTCGGGCTCGACCACGCCCGTCTGTCCAACAATCCGCGCATAATGCTCCGTCCGTCGATGCTTCTCAAAGGCAAACACCTTCTCTTTGCCCCGGCGACACAGGCCCAGATCGATCTCGGCCACAATCAATTCATCCTCCTCCGTCGACGCTTCCACCACCACCTCGCCATCACAATCCACAATACAACTGCCTCCGATCAAGGGGTATTTCCCGTCTTCATATCCGCACTTGGCCACGTTGATGCTGAAACACGCATTGGCATAGCTGTTGTAGGTGATGCATAGTTTGTGGTGGAACAACGCCTCTTCTTTGGCTTTTTCCGGCGTGGAGATTTTCTTGTTGGTCCCGATCAGTTCGGGTGCCCATGCCGTCGTGTTATATCCACACAGAACTAATTCCACTCCCTGTAATCCATATGCCCGCCACGCCTCCGGCCATCGTCGGTCATTGCAGATGAGCATTCCCACAATGGGGTCTCCTTTTCCCACTGTGTCCGGTTCATTGGGTTGGGCACCCGATTTCAGGCTCGCCACATCTGGTACCAACCCCGGAGCCCGAAATGCTTGAAATCCCAAGTCGCCCGGTTTGAAATATCGTTTCTCCAATTGATTTGTCGCGTCTTTGCGTTCGTACGGTTCAAAAGTCCCAGGGAGGTGCACTTTCCGATATGTGGAGATGACTTGATCCGCCGCTCCGGAATAATACAGGCTAGTATTATAATGAACATGGTCGTCGCCCGTACACTCGGCATATCCTAGGTACATGTCCATCTTGTATTCTCTGGCCTTGTCGACGAGAGGTTTCAGATTGGGCGATTGAGCCGGATCTCCATCCACTGCGCGGTCAAAGTATTGTTCCAATTCATCTCCCTCGAGGATATGTCGGGGAAAGAAGGTGACAGGGGCGATTTCTGGGTACACGATCAATTTGGCATTCTTCCGAAAAGCCTCGTCCATCAATTTGATCATCCGATCGATGGCGTCGGACCGTGGAGTGTCGACATGGATGGGGCCTAGTTGGGCTCCGGCGACAATGACCTTGCGGGTGGATGATGCCGTGAGACCGGCTACGGACCCCATGGCTCCTGTGGCCGTCTGTCCCTGAGAGGAATCACACAGGCTTCTTGGTCGAACTGTGCTCTGGCGGGAGTCGTCGAGAGTGAATGGCGGAGCTGTTCGATATGAAGGCAAATGCCATGTGAAACTGAAATACGGATGGCTCACATCTCCATCGGATTCACCCAGAGACATTCAAATATCTCGAGAACTCGCATGTCCCGGCCCCTCATGGCATCTCTTCTTTCGTTATCAACGCGTCCTCATTGGGATGATGCCGCCTGTCGCTCTTGTCCGCGGTGGCAGTGGATTCCATGGACATCACCGAGCATTGCAAAAGCTCTTTGGGCCATCCATTTTACCCAACTCGTGATATACCCAGATATCCAACCGCAAAGACATGTATCTCATCTCTTCCGGTCATTCTCGTCCTCCATCCTCCCAAATGGCCATTTATACCGTCCTTTTTTCGCTACTCTCCCATCCGGTCCTCACTTGCGTCTTCATCCCCATCACGGTCCTCGTCCTACGCGCTCTCTACCGAGTCTCTCCTTTCCACCCACTCTCTCATATCCCTGGACCTCTCCTCCCTCGTCTCTCCTCGCTCTGGCTCACTTACCACGCCTGGAGCGGTGATGAAGCATCTCTGGTCCACTCCCTTCACCAGATATACGGACCCATCGTCCGCACCGGTCCTGACAGCGTCGACATTGCCGACGGAGCCGCTTTAGCCGCCATATACCATGAAAAAGGTGGCTTTGGCAAGGTCGACTTCTATGCTAACTTCGACATCGACGGGCACAAATCCATCTTCTCCGAGACAGATCCCACGAACCGGGCACCGCGTGCAAAGGCCGTCGCCGGATTATTCTCCACCAGCAGTCTCAGACAAGGCCAAGATATCATCTACCAATGTGTCGATCGATTCGTAGCCCGCTTGTCGGAGGGAAAGAAAGAGGACAGGCGAGGAAGGCCTCTGAACGTGTTGAATTTTACCCGAGGATTGGCCGTGGACGCGGTCTCATCGTACTTACTGGGCAAGACGTATGGGGCGCTCGACGAGGATGGGACCCGCGAGGAAAAGCAAGCGGTGCAGAAGGAAGGATCGGGATCAGGGCCTGCCCGTGACGACCACATGAGTGCCAGTGGCATGGTCGATTGCTTCGTCGCCGTCGGCCGGTTCTGGTATTTGCCACCGTGGGCCTTTAAGATCGTGGAATCTCTCGATGCATGGTGGAACGCTGAGCCGGGCGTCTCAAACAGCCTCGACGTCGTCGACGCCTTTGTGGCTCGTGTCGTTGACGATGCCGAAGGAGTGATTCGGGCCTCGGAATCCAACGACGAAAAGTCGACGCACCCGTCGACATCGTACCCGGCACGGTTACTTCAAGCAGGCTTCACGCCCTCGGAGACACGTGCACAGTGCAAGGACCTCATCTTTGCGGGCACAGACAGCACGGGCATGAACCTGGCAACGATCTTATTCCTGCTCGCGAAGAACCCTACCGTCTACGCAACACTGCGCGATGAGCTCAAGACCGCGGGAGACCCAAGATTCGACGACCTGCAATCACTCCCGTACCTGCGCGGTGTTGTGAAAGAAGGCCTCCGTCTCTCCATGGCGAATCCATCACGCCTCCCTCGCGTCGTGCCCGCCCAAGGCTGGACCTTTAAATCTACACACTTCCCCGCCGGCACAGTCGTGAGCTGTACACCGTACTCTTTGCATCTGAATCCAGATGTCTTTCCGGATCCAACAGCATTCAAGCCGGAACGTTGGCAGGAGCCGTCGGAAGAGATGATGCGCGATGCCATACCCTTTGGACTAGGCAGTCGGCAGTGCATTGCGCGCAATCTGGCCACGGTGGAACTATTCTGTGCCGTTGAAAGAGTGGTGCGTGCCGACGTTTTACAAGGTGCTAGGACAGTCAAAGATAAGATCGAGATCCTCGAGTGGTTTAATAGCAAAGTTATTGGTGAAAGGGTAGATTTGGTTTGGAAATAGCAAAAGAACCAGATAGATTGTGATGCCTCGGCGTGGTATAAAACACCCCTGTTTGCCATATTCTGAAGTCGAGGAAGCCAAAGATGAGAGCCTTTGGACTTGTCCGTAATTTCCCATACCACAAAGCCTTCATGTTCGTTTTGCGCGACAGGATGTCACCAGTTCTCGAACGGACGAGGTGGAAAGGATGCGGTACGGGACCTTCAAACCGACGGCGTAGTCCACGCTTGATATTTATCAGGGGCAATACCCCGACTAGGTTTGAACCATAAGAGTCCAGTAGGCTAGCATTGCTCCAGAGGGTCTGAACTGCAGCCGTATAGGAGCAACTTATAAATCATTCTCCACGCATGCGACTTCTCCAAAGGTGATTTCGAGGTGATGGACAAGAGCCCCGACACCCCCAGCCCAAACTTTGACATCCTGGCCCGTGGAAAGCAAAAGCGAATCGAGGATACCAGAGATTTCCACAGAGACTGCCAAATACTAATATCGCCAAGCATAAAGCTTCACATGGAATCGTTGAGGGAGAGGTTTTGGAGTGTAACGCTGTCTCCAGTTCTCCGAACGGTGTTGAAGGCCGAATGGCACCATTGGCATCAAGAAACCTGAAAGAAAGAGTATGTATTTGATGTCTCCTATATCCGATTGATGGTTGCTGGTTTATCGGGCTCAAAAAATTTCAAATGGCGAAGCTGGCATAGCATATTTCCAATGACAACCCAACCCGCCAGTCTTTGGACTGTCTGCTTGAACATTCGAGTCTGCTCGGATGGATGTTTTTGGGAAATACGTCGTACGTCAATCCGGTGTTTCTCGTGATCACGGGGACTGCATGGTCCGATTCCAAACAGGAGACAGAAGCGAGCATGGACTTTCGTCCGAGTTTGGCGAGGTATGACCCCCTCGCTCTCTTATTTCTTTCTTCCACATGACAATCGTATCATAAGCATGTGGCATCTTCTGATGATAGAGGGTGGTATTCCTGTCTTTGGAATGAAGACATCGACATAGAGGTCGAGCAAACGGAACGCATCCACTGTGTATATGTGTATTGTCGCACGTCTGTGAATGAAGCCTCAAATCCTATACTTCTGGATTGCCGAAATTCTAGAAGGAGACATGTCTGACTCTTAGTTTCAAAGACAACATCTGCTCCCCCGAAGATGGATTGAGATGGTGACATGTCAGAGGTCCTCCCCAGCGTGAGCACTGCTCTTAAGAACATGAGGTATCATAGAGGATAGGACAGAAAGTATGAAACTAACGCCCTTTCTCGTCACCCTGTGAGCTCCTTGGACATGAGCTGGGGTTCATGTCCAAGCAGTTCCGCATGAGCGAGGAACGGGATGGTGCTGAGATAGGATTTTGGGCCGTCTACCTCGCGGACGAACTCCAAGCCCACGGATAGAAGGATTGAGTGCGTTCCAACGCACCCATCGTTCCTATTCGGGTACATGAAACGCAGCATTTTTAGTTTTTAGCGAAAAGAAACTCCAATGACGAATTTGCGAGTTGTATGGAGAGAAGAACAACCTGGGAGATACCATTCCCGCAATTGGTCTTCGCGTCTGGAAGGATTTCTCTTTTCGGGGAGAGGTAAGAATTCCTCTTGGACATTGTTTGCGTTGTTGGCCCAAGCCCAAGCGGCCGCATCAAGAATAACACGCAAGGGATGGAAACTTTCGTGACATTTGGTGCTCCTGCAGCGGTGGGGTGAGCAACTCGAGCGCCATTCAACACAAGCGGCAAAGGGGTGGCATGCAGCTGATAGCTTTTCAACCTGTTGTGCCGAGTGATAATATCACGGCACATATGTATAAATAATAGAAGAGATAGCAGAGCAATGAGCAGGGTGTAATGCAGGTCCCTAAGCCGATGGAGTCAGAGGTAGACATGGAAAAGGGACCGAGTGGCATTCCGGGAGTTTGATGGGGATATTTATACCTGTAGGAATTACTTTGGTTCGGCGAAGCAATGGAGATGGTACAATGTCTCATACTCTTCAATTCATGCCTCGGGTTTCATATTGCTTCGTTGTATGTACATTCAATCCGTGAGATATCCCCTAGGACGATAGTCAATAATTGTACATGGACAGGATGAACCTTTTGGTTAAGAAAGGCTACTCAACCACGTCCGTCGCGAACTTCCGCTCCAACACTTCAACTACCGAATGTTTTCACCGGGGCTAGAAAGTCAACGTCGGACGGCGACCTCTTTGTTCCAGCTTCATTCCCGTCTTCAGCACTCCGATGTTCACCCTTTCCGGCCAGAACGTTCTGCACAAAGTCATAGGCAGTAACGATCCGATCCTCCGGACCCACTAACTCAAACATCCGTATGATCCACTCGTCTGAATCGACGATGAATTGATCGAGGCCCGGAATAGACGATAAAGTGTTGTCGGAGATAGACAAGAAGGGAGGGAGGAGTGGGGTTGTCAAGGAGAGGAATGATGAAGCTGATATGGAAGTATTTTCCGGAGAAGGTACATTGGATGTCGGCGGCACAGGCAAAGTATTGGTCTCGCCGGTAAGTCGGCGCTGTGTTGCTGCATTGGAGACCTTATCAACGAAGGCGCCTATCACCTCAATGCGCTGATTGTACGTCCCCTTCAGCATACTCAACTTGCACAGTTCCGGGATCCCCCCCAAAACGATAAATGTCGCTAGATCCGCTTTTGTGGGCACTTTGCGACTCCAGCCTCTCAACCGTCGCTCTATCGACCCAGCGTAGGTGGGCGCTCGACTCAGAGAGCGCAGATGTTGTCGGGAGAGGTCATAGAAGTGGTATGCTGGAATGACTTCGGTGCCAGGGTAGAGGGGCAGAAGAGATCTGATAAATTCGGCACATTTGGGGCATGAAGATGATGATGTGCCTGAACCATGTTCCTCCCGTTGAGATGGTGGGTCCGACGGCGATTGTGAGTGGTTGGGATGTTCGAGAACCAGCATCTCTCGGTAATGGTCGAGGAAATGATACACAGTCCATGCTGCCAGATGCAGACGCCTCATCAACTTCAATTTATACGGAGTGAAATCCCGAAACCGTGGACAGCTGGGGAACATGTAGACCTTCATTTGGACGAAGTTGGCGATGACGTCTAGCATTTTGTCGATTTGACTCTGCCGTTTGATCATCAGCATGAGGTAGTTGGTCGAGTTGCATGGAAGGGGCTGAGGGTAGAGAGTCTGGATGTAGCTGTAAGTGTATTCTGCCTTCTCGTGACGAACGTTGCCCTCATATGAAGTGGAGGTATTATCGTAGGCGTATTGTCTAAGGACTGCGCGGGTGATTGGGGTCGCGTGGGCTTGCAGGAAGTGGTATACAGAGCGGGAGGTCAACCGCAGCGCGAATATATCGGTGAGAGAGAGGTAACAGAAGATTTGTACGATGATCTCGTCCGGTAATGAAAAGAAGGCCTCGCCTAGTTTTCTCCTGGGACAATCAGTCAGCAATGGATGTATCCCGACCCTCGATGTCTTGCGAGAGAATGTACTAACGCGGCAATATCAGAACTCGTGTCAGCCTCCTTGGACGAATTGGATCTTTTGGACCGAGGGAGCCGTAGGGACAAACCCGCAAGACTCGATCGTCGAGGAGGATTGGGGTCAGCAGCCGAGGGCCGGCGTGAGGATTCCCCGCTAGAACTGCAATTGTCGAGGAGGGTGACGGTGCTTGATCGTCTCAGAACGCTCGTCACGGTCACCATGGTTGTAAAGCTTCAATATCACAAATATGAATACCGGGGTATTATTTGTTTCCACTCGTCAAAGGCGCGGGGAGCTTGACAGGACTGCATCGAAGCGACAGAGCCGAGTCCAGTGCTGATAGAAGATGTAAGAGCAAAGTGCCGGCAATGGGAAGTACGGAGTCCAATGCAATGCTGACGACAGGTGATCTGATCTCGCAACATCAGACCTGAACGTGGAGGAGTCCTCAGAGACAGAATTGTTCTGACGGAAGCCAGACTGCAAGTCTGCGAGAGGTTGCGAGCGGAGAATAATAGTTGAAGAAAGTCCAATTCAGTCACGAGACTACCTTTGGGATATGCGTGTTTTATAAGGTAGGGTCGATATTGGGTATGATGTCGCCGCGCCACGAGCATCAGGCTGCGCTTCTGGGCGATAATTGGGTTATCTCTTCCGTGGATGGTCAACTCCGCATTGGCGTTGCTTCGGTCCTGTTCTGGGAATCCTTCCGCCGGGGAGGGGGAATTGGGCCAAACAGGTTGAAGGGTATAAGGCGGGCTGAGCCCTGCAAGCAGTCGGACCGATTTCACTTTCAATATAGTGAATCCAGCGAGGTGCAGTCAGATGTCAACGGGAAAACCAGAGACAGAAATGGACTCGTTCCTCTTAACAAATTGTCCTGTTCTGTATCATACTGCATCCCTCCCCCCGAGAGTATCCCCATCGCTGGCTATGCTAGGTTGCCACATTATGGTAATCTACTCTAATACAAAGGTCTGATTCCGAACTCCGGGACTTTTGGTCTCTTTTCTTGTTTCTAGGTCCTCTAGTACTTCGTTCGGCTTGGAAGCAACTTCATTTGATCCATGATGTTGCCAGACAATCCCAATAGACCGTAAATCCATCTCAGGATAATGAAGAAACTGTCGGGCTCTCCCATGTGTTTCTTGCCCTTGACCATCCTTGCCAATTTGGGTCCGCCATGTTCCAGGGCCACAAACATATCATCAATGGGGAAAATCTCATCGTCGTTTCCGTTGACCAGGAGCATCTTCGTGCATGGCTTTTCCAGGGTCCCGTCGTTCAGCAACGAGAACTTGCCTGCTTCCTGGATGAAGGACTCCAAATCAGGATACCCGAATTTATAAGTCAGCGTGTTGGCCAGGTCAAAGGGATATTCCAGCTTGTTAACGTGTTCCAACCATTCCCGGTCAAACATGTGATGCGCACCGCCACCCAAACTGATGCACGCCAGTAATCGGTCATGATGCGTGTGGGCCACCCTGAGCGCATAATATCCACCTGTTGAAAAGCCCCAGACGATGATCTTCTTGTTGTTAATTGCCTTCTGTGTATCGATCCAATCCAGGACGCTGGACCACTGACGATCGGGGCTCGTGGGATCTTGCCGAAGAGCTGGCGAGTCTCCGGTGCCCGGAATCTCGGCAATGACGGTAGCCACTCCCTTTTGGAGCCAACCCTGCTGCCATACGGCGAGTTCGGTACGGTATCCATCCAGACCAGTGATGATCAAGACGCAAGGAGCGGGGTTTTCTGGTGATGCGCCGGGAGGGAGGAGGAAGTTGACTGGAACCACATCACCCTCCCCCTGAATGCCATGTGCATGCGGAATCCGAACTTCTTTGATCGGGTGCTCCATGAGGCTATCCCATTTTCATGTCAGCCATCTCCTCTTGCTTCACGTCAGACTCATGGACTGACCCGGCGCCCCTGTAGAAAATTTCGGTCCCCTTCTTCCAGGCATATTTTTGCTTCTCGGATCGAGGCGCAGGGAAACGAGAGATACGATAGACGGCGGAGCTGCGTCTGTTGACCGTTAGCAGCGTCCTGACACACAATGGCACTTCGACAGACAGATAGTATTCCGAAGCCTTTTCTCTTGCACCCGCGCTCTCCGCCTCCTCGGCGATCCGGGTGAGTTCTTCGGCTTTGGGGAAATACATCTGGGCGTACTCATCCCAGTCGTAGGGTTCCTTTAAGCCTTTCTTCAGGAGAGTCAGCACACACACATACAAATAGGCCAGGGATCAACTGCGGCGTACCTTAATGATCTCCTGCGCAACTGGTTCGAAGTCCTGAACGCTTCCGAACATAAAAGGATACACACCCATTTCGCACTTTTTGGGGGGGGTCTCATGAGTCTCTGATATTATTCACTCAGAATGTCCACGTACAGGTTTCTTCCATTTTGTCTCCCACAATTTCTGGAAAGATTCGTGGTGAATGGCAGGTTTTGTCAAAGCGTCTTTGATGTAGTATTTTTCGGCCGCCATTCTGAATGGGCTCAAAAGTAAACACTGCGGAAACTTGAAGGGACAACAGGATACTTGTAGCTATGACAATCGCGGTGAGAGAAACTCAGTAGCCGAGATCAACAATCAGTACGGTTCAGATTTCGGCCGATGCCGAATTATGTGGTGGTGGTACGACGATGTGGAACAGGGGGTTTTTGATTCAATCAATCAATGGTCGTACTGTGGACGCGACGAAGAGGCTGAAAAAGGGGCTTGTGGGGAGGGACCCAGCTTGCGGTCGCTCATCACGGTTTTGAATTTCAACTTTCCATGACTGGGGAGTCGTGTGCGTCTGGCTGGGACAAGACATACAGTTAGTTGACCAAGATGCGGGTGCCGACGAGGTGCGCACAAGACCGCAGGCATGCCTGGAGGTGCAGATGGCGGGGTTTGGACGCCAGCCCCCTTTGACCCCCGAAGACTAAGATGATGCTAAATCTGGTTTCGTTTGCGGCGTCTAGTGCCAATCGGTTCGGGCTAGCTGCGGATGCCAAATCCTTTGCAGGAAATGGTTTAGGGCCGGCCGGTCAGCGAGAACGAGCCAGGAATTCCGCCACTCACTGACTCCCTCACAGTCCATCCATCAGCGAAGTCCGTCATCATATCATGTCTTTTCTTCAGGGCCTCCCATCAGAGCCCATACAACCCGCCTACCTGACATAGAACCATCTCCGATCCTGATGTCCGTTGTCGTATATCATGTCGTATCGAGCTCTCCCAGATTGCTGCTCGGCTCCCAAATGTGCCGAACGCGACTACTGCTTTAAAAAGTGATGTACATGGTAATTAGCGACACATAAAGCCAATCGCCAGCCCAAGGAACCCATGCCCCCCCATTCGCCATGCTATGCCATGCCACCAGAAAGAGGCGATCAAACTCTGACCCTGAAAGCTGCATCCCCCCCCCCCCCTTTGTCATGAACATCATTATAGTCGTGCTCCTCGGGGAGAAATTCTGATTGCTTCAGGCTTGCAGTCGGGTCGGGCTTGACCTCGATATCCAGATATATTTGGCTGCGCTTCCTCCGCGACCCAATCTGTATACCATCGGTGGAATGGCCGATTCGCTCGTCACGTCACCCTTCAGGATTGATTTGAGATGCATCTTGGCCCGGTTGGTAAATGGATGGTCAGGTCCGAAAGCATCACGACAGATATCAACCACGTGTTGCATCGTCTCATTGGCCTCATTTCGACGGCCCAGTTTATGAGAGATTTCTGCCATTCCGCGAAGACAACGCACATAGATTTCTCGCTCCTCCAGCCGGGGCAGCGTTTCTGCTCGTTCCAGTGCCACCTTCAGGGCTTGGAGAGCCTGTTGATATTGGTCCAGGTGGAAATACGCCTCCGAGGTGGAACGTAAGGCGTAGCAAACTTCATAACATCGTTTATTCAGCGTGGTTTCAAAGGCGTCCACCAGTTGTTGAAATCTGACGGCGGCCTCGGCAAATCTTTCTCGGTTCATCAGACCGGTGGCAAAGGTTTGTAGTAAAGCAATGGTTTCGGGATGGAAGTATCCTATGCTGTCCTGAAAAAAGTCGAGTAGTCTTCGGAGACTGGCCTCGGCCAACCACGCTCGGGATACGGTGGCGTGGTGCATATAATTCGCGACCAGGTATATGGGGTGTTCTTCCGATTCAAACACCGCCTTGGCCATGTCGGCCAGGTGCTGGAGAAGCATCAGCAGTGGCTCCTCATAACCGGTTCCATCATGTCGAATTATTAGATCAAAAATGTAGATCATAAACCCCACATGGTCATCTTTGAGAAGACCCTCGATCAGGGCAAAGGCCTTGTAGAAGTTATCGAATGCCCGATCTCTCTGCCCATTCCAGAGGAATGAATAGCCATGATACATGGAATAGTAAAAGCGGTCCGCAAGAGCATCATCTGATGTGGCCGTCCATTTTCCGGTGGTATTGTGGATGGAGACATTTCGGGCCGTGAACAGGCTGAGGTAGTGATTCTGCAGGTTTTGGAAAATCATGTCGAGATATCGTTGGTCCTCCGGTGAGGCGTTCGTTTGGGCGACTGTCGACTCGACTGACAGCGTCCGGAAGGGAGGCAGGGGCGACAGGTTGGGTATGTTCAAGACAACTTGTAACGCGGCAAGGCGACTCTCGGCAATATCGGAAGGTTTAAGGGTAAGAGGTATGGCGGCCTTCTCGTGGTCATCCATGTCCATGTGACTTCTCGTCATCTCGTAATCGGAAACGGCTTGGGGAGTATCCAGGAGGTCATCATGAGACGAGGGCGGAGTTTTTAAGTCAGTATCTTCAGGTGACGAGCGTTCCCCACTGGTTTCGGCTTGAGGCTCCAGGAGGCTGGACGGATCTTTGATACCTTTTCGGTTGAAGTAGTGGAGAGCGTCGGCGAGAGTGACCTGCCTTCCTCGGACGAGGAAAACTTTGTCCTTGTCATCGCCCTTTGCCTGCAGTCCTTGCCGGACCAAATCAAGCATCTCATGTTCCTTTTTCTTCTTATCCAGGCCCCATGTGTGGAGTCGGCTTTTATACATTCGCTCACTGTTTGGGATGGGGTGGTGGGTTAGTTCGTTCGGGGGCTCCAGAGAATGGACGACAAAAGTACCTACGTGGGCGCAAAATCAAATTCCCTCTTCAGATACTCGGCCACATCCTTGAGCGTCCGGCCTTCCTCAAAATATAATTGGGTAATCAACGGGCGATGCCTTCGCCACTCGTCGGTCGTGTAGGAATTAGAAGAGCGTTTGTTCACCTTGCCCTTTCGGTCGACCGGTGAACTGTCCGCCGAAGCCATGAGCGTGGGTAGATTGACAGTGACGGGAGATTCGGTGAAGTATTAAATCATCGTATCTCTCTCAAAGCATGGGGCATGGTCTCGGAGATGTATTCCTGACGGGATGCCGGCAATGGGCTGACGAACACGAGAATGGGAAGAGGGAGGGGGGGGGCTGTGCGGATTGTGGTTAGGGGAAAGTAATCTGTACGGGAACGACAGAATTGAGATATGGAGAGATTCGTGAGAGTCCGCGAGAGTATACGGTGGAGTCGTGCTGGAAGAATTGTCGGTAGAGGGACAGAAATAGAGTAGGATGGGAGGTGGTTAGAAGGGAAAAGCGGTAATGTAGTCGCGCAGCAAGTGAGCGGTCAATCGTCGAACAGGGGACCAGGGACCAGGGACCGGGGACCGGGGACCAGTCAAAAGGAGGAGAAAGAGGCTTGAGCAGAAGGGAGACGCCTGAAGGGGTCGAAGGGCGTAAAAGGTAAATGGTGAAGCCTGAAAGTTGCTTGGCCGGGATGAATAGGTAGGGTTTGGGTGGAGGAGAGGACTGAGCTGGGGGATGGAGCCCTCTGTCTGAGATGGGGCGCGGATGGAGATTTAGAAGTTCTGGAATGAATTCGTTGTTTCGGTGCCCTAAACAAGGTGGAACACGGTGGAAACACGGTGGAGGCGGGAGTTGAGGGCGAAGATTCCAAGAGCGAAGGGTGGATTAGCCAGCGTTCTGATTAAGATTGGCCTCTTTCCCCAAAACACAAAAAAACAAAAAAAAAAAAAACCCCCCCAAAAACAAAAAGAAAGAAGAGGGTCGAGAGAGTGTTGCTATTTTGAACTGCGGTAGTTCTCAAGTACCTGACCAAGGTGCTAACTCGCTTAGGCAATTCACGGCACTGGTAGAGGCCAGAGTCGAGACTCGACCTGGGGAGTGCGTAAGAATCAGCTCGACTAACAGGTATAGTCGCATACAAGCACAGACTCCTGGCCTACTCTGTATGTAGCTAAACAGGGAAGTGCTCTGGACACTACACACCCAGCAGTTTGAATAAATGTATTGCGAGTTGCCGAGTTACTTACAGAAGTACATCCGGTACCTAGAATTTTACGTATGTGCTGCACAAAAGTACCTCATTTGCCAGCAAGACACTTGCTCCAATTGCCAACTTATGGGGGGATTGGATCTAATGCCTTGCTGGGATTCTACGGCCCTAGTTGGGGGGCGATGTTCTCCGTCCTGTTCCACCGCTCTGTGACTGGGGCCATCTTGCATCTGCCATGTTGGCTGTCATCCAGGGTTAGACGAACCATCCTGTCAACATATCCCCCCTCGAACTATCCTATCAACCCGGGACGAACTTGATGCCACCCACTGCAGTCAGCCAGAGACCTCTCGATCTCATCACCCTTCCTTGCCACCACCTAGACGAAAGCAAAAGTCCAAAAAACAAACCACGTGCTGTTGCTCCACACACGTCTACCGATATCATCTGGGTAGGGTCCTGGAACACTCGTAAGGGTGTGTGCTAATAAGTAATAATAGGACCTTTTTGCTGGACCATGCTGCGCTTCCGGCCTCCTCGGCATCCCCCTGATTGATCAGGGGATCAATCAAGTCTTTCTTCCTCGTCGTTGCCATTGCTGTTGCCTCCTCCATCGCTGTCATTTAGGATCGTCACCTTACCACCTTGGCTAGAACGAATATTAATCCCTCCTCATATCCTGGGCTAGCGCAGCGCACCCCTACCACTACCACGACCCACGACCCACCACAATTGCAATCACCATCTCTATACCGTCATCCTCACCACCTTTCGTTTCTCCTCCGGCAAAGAAAGCCTGTGCACGGCCGAACTTCTTATTTCGTCAAACGCATTTTTGTCGTCCCGAAATTCTGGGTTCTGTGTCCCGCAACTCTTAACCGAGGCCTAACAGCTTGTCGCCTTTTCTTCTTTCCGACTTCAACTTGCAGGCCTGAAAACTCAATTGGGCCCCATTCGTCCTCCGACCATTCCGGCGACCCTAGATCTCACATAAATTAAGCCTGGAGCACACCAACACCAAATGGTGGGGGAAAGGATTGGGCCTAAGAACCCCCTCTGACCATGGTGGCTTGACCGTCGGGGCCTAAAAGAGTAGGGACGGTTGGAATATGCCCGGATGAGATGCCACCGACCCTGGCAATGACATGGAAGCCAATGCTCTTATCTCACTAGACTTCCTGGAAAATTCATCATCCGACTCCTGAACATCTTTGGTTTATGGCATCCAGAAAAGCGGCAATTTTCAGTGCCCCTGTTCATCACTTTGGAAAGGCTCTTCACACTCAATTAATTATTCATGAACTGGGGGTCAACTAACATTGACCTCTGCGTTCTGAACACCGTCTGGAACTCATCGGTGAATGTATCTGAAAATCCATTCGATTCTTTCTCACTGTGATTTCCCTTCTGACTGCTCTGAGCATCAATCCTGTTCAATGTACATTTTGCAGATCTTTGGGGGCTACGCTGACAGAAAAAATTTCAAATGCTACCTTCAGCGGAGTCCGGGACAAGGACATTGTCGCAAAAAGCAATGGGCCTCGACAGAAGAAAACCTTTGCTGACGAAAGCGGATTTCTGCCAAGATCCCTGGCCGACCTAGGCCACGATCCTCGACAAAGAAGATATAAGTAAAGCGGCAAATAGGTGTAGTTAGCTCATACGCTCCCTTCACGCCGTGACAACGACATGGAAAAAAAAAAAAAACACCTATTCACAACATTCTCACTTCGACAAACTGTCTAGCCAGGTCTCAAGGCTCATCTAGGTAAAGGAACGAAGAAGGACCCGAACCAATTCTAACATTTTCCGTTTCGCCCTCGGAAAATTGCTAGAATTTCCCCACCAGAAACAAAGGTGAACACCCTATGGAAGGTCTCATGCTGTGTCTCTCTCTCTCCCCTCTTCCGCAATGCCAACGAAGGATCAGACGGTATAAAAAGGAATCTCTGAGCCGCGGCTCTTTGGTCCCTTGGTGTATCTTCTCTTCCGGTCTTTCCTCGAATACTCTCCTTGATTTCGCAGCTTTACACCAGGACGTGCATTCCTTTTAGAAACAAACGCCTATCTACCCTGATCGCACCAGCTAGCCGCTACATAGAAATCGAAACATCAGGAGAAGAACCATGTCCACACCGAACGACACTCTGCCCTCCGGCCTCCCCAACCCAACCATCCACATCACCTCACACAACGACGCAGGCAAATCCGTCGTCCGCAGCTCCGGTCAGAACGAATGGAACTGGTTCCGCGACAACACTGTCGGCTTCGACGTCGTGTATACCACCTCACAATTTCCCGCTCTTCTCAACGACGAAGCCGACATCTCCGCCCACGCCGCAACCATGGCCAAAGGAACGCTAGGCCTCGTCTCCAAGAATGGCACCGTGTGCCGGATCGTGGACTTTGGGCCGCTCGACATGGACCCACCGCCAACCCCGCTGATGCACCGCACCCAGAGCCTGGATTATGGGATCGTGCTCGAGGGTGAAGTCGAGATGGAACTCGACGACGGCAGTGTCACGAAGATGACGAAGGGCGATATAGCGGTGCAGAGGGCCACGATGCATGCATGGCGGAATCCGAGTCGGACACAGTGGGCGAGGATGTTGTTTGTGCTGCAGGATTGTCAGCCCGTGGTGGTTGGCGGACAGAGACTCAGGGAGCAGCTTGGCGAGAGTGGTTCGGTATTGCCGCCGAGTGGGAATGATGATTAAGAGCTCCCAAGTGGTTCGAGAAGATCTACACGGCATACGGGAAAAATGGGAAGAAGACCAGGGGGGAGGGAAGGGGACGAGACCTACTCGAGCGAGAACGGGGCGTGTTAGAGATGTGTTCGAAACGGAATACTCGATCGTCTTTGGTCCTGAGCATACATAGATAGCTACTCGCAAGAGATTTCCTGCGGTAGTAGAACGAGCATCGACGGCGTAAGCATATATGCGTACAAGATTTTGACCTTCACCGCTCAGGAAGTGACGATCATTTAATTTTCTTGCTTTCCCATCGTGGCGAAACCCAAGAAAAATAAAAGTCGAAGTCAATTATTCAGGTTCAAGTCGACTTCCAGAGGAACTACGTTCCAGGCTCATCGTGAAAACATGTTAACCAACAACTTTCTTGTCCTGCTATGTACAGCCCTCAAAAGATCGAATCCACCAACGTCAAAGTCAACCAGCGATAAATAGTGTGATGGTGATGAACGGTTTGGCACCTGAGTGCCTGCCATGCAGGGGGGATGTCGGCGTCAGGATCATGGAGCAACCACACACGAAGCTCTCATTTCGTCATTTTTCTATGTTCTGTGTCTCCTCGCGTGTATGTGTAAAACCCAACTAAGAAAGACTGGATGCACTCCCCAGCTTTCTGCCCACGCATGTCTGCTTTCCCTTTACATCATCTGTGCACGTAGCGCCCCGCTACAATAGATACACTTGTCCTCCCATTATTGCCCTCCCCCTCCCAACTCAGGCGCAGAGACCGCCGCCGAAGACCTACCCTCTGGCGCCCAGGCATCGAAAAAATCCAAACTCAACGGACTGGTGTCCAAGTGCAAGAAATCCCGTACCTCGCCGTGAGGGAACAGGTCAAGCATTTCCGGGTCAAGGAATGGGCGGAAGAAATCGATCGTGTGCATTTCCGGGGGGTAGACTTCAGGTTGTATGGATGCAGTCGGACGTTGGGAGTAAGGATCTTCAGAGCCGGGCCCGGGAGGGATGGATGGAGGCGGAGCTGGTGCTGATTCTTGACGGAATGTGGATGAATACGAAGGGTGCAAGGTGGTTGAAGAAGGGGAGGGTACCCGAGGTTGCGGTCTAATGGTTCTTGTGCCTTAATAGATATCAAGTTGTCAGTTTGTCTCCTATAACTTCCCTTTGAGAAAAGAAAAGAACGTTGAGTTTGACTTACCATCCTGCCCCGTCGTCGCCGTCATGGAATTGGAGGACTGCGCATCATTCTCGCCTTCGATCCCCAAATCTGTCACTTCCTCTCCCTGTTTCGCATACCCATTCCCTCTAGTCCAGAGGATACGATTGTGGCCGAGAATCGATTCGCGCGCATACACGGCGTTGATTTTAAAACTTGTCAATTTCTTGGCGTCGATGAACTGAGGTTCGTTCTCGAGGACTATTGGATTTCGCGCGTGGATTTTGTAAAGGTATCGGACATGGATTTCCTATACAGAGCATCAATTGATCAGTTCCGACATGGATTGATTGACTCGGATCTCTGGGGGGAGGCGGCTTTTCGTACCAGTAACGCCGAGAATTTCCAATACTTTGCCAACGTGTGAATCATCTGGACATTCGCCTTGACATTGGCATGCGCTCGCTCCCTGATCAACGAATCCGAACTCCACATGAAGGGAATCTGGATGGCACAGCCGCAGTACGCAGCATACGAGACGAAACTCGGTATCGCTCCGAGTCTAGGATAGTTTGCGATGACCGAGTCGATCAGCGCAGATACTGCACACGCATGCTCGTATGCCACCTGAGCCGAGAACTGGCGAGCCGATAACCAGCTGTTGTCTCCAGGGCTCCAGCAGAACAGAGGTACGATTGAGGAGTGTAGAGCGCAAAGACACTGATGGTGGACGATGTGGAGGAGGAGCAAGTTAGGAAGAGCATCTTGGGGGACTCCGCATATGGAGGACGGTGTCATTCGTAGCGAGGCCGGAATTTTGTCCCACCAGTCTGATATGCGATCGTGTAGCGCGTGGATGGCGGTGACTCTGGTGCTGATGCTGGATTCGGGAGATTTGACCAAGCTGTTCACTGCCGACCTGAATCCAAGTCAGCATTGGACAAGGATAAGCAGCCACCGAAAGATAGCACGTGCCAAAATGTTAAAGCCTTGACCAATTCACAGAAGATGCCGCCATTGCTGGGACCGGAATCCAGCGTGGCTTTGGGACGTGTTGGAATGCCAGCATCGAAGTCCTCTTCACGCCACGGCAATGCGAGCTTCAAAACCGTCTCCCCTGCTTCAAGTGCAAACAAGGACTCCGAGGCATGGCAGTGCATAAGATAACAGGACCAGAAACGTCGACGACATACTTCTGATTCCCACGAATCGTCGGCATTCGGTCTTTCGGTTCCGAAACCAAGGAGATAGGCCGTTTGGGTCCCGTTTCCTCGGGACTCAGTTAGTGCCGATGACGCCGGGGAGGGGCAATCGTGGCTCTACCTTTGTGTATGTACGACCTTCGCCATAACCCTTGACTATACCAGAAAAGTGCAAGATTCATGAACGTCACAATGCTGTCCCCATGTGGGTTCTCGACCTCTTGAAACACGAGTTTCCCTGCCCGCTCGGCCCATTCTGTGCTAAAGCCATGATCTTTGAGGGTAGCTTCATCATTGTGGTCGCGATAAAAACTGGACACCGAGCCTTAGCCAATGTTTCGTGGGAAGCGGGTAGACGAGCCATACTTCGAGGCCCATGCACAAACACTCAGAACAACATGAGGTCGAGCTGTGCCGGAAGCAAGAGCTTCAAGAAATGATCTCTTATGCAACAGTAGAGAAGCATTGTAGACGTGTGAATAATACACTTCAACCAAGGTCCGCACCAGGGAAGAGGGGATTCCGAGACAATATTCATCTGATATTGAGACCAACCGGGTCGGAACAGCCGAGTGTGCCGTGTTTACAAGCTGCCCGGAGTTCTGACTGATCACACAATTCCTGTCTCGATCATAGAGGGATGATGCTGACGGAGGGCAATGGTCTGCCGTGCTGGTCTGCTGAGATGCCTTGGAAATTTTCTGTACTTCGGGAGTGTTGACTCCGTAGATGCAGGTGTGCCTCAACCTCGAACACCGTTTGCAAGCCGGTCTGTCTCCTGAACAGCGGACCTAACCTGATATCAGCCTTATTTCCAGCCATGTTCAGAACAGGATATGACATGGTGCTATTATTCAGGCACCCCACCTTTTGACTCTTACACTGGCTACACGCCTTCCTGGGTCGCCCTGATCCGGCCAACATGAGGATTTTCCGATAACGGATCGAAATTCACAGTTCATGTGTGTGATATTGGTCGAAAATGGCGGAGCCCGTTTCAAAGACAATGGGGAGAGGAGGACTGAATGATGCAGGAAAAAATGGGAGTGTATAGTCCGGAATATGGAGTTCGGAAAAATGGCTTGGAGGTCGGAAAATACTGAAGTCAGCATGACAGCAATCAGAGATGTTTTCACGACATGCCCACGTACATAGTGTTTCGTATAACAAGGGATACCTCGATGAAACATTTTAGTTGGAGAACAAAGCGATTCAGCATTGAAATGGTCGACAGGTGCAGGACTGAGGATTGATTGAATCTATCTGAGCGAGGGGCAAGCCACGAAGGCTGCGGTGCACGTGACTAGGCTAAACCCAATGTGGAATGCCAACAACAGGGGCACTACAAGGAAGTCCCTGTTTTTGCAGTGGTCAGGTTTCAGCCAATCAGATTGCAGAACTAGTGGCAAGGCTGCAAGGCTGTCCTCTTATTCATGTTCACATAACTTGACTGCGGTCGAACCAATCAGCCACAAAAGAAATGACAAAAACCTTTCCCATAAACCTCATCGGCACCAGGGTTGTGGGAAGTGAGACCCTCGAGGGTTCTCCGATACAGGACAGACTGACAATCAAATCAAATCGAGCCTCGAATTTGATTAGTAGAGCTTCTCTGGGTGGTCTACAGACTGGATCTGATCCGTGGCTCGACTTCTATCGAGTAGCGTGCCCCTCGGCCCACGGATTGGATCCGATGACGGCGCGGCAAGGGGATGCCACGTGATCACGCGAGGCGCCAAGCCACTGACCAGCGTGATTGGCCAACACGACGGTCTTGGCTCGCCACACAACGCCAAGCCACAACCAGCTGATTCCAAAATAAAAAAATTTTAGGTTGATATTTTATTCCGCCAAAAACTGCTTCAAAATTGACACCAAATCGTGGTTGACCTATCAAGGAATGGGCACACTCGGTTTTAGTCAAACCGATAGAATTGAGGGGTCGTTAGGAGGTCAATGATTCAAACTCTTCTGCAGTTGAACTTGTGTGGCTGAAGCTTTCACTGGCTGCGGCGCCCCATCTATGAGTTCGTCCGAGATGGACTATAGGAGGGGGCCTTTCTTTTGGGTATTTCCACCCAGAGTCCTATATCGCCAGTATAGCGATAGATGGAGGATCGCGCGAGCCATAACCCTATTTCACAGATCTAGAAGATCACTGGAACTTTGGAAGTTAGGCTGGATAGACCAGAGAGGAGTTGACTGGCCACTCTCCCATTCCTCCGCGAATATCATGTATGTAATGTCGATAGAAAACCTGGAAACTTAAATTTATAAGCTGCACTAACGAGATGATGGTCACCGTTTACATTAATCATATCTAGGCGGTTCCGTATGATAGATTCATTCTCTGTACACGACAAGAGCCACGGGCTTCCTACTTGGGTCCTTTTCCTTCGCCTGCTCGAGCTCGCATGAGTGCCGTGACGCCAGCCTTCAACTCTGCCACGGGAGCTTTTCTGGAACGTTCCATGATCGCTGCCGCAGAGTCTCGAAGCTCGTTGCGCATTTTTGGCCAGTCCACACCTGTCAACTGGCCCTTATGTTTCACCATCTCACCGTTGATGAGCACCGTGTCGACATCAGAGCCATTTGCATAGAGCACGAGTGCCGCAACAGGATCATGGACCGGCGTCAGTCTCGTTGAATCACAGCGAGTAATGAGCAGATCAGCCCGTTTCCCTGGAGTGATGCTGCCAATCACATCTTTGAGTCCAACAGCTTCTGCTCCGCCCATGGTGGCCATTCCTAGAACCTCTTCGCATCGCTGAGTGACACCAGGACGTGGGCCGGGATGACTCTCATTCTCCAAATGTCGTTGGGCTTGAAGGAGCAAACGCATTTGCTGGAACATATCCGCAGGGTTGTTGGAGGTAATGTCAATCCCGATGCTGGCTATGCAACCATACTTTCGTGCTCTGAAGGCAACGGGCTGACCCATTCCCATTTGAAGCTCTGTATCTGGAGTGCTGGACAGTGAAACACCACTCTTCTTCACAGCCTCGAGCTCGTCATCTTGCAAAGCGGCGCAATGGCTGAACAAAAGATCTGGGCCCAGGAGTTTTCTCTGTTCGAAATGTCGGACGAGGTGAACGCCCCGGTCGTATTTCCCCATGGCCACATGGCCAGTGATGACGGCTGAATTTAACGATCTTCCATATTCGACCTCACTGACCGCTTGTTGGATCGTACATCTTTCAATTTCTGCCGGAGCAAATCCAAACCGCACAAGATCTGTAGACTCGTTGGACTTAAAGTACGTCTCCTTTACCCGCTTGGCATCCTTCAGCCTCCACTCAGGATCATTTTCCTGCTGTTCTTCGACTAGACAAGATCCATCCCATGATGGATTCTCGTACAAGCCATAGCAGAAGACAGCTCTGATCTTTGAATCTTTGAGCCCTCTGATCGCGGCGTCTGCATGATCAGGAGAATTCATGATATGAGAATGGTCAATCAAGAACGTAATGCCATTGTCAATCGACTCGAGAGCTCCGCAGTAATTGCCCAGATAGGCGTCATGGGCGGTGTAGCAAGAGCCATATACATTGCGTATGTTCAGGACGTAGTCGGACAGGACATAGTCGGCAGTAATCGTCCGTAACTGGGTCTGCCAGGTATGTCTATGCGTATCCACGAAACCCGGCGACACAATAGAGTTCGTTCCATCAATCACGATGCAGTCTGGTGATGCCTGAAGATTGGGGGCGACAGCCGAAATGATTCCATTTCGGATGAGCACGTCACAATTGGGAACGCTTCCAATTGAAGGATCTATCGAGACGACGGTCGCATTTTGGATCAGATAATTTCCTCCCATGGCTGTTCGTCGAAGGGGGGCCAGCAGGACCGGGCCCATGGACTGACTCAGCGTTGTTTGAGAAATCTCAGTCACATTCTCTTTATAATAAACGAAACTCAGAACCCATCAGGTTCGTGCGGAGTGACACCATGATGACCACCAAGATTCGCCGCTGCGCTTTCATTTCTCAGAACCCGTGCGTGCCATGGATGGCAAGGCTCCAGCAACCAGAGTCGGACAATGTGTGGGGTTGATTACAGGTCAAACACCTGATTTACCGGTCAAAAGCGGCCAGAAGATAGTTCGAGCATTTAGTCTAAGGCTGCTTGTGCCATCGTGTATAGTTCCTCGACCCGTAGCCCTAGGGATTTGGATTTTAGAGCCAATTCTCTCCGAGAGAAATACGGACTAGATGAGGTTTTCCAAAGGACTGGAATGATCGAGACGCAGATTTACATCAAAATCATCTCAAAGTAGTGAGCACTTGTAACTGAAGCCTTGCTTGGAAACTGTCCCTCCTTCTTTTCACGTCTCAATCAGGCCATCTCGTCCTTATCTAGAGCATTACACTTCAAATTGACTTGTCCATTTCCTCAGTCGCGCACCAAACATGTACATCGGGATCGTGGTGAGGAAGATGAGACCTTCGATCAGAGTATTCCATCCGGCAACCTGGCGAATTCTAAGCCTTGCAGTTCACGGTTGCCAGCGACAATGGTGACTCACCTTCAAGAAGGCATCTCTTTCCAACCATGGAACAACCCCAAAGCTGAGCGCAAATGCAAAGGTGTTCTTGAATGCCGTTAAGATCGTCATCGTTTCTCGGCCAACGGACGATAGCAATCGACAACGTATGTCATCCCGACAGCGGGGACGGCACAAAGCACTCCGTAAGTGATGCCGGACCCTGCAATAGCAACCATGGAAGTCAGGTGATTTTGGAGTCCTCCCCCCCAAAGCAGGAGGCCTACAGGTCCAAAGAGAAAGGGTGGAATGAGACACCACAAGCGAAACTCAGGCTTGAAATAGCCTCCACGACGCCTTGCAATGATGCTGACGACATCATCACTCAGTGGCCCCCCGGCCAAACATCCCACCACTGCCCCAACGAGATTCTTTTCTTCGTTAGCAGAGGAAGTCAATCAGACACCATGGACTCACAGCAAGGTTGATGTTGCCAACAGCGAGTTCACTGAACCCATAAAGCTCCGGGAAAGCTGACGCATTGGCAGTTTGCTGCAACACCACCCAGCCGAGAGTAACTCCATAAGTGATACTACCCCAAACGACAGCTGGATACTGAAGCATGAGAAACGGTCTCCACCACAGCCACCAGATGGAGGTTTCTCTGAAAGAGGTCAGCCACAGGTCCCATGTGGAGTTTTACGGACCGATCAGCATACCTATCGTACCACGATGTGATCTTGAGCGATTTGAACCAACTGGGATTGGCTCGAGCTCGGATGCTTGCCAGCCGAGATGATTCGAGTCCCTCGCCAGTCTCAAATTCACCTGGTCGTTGGAAGTTTGTTTCGGCCTGAAACAGAACCGTATTCAGGAAACAAACGCCGGTCAAGATAGTATTCATCCAGAAGACCCAACGCCAATCTGGGTTCGCGTCGGCCACGAGGCCAGCGAAAGTACCCCCCAGGGCACTGCCACCTGCAATCATGAAAGTGTACACTCCCACTTTGGTTCCTCTTTCGTGCAGGAAATAGAGATCTGCAACAACAGAGGGCCCCAGGGCCTCCGACGAACTGGCCCCAAACCCCTGTATGATGCGGGCTCCAAATAAGGACCCCCATGATTGAGCCACTGCAGCCCAAATACTTGACGCAAAGAAGATGGCTGAGCTCAGCAAAAGGACTGGTCTCTTCCCAATTTTCAACGACAGTGGGATCCAAAACAGGTTCCCAATTCCCAAGAACAGAATATTGAATGTGATGAGGTAGCTTGCTTTGGTCAGACTAACCTCAAAATCTTGGATGATATGAACCAGAATCGGGGTGATGGACGCTGTTATGTAGTTGGATAAAAATACAAAAAAGCAAATTGTCGCCAGGGCGAGATGTTTCCTCCATAGGCTCCAAGTCTAAACACTTCGTCAGCCTTGTTACGATCCGGACGGTCGCAGGAGGCGCTGACCAGCGGGTCTTTTGGATCTTCAGTAGGTCGTGGAATGAGAAGTCTTCCGGTCACCCTGCCGCTACTGTCCTCTAATACTTTGTAAGCAATCTCTGCAATGCCACATAAGCTCAACCAGCATACCTTGAAATAAATGAGCTGCATCGACTATGCCATGCGCCGGATGAGGATGGCTTTTCTCGTGAAACTCTTGTTCATGGTGAATCGCAGTCTGGGATCCCATCTTGGACTCCATCTTTGGAATTGGTAGTTGACTCAGGTATGGACGATCCGGGGTCTCCAAGACGAGTTGGAGGCCAATACCCCGGATTGTCTGGAACTAGAAGCACATTTATGTTGCATCTTCGTCGCGTGTATACGGAAAATGGGGTATACCTGTCCCTGGGGTTGACCTTCACCCTTGTCCACACGTGATATTCCGATGCGTCAAAACAACAATGCACTCGACTGGTCAGATCATTTCGGAACTCCAAGCGTCACACACTGCTTTGGCCGGCGTGCTTGTGTCCTTTTCTTGAATCTGATCCTGAGAGTCCGCGCCTCTTCTTCAATCATCACAAATAGCATTGACTTCGTGGATTCCACTTCGACAAGATTCGGATTTTTCTTTGCAGAATCTGTCATATAGTGCGTTCAACACTGAGGATGACGCAGGGCCCGCGTATTGGAGTGGCCATTGGGGAGTTCATGCTACTGTAGATCTGGAGGTTCTGACCCACGATGGGGCCTTTGCAGCAATCAAATTCGATTCCGGCACGCTTGAAAATTCGAGCTGGAATGTTTATGCCACACTTAGAAGGGATGTCCATCAACAAGTGAGGACTTCGCAGTAGGAGCTCCTGAAAACGGAACGGACACATCACCTGGGCCGGTCCTGTGTGATGACCAAGGTCAAAGAAACAAGACGATTGTTCTCTTGCGGAATGCATCTCTTAATCGCGCTTTGAGGAGCTCTCAAGGCAACATGCTCCTCGCAGGTGATTCGAAGAGTGCCGGCTTGCTGCCTTGGCATGCTTGTCCTAATGTCCAGGGGTCGTCCAGTGACAATCGGCAACTCTACCGGCTTCTTCGTTGGATTGCACCATGCGCAAAATGGAGGAGTCAACTTTGGTTTCACACATAACCGGAAAGATATAGCTAGAGTCATTGGAGCAGAACTCTGATATCTTCCGGCCTGGAGCATGCCTTCCGTCAATTTTGTCCATCTACCTGTTGGCTATCACAACCGGGGCTTCATCCGTCGTCGTTTCTGGAACATCGGTTCGTCGGTTAAAAGGACAATTCGTCGTTGACGGAAAACCAACATTTGGCTCATGTCAGAAACTTAACTTCGAAGTCGAGTTTGCCGCTTTCACCGGACGTGGCAATGAGATGAGGCGCTCCATTGATGTCGATGAGGCAAAAGAGCATATCCTCGGAGAAGCTTTTGCACTACCGCATCGACGTGGGTCGTTCCCTTGGAGGCCATCGAGCCATTTGCGGTCCATTCCTCTGCAAAAGATGAGTCATTCGCCATATTCCTATAAGACGATGAATGCTGAGTCCGGATCGTACAGTGCCGGGCCCCGCGCTCCCATACCTGAATCATAACAAAAAAGGAGCCAGTATATAAATTTCAATTCAGGTTTCGCTTGAAGATGAGTATCCTAGGTTAGTGAAGGCCAAATATCTGAAGCTGGTCCAGGCAATATGCAATGATGGAATGTGATACCAAGAACATGGTATTTTCAATTCCCCAGATGTGTGCACGTCACACAGCTGGTGGGTGCCCGATTCGAACAGGAGACTTGATTGCGGCAGGTACACTCTGAGGAAGGACTCGAAAGGAACAAGGCCGCCTCTGGGAAGTGATGCGCAATGGCGATGATCTGTGCGAGATGGAATCGACAGCATCAGATAAGGACAAATCAGCCGGACTTTCCTGGAGGGATGGAGATATCATTTTGTTCATCGCACAAGGTAGCTGTAGCGGCAATGTCACCGCTCCTGCGTGACCAACAAGTAATTGAGGGTTGAGGACAGAGGGTCTGGGAGGATTAGTCGGCATGAGATGCAATATTGGAACGAATGCGAGATCATCGAGCTTCCAGGCCGTCGAGGCTAGAAAGACTGGAGCTTTGATGAGGTGCAAATTATGTGAATAATATTAGAGACTTTCGGCCATAGCTAGCGCATCCTGGCCTAAACCGGTAATGATTCCTCTTGTCCAAAATGGTCTAATTCTTCAAATACCTCATCGTTGGTCCCTTTCCTACACACCTCGTGAGCTTGGAGATTCCGGATCCCAGTCTGAGGACAATAGGAATATCGTTGTGGCAAGTTTGGACAGCATGAGTCAATTGAATCTATTCGTACACTCTGAAAGTTGGATTTTTGGTCAGCGTGGAGTACATCATCACAGAATCCGGCCTTCCCAGCTCCCCGAATCAAGCTCATCCAGTTTACACAATGATAGGACATGAGTCTCCTCATTACATTCTGTGCGGACTTCTTCACCGTCGTACCTTCTTCTCCGGCCTTCTCCAGTACTGCTCAGCCTGAACGAACCAAGCTCCAATCGAAGATTCAGCGTGATTGCAGGAGAGTTGATCTTTGCAGGCTTCGCCGGGAACCGTGTCAAGGATTCAGGTGCAAACGCATTCAGTCGTAATCTTCCGTACGTTTAGACTCGCTCATAAAGGCATCGACGGCTCGATCGTAAATCTCTACCTCTTCGCCCCGATCTCGGTTAAGGTATGAATGCCACCTAACCTCGCCTCCTTCGAGCAAAACCGGCGTCGCGTAAGGAGCCCTATCAGGGCCCAAGTAGTCCCATAACCTCCCCTGAATGGAGTCGTGAGCGCGATGGACGTATAATAGTGCGATCCCTGGTCGTGCACCACAACCTACCAATTGACTCCAAAGCTTATGGTTGACTTCTTTCGACAGGAGCATGGTCTCTGGATCGAAATAGGGCAACGTGGGCAGCTCAAGCTTTCTCGCTTGCACGGTCAAATTCGTCCATTGCGTCTCACACCAGATGGCCTTTTGGTTGTCGTTTTTAAACGTGGGTTGTTGTGGAGGCTTCGTATGTCGAGATGCGGAGGCGATGATGGCTGCCGCGTCTTTCTTCCCGGAGGTAGTAGTAGTCGATGCCATATTCGTTCAATTCCAAATTGCAGAAGGACAACACCATTAACTGAGAGCAGAGCTCATCATACTTGAGTCCACATGAAGAAAGAAAAGTCGGATTTGCTCGGCTGCATGAGATATTTTGTACGGCGCCGTACGGAATCTCGGAATGCAAAATTGATTTGGACCCGTGTGGCCGCAAGATATCAAGCATCCGGCGAGAGTTTTAGTATAAGGCATGGGGACCGAATATCTATCCATGTTCGGAACCACTCCAGAATGATCGATGAGTTATCGAGATAACATTGTCCGCCACATTTCAAGCTCATTTCATTGATTCGTGTGTTGTCAGCTATCAGCTTACAGATCGATTTAATCTGATCACATCATGGCGTTCCCACCCGCTTCACGCATCATTCAATGTTCAACGTTCATCGGCGTTTTCGAAACGTCATTGCGCTCCTGATACCTCGCGATGTGGTCATTCTTTATGGGTAATTTTTCCCAGGACATGTGGGGGATTTGTCTGGATAATAACCCAGTACGCCATTCTGGCAGGCTATATGAATATAACCGTCCTCAGAGCCTAGCTCGAACATCTCGGTGGCCATGTTGGTGCAGGTGACGCTTATGCTGGCCTGCCAATGAGGTCGCGCTGTCAGGTATTGTGACCGTTACTGTTTCCTCGATCAACAGCAGGTTCACTTCCATGCCATGGCTGGTGTATGTATGTTGACATTCGGAATTGGATGTTGTCGCTGGTGTCGCGACATTTGAATACGGTTGAGACATCGAAGCTGTTGGTCCAGGTGGAGGATGAGGCGGGGAAGCCGTGGTTGACGAAGAACTATGTCCTGGCACGGTGGCTGACTCAGGTCCCGACTGGACTGCGACTTTCCCAGGGAGCTCCGAAATGAGGTTGATTGGCTCCTCTTGGAGAACGGCCGGGACTTCCATCTTACACCGTGTGCAACTTCCGCTGTCTTGGATCTTGAAGACCGGACACGCTTCCTGGACTCCTTGGCTCGCAGGAGATGTGCAGGCTGTGTTGTTGATGGCGCTTTGCAGCACACCGTCCTCCCATGCGCACATAAAGTCTCCGTGATAGCCGAACCCCGTTGGATCACCGTTCGAAAAGACGAATTCGCCATCGATCCCTTTAAAAAGAGGTGTCTGGTAAATGGTCTCGTAGAACAGAACCGGGAGTCTCACAGGGAACCCTTCAGGACAGTCGCCGTACTGGACCTCGTATGGATATGCAACGTGTGTGGTATGGTTATCGCTGTCGAGATCTTTTCCATTCCAGCACGAGGGAAACATTAATTCTCCTCGGATCCCATTATAGCAGTTGGCATCAATAAAGGCCTTGTCTCGAAGTCCGTGGTGTTCTCTGGCGCCTTCGTTTGGGGAAGTGTTATAATGGAGACAGTTGAATCCGGTCGCCTTTTCCATGAGTGATTGCTGAGTTCGATCACTGTCCAGCCACTCTGCTATGGGGGGATCGGGCATTGGACCATAGAATGCGCGCTTGTTAGAGTTCCCGGCGATCATTCGGAAGTTCTGAGGAAATGCAGCCACCTCTACACCGTTGCCTGGTCCTTCAGTAAAGTAATATCTGTTGGCGTTAAAGGGGGGTTCACTTCTGGGTTCGAAATTATGCTCGCTTACACGGTCATTCCACCTGAGGTTGGAACCATTTCAAACGTGCCATTTGCGTGTTGGAAGTACATACGCGGAGCCCAGTAGACAGAGTGGTCTTGAAGAATCGAACAGCTGGTGCATTTTGAGCCCAGGAGGTCATCGATGGTCGGGTTGAATCCGAAGCCTGCAGCGGCGTAAGACTTTGTTCCTTTCTTGGTTCTACACTCTGGTACTCACTCGATGCACCAAAACTAACATGGAGATGCTGCGAAGGGCGACCTGGCGACATGATCGGGTCGACTCGTCCATTTCCCAACTCGCCAAAGCAGAGATGACGGAAGAAAGCCTCGGTTGGGACGATGAACAAGAGGATAAGTGCGATAGCCAACAGGTTTGGAGTGAAGTGATGCACTTTGAATTTCGCCATTTCGCACAAGGTCGTGGGAGTTTGTAGATTAAGAGGGAGAGACTGGTTGGGACGGGATGATTGTCGCAATTCAGTTGTGGTATGATGGTTGTCGTGGCGAGCAAATGTCAGAAGGAGAGGTGTGTAACGACGGACAGGATTGGGTGCACAGGATGATGGAGATTGAACGGTTTGCAGTTTGCGAGATTTGTGATGGTTGATAAAGGGCTGCGCAAGAAGAAGTGAGAGCAGTGAGTTAATTGGCAGTCAGTCATCCGGTGAGGTCGTGACAATGAAGGAGCGCGCGTTGATTTACTGAGCCTCGATGAACCTCTCAGATCCCGGTTCCACAACGTCTCACTCCTCTGCGGTGACGAGAATCCAGGTCTATGGTCTCTTTGTGTCCTTTGCGGCTCCGGTGTTAAAGAAGACTCTTCGCAATCCTCTTCGTCCCCGTCACTCGTTCGTCACTTCGTGGCCACCGTCAATATCTTCGGCAAGCGACGGTGGCCCCTCCCAGCCGCTTTCGTCTTCTTCTCGGTGCTTCAACTGATGCATCTGCCACTTCATTCACAATGACCAAGTCCCATTCACTGACAGCATCGGGATTTGCGCAGATGATCAGTGACACAACAACCGGACTCTCATCGTCACAGACAATATTACCACAATCGCACTTTTTCACAAGAGCAATGGACCAATACAAACCGCCGGGCGCTTGTCAACTAGTCCCAAAGGACTGTCATAGTTTGCCACTGCCTCTTGAGTTGAGTTGCAATTGGGGTCAAAGAAAAAGCGGCTCGGGAGGAACAGAACAATACATCCAGGCTTCATGAGAGGAAAGGTAAACAGGTCAGACGCCGCTGCAGGACACGGTCAGCAACCCTAAAGGGGGCATGGCAGACAGTGGAGACAATATTCAACGCACGAAGAGGTCCACCCAATTTCCTCGGCATCCATTTGTTTGCATCTCAGATTCAGAGCCTGCAGCTGCTACGGAACCATGGCTGAGCCACCAGGTGACATCTCAATTCCTGCGGGTCACCTTCCATCTTGCTTGCCAGGCGGTAATGCAGAAAAAGTCCTGGGCCATTTCCCCGACTCGTCTTTTCTTTGTTGCACGCGTGGCTTGCAGTTTCTCCGTCATCATCTCTGCAAGTTGCCGCGTGCTAATGTCCACAAACGTCCGTTAACCCGTCGCAGGCAGATGGAAATATTCCATTGGAACATGCTCACTGAGAGGACTTGCCACAACTATTTGACTGGGGGCACGATCAGTGTTGCGTGAACCAGTCGCTCAGCCCCATTGAGTGCTGAAGAAGTGATGTTGTCAAGAACTATTCTTTCATGATGCTAATTGTGGCGCTAGGTTGCCGTTAAGAAAGGGGCTTCACCATCAACCTATCAAATTAGATGTCGGTTATTGTCTACTAGCGAGCTAGAAAGTCAGCAGTTCAATGTTCATGCCTTGAACATGCAATTGATCGAGTTCCGAGCCTGTCATGAAACTACAGGGCGCCGAGTCAAAATGACACACAGAGAACTGCTCCTTGGCTTACCAAATCACGTTCCTTATGAATGTTGGTACCCGTGCCACTAAAACTTCCTTGCCACAGTTCGGAGTAGGGCGCCTGTAACCAGCAAATTTTTCTACTCGACAATGAATGATAACCCGGGTTACTAAGAGTCTTTAAGATGCCGACATAGTGGCAACGTGTATGGCGTCCGCGTGAATGCTCCTCGATCGTCGATAAAATGGCTGGTTGGTTGTTTCATATCAGAAAAAGCCCAAAACCTGTCTGACCAGCAATAGCCACGTATGGGGAACCACCGAATCCTTTGATGAGAAGTATGAGCGATATGTCACATGCGGCATGCTGCATGTTGAATCTTCTCACGCTGACTTATTGCAGTGATGAGCAATATGTTCCAGGGCCATGTGCCAGAAGCGAGAGTTTTGATAATCATGACTGGAGGAACCATCTGTATGCAAAAATCCCCAAACGGCCTCGTTCCAGCACGGAATTTTCTAGAACGATGCATGGCACCTCGACCGGAATTCAATGACGGAGAGACGCACGATTCCATCGAGGTGAGGTTTCACGATGGACCTGAAGGCCTGGGCGAGCTGCAGAGTCTGCGAACGCCAACCAGTGTCTACGGCAAACGTATTCGGTAAGTCAGATCAAGTCACGCCCCCGAGAGGAAATCAAAATACTTGTACTTTCTCCTGGATCCTGTTCTGCTGATCCAGATTTAGATATGCCGTCTTGGAATTCGAGACCCTCCTTGATTCCTCGTCGATTGACAGCAAGGGATGGGCGGAAATCGCCCAGACAATCTTCCGCAACTACCAATTGTTTGACGGTTTTGTCGTCCTTCATGGCACTGATAGCTTAGCATACACCTGCTCGGCTCTGAGTTTCATGCTGCAGAACTTGGGCAAGCCGGTGATACTGACCGGTACGTTGAAAGCCTTCAAGGAAGAGGATGTAGGACATTTCCCCATCATTTCTTCCAGTTCATATAATTTCTCTCTGAGGAAGGAAACCGCGACTGAAAGGTGCTGACTTGTTGGCAGGATCTCAAGTTCCCTTTTCGGAACGCAAGAACGATGCGTTAGAAAACCTCCTCGACTCACTGGACATTGCTGGCCACTTCATGATCCCCGAGGTGTGTCTCTGTTTCAATTCGACTCTGTTCCGCGGAAATCGGGCTACGAAGGTGTCTGCCAGCGCGTTCGATGCCTTTGCGTCTCCCAATCTGGCTCCGTTGGCCAAAATCACTGCTATGGATACTAAAGTTGCATGGAACCTTGTCACAAGGTCGACATCACTTCAAGCGTTCAGCATTCAATCGGACCTCGAGATTCATCACGTGGCGTGTTTGCGCATCTTCCCAGGCATCAAACCAAAAATGGTGGAAGCCGTTCTGCGAACCGAAGGCTTGCGTGGTTTGGTTCTCGAAACGTTTGGTGCGGGAAATGCACCCAGTGGGCACGACAATAAGATGACTCAAGTCATTTCAGATGCGGTGCAGCGAGGCATTGTGATCGTGAATGTCACGCAATGTCTGACTGGCAGCGTCAATCCACTCTATGCACCGGGAATGGTTCTTGGCCGTGCCGGTGTTGTTGCAGGTGGAGATATGACAAGTGAAGCTGCTCTGACCAAATTGTCGTACCTTCTGGCGCTTCCCGGAGCAACCCCGGAGTCGGTCGCCAAAGACATGGCCATATCGATCCGAGGTGAGTTGTCTGAGAATGCCGGGACGATATTCAGTCACCCTACGGGCGAGTTGTCATCTCCCGTCACCCAGCTTACCGCCATTGCGTATGCCATCGCTAGTGGGGATATTGAAAAGGTCAAAGATCTGCTGCGAAATGATAGTCAACTCATGAACCGAGCCGACTACTCGGGGAACACGCCTGTTCATCTGGCAGCGACAGGGCCCAGCCTTGCGATTCTTCGACATCTTCTCTCACTGGGCGCATCGGTTCATCTTCGAAACCACACAGGTTCGGGCAGGACACCTCTTTTTCTGGCCGCCAACGCGGGTTTGCTGCCACATGTATTGCTTCTACGACAAGCCGGCGGGCATCTCCACGCGGAAGAACTCGAAACGGCGAGACTCCATGCAAGTCAAAGGCCAGATGTGTGGAAGCAAGCCGGCCTGGAAATTCCTTGAGGCCCCCTGGGTCAGTCTGGAAACGACCGACCGCAAGCCAGATTCCAGCCGTTCCAGCACATGGCTGCATTGTAATATCCTAGGAGGGGGGGCCTCGGTGTTCACCCATTGGGCCCTGCTGCCAGGCGATGCCGGATCGCCAAATAATACAATGCTCCTTAACCATAGTGCCCTCGTGGCAGCGGTATGTGCGCTTGCTAGTGCAGAAGAGGAAGCCGGCAACCTAGTGGCCCTTCTTTTTTTTTTCCCAAGCTCATGGTCGGCTGCTGGATTGCCCATGCGTACTGGGTCCGCGGAGGAACCCGGCTTTGCGATTGACCATGCTAAACCAAGAAACCTTTTGGCTGGCTTGTTCGTCATCGACTACCGACCCGACACCTGGTTCCCGACAAACCTTGAGGGATATTTCCAGCCGTCACTGAATGCCACGGGTCCTCAATGTCGCTTTTTGGGCTCCGCGAGGCGCGATTCACCACCCCGGTGACTTTTCCTCCCCGCCTTTCTAACACTCCCCGCATTTTATTTGTCCGGCTTGTGCCTGGGCAGCGTGTCGTGATATGGCGGCATCGGACTGTCAACTCTCGTCACCTCCTTTGTCCTTGTGGTGCAACTCCACCCAGCAACTTTCATTTGCTTTGAAGGAAACCGATGGAATCCCGGGTTGTTCTTCCTCCCTTCGTACAGTAACCGGGCATCCACAACGTCTTGTTCAGAAAGGTCCTCATTAGCCCCAGCACCCCGCCGCTACAGTCAACTCCGGTTACGTAAAGAATAAGCTGCATCAGGTTTGGCGGTGATAGATTCTTTCAAAGTTCGCTGCAGAATTTGCGCAGCCAAGGGTCCTCAAAATGGGACCAAATTACGACACGGAATCCAATCACTCTCTTGCCTCTTGTGGCAGATGGGGTGTCAGTGTCCATCGAATCCAGCAACGTTGTCCCCAGCAAGCTGGTACCTCGTTATATTGTGTGATATTTCTCGTCCCTTTCCTTTTCTATCCTGTTCTTGCCATAGGCACGATTCTATTCCCGAGCGTTTCGAACGCTTGCTTCCTATATCACTCATCCAGTTCCTAATCTGAACGTCGAATTCAAACGCCTGTCGTTCCCGCAGAATTTTTCCTTTCAGCCTCGGGGATCCATTGTCTGACATACACGAGGCCGATTTTCGCCACATGCCAAATACGAACAAAACTATAGCCATCGTCAATGGAACAGGTCGCCAGGCAGCCTCGGTCATCCGAGCAGTGACCGCAGTGGGCTATGCCGTCCGCGCTCAGGTGTATTCGTCCGAGGGTCTGGTAGCTGAGGAGCTTTCTGAACTTCCCAATGTGACCACATTCGAAGGGGCATTGCTGGACAACCCAGCACTCATCGATGCGATCTTCGAAGGTGCTCAACTAGCTTTCATCAACACACATCCTCTCGCCGGAGATGAGATCAAAATAGGCAAGGCTCTTGCCAAAGCCGCCAAAAAAAGAAACATCCAGCATTTTATTTACAGCAGCATGCCCGATCATTCGATCCATGATCCAAGGTGGCCAGCTCTCCCTCAGTGGGCCTGCAAATTTACAGTGGAGAATTACATCCGACAACTGGGACTACCGGCGACTTTCATCTATGCGGGCATCTACAACAATAATTTCACCAGCTTGCCGTATCCCTTGTTTTGTATGGAATTCAAGGACGATGGAAGTCTTGAGTGGCGAGCACCCTTTCATCCAGACACAAAACTACCATGGCTCGACGCCGAACATGATGTCGGACCTGCAGTGCTGCAAATTTTCAAGGACGGCCCGACTAAATGGAACGGACAAAGGTATTTGGAATCTTACCACCTCCACCCCACACTGTATCTTGATGGAAACTTTATCTACAACCGAGATTTCCCCCAACCCTGGGCCACCCTTCTCAACCGGGATCGGTTGGTGTGGATAATAATTCCAGCGTTCGAGCTCCCGGTAGTCTCGAAAGCTCCCTGTTCTTTTATTGTATGTCGAAATTTTTCCGTATCTACGTTAACTAACCTGTGGATGGGCGTATGTGTTAGGATCGCACTCGCTTTTGAAACCCTCACACCCAACGAAGTATGCCAGGCCTTTGGTCGCGCACTAGAACGACCCTGCAAATACGTCTTCAGCAAAGACATCGAAGTCAAGGTTTCAGTGCCCAACGGGTACAGAGAACAATTGTCGGCCATAGAGATTCTCTTCGGTGTTTACAATGCACCGTATTTTCCGGGACCGGAATTTGAGCAAGAAACAAAAAGGAAAGGGAGTGGCGATACCATCACCGGCCAGAGCCTAAATCCCAGTGGCAATAAAGGTAAACAGAAACCCGGGAAACGATGGACGGATACCGCCAGGTTGCTCTGGGAAGGATACAGGGGTATTGAGGAATATGCGAGGGAAGTCTTTCCTGTGGAAGAAGAGGCGAATGGGAAGACTTGGATGATTGATAAGGTTGTGAGCACATGAAGACCAACTTCCACGCAAGCAATCGGAGGAATGTATGAAAATATCGGGACGATGACTTGATGAATCTGCACGCTTGACGACGACATTTGGCATGACACAAAAATTCACGCACGAACCAGAGCATAGCATCGCATGGGAGGAAGGTTTGGTCGTGGGAAGGGAAGGAATATCATTATCAAGAGCGGCCGTCTGAAGGTTCGAAGGGGCGTTCACCGTCATCTTCCTTTCTAACTATTTTTGTGACAGCGACATTGTTTGAGGGAACACTTCGTAATGATAAGAGTGCGATTCGGTCGATACTATTGCTGTCCCTGTTGTCATTGTTTGTTAGTTGACATTTCTAGTCTACCTGAGCTAAAGCAGAAGGATCTACAAGAATGGCAAAAGGCCTGGCCCATCTTACGAGGGTTCGCCTTGGGAACTTCAGGTCGACTCCATCACAACGCCCCGGCTCAACATGCATGAGGCCGAAAGGCCAACCAATTAACGTCGTCGTACACATCAGCCGGTAAGCTGTGAAAACAGATAAAGATCCCGACGAAGACCAACAACCTTTGCAACAACACACAGTGTCAATGGCGAGGCTAAACAGCTACGTCCGGTTCCTCGTCTCTTGCTCGCTTTCCGAATTCAGATCCACAGCAAATCAAAAGTGAAATCGAACCATGGCGGCGTCGAGAGCACGGACACGGCATGGACGTCCGAGATGACTCAGATAACAATAGCCTCTTTTCTTTCGGTGGTGGCGGCGAGTAGCTATTGCGGAATACGAGTGAGAGGTCGACAGGTCAAACCACCGAAGTGAAGCAGCGGTCGGCGACCTCGCCATCCTTGCCCGACGGGGTTTCTGCCACGCTCTGAGGCTTGTTTGCCCCAAAGAACGTCGTGGTTATCGTGGGCACTCTAAAGGCGACGGTGAACAGTTCGAGCGGCGTGTTGGCTATTTTCCGTATAGCTCGCGCGATTGTCTGAAGAAGTGGCCACCCTATGTGAAGGAAAGCGAAGCCTGTCGTAAATCGATCGGCTTTGCTACGGCCATATATATTCTCTCGGGTGATGGCAGGCGGTGTGGCGTTGATGGGGAAACCGGAAATCCGGGCGTGCTCAGGACGAAACGGCTGACATTGGCATAGAATGCATGCACGATTGACTAATATGACCAATTTTCCTTTTCCCAATCAAGCTGTCTCATCTCTCTGACCAAGATGCTGGCCGCGTTCCATTACATAATAGCAAAGAGCGGAAGAACCCCACAAGGGCAGTCCAGCACATTTTCCGAAAGACGCCCGTCCAGTATCCTTCCTTTCGATGCGGACATTGTGGTTGAGTGCTCTTCATACACGGACAAATAGAACCAGGAGGCAGCCCCAGAGAATTGTCGATGGTTCCGCGTCCACCCGCTATCGAATACCCAACCGAGTCGATCAGGAGGGGACATTCGCAGCCTAAGAGGGAGGGGCGATTCCAAGGAAAACCGTAGTCATCGAAGGGGTGTTTGCGTATGAGAGAAGTAAATATAACTAGGCGACGTGAGGCTGATGTCCATTGTCTTCTTTCAGAAGGGTAGCGACTGATGAGGTACAGGCAGATGAGCGGGGTTCTATCAAGGCTGTAAATATGTTTCACAAGCTTTAATCTTTGAGGATCCGTGCAAACTTGTATACTGCACACCAGAGTGGGGCAGTGTGTGAAATAGAGAGCCTCATTTCCAAAAAGGCAACAGTCCTGGGCAAGTCCCGGGCTGGACGGGAACTTGCCGGCCTTATTCTGAACATCAACCTGTAAAGCCAATCATCCGATTTCGCTCGTGGGTGGGTCATACCTGTAGTTCGCTGAGGACGAAAGGTGGGATCATTCCAATAGCACTGGTAAACACGAGTCCACCCTGTAAGACCGTGGGAGGCAGTCGCCAAATGGGGGATTGCCGTAGGGGCAATCACATGTTAAACAATGCAAAGGCAAAGAAATGATAGAATAAGAGAAACGAGCTTTGGATGACGCCACCTACGAGCCCTGCGGGTTCTTCGGAACCAGAAATGGAAGATGGACAAACACTTACCATCAGCAGCCAATTGTACGTAGAACGATTGGGCAAAAATGTTTAGAGAGCCTTTGTATTGCTTGCACGTCCAGTGGAATTTCCTCATTTTCATCATTGCAGCCTTTATGTAGCAGCGAAAGGGGGGAGTAGCACGACATTATTTCGTGCTCTGTCATTCCACCACCGGCCAGAAGATGACGCATATCCGTTGCGTCTCCCGACACGACCAGACCAACCGTTTCGTTGGTGTTCGACGACGACCACAAGTTCAGTACACTCCGTGGTCAGCCCATTCTCCAGGGCTCCTTTCGGGTAAATGAGAATCGGTAGTCGCGGCGCCAATCACTCCATATGCAGGCTCTACGTCGGAAGTCCTATAGTTTCCAATTCAAGGCTCCAGAACTTTGATTTGGCCAGTGATTTGTGGGGGCGCAGATTCTGAGCGAAACTGGGACGCAGAGCCGTCGGCAGGCATGGCAAGATGTGCGTGAAGCAGGAATTCGAATCAGGCTCAATATAATTGGAAGATATCGATACACTCAAGTGAGGCATTGAGCTTTTGATGTGAAGCAACGAACGTACGAACAAGAGCTACGTACGTTCAATATTCCCTTCCCACCCTTCGAACTCTGTGCACCAGCCACTTGACCAGTCATCTAATCTCTCAAGAGGTCGATTGCCGTTGTCTCGACGATTGTCACTTTGGACTCTTGTCCTGCCGCGTGAAAGAACTTCATGACATACTGGCCATGGTGAAAGCTTTTCTCTTTCAGTTTGGTGGATGTCTAGATGAGAATCTTTTAAAGCCCATTTTCTCCGTGGACTGGACACTCGATCCCGCCAGGCCAAGGTGGATAACAGAAAGTCATCCCTTCTGCCTCCAATAAATATGAGAGCCCCTTCACAAGAATCGCATCAATGTCCTTGAGACGATCGCTTATTCCGAGTATTGCTGGAGCAGCCACACCGCCGAGCTCACCCACGATGCGATCAGGCTTTTCTCAAACTGCGTCTGACGAGTAAGACATTGCGTCCTTGTCACTCGAGGCCTCAGCTGCGACACAGCTCGCAGTGCCAGCGCCAATAACAGGGACGTCATATATCGTGTTGAAACCATGATGAAGAAGTCTCAACATAAGTGGTTGTCCAGGCCATATCACTGAGTGTCACGTGATGCATGTGACTGCCACAGGGTGCTCTGATTGGTGGGATTGCTTGCATGCCAGTGATCCAAATTTCGGCGACTCAACAGCACCACTTTGGTATTTCTTCCTCCCAATGCATTTTATATCGAGTTTTGATAGACCCATAGACTATTTTCGACTTGTGTCCTTTTGAATTTCTTTCATTCGTCCGAGATAGACTCTGAACCAAAAAGAATCCTACGGACCATCCACCAACTCCCTCATCACCCGAGAGATCACCTGGGACCGAAGAAAGGCTCACTGGGAAATCTACAATATAGCCGTGGATTCTCGGGATAGTCATGTCGCAAGAGGACGCCGCCACTCCTCGAGTGTTTCTCATTCGCCACGGTGAGACTAGTCCCAATGCACCACGAAAAATTTTAGAATCACCTCTGCAGTCTCTCTTCCCAGGACAGAAGCTTGGACACCCCAATACCACCACCCGATCCCCACTCACACAGCGACTCACACACAACAAATTTAGGTGAAACCGAGTGGTCCCGGAATGGCCGGTATACGGGAATCACGGACTTACCTCTCCTTTCAGAAGGCGAAGAAAGGGTCCGCGAAACAGCATCGGTCGTCTTTGGGCCTGGACGTCTAATCGACCCGAACAAATTATCCGCCATCATTTGCAGCCCCCGAAAGCGAGCTCAGCAAACCCTCGAACTCTTGCTGGATCGAGTTCCGGATCGAGCAGCTAAAGAGGCCATCGCAGGAAAGATCACCACCACCGAGGATATTGCAGAATGGGGATATGGTGACTATGAGGGCCTCTGGATCGAGCAGATTCGACAACTACGCCAAGAACGAGGGCTGGACCAAGAAAGGCCATGGAACATCTGGCGAGATGGCTGCGAAGGCGAGGGAGGCCATTCTCCGGCGCAAGTTGCCGAACGTCTCGATCGAGTCATCTCCCATGTCACATCGATTCAGAAAGAGGGAGTGGGGAAGCAACAAAAGTGTGACATTGTGGTTGTTGCCCACGGGCACATCTTAAGAGCCTTCGTCAAGAGGTGGCTGGCGTTTAGTCTGGATACCAAGCTCGAGATGGTGTTGGAACCGGGAGGAGTGTGTGGATTGAGTTATGCTCATGGGAATCTTGAGCAAAGAGCAGTTCTGGTCGGGATGAGTTTTCCGGGATCTGCCTCCCCTTAACTATGGGACGGGCTTGTTGGGGCTGAGATGTAAGAATGTGCGGTAATAGAAAATATATCGAGCACCCCCCAACATTCTTCGACACTCTCTTGCCTGTGCAAACAAGAACAAACGTGAGGTGGGTGCAACCCTGGTATCTTGGTGGCCTGCCCTGTGTATGGAAAAGGCCGATATGGATCTTATCTTTCTACCACTAGTGACCTCTATCATCGCTTATCCATTGGGTGCGGCCTCGACTCTAATCGCTTGTTTTCCCGCCTTTGCCAGATCCCAGGCCAATATCACCCGACACCAGACCATAAAATTCCAGCTCAATGCAGTGCACTTATGCCACGTTTATTCATCCCCTGTCATGACTTCCCTACGCAGTCATGACCGTTCTAGTGTTCTCAGCCTTGTGAATCAGCGCAGCCGCAAATGGATTACGGTACGCCTAATGTCCTCCCCCGAAAGCCCGATGAGCACGTCAAGTTCCATCTTGAGTTAGCCTCGTCAAAGATAACAATGTGTGATTCTACCCTACCGCCGCAGGCTTTACAATGTATTCCCAACTCTCGTCCGCCACTAGCCCCGGTTCAGAGATAACGCGGTCTCCTTGCTGACAAGCTTAAATGGCTAATTGCTTCCGATGCTTGAACCTGCCCCACGGCCTCTGTAAGCAAGGTACCCAGCCGAACGTGTCCTTCAGAACGGCCCGTCCTTTTCGGTCTTGAGGTACCGGATGTGTCCGATGGACTGAATACGTCACATGGTGGGATCACTGTGGAGTCGAACAGGGAAAGAAGCTCTGGAAGCTTTGCAAAATGGGTGGGAAGATGCGAACGCAGCGTGGAGCTCGAGATCTCAAAAGGCAGGTTCTCCCCACGCCCGTGCCGCAAAAATCGTCGTTTTCCTTCCTGCTCGCGTGCTCCCAGACTGGAGAACCCTCAAGTGGTTTTCAGAGAGATTTGTTGTGGGGCGACTTTTTGTAGTTCCTTCGGTATGCGTGTCCCCAGCCTCTCGCAGCTGCTCCTCGCAGCAGCCAGCTGGGTTTCATTGACCACGGCAGTACCGCTGGCGGCGCGGGGTGATATTTCCAAGCGCACCAAGCCCATTGCTCCCAAAGTCGTGATCATCTCGATGTTCGACCCGGAAGCCGAAGTGTGGTATGGCATCCCCGAGTTCGACTTACTCGCACAAAACATCAGTGTGCCCGGCCTGTCGCCTCTTTTCCCCGACGTTCACTGCACGGCCGATGGCGATGTGTGCCAGGTCGTTACGGGAGAGTCCGAGATCAATGCAGCATCGACCATCAGCGGATTCGTGCTGAGCCCCCAATTCGACCTCACCAGGACATATTTCATGGTCGCAGGCATAGCGGGCGTGAATCCCAAAGTGGCAACCCTCGCCTCTGTCACGTTTGCCAAATATGCAGTCCAAGTGGCGTTGCAATATGAGTTTGACATGCGAGACGTGCCGGGCAATTTCACCACAGGCTATGTGCCGTTTGGGGTCGATGCGCCGGACAAGTATCCCACCACGTACGCTGCGCCCTGAAACACACAAATGAGGAGGAAAATGGAAGTTAACTGATCATCTAGAATCTACGGCACGGAAGTATTCGAAGTCAACGAGGCTCTGCGCGACATTGCCATTAGCTTCGCTTCCGGAGCCTCCCTGAATGACACCCCCACGGCTCAAGCATATCGTGCACTGTACGCTCAGGAAGCCCTGTACACGGTCGCGTCGGAACCACCAAGCGTTCTCGGCTGTGATGTGGCCACATCAGATGTTTACTATTCCGGTACACTCCTGTCCGAGGCGTTTGAGAACACAACCACGCTCTGGACCAATGGTTCAGGCGTCTACTGCACCACGGCCCAAGAAGACAACGCGACCCTCGAAGCCATTATGCGTGCCGCGCAAAAGAACCTGACCGACCTCAATCGAGTCATTGTGATGCGCACAGCCTCCGACTTCGACAGACCCCCTCCAGGCATCAGCGAGATCCAGAACCTCTTCTACGCGAACCAGGGTGGTTTTCCACCGGCCATCCTCAATCTGTACCTCGCGGGCATTAAGGTCGTCACGGGTATCCTTGATGGATGGGAGACTACCTTCGCCAAAGGGATCGCGGCGCCCAATTACGTGGGAGACATGTTTGCCACGTTGGGCGGGGAGCCGGATTTCGGCCAACCCAGTGAGTTCATAACAAAGAGAAGGAAGAGAGCACTGCCCACGCCCGAGGGTGAAGTACAAGGAAATCTGAGGATGAGGAGAGCTGCGGAGAGTGCGAGGAGGCGTATTGCGAGAGCTCAGGCAATGGGCATTGAGACTTAGTCCGTCAAGACCTGTACATAGGAGAAAAGGAAGGCCCAGTACATAATATGCTCGCGACGGGTTTACGGCAAGTGGGCCGAGCAATCACGTTGACTTTCTCGCCGGCCATTTTTATCTCCCACCAGTCGTCTTCATGCCTACAGAAAATGGCGTGACGAGCTCCAATGCAGCTCTTGCTGACGAGTTCGAAGCCTTGAACTCCATCTATGATCCTGAAACCATCGTATTGCTGAACGATTCCTCGAACGAGACGAGCGCCGCCCTCCGACTGCCCGGCTTGCCCTTCGTCTTTCTGGCCTCTTTCCGTTCCCAGTATCCCGACACTGATGTCCCTCCGACGATCATTGGTACCCAGTCGACAGGCAATAGCGGACGGGGTGAAGGAGAGGCCGCGGTGAACATTCTCCGTGACGTGCTCGAAAGAGTTTGGACCCCGGGTCAAGTGTGTCTGTTCGACTTGGTGGAAGAGGCTGGACCATTGGTCCAACAATACCACAGCGAGCACCAGCATCAGCACCATGGCGCGTCTCAAGATCACGGCCAAAATGCTACGAACAGGTCCGTGTCGCCTACCCACCATGAAACTCATGAGCCGGACCTGATTCGGGATACAGCACCGTCACATGCTCCTCCGCCTTGGACCTTATCCGAGCCATTGACGGCCAACAAGTCCACTTTCATTGCACGAGCATGTCCGGTCTCATCGCTACCGGAAGCAATGGATTCGATATCCCACCTTCTCTCTACAAATAAAAAAGTCGCGACAGCCACACATAATATCACGGCGTGGCGGATACAGTCGACCAATACGCAGACTGGAAATGCTACGACGATACAAGACTCGGACGACGACGGAGAGACTGCAGCAGGAGGCCGAGTGTTGCATCTGATGCAGGTAATGGATGTGTGGAATGTCGTGGTGGTCGTCACCCGGTGGTATGGAGGGGTGAAGTTGGGCCCAGATAGGTTTCGGCTGATCAATTCGGTGGCCAGAGAAGCGTTGGTGAAAGGAGGATTTGCGAAAGAAGAAGGGGAAAAGGCGAAGAGCAAAGGGAAAGGTAAGAAATAAAGCATCTCCCATTATACCGAACGGCCGCCTCTTTTTCCTGCTCTGGTTCGTGAGACCGAACGGGGCTGGCCGATCATCACGTGCCCCGTCCACGTGACATTGATCTTTCTCCAGACAAACCGGTTTTTCTCGCTTCGGCCGATGACGACTCCTTTGCTTCATCAGTTCGTCAATCTCCAGGATCATGTCGTCCGTCCCACTCACAGGATGGCTACTCATCTCACACGATTTGTCTGGACGCTCCTGATCCTCTGACGTCGTCTTTCTTCTGCTTCGAGCCTTCATTGTCAAGAAACGAGGGTCGATGAGACTTGGAACTGGCCCCCCCGCGAGCTTTCTTATAACATCCTTCCATCGATCTTTTGTTGCCCTTGGCTTCTCTTTTCCCTTCTTTTCGGCCAATTCCTCCCTCTTCTATTTCTCTTTTTTTTTTTTTTTTTAATTTTTCTCTTGCTCTGGCGTTGTCGTATCCGCCGTGTCTGTGAGTTTATCCGTTTTCTTCCAGCCTGACCGTGCCTCGCCTCCCTTTGTCCTCAAGTGCGCTGAACCGGGTAGACGCCGTCCAAAGTCATGGATAACGCGACGATCCAGAATCCAGAGCAAAACAAGGAGAAGTCTCTTAATGAGTGAGTCTGGATGGAAGGATGCGCGTGGCGCTCGAAATTGCTGCTGACTGGGGCTCGAGGCTCCTCACCTCATCCCTTGTAGACATCTATGTCGGACCGGAATCCACACATTGGACTCTTCACGAAAGACTCCTCTGCTATCATTCACCTTTTTTCTCATCCATCTTCTACTCGGACCAAAAAATTGAAGAGAGAAAAACTCGAGGAAACAAATCGTATGGTCTTCCAGATGAAGATGACTATCCCTTCGAACTTCTCGTGGGCTGGCTTTACTCCGGATCTATTCGCGCTCCCAAGACCGAGCAAGATATCGGCCCATTACTTGACTTGTACCTATTGTCGGAAAAATTTCAGATGAAGAAACTCGGGCTCGATGTTGTCGAACTTGTTCGAGACTACTACCATACCACTTCCACATATCCCGGTCTTCGCCGAGTTCAATACATCTATGCCGAAACCGATGAAGATAACGAAATGCGTGAAATGATGGTCTCTTCCGTCGCCCGTCAATTGGCCACTAGCCACAGGATTCCAGCACATTGGGTTACGGCATTACAACGAAATGGACAACTGGCCGTTGACATCATTCGATCCATTCAACAATGGAATATCGGAGAGCGCAGTATTCCCGATGTTCGAGCTGGTAGTCAAAGTCGAGGGCGACAGGCAAACGGAGGCTGCTTCGACTCGATTGAGGGGAGGGGAGATTCCATGGAAGCTGTTGATCCGGTCGATCCGGTCGATCCGAATTTGGGCGTCACAAGTCCAAACAGTGAAGCAAGTGATACACCCATCGTCAAGAGCGCCCCTGAAGAGTAAGTTCGTCTGTCGTGCTACAATCCATACGGACGAGACATGTTTCCTGCTATATCTCATCAGGAGAAGCTGAGCGCAACCCTCCTGAAACAAAGAACATTGGGCCAAAACTCGGAGCCCTCGACTACCAGAACCACGAATTGATCCACCGGTTAAGGAAAAGAATGAGAAAATGGAGGATCCAGCCTCCTGCTCATCGACCGAAGAAACAAGGGTAGCAGGTACAAAAGTGATTCCAGACCTAAGGCGTTCGTGGAGGTTTTCACTTCAAGCAGGGCGGAGAGGCTCTTCTTGCTCTCAGCCTGGTCGATCCATTATATTTATACTGTCAGTGCATATGGCCAAGGTGCTACTTGGAGCGGAGATAGGACAATCCAATATATTGATGGTGGAGGTATAATATCTCAAGGCACTTGCCCCCTCGACCCAGGTGATTTTCTTCATGATAAAACCCCTCTGCCCCAACTACCACCAGCCTATATATATCCTGTCCATAAAAGGCTGTTACTGTTTGCCTCAACCGAGGTCCAACCTCCCCAAACTGAGCCTTGCCCAAGTGCTCCGGTCAGAACCGATGATTCTCCGAGGTCTTCTCTCGGCGAATTGCTCTTTTGTACATGTAAAGCGACTTGAACGAACAGATTTATGTATACACATGGGACTCCCAGCAACAACTTCAGCTTTCTATGTTCACAAACGCACCTCCTGCAGTGTCAAATCTGACAATAATCCTCAAATAGGCTCGATATAAATTCCACCCACTCCCATCCCCTCTCCCTCGGCAATTTAACCTTCAACTCATTGGCCGCGCCAAACCCAAGCTCAACATTCAAACCCGAAGCCGCTGGCCAAGAGGATTTGAGGGTTGATTCAGAGCGAATTTCACTTTCCAAAATGTCTCAAGATGGACGAAGCCAGACGCAAAAGGAATAAGGCCGCAGCCGCGGTGCAGGAAATGCTCGATACGTATGTTCTGTTCCATATGGTGGCCCGGAATCAAAGATGGGACTTCATTTCCCATCAGCTTGAGTGTTGGTGTGGTCTTGATTTTGCGCAACAAGAGGACAGAGAGTACTGTCCAGATCGATATCAGCTATCCATGCGGGTGTACAATGAATATGGCTGACAATTGGATCGAGAATGTAGGTATAAATATATCATGCTCAAGACAGATTATCAAGTAGGTACAATCCCCTTCTTTTCGTCGATTCGACTCCTTCCATTGACGTTTTGCCCATCCCTTCTGTATGCATCCCGACCCTCTCTTATAAATATTCATACATATCTGTGCCCATACCAGCGTCCCTTCCACACTCTTGTGAAGAATCTCTCTCAGTGATGGATTGAACAGGGATACGATGTCGAACTCATGACCAAACTCCTCCTCCTCGAAGCCGGACCTGAAGGTTCAGTGCGCTGGGAACTCACAGTGACCGATTTCTATGCGAATCAAAATGGTTTGTTTTCTTCGCTTCCTCCTTTATGCCGTGAAGCCGTCTGGATCTTGGATTCCTTCAGATGTCTTGGATCAAGCTTCTAGACCGGGCCATCTTCAATTTTCGAGGAATCAAACCTGACCGCGTTCTCGTTTGCGAGGTTATTAGGAGTCATGCACGGCGGTGCCGCGGGTGTTATTTTCGGTGAGCATTATCGAATTCAATTCTTTCCATTTCTCTCACCGCTTCTCTTCTCTTTTTCCCTAACCATTGGTCTCGAACCAGACATGTGTACGACGACAGCTCTATGCCCGATCTCGAGATCGGAGTACTGGGAGTAAGTATCCCCATTACCTCCCATCCACCCTGTTCCTTTCCCATTCTATCGTACCGGTCCATTCCCTTCTGTACTGCGTTTTCCTTCTGCAAACGGATCGCTAATCTCTGTCCTCACCAGCTTCCAAGGAGGCGTAACACGAACACTGAACATTTCATATCTCCGTGCTGTCCCGTTAAGTACGTTTACCGGCTTCCTCTCCCTCCCTAGCCTCCGCCACCCAAATCTCTCCTTTTGATATTGATGCCGATTCGTCTAGATACAACAATCCACATCTCCTCCGTCGTTGTCCAACACGGACGCACCATGGCCCTCATCCGCGGGACAATGAGCAGTCCGGACAATACCACCGTCTTCGCGACCTGCGAACACCACAAAGTTAATGTCCCCGCGCGGTCTGCGCATTTGAGTTTGCGCGAGGAATTGAGGAACGAAATTGCAAAGAGAGGTGGGAGAGAATGGTTAGACGAAGGCGTGGAGGAACTTATCAAGAGTCGAAGGGATAGGAGGAACAGAGTTGAGAGCGGGACCGTCAAGTTATGAGAAACGCCGTGAGAGGGCGATAGGAGGGGGGAAGGAAAGAGAAGAGATGTGCTGGACAAATGAACGGGGGGAGAAGGGAAGCATGCGGATATATACAGCACATGGGGATGCTTATCATAGAGGAGCAGAGAAAGAGGGAAGGGAAACAGGAAGTAGATGGTGATGTCAGGGCACGAATATTGTATATACTCAGCCTTGTATAGTCTAGGAGCCTTGGAGCGGCACCAAGCCATCGCACATTTATATATCCGCTGAATCGATATATAAAATTTGCGTCTACAACACACCGCAAACCTGCGAAATCAAGTTACCCAGTTTGCTACAAGAGGCATCGATGAAAAGAATAAAATGTATTTCCCCCTCTAAACCAAGAGTTCGGAAGATATCACTGCCAGTGCAACGTTCGGGACATGCGCATGGACATGAAGAGGACAAGGTCATCCATTCATCCATTCACACACTCGTCCACTCAATCCCTTTTCATCGATTCCCTGTCTCCTCTTCGCACATGCCCACGTCCCGTGTCCTTTGCAACGCATCCCACTGGCTTTGACTGAAAAGGATCCCGGCATCCCTGTCGATAATTGGTGTCGCGAAGGTAATAAAATGACATACATACATACGTACAACCCCAGGTTCAGGTTCTTGCTCTGGTTCTTGCTCTGGTTGTGTTCTCGCAGCTTCTTCCCCGTCCCATCGTCGAAGGCGCCTGTGCTTTCTCTCAACTCCCCTCTTCGACTATTCTGTTCTTTACGTCTTCCGTTCCTGGAAAACCCATCATCACAGGCCCTCCTACTTGGCTCACCCCATTCCATTTTCCCTTCCAAGATCTCTCCACCGGGTGCAAAAAAAAAAAAAAGAAAAAGAATATTTCGTACGGACTTCATAATGACTCGATTCCAGTGGACATGGACATGACTGGACTGGTGCAGACGTGCTCTGAGTTGAGCCTTAATAGGAGTAAGGGTTCTTCCCAAGAAGATAAAGGGGTTGGTTGGTGAAATAAATAAGGGAATTGGGTGGGGGTCGGTGAAACAAAATAATAAACGAGTTATCTTCTTCCTCTGGTTGGATTAACGATTGCCATTTTACCTTGTTCCACCCCGCGCTATGCATTTGCATTTCGATTGACGTTTCATGCTTCGAAGTTTTTTTTCCGTTTGGGACTTTTGGAATCTCGCTCCCCGCAAATGTTTGCTTTTATCTACAATGAAGCATTGATATCGCTTCAAGAATGGTCGTAACGTGGTGATGAGGTTGAATGATTTCGTCGAGGTGTAGAAAACGTCACAAGAATGGTGGACCATTGACCATTTCACCATTGATGAATTACATGGTCATGTGCAAGCCTCGTCACTCGAGAATCAGTATCATGACCGGTTTCAATTCGAGACTCGTTGATAGAACAACAGGTAGGCCACCTTGTTGTTCTTGGCTGCGAATTTGGGATTTGGTGTTTGTTTCCCGGATGAATCTTTGGCTGGAGTGGAAGTCCCATTGACAAAAGCGTTCAACGTTGATTTGGTTCTGGAATGACCATTGACTTGACTCCACACTTTATCTGAGCCGTCGTCATCATCTTCATCATCTTCAATCTGTTCGAACCTGTTACCACTCTGTTTGTGTCGCTCCAGAGCTGCCGCCAGGACTTTGGGATCTTCTTCACTCCCGCCTTCGGCCACTTCTTCACTTCGAATTCGTCTCAGCACGGTATCATCCATATGGATCCATTCATGCCCATCTTGACGACGAACGTCGACAGTGTAATGTCCGCCATTGGCATTCTTTCCATGGTGGTAGATGACTCCGGTCAGTCGGTATTTGGGGAGTCCACCATGAGCAATGTATTTGTTTCGAGCTTGCATCGGGAAGACTTCCTTGGGAATCTCAAGTTCAAGAGGATATCCCACTTTCTTCCAGATCTTCTCCGCCTGTTTGGTGGTGTTGTCGTAATGGAAACGTTTGAGATGCAAAATCAAAACTGGCGGCAGAGTCTCAATGAAGACTTGTTTCGTGGCGGTGGCTTTCTGTCCTCGGGGGGTATAGAAATCACCTTGCATGCTTTCGGGTCGAGTCAGTCCCTTCAAAGCATCGATGATGTTGTGGACCTGAGGAGAACCAATGTCGAGTGGCAATGGTGAATAGGGCTCCAGGGTGACGGACATTTTATTCCCCGAGACTTTCAACTCGGACCGGAGTTTTCCACCAAAGATATTCATGACAGGCGATTCAGTCGCGACGGCTCCCGATGATCGAGTCACCGAAGGCTTCTGTTTGTGTCCCACTTCCATCCAACCACTTTCGGCATCGGCATGTTCAGATGCATTTGAAGCGCTCCCGGCGGGAGTGGATCGTCCCGAACTGGAAGACGGGCGGGATCTCATGGCGCGGGCACATTCTTCATGCAGTTCTTCGAGCAAGAACCCCAGGAATTCCTGGGCATCTTGTTGGTGGCCTCTCCGCATTTCTCGAAATCGGGGGAGATCTTTGATGGCAGAATAAACGTATTCCGGAATGAAAGAGTCCCCGTAGTTTTCGTAGTCTTCCGGTTTTAACCGAAGACGAAGTTGCTCGACCGACGTGGCCGAGCAGATGGCGGGGTACTCCTGCACGAACATAATGATGGCATCGATCAAGGGAGTATCGCTTTTGAATGCATGGGGGCTTCGTTGGGCGATTTTGGCTAGGAGGTCATAGAAAGGCAAACAAAACACCAGAACTTGCAACACCTGATGGGATGGAATTAACATAAGAGGCCACCAGAATCGAGATCTTATACGTACCGAGTTCATGTAGCACATGTTCCCCGTGTTGACGAGGCCGCGTGGTTTCAAGAAGGAGATCTTACTGGGTCCCTCCACAACGGAATTCATATCGTGGAGTACATCGGAGCGAGTCCCATTCTTTCCGGCTCCTGGGGCGTTTCCAGTGACATCAGAGGATGCCGTTGTCGTTGAACCGATGTGGGAGCTGTTGGATTTGAAGAGATTTGCCCACGACTTTGGTGCCGGGGGGGACACGACCGGAGCTGATTCATCTGCAGTAGGCTTGGTCTCTGCCGTTTCGGTCGTGGTCGCCGCGGGTTCACTCCCTTCTGGTGCTTGCTCGGAAAGCTTAGATTGTGTCGAGACTGCGGAATCCCGATGAGGCCTTCGTGTTGAAGGGCTCGGAGGCAGAATGGGCACCGCGGGTACGACCGGGGCAACAGGTCGTGCTTTTGGTGGAGTGGGGGTGTGTTGAGATTTGCTTGCGGGTGCAGGAACAGTCGAAGGTGTATTGGGTTGCGTCGATGGTAACGGTGTTGACGTCTGCGTCATCGTCTGATCTCCTGGGATGTCGGGAGACTTCTCCTCCGGCCCTGTCTCACCCTGCGGTGTTTCTAACTCTGGGGTCTCTTTTGTCGGCATCTCCTGGGCTGGATAGATAACCGGTGCGGCCGCAAGCGAGGAACGAGGAATTCGTCGCCTCCGGCGAGGAGCACGTGGTGGAAAAGCTTCATTTTCAACCGACAACCAGGGCACCTGGGTGACATATTAGTATCTTCCTTCACGTATATGCTCGCCAAAAATATGCTTACCGGTGGATGGAAAGGCTCACGCGGTATTTCAACCGCGGGGCTTTGATCTCTTGGAGGCCCGGGAGAGATCGAGGGTGAGACCGTTTCCTTCTTTGTATTGACCGTGCTGGAGGTGCTCAGTGGTGGAGACGGAGGTGTCTGCACCATGGTGGTCGATGCAGTGGAGGCTGAACTCGGTGCTTGCTGTGGAGGCAAGGAAGCCAAACTATGAGCCGAGCCGCCAGGGGAGTGATGTGTACGCTGCAGCGGCGGTGCCACCAACGGACCATGATGAGGAGCGTATTGAGGTGGTGGCATAGGATGGTGAGGATAATAGGGCGGCCGGTTTGTGTGCATGGGATGCATATGGTGTTGCTGATAAGCATACCAATTTGGCGCGTAATGCTGAGGATATTGGGGCAACATAGGCCCCATTTGTTGAGGGTAGAAAGGCTGATAGCCAGGATGAGGCCTCATCGGAGGTGGAATGGAGGTGTATGTGCCATCATGCCGCCTCTGTGGAGGTTGCATAGGCAAAGGGTGTTGCCCATAGGACTGATGATTTTGCTGCATGTTTGGATCGCGTCACGACGGTCTTCGCCAGGACATGGTGTCCAGTGGATGCGCGACGAATCGGTCGTGAATCTTTGGTCCCCCTATATGGTGCCCTACACAGATGTTCCCGGACGGTCCATATTCGAGACGGTTGAGACAGGTCGGTGAGCGGAGAGTTGGTCGGTATTTTGGATCGGCTTGCGCCCAGGGGAAGTGGTAGTGAGTTCAGGTTGTCGAGCCTGCAGCAAGACAGGATCAGAGATTCGCGTCAACTCTCTCTCTCTCTGACGAGATGGGGAGTGATGACACGATAAGAGTGGAAGGAGAGGAGGGAAAAGGATGAAGAGTGTAGGACGAATTGTCGCGACAGACGATGTCGAGAAAGTTGAATCAGTCAACGGCCGCACGTTGCGCAGTCAGTGAGTTTGCGGTCCAGTGCCAATTCTGCGCAGCCAAAGTCGAATAGTGGACCTAAGGACGGCGCTATTTTGCTAGACCGAGTTAGCGTAGAGATATTTAGCCATTATATATAAGCTCTCTCTCATGCTGGTGGGCGTGGAGTCCGTGGGAGTCACTGAGTGGACGCCAGAGCCATCAGCTACGGCCAGGGAGATGACTCTGCTCATGCAATCTGCTGCGGTCACTGCGGTTCATCAGTTTCCCCTCCATCCTCTCTCTTTCCCAACCACCCTCCATACCCCTTCGCTTCGGCGATCGTGGTATCCTCCTCTCCCTGCTCGGAATTGCTCACACTTTCGTCGAGGACTCTTGTCTGCTTCATTGCGGACTTGAGGAGACGCTTGTCCGTAACGGACCGCACCCCCCCAATCCCGCCGCGATGTCATCCGGCGCCACTTCAAGCACGACTTCAAGCAAACTCCCTCCCCCCTCGAGTTCCTCGAATTTCTCCCCAGCTCCCACTTCGGCGGGCTCAGATATTTCTTCAAAACGAGGCAACACCGCGGGAAGTTTTGGTGCCGGCGTTTCGACGCGTCACACTCCTCAAGCGCGTGGGAATCAAACGCTCCGGAAGCAGCACAAAGCGCAGAGAAAGCCACGCTTGGTGGATGAGGATGCGGTTGCCGAAACCGCGGCAATGAGGTCCATCAACAGTCGCAAGGGGCAAACTTCGATCACCCACCTGATGAACTTTTCCCTCCCTCCCCGCCCTCAGAACCACTACCAGCATCATTTCCACCATCGACAACAGCGACGCAATCCCACATGGGGCCTCGGCTCGGGATATCATGCTGTTGACAAGGCTCGCTATGTCCACGCGAATTATCGATTCATTGTTCGGCCGGACCGAGAATATCATGCGCAAACGACCGATGCGGACGTGTACGTCAGTTGGGATGCGGTGTTGCAGGTTCTCGCATCAGCCGAAACCCAAGCCGCGAGCTGTCCCATTTGTCTGTCATCACCGGTTGCTCCACGAATGGCCAAGTGTGGTCACATATTCTGTTTGCCTTGCTTGATCCGGTACATGCACTCAGCCGACGAAACGAGCCCTCTTCCGGAGAAACGGCCTCGATGGAAAAAGTGTCCGATTTGCGAAGATAGCATATACATATCGGAGGCGAGGCCAGTGAGGTGGATAACCGGTCCGGATGCTAGTCTGCTGAGTGAAGGAGGCGACGTCCTTCTCAAACTGCTCAAGCGCGAATCAGGATCGACATTGGCGTTACCTCGAGACACCGCCGACGGATATGGACGCAATGAGGATATTCCCTGGTTTCACGTGGCTGAGATGATGGACTATGCTCGATTCATGAAAGGGGGGGAAGACTATATGACGGCGCAATATGATCAGGAGAGGGTTGATCTCGAAGCACAAGAAAAGGAGGACGAATTGATGTTTGGTGACGATAATACATGGACACAAAAAGCCATGGTCTCCATCGAAGACGCCAAACAGAAACTCTCCGGCATGGGTAATCCCCCAGCGACGCCGACCGCGACCAAGCAGCCGGAGATTCCAGCCTCTTGGGAGACCGCGGACCAGGAAGGACCATCGACACTGACCACGGCCATGAAGTTTTTGGCTCTCGATCCGGGACCCAGCCCCACCAAATCTTCCTCCGTGGCGCCGAGGTCTGCGGCCGGAGCCAGTCGGCAAACCAGTCATCCTTTCTATTTCTATCACGCCTTGCCTAATTTTTTCCTTTCCCCTCTGGATATACGCATTCTCAAGACGGCTTTTGGCGAATTTTCCGCTTTCCCCTCAACCATACTGCCCCGGGTCGAGCACATCTCCACCGGACATGTGATCGACGATGAGTTACGCAAACGGGCCAAGTATATGGGACACCTGCCCTATGGTTGTGAAGTGACTTTTCTGGAATGCGACTGGACGGACATCATCAGCCCCGTGATCCTGGAGCAGTTTCATGATGACATTGCAAAAAGACGAAAGAGAAACCGGGATAAAGAGGCCCGTGAAGAACGAGATAGAATTCGTGCGGAAAAGGAAGAGGACGACAAGCGATGGGCTCCAGCCAGAAGGCGAAGGCCGAGTTCGGTTCCACGGAGCTTTAGTGATTCCGATTTTCGACCATTGATTGATGCCCACACTCATCCAAATTCTTCTCCAGGGGAGTCCGCCCTGGCCACCACCCCGCCCTGGAACACGCGAACACAGTCTTCGTTTGCGACATTAGCGACTCCGGGCACGAGTCCGGATGCACCGAGAACTGTTTGGGGTACAGCGGCTGTGGCTCCGACCTCACCGCCTCTCATGGCGGCTCCCGAACCCATCCCACAGGATGATGGTTGGCTTCAAGGGTGGGAGACGGATTTGTTGGATGAGAACGATGCGGTGACGATGGTTGAAGCAAGCTTGAATGCGGACAATAGCTTACAGTCTCGCCCTGGTGGCGGCTCATCCAAGAAGGGGAAGAAAAAGAAGATTACGCTGATGTCGACGAATAATCGACGAGGTGCTTGATGCGAACATGATGCAATGAAGTTGGTGTATACAACAACGATCCAGTGAGTACAAGTTCGAATGAGTGAAACAGGGCCGTCATTACCACGTCAGTCTGGTGGCATCCCAATTTGTACTGTCAATGGTGATCATTTCAATTCATTAAGCAGTGAGTTGTGATACGGTATGACTAAACGGCTCCTTCTGGTTGCTGGTTCCTGGGTCCAACGTGGCATGTCGCAGATGGGATTGAAAGACGGGACGTTATTTGTAATCCGCTTTCGGTTTAGGCGGCCCTGCCGGTTCGGGTATGGTGGCAGGCTGGGCGCGCCGCCGCTTTTGACGTCTATAAGAACCCTCTTTCCTTCCCAAACCTCTCTTCCTTCCAACCTGTTTTCTTTCACACCTCCTTCGCCCTGATGCATTTGTCGTGCATCACGCGCTACAGCCTGCATCCTTCTCTGCCGCATCAGGTCCCCTCCGGCCTCGATTCTCCACCAGCTCCTTCAAAATCCGCCTCGCGTCTCCCAATGCACTCCGATCCCCCTCGAGCCCACCAAATCCTACGTGACACATTTGGCTCCACCGGCCGCACAACCTGCAACCTCAGCTGATCCCGTCCATCATCCCCACCTCGACCGAGAGTCCTAAGCGGTTCCGCGACGCTGCGTCTCCTTGTACCGCCTCGCAAGGATGATTCTCGTGATGGGGCTTTTCTGGCGTTTGTTCCCGGTTTACGAAAGAGTTGGGACCAAAACGACCGGAGTCGCCGTGCGTTGGCAGCCAGCCCTCTTGCTGCGCCGTCGGTGCCGAACACTGGGCGGAGGATGACACGGCAGACTGCGAAGCGCAGCTAATGTTTTTGGGCACAGGCCGGGCCAGCAAGCTGAGCGCCGCACCTGGTGCGCCCAATCACAAAAATGCCGCACGAGTTGATCAGCAGTGCGCCTGCATTGCTGCCTATGCTCCGCCTCGAATTTGCAGCGTCGAGCGGGGCCGAGTCCTTTAATTTGGCCCTTAGCGCTCGTCGTCCTGCGACGGGGGGCACGTCAGCGTGTTACAAGTGAATTCTCAGTTGCCGTCTCATTTGAGCCGGATGCAGTACGGTGATTGCCAAAATTGGCGCCCAATGACAACAGGACGCAGGAGGGGAATGGAAAATTATGTTCCGCTCTATCGTGGACCCGACCTGATCGGGCGTCCTGGTGCACAGCGGCTCCATATTGTGATCCGACACAGCATCAAAAAGCGATGGCAACAGCTAGGAGTACGGAACTCGAAATGGGGAGTCCCAACTAACCACAATTGGGAAGGACCTCAAGATGAGGAAACCCCAAATGAGCGAGCGATTCGACTGTACCTCGATAGAGAAGGTCGCTGGAGCGAGACGCTTAAGCTAGAGTCTTCAGAGGGTGGACCTAGATACGATACCGACGTGGTGGATGATCGTGAGTCCCTAATTACGAGTCGGTCTTGGTTCGTGTGGGCACTGGAGGTTGCAGAGGAAGAGGTGAGACAGCAGCGCTGCCCAAAGTAGTCGACGATCGAAGCCTATGAACCGGCGCGGGCGAATGTAGCAGCACGATGGGAAGAGGAGGGTTACTGGAAAGACAGCTGAGTTCGCGTTCTTTGCCAAAATCTCGGCTTTCTCTCGTCCCCAAATCTTCACACTGACTCGATTTTTCCGTGGCGACATGCAGAATGGCTCAATGCGCTCCATGGACTTCTCGCCTAGCCCCGCGATCACCTTCCCGGTTGTCTGCATTGGGGACACAAAGCGCCGCTGTTCTCGCTCGCTCGCCCTCTTCACCCTCCAAAGCGGGTGCGTTGCGGGCAAGTTGTGTAAGTCTACCCAGAATCGGCGTACCTGGTTCGCCCAGCGATCTTTGACCGGCACCAAGGCTGCTTCGGCCTCGGCCACAACCAACGATACTGTCCTGAATCCAGCGATGATCGCCATTGCACCAAGTCGCTGTGCTTGTTCAGCCGCCCTGACCATTCTGGGCGACGCCTAGATGGACCATACCACCGATGCAGAGTCGACCACGGGCTCAACCATTGAGGTCTGCTCAAAGTCCTAATGTGGTATCCGTTGTTCTCGAGGATGCCTCAGCATGTGAAGCCTGTTGGCGATTTCTTGACAATGAGAGGATGCTCGTGGAACCGGCGTGTGGCGTGAGTGTAGCGCTCGCATATAACCCCGACATACTGAAAAGATACGTCGAAAATCTGGGACCCGAATCCAAGGTTGTCATTGTCGTCTGCGGTGGATCCAAAATTTCACTTGCATTGTTAAATAGGTACCGTCAAACCTACACAGGAAGCGGTGAGACATCATACGAAACTGACGAACTGGGTGCAACTCGAGATGTCTTGAATGTTCTGTTCTCTATCTATTTGTCGAGGTATTGAGGCTTCTTTTATAGACGTGCGAATACTACGTCGTTACTCAGAGCAACTATCAGTAACGTCGTCGTCTATGGAAACCTCTCACCAGTGTTTCAGCTGTGGATCCTGTACACAATAGCCCTTTGTTCAACAGAAACTGGACGCTGGTGCCCTTCGGAAAGATCGTCTGCAGTCAGAAGTTATCTGCTTTAAGAAATGGAGGACGTTGGATAAAGGGAAATTGGCCGATTTGAACGGCAATGTTCTCGGTACAGAGCTAAAGAAGTAGAAAAGGATTGCAGAGTTTATTATTTCAAGGCTGTGATCAGTTTTTTAGCTCGTGCGCAGGCAAGGGTGGTTCCAAGGCACTATTGACAAAGGATATCATTGTCTCGAAGCGTCACGGGAGCCTAACTACATAGACACCAAGCCTGAATGGCTGAAGATGCCTCCATTTTCAAAAGGGTTACGGCTGACTCATAAGCTCTGATTGTTAAACTCTTCGAACCACTGATGTCTTTAAGGCACAACATCGAAAGATCCACTGGCATGATGAGGGAGACTCCAGCGGCTTACACAATGGTGCCCACTCAGAATCTGGATCTGGGTATGTCCTTTCGAGCAGATCCTGAAAACGTGCTAATGCGCGTTCAAACCACGTAGACGAATTCGGTGTTTTCCCGGTCTGTGAGGTCGAGAAACCTGCAAGAGTTAGCTTTGACTTCAATTTGCTTTGCTGATTCAGACTGGCTCCTGTTCGTGCAATTTCACATAACCAGGCAGAGAGCGCGATGCCGCCTTCCTCTTGTTCTGCCTCATGCAGTACCACATGATGAAGTAAATGTCAACCACACCAAAGGCCCAGCCACAGAGCATCGTAATCTCGGCCGGTCTATAATTGGGAGCGTCTTTGGCCTGAAAGGTTTGAGGTCCAATAATATACCCCGCGCAGTAACCGATCAGATAGAAGGCTGCGACTGTGGTTTTCTTGGTGTCGCCCGCAACATTGGTCGCAATGACGGAGAGAAGGGTCACGAAGGGCACCGAGGCACCCCAGCAAAAGTAACATCCAATAAGTCGCCCAGCGGGCCTGTCCTGAGGCAGCGCTATGATTAGGGTGATGCCGAGAATGGCCATCCATAAGCCGGCACTACCAACAGCAAGGCGTGCATTAAAGCGACCTCCCAGATACCCACTTAAGATGACAGTGATGAAGAGCCAGGCACCTCCGGGTGTCCCGAGGAGGAAACTCTGTTCCGTCGAGTAGCCGAATGACTTGATCTGTGCAGAAGGCGCAATAGCCATGGCTGGACGCGAATATCAGCACTTGCGTTGCGCTTACCACCTGATTGAAAAGGCCGGCAAGTCCACCGTTGGATACGGTTATCACCAAAGCAAAGAAGAACAGCGCTCAAGTCCTGGGGTCAAGCAAGGTCTCAATCAACTGATACCTCTTGAAATGTTTGTTGCCGATGCCTTGTTGATTGACCTGGATTCTGTGTACGGCAAGCGCACGATCCCTTTCGGACAGAAATCGAGCGTTCAATTGGCTGTCAGGCATCAGAACGTAAAAATCCACTCCAGGAAGAACGGTTAGAAGCCCTGTGCAGAGAAACAGCACTCGCCAAGCAGCGACTGGATTTCCATAGCGAGCCACGGCCTTGACGATTCCATACGCCAGGAAGCCTCCCACCAATTGGAATACGCCATTGAAACTGAACCAGATGCCCGACCGAAGAGCCTGTTCTTCTTTCGTATACCACTGGATCATATTAGCGGATTTCAACTGAGAATTGGTCCATAGAACAACCTGTGAGGTGAAGAAAGCGAGCCAGGAGTAACAGCTGCCTCGAAAGCACCGAGAAATATTCTCGTCACGACAGCGCCGGGATAATTCACGATACCAGCATGGCAACACTGCACAATGCCCCATACGACGATGCAGAAGCTTGAGTATTTTGCGAGCGGAAATCTTCCAAGCAGTTGACCGGTGGGATGCTCCCAGAACAAATAACCCGTCCAATGTTGGTGTCAAATAAGGTTGGGTATCAACCAGATGTGTGCAACCGAACGTAGCCACGAGTAATCGTTGCGGTGCATTCCAACATCTTCCAACAGGCCGACCACGCTGGCGTAGGACAGGGAAAGCTCTGAATCTTCATCAACAACACGATGTATGCGAAGGACTATAGTACTTACAGTCTAGAAAGCACTATGAGAAGAGATGGGCTCAAATGTTTAAGACGGTTGACCTTGGGCATTCCTCACCAACACGCTGCACAGACGCTGCTTCGCATTTATGAAGTCAGACTCTCACTAGTAGACGCTGCTCATCTCATCCGGGGAAGTCGCCAGTCGAAAGCGCCCCCAACCTGACCACACAGGCAGAATCGTGATCCATTGCCATAATCCCAACTAGCCCAAGGCCCTTTCTCTTCTCATCATCAATGATGCGGAGGCAGGCATCCACGAGAAGGAGGACAAGGTTCATCCCGGACCTCAGCTTTCCCGACAGCTCTTTCACTTACTCTTCCCCGACCGTTCGGTTCAATTTGCGATGCAGGGTGTAGATGCTGGCAGCCCCTGCATTGGTAGTCTACGTTAAGGTGTAAAGCGAGCGCCATGGAAACATTTGTCGCACAATCTCGAAAGCGCTCGATGCGGACTAATCCGCGACTTCTGAGACGCCCTCAGGTGGGCACGACGTAGCGTACAATTGCAGCTCAGAGGTAACTAGCCAAGAAGAGCATGCCCGAAGAAACTGAATTGCGCATTATTCATGCACGATATACCGAGCATTAATAATGTCCTTGACCGTATATAAAGAAGAACAAGAGTGATCATGGTTGGATCCCTGCTTTCATAGACCCAAAGGCATCCGTCCTTCAGACTTTGATTTCCAGAGACAGACAGTCCCTCACGTGGCGACCGGATTTCTCATCAGCATGGCTCCCTCCGTTATTGAGACAGATCTTCTCATCCCGGGTCGTGGAGATCCCATTAAAGACGCAGCGCTTGCATGGGAGAACGACCGAATCGTTTGGGTGGGAAAACAGTCTGATCTCCCCAATAGCTACGAGCAGCGACGAAAGTTGAGAAGGTACCTGTGATCACCCCTGGTCTTTGGGATTGCCACGTGCACTTTCTAGGCACCACATCATACCAGACAGAGGATATCTGGAGAGAGCCGCGTGCATTATGCAGTGCTCGTGGTGCTCGCGACGTCGCCGAATTGCTGAATGCCGGCTACACATCTGTGCGCGAGCTGGGCGGTGATGGCCACGAACTCGCCAAAGCCATCAATGAAGGCTACTTGGCTGGACCGAACATTTATTCCTCGGTGAGCGTCCTGAGCCCCACGGCCGGACATGGCGATGGCCACAGCATTCCTCTGGACACGTTCAAAGATGCTTGTAGCCATGGTATGGTATTTGAGGTCTGTGACGGCGTCCCTGAATGCCTGAGAGCGGTGCGTCTCCAGTTGCGTCGGGGTGCCAAGGTGATCAAGGTCTGTGCTAGTGGAGGCGTTGCCAGCGAAATCGACGACCCTCACCACCAGGAGTTTTCCGATGATGAGCTGAGGGCTATGGTGGAAGAGGCCCACCGTGCGCAGCGCGTGGTGGCCGCTCATTGTCACGGCAAAGCGGGAATCATGGCAGCCCTGCATACCGGCGTGACCACGATTGAGCACGGGACATACATAGATGATGAAGCGATCTCCGAAATGCTAGAGAAGAAAGCCATCTTGGTGCCAACACGCACGATTCATGAGAACGGATTGAAGCTCCGGGAGCATTGGACGGACAAATCGTACGCCAAGCTGCAAGTGGTTGCAGCCCATCAATTTACGACGTACCAGAAGGCCATCAAAGCTGGAGCTCGCATTGCGTTGGGCAGCGACTTGGGTTGCAGCCGTGCCAACACCGTCCTTAGCCACGGTCAGAACGGAATCGAGCTGAAGTACGCCGTCGACGCTGGGATGACTCCATTGCAAGCCATAGAGGCCGCAACAGCGGCGGGACCCGAGACATTGGGTCCCCCGGCTCCGCGTGCGGGTCAGCTGAAAGAGGGATTCGATGCGGATTTCATCGCGTTGAGCAGCAATCCTTTGGACAACATCGAGATTCTTTCCCAGGCAAAGAACGTGACCCATGTATGGAAGGGAGGTAAACAGTTTAAGTCACCAGCGGTTGCGGGTCGTTGGTTGTTTCCGGGACTTCGACAGTCATAGAATCACATGCCTTGGCCCGGCATGACCTAGGAATCCACGCCAATTAATGAAAAATCAATCATTGTCTAATGCGAGAGCCTTTTGACGATGAACGACGGCTTTCGACGTGTGTACAAGCCCTAACCTGGTATTAGTGTTTTGGAGGCCTTGATCAGCTCCGGGGAAAAGAGGTGAATCAAAGGGTAATATTAGACCTCGTCTTGAAAGTGCCACAACTAATTTTTCAAGTCAGCATAATGGTCAGACAGATATCGAGCTCGAGGCTCACCGTGTCAACAGTCAAACACCGGAGGCATGAGCAGAAAGCCTGCGGAAGAGTGGCACATGTTGGTATCAAAACCAGTGGGGGGTATTTTCTCCAAGCACTTTCGCCTGACCGCTCCGGCCGGCGCGAAACCGGGAGTTAAATGTCCCTGATTTTCTGGTTGGCAATCTGCCAATGCCGCCAGCCAACCATGGCATCCGAGCCGTGTTCAACGGTACATAAACATCTTGTCGAGCTAGGGAATAACTTGAAACGTATTGAACGCTCTGTCTACCTCACCACTGGTCCTACCAGGTTGTTGGTATATATACACGTTAGTTTGACCCCCTTTTCTTCTCCTATTTCTACCCCTAAATCCTGCATAGGGGTGATAACCCTTTTTCAATAAAGGGGCACTTGCTACTATTCGGCCGTTCAATGAGACCTTGTTCGACACATCTGCATGTGACGGCTCAGAAAGCAGTCGTGGACCAGTCAGCTCCAGGGTGACACTTAGTATCAAGGAATGCCAAGGAACCGAAGGGCAAGCGTGATTCAATAGGGAATTGATGGAATTGACAGTCCTATATGATATCGACTCGATCGCTTGAGGAGTCAAGCGATGATGGGGTGAGATGAGCAGGATATAAAGCCTGCGTCTCGCCCGGTATCTAGTGTCTTGGCAGGGGCCGCCCTGACAAAAAAACAAAACGAAAGAGAGCCTACGTCACAAATGAGAAGTTAGAGTCGGCGGCGGCAGTGGTACAATTCAAGAAGAAACGGCCAGTCTTAGAGTCTCTGAACCTTATTACTGTCGCAAATGAAGCAATGATTAGAAAAGGAGGTGAAAAGAGGGCCATCAAACCCACCGCGCACTCAACATTGACAGCTGCTATATACTGGATCTGTGAAATGGATTAGAGCTCGCGCGATTTTACATCTATATCGCTTTACTGGCGATATAGGACTTGAGGCGAAAAATACCAAAAGAAAGGGTCCCCTCCTAAGGTCCATCTCTGACGAAACTCATAGATGGGGCGCCGCAGCCAGTGAAAGCTTCAGCCATGCAAGTTCAACTGCAGAAGAGTTTGAATCGGTGACCTCCCAACGGTATGAACAAGACGACATCATCAACAATCACTGGCTGGAGCATTACGTTTACCCATCTAGGGCACCTAGAAAGCTAGGCCGGACAACCCTCTTACCTTACCTATGATCGAACACTAGTAAGGCCCCTCAATTCTATCGGTTCGACTGCAAGCCGAGTGTTTTACCACTCGGTTACGTCCTGGATAGGTCAACCACGATTTGGTGTCAATTTTGAAGCAGTTTTTGGCATTATAAAATATAAACTTGAAATTTTTATTTTTTTATTTATAAATTTTGGAATCACCTGGCTTGGCGTTGTGTGGCCATACCAAGAGCGACGTGCTGACTAATCACGTAAGCCGATGGCTTGGCAATGTCACGTGGTCAGCTAGGCACGTTGGGCACTCCCCTTGCCGCGTCGTCATCGGATCCAATCCGTGGACCATGTGGCTCGTGGGGCTCTACTCGATAGATGTCCATGGATTGGATCCGATGAAATCCCGTGGGCAACCTACCCTCAACGGATTAAACATTTTCCGGGCCACAACCCATCGGATCCAGTCTATGGACCAAGCGGTCGGGGGGGGAACCCTATTCGATATCGACATGGTCTACGGATTGGATCCGATGAGTCGTGGTATTTCATCGGATCCAATCTGTGGACAACCTAGACGAGCTCTTATTGATCGCGCTCGAGATGGTTCGTAACCGAGCGTTAACGAATGAGCCTCGATGTCGATTTGGTCCATGGATTGGATTCGATGGGTCGTGGTTGTCACGGGACCACATGCCAAGGATTACGTAATTAGAGGGTTCTTCAGCACTTTCTGCGTAGCATCCCATCTTGACTCTCTTCGTGCTACGTCTTGTAATCTAAAACATCGCTCAGCAGCTTGAACGGCTGGCCGAGTACGGGGCACCACGAATCGTGTTCCAATGGGTTCCAGGACACGCGAACATTCTGGGTAACGAGCGAGCACACGACCTGGCACAAGAGATGCAACCGAACTCGATCGAGACATCCCACACACCAACAAACTCAAATCAGTGACCATACGCGAACGGAATGGGCTACAAAAGGAGAAGAGAAAACGGCTAGAACAGAGCCAGGGGGGTCAACACACGAAGAACCTCGACCGTGCCTTGCCTGGACCGCATACACGACAACTCTACGGGAAGGAGCGTACTTCATAGCACAACTACGCACCGGCAAAAGCAGACTCAACACGTACCTCCATAGAATTAAGGCGGCAGACTCGGACCTATGTGAACAGTGCCAACGCCCGGAAACTGTGCGACACTTTTTAGTCGAATGTACACGATGGTCGGCTAGGCCTTGACATGGGCCGGGTCAACCCAAAGTATAACTATTTATAGACCCTTTCCTTGTAGAGTAAGTAGATGCGAAGAGCCCTACGTATAAATTAGCTAAGCACAGTAACATATGGTATTAACCAAGCAATTTTCAAAATCATTGAATTGAAGGGAATGCTCATGAAGCAATAATCATTGTAATAGTTAACTTAGTTGGAATAATATATACTACGAGAAAGTCTTTGGCATAGTTCATTGAGTCCGAGCTCTTGCAATAGTAATAGTTATTGTAATAGTTACTTGTATTGGATTACGCGCATTATGTCATCCTGTATTTAATTAAACTTTGGGCGACCCAACGGGTTTTGGGCGGGTTGGACCCCTTTACCGGCCCAACCCTGCAGGGTTTTGGGTCGAAAGAATAATAGCCCAAAACCCGCCGGGTTAACCCGGCCCATGTCAAGGCCTAGGGAGAAGAGATAGGTTCTCCCATTGCCATGATCAGCCATGACGCACGACTTGCATCCAGTGCGGCAAATAATTTGACGATTATTAGATCGTCAGATACCTCATGCTGATCCAGTCATTCTATCAGATGCACCGGAGTCAGGACAAATGTATCAATCATCAGCAAGTGACACCATTCGGAGTTAAGTTATATAAGATAATTAGGTGTGGCATAATTAGCAAAATTTAATTCTTTAGGAATAGTTTGACTTGTGGGCAGTCTGGTCTTTAAGAACAGGAGCTCATCTGAGGAAGCACAAACACAGGATGCGAAAACCCGGTGATAAAACTCACTATCAGGGTGGGGACGTACGAGGGAACGAGAGTAGAGATCCGACAATGATATTACTATCCAATGCACTATAAAGTCCAAGACGAGAGACAAAGAACGTGCGATGCTATCCCAGATACTTATAGCCAGCGGTACAGTCATGCCGCAAGGCTACCACGCAGGCACACAAGGCTATTCGGCAGCCATAGTGGGCATGCCAAGACCGTTTGAGGGGGTTCCAGGTTGTGCCATGACACTCACGCTGCCTCGACAAGGGTTTGAGATTCAATCATCTACATAGTCTTTGTGCACCTCGCAACGTATAGTTCCTATCTCATGGCTGAGTTGTCGATAGAGATTAGCTGTCTTCTTCAGCTCAGAATTCAGGTCTCACAAGACTGCTACGGCCACCAATCCCTCCTCAGCTTTCAGGTTTGTCCCTGAAGTTCAGGTCCTATTAGAAGCTACCAACCCTTGGCCGGGCGGTCGGGATCTTGCCAGTAGATCTTCAAAGGTATTCTGATATCCATCTGGTTTCTCTTGCACAATCTTGGCTGCCCAGAGGGAAACGTGTCCAGGTACATCTTTGGCGACAGCGATTGCGGGAACGGTGCTTAGCGTTGGAACATGACTTCAGTGAGTGCCAATGGCCAGCTCCATCGAAGCAATTTGACAAGCATCTGAGCCGCAGCAGCACGCCTGACCGGGGCTTAAGATTGTCCCCTTCCCGAATCTTCGAAACAGTGTCCTCATTGTAGGTGTCATGGCACAACCTGGAAGCCCCTCGAACGGTCTTGGCAGGCCCACTGTGGCTGTCGAATAGCCTCGTGTGCCTGTCGATAGCCTTGCGGTATGACTGCACCGCTGACCATAAGTATCTGGGATAGCATCGCACTGCTTTCGTGTTCTTTGTCTCTCGTCTTGTACTTTATAGTGCATTGGACAGTAATATCATTGTCGAATCTCCACTCTCGCTCCCTCGTACGTCCCCACCCTGACAGTAGGTAAGTTGACAGAATTTTCTTATGAGCCTCTTTAGTGGACTTAGAATCTTTCCAATTTTTTCGAACTCCCCGGACGTCGTCAAGTGTCCATAGTATTGTGATAAAGAGTGAAGAAACATCTACCTCGTGGGACTGCTCCCATTTCTGGAACATCCTAGAAGCCATATACAGTAGACTGCCAATAAGGGTATTGGCGTTAATAGCATGGTTCGAAAGACTAAAGACTCCGAATTGGAACTGGTGTTGGTGATTCGGTCCCGTCACGTAGAGAATGTTTTCTAGCTTGTCATGTGGCGCTCCTGCCTTCCTTCTTCAAGGCAGGCTAGCGCCTTAGTACCTCCGTGCCTTCATAGCTGAGACAGACAGTCTCAAGATAGCAGACAGCAAGCATTCAGATAGGTTCCTTTCGCGTTTTTTGTTCGTGCTCCCACATGTCATCTATATGAACAATGTCGTCCAAAGCCAGACAATTTAGTGCTTGAAGCGTCTGATGGAAGACGGACCTCGACAATAGGCTCGCAATTTTTGCTCTCGATTAAAGATTCCGTTCCACATGCTAGGCTTTCTCGGCTTTATGTGAGAGCACTGTCACGCGGACACGGCTGGGTAGAGGGGATCAATATCACCAGGACTTCTCGCTGTTTAGTTGTGGTGGGCGGACTTGTCAGGCGCGAAACTGTCGAAATAATCCAGGTTCAGGTCGCTTTCGTGAAACATGTCGCTCATGAAGTCGTTGTTAAGTCCTCGGATCTGGAAATCCACGTTCACAGCCTTCTCGTTAGACGCGCTTCCGACAGCCTGAGTGTTCGACGTGCCTGAATCCCGATCTGTGTTTCCAGCAGGGTTGATTTCAGGATTCTGAAAACGCCCGCTCCGACCATAAAGCCATGGCGAGTGTCCGAGCCCAGGCACCGGTGGGACCTGAGGCGGAAAGGGCGTCGAATGCGCAGCGCTCATTGCGACACCAGGATCATATTGTGCTCCCGGACGCCAGTCCTTAGCTCGGAGGAGTGAAAAGAGGTGCTCCGATGGGTAATCAGTGACACAGGATATCAGGTCCGGAAATTGGGCAAAAAAGGCCGAGTTTAGGATCCAATTGTTCAGATTATTGATGGTGGTCTCCAAGCCCTCCTCGAGTTTCAGCCCAGACTGGTCCTCCTTCACACTGATGGGTAAGCCTGGACCGTGGTGGGTAAAATTGTAGACCTGGAAATGCCGTACAAAGTGGACCGAGAGATCCTTAGGGCTGTAGATGTGCCAACTAGTCGACAGCTTCTCGCGAAGGCCGGGCCTATTGGCTTCCGTCAGCATCTTCTGTTCCCGAGCACGCAACCAGATCGGTATATACCAGAGGAGAATGTCAATGAAGAGGGGATGCTCTTTCTGGAGTTGGGATCTCGTGGGCCACAACCATGATGGGACCTTGGCGAGGTTTTCGGGGGTCGGAAATGCGAGGAACTAAGAGGTATCAGAGGCTTGGACTGGCATATGGATGAATCGCCTCATAGTAGGAAAAGAGGCGGCAGTGCCTAGGATCACATACCATGAAGAAATTGTAGGCCTTCCAGAAAATCGAGATACATTCGATAACCGATCTGAAGATCGATCTCCACGGGGTTACGATCTCGCAAGCACACAGGGCGATGGCTCGGCGTTGGATCTCCACCTCAGAAACTATTTCGGACGTGTCTTTGGCGTCGGCTTTTTCGGCAACACTGGCATTCTGTGCGTCCGGAACGAGTCTTTCGAGAAGATTGGCGTAGAACGACTTCTCTTTGGCAAGCTCACGGATCGACTCTGGGAAAACCGGGGTTAGCATTGTTGACCCGCCACGAGAAAAAACGACGCCCTACCTGCTGTGAGAGAGTCACTGCGGGAATCCAAGGCACAGCAACTAACGATGAACTCGAATCCGGATTTTGGGTGGTGGAGGAGCTTCCAGCTGGTTACAAACTCGACAATGTCATCCACGACCACTTCCCACGGTCGAGAGCTGTCGCGGAATTTGATGGGAACGCTCCGAAACATGGTGCTGTGGAGGATGGGGAGGGAGTCTTCGGGGTTGGAATGGTCGAAGTGTCGCTGGTGCTCTAAATTTGGCACTTGGTCACCCCTTGTCCAGAGAGGTCCAGGACTAGGTGGTGGGCATTGGAGGGACAGTCGAGTTGAGCTGTGGACTCCTCTTCCCGTCATCCGGTTCTCCTCGAGGCATTCTTCGGTTGAGAGAAGAATAGACTCCAGCTTCAATTCATATCGTTCAACTGTCGCCCAGAGTGCGGCGTTCTCCTGGACCAGCTGGCGGACCAGACTGTTGTGGTCGCCTCGTAAAACGGCGGCCAGCCTATCTTCTAGCTGGGCGACATTGCGCTTGACTTGCTGTCGTGCTCTTCTCTGACCAAGCCGGTCCATGACTCTCTTTCGTTCCAACTGTCTTTCATTCATTTTTTTCTTCCAGTTACGGCCCTCCATGGTTGGCGTCGAATCTCTGCTTCCGATGACGACGAGCAGAAAGATTTTCGGGAAGTGCAAGAGAGAGTAGTATGAGAAGACAACTAATTCAAAATATGAAAAGTCTGCGTACCCGGTGGGAACAACGTGGACGAGACGGAAGGGGAGGAAAGAAGCGGCCTCATCAAAATAACACATATTATTTAAGAGCCGGGTGCCCGACCTAGAATCAAACACTAGGCCCACCCCCATCTTCCGGTGACCCCACATTCAGGGATTCCTAGCTTTGGTACTTCGGAATAGGAGCGTTTGAAAGTAAGTCCTCGGTTGTCGTCGAGACTTGTTCGCTTAAGAAGGTTGGTCATGAACAAGACCGGGTGCATTCAATGTAGTCCAGTACTAAACAGGAGACGCTGAAACGTGGAAGTCCCCCTGATCTACCAACTATTTACTATCATGGAGAATTCGGCTGCTTATCGGTGCAGGCGTGCGGGCTCTCTCATGAGGAGGGCCTTTGTCGCGCAGGCGACTTAAGGATGAACTTTGGTCCGAGGAAATAGGCTCATCAGCGGCCCATCTCTACTCGGTCCCAGGTGGCACGTGTTTGTTCTGTATTGTGTGCATTAACCTGTCCGGAAGCCTTCTAGAGTGGCAATTCACCGTGATTTCATTCTTATGCCAGCAGTCCGGGCTTTCTGGTGCTTCACTATTCTGCGCGTGCTGGCACTCTAGTTCTGGAAACGAGCTCTGAAACGGAAAGAAATAGAATCCAGAGACTCCCTACAGAACAAGGAAGCTTAAAGATCGTTTAGATGGCCCAGATAGTCTGTAGGCTTCTATGGACTACCACTTGAACTGGGAGCGTGTGAAGAATCCGCGTAAGCCGAGGGGAGAAGGCGGAGTTGGCGAATCTTTGCATCGAAATGTTCGACACGAATTGCATTATGGCCGGGAAAGGCGGGGTCGGGTAGCTCCTCGGGGTGGGGGAAGGAGGGGGGATTATCTCGGGAGCTGTGAACCCGGCTATGTTGTTTGCATTTTGTACGGAGTAGGGTTTTGGTCCAGGTCCTTAGTTAGCGAGGTTGGTGGCTCTCCAGCCGACCAAGTATGAAGACCTGAACAGCATGTATAGATGATCCGGTTGTATGCCTCAAGGATTGCAATCGAGCATTGTTCTGTATTCTATCTCCTTCCCACGTACTCACAACGACTTCCTCGTTCCACATATATTTGTACTGGGCGCAGAAGTGCCCGTGATACAAGGAGAAGCCGTGAAAATCTTCCGAATGGGGGGTAAAATACACCGATCGCGGCGACTTGGAGTTGTAACCTCGGAGGCGCTCGTGATGGTGGTTTCAACAGTTCCTTTTACACCCTGAAAAGGACAGGCTTCTTCAACTCAGTAAATTTGACCTAAATTTTTCCATTTGGCTGCGTGGACCTGTTCGATGAATGATGTCTAATCCGGGTCACGTCTCTAAACAAACGTTTCTCTTATAGCTTCGAGCGCGTCTTCGATTTGGCTAGAAGGGAGCTTTGGTTTAGTATCTATACGATATGGGTAGACATAAAAGAGTGCTTACCTTCCAACATCTTCCTTTTTTCCTCGAACCTTTTCTTGGGAGCGTCTTCGACAAATCTTTCGGCGAGGGCGTCGACTGAATCATACACAGCCAACATGCGCTTCTGCCTCAAGGGCAGATTTTGCAGTCTCTTCGTTTCCATCATACTCTTCCCATCATTAATGTGGAGCTGTTGCTCCAGAAACTGGATGACGATGTCGTGAAAGTGTTCGGCGGGGAAGACGCGATTCACCATCCCCCAGTCCTTGAGTTCTTCTACTGTCAGCTTTCGGCCGAACATCAGGAAGTCGTTGGCACGGTGGACGCCCACGGTCTGTGCAAATAGTGTAGAGCTTCCGTTCTCCGGGACCAGACCGAGGGCGTTGAAAGGAATCTGGAGCCAGACCCCCTGGGCTGCTAGAACGATGTCGGCAATGCCCTCGAACCACGCTGCTCCACCACCCACTGCGGGTCCATTGAGGGCAAGAACAAAGACTTTCTTATGGTCGATCATCGAACGGAGAAGTTCTAAGGCTAATATAGAATGACAGGAGTCAGACCTCTTACCAAACAAAGCATGTCGCTACCAGGGACTGACCAGAAGAAAAATAGCCCAGATAAGCGACCTTCTTTTGGGCGGTGGATGACCATTCAGTCGATAACGATGGGCTGCCCGTTCCTTTCACATCAGCGCCGGACGAGAAAAAGCGTCCTTTTCCGGTAAGCACTGTGAAAACAGTCTTGGGATGTTCGTTGAGAGCCCGCAGCGCTTCGATCAGCTCCACTATGAGTTCGGTGGTAAAAGCGTTGAGTTGTTTCGGCCGGTTTAGCTGCTTCGTCATGAGAAAGTGTGTTGTAGGAGGAAAAACGGAAGTAAAAAGGAAATCCTGCCGAGCAACCTCTGACGGAGATGCGAAACGAAAAGAGGTTGAAAAGAGAGCCACATTACCGTGATGATGCCAATCTGGTTTTTGATATCGACCTCAAGGCCTTTGTACCTGTGGTCGGCCATGGTCTTGAGGCGCTGTGTGAATCTACAGAGAGCGAATTCAAATTCAAACTGCTTCTAGTGGCCGAAGACCTCTGAGGGACCAGCATGACCGTCACTACATGGTCTTTATAACGCCGTCAGTCGCAGGGGGTGCGCAGCCAGTTCATGTGGATCTTGAAATTGCCGTTTAACGCGTCCCCCTAGAACTAATTTTACATCCACTTTTCCCTATTTATCTTCGTATCTCGCTGATTTTCAGAAAACGTTCTACTCCGCTTCTTGGGTGCTTTATCTTCGCCCGGCAAAGACGACCCACATCCCCAAAACCTAAGCGTAGTGCATCGCGAACCACTACTCGTACAAACCGAAGAACACCAAGGTGGAAGCGAACTACCGAGGTCCGAGAACTCCTGAGAAGTCTTGGTGGTTAACTCATTCTCAGCCTTGGTTACTTCAGAACCCACACAGTTCACGTCAATGGGCAAGCCTAGACTATTTGGCAGCATGTATTAAACTCCGGTGAACTCTTGCCTCGAGTACTCTCCAAACCAGGACGAGGCTCGGGTCGCCCACAAGGCTGAAGAAGCGTCCGCGTGGCTCAAGTGTCGGTGCTGGAATGACAGTGCGCTCTCTTCGCCGAAAACACCGGCGTGAAACCCTCATAACCTACCCAGCATATCTCTGCCTTTCCCTTCTGAATCATTGTGACTGTTCGGGCAATGGCAGAGAACCCAGCCAAGGCTACGGCCATTCCCGACTTTGACTCATTGCCTGCGGTCGGAGACATGCCCCAAGGCTGTGCATGGGGCGTTTTTGATAAGGGCGAGCAGAAGGATCACCTTGGTTGTATCAACATCCTGACTCCTGAAGTCGTCCAGCAAGCCTGCAAGGAAGCTCGTGACGGAGTTTCAATTTCGCTAAATTGGTCGATGGCGGCTGCCAGGAATCTACTCCCACCACGCAAAGGGCTTGTCCACACAGTGCACGATTATCATGGCGAGCCCTTCAATTTTGGTTTCCACTCGTTCGATGACGAGGTCGAGTTCAACACGCAAGCATCCAGCCAGTGGGATAGTTTGGTGCATTTCGCCCATCAAGATACCGGCCTGTGTTACAACGGGGTTATGCCGACAAGGGAGAGTCTTACCCAGAACGGCAGAGATGTCGACTCTGACAGAATTTTCCCTACTCTCAATCATTGGCACCATCGAGGTGCTTTGGTCGGTCGCGGAGTGCTTCTGGACTATCGTGCCTGGGCCCGAGAAAAGAGCATCTCCTATGACTGCTTCGACTCACAAACCATTTCTATCAGCGACTTGGAAGCGATAGCCAAGCATCAAGGCACAGAGCTCAGGTTTGGTGACATACTCATCATTCGGTCCGGCTATACCGAGGACCTTGAAGCCCTCGATGTTGCGGACCAGGAACGGGTCATGCGATCAGGCCGGGCAATCGGAGTCGAAGGCAACGTCCAAACCGCGAAATGGTTTTGGAACCATCATTTTGCGGCAGTGGCGGGCGACATGTTGGCGTTTGAGGTGCTGCCACCACTACTCAATCACGAAAACAAGCGAGAGGGTGGGACGCGGGACCTTGGTACGATGTCTCCTCCCTTTCCACGACAGATAAAATGCTGACCCCAGGCCATTTCAGTGTTACATCAATACTTCCTTAGCCTGTTTGGGCTCAACATTGGGGAGCTTTGGGATCTCTGTGCCCTGGGCGAACATTGCAAGAGGGCCAAAAGATATGAGTTCCTACTCACCAGCGTTCCACTAAACGTTCCTGGGCTGGTAGGATCACCACCAAACGCTGTTGCTGTGTTCTGAGGCACTGTCGCGTCAATAAAGATCGGAGCCGTACCAAAATACAATGATAAAGGAGACGAAATGTGCTCTTGAATTAAAAATGGCATTGATGTATTCGAAGAACTGCTCCGAGGGGGGAAGCACGTTCGATTCTAACAAACATCGGAAGATTAGCCGGCATGCGTTCCGATGAGACCACTGTATTCCATTTCTTCAGAAAACTACCTCGACGCCCGACATTTTAAGCGGTGTCTCAGCCTAAATATCAGGCGAAACCTGACACAGTAAGAGATTGGAACTTTATAAAAAACGGTAAAGGTGTCAGACGCGGCCAGGGGGCATGCACAGAGCGGGTACAACAGGATGAGGACTCACGTATGTGAAGGCAGAATATCTCTGTCTATGCGGGTACAGGGTGAAGTAACCCTTAGCGGACAGTCGCGTGGTGAAAGCGTCCTTTCTATCCCCTTAGCTGCTGTCTGGCAAGAGGAGCACGCCAGATACATTGGTAGAATCAGCTGTCAGAGAGGACTATTCTAGGACGCGAAATTGGAAATTCTACTCAGGCGTCACGAAATCCCATTCTGCAGGGAGATTGGGCTAATCCTGTGTCAAACTTCTCTTCATCGAAAGAAGGATGCTCTGTTCTCTATATACTTGTCGAGGTGCTGAGGCTCCTTTTATAGACATGCGGATGCTACACGGTTGCACAGAGCAACCATCTGTAACGTCGTTGCCTATGGAAACCTCGTCAATATTTACGGCGGGGAATATACACAATACCCCTCTAGTCAACACAATTGTTCATGTCGAACAAGGTCTCACTGAAACGGTTGGATAGTAACAAATACCCCTTATTGTTGACATTATCCAGACTGTACTTATGCCTGTGCTGTAGCCTGCGGCAGCCTACAGCAGCCTAGATGAGTAACTGTGTATTTAAAGTCGCTCATTGTCCTTAGATAGTCAGACAGACAAATCTCCATAGCCCAATGTGCATGCACTTCTGCATTCATTCTCTCAACACTTATTGAGAAAGGGGGTTATCACCTCTATGCAGGATTTAGGGGTAGAAATAGGAGAAGAAAAGGGGTCAACCAATGTGTATATAAACCTGCAACCTGGCAGGACCAGTTGCGAGGTGGACAGAGCATTTAATATATCTCAAGTTGTTCCCCAGTTTGACAGTTCAACATCCTGCCCTTCGTATCGTTGCATGGACTATTGCTAGGTCATTTTGAACTCATACAGGGACCAACTTGGGTGCTATTTTCCATACCCCGCACGACAATCGAAGTGATCGACTCGTATGAGAGACCCAAAACACTTACTGTGGTATCACCTGGAATTTTCGTCCCCCTCCCTCGGAGTACGCTAGGCGGGCCGCACTAAGCTAAACTAGATTAGGCATAGATCATGTATTTTTACAAGGGCATTGTTTGTTTATACTCTATAGAATTCTATGAAGTAAATACAGTGTGTTTACAGGAACTTAGGGGTGCCTGTAGCATCTCTAGGTACCCTTACCAATGGATATTACCTTATTACTTAACCCTAGACGTAATTATAGCTGGAGGGGGCCATTTACCAAGTGGTGAAATAGGGGTAGAGTTATAGGCGCAATCTAGGCAAGAGCTGTTTTTATGACACTTCAAAACACGGTACAAACTTAGCCTAATCACGTTCAGCTCATTGCGGCCCGCCTAGCGTACTCCGAAGGGAGGGGACGAAAATTCCAGGTGATACCCAGAGTATAAATTGTCTCGGTTCTAAAGAAGGACGACGTACCCGGAGCACCGAGATCTGTACGGCTCGCTCACTGCACTTTGGAGAGATTCACGAAACCTCAAACAACCCACAACCCATTCAATATGTCGGACATCTTGCATCTTGAAGAACACCAGTCGACAGGGCAGCTTCCACGAAAGGTGTGGACTGTCACACTCACCCTTGCGGTAATCGCGCTTTCGGTCAGGCCCCTTGTCCCCTAGGTCATCCTTACCACTGAAGACGTAACAGGGCAGCTATGTTATTTCCTTAGCCATCTATCTGACGGCCGTGACCATCATCGCCAACATCGATGCAAGCGTCGGTGAGTGTGGACCTTTGCCCTGTGATACCGTACCTAAATTTGCGCAGGCCCTAGTACCGCATATACCTGGATAGCTTCTGCATACACCGTGTCCTATGCAGTTGCTTCGGTTCTCTTTGGCTCACTCGCCGATTCATTCGGTCGAAGATGGTTCTCCATCTCAGCGGGAGTCTGTGTGGGTCTAGGAAGTCTTATCGCAGCACTGGCACAGAATGTGGGAACAGGTGAAGGAAGATTTGTAACCCGCTATCAAATCTCCATGCTAACAAGAAACTGTAGTCATCGCTGGCATGGCCATCATGGGGATCGGAGGAGCTGGGGGCATCCAATGTATCTCCGCTGTCTCCGAGATCAGTAAGTCTTTTTCTGACCGGCGGGAGATCTTGAGCTCAGTCTGAGAAATACCTAGTACCTACAAAGTCCAGGGGCCCGATCGTGGGAATCATTGAGATTCCATTTGTCGTGTTCACCATCGCAGGCTCCTACTTTGGTAGTGCACCCCGCGTCCCCTTTCAGATATCAATCTGCAGGCACTAAATCATTGTGTGTACCCTAGCTCATCGGATGGCTGTCGACACTGGCCCCGGTTGGCGTTCCGTTTATTGGATTGGAGTGGCCTCAGGTTTCTTCTTCAGCATCCTCACCTTGATCTTCTACAAGCCTCTACCCCCTCTTGCGACTCTCGAGCAGACAACGGCACAGATATTGAGTGATTTCGACTATTTGGGCTTTGTCGGCCTTACCGCAGCCGTCACGTTGATTCTCATGGGAATCATCTGGGAACCCGCACACGGATCGACAAGTCCTCATTTCCTGGCGCCACTTCTCATTGGCTTCGCGCTGCTGGTGGCCACAGGAGTTTTTGGTGAGCGCGGCCCTGTCCGACGACAAAGCTAGGCTCTGACGTTCACGTACTTAGAGACGTATTATGCGAAAAAGCCGGTTCTGCACCCAAAGCTGTGGAGACGTTTTCGGACCTTTTCCCTGCAGTGTATTGTCATCTTTGTCAGCGGGATGCTCTTTTATGCGTTGCAAGCATTATACCCACAGTACATGACGTACTGCTTCGACGGCGACAATCCGATCCAAGTCGGCAGAGACGGTTTTCCACTAGGTGTCAGCACCGCGGGTGGGGTCACGGCCGGTCTCGTCCTGCCATATCTTTCGCGTTACATCGGCACAAACTGGGTGTTGGTGTTGGGTATGGTGGAATGCACCGTGTTTATTGCTCTTCTCGCACTGGTTGGTGAGTATACCGAGGTTGCGAATTCGTTTGGGTATTGAACCTCTCTGGTAACCACTGAATTGTTGGCTTAGAACCAAATGGGAAACCGATGGCCAAGGGGTTCGCTTCAGCTGCAACATTTGGCATTGGTAAGTAGCTCCAGGAGCGAAAATAAAGCCTACAGTGTGTTTTCGCTGACACCTACGGTTATCCCAGGCTGGACGAATCTTCTAAGTATTCCACTTATTCAACTCTGCTCTCCCGATGAGTGGATTGGATTCGCGACGGGTCTCAGAACACTCATGAGCCTCGGAGGTGGATCCGTCTCTACGTCCATCTACTCCACCATTTTCGCTGGGAGAAGCCAGGCATTTGTTCCGCAAATGGTCTCCGAGGCTGCGACAGCTGCTGGACTACCTAAGAGTTCAGTGGCCGCGCTTCTCGGAGTCTTGACTGGGACGACTCCGACCGTGTCGCCAACCTCGATTCCCGGGGTCACTCCACGTATCCTTGAAATTTCGACTCTGGCTCTGCGAAAGGCCTACCTTAGGGCTTTCAAGTATGTGTGGTATTCGAGCATTCCGTTTGGGGTCATCGCAACCGCTGCAGCTGCTTGGACAAAAGATCTCTACCCGGTCATGACAATGAAAGTTGCTCAAAGGCTCAAGGACGACAAGCAGCAGGACGCGGTATCGGATGACCTGGAGGTGGATTCTCAATCCGAGCTTCCCACAATAAAGCCGGATGCTGCGAAAGTGGATATGGAGTGAAGAGGGGAATGGAGTGATTGGCTGAGATGGATGCCCTGCATGCCTCCATGGACCCCACAAGAGCGCACCCCTCTGAGTATCACGAACCCTGGGAGTTATAGGCACACAATTCATAACCAAAACGAAAAATCAAAACATTGTGTGCTTTTCTCTGAAAGGTAGTCCATCGACTGCATTGATATATATCTCTTGAATTTAGTAGCTGCTACGTTTCTACCAACGGATGCCCTTCGTGACGTTCTGCTTGATTTGCAAGTCTGCGACCACTGGTACCACGGCTCCTGCGAAGAAAGACTAACAATACATCATCACATTGAGCGGAGATGTCTGTTTGGGCAGAGTCTGCCTGCCAACTTGCAGTCTGCTTCTCAGCTACACCCCTCAAATATGCTTCGAAATGAGATCTTTAATCCAGACCACCGTCCTATGTGATTGAGACTCACCAGTGGATAGTGTCTTTAGACACTACTGGGACCTTTTTTTCTTCCCGCCTTTTTCTCGACTCGTGCTTACACGAGCCGCGCCCATCGGATTTATCGAGTCGATGGGAAATGAGGGGTTATCATGTCGGCACGATCATTGTCGTAATCCTTCCACCCCTGCCGGCCGATTCCTCCTCGAGAGTGGCACACCTATACTTCCAATCCTTTACATATGTTACCATGCGTCACTCGTGGATGAATCGCAGACTGTATCTTACCAATTACGAGCTTTGGGTCTAATAGGTAGCGTCTAGAGATGGCACAAACAGCAGATCCCAGGTGGGAGCACCGAGTTTCAAGGCTGCTGCTCGAAAGGATGAACGCCTCTAGAGTCGCATTTGGCAACCTCACCAATTCCCAGCAAGTGGCAATCATCTCTCTGAGCATTCTCGCGCTTGCATTGACATTCTGGTACATGTATACCCCGAGATACCCTGATGTCCCAACTCTCAGAGTCTCAAAAAAGCCTTGGATAATCGGCACTATAGAAGACAAGATCATGTTCATCACCAACAGCAAGGAATTACTTCAAATCGGCTGGGAGAGGTACTCGAGCAAGGGGATCAATTATCTCATCAACCTACCGCTTCGGAAACATCTCATCATGGCCCCGCAGTTTTCAGAAGAAATCCGCACAGCACCTGCAGAATTTGTCGACAACACCATTGCCAACAGCGAGGTAAGTGCGTGCCACGGGAGACGGCACAGTCATTGGTGCCACGGATCCTTCTCAATGTGAAGTCCTATGCGCTGACGCATCGTTACAAATAGATCACTCAAGTGGCCTGGACCATTCATTCCCGTTTAGCTTGGGATCAGTTTCATTTCAAGACTCCCATTCGTAAAACCCTGACCGAAAGCCTTGGTCCCAAGTTGCCGGACATTGTCGAGGAGGCCAAAATGTGCCTCCATGAATATGTAGGCAGATCGAAAGGTATGCCACCAATGATTCATTGATTATCACTTCACCATGGCACATGATCTTGTCGAGGCTAACGCCGCCTAGATTGGACACCCCGCAAGATGTACACATTGGGCTTTGATATTGTGACTCGAACTGCGAACCGCCTCCTCTTTGGTGCCGACCTGGCCCGGGACCCTGAGTTTCAACGACTATCCATCCATTACACGGACATCCTATTTGGAGGCGCGGAGAAAGTCCGTAACTTGCCGTCCTTTCTGAAGCCCATCGTCATGTGGATGGCTACCGACTTGTATCCTGCCCAGAAGTTAGCTAAGAAAATACTCGGACCGATTATTTCCAAACGGATCCAAGATGAAGACCGCTTTAAGGCTGATGGTCGACAAGAAGAGTGGGAAAAGGTGAAGCCATTTGATGCCATCCAATGGGTCCTCGACGTGGCACCACCCGATCAACGCCGCACAGATATGATGGTCTATCGAATGCTCCACATCAACGTCGCCGCCATCCACACAAGCAGTAGCACCTTTCTGGAAGCCTTTTATTTCCTATCAATTTCCCCTCAGTATCACGATGAACTGCGGGAGGAAATTACCAAAGTCTTTCGTCAGGAAGGATCGTGGACTAAGCAAGCTCTAACCCATCTGGTTAAGCTTGACAGTTTTATCACAGAAGCACTTCGATTGTGCCCTAATGCACCTGGTATGTGGTTCAGCAAGCTACAATGTTTGATCTGGATCCATGTGTGACGCGTTACTAACATCGACGGCGCCACTAGTGAAACTCCAACGGTACACGATCAGGGATTGGAGGCTGAGCGATGACTCGGTCATTCCCAAGGGCAATTATTTATGGACGAATTACCTATCTCTTTCGCTAGACGACAGGACATGGAAAGACGCCCGCCAATTCGACCCCTGGAGAATGTACCGCCGACGACAGCAAGAGGGTCAAGCGAACCAGCATCAGTTTGTCATGACCTCCTCGACCAACCTCACTTTTGGTCACGGGAAAAACGCGTGCCCTGGCCGGTTCTTCGCCGCGAATGAAATCAAGACACTTATGGCGCTCATCATCATGACCTACGAGATCCGATGTACCAACATCAAGGACGGCGTCAACGAGATCATAGATGGAGGCTATCTCAACCTGGCCAAGACCCCTATTCAGCATCCCATCGTGGAGTTCAAGTATAGGGGTGATTCCATCCCTGGAGATATCAGACCACTGTTCACCCAAATTTAGAGGTAGATCGGTCGAGAATGTTGAGAATCATTCCGTAATGGATGCCATAGTAATAATCTCCTGGGCGGTATGACTCAATTGCAAGAACGATTTTGGTTGGCGGACTCTCTTCAATGCAGAGATTAGACTGGCGAATTCCCCGATGATACAGTCATTCCTTCCTAACAGCCTGTAGTTTAGATATAGACTAAAAGAATGCTGTGGCCTTAGATAAGAGGCAATTTATTCTTTCACTATATCTAAGCCGTCAACCTACTACACCCAGCCAAATCTACTCTATCGACCACTCATGGTCACTTTCCCTGATATATGGGGCAAGTTCGCGGGAAGCTGTGGCTTTCACAGAACCGTCGCCTAGGAATGCAAAACGGTTTCCGTAGCGATATTTGATGTTGAAATCCTCCATTCGAGGGTCTTTGATGCTTTTTAGGAAATGTATAGTCTTCGGTCTAAAGTTATTCAAACAAATCTCAAGGATCCGAAATGTTGGACGTACCGAGCCAGGCCAGACAAAAATCCTGCCGTTCATTTTGCCGTCTTTGAACCAGCTTCTGCAGTTCTCTTGCCAAACAGTTGTCTTGTGATACTCGTCGAGATGGCTGTAAATGTCGTCGAGGGCTTCTTGTTTGACCTCAATTGATTCAATTCCCTCATGTTGTATTTTCTTCACCAACTTAAGGATGTGTTCAATTGAAGTTTCAATCCCGGGCAGCAGCGTTCCGTTCGACCATGTCGCACCTGGTCCAGTGATTGTATAATAGTTTGGGTATCTTAACCACCATGTTAATTCTAGGCAAAACCTTTTTATACTTGAGGGTCATCTTACCTAGGTGCAGATATCCCAAAATATAGGTTCGGTCCATTAGTCCAGTCGTCTCCAAAGGCCTTCCCTTCCCCATTGATCAATTGAAAGGGAGGTTTGAACGCAGGCGAGAAACCCGTCGCGCAGATAAGGACGTCCATTTTTCTCTCTGTTTCCGTGCCGTCGGGATTTCTCACTCGAATCCCATCCCTAGTTACGCTTTCAATCTTAGCCGTAATAGGTTCCACGTTGGGTGATACCAATGCTTCCAAGAAGCCATTGCCAGGAGTCAGCCTCCTACAGCCTGGCGAGAACGTCGGGACCATAAAATTCTTGAGCTCGGGGTGCTCAGGCCCAATCTTCTCTGAGATTAGATCGGTAAGAACCTTTCTGAAGTAGTTATTCAGTTCTGATCCTTGCTGATAGGCCCCAAATAGAGCATTGAATTCAGCCTCCGTCCTCTTCCTAAAGTTAAGATGATACTCTTTGTCTTCCTTGAATTTTTTCTTATCTTCTTCGGTAAAGGTATATTGGTTCTGGGTTTCGTGAGTAAGATCCGAAGCCATTGGTCCGGAGCCAAAAGGTCCAGTAATCCAGGTTGGGCTTCGCATGTAGACCTGCACCTGCTTACAGGATTTCTGCAGCTCAGGTACGATCTGAACGCTGCTACTCCCAGTTCCGATAACGCCTACCGTTCTTCTGGCCAAGTTAATATCGTGGTTCCAGTTTGCTGAATGCATTAGATGCCCCTGAAAGTCATCTAGACCCGGTAGCTCCGGCCATTTCCACTTATTCAGGATTCCTATAAGATCTTAGCAAAACCATTTCAGAGAATACGTACTCCAAGGAAAAGTTAAAGCTTACCAGTAGCATTAATAAAGCAATGTGCCCAGTCGTGCCACTCCTCCTTGGTTCCTTGGTTCTGCAGGGTCAGTTTCCAGATGGCTTCCGCGCTTTGCCATTCGGCGTGGACCACTCTTGTTTTTAGGGTGATGTACTTGTGACACCCGTATCGCTCTGCAAACCCCTCGAAATATCTTTGAATCTCATCTCCGTGCGCGTAGTAGTGGTTCCAGTCTGGTTTTGGGTCGAAAGTATAAGTGTAGATGTGTGCCGGGATATCACACGCAACCCCTGGATAGGTATTCTCGTACCAGGTGCCGCCGATTTGCGCGTTCTTCTCATAGATGTTGAGTTCCCACGAATCTGGAACCAATGTTTTCTGAATTTTGTAGACAAGGCAGAGACCTGAGGCGCCTGCTCCTGCACACGCGATACGGATTTTGCGAGGTTTAGAGTGGTATTGATTAAGAATCCGGTACGGTCCGTCGGATGGAGGCTCAGGGTACTCATAATGCTCCATGACGCCGTTCGTGGTGGGCGCAGAGGCAGTATGGTCTGCGTTATTGGACATGCTGTCGAAGATTCAGGCACCTACAGAAGCAAATTGGAAACTTGGCTGAGGCACACCTTAGCAAGATCTATCAAAGAGCAATAAGAACCTAGGGAGTCATCCTTAGAGGCCTCCTTTCTTCGCTTGGGTTTGCGACATGCTTGGAGTGTCCGGGTGGGTCTGGTAAATCGAACCCCGCGCCACGACGCGAGATATACGACTCTCCGAGTCGTACGGCCTGCCGGTGCTTAGAAGTAGTGGAGTGTGGTGCAAACAGTAATGACCTGCTTTTGTGCCAGGGTTAGACTACTAGAAACCAACGAAGGTTTGTTTCGGCTCGGTAAGTTATTATATTTATCTTCTATCCATTCGCGTGCTTCTGTGCCCTGTACGAGGATTGCTTAAGAAGTCTACAGGGAAGCTGGATGCTTGCTTTGTTCTGAAAAAATGAGCCAGTCCACTTTTATTTCTCTATTTTCGGTGACACAGAGTACCTCTGACGTCGACAAACAGATTCCGCTCTACCAGAGCTTCGGTTTTGTGGTTGACGATGGCTACCAGGCTCTGGAAGGTATGCAGTCCTCGCTCTCTCGTAACTATGGCGCCGGCAACTGACCCGCTTGGGGAATCAAAATATAGTTCTTCCAGATGAGTACTTCACGGCAAGAGGAATTGAGCGGTCCAACCTGATAAAAAGTGTTTGCCTTCGACAGCCGGCAGATCCATACATGCACTTGATTCTCCATCAATTCAAGGGTTTGAAACAGGGCCCCGCCTGGCCGGCTCCCTTTGATCAAGTGGGATCCAGATGCTTTTCGATGCTGGTCAGAGACGTCGCCCACGAGGTTGCTCTAATTCGAAAAGGTTTTCCCAACATTCGGTTCCTCCACGACCCGATGACCATCCGTCGATCCTGGGGGGTAACTACGACTGCATTATTCATTGATCCTGAAGGCGGGTTTGTGGAGCTGATCGAAATTGAAAATGGGTCTCCCTACGACCCATCCAAGGTTAAAGCCCCGAACTTCGACGACGTTCAATGGCTTCACTTTATGTACAATTGCACCAATTACAAAGTGACAAAGAAATTCTACGAGTCCTTCGGGATGACTCACGACGCTGGTGTAAACTTCCGCCCCCGAAGCGGATACTATCCTACTTATGAAGGCTATTCGCAGCTAATGGAGGATGCTTTTGGGCTTGACCAAGAGACGCTACTCGAAACTGGATTCCTCCGCAACGAAGACGATGTCAGCAATATGCACCTTGAGCTGATGGACTATACTGCTGGTATGAATAGCTGTTCACGGCCTCCCATCACAAAGAGTACCAAATGTGCCCTTGCTAGACTGACGTTCTTTTGGATCCAGGGAGCCTCAAAGATCCGGACAACAAGCCCACATGGGCTCAAAAAGGAATCGCGCGTTACTGCTTTAAAGTTCCTGATTACGCGGGAGCTTTGGCTCACCAAAAGGCAAGAGGGACCAAAATCTACGTTGAAGATCAACGAGGTGCGTAGAAATCTTCCAGATATCATTGAACAGATTCTGACATGCCAACTAGCTTGCCTCATGTGGGGGAATACTCAATGGTTTTTTTTCGGTGATATGGACGGGAACCTCTTGACCCAAGAACAATGGTATCCGACAAGATGCTGGGGCGAGAAATATTGAAGGGTGCGAGATTGTACCAGGCAAATATCCCGTCGAAATCATTCACGTTTGGTAAACTGGGCTTTTCATGCGTTCCACACAGTCTTCGGGGGATTGACGGAGGCGCTAGCTCCAATTGCTCAGTCGTTGGCTCAGGTCCCAGGATTGCAGCCTCCCACCCACCATCCACTACTGAATCAAGGGCCCGCTTGCCGGAGAGATTTCTTTCCAAAGAGCGGACTGTTGGAAGCGTCCTAGTCATCCCTTCAATACAGAAAACTCGCCGGTGCAGTTGTTGCCCCTATCCCAATGAAGAAGGTTAGGTGAGTGTGTCACTGCGGCACTGCCTTGACGCGTTTCACACATTAGGTAGATTGAATCGGTAGAAAATTGCAATCAACCAAGTTGTTGGTTCCACAGCAATGGGCTGGACCTGGACCTGCTCAGAGGCAAAATGTATCCGGTAACGTCGTCGCGTAGGTCGTATCCCGACACACCTTTGGTACCAATGCCACGCCAGACAGGCTTATGACCATTCACAGTCCCCGTCGAGGCAATCCTGCCTTGTCATAGACAGCGTCTATCAACTCCATCAATTGCACGCTATCGCCCAGACTTATCCATGGCGTCTCTGATTCCTTCTCCATCGATGCCGATTTGATTTTGGCAACAAATGCCTCGAGTTGATATCTATAGGTGGTCCACCAATTCTGGCCCTTGCTGCCCCATTCCGGTCCTCCAGAGTAGTGCTGTTCTATTTTCCGCGTGGTAGTCAAACCACCATTTGCATCCTTCTCAGTGGTGGTAATTTGGTGGCTCACCCAGGGCAGAACAAAGTTGGAGAACTCGATTCGGGCCCGCTCGAGTTCGACAACGACAACGGGTGTCGAGTGCCAAAACTTGGGGATCAGACCGAACAACTTGGGTTGACTTAGATCGGCTTCCACGGTGCAAACGACTGCCGGTCTATCCGGATACTCGATCGAGTACACTGCTCGTATTGCTTCATCGACCCGGGGGTCATTCCCTGTAGGCCTCGCCGTGGCTTCCAGGACCTTATATTTGAAATCTTTTGTAGTAGGGCCAGCGAAATACTTGGTCGCCGAGAATACGTAGGTAAGGTCCATGCACGCACCGCCTGCCAGACTGTAGTTCAGACGAATATCGTCTTGTTTCAACAACCCACGCGGAAGTATCATCCGTGCCGAGACTGATTGCACGTTTCCGTATTGGCCGCTTGCAATGGTGGCTTTGATACTGTGAGCAGCTGGGTGAAATCGCCAGTGGAGGGCCTCTACTGCGACCATCCCAGTCGATGCGCTGCATTTCTTGATTCTTTCTACCTGCTCCGCGTTGGAAGCAACAGGCTTTTCGATCAAGACGTGTTTTCTCGCCTCCATGGCCTTGATAGCCCATTCGTAGTGAAATGCAGTTGGAAGAGGTATGTAGACAGCATCAATTTCGGGGTCCTCCAAGAGCTCGGCATACGACCCGGAAGCGCGCGTCGACTGCAGACCATATTTGGCAATCTGTGCCTGTGCCTTTTCCACGGACCTTGATGCCACAGCGGACGCCACCACTCCAGGATGAGTGTCCACCGCGTCGAATAAAGCGAGTCCGTTGATTGCAGCCGCGGATATGACGCCAATGCGAAGCGGCTTCGGTTCCTTTTGAATGTTGCATTTGATCTGCGCGACGTTGTTCCTCCAGTTGTGCAAAGTAAGAAGCGCCTAGAGGTCGACATACAAGTCACATCAAAATGAAATCCTGTATTCTCATATCGAGACCGTGCACACTCACCTCGCCGACCCACGACATGTTCTGCTGTTGGAGATACTCGAGACTTCGGTCAGCGCGAAGAGGATGGCGTCTCAAATCGTAAAGTTGAAACAAAACGCACCTGGTACTCAAGGGGCGGTATATGGGGTCGTCGTAAGGTGTTCAGCGGATTTGGGCACGAAAGTGGAGATTTGGCTGCAAGCTTGACTACATGTCGAACGGTTCGTTGCTCCTACTCGTACCCATCGAGTCAGGACCACGAGGCTGGCCAATCAATCAATAAGGCAAAGGCGTTGGTTCGAGTGGGGTTCTGGCGGATGGCTTCCTCATAGATGCCGCCCTCGTGGGCTGAACTATTTAGGTCAACTATTCAACGTCCGTAGCATATCAGGTTGGCCAGGCAGATCCCCAGACAGTCTCATCATGCCACTCAAGTCACGATATCCAGATGTTCAATTTCGTGAAACCGATCTATTTTCATTCGTCTTCGATCGACAGCATCGACCTTGTCCGGAGAATAAAGGTGTGCCCCTCATCCCATCTAGTTGAAGAATTATCTGAATTGTCACGGACGTCAAGGCACCGACTAATATAGACAAACACAGTCATTTTCCAAGATGCCAGCGAGCCCTCGCTGTATCATACGTTTGCCCAAGTCCGCGACCGGGCTGTCGAATTTGGTCTTGCTCTGCGTGACCGGTTTCAATTCAGCAAACACGACGTCCTAGCCCTCTACTCTCCCAACAACATTGATGTGCCGTGCTTGGTTTTCGGCACACTATGGGCTGGCGGCGTTGTCTCGCCGGCGAATCCAGCATATACGGTGGACGAGTTGGCGTACCAGCTGAACGACAGCGGAGCGAAGGTGCTCGTCTCGCACATATCGACCATCTCAAAGGCGAAGGTGGCGTGTGCCAAAGTCGGCATCCCTGAGGCACGGATCTTGGTCATCGGTAATGATCATGGCGAACGACAAGGATGCCTAGACTGGAAGTCTTTCCAAGCCCGGACAAATGCACTGGCAAGTCAGTTAACGGCGACCCATGTTACGCCCAAGGAAGACCTAGCGTTTCTGGCCTATTCGTCCGGCACGACGGGGAGACCAAAGGGTGTCATGTTAACCCATTTCAACGTTACAGCCAACATTCAGCAAGTGCGAGACATGGAAGTAGTGGCGTCGGACAACTCGATCTCGGTGCCTGGAATTCCGGACGCGCCAAGCAGCGGTGACAAGATCTTGGCTTGTCTTCCATTCTTCCATATCTACGGGCTGACGAGTATGATGATCAACCCCTTGTTCACTGGCGTACAGTGTCTTGTGATGGAAAAGTTCGAGATTGAGGCGTGGTGTCGCGCGGTCCAAGATCATCGTGTTACCGTGGGTTATATCGTTCCGCCTATTGTTCTACTCCTCTGCAAGCATCCAGCAGTGGAGAAGTACGATTTGAGCTCGTTGAGGATGACCACTTCTGGGGCGGCCCCGTTAACTCGAGAGCTGGTGGAGGCGGCTTTCAAGAGGAAGGGCGTCCGCGTGAAGCAGGGCTATGGGTTGACCGAAACTTCACCTGCTCTGTTCGTGACCAAGTGGGACGACTGGAACCGACGGTTTGGCACCACCGGAGAGCTTATTCCCAATGTACTGGCAAAGATCTGCGATCCGAGCGAGGAAGGGGACTTCAACATGACACACGAGCTTCCGATAGGGCAGACTGGTGAGCTCTACGTTAAAGGGCCAAACGTCTTTCACGGCTACCACAACAATCTGACAGCAACTGCGGAGTGCCTCCGAGACGGATGGTTCAGAACGGGAGACATCGGCCATCTCAACCAGGAGGGATTTCTGACGATTACGGACCGCGCAAAAGAACTCATCAAATACAAGGGATTCCAAGTAGCGCCAGCCGAGCTGGAAGGCACGCTCTCGGATCATCACTTGGTCGACGACGTGGCTGTTATAGGTGTTCGCCTGGAGGATCAAGAGACAGAAGCTCCGCGGGCATATATCGTGAAGAAAGGGGGCCTCCGAGCGGTCAAGCCAGGCGACGAGGAAGAGATCATGCAGTGGCTGGAAAAGAGAGTCTCGAATCACAAAAGGCTCCGCGGAGGTATTAAATTCGTTGAGTCCATCCCCAAGAGCGCGAGCGGGAAAATCCTGAGAAGGATACTCAAGGGTGATGTGAAGATGGAGACGGAGGAGAGAAGCAACCGGGAAAACAAACTTTAATAGTTGGTTAACTCTTGACTCGATCCAGTCCCGGCTTCAAGGACCAACGTACATTATATCTAACCTGTCGATCCAGCTATAACATAGCCGCTAACCCGCTGCTTAGAAGAAAATGCTCATGTATACAGTTCCCCTTATTGTGCCAGCATTATATGCGCCACCTTGACTTCTTACTTTGCTCCCACACTCAACCTTTCCCTACCACCACGCAGGGCTATTACTGCAGTTAACGCTCTTTGACATTCATAGTGAGGCGCGATTCCGAGTATATTTGGTTCATCTACATACTTAGAGAATTGATCGGACAAGACATCACGTCTCAACGGGCAGGGTGATAAGCGAGGGTCTTGTTGTTAAAAGGATCGTGTCAAAACTTATGGTACAACTTGAGTTGAAGGAGTGCTCTGTTTTCTATCAAGTTGAGCTCCTGCCTCGCATGTTTATATAGACAAAGGTTGTCACCATCTTTCGGTGTCTCCGTGTTCAGCTCGTAGACGAAACCCTTATCTAGCTGAACATTCATTGCCACGCTGAAATCGTTGCCCCATATTGTCTCGCAGTTCAACATCTATACTATTGTCATTGATCCAGCAATGTTTATAGATCTCTCCTACCTTCCTACGGCCCTTATACGATCTCTTAGTCTCACGCCCTTCAGGATACTCGTTGCCGCCTTCTAACTCAATGACCTTTTTGATGTTGTTGACAATCCCCTCAATCCATATTTGAATCTGAGATTGCGGAAGGTTATTGCATGCAAGTTTCCATCTCTTCTCGAGTTCCTTTATACTCTGGGCAGGCCCATGAAACGTCGTCCGCTTCTTTATCCATGGCCAGGCCTTCTCGATTGCATTAAGGTCGGGGGAGTTGCCGGGCCAAAGGAGATGCTTAACGCTTGCGAGAGAATAGACACTGCCGATGAAGTGTTGAGCATGAGGCGCGGCATTATCCACCTGAACTATAGCCTTAGGGCCAAGTTGACGAGCAAAAGGGACCATTTTAGTCAGAACGATCTCCTGCTAAAAGGTCACACGCTCTTTTCATAACAATTCCCTCTTTAACGCCTTATTGCTAACTCACCTTATAGTAGCGATACCAGTCGATTCCGCCCTTACTCGCCTGTCGATCGAGTTTACCTTGAAGCGCCATTGAGGTTTGCGCCTCGGGCGAGTTCGCAGTTCGGGTCGATTTATGCCTATTTCTAACTCCCACTCTTCTCGCAGGGCAGGTTCTCTTAATCGATTAAACTCATCGATCTCTTTTTGAGCGGCTTCCTTCTCTGTAGCCGTCTCCTTTGTCCAGATATGAAAAGGACCTTTCTCGTTATAAGAGAAACACCCCCAAAACATGAAGCTAGAGAAACCCTTCCATCGATTACGGATTGCTGACTTTTTAAAGGCCTCATCCTTATCCCGCCAAATGCGCTGAGAACCTCGTCGACAGAGGACAACACTCGTCTCATCGCTCCATATAGCCTTTTTCCAGTCGTCGAGCGTCCAATCCTGATGCGACAGACAAAATTCGAGTCGCGCCTTACGCTGGGCCGTATTAAGCCTGGCTTTCTAGTGGGCTTTACATTCGAGAGACCATGCTTATGTAAAATAGAGGTTGCACTAACACCATGCTCATAGGCGAGAACATCGGTTGATTTTTCGCGGTCGGCCCTACCTCGGCGAATATCATCAAGAACCTCTATCTCGGCTGTCTCTTTTATCTCTTTTGGCCTGCCAGACTTATATCCGTCCTCAACATAATGATCAAGAAGGCGTGGATCTTCCTGCGGGTTGAAACCTCTCTCCTTTACCTTCTTGACGATTTTATATATAGTCCGGGCTGGAATTCTTAATAATGAAGCAATATCCTCGGATTTCAACCCTATCGTATGGAGTGAAACAACCTGCGCTCGCTGGGCAATCGAATATCGAGTGCCACGATCATTTGATGCGTTGGTTTGAGGTAAAGGTCGAACCGTAGGCGAATTCTTTCGTCTCGGCCGCTGAAATTCTCTCTCTTTGGCGGCCTCTGCAGCGGAATTAGAAAGAGACGAGGGCATGGTTAGAAGGACTGACCTGAGAAACCTTCGCAACAACAGGACGCATTGATATCCATATTATGATCTCAGGGCGTCAACAGCGGTGAGACGCCTGAGACGCCGCGGGCATTAAACAGGGCAACAACAATAAGGCTTCCAATTATGCGTTTAGCATATGTGATAAGAGAGAGCGTCTTGCAGTCGATTTCTCAAAATATACCGTATAAATTACTAGTTGAGTCTTTACACCGCTTCAAAACACGTAATGTGGCTGCATTTAGCGTCTGCGCTAATCACTAGCGTTCTGCCTCAACATTTGGAGCACGCCTCCGTAAACTGGATCCGATGGGCGACGATGGGAGGGGCCCCCCAAAACCGAGGAGTTAGCACGTGATCCCGGAAAATAGTTACGTGATAACGCCAAGCCATATGCTTACGTGATTGGCCGGCTCGTCGCTCTTGGCGTCGCCGCACGCCGCCAAGTCCTAACCAGGCGATTCCAAAATTAAAAAATTAAAAAAAAAAAAAAAAAATAATCAAGTTTATATTTTATAATGCCAAAAATTGTTTCAAAATTGACACCAAATCGTGGTTGACCTATCAAGGACGTAACCGAGTGGTAAAACACTCGGCTTGCAGTCGAACCGATAGAATTGAGGGGCCTTACTAGTGTTCGATCATAGGTAAGGTAAGAGGGTTGTCCGGCCTAGCTTTCTAGGTGCCCTAGATGGGTAAACGTAATGCTCCAGCCAGTGATTGTTGATGATGTCGTCTTGTTCATACCGTTGGGAGGTCACCGATTCAAACTCTTCTGCAGTTGAACTTGCATGGCTGAAGCTTTCACTGGCTGCGGCGCCCCATCTATAAGTTCGTTAGAGATGGACTATAGGAGGGGGCCCTTTTTTTGGGGGGGGTTATTTCCGCCCTAAGTCCTATATCGATGAAGGATCGCGCGAGCCATAATCTATTTGTCAGGGGCAGGATCGCCAGCGGGCTGTAAAGACGTCAAAAGGATACCTATCTATCTATATAGGTGCAGGGGCGACATCGACTTCCACGCTTGGAAGTCGAATAGGGGTATCCTGCGTAACGCATGGGGTCTTGGCACCCCATGACACTATTTCGCAGATCTAGAAGAGACTAGATCCGTGAAATGGGGGATAAGCACGATTTATCTGGATATGATTTATCTATTTGCAAGCCTAGTAACAATCGCAAGCCCCGGGGGTTGCGATTGTTACAGCCAATCAGAGCATTCTATTTGTCGTGTTTAGCATAATGTCATGGGACAACCTGGAATCCCCTCGAACGGTCTTGGCAGACCCACTGTGGCTGTCGAATAGCCTCGTGTGCCTGCGTGGTAGCCTTGCGGCATGACTGTACCGCTGACTATAAGTATCTGGGATAGGTTTGCATTGCTTTCATGCTCTTTGCCTCTCGTCTTGGACTTTGTAGTGCATTGGATAGTAATATCATTGTCGGATCTCCACTCTCGTTCCCTCGTACGTCCCCACCCTGACACATAAGTATTAAATAGATCCCTAAACGACCGCAGGGACGCTGGAGAAGTGGTGCTAACTAGAATAGCAGGCTCTTGCTAAGTGATGTCTTTGCAATTAGAATAACGTCTCGATGTCTCTAAACCAAAAGATTCTAGTCCATAAGTTTGACACATTTCAAGTTGTTCCCCAGTTCGACAGCTAGATATCGTCGTTATCGTTGTCGGCTTTCCTAATTGGGTATACCGTCGTCTCCTTCACAGGCCATGGACTGGATCCGATGGAGGATATCGTACGGTATAGGACACCGTGATCAACGTCGTCTACACACGGTCCATGGACTGGATCCGATGGAGGATACCGTACGGCACAGGACTCCGTGATCAACATCGTTTATTTATGGTCTGTGGACTGGATCCGATCAAGGGGGCCGGGCGACAAAGGCGGCACTCTACCTATTCCTGGGTGGGCCGTGGATTGGATCCGATGGGATCAGCCAATTAGAGCACATGATTAGGTGTCTGATCACGTGATGAACTTGGCTTGGCAATGTCGCAACTTGCACCCTTTTCGATTTTATTCCGTCTTGCCCTTTTTGTCTGATAGAGCAACAACGCAAAGCTTTTCTTCTCTCCACTCCTCGAAGTCGTGACCCTAATATCCTCCATTTGTTGGCCGTTGAACCTTTTGTCTCTCTGCCTCTACTCCTACGCCTCCTTCCTAAGCCTGCGGCTGCTCGTTTCACTCCGCTTGATACGCCTACGTCCCGCCGTCCTATCAACCGCCATGGACAACCCCAAGCAAGCCAGCCACAGCAAGCTCGCAATCGACGAGATAAATGAATGGAATGCAAGCGATCTACTCAAATGGATCGAACAAGAGCGACGGGGACTGCTCAAAGGCGAAGATCTTGAGAGATTTAAAACCGCAAAGATCAACAAGAATACCCTTGTGAATCATGCTGGCGATATGGGGTTCTTCAGAAATGAATGCGAGCTGCCAGTTGGGATTAGCGAGAGCCTCGCGATGCTGGCGAGCGAGGTCGCGAAAGGGAAGACCGCTAGTACGTCCACTGACCACGCTTCTTTACCGTTCTCTTCACACTAATCTGTCTCCCATCTCATTGCAGGCCCCGGGACGAGGAAGAGAAAGTATGCGCGCGAGATGGCTCCTTCGCCAAAGAGAAACCGAGTTGACAATGGTGGCCTGATAATCAACGGCGAACTGGGATACTTCCGATCCGGAGCAACGAATTTTCCCGATCTTCTACAGAGAGAGGGCCAGGCTTACTTCGATCGTACCGGCTACATCTCCAAGTTGGGCAAACTCGACAAGTTCATGCTTTTCTGCCGTCCACCTCGGTTCGGCAAAACACTAACAATAAAGATGCTGGAACATTTCCACGGCCTTCAGTATGCAGATGAACATCGATGGCTGTACAAGGTACGCAACTGTATCCTTAATTACCTTAATATGAGAACTTGTATCTTTTTCAATCGTTCTAGGGTCTCGATGTGCAAAAAGATATCGATGAAAGAAAAGTGAGCCCCGGAAAGTACTTCGTCTTGAAATTCGATTTTTCTAAAATTAACCCCCACCCAGACCTTACGGAGGCGAATGAGGCACTTATCAAGATGTTGAATTTTTCCATTAAGTGGTTTTATAATGCATACACTGCATACCTGGGCGGAGACTTCGAAGCTTTATGTCAAGGCATTGACAGTAAAGAACCCAACATTAGTCTTGAGGCGTGTGTCGATTCAGTTCAAGGTGCGATTAAGAACGACGAGCAACTTGCTGGTATTGAAGGGATTTACGTGCTCGTTGACGAGTATGATGCTTTTCCTAATAACTACCTCGAACCACCCAAGACCGTCGGAAGACCCAAGATCGCTTGGGAGGATACAGCAGTCGGACGGACTTTCAAGTCTTTCTGGGCTACAATAAAGTCATTAGGCGCAGACGGGATCATCCAAAGAGTTTTTATCACGGGCATCTCACCGCTCTCCTTATCCGTTCTCGGCAGTGGGTTCAATGTGGCGAGAAATATGTCATTCGATAAGGACCTAGCCGGGCTTTGTGGTTTGACATACTCTGACTTGGAAGACGCCCTAAAGGGAATCTACGAAGACCCCGAAGTCTACAACGGTTTTCTTTCAGAAATGACTAAATTTTTCCACGGATATCATTTCTGTAATGATGAAACGGTCGAAACTGTTTACAACACGGAGACGTGCTTGGCATATCTTCAGTGTCGTATCGAGCGAACGACGCCAGAGACTCGAGACCCGGAAAACTCTGAAGTATCTGAACAGTTTCTTAAGAGATTTGCTGCTTCGACGCCAGTGATAAGAGACTTCGAAAAAGCACTGGAATGTGACGGAAAGGGGAACTTTATGCCCGTCGAATACGACCGATTCAGACCTGAATTTACGCTTCGAGACTTGGTATGCTAATACCTTAGCCCCAGTTCCCGTTTCTGCTAACCTATATCTCTTTTAGAATGAGGATGAAGATTATTCTTCGTGGCGTTCACTAACTATCTACTTTGGCGGCCTTACGTTTCACCCAGAAAAGCCGACAACGCACCTTAAGATACCGAATAGGGTTGCGGCAGATCGTATCGCTCTCGCGGTCCTCCGAAAGTATGGTCTGTGTAACTCTCTCTCGGAAGCACTTCGGTATCTCGTGGACTACGGAGAGCTTGAACAAACGTTGGGTTGTTATCGAGAATTGATGATGCAACGAGACGTCACCACCCAAGATCTTACCCAAACGCATGAAGCAGCTCATCGGGATAGCTTCTATTTCAGCCTGCTGCAAAACCATTTTCTTGCTCCACGCGCAGAATTTAAGGTGATAAAGCCAAATAAAACAAACGGTCGTATCGATCTTATCATCCAGATTCCCGGACAACTAATAGTTACCGAATGGAAGTTCTATCGAATTAACTTCCTAAATATAGAGGCTGGCGACAGAAATGCGGATCTCGCTAAAGCAGACATCCTGCGCGACTACAAGCTCTCTGAAATTCTTCAGCTTAGATTCGACACTTGGGACATGTACCATCAAGGAACAATTAGATCATGGGTTATGGCAAATGAAGCCCGGCAGCTAAGAGATTACATCAAGAGCACTGAAATACAGCAAAAGGTGGAGAAAGACAGTCTGGAGCTGCAGGCACACCTTGTTATTGTTGTCGGGTCACGTCATATCTTGTTGTGGGATATGGATAAGGAGGGAAACTTGGCTGCAGAACCTCGTCTCGTATAGGTGCCAAGCAGATCTAAACAGACAGGATGATCGAGAGCATTACCCTTAACTTATCATGGAAAGAAATGTCCCGTTCCAACACAGAACGGCAGGAAGGCGAAGTCACCTTTCAGTCAACAGTGATGAAACGGTTTTGCGAGGAAAATTCGGCTCTCTAGGAAGGAACATGACAATTGAGATGTGAACGGGATTTCCCAGGGGCTCCTTTAGTGGGCCTCAGTTCTCGCGAAAAGTTGACCTTTTTGTCTAAACCATTTCCGTTGACTTTCCTGGGCATGTCCTATGCCATGACAAATTAGCTGTATAGTATCTCAATGGCCGTTGTCGCGATGAGAATGCAGGAAAGATGTCGAACTAGGGCGTTCCCGATGGTTGCTCTGCAAAACGACGAGGCATTCATAACGTCTATAAGAAGACCCCTCAGGAACGCAACCAGTAGACAAAGAATAGAGCCGATGAGTCCAAATAAATTTGCCGCAATTGATTAGAAGACATCTGGATGAACCTACCCCTTGTGAATATGTCCCTCCTCCCTAAGAAAGTTCACTCCATCTGCCAGTGTCTCCATAGCCCAATGTGCACGCGCCCCTGCATCCATTCTCTCAACAGGTTGACTTGTTTGGTTTTGTCTTTCGACTACTTGTCCCGACCGCCACGAAGAGGCACCAGTCAATGGCCGGGGTGCCAAAGGATAACCCCGTACAGCTAGGTTTTAGGCTTCCATCTGTGCTATGTCCGTGCCGGGAATATGTTAGTGACGTGTTGAACGAACGAAACCCGTACGTACCTTCACAAAACGATTGAATTTTGCGGGACGGCCACGCCAGCTACGACATCGTCTGCCTATCTTCAGATGGGCCATGGACTGGATCCGATCAGGCTGGGGAGGCTGCGCCGTACACGCTGCAGAAGGAACGAGACCACTGCCCCCGATCCAACCCGGCCACATGATCCACGGATTGGATTCGATGGCGGTGGTATATCGTGGGATTCGATCCATAGACCATCTCAATATCAAGGTCCGTCCAACGAAGATGAGTCTAGCATCAGCTCGAGTTCGATCAGCAGGGTTTGTCTACCCTACCTGGCCACATGGTCTACGGATTGGATCCGATGGCGGTGGTATATCATGGGGTCGGATTCATGGATCATGTCGACATCGAGACTTGTTCGTTAACGCTCGGTTACGAACCATTTCGATGATGATGATTTCATACACCCTGTGCGGGCTAAGCCCATCGGGACTAGCTAATTGCTACGCGCTACCTCCGTTGTCCACCGGTTCATTCCATGCCCAGCTGTTAGGTCCATCGCCTTTACAAGACTGTTGCCCCTTTCGAGCCATCAACCAGGTCATCAAGAGTGCTTTCCTGAGTGTTACTGATCTTTCAACGGTACAGCAACTTGCCAGCTCTGGCTCTTACACTTTCCTGGGGCATTTACCTTCGCTTAGTGGTCTTGGAAATGTGTATAAGTGTCGTGTTTCGCTAAGAAAGGATGATGATCGCAGTAAAAGATGCCCTTTGGGTTACAAGGTTCGAGGAGATCTGCGACTGCGTGTAGAAGTTGTGAAAGAGCATTAATTATTAGGGGAAATTCGTGCTGTGGGATTCGGGCGCTGGGTCCAAAAAGGGCTCGCTTTGTTTTGAAATCGGCGTTCGAGATCGTGTATGGAGAGGACGGGCGATGATCTAGGTTGTGAGAGGCGGTGTGCTTGAGTACTTGCTGGTGGTGAGGTGGTAGAGGCTAGGGGTCGCCAAGATTTCGATGGCGATGGTGATGTGATGGCGATAGCGGCGACTATGCTGGGGGGGACGAGCCACGACAGCCGCGTACGAGATTCTAGCAGGAGAAACCGGTCGTAGAGGGGAGGGGGGTTGTTGGATAGATATGTTGTTTGGGGCGGAGAGGGGCCAAGAAGGGGGAGAAGGGGAGGCAGCAGCTAGTCCTGATGGTGATCGAGGCTGTGGCGCATTCTTTGGAGAGTAGACGTTTCGCGGGTTGTTAATTAAGTCGTATATCGTATCTGCTAGGATACAGTCCTCGTCGTGACACTCGGGAAGGTTGTTGCTGTATTTATTTTCCACTGCTAATTCTCGCAGGCTCCATACTTCGTCACATACGTGACAAATACATGCATCCTCTCCCGAGTCCTGGGTGTAGCTAAAGCCGCAAAATGCTAACAGCTCTATGGGGAGATTCTTATGAGTCCAGGTGGATGGGTACGTATCTAGACGTGAGGCGGTAGTTCGGTATGGTCGAGGGACTGGAGGCGCTGATGGTGACTCGTATCGTGATAGTGATCGTTGGGACGCATCCGTGGGCGATGGTGAAGCGCTCCGCTTTGCTGGCGACGGTGCAGACTCCGACAATGGTGTGAAACGGTTTGACGACGTTGCTGCTGCCATTCTCCTTCCGGAAGAAGAAGAGCAGGTCGAACAATTTCGAGTGTGATACAGGAAGAGCTCGTCTAGGTTGTCCACAGACTGGATCCGATGAAATACCACGACCCATCGGATTCAATCCGTGGATCATGTCGACATCGAGGTTCATCCGGTTAACGTCCCGTTACGAACCATTTCGAGTGTGATCGGTAAAGGGCTTGTCTGAGGTGGTCCACAGACTGGATCCGATGAAATATCACGGCCCATCGGATCCAATCCATAGACGTCGAGGATATCGAATAGGGTGCCCCCCTGGGGGGCTACTTGGTCCACAGACAGGGTGGTGTCCCGGAAAAAGTTTAATCCGATGGGTAGTGGCCCGGAAAATATTTAATCCATTGGGATGGGTGGTCCCACAGACAGCGTGGATATCGGCATCCCCGGCCACATGGTCCATGGATTGGATCCGATGACGGTGGGGCAAGGGGTGCCCACGTGACACTGCCAAGCCACGCTCTCACATGATAAATTAAAAAAAATATATTTTAAAAAAAGTCAGATCTATATTTTATTCCGCTAAAACCTGCTTCAAAATTGACACCAACAAACTCTTCTATAGTTAAACTTATTTGGCTAAAGCTACCACTAGCTGCGGCGCCCCATCTATATCTCAATGCGAATACTACGATAGCGTTTAGCTATAGTGAGAGAGGTGACAAGAGAATTTTTGAATTTTGAAAGTTTAAGACTGATGTTGCCGGGTGGTCCTAATGCTCCGCGTTACCCCTGCTAGGCTTTGCAATCCGATTAACGTGATTTACCACCCTCCGACGCACCCCCAGCAGCGCGTCGGCGACGTGAAATTTGACTCTTTTGAAGGCTATTGATAGCAAGGGCTAAACTGCCCTCTTTTTGAGGCGAATTAATTGTGTGTGGTGGAGCCATTGCGTGCTGAAATCTTGATGTTGCTTTGCATATTGGTACCAATGTCGTGTTTTCGGAGGCTAGGGTGCGTCGGAGGGTGGTACCGGAATTCCGATGGAATCGTTTATTGCGAACACTGCTCTCCTTAGCTTCCTCTCTTCACCAGTCACACAACTGGTATAGGATGCGACACAAGTCTTTTCCAGCAAGCTTTCCAGTGTTCAGGCTCTGCTGCTCCTATGGACATGGCCTTTCCCCACTGCATCCCTTTGGCAGGAGCCTACCACAGTCTGGAATGCAATGGCAACAAGTGTGGCCCAGCAACTTGGCTTGCCCAGTTCAGATCATGGAGCAGAGTTCTATAGAGTCAAAAGAAGTACTAATGCATTCCTTGAGGCCGAGAGGCTCCGAACCTGGGCAGCGTCCGCCATAGTGACCCAAAGGTAATATTTTGCAACTGTCCACAGTTTTGTCTCATTCACTGATCGTCCATGATAGCGTATCTGCTTCCTTCGGTACCATACCGGCATTGTCATATGGCATGAGCATTCACTCTTCGCTGGAGGAACCGTATGTGCAGGAACTTCCACACGATCCAGCAACCCTGTTCACCCTCGATCGATACTGCCACCGCGTCAGCAGCACTTTTCTCGGAGGCTTTCTCCCTAGACGCCGCTGTCGCTGCTCCTATTCATGGGGCTCTTCATCTACCACAGCTTGAGACTGAATTCAGACTGTTAGAGCAATCTATGGACGTATCGCATGGTATGTATGCTGTTTTAGTGACTAACATCACTGTCTGCTAAATTATTTTACTATGTTCATTATTTCTACTTGCCTTCCTGGGAAAAAGGCAAAAAGCGCGGGATTCTGGAAGCTTATGCAGTCGCTCAAGAACTTGTTGCGCAGAGCTTGAGGGCAGACAAGACCTCTCGCCTTTTCAGTCACATAACTGGAGCGCTGTTTTGAAGTCTCTTCACCGCGGCATGCGTGATTTGGAAAGTTCTTCATTCAAATTATCATGTGGGCCTTGACTTTGATACTGGACGAGCAAGTTTCAACGTCGCAGTCTGTCCACTTCGTGACTGCTCAAATGGGAACGACGATGATGCTGCGAGACAATCTGAGATCCTACTTCACCTCTGAAAAGTTGCAGAAATACAACAACACCGCAGCAGAAACGGCGATCCGATCGTGTCGCATAGATCTCGCTATGGGCTAGCATCGCATATGACTGTTTGTTTTACTGGAGGGACGGCGTTGGCGGCCAGGCTACCAATGGCTTGCACACCTCTGGCACTGGTGAGCCCTGCCAGCAACCCACTCAAGTCGCGAAGTAGGAGATACTGACATAATTCTGGTACCGGTTGATTGTGTTCGTAACACCAGCCCAGCTCTTCTCAACGCGCCGTTGGTATCATTGGACAGCAGCTTCGAAGGACGGTCTTAAAAAAATTTCTTTGACGATAAATATGCAGTAGCGCCTCCAATAACCATGCTCGTACCACTTTGTTGTTGTCGGCGAATGCTGGAAATTTTCGGTTTTGAGAGAGCCTACCTCATCACAAGGCGGTCATTTCCAACGAATCATAATCGTGCCGGCAAAACCAATACATCGTTTGGGCCGGGCTAGAAAACCCTCATGATAAGGGGTCCTTTTTCAGCGGTTAATTGGTTCGTTTATATCCTTATAAAGGGGCCTGAAAGTCGGCGCAGTGCACATCTTCTCTAATACAGGTCGGTATTCGTTGTCCTCTATTGCTTTGCGACTCTGTAGAGACACAAGAGACAAGCTCGACATGGCTATCAAGATTCCCTGCCTTCCTCCTCTCCGTCTTCACTTGCCTTTTTGGCAGAAGTAAGTGTTTTGACCCGGTGGCCCAGGATATTTTCTGAACACAACCACGTTGGTTTAGTTTCATGATGGGCTCCATCATCGGTTTGACGGCCGGTCTTTACGGGGCTATCAATCTTCTCGGGGCTGGAGGTGGTCGCCCAAACTCGGCGCAGACGATTCAAACCGTGAACGCTACGTTGTGTGCCGTTTTCGCTGTCTCGTCGGCATTTGGAGGTAGTGTGTTGAATACCCTTGGGCCTGCTATAACGGCACTTCTAGGCATTGTGGGCTATATCTTGTATCTCGGCAGTCTGTGGTACTTTGATCAGACGGGCAATGAGTGGTTCCCAATCTTCGCTGGGGTGATAATCGGAGTCAGTGCACGAGTCTATTTACCGCGCGAACACTCACCATTGACTAACTCTCACAGTAGATTTCCGGAGCCTGATCTACGTGACGATGGGATCTATCTCGATGTCATACTCACAGGAACAAGAACGAGAACATTTATTGCGATTTCCGTCAATCTTCAAGCTACCGGGATGGCTATCGGGGGACTCATTCCTCTGATCATCAATCGCAAGTCTCAAGAAGTGGCCGGCGTTCCTACGGCAGTTTACATTATTCTGATGTGTCTGATGGGAGCTGCTTGTATCCTCGCCTTATGTCTTCGGCCTGCCTCGAAGGTCATTCGACAAGATGGAACTCAGGTTGCAACTATCCGCTCTCGTGGCTACTGGGATGAACTCCGGTCCAACTTGGAAGTCTTTCGAGATTGGAAGGCATTGCTCTTAGTCCCGGCTTTCCTCCCATCAGAATGCTACCTGGTCTACAACGGATCCGTCAACGCCTACCACGACGACCTACGAGCAAGATCTCTCCTGTCATTCTGCTCAGTCGCCTTGCAGATTCCCGCCGGCTACGGCCTGCAGAAACTTTTGGACCATAAGACCTGGACACGCCGCAAAAGAGGCTTTGCTGGTCTCGCCGTCGTCGGCGCTCCCCTAGTTAGTCATCTTGCAATATCTCGCGAAGCTGGCGTTCTATTTCCCACGTTACCCTTTCAGCACCTGGGCTAACGAGACAATGCATACAGATGGCAGCCTGGATCTGGGAAATTATCCGAGTCCACAACTACGACCGCAAGAATCATCCAATGGACTGGAGTGATCCCAAAGTCGGTGCCATTTTTGTCCTCTTCTGCCTGAATTGGGTCTCCTGCGCGCTGTTCCAATATATCATACTCTACTTCCTGAGCTGCATGACGAACTCACCTCGCAAAGCAGCCAACTACGCTGTAAGTCTGGTGGCAAACCACACTACCAGTTCTTGCACTGACAGATATCTAGGGCTTGTACCGCACGTTCTTGGCTGTCCACGAAGGCTGTCCATTCACTCTGTCAAATTTCGAAATCCTCGTAGATGTTCTTCCACCCTCACATCCTGATTTCGAGGGGTAGCATTTCGCGCCGGCAAACCATGTCATATACACTGGGTAGTGCATATGGAGTCTCGCACTCCCATCTCCTTCGGGGCATCGTCGCGATAGATTCCGAGCTTCGATCAACGATAGTGATCGCCACTCCTACTTGCAAGAATCAATCCATCCATCCATCCACCACCGTAAAACTTCACCGTGGCAACGAGACAAAACAGCCTGGTGTCGTTGTGCGTGAGGCCTTCCAAGCGAAACGTGTGATAACCCTCCGGGAGGAACCACACGCCAACCCAAGAAGACATGGATACTCTTCCTTTCTTTGGAGGACACTCCCCTCTACCGTCTTGTACCGTATTCACCAACTGGCACAATGGTCTTCTGTTCCATAGGTACTGCTCTCCATCCACCGATGCATTGATCAAATACGTCAGGATTCGGCCAGGATCCTCGTTGAAAGTGCCCAACGCTTCAACACCGAGATAATATCCACTAACCCGCGTTACAGCGTGAAGTAGGTCTAAGAGAAGGAAACTCGCGCTTGAGGAGGATTGGGTTCAGTATCGAGAGAAGATATCTGGAAAATATCCTTCAGAGGGCCGTTGCAGTGGAAAGCAGGACTCTGACTAGGAACTTTGACACGATGCTGATGCGGCGCACGGTTGATTGCCTGATCTAGGATTCGATGTTGAGCTTCTGGATGCGCTGACCCAACAGACAAGAGGAAGACAGCGGCACCTATCAGACAAAGGCGGCGTAAATCCATATTGACAGAGGATAGAATTGACGGAAAACATTTCACCCGAATATCATAGCTAGCAAACTCGAGGGGTATCGATCCAAAATACCAGACGTGGTTTTCACATTGCAGTCAGGCCTGGGTGGTTTGCCTGTCAGGTTTCAGCTTCAAGCGGCCTCGTGGCCCACCTTCATTTACTAAGCGCGCGCCAGTGTAACAGTGGTAAGGCTTGGCGTTATCACCGCGACTGGCTTGGCATTATCACGGTATAGTGACACCTGAGGCAACTTATACCCTCGATCTTCTCTCCCATACAGGTCATCATTCATAATCTCTTCTCCCACTTCTCGCCTCAGTACACCCCTGATTCATCAACAACTTTCCCTGCCTGATTTCTCTATCAGCTTTTTCTGCTCCTTCTTCAGCATGAATACAATTTGCGGACCCAGCGATGGAACACCTACATGTATACCCATGTCAAGGTCATCCTCAAGCTCAACTACATCAAAAGAGACTACGTCAGTGGAGAGTTCAGCACCGAATTTATCGCCCTTGGAGGGGTTGGAAGACGCTCGTATTCACACGTACAAAGGGATCCGAGACCTAAAAGAACATGTCAACTCGCAGTCTGCTGCGTTGATGGACGGTCGCACGAATCAGCAGTACCTTGTTTTCCTGGGTGTCACAAAAGGCCAACTTGAAAAGATTGACCATCAGCGCGCCGACATAGGGAAGCATACTCGGATGAGCCATTACGCGGATAACAATCTATTGGTTATCAAGCTGATGCCCTCAGCGGAACATGAAACTGCGCACCTCATACTATCCCTGAGACTTAATAACGCATTTATCAGAATGGGCCTCCCAGAAGACGGCTTCTGTCCTACTGGCGGGACAACGTACAAACTCCCTAATTCCTCTAAAGAGGGTGATGCGGGATATCGCCCCCTCCCGATCCGAGACAAGAAATCTGACTGGCCAACAATTGTTTTTGAGTCTGGACTCTCTGAAACGCTTACTCGTCTGCGACATGACGCAGCATGGTGGATTGTCAACTCTGGAGGAGATGTTAAGATTGTCATTATCATCTCAATAAAGCTAGCACAGAAGACGCTAGTGGTCGAAAAGTGGTGCCCTTCTCCGCCTCCTGCATATAGGCCAGCTACCAGAAGCAACTCAAATCCCGACGCTCTAATTCCGACAAAAGTTCAAGAGCTCACTATCACCCAAAATCCCACTCCACAACTAGGTCCTACAGCTCAGTCGAGTACCATCGGTCAGCCAATTGTCACCGTTCAGCCAGGCACTGTCTCAGCCTATGACGTTGCTGGAGCCCCTCTGATTCTCGAATTTGACGAGATCTTCCTCCGAGCCGCTGTACCGCCAGAAGGCGACATCGTCTTTAATGTCGCGGATCTTGCGGCCTGGACGGATCACTTCTGGAAGAGCCTTAAGTAGAGAGATCGCAAGAGTATTGGCAGGATCAGGGGAACACATTGTGGGACTGGCAACGGCTAATGGTGGGTCGGACTATGTGTTGCGCTATTGTACAGCATACAGGACAACGGAAGTGTCATCACTTTCCCAGGGTTTTCTAAGAGCTTGTTCGGGGCAACGGAAGTACCATCGTCGCCGAGGTTCACTTAAGAGCTTATTCGGGACAACAGAAGCGCCATAGGTTCTGTCAAACAATGAATGCCATGAACTTCAATAGTACCAAATCTTTTCCAAAAATGACCTCAAGTTCTTCAACACTTCTTTGCGGCCCGGTTCGCTGTGTCATCTATTGTTCAAAGGCTGAAGATAATACGCATTCAGAAGTCGTTGGAACCCTACTAACAACGGTTGTCCAATTTGCTTCAGGCGATCCGCAGAAAGCGAGTCATCTCGGTACTTTTGCAGGGACTGATCATACATTTATCGTATTTTGATTTTGACAGTCCTGACCACCTCGATGACTGCAAAGTGCTTGGCTTCAGAGTCGGGAAGTCTATCAGGCGTATTAAACGTTTCAACATCCCTACGAAAGTTGAGGAATATGTTTATTCGACGGTGAAGAGATGGAAAGTAGAGAATGAAGACCGGGGGGTCTCGTTTCCTCGTCAAGAACAGGTATATCGATGCCTTCAGCCAACCTCCTTAGGACTTACTAATTTGTGTCGATATTAAGCTTATCCCGTCAAAAAATCGTTCCGCTTCCTCCTCTAAAACCTCTGCCAATATCGCATCGCCACCGGAAAGTATCATCACAGAAGATCAAACGTCGTCGGATCAAGAGGATGTGAAAAAAGGGTAACTGTGACTTAGGGTACGCGTGCTCTTGAGAAATAACGGGAGACCCTGGAATGGCGATGTGTTGGTGACCATGGGATACGTCACCACGACTGTCGACGAGGTGGATAGCCAGGTCAGCCTCATCGAAACATGTCCTGGCCAGAATGGCCGTGACCCAAGTAAGGGCCAGCGTCTAGATAACCAATAGATAGACATCATCTGCCTGCAGCATTCTTCCTGCAACACTCTTCCTCTTCTGCGACACATCTTCTGCACTCCCGAAATGTCGCAGTTGGGCTAATTTTTTGATACTCGAAATCGCTAGCTACCTAGATGGGCTCTATTCTCATCGTCAAATCTGAGCCCAATTGTTGGACAAGTGGAATATAGTACTGAAGAAATGGTGACCTATCATTCACGACAGACTGGGATATTTTGCAACACTCGCTCACTAGGCAGTATCACCATCAACAGGCAGCAATAATGACGCACGCTCGTTAGATAGATATATAGATAGGTTCTCTCCTGCACTCATTAGGAGAGAACAGAGCACTCTTTCAATACAAGAAGTTCAACACCAATGTATCGGTATCGTCGGCTTTCCTAATTGGGTATACCGTCGTCTACATATGGTCCATGGACTGGATCCGATGGAGGATGTCGTACGGCACAGGACACCGTGATCAAACATCGTCCACGCGTGATCCATAGACTGGATCCGATAAAGGCGGCACTCTACCCATTCCCGGGTGTGCCATGGACTGGATCCGATGGAGTTGGCCAATTAAAGCACAGGATTACGTAATACTCGGATTATAGATTTTCCGGGATACGGCAGCATTCCAACCCACTCCCGGATGGGCCATGGACTGGATCCGATGGTTAACGTAGGTCACGGGCTTTGGGATCGCACGGGCTACCACGCGTAGCGCGTCTCCTATGTAATTAACTCGCCAACAGCTATGTGTTGAACGAGGGATTGAAACACTAGTAAATGGTTTCCATAGACAACGAAACTCCTAATAGTTGCTCTGCGCAACGACGAGATATTCGCATAGCTATAAAGAGAACGTCAGGAACGCAGCAAGTAGATAGAAAATCAATACATCTCGAGTTGCACCCAGTTTAACACTATGCAAGCGTCTAATCAGTGCGATACGGAAGACAGGCTTTGTCTTGCTATCGATGCGTTAAAAACTAGTAAAATCAAAAGTTTACGTCAAGCTTCTCGCATCTACGACGTTCCGTACACGAGTCTTCACAAACGATTTAATGGCGTACCTTCACGACGCGACTATCGGCCTGTAACCTCGAAACTTACTGCTACCGAGGAAGCCGTTCTTATTCGACGTATTCTCGACCTTGATGCGCAAGGATTCCCTCCTCGGCTGCCCGTCGTGCGCGAAACGGCTGATATTTTGCTTGCAAGTCGTGGTATTAACCCACCCTCGACTGTCGGTGTTAATATCCATATTATATAGTACCTATTCTTCTCTCCCATCTCGGCACCTCGGATTGCTTGTGCCAGCTCCGAGCTTGCAGAGACCAGGGGCCGTGCTGATCCTGTAGCTTCCAGACTGTACGAAGTGACCATGAGTAGGTATTTTCTCAAAGTTTCCCTGGCCGCTGACACTCAATGGCTCCTTTGGCTGCTGCTGCACCCGCCAGCCGGCCGAAAACTGCACCCTTGACCAGGCCAGATGCTCCCGGATAATTGTACGCAAAGAAGCCGCCGGCAATTTCTCCGATGGCCCAAAGTCCAGGCACTCTGTTCCCTTCGGCATTCAAGACGTGGGCGTACGGGTCCACCTTAAGCCTCCGTAGGTGAAGGTGATACCTGAGTTCTTAAGTCAGCCTCCAGTATAATCTGTACTAGGATATCTAGAGCGAGGGGCGATAGTAAATATATACGTATAACTTACCGCAGGTCACCGCATAGGCAACATAAGGAGGCTTATCGATGGTCAGCGACCAATTAGTCTTTGCGATTTCGAGCTTATCCCCGGTGGAACGGCCATCCTTGTGAAAGGGATCCCAATCCGGGGTATCGGGGACGGCGGCATTGAACTCGCGGACGTTGACTCCCAGCTTTGCGGCAAGACCATCTAGGGTGTCGTCAACGACCGGAGTTCCAGTCGAGTACCTTGGCTCCAGGGTAATGAGAGACTTTTGATCAAAGATTTGAAACGCGGTCGAGTCGGTTTGCTTGCCGATTAAATCACCCGTGGCCGCGTACGTCGGCTCGAATGTGTCTCTTCCCTCATCCATAAAGCGCCTACCCTCTTTGTTGACCGTGATGGCGAACGGGTACGAGTAGCGGCTCATCTTGTCAGTTAATTCCAGCTTTCCTACAGGCGGAGAGTTTGTATCCATAGGAACCACGTGACAACCGCCCCAGTGGCCCACGGTGCCGGCTCCTCTCGCAATAGCCTTCTCTCACATCGTGCCGGTGTTGAAGCGGGTTCCTCGTACAACCACTAAGTCTCAGCCTTCGCCTAGGTATTGGCGGCGAAGACGAGGCGACGCCTCAAAGCCACCGCAGCCGAGAATGGTTTGGCCGTAGAATTCGACGAAGCGGCTGGATTTCCGGGTAAGAACTCCTTGGACATTGTCACCTTGAGTAAGAAGGTCGCACACTGGCGTACTGTAGAAGACATCGATCGATTTTCTTTCAACGGCAGCCCATAGACAATTAGTTAAGCCGATGCCCTCGCCTTCTTGCCATCAGACAGAGTCCGGGATTGATGTCGACCACTTCTTTGGAGATCTGCTCCTCGGTGAAGAATTTGCTAAGCGCTATCGTCCACCAAACTCCCTGGTCTCGCATCTAACGCACCGTGTCGAGAGAGTGGGCGAACATGACTTCAATCGCGGCGGCATCAAAATGGTCCTTTGACGTCTCGGCAAACTCTTGCGCGTACCGTTCTTTGGTAAATGGCGCCAGCCTGGCCCTCTTCACCAGATACTTGTTGTCCGGATGGATCAGCGGCTCTATGTCGCCCATGCCATTGCGTGCCACCCGAAAACAGGCCGAGGCAAATCTGCTGTTGCCTCCTCGCAATTCTTTGGGTGCGGCCTCCAGCAATGCTACTCGAGCGCCAGCGTCATGGGCAGAGGGGGCTGCGTTGTCACGATCACGTCGTAATGTCTGTTGTCCACCATGACGGATGTAGAAAGGCTTTCACGGAATTGGATGAGGCCGAGGCAGAAACAAAGACTTCGCAATCGTCATTTAAGTATATTCCGTGTTCGAATGGGATCGGAATTCCCTTTGCTGCTTGTTATGGGGCAGCTAAACTGGTCGAAAGCGGTGTTTGTCATTTTCACCCAGTTCGCGACGGCTGTGGACCTCAGAGTTAAAACCCCTCAGAGACACGGGCACTCCGTAGCAATGACTCCTTTAGATTAGGCGAAGTACATCCACATACATGCCGTCTGATTTTCGACCACTGCCCAAACAAAGATGGGGTCGATGCAGTCGGGGCGCTGCTCGATCGCGGTCTCGCGCCGGTGGGTAGATCCCAGGCAAGAAATCGGCCGAAATAGGCTTCAAGTCGTAAACGCGGTTTCCTGGTGCGGAAGACCTCCTCCCCTCCTTTTCCGAGCTCTACCCCGCCGGGAACATCGTGAATTTCTGCTCGAATCGCTCCTGAAAGCCCCTTTTTTAAGCCTCAGGCACCGATTCACAATTCATAAACCCTAAGTTGAACCTTGATAGACATCTAGGAGACATCTAGGCTTGGCTTGTTCTCTGTTGTAGTCTGCACAGTTTTTTCTTTACCATGTCAGGCAGTAATACCAATAAAAGCGCTTCCGTAAGCACCAGCCAAGACCTATAATTGGCTAAGAAGACGACCTCAGTTTACCATTGTGGAATGAGAAGAATTGGTTGGCGATGAACGAGACGTCGGACGAACAAGCATGAAATCCGATCAGACATTAGGGTTTGGGAATCGAGATCAGCAGAAGCTCGCGCTCAAGCCGTCGTCCAACATCAATGTTCCTCTCCCCTCGAGCATGGCGGCGAGGATCTGCTCATCTTGCCATACTGATCAGCTGGAATTTGAGCACAATCATCAATGTTCCACGGAGGAAGTGCCCAATCGAAGTCGATAGATGGGTCTGCAATCGAATGTTGCATACCCAAAGACTCAATTACTTGGGGATTCAATCTCGAAGCGAGAGTGCTGTCGTATACTGGCGAGGAAGGGACGACTCCCATTGTCATGGCGGGTTCAGATGTATTGGAAAGGGTCGATGAGAGGGGAAATGGTGGAATCGTTGAAAACAGCATCAGTTTTTGCTTTAATACCTCAAAGTCGGTGCCCCAGACTATGTCGCCACTCGACCATTGCTCAAGTTTCTCTAAGACCAGATAGGAGACAGCTTCTAAAGCGGATGCATGCGGCGTGACTTGTTTCCGGCGACGGGACAACTTTCTGAGCAAAGACGGGAATGTTTTCATGCAGCAGATTAGAATCGCGACATCTTGGTTCCCGAGATACGAAGAGCCCCGGTGCGTGCATTCGGATTCTAGTTCGGTCAAGATCGAAGCCATTAGGCAGACACCGGATTCGACGATGAAAAAGGCTGCGTGCCAAATGATGAAGAGCTTTCCCATCCGATCGATAGTGTTGAATTCTCGGATGAGAGCTATAGAAGACTGGAGAGTCTTCCTCTGCATCCTTCTGGTAGGAGTGGGGTAGCGCGGCGAAGGACGATTTAGTCTCAAGGTCAAGCACTGAAACATTAACTCGTGAAACGGAATCCTTTCCCCCAGGCTCACGCTCTTGCGGGTCGTCAACAACCACTCGTCGACCCGGTTCTGTATGCCGATAAACCACTCATCGAAGGTATCTTTCCAAAGCTGGTCATTACGAGCCAAATGAGGATGATACATGGCTGAAAAGATCTCCGCTTCCATGTACCGCAGTCGCCAGACATGAGGAATTGGGCACGATTCCGTGTCAAAGTCGGGAAACTAAGAGTGGTCAGATTCCTCACATTGTCTGGTATACTCCTCTTTACCTTGGCCGTGAATGCGTCTTTGGGCCATATGAAAGGTCGGCACAGCACCGTGTGAATTGCACTTCCCACCCGTCAATAGAGTAACAGCCAGGGGAAACACCTTCCCACTTACACCTCGAGGCAATATGCATTCCAGAACAATCGCCTGCGATGATTTATTGTCGTGGAGTCCAGCTTTAACCTTGTTCGTGTCGTATCACTCAATTCGTGGTGTAGTCCCAGTTGCAAGCATAACCTGGTTGCCGCTGCGCCGCAATTGACGCAATTGGCGTCTTGGGGATTGAAGCAAGCATAGTGAGTCAGAAGCTGTAAGGCTTGCAATCGCTCTTGGAGGTTTTCGGACCCAATCTGATCGAGATGACCACGGGCCGTCGCCCAAAGACCTCGAGTAGCGGAGGTCGCCCGCTTCTCGTCATACTGCATGAGGGTATTCGTCTGGCAAGATCAGCAGAAAGTCCTGAAAGATTGAGTGTGCAACTTTGAATCATACACTAATAGCCAGTGTAATATGAACACAAAATATATCATAGTTCGAAGGTTCCGCATTATTGTGCACCCGATCGCAAGCCAAATACAGGTCGGACTCGTCGATTGCCGGATACATGGGGCGGTATATCTCGCAGTAATGTTTCAACATAGCGTCAACTGCCGGGCGTGGGATGGATGAAACCGTGATGGGAGGTGGCAAAGGCTCGGGAGACTGTTTACCGTCTGTTTCATTCCAAGCCAAGCGGTTGAGATATGGTACCGGTGAACCTGAAAGAAAAAATGTTGACGTAAGTGGAAGCAGGCTTTCGTACGAGACGAGACGAGCACCCAGAGTTGATGACGGTTTTCGCCAGGCGTGCGGTCAATCCTTCCACTTCAGCGTTGGCAACGGACGCGATATCCCTGTGCTGCTCCTTGGCGCGCCACAGGTCGATTTCCAAACGAGCGATCTCTTCCTCCAAAAACCGAACAGTGCTTCGAGGTTTGTCAGTCCCGCGCACAGAGTCGAATCCTAAACATGTTTCACCTGCTCTCGAGCATGCACCGCAAACCGGGTAGCGTAAGTCACACTGACAACCTGGTTAGCGAGAAAGCTGTGTCGACGATCGTATCTTTTTTCGGTGACAACGGGCACAAGCTTTGCTTGTTCGGCGCTTTTTGGCGTGAGGGCAGGCGTTGGCATCCATCCTTGAAGAACACCCAAGTATCAATCTACTTGGCTTAAGTTGGTGCAGACAGCACCGCAATGACTATTCTAATCAAGCGGTGGTTCGTCCTAATTCGTTGGTAGTGGGTGATGGAGAGTGGTTGGGGTGTTGGAATGTAGCTGTCAGGAGTGCGGTGCTTCATGGTTGAGAGGAAGTGCTAGTGATGCTACTAGTACTGTAGGAGACGTGAGTGGTAGCTATCCCCAGGTGCACTACGCTAGAAGTATTGTATCATTACTACTGCTTGGCGTCGTTTATCGGTGACTGTGGAGCCCTGATTTGGTCGGGTACCTCGAGGCTACCACTATTACATCTCGTTGTTTATGGCTGTAGGGCTTCCTGCAACGCCGCCAGATCTAGTTTTGATCTTCCATCGTTCACTGGCTAGAGTACTTCAGTCTGGAGGAAGTCCAAAACAATCTCCTCAAACTTTGCCGGCTCGTCAGAAGGTGGACTATGTCCTGAATATTCGAATATCTCTAGCCTTGCATGAGAGATACTCTTGGCTATTTCCTGGCTATATTCCACGGGGGTGATATAGTCGTGGCGCCCCACCACGAGGAGTGTAGGTACCTGGTGAGAGTTAGATCTCTGCACATGGGACAGCAATGTCATTTTGCTCGCCTTGATGGTATGAAGCTGATTACGCACATCAAAGCGTGGCATGTTCTTAGCGAAGGCGTAGTTATGTGTGCCTGAATGAAACTCAACCGATCCTTGAAACTCGGTCGATTCGGTGGTGCGTGCAGCCGAGGCTGAATGGTCTTCTGGAGGCGCGAAGAATGGTATAAGTTCACGACAGCATCCTTGAAGTTGTGATCATTGCGTAGAGGGCCAGACCATGCGCGGACTTGGCGGGCGACGTCAACGTTGGCCCGGTCTGAGACCAAGATATTGGCTAGAGCATTCATCGGGCCTATTTTTCCGTTGGCCCAGGGACCTCGAAGAATCAGTGCTTGTAAACGTGCTGGGTATAAAATGGCATATTCGAGCGCGACATATGTCCCATATGAGGCTCCAGTAAGGACAAACGTCTCGGCACCTGCCCATATCCTTAAGAGCTTCGTTAGTGGGCGACGCAACGACCGCAGTGTCGGTTACCTTAGATTTTCTAGGTCCTGGACCCAACGCTCATGGCTGAATGGTTCTTGGTGGTCTGACGCGCCACTTCCTCGAGCATCATATACGAGGACTCGAAAAGTCTTGGAAAGGAAGGAGAAGGAGGCTTCCGGCTCTCGGTGAGTGGAAAGGCCTGGTGCTCCGTGAAGTGAGACCAGCAGAGGCTTCGGCGATGTTGCATCCTCAGAAATCATCTTCACACATATACTTGCGCCATCGCCCATCCTCACCCTTGAAATTTTGCTGGAATGTCTTTCCGGCATTGTCTGATATAGTGTGGGCAAAAGAGTAACAGCGGGGATCTACCGTGGGGGCAGGAAATATGGATGTTACGACGGTCTAAGGGAAAGGCCATCGTGGATTGTTTTGGTGATCATATTTAATGCTTTCTCGCTGACCATACGTATAGATGTGCGTAGGTCTTCCAGATTTGAGGTACGCCTGAGGTGGCGGACAGGTGCGCCCCGGTCAATGCCTTGAAATTGAAAGCTCAGGCTAGGCTTTTCCCGAAGGGTCACGGTCCAGCAGCGGACGAACGGGAAAGAGCTCAAGAGCCAGGGCCGGACGCTTCCTGGTCAGTGGGTAGCGATCTTGGCATCGAAGGAAAATCCTCCAAAAGCGGCGGTACTAACCGCCAAATTCGGCGGGAAATTTCCCTGCAACCTGCGTTGGCCTGTAAACATCGAACTTCGAACGTCCATTCTGCAACATTCAGATTAAAAAAAGACACTCTGACACCACACGGGAAATGCCTTCTCCCTCCTCAATTCGCAATCTTAATTTTTGACAGCCGTCACAGTTTTATATTTCCTGATCTCATGTCCCTTACCCCTGCATACTTTTACGTTGATTGCTGTTTTCGACTGTGAACGCCCATCCCAACCCTCCACCGTCTCACCCCAGATATCCACGCGAAACCCAACAATCTCAATTACAAACTGGCCTGGCGGAAATACGTTCTCGGGCGATATCACTTCACAGGAGGTTGAAGCCCTTCGAATTTGGCTCTACTCTCCAACTCGGCCCAGAAATGTCACGGCGGAAGTGACGGCGACCACTGAGCAAGGCAGTTTCCACAATCCTCTTGCTCCACATTATGTGCATCCGACTATGAGACGAGGACAATGGCACAAAATATGGAGGAAGGAACTGATGCAGCGTCGATAAAACCTGTTTCATCGTTACGATCGCACTTCGAAGGGCTGAAGGCCAATCAAGCCCCGCCCGATGACCGTGGAAGCATACCTCTGTCTCCGCAAGTTTTGAAGCCCGTTGACGGACCGAGTCCACCTCCAATATTGCGAGCGTCGTTTGACCTACCCCGACCGAAATCGCCATGGGAAGGAGGGGGAAATACAAGGCAGGGAGGACCACATACTCCGGTCAAAGGAACCGAATCGCCTCCCAAACCAGGTCACAAACGACCCATGTCGATGCTTCTTCAATCCTCTCCCCAGCTCACTCCTTCCGTCAAAGTCGACTCGCCTAGATCACCGCCGCGGACATTCTTCGAACGGAGTTCTTCAAGATCACCCGAGCGTGTCGACAATACACCTTTCGCCAAAGTCCGCGAACTCATCTCGCAACATTCGAGCAGAGAATCAACTCGACCTCCTACCCCTGGAGCCCCCAGCGGAGACCGTTCAGCGACCTTGAAAACGGTCGAGGATGCAAACGGGACGGGAGAAGCGCAAGAAGCAAAATCACCGGGAAGACCACCTCCAGTCAATCGCGCCGATAAACCGAAAATACCGGCCAAGCCATCCACCATGGCCATCCCCGTCACAAGCAGCGCCTTAAACACAGAGGTTCGCAGACCCTCTTCCGAGGCCCGGGTTTCGCCCTTCAGCACCCCTCCGAGCAGCGTTGAAAATTCCCCATCTCGAAGCCCTGAATCGATAGCTCCGTTACCGGCCGTGAGATCGGTTGAACCTCTCCCATTGACGAGCAACGTTATCGCACAGCCTCACGCTGTTCCACCACCGGACCAAACTTCTGCTCGACCCAAAGACGCTCGACTTTGGGGATTCTCGCACAAGACGTCTGCGCCCGAGAGAAAAGACCCCAGAATGTTGGGCTTTACTGCCCCAGAGCCTCGACCACCTAGTCGCGGATCCGATTTACCCACGCGAGCGAATACGGTCTCCGAGAAGCCCACCAGAGATCCCCGTGAACTGGGCTTTTCAAGTGCAAAACCATCATCACCACGTCATGTCTCGGAAACAATTCGACATGCACCTTCACCTCCCCCCCCACCAGTTCAACCGCCTCGCACCCATCCCCTTCGTGACGCTCGTCAGCATGGTTTCTCCGGTCATCAATCCCCGGACATCGAAATGACTGAGGAAGAGCCACATCCTAAGCTCCCCCCCAGACGAAACATCGAACCTCCGCCACGTCCCTCCAATGAATCGAAGAATACGACAAGATCGGGACCCCCGCCGGCTCATGCTGGCGCCCCTGCCCCGGACCGGTCCAAGAAACCAGTCCCGAATCAACAGGCATCTCGCGCTCCCACAATGCCAATGGACACGCGATTTCCTCCGCCGCCCAAACGTGCCAGTTTTGATGAAGGTGAGCCTCTGCCGACGACCACGCCCAAGGCGCAGACATTTGGCGGAGATTTTCCCAAGCGTCCGGCGGCAAGAGCATACGCCAACGACTCAGACGAAGCAGAGGAAGCCGCGGAAGAACTGTCGACCGCTAAATCGGAGTATCCAGACTCGACGCACACCAACAGGCGACCTCCATTTTGCAAGGGCGGTCTGTGGGAGATACCCACCAAGTCTGACTCGAGAATCGCTAAAGTCTGTGGTCAATATCTGTGTACAGCTGGCTATGTCACTCGAGTATTTGACATGACTTCGGGCGAGCAAATCATGAGCATCAACCACGGCGAAACCGTCAAGGTGACCGCCGTGGCCTTCAAACCGGCGGCGGAGCTGACGAAGGAAGGTACCAGACTATGGCTGGGTACGAATACCGGAGATATCATGGAAGTAGATGTGGCCACACATACCATCTTGACGACCAACTCCTCACACAATCGTCGAGAAATTGTTCGCATACTAAGAAACCGAAAAGATCTATGGACCCTCGATGACGATGGCAAGCTCTTTGTGTGGAAGGCTGATGAGACAGGTGTCCCGAATTTGAAATACAGCCATGTATCTCTGAAGGTCCAAAGGGGCCATTCCTTTTCGATGGCCATTGACGGAAACCTGTGGCTTGCTACGGGCAAAGAAGTCCGAATATACAAGCCCGGAAACGAGAATTCGTTTTCGGCCTTGACAAAGCCACTGTCTCAACACGGGAATGGGGATGTGACTTGTGGTGCCTATGCCAATGAAGGTGGAGGGAGGGCCTATTTTGGCCACATCGATGGAAGGGTGAGCATCTACTCCACCAAAGACTTTTCCACCATTGGAAATATCAAAGCGAGTGACTACAAGATCAACGGCCTGTCTTTTGTCGGAGACAAATTATGGGCGGCATTCAAGACGGGAATGGTGTATATCTACGATACTTCTACCACTCCCTGGAAGGTCAAAAAGGATTGGCGAGCTCACAATGGACCGGCTACCGGAGTTTTACTTGACCCAAGTAGTGTCTGGACACTCCAACGGTTACAAGTCGTGACCATTGGCCACGACAATTGTGTGCGGCTATGGGATGCTGCCCTTGAAGACGATTGGATCGAGACTGAAATGCAGGAACGCGACGTCGAATATTGCAAATTTCGAGAAGTACGGGCCGCCGTTGTGACATGGAATGTGGGCGCATCAAACCCCTATGACTTACGAGGCGACTTCATTGCCGACGCCATTCATCCCGACGATCCTCCCGAAATTCTCGTGTTTGGCTTCCAAGAAGTGGTGGACCTAGAAGATCGCGCCGTAACTGCGAAAAGCATCCTGGGTTTCGGCAAGAAGAAAGATACGGTGAAAACCGAACAACATCAAAGTCGAGTCTATCGTGAATGGCGAGACTACCTCAGCAAAATCATCAGCCGTTATACCAGTGCACGCTATGCTTACTCAGAACTCCAGACGTCCAGCCTGATCGGCTTATTTCAGTGTGTGTTCATCAGACAGGAAGAACGACCGCATGTCCGCAATTTGCAAGCCGCCAGTGTGAAGCTTGGCTTGAAGGGTCACTATGGCAATAAAGGCGCGCTCGTCACCCGCTTCGTCTTGGATGACAGCTCGGTCTGCTTCATCAATTGTCACCTCGCGGCCGGTCAGACGCAGACCTCACATCGAAACAACGATGTAGCAAGTATACTCGAAGCTGAGGCCTTGGACCCCGAGCCGGACCCAGATGTCCGCAGCTCTCTGTACGTAGGAGGCGGCGACGGCACACAAATCCTTGATCACGAAATTTGCGTCCTGAACGGCGACCTGAATTACCGCATTGACGCCATTCCACGCGATACAGTCGTCAACATGATCAAGCGCAACGAACTCGCGAAACTTCTGGAACGAGACCAAATCATGGTCTCACGCCGTCGCGTCTCCGGCTTCCGACTCTCCCCTTTCATCGAGCTACCCATCACTTTCGCTCCGACGTACAAATACGACGTGGGCACCGACAACTACGACACCTCAGAAAAGAAACGGTCGCCAGCTTGGTGCGATCGGCTGCTCTACCGGGGCCCAGGCCGCGTGAAACAAATCGAATATCGCCGCCACGAAGTGCGCACCAGTGACCACCGCCCAGTGAGCGGTGTATTCAAGCTCCGTGTCAAAACCATCGACGCGCGGAAGAGAGCCAAGGTCAAAGAAGACTGTTTCCAGCGATTTAGCGAAGTTAGAAAGCATATGGCGGAGCGCGCAAGTGTGGAGTACCTGGTCACGACTTTGGGTGTGGGTGATCAGGAGGCGAAGAGGTTGATTGCGGCCAAGTGATCGAGACATACACCCCCCCATATCGAGCACAGACTGGCAGGGCCCAGTGTTTACTGTGCGCTCGTCAGAGATATACGAGACAGATAGGACAATTAATGAAAACTGAAAGAAAAACGCCTCGATGTTCTGGTTCAAAATCTCTTATTCATGGCTTTGGCAGGCCCCAAAACTCTTCTACATGAAAAAGGGGGGACGAGCTTCCTTTGGTGGAATTGAAAATGAAATGATATAGATTTGGACTTGGGTGTTATAAGGCAATGCAGATTGATTCTGCTAAATCATGCAAAGTCTTAAAAAAGGAAATTCACGTAAATTTATGGGGGATGGGGAATCTCTGGACCCATGTTCGTTCTTCTTGGCCAACCTCTCACATTTCAACCATTTGTTGTGTCGTTTTCATCCATCCACAAAACTCGTCATCGTCATCAAGGCCACTGGACCTCCCGCTTAGAAATCGCCACCATCGAAGTCGCCACCACCGGCACCATCTTCGTAGCCTTCCTGGTACGCGTCTTGATCGCCGTCGTTGATGGCGTCAGCCAGAAGGGCACCACCAAGCAGACCACCTCCGAGACCCAAGGCGGCGGCGCCACCAGCACCAAGACCGCCAGACTTTCGCGGTGGCGCTCCATATCCGCCGCCGTAACCCCCCGGGGGATAACCGCCATAGCCTTGAGGTGGGTAGCCACCGTAGCCTTGGGGGGGATAGCCTTGGGGTGGATAACCTGGTTGATATCCAGCCGGAGGAGGAGGGTAGCCGGCACCGGGTCGGGCATGTTGGGGGTACGGCGAACTGCTGCTGGATTTGCCTAGGAGCTTACTGAACAAGCCCTTGGATTTGCCAGAGCTCTCGGGTCTCGGAGGCAGCGGATTTGATGGAGAGGGCGCGCCTGGATATCCGCCTTGAATACCAGGAGGATTTGGACCTCCATGGTTGCCGGAATTGTAGTAGTCATCGCTTGCGCCGCGGGAATTTGAGGGGTGGTCTTCCTCATTTTGCAAACGCCTGGCCATCTCCTCGTCGGTTTCATTTTCATGCTTGTAGGGGTTATTTGATTCTAAAGGCCTCTTTGCGTCTGACACATGAGGATCATTTGGTCCGGAGGAGTATGATGGAGGGGGTGCGCCAGGAGGGGCATCTTCGTCTGGACGAGGGGCAGGTCCTGTAGGCTTCTCCCAGGTGGACTGTTTGGTATGGAGATTTACATAGAACCTGGATAATGAGGTGTTAGTCGGGTGATGATTAGAGTTTGGATAAACATTGCCTACCATTCTTTGTACTGCTCGTTGAAGACAGCCTTCCAGCCTTCCGGGACTTTCGGAGGTGGCGGGCCTGCAGGCGGAGCGTATTCGGACATCGATTGTTGGTGTTTCTGAGATGGAAACGAGATGAACGCGCAACAGACACGAAGACAGAAATGAGAAGATCGAAGTTGTTGATGGGAATGCGACGAACCGCACTGCATTTAATGCATGAGAAGGAGGGGTCACCCGACATTTCTAGTGGCGGAGAAGTCACAGAGTTCGAGGCTTGGAGCTTGCAGTTGACGGTTAGAGAAACGTCATCCAATTTCCCCTGAAGGCGCGGGAAAATGTGGCGCAGCTCATCTTGTTCTTGCTCTTTGATTCTGAAATCTCGAAAGCCCCTGGTTCCCTTCTGACAAAGAGGGAATCATTCACCGACGCCCACCAGCTCCAATCGCTACCTTGACAAATCCTGCTTCTGCGGCAATAAAACACTCACTCAGACCATTGGGCTCGGTTAGGAGATGGGCAGACCATGAACATATGCTGGCAAGTATATTAATGGAACCCAGACGGCAGATGCAGGCCCTCGTCTTCCAATTGGCTATTCGGTGGAACGTCTGAATTCTATGATACTTCTCCTCTGCATGCCTTTCTCCCCAACACAGAATTCTCACGCACGATACGAGTATCGTATTCGTCAATACTCATATTGGGGTGACGTAGCTGCGATCAAGGTGGCTCTTCAATCCATTGCCAGTGAAGAAGCGAGGCGAATGCAAGGACACCCGGCACATCACATCAGTTAAAGTCAGTCCTCCTATATTAGCCAGTTCGAAGTCTAGTTCGAAGTCTTGTTCATCACATCACTGGCATGCCCTGAAAAAATATTTTGCAACGTAAAAGGACCACAGAACACAATATCGATAATGCAAGACAAAAATTACCAAAAACCTTTCCAACAAACTCACTCGATATAGGAACTGTGGAAAGTGAAGCCCGGGGTCGCAGGGTTTTCGGAGGGTTGTCGTTAGCCCGGTTCGCAGGATTTGCCTTGTTAAACGGTCTCGAGTTCGAATCGAGGTCTTGACGCCTTCAATCCCGATGTTAGTTTGGCCCGAATCCATTACTGAGGTTCTTGGTGCTGTGCCAAATTCTGCGGAATCAAAATTTTATTGGTGGATTTCCGGCATGTTCTTGAAGTGAAGAGGCGGTACTGCCGACATGGAGGCAGAATTGAAGACGTATGATATTGTTTCTTTTGGATTGTATGCAGTGCACGGGCTCTTTTCTTCGAGACTCAGTTAATTGAGAGCGTTGGGGGAACATCAATACTCAGAATTTATCATCATTGCGGCCATCACGCCGACAAGGCTGACGAGATATACAAAGGGCTTCAGATATCAGCGAACCATCTTGGGATGACACTCCGCCTGCCTGAATATTGCTGGCGGCCAGGTACAATACTGAAGCATTGCAGAGTGAGGTCCCATCAAGTTACGGGCGGTTTCAATAGATTGGAGCTTCTTGGAGAAACGACAATAACCAAAAAATTTGAAGCTGATCAGCAGATACAGGTTGGTAATCGATGTTCAGTTTGCTTAATCAAGCAGTGCAAGGGATACTCCTGCGTTATGAAACCCGAAGCCCGAACATCGAGACCGGATGCGGCCGCTTGTGCTCAAGGATTCTTCTCCTTTAATTGAAGACTGGATTTGCAGGGAAGACAAGATATCAACCGACGGCATACATGATCACTTATTCGTGAGCATGGAGGATCCACAATTGCCATTCCTTCCGTCCTACAACCCTGTCATCATATCCGGGACCCCAGAACTGGGCTGGCCTGTTCAGGTTTTCTCGATATACAACCGAACCAATCTCGGTCATACGGAGATATGATTTTTTTTAATTCCCAGCCACTCCCCGTTCCAGGCAATCCACGCGAAATCTTGACAGCCAAACATAAATGGGACCAAAGAGCTCACGAAGACCATGCTGACTCAGAAGCTTGTCACTACGCAGGGCCCTTTTCGTTCGTCGACCGCTCTCGAAAAGGATCTTGCTCGCCTAATCATCACACAGCGAACCCAGGTTTTGTTGTCTCGGAAAGGAGCTATCGAAAGGGGACGGTCGTCTGTGGACCCTTCCTTCGGTTGGGAAGTGGCTATCGGGGGAATCTTAGTCTGAGGTGGCATGAAGTCGGGAGCAGGGACATCTGAAAGAGTAAAATGGTTAGAAAAGGGAGTTCGGGAGAGAATGGCAACATAATTCCAGGTTTTGATCCTTCCGAGGAGTGTTGGTGCATGGGATACCTGGGTAATACGTGAGATATATCACGCACCTATGGCATCGCTAGTGAGGGATGGTCGTCATTTTCTCGGCTGTGCTTATTCAGTTTTGGATTTTTGAATTTTTCATTCGTGTTTTTGGATGTCACACTGGTGCATCAGGATCATGGGCTCTCGAGATGTAACTTAACCTGCAGAAAGGGGAAGTCGCAAGATCGGGCTGGCGGAACAGGGAATGATTGAAATGACACCATGCACACCGGATGCAATATTGGCTTGAACAAGCTATTATTCTTCGTAGCATTAGCTCGTTTCAATATGTCTATTTTATGTGCATCATCAGAATCGTCCGGTACCGAGACAATTACTGGGCTTTGCCGTAAGGTAATGGCAGTAGAAATAAAACCAAAGAGAACTCAAGAGAGCGGCATCGTGCCCTCCGTGTTCTGGAGCGCGCGGTCCATAATCTCCAACCCCTGATCAAGCTGCTCCTTGGTGACAACGATGGGGGGGGCAATCCTGAAAACCCCGCCGAAGCTAGAGTGACTGCTAAGATTCGCCCACAGACCTAACTCGTACATTTTCGTCGCGATGTTGCGAGCTAGTTCGAGAGCTGGCGCTTTGGTGTTGCGATCACTCACGATTTCAACGCCAGCCATCAATCCTCGACCGCGCACGTCGCCAATGCAGCCATACCGGTTCTTGAGTTTCTGCAGGCCGGCGTGAAGATGCAGACCCATGACGCGGGAATGCCCGACCAGGTTGTCGCGCTGGACGATTTCGAGAACTTTGTCGCCCACCGCGGCGGGCAAAGGGTCGTTGACGTGCGTGGTGTAGAAGCAATAGTCGCGCTCTGCGCAGACTCGCTCGATTTCGTTGCTCATGACCACGGCGCTGAGCGGGAGACCGTTGCCGAGCGTCTTGCTCAGGGTCAGGATATCCGGGACAACGTCCTCGTGGTTGATGGCGAAGAGATCCCCACAACGTCCCACACCGGTCTGGGCCTCGTCGACAATGAGGAGCATGCCGCGCTTTTCGCAGTGTTTCTTCAGGGCCTTTAGGTAGCCTGGTGGAAGGACGTGCATGCCCGCCGAGGACTGGACGCACTCCACAATACAGGCGGCCAGAGATCCACAGGAAGCTCGGTCGATCAGGTCCCACCCGTAGTTGAGTTCCGTCTCCCAGTCATATGAGCCGTCAGGTTTGCGGAATATGGAGCGATACGCGTTTGGCGGTGGTAGCATGTGCATGCCGGGCATCAAGGGTCCTTGGCCTTTGCGACCATAGTGGTACTGCGTCCCCAATGCTTGAGCCGTAACACCATGCCAGCTTGCACCCAGTCCGACGATTTCGAATTTGCCGGTGTAAACCTTGGCCATCTTGATGGCGGCCTCATTCGACTCTCCCCCCGTGGAGAGGAAGAATGCTTTGTCAAGACCCTGGGGAAGGGCAGACGTCAAGCGTTGGGCGAGGCTGATGACGGGGGGTGATAGCATGCCTGAAAACAGATGGTCCAGGTTGGCAGCATGGTCTTGGATTGCCTTCACGATCTCGGGGTGGCCGTGACCGATGAGACAGGACATTTGGCCCGAGGTCCAGTCAAGAACCTTGTGGCCATGGGCAGTGTAGACATACAGTCCCTTGCTACCAGTCATAATATCAGGCTCAAATTTGGTGCCATAGTTAGCCAGACAGGCAGTCGCCGCCGCCTGTAGTTCTTCTTGCTTCACGTTGTTGTAGAGATTAGGGGGGTTATCATTGGATTTGGCCGCGATAGAAGTGTGGGAGGTGATACCATCTTCCATCATTGGCGCCATGGTCGTCCTCTCTGTGTGAGCCCTCCGCCAGCTGAGCGTGACTTTGTCAGCACGAGGGTAATCGTTGTCTGCGATGAAGTGAAATGACACCCTCGTTCCTCGTATTTGGAAGTCTCAGAGATATACAACGAGGAGACGCGACCCACCGACGGGAAAGTTGACTTGTTTTTGGCTCTAGGAGAAGTCCCTTCTACGTCTTAATGGGGACACGGCGTCGGAAAGGCTGAGCCGTGATTGGACTCGACTCCCTTCTCTATCGCGAAACTCCACTTTTGATTTGGGTCCTCGTGCAGGCGGGAGAAGCCCTTAGCGAGTTGACTGGAGCATTTCGATCAAATCTCAGGTCGCTTAAACAGTGGACAAAATGCATTGGGCTCTATGACAGAGTTGCATCGGCCACGAGAAACACCAACGGGGCGGGGGCAAATTTGCGTTCGGAACATACGAGATATTGCATGACTTGATACCAGGAAGCCGGGAAGCCTCACATGAGAGGTTATATGAGGGAGGCCAAAGCTCCTCTGTCGAAGGGCGAGTACACTTTGTAACGCTAGCATGAAACACGATATTGCGTTGGGAAAGAAAAAAGCCCCGCGATCAATGCCAAGCCGCCATGACCCTAATCAAGCCTAGCGTCAGCCGCTTGTCACGTGGACTACGGAGTACACCTGAACATGCACGTGAGTCAGCACGTGAGCGACCTCGTGCTGCTACGGCCCGTGCGTCTGCCTCCGACCTGACCTCAATTCTTCGCTCTCCTTCGCCCGAATTGGCAACCTTGCCCCCTGAGGGGATCAAGAAGGAAGAGCAGCCTGAAAACATGAAGACCGCACGTCCCTACCGATCACACAAGTACCCAGCTTGTGCCCGCTGCCACAAACGGCGTTCCCGATGCACCATTGAGGTTCCCGGACAGGCCTGCTTACTCTGTCGCATGCATGGCGTCCCATGCTCTTCTGCGACCGCCAAAAAGGACGACCGTGTTACTCCCAGAGTTGGCTTCGTCCACCGATCTCTCATCGCCGATGAAAAGTCTCTTGAGGGCTTTTCGCATATTGTCGGCCCGGTCATTGCCCGCGACACTCAGATCCTCGATCAGTACCTGCCTCAAACCAATGGCTCTTCTGGTCATGTTCCCATTCAGCCGAGCACCGGACGACGAGAGTCGCAAAAACCCATCTATCATGTGGCGATTCCACCCCGGAGGCCCAGTCCCACCGAATGCAATTGTTCTCGAAATCAACCGGCCGAATTGCTCGACCAGGTCGAGCCATTTATCGATAAACTGATAGCCCATTATTACGAACATTTCGCGCCGTGCTATCCTGTCACCGAGGAAAATGGTGTCCTATCCCGGCTCAAGGAAAGAGGCACATTGCCTCAAACATTTCTGGTCAATTTAGTGGCGTATTCGCTCTTCTACTGGGATCCCTCGCCGGCCTTGGCGGCTCATGCCAGGCCGGATCAAGATTTTGCCTGGCAAACCGCCGTAGCAGCAAACATGGCCGATATGCAGAAAGGAGATTTGGCCACTATCGTGTCCATATGCATCGATGTCGCTGGACGACCATCACGATGTCTCATCAGTAATGTCGCCAACGTCGCGCGCACAGTGGCCTTGTCTCACGCCATTGGCTTAAACCATGATTGCAGTGAATGGAAGATAGGGGACCAGGAGAAAAGATCGCGCTGGAAGGCCTGGTGGGGGGTCGTAATACAGGATCGGTGGTTCAATTTTGCCCAAGGCACTCCTCCATACATCTCCAAAGGCCATTATGACGTTCCACTTCCTACCGTGGATCTCTTGACCAGAGGCAGAGCGGGCTCGGCCAAACATACTCGTGCAGCCGAAGTCTACATCCACTTATGTCGTCTCACAGAGATCGTCGGGGATGTCCTGCCTCTCATCTACCACATCCGCTCAGGGAATGACAGCATTGCTGCCGAGCAGACTTCGAGATCCGAGATTGAGCTCAACCGGTGGATGGAAAGTCGTCCTACGTGGCTGAATCTGAACGATTTCCTCAACCGACCGCCCGTCCCCGGTTTGGTCAACCTGCAGCTATCCTATCTTTCTGTCCGAATGTTGCTTCGCCGAATCGCGTGGCACGAAATCAGTCAACGAGAAAGCGATCCTGCATCCTCGTGGTTGTTAGGTTGCCAAGCGGCTGCGGAAGATATTGTTCGTTTCGTCGCCTCGTTACACAAGTCGGACCTGACGGGATTCTGGTTGCCTTACAATGCGCATCATTTCACATCGGCGGTCACGCTCCTCCTCCGCTGTGCTTTGCAAACCAGCTACTCAAACGTCCGAACACAGTGCATGGCAAGCGCCCGGACACTGGTTGACTGCTTAAGGAAATTTCATGAGGAGCATCAATGGGATCTTGCAGAGACGGCCTTGACGCAAAGCGAGACAGTGTTGAAACGTATCGAAGATTCGATACCTAGAACGCCAATGGCCCGGACCCCAAATGAATTGACTGACACAATGCGACACGACCAAATGGATTATGTAGACGAAAATACGCTTGGAGAAACGCTGCCCGAAGAAGCATTTATCATACAGCAAGGGCATGGATCGATTGAGGAGTTGTTCCCAGAGGTCTTTTCGGATTTTACAGACACTGCCTTGTTTACGACTCAATCTTACGATCACGACTGAAACCGTTCCGACGTTGGTCAGCAATGGAAAACGCTCGCCTTCTCAAAGCTTCATCGATGTTTGAGGCTTACAGATCAGGAGCTCCTCACCTATGGAGTCCCATTCCTCACATCTAGTCGGCCATGAATATACAGAGGTAGAGTGCAACCGCCTAGCTTCATTAACGTCGAGCACAAGTTAGCGGTGCAAATAAGATGGGCCCTTCGCCCTTTTTGTCGTCAGATTTCATGCCTTGGAAGAAGAATCTCGTATCCAGATATCAGAAAGGGGATTCACCATTTTTGGGGGCGAGCCTATTAAATGGATCTATTGGAGTGACGGTAAAGGGCCGGAGCTCTCCAGCCCAGCTGGTTCATCTCGAACCCAATTTCATCTCGGTGGATCGATCAAAGTCGAACACTTCTACTTCTGTCGATTATCCATTTGTCTTCATTTCCATCGTTTTGCTTTCATTCCCGGCTTCCCCTCAATGCACATCTACAGCCTTTAGGGACCTATATCAAGAAATAACGTGAAGAACTCCTCAACTAAAATGAGCCTCGCAATCTCTTCCTCGTAAACACCATTGCACACGTCATCTCCATCCGTATATTCATCCGCATAACAATCGCCTATGAAAGTGTAATACCTGGAGGGGAAATGGATACAAGTATGGAATGGGCTGTCGTACAGAGCGAGTCGATGTACGTGAACGATGTTACTAATAACCACTAACCTCAGGTATTAGTTGAGCCAATCGCAATATGCCATCTCCAGACCAATCTTGACGCTCCGAGGAAGTTGGATAGGGCTTTGAGGGGTGGGTGGTTCGGAACCCATTGGAGACCGCAAAGTTCCAATTGGTTCCATCTCATCGTATACTCCCGTTGGTAGCAGAGAGCGCATCGTATTGGAGGCGGCGCAGATTCCAGGCCTCTCGTAACGCTATCATGAGGTTCTGTGCTGGTCAGGCGTGCTTCTGCTCCAGAATAGTGAGAAAGTCTAGGATGGCGGTTTGCTCACCAGGCCCGTAAAAGTATTCGCCACACAATGAAACCCCTATCGCAGCTGTGACCATGCCCGCTTGAGACTTTTGATCCGTAAGGGCCAGCCCACAGATTCTGATTGCTGACCAGCGTAATTGTGACTCGAGCGCATGGATGGATGAGCCAGCGCCGAGGCCTATGCGTTGCAAATGAGGGTCATATGCTGCCAGCAACATCCGAGACAGCTCAAAATGCTGCAGTCCCAGCACCTGGCAGCCATTCATGTGCCACTCTTCGGGAAGAGCCTCCCCCTGGAGGGATCGGCCTCCTGATAGTACAGCGGCTTGAAGCACGCTGGTGGGATTAAATCCCACCGATCTTAAACGACCTTGAGCTTCTTCCAGCGTGTAGAACGGTCGTCCCGGCTCCCGTCCCTCACCGCGCCGCCACCAGCATCCTCCCCACTAAAGCAAAACTTGCAGATATCCGGACAGAAAGGAAAGCGGAACGGCCGTCGATATAGCATGACTGACCAGATTTCCTGACGAAGTGCTATTAAGAGTGCTGAATGTCCGAGCGACTTGTTGTTTACTGCGTATATGTTGGCGTCCCGAGGAGGCCCACAAATTGTCTTCAAAGAAAAGAGTGATTCGTCCTTGTGCTGGGATTCCATCACGCCTCGAAGCACGCTAAGATAAGTTTCGGGGTCCCGGCCGGTCAACTGTGCTATTGACTCTATTAGATTTCCCATATCTATGTGGACATGCATATAGAATGAAAGTCCTTTTGATGCTCGATCATGACGTGGAGATATGTGTGGGAGAAGGGGTCGAGAGAAACTTACTGTCAACCTGTTCATGATATCGAAGTATGGTCGCGGCAATAGGAGCATCTTGATTGATAGTCTGGTTAGGATCATTTAAGACATCCATCAAATATTGAATGCAAATATTGTGGTAGCGGATGGCTGGGTTTTCGTCGAGTTCCGGCAGCGGAATTCCTTCAAACTCCACAGGTTTATGTGAATTTTTATGCTGTCAGCAACGGGTCAAGTGTCGTGCGGAGGCTGTCAATAGCGCGTACAGAAAGACTGGACAGAACATGGCGCGATGTGGTACCACAAGGGTAAAATGGTGGTCTCGGTCAGTAGTTTCGAACTGTGCTAAGATTAGCAAACTAACCATTGGCTAAGTAGACAGGGAGCCCCCCAAACGGAGTAGAAGGTGAGGTGGTGGGAAGAAAAGGGACAATGTAGGAAGGCAGAAAATCGTTGAAGGATTGTCTTCCCGCGTGTGCCAGATTGGTAATGAAATGCCTAATCAGACATCCTTCTTGAAGATTCGTGTATGATTGAAGAGTTTCTTTCTCCGGGAGACCATGCAAGGCATCAGGCGAGGTGTAATATGGAGAGGGAAGTGTACAAGATGGGTAATGTGCGTCTTGGAGTGAGCTTGAAACGGAATTTTGGCAATGGTAGAGGGTTGGGCTCCTGTTCTCGGTTTGAGGGCCCGTCTGAGAGATCTGCTCGGAATATCATGATGATAAAGCCACGCAAGTGGTTTTTTTGGGGGGGGGCCAATGAAAGACATCCATATATCTACTGTTCAGATAAGAGTTAGAATATGTTTGATTTCTGAATGCTCTCTCATCGAGTGTATACTATTGTGGTGGCTGTTTCCATCACCGTCATACTGTGATCGTGCTCAGATGAGTTTCGTTAACAGACGTCTGAAATGTGGGAAGCAGGTGAGGAAAAGGAAGTCATATGGATAGTCTTCATTTTCCACAATGTCACCAAAGACACATCTCAGGGGACCTAGCACTAGCGTCGTGCCTCCCACTGGACATTTACCTCAACAAAGAGCTTTTGGAGAGGAGTAGTGTGATTTTGGAGTTACTAATGTTTACGGGAGAAAACAAATGTCATTGGTCATATTTTGGGGAAAAACGGAAAGAAAGTGCTAAACTTACTCAGAAGAGGATGATTTTCTCCTCCAAATCTTCATGGGCATTTCTCCAACCAAGATGTTGAACGCCTCGTGGCGTTCTAACCTCCACGCGGAATCGGGTAACGCAAACTCGTCCCGATGGACCAGTGACGCCAACATGACCTTTTGCTCGAGGTGGGATAGGTTACGGCCGATATAGCCTCGAGCACCCGTGGAGAACGGGATAAAATACGGCTCCATCTTCCGCTGTTCCTCGGGGTCCAACCACCGCGTGGGCTAGAATTGCTCGGGGGTCGAGAAGTAATCGAGGATACGATGGGCTCCATATATGGTCATACAGACGGTCGTGTTGCCTAGAATCCATTGGCCGAGGATCTCTACGCCATCGGGGGGAGTGCATCGAGGCAGCGCGGCGGAGGTTGGAGGGATCAACCTTAGTGCTTCGTCGATACAGGCTTGAAGGAAAGGCAGGTCTTTAATTTTGTCGTACGGGGCGACAATCTCATCTTCGTCTAAGACGCCGTCAACTTCAAACCGTAGCGTGTGAAGGTGATGGGGGGTGTCGGATCAGCAACTCCATCATGTTGGTGATTGCAATTGCGGTCGTCTCGGCGCTTGCAGTGATGATTGCACCCGCCTCGGTGACAATCTCGCTCTTGTCGTGCATCAGAGACGAGAAGAAGTCGTCCAGCTTTTCACCAGCCTGATATCGCCGAAGCCGGGCTCAACTTGATGATACACGATGTCACCCCATGGCGCTGCCTTTGGAGAGCCGGGCGAGAAATGGATAATGATTATATAACCAAACAAAAGTCGCCTGGGCCCGTGCTGTCTGATTCTGAGTCTGGCGATAGTGAGCTCGATGTGCGTTGCCGTTCCATTTTTCCGCCGTCACTTCATCCGTTCCCTGCTCAATTAACCCCAGATTGGCCGAGAGGGAAATCTTGTTAATGGCTTCAATTGTGATGAGATTGATGTATTTGTTGAAGTCGAGGGTGAGATCAATGGGATTGGGGTCGTCATTAGAGTCCGCAGGAGGCGCTGTACGGTAGCTGTCAAATACCTTCAGCAACCTTGCCGTGAGATCGTCCACTTTATACTCCCAGTCCTCGAGGTTTTTAATAGGGAAAGAGGAAGAGTTCTCGACCTGGATACTTACGCCGCCTCTGTTCTGATCTTTTGAATAAAGTTTGCACTCTTGCATTCTAGGAGCAGAGACGACCCACAAAACGGCAGGAGGAGACGAGATCAGTAGTGATATCGAGTGCTTCAGCGAGCAGTGGCGTGTACCCGTGCTTAATGTTGTCGGGGGACGACTCAGGTATCTTAGGGAGGCCTCTCCGGGAGGCGATAAAGAAGACGCCTCCTGATCTCGTTTACTGCCTGGACTCAGATTGGCTAGAATGCTGCTATTGTCGTCGTCAGATTGGCCTATATAGATCCGGCCAACAAGGGTGCTGAAGTGCAGCATAAACAGCGTCTTTTCGCTCCACAGACAAGCCGTCTTTCGTCGTCTTTCAGTCGCCTTTCTGTTGTGTCAATTGTGCGTCCTACTCTATCATCTGTTAGCCAATCATGTCTCAGAATTCACCCTTCGAAAGCCTCCAATCCTTTTCTTCCGTCATGCCTGTCACGCCTAGTCCGGCCACTCCTCCACTATTCTGTCGCCTACACCTCTTTACCAAGCTTAAGAGCCGAATTAAAGAAGTTCGGCGACAAAGAATGGTTCCTGATTGGTCACGCCGCCAGTCTGAGAGCTCTCGCATCTGGCAGCATGGCTGCGAGGCGGGAGACAAGGAGGCGTCTTCTGACACTTCTGCCCTGTGCTCTGTCTTCAAGTATCGGAATCAGTTTGTCTCGATGGCAAGATAATTTGCCTCTATTTCTGCAAGTCCCTCAACGAGATTTTACTGGAAACAAAAGAGGGCCGAGGCTGCAAAGGGAAGATCAACTTGGCTGCTTCAATTTGGACGGGAATAGGCAGAGTTCATTACCCAGATAACTGCCGAATTTGAATATATCCTCTTCTAGACCAATCAGGGTGATATAACTCGGCATGTCCACAAATATTTGAGTAGCATTCCCATGGATTGAATATTTAGCCATGGGCTCAAACAAAACCGCCGTGAAAGAAACCGTTGAAAACCGAATGCGTGTGGTAACTGATCGTCCAAAGTTGATCTGATCTTTGTTGACAACACCGCATCGCCTCAGCCATGATTGCCGAGAAAGGATAAGACGAAATTTCCGAGTTAATTGCTGTGTTCCAGCATCTGTATCGATCTTTCTTCGCCGAGCTCGCGGTCCATTTGTCTTTATATCTGGACCTGGCTCGACCCAGAAGGTCCGATACGATGATTTCCTTTTCCATCGTCCTCGGGACCACTCACATCATGACCGTATGCCACTCTCTCCACCTGATCAAACAACTTCATGACAGATGGGTTGAAGAATGGCAAAATGGCGCTACAGACCATGCCTGCCATGTTGGATGCAGGATCAATCCAATAGTACAAGTTCCCCAGACCGCACCATGCACCGCTCCCTTTCTTGCGCCCGTAAGGTAAGTCCTCATGATTCAGCAATAAACCACAGGACCAGCCACGAGAACTTATAGGGAGGGAGGGAAAAAAAGAGCCTTCGGAGGACAAGAGAGGAATGCTCGTACCGATTTCTCCAAGAAGGGATTTGTCAATGTTCGAAGGGAGGTGGTCGGTGAAGAGGTATTCTTTGATGGTGGCAGGTTTGAGAATGGAATTGTGAGTCTCAGGACTGGTTCCCTCATTAAGGATGGTGGCGAGCAGTTTCGCATAGTCGTTCATCGTCGAGTAAATGTACGCGCCCCCTCCCCAAATGTCGACGGTTTCCGAGTTCTTCGCATCGGGGTCCGCATTTAATTTGTCGTCGATGTTGAAATGAGTGAGCAACCTCTCTTTCCCCTCGGTCAGGTAGGCGCTAGTCGCATTCATACCCAGAAGTCTAAGAATCATTTGGTCAATGTATTCTGGCAAAAGGATCCCCGAAACGTTTTGTACCACGAAACCGAGCCAGTCAGTGTTTATCCCGTAGATGTACTTCGTCCCTGGGTCGGCAAGCAGAGGAGTTTCAAAATCTTCCCAGACACCAGTGGTGTGATATGATGCTGGAGCCCGACCGGTGGACATGCGAAATTGCAGTGTCGGAACATCAAAGATATCATAGGAGAAGCCGGCCGTATGTGTCAAGAGTTGAAGAATGGTCGGCTTTGACTTTGGCGTGCGGAGAATAGGCTGTGGCTGGTCACCCGTCGTGAAAGACTCGAGGACTTGGACTCGGGATATTCGAGGTACGAATTTTTCGACGGGGTCCGCAAGAGAGAGTTTGCCTTGCTCCATCAACTGAAGGGCCGCAATACTGGTCAAGAGTTTCGTGCATGAGTGCATCTGCATAGTAGTGTCGGCGTCGAAAGAAGCAGCGTTGGTGTCAGCAAGATTGTTGGTCCCAAATGTTTCTTTGAGCAAAAAGTTGCCCTTGGAATCAACGACCATGGCCCCAATACCGGGCACCCTTTTCTCTTTCACGGCGGCCTCGAACAGAGGATTGAGTTTGGCCTCCATGGTTTGGTTTCGATCCTTATTGTCGGTGTGAGCTAGTATGAGGATGAATGCGGTGGGAAAAAAAAAAAAAAGAAAACCTTTCCGCAAAAGGACTGGTATACCTTGAGGGGAATCTAGCTTGTGAGAGAAATGAGGAGAACCGAGGAGCAAAGAAAGCCGGGGCAAAAATAAGGCGTGACACAGCAGATTGTGAGAGTGGTCGTTATGATTCTTTATGTGAACTCAGAGCTGAATAGTAATGTAGAAGAGGTCTCGGGATAAAGACTTTAGTAGCCTGGGGATCGAGGGAGCCGAGGGAGATCAAGGCACCCGGATATTCAAGCTGATGTTGGTATGAATCGTTTCAAAAGAGATCCAGCTTCGCAATCAGCCTCACGGATAAGGTCAATCATGTAGCAGTTTCGTCTTAGCGTCTGTTTTTGGGTGCAATGAATGTTTGGGGCATTGTAAGCGCTGAATATGCGGGATGTTGATCTTGGTGAAGCTTTCCGACGCATATAGCAAGCCATGATATGCCCCTAACAACCGAAGGGAACGCCTAATTGGTAAGTGCTTATTTGCTCATGGGTCAGGCATCTCCCATTAGAGAGAAACAACTCTCATCGTACGCTCTAATCCAATCGGATGTAAGAACGAGGTTCCGACCCAAATGTAAGGCTTCACAAGCTGAGAAAGCGACATCGATCCTGAGTCAGCTTCTCGGTCCGAACGTTCTCGCTGTCAGCATGGGAAGACAAGTCAACTTGCATCGATGACCAATCCTAGTTGTCCAAATCGGTGCTATCGCTTTCTTTCCCGAATACTTTCTGAACCTCGCCCGCTTCCCGTACTCCTGGTGCTACCAGCCAAGAAGCCAGCGAGATCAAAGCTCTCAGCCGGGTTACCGCCACCGCCTCCTCCTTGCACTGCACGGGTGAGTCCACCCATGGGACTCTTCTTTTGCATCTCTTCATACTCCGCTCGCATCTCGGGGTCCATGTTCTCCATCAACTTGGGCATTCCAAAAGTAAAAGCGAGAGCAAATAACCCCATCAGGATCATCGGATTCTTGAGCAAACTCAGAGGATTGAAACCCTGGCGTTGCTCATAGAAGTTCTTCTTTGACAAGATTTTGGCAGACATGTCTAGGTGCTCGGTGGGGGCTGCAATCAGAGCAACTCCTCGATCCGCCCATTGTGTTCCGCGATATGTTTCCCAAGCTCCTGTGATGACGGCGCCCTTGGGGTCGGAAGATGGGGCAATGTCGATGCGGTAGGGAGCGAATACGTAGTCGCGGCTGTAGATATCGAGGAGATGTGATCCGGTGGTCGGGATGTCAGGGAATTCAAAGTAATTGCCCTTGCGTAGAATGGCTCGGATGGGTTCCCTAGAACCGGACGTCAGGGTGGCATGAGTGGAAGCTGGGAGAATATTCGGGTTGGGAAGTAAATTGGAGGCCGGGATCTGAATTCGGAGGGAGGCAGCCAGAATTGGAACCAAGAGTTGAAAAAGAGCCATGATTCTCAGCATCGTGATAGCCATCTTTCCACAAAATTGATATCAAGAGATGTGGGCAAGATGATTTTCCGGTTGCTTTGTTCAGAAAAACGTTGGAACGCGGAACGCAGCCAAGGGCTGACCATCACCGTCGCTGCTTTAAAAATTGTCCAGCACTCGTTAAAGCAGCCAGTTATACACGAGCCAAAGAGCGAGAATAAGGGTGAATTTCCTCCATCCTATTAAGGTGGTTCTTCAGATAAGCTCTACATGCTGCAAAATCACCTTGGGATCTCCCTCTCCATAGCTCTCTGAGTATCTTACCCGATAACTCCGTGTCCAGTCCTCTATTTCATCATTCGAACCTGATCGAGCAGTCTCATACTGATCCCGATCTTTCAAGGCGGCCATGCAATCAACAAGAAGCCTTGAAACATCCACTTGACGGAAAATTCGGCCGCTGAAGCTTGTCCAGGTATAAAGAACCATTCCGCCAGTAATAATTGCTGCCACCAACAAAGACGCTAACCCAATCCACAAGATCAGTGGCACATAGGTCATCCGATAATGCAAGACATCTTCCACCGTGGTTACATTGTAGAAAAAGTCAGGTTGACTGCGTGAGGAATTCGTGGCAGCAACTTCGTAGGCTATTCTTTCCGCTTCACCACTGGCATAGAGAAAATTGAGGGCCAGCGTTTTGTAATCAGGCGAGTCAGTCCCGGTCGAGTCGGTGGCGGCTTCCGTCGCGGATCCGGCCAGTGCTGGTCCCAGTCCAGGAATGGTCACATCGGGAGCATTGTAGTTGAGACTGAGTTGCAATTGCTGGAGTCGCAAAGACTGGACCTGAGACTTCTTGTCTATCCACTGGGATGAGTTTACCGACCACGAACCGTCTGGAGCTCTAGACAAATGTAGCGAGCCGTTCTGTTGATGGATCCAGCAATAGATACCCCAGACAGACATGATTTGTTTGGTCCCGTTGAAGCCGAAGGCCGTCATGTTCACAGCGAGCGGGGTAATCGTCCCGTACGGAGAGTCATAGCGGTCATCACTGAGATTGAAGCTTGTCAGATATCCCAGATATGCGGCCGATCCAGTAAAGTTGAACGCCATAAATGGATATACATTATTGTAGGCATCTTGAAGTGTCCCAATATCTCCGGGATACATGCCTGTCATAAGATCGTTCTGGCCCCGTGTCATGCTCATCGTGACCGTCCTCACGCCCGTTTGGGACACACTGAATATATCAGGACGCCAGTTGGAGCATTCGACCGACCATCGCCGGCCAGGAACATCTTGAAGCTCGAGGACAGACTGAGGGAGAGAGTTCAATGAGGCGGCGGTGGCATTCACCATAACATAAGTTTGGTTGTCCAGTTTGGATCTAGCATTTTGCAGACTGACCCCGGTCATCATTCCAGTAAACTCGTTCGCAAAGGTTGCTTGTTGTTGTACGCTGTAGTCGTACGTGCCCGAGAAAGTGGATGAAGCAAAGGGAGTGGACGCCGCGATCACGCTGTCGCTCAACAATCTGAGAGGTGGACTTTGACCTGCCGCCGTCTCGGTGAAAGCCTCGTATGCAATGACATTTCCCAGGGCCGACTTCGCAAGGCCTGAGAAAAATACCAGGAATCCAAGACACATCAGTCTTCTCGTTCTCGCAGATAAGAAAACCCTCAGTTTGAGGATGTCATAGGATCCACCGGTGGTGCTGCTCGCTTCCACCAGCGACGCCAGCGGCACACCATCTTTTCGGGCCCGAAATTCGTTCACCGCCGCAACACGTGCACAAGAGAACCAGATATAGTTGAAAGCCGCCAGGATTAGCGGTGCAATAAAGGCACTGCTGAAGAAGTCAATGGCTTTGGCCTCCGCTTGAGTCAAACGGCCACCGATCGCGGCGCCGTGAATCGATGACCATCCGCGAGCGGTGTATTTATCCGCATTTAATCCAAGCCAGATCACAAGGGCGATTATGGGTATGGCGACGGTGAGTGCTGCTGCTAAATAGTAGAGCAGGGCCTCTTTTGAAAGCCGTGCTTGTCTCTCCCCTTGTTGGTTGTACGTGTTCTCCGTGGCAGTTCCAATCAACGGCTGAAATTTTCCATCTGCGGCTCTCTGAGATAAAGGCACTGAAGAATCATCGTCAGGATGAAATCCAAATCCCGGGCTCGACATCTGATATGCAATTCAAACAGTCAGAATGTCGATGTACTTCTGTCACGCTGTCAGTTGCCGTTGAGTGGTAACCAGATGGACCGAATCTTGCTCCCCCCCAGTTGTTGGCATTTAGACGTATTTAAAATGAGGCGCGTCACCAGAATAACTATGTTTCACATCAGCTTTAGCCTGAAGGGGCCAAAACATTCAAGTTCTTGATCCACGATAGCTCTTCATCAACACCGTATATCTTACTCTTCTTCATTTGTTTGAGCCTGTCTGGAGGATGCCTTGAGCGACAATGCCGTTCCGATGCAGAGGATTTTGTCTGCATTCATTGCAACCAAGAGGAGAGGCAATGATCTTTTTTTTAGTGTGCAGGACTGAGGCCAGTGTTATGTTTTCGACCCATAGAAATTGAGTTTCAGGCCTGAAATGGCTGATTGGCGGGCCCTATATCCTTGTTTCTTTGGGTAGGATCATAACCAAGTTTTTTTGAACCATCACAGGCGCAGGCCCGGTGCTAGTGGAGGCGTATGAATTGCACCTCAAGAAGCTGGCCGTATGCATCTTATGATATAATATTCAACTCGGTGAAAGAGTGATATGCATCCTGACGCGTGATGTATATACCAGGCCTCGGGAGACTTTTCGTGTCCCCACTCAGCATATCTTTCTCATATTTATGAACACTGAGATGTATTATTTCTTTTTTCCCCGTTCATCATTTTTCAACATGATCAGTGAGACAATCAAAATGAGCCTCTGAACGGATGAATTACTTACCTTCTCGTCGCTTGAGCCGACTTCGTCATGTCAGGACCGAGTTTGGCTGTGCAATGTCCCGATGTTGGCCGTTCCCGTGACCTTACCCATGATCGACTCTCATGGTAACGGTACACATTGCTCCCAAAGCTTGGATCTTTGACACGTGGGGTATGCTGTACTCTACAGCACCAACGGGTTTGACTAGACATGCGGTGTCAACTGCTCGTGGCCAACCCACTTTGGAGAAGGGGTCCGGTAAGATTGGAAACCCTGATTTCGGTTTCTGCTCAAATGCACTCCATACCCACCCCCGCGAGCGTAATGGCTGACTATGTCCTTGAGAAAACTCAAAATTCCACGGGACGTATGTTGCACAAAAACGGTCAAAGGATTATTCTCTGTGGCTCTTTCTCTCGGGGTTCTAAACGATTGGACCAATTCGAGATGATCTGGCCAGCGGACTTCCTGACAACGAACAGTTTTGACCGCCCCTGTGTTGAAATTCGGACTTGCAATCCTGTGCATATCCTTCACGAATCTGGCATGTCCTTTGTCAGTACCCCTCCCAATTCAGGAATTGAAAATCGATAGGGGGACGGCTTAGCGTTCGGAGTTGACATGGTTGCAGAAGTTTCCTCGCTCCCGATAGGCGATATTCGAAGCGAGGTCGAGACTAGCTTTAAGGGATCGGCGATAGAAGACAAGCCATTGAATGGATGCCGCTGTCCAGGACACTGAAATTATCAGCCACGGCATGTCAACATCAGGTCCGTGCTATCCTCAACTTTCGTATTTGACGGTTATTCTTGTCGCCGGATAATTTTTGCTGATTCCAACCCGGGCAAGTGAGAGGATGATCCCCCAGACATGTTGGCACCTCCGGATCCTTCTCTCATTATCATGGTGGCTGCTGTCCATTTAGGTCAGAGTTGAGCAGGTGTGGGTGATGCTCGCAACGCCCAATTCTTCCGAAGACCTAAAGGCCTTTGACGGATGTCTACGACGTTGGCACAAGTCAAGCCAATGGGTCTTTTCGGATGTACGTAAAGGATGTTGGCAAGCGCATCTCTCACCGACTCAGCCCGGCGGGAGGGGACAACCTTATCCTTGAGAGATATTTGCACGTGGGAAACGGGCCACACCCCTTACAAAGCAGAGTTGCAAATATTGATCAGAAACCGGAACAACGAAGCTTTGGGCTCTGACGGAGAGTTCAGGTACAAGCGCGTTTTCCCGGTGCCAGAACCCGTCTAGCAAAGGGCCCGCATCCACACAAATCCCTAGTCACTCGCTTAGATTGAGCGGAACCCAGCACCACCATTGGGTCCCCATGCGTGGCGATGATCGAATGTACGTACTTGTTCATTCTAAAGGTTTCCCCATGACTGACCAGTAGAAAGTAACTTCTCGAACAAGGGTTTCCCAGATGTCAGAGCGGACTGTCCGAGAAGAAACATTGAACCTGAGTTCGACTCCGGCCTCTGCAGAAAAGCCCCATATATATTGTGGCCAGCCTTTCCCTCTCTTTCTGCAACGTCTCTGGATGAAATGCTCAGTGCGTAACTTGTCATGCTGATCATATAGAAAGTTTCAACATGAAGACGTTTCACAAAGCAACCTCGTGGTTGAACTGGTACAAAAAGCCTTCTTATCGTGATGTCAAGATATTCACCCAATCTACCAACGACATCGTCGACAAAGGCCAGAGACCGCCCTCCATCAGCTCACAATCCGACTCGACTATTCCATCATCCTTGACGCTGGATCGTGTCCTTGCCAATAAAACATGTAAGGACCTGTACCTTAAACTGAGCGGAATGTTGGGGTTTCATTTCTAACCCAAACTTTCCGCGTTCAGGCAGCCCCTTGTCCCTATACGACTTCTACATGTATCTCAAACACATCGAGATGTCGCAAGAGAATCTCGAGTTCTACATGTGGTGAGCAAACCCATCTTGAATCGCTCCATTAGCGCTTTCATAACCATGAACAGGTATCAAGATTATGAGTCTCGCGTTCGAGCGACACCAAAATCCGTTACCCCCAGTCAATCAACAACACCACTGCTGCCTCAGGATGAAAAGTCCTGTGCTATTCCCAACTACACAAAAATCTTGTCTGGTGATGTACCGGACCTGGAGCAAGGAAGTCAGGAAACCGGTATGACGATTCTCACCTAAATTCCTTCTTCTTCTTGGTGCTTGTCCTGACGACGCCTTTTTATTTTTGGATTGATTTTAGAATTCGTCCAATACATCGAAACCCTCCTACCCGGACAAGACATCAAATCCTGCCGACGTTGCTGGTCCGTCTGGCCCATGTCTTCCCAGACGTCTGAAAACGCACCTGCTCGAACGCATACCAACAAAGAAGAACTGCAAATCATCACGAACCTGTTCCTCGCGCCCAACTCAGCCAAAGAACTCAACTTGCCCTCAAGCATGCGCAAAGAAGCACTGGCCGCCATCGCGAAATCGGAATCTCCAGCCTCTTTGGCCCCCGTCGCCGACCACATTTACTATCTGCTCAAGAACTGCTCACACCGCAACTTCATCCGGCTGGGCGTGAAGAACGGCACCTTCGAGACTCTCTGCATGGTCACCATAGTGGGCGTCCTGTTCAATGTACTCGGCTTACTGACCATGCTCTTGATCGCTTTCGCCTCACCATCGATCCACCACTCATCGCGTTGGCGAGGTCTTGCTGCGGCACCCTTCTGGATTATCGGCTTCTCGTTCCTGCTCGCGGGGATTCGTGGGTCTTGTTTCCTGCTACTTCTCTTCTCACGCCGGCAAGAACTTCCCTGGGAACGAGTGGAAGAGAACGAAAAGACGCCTACGCAAAAAGCAGCTCATGCACTGAAAAGGTTCTTGAGCCGCCTGATGATTTTTGAGCACAAGATTCGCGTCAAGGACGAAGGGCTACGGAATCTCCAACACAAAATCGTCATCCAAAGTGTTGTTGGCGCGATTGTGGCGACGGCGATTCTGGAGGTCGTGTTTCTTGTTTTACCCGTCTGGAAATGATGCGATGGATATGATGGACCAGCATGTAATATTTCGGGAGCAGGACAAACTGGGTTCCTGGGTTCATTATCGGGGAGGATGGAATTTTCTTTTCACGCATCGGCATACCATGTAATAATGTCCTGTTCTGCCTTGTCTTTCTCTACCGTGATACCCAGACTGCTTGACTACATAAGTGTTGTAATATCCAACAATCCACAAACAGAGGAAAAGATCCTTCTAACACATACTATCTAGTACAGACTCGACTATTACAAAGACATTTATGAATTATCATTCATTTCTGGTAGCGAAACCTCAATCTTTTAGCCTTCGTTTCGGCATGTCTTTCCCACCCTTGTACCTCCATGGAACGAGAATCATAGAGCTGAGCCATGCCAAATCTCCCTCGGTGTCTCCATTCTCCCGCATTTCGTAAAGTTCGAACCTCTAATCTCCACTTACCTCATGAACCGGGCCCCCCTTGCCCGAACCCCCTATCCCAGCCCTCGTCAGTCGGGTGGCTGACTATTTGGCTGAACTAGATAGTAATTAGTGAAAATGTTAATCGTTGGCATATCGTTTGATGGCGCGCCGGCAATTTTGGTTATCTTTTCTATCCATCTTCCTATTCATGCAGATCTCGTTCTGGATCTGGGCTGTGTTGCCATCGGCAGGTTTGGGCCGGGGTAATTCTTGCCCTAGTAAAAAATCACAGGCCTCATAGGATCACGACCTTGACTTTTCAAACCTACACCCAGAAATGTCGTCTTTGTGGCAAAGTATTCGTTGGAATCCTTTTTCGAATTTCCTGTTGAGATCGTACGGGATACTAAGTTTGGAATCCAGTGATGGCGAGAAAAGCCACCAAAAGGTATCATGACGAATGACAATGGTGTCCCTACAGACAAAGTGTCGTGTCAAAGCAGGAGGTGATAGATTTGGCAGGGCCATTCTCGTCAGGCTTCAACCCCAGTCTCCTATCAATAATGTTTCCGAACATACGCCGTTCTCATTGATTTCCAGAAGGAGATGCCTTGGAAAGATGTCTTGATTTTCCTTGCCTTCCCCTCCGGTTCTCCATTCCAGACCCATATCATCGATAGTTCAGCCACGTTTTGCAATCATGAATCTAGATCCTGGACTGTTTCAAAAGAAGTATAGGGAGCTAATATTCCACACTTAGCTCGTACTGAGGCGAAACAAGAAACTTTCCGACTTGACTCCGACTTTGGACAAGCGAGCGTCCAAGACTGCATCTATTACCAATGACGCAAAGTCAAACGCAGCCGATAGCCGGGGTTCAGCTGAATAGGCGTTGCTGCGAAACATAGATACCAATAGGTTTAGCTTGATCTCGCTAACTCAATTGATATAAAGTTCGAATTTCGACGACTGTGGAAAGAGGAGTGTGGGAAACGAGAGTTAGAGTTTTGTGCACCTCACTCCACAGCGCGTGTTTGACGCAACAAAATTGAGCACAGCTCACAGACTGACTCGTCATCACTCTCCCCTGAAAAACTGTCATTCGGAATGAGAAGCCGAGGAGAGGCCCTGAACCAGATACTTGGATCGAATGCATCGCGAGCATGAAGTTCGGCCTATCCATCGCCAATCGTTCAATGTTGTTTTGTGGAAGCACTCTTGAATGCCATGCGCCATGCAATGTGTCGTGTGTCGTGTGGCTCTGTCCTGTTCTCGACTTCCCGCTATCCTCTGTTCCGAAGGCTGATAGAGTTGCAAAACCGACTTCCTCCCAAAATATAAGATTCTTTCTCTGGAAGTGGAGCGTGAGAAGGCTCATCATTCGCTATGTCGATTTAAGCTTCGCCATCAAATCGTCAATTATGTTGAAGAACAAAAATGGGCGATCACCTGTCATAACAGACCTCGAAATATTCCTACCGTCTTGACCGACCTGACTCCATATTCGGCCCTCCCATGTGCTGTGACGCTCATATGGTTTACCATACCAATTGTTATCACGTAAATGCCTTTTCAGGCATACCTAAATCTGTACCAAAAGCCGTTCGTCAGACTCCTCATTTTCCAGTCCTGGTAGTGCCCACTGGGTTTGCTATATAAACTGCGCTATACTCACGAGTCGTAGTCTATGTAGTAGATGCCATTCAGTTTTGAATGTGATATTGATATTGTTTAATGTTTCGTGATCTTGGTGGTTCATTCTACATTGGCCGCTGGCGGTCCACTGCCGCTCGGCAGTCATCGGGACGACACTGCCTGCCTCAGACGCACCTGCCAGCCCCAGGAGCCCATCATTTTGATAGTGGAATTGAATATGCTGGATAGCCACGTGGAACGCGGGGTTGTCCAGATGGACGGGGTCCTCGGTTTCGCGAGGCAAGTTTGACGGCGCCAGGCGACTGGACGCTGCGCCGACTCGCAGCACTCCACAGGATTCGGGGCATTGGCAAGGACCGCTTCCGCAAGCACGTGATGTTCTTTGGGCATTCCGCCGCTTAACGGTTCAGCCGCGCCTAGATCATGCCCGCGTGCTGGTCGACTTCACGCCGCATTTCAGCCTGATTCCTTTAACATGCTTCTCTCATATTTGTCTGTACTATTCTGGCATTGGCTGAGATTCCAGCATTCAACAAGGCCCTCTGCAAAACATGACGCATTCATACAGCCTCCCTCACGCAGATCCGCTTGTATACTCAATGATTCCTCGCAAGCTACCAATTATCTCTCTGTGAAGCACAAGATCGTGTTCTTATCTGTCTCCTACGTGTTCGACTAGTCTCATGACCAACCATCGCACGATGCGCCTTCTGGAATTTGGCAGTGATGGTGATCTGCATTTATCCAAGGATTTTACCGACGACATCCCGGCCTACGCGATTCTCTCACATACGTGGGGAGCGGATGAAGATGAGGTTACATTCGACGATATCCAGGATAGATCTGGCAAGAGCAAGGCCGGTTACACTAAAATTCAATTCTGTGGGCAACAGGCCAGGAAGGATGGTCTCCAATATTTCTGGGTGGATACATGTTGCATTGAAAGCAAAGAGTGCTGTGCTCTCCGAAGCGATTGTCTCAATGTTTCGCTGGTACAGTAATGCAGTTAAATGCTACGTGTACCTATCGGATGTGTCGGTTTGCGACCAAGGCCATAACGGCCCGACCGAGCGACCGTGGGAACTAGCCTTTCGCGAGAGCAGATGGTTTAGACGAGGCTGGACGCTGCAAGAACTCCTTGCTCCGAGGCAAGTTGAGTTCTATTCGCGAGAGGAAGAGCGACTGGGTGATAAAAGAACTCTTGAGCAGGAGATTCACGGAATTACAGGAATTCCGATAACGGCTCTTCGGGGGGTTCCTTTGTCTCATTTCAGTGCTGCTGAGCGGATGCAGTGGGCATCAAACCCGCAGCACCAAGAGGCCGGAAGATAGAGCGTATTGTCTATTGGGAATTTTGGGCGTCTTCATGGTTCCCTTATATGGCGAGGGAGACTACGCGTTCACTCGGCTCCAGACGGAGATCAAAACGAGTTTAAAGCGTGAGTGATTTACCCAATCATCTCGTGTTCTGCGTGTTCGGAACTGCCACAATTATGGTGAGTTGAAACACCCGAGCAGCCTATGCTGATTGGCACGCAGCTACGATTTCCGATTCGGATACTGCTGTCCGTGATTTCTATCTTCGCGATGGTTGCCTAGACATACAACGGCTGTCCGGCAGACTGTTGCCAATGCAGCGTTGTTACATTAACCTTGGTATTGTTGATCATCATCGTGACCGCGATGGAAAAGGTGTGGATGTCTCAGAGAGGAGCCCAGCTACAGGTCACTATCTTTCCAGATTCTCACTTCCCGCACGCCTAAGAGTCGAGACCCCCCCACAGGCGAAACAGGTAATTCTTCCGACGCTGTTCAGCCCGCGAAAGCGATCAGATGGCACTACCGCCAAACCTAACCGCGTTCTGATATGGGGAAGAGCAGGTATCGGAAAAACCACCTTGTGTAAAAAAATTGTTTACGACTTCATACATAATCACCTGTGGCATGACTTATACGATCGTGTGTACTGGCTACCTCTACGAAGGCTCAAGCTCATGCGAGCCGAACCAAGAAATCTTGGGGAACCAATCCAAAAAGTTTGTTTTCGTGGGAACGGCCAATTTCCTGTTGATATACTCGAAGACACTCTCGTGAGTCACGGTGATCGAAGCCTTCTCATTCTCGACGGCTTGGATGAAGTATCACACGAATTTGACCATGAGTCTCCTATGGGAGACTATCTCAACCAGCTATTGAAGCAAGACAACGTCATTATCACCTCTCGTCCGCACAGCACGAGTGTCCTCAATAATACGCCGCCAGATCTGGAATTGGAGACGGTTGGATTCTTTCCGGAGCAGGTGGAAGACTTTTTGCAAAGTGAAATAGAGCAGACAGGGATACCAGAGACGACTATATCGGAGATTCGAGCTTTTATTCAGAATCGTCCAATCGTGCAGAGTCTTGTCCGAATCCCCATCCAGCTGGACGCCATTTGTTATGCCTGGAATACCCAACACTTTTCAAGGGATAATGTCTCCATGACAATGCTTTATGGGGCAATCACCCGGCAACTGTGGCAGAAAGATGCGGTACGACTAGGCAAAATGATAGACGGACAGCAGATCACGTCGCAACAAATCCAGGGCTGTGCGAACATTAGGCCTTTTGTCGAACATGAAGTTAAGGCTCTCGAAGAGCTGGCATTTCATGGCCTTCACAATGAGGTCATTGAGTTCGGCTTAGAACACATTGGCAAAGTGAACAGTAGCCAAGCGCCGATGCTCAATGATCGTCTGGTCAATTTGTCTTTCCTGTGTTCTTCCGACAACTCTTTGAACTTGGCGGATCGGACCTATCACTTCATCCACCTCACATTTCAGGAGTTTTTTGCCGCCCAGTATTTTGTGCGTCAGTGGGTATCCGATGCAAAGATCAGCCTTTTGAAGATGGATCCTGCAAGTCTACGTTTGTCCATGCGCACAGAACCGATCAAACCGGAAGATTTTCTTAGGAGGACCAAATATGATGTTCGCTACGATATTTTCTGGCGGTTAGTCACTGGCTTGATTCAAACCGAAGGCATCGATCAGTTGCACCGGTTCTTCGACGTACTCGAGGGGGAGCCGCAGGACCTCTTGGGACCAGCACAGCAGCGACTTATCATTCATTGCCTGAGTGAAATTGATGCGGCAAACAATAGCTTCCAATTGCGAGCCCGAGAGCTGGAAGACAACTACCGGAAATGGATAGTATTTGAGTCAAAGATTGCATCCTCAACAAGCTTAATCAGGGAAGCAGAATGTCCGGACAGGATATTCAAGCCCTTGCTGGAGGGACCCAATGAGGAGAAGATGATAGCTATGTCGACTTTGACGATGCGAACGAGCATATCCTTAGAAATATTGAAGATGATAATGCGCGAAACAAGAAAGACTACTAACGAAGAGGTTTGGAGTGCGGCCTTTAAAGTTCTTGGAAACCACTCCAACCAAGCTCTAGAGGAAGAATTCTTCGGCCTTTTCGCGAATCGGAGCAGGAATCTGCGAATACTCGGCGTCGAAGCTCTTGCCAGTTGTCGAATATTAGGAATGCCAGCCGCTAAGGCCCTAACCCAACTACTTGAGGACGAGGATCTTTCCGTGCGGTCGTACGCTGCCGACGCTCTCGGACTGCAGACCAGTCTACCAGATCCCGCTGTCGAGGCCCTAATCCGACTACTACAGGACGAGAATGATTCTGTGCGGTCTCGCACTGTTGCGGCCCTCGGACGGCAGACTAGCCTACCAGACTCTGTTGTCGAGAAAATGATCCAACTGCTGCAGAACAAAGTGCCTGACGTGCGTTACCGCGCCGCCGAGGCTATTCGCGGACAAACCAGCCTACCGAGTCCCGCTGTTGATGCTCTGATCCAGCTATTACACGACGAAAACTCTCCTGTGCGGAACGGCGCTGCTGAGGCTCTTCGCCAGCAGGCTAGTCTACCAGGCTCCACTATCGAATCCCTGTTGCAACTACTCCAGAGCAAGGATGCTACCTTACGGCAGCGCGCTGCTGTGGCGCTGGGAGCTCATGCAGAATTCTACTCCCTTATCCCGACTCTCGAGTCATTCCGTTTCCAAAATTTGTTGATAGCTTGGCTTCAGCTGAGCTTTAAAAAGTCTGTAACATGCTTCATTTGTGATGGCACGTTCTCCATCGACATCTATGGGAAGACATGGAGAGTAATGCTTCACAAAAAGGAACAGGAGTTTAGACGAAGATGTCTCGAAGCACAGAGCGCAATAGGCGTTCCTCTGCCCGTCAACGATTCGAAGAAATCAGGTTCAGCCGTTGAGGTGAAAGAGCGGCTCTCGATCAACAGGTGGCACGAATCATCAGGGATGTGGGATTTTTGAAAGGTCTGATAAATGAAGCATGACGGGCAATCCCATTCACCTTAATTATCGGCGTCTGGATCTCGACAAACCCGGAGCCCATTGGCGCGGGGAGAAAAGGACACGAACGTCCGTAGTCGTTGGCGCGGACCGGGATATGCTAGCCCTGGTGGTGTTGGGCGAGGGGTTTTAGCTCATCATATCACCTCTCTAGGCGAACAAAGCTTTTTCCCTCCCTAGTCCTATCTTCGAACATTGAAGGTCGTGGCCTATCGGTGTTACTCAGAATAGCGGGCAGCAAGCCGCCCTGACGAAAAGGTTTCACAAACAGTAACCATGGCCTCTCTGGGTGCCTCTCCCACTGGATTGGTATACGTGTTTGGCCCGGTGTTAGCGGTGACCTATCGTCTTGGCCTGGCGATCTGGCGTTTATACCTCTGTCCTCAAGCGGAAATCCCTGGGCCGATGTTGGCAAAGCTCACATATTGGTAAGACAAGGTTCGCACACTCCATTATTGGTCCTCAGATCGACTCACCACCTAGGTACGAATTCTACTACGATGTCGTTCTCGGCGGTCAATATATCTGGAAGATCCGGGCAATGCACGAGCAATATGGGCCGATTGTGCGCATCAACCCGGAGGAAGTCCACATCCATGACGCCGACTATTATGACCAAGTGTATACCGGCCCCACCCACAAACGGAACAAATGGACCTTTTTCACGAACCAAAGTGGGTTACCTCAGTCGGGTTTTGGGACTCCAGACCACAATCTCCACCGCATGCGCCGGGCGGCGTTGAATCCGTACTTCTCCAAGGCCAAAGTGCGGATCTTGCAACCGCGCATCGAGTCTAGTTTGAACAATCTACTAGCTCGCTTTCGCGAATTCCAAGAATCCGGGGAGCCGATGACGGTGTCGTTGGCTTATGCGGCCCTCGCGACTTTGACCCGAGCTTCAAAGAAGCCGGTGAGGCGGGGGCCAAGTTGGGTCATTTTGTCAAGCAAATGCCGTGGGTGTTGACTCTGATGAAATTACTCCCCGACTCGGTGCAGATTGCTTTGAACCCGGTCATGGCGAGTTATATAAAACTCAACAAGGTATACTTTCCTGGATTGACACATTATCCTCTCCGGATCGACTGCAACCGGGTCGTTAATGTAATGAACAGGATATTATTCGGCATGTTTCTGAGATCTACTCGCATCGTGGCGATACCCATAGTAAATATAACTCGCAAACGACCATCTTCCATGCGATTCTGCAAGGTGGTTTGCCCGAGAAAGAAATGTCTCCCGACCGCCTTTGGCAAGACGGGCAGGTGGTCGTCATTGCCGGCACATTGACGACCGCAGCCGCGCTCTCAGAAATCACGTATCATCTGCTGAGACAACCAAACGAACTGAAGACACTCAAAGATGAGCTGGCAAAGGCCATACCCGACCCAACAGCTCTCCCGGAAACCGCCAAGCTGGAGCAACTTCCATACCTCACAGCCATCATTAAAGAAGGTCTCCGTTTGAGTAGTGGCATCAGCACGCGGTTGCAGCGCATTGCCACTGACGAGACGCTCATCTACACGGCCAAGAAAGCCGTCGGTGAGAAGCAATATGTCCTTCGTCCGGGGATTCCTCTCTCCATGACCGGCCTGCTTATCCACCACTCACCGACTTACTTTAGAGATCCCATGGCGTTCCGTCCGCAACGATGGATCGATGACCCGATTCTCGAAGCTTATCTCGTGCCGTTCTCTCGCGGCACCCGAGCCTGCGTGGGCATCAATCTGGCGTACGCGGAGCTTTATCTCACAGTGGCGGCCGTGTTTTGTCAATATGGTAGCCGAGAAGTCCGCTTTCCAAACGACAAGGGGTTTCTGGAGCTATACAATACGAGCCACAAGGACATCGAGATTATTGGTGATGGGGTAACCCCATTGTATCGGTCGGACGGTAATGGAGTTAGGATCGTGGTTCACGCAGTATGACCTTTCTTTCCATCTCTTCCTTGTCCTTCTGACGGTCCCGTGGACCCCTTCGAAATAGGACAAGTCCTCCGTAATGGTCATTCTGTACCCGCCAAAGATGAGCTTTCTGCGGACCTCCAGGTATTAATCTCGAAACGGCACTATTCTGAGGTGTGTCGTACAGAGGCCTGTATATCTGTGAGGTTGTTCAACCGCCCTAGCTTATCGCTTTGTGTCACATACTACACCACGTCCTATCATCTCACATCAAATCTCCGCTCAGCAAAGGGGGTTTGATGGGCTGTGGAGTCTAGAGAAGAGATATGAAGGAATGCATTGTGGTTCTATCTAACAAGTTGCGACATTGCCAAGCAACGTGTCACGTGATTGGGCAACAGGCTTCCCACCCAGGTTCTGTTCGTGGTCCTGCTCCACGGCCACCATTTCTGACTCCGGCTTCCCGTGTAGAGACCCAAAGCCGTTCATCTCTGGCGTACCAGTCCATCCTGGATCGAATTTCCTCTGACGGATCCATTGCCACCCCTCCGCTCGCACCTTGCTCATACCGAGCTCCTTCGTCCGTGCCCATCGTCTGTATGGCATTCGATAGTAGTTCACCACTTCAGAGGCCGAACGTTTGCTCTCATCTGGAGAAATATGAAGCAACAGCCGCCCGGCAGATAACATACTCAGGTACCTTCTCACGTCCTTGATACCGCCCGTAATGGCCGCGAAAAATGTGATCGGCAACAACAGCAGGAGAATGAAGCACATTAGAAATGCAGGAACTCCGTAAGGCCAATGATACAAGATCTTCCTCTCCGCTTGAAACGTCGGCACCTTGGTGGTCACTGGCTCGTCCGCTGGAGTGTCCCTCTTTGATAGTCCAGGCTGAGTGTCATTGTTGTATGGCCTTGGAATAATGTTGTTGCTCAGCCATCCGCGGCTGCCGGTGAAGTAGTTACTCGCAATATCTGTCCACACCAACGCCGGCACCAGACTAGCAGTCTTAGCGTTCTGGCCCAATATCTGCCATCGTCTCAGTAACTTGAGATCGAGATAGCCATTCCAGAAGAAACTTTCGCCAACAGTGCTTAGGGCGGGATTTGTGTCCCATACAGTACTCATAATTGCACCAAGGCCGAGCGCGGCGGGCAAATACGACGAGGCTTTGTAATCGCTCTCAATTGAGCCAAACCCGGGCCAGAAAGTGAGATAGAGGTGCGAAGAGCGGAGGGTTGTGATGTTCGGAGTGTTTACATATTCGGAAGAGACGAGGCCCCACAATTGATTCATATTTCCTGTCAATAACGGCTTCGGTGTCTCAACAGCCCACAGAGGTTCCTTTTCTGGTGAAGAGTACTGCTTATCGACGACAGAGAGGATTCGGATGTTGCTCAGATCATCGGCATTTTGATCCGCGGTGAGATTATACCTGAACTGAACTGTTTTGATGGTTGCTTTGGTGGCAGCAGCGCAGCTGTAGACCTTCCGTTCTACTTGCATGCCTTCGCTGGCCATACTCTGCAGCTGACCATTGGTTTGCACGGCAGCCCCGATGAAATAACCACATGATATAGGGAAATTGTCGATATCGACGGGTAATGTCTTGTTCCAGTGGCCACATTCTTCCCAGCGATCATAGAATGGGGTCCGAGAATCGTATTCTGTACTCGTCGGATTCATATCGTCAATTAGGTCGTACATGACAGTGCCCGTTTGAATGCCGGTTGTAGCGGAGATATCGGAGTAATCGTCAATGGCTTTGATGCGATTGCCGATAAATGACTTCTCGGGGTTGGGTAGGTTGGTGGCGGGGTCAGACAGATTCATAAAGGAGGTATTCAGAATGTTGTAGAGACCCCAGTATGCTTGAATATCCGCACGCTGCTGGACGTCCAGGGTGTCTTGACGGACGGCAGGGAACTTTGGTTTCGCCGAAATGTCAAGGTTAGTCAGTCCGCCGTGGTCAACCAGGTAATAGATATTTCCGACAGTGCTACTAGTGCTGTTCGAACTTAGGTAAGGGACCTCGAATTGGTAAGAAATGTTCATGTCGGTGCAAGCTGCTTCGGGCTCGATGAAGAGGAGATCTTCGACCCATTCGGCGCCTAGTGGGGCATTCATGGGGATTGTGTGATTTCTGAACCCGATGCCTCCTCTTTTTGCATCAACGATGAGACCATCGATCAAGAGATAGTCGTCGTCTACCACCGTGGTGAGAAAATGACGGAAGCCATCCACGGGCAAAACATTCCCAAATTCTCCGTCATAGTCACCGGTCGAGTAGATGACGCGGCGGGCTTGTATGTCGAAGAAGCTGGACACTGTTTTTGAAATGCCAGCGAGACCACTGTGATAGATCTCGACCCTGGAAGGATCCACCGTTACATAGTGGGTAGGTCCGTCCCAATCCTGATAGAGGCCACTCGCATTCTGAATGACAGTATATGTCTGACTATCGCCTGGACATTGCACGTCCATCATTATGCTGTCGTTACCTTGCCAGTAATCGGAGCAGATACGCCAGGGTGCGTCATTGGTCTGTTTGGAGACTTGGCCAAAGACGCTCGAATCGCGAGCTGTTCCAAAATCTGTCATGGTTGATGCTGTGGCATACCGAAATTCGTCGAACAAACCGGCAGGTGTCGTGACCGCAGCGATTGCCAAAAGCACAGTGGTGGCAACGTATAGAAGATTCAGGAGGCGGATTCGCGTATCTGCCGTGCGCTGCCCGGTGGAGTCTGTTTGCAAGATAGCAGGCCAGTCGGTGCCTGCGAGCGATCGTTGTAAAATACCCCATGTCACGGCACTGGTGTCTGGGCGCGTCGAGCGCACCATGAGCAATGGAAAAGCATTGCGCAACAAAATACCACAGATAAATACGAGGGCGGCGATGATAGTTGAGATTTGCCCGATAGACAAAGCATTGATGGACAGCATCCTATTGCAATGCCGGATTCAAGAGGGTTCTGAGGCAGACAAAATGTGGATAGAAACTGGCGAGAAACTCATCGAGAAATAGAAGAGAGGAAAAGAAAGGAAGGATAGCTAACCCTGCGATCCGAAGGATGTAGCATAACAGTAGACTTACTAGATGGTTGTGGGCGCGTCGCCCAGGAATTCCAACGTCTATATAGTATGAGTGAAGAGAACATGACTCTAACAGCTGTGCTGTCCTCCGTGGTCGACATATCCTTGAAGCCAAGTTTGATCGGCCACAGCCTCGATAGGCAATGTCTTGGTGTCTCAAAGTCAGCGCCCTATGGTAAGGACGTTGAATCGAATAAGTTAAGTAGAGGGGCAAAGCGTGGTCTTGTACTCTGTGCCCCTGCCAATCATAAGGGCGGCACCTCCCCATCCCTGTAAACAAAATCTCCTTAAGATTATTGTTGTTTTGACGGGCTCTCGTATTCACGTATTTAATTCCGATATGTGTACAAGAGCCAAGGAATTCGATGTATCGAGTCTGGAATCTTTTCGTGGGGTCCGCTGCCAACGTATTCGCCGCTTGGTCAAACAGTAATGAGACTGTGTTTTGGCCCATATCCTGCTGTATACTGCAGGACTTCAAGTCAGTCACTGCTCTTAAATGAGCTGAGCTTTCGACCGCCATCGCTAGCTCAGACTGTTATGCGTTTCCAATATCAGAATCTTTGATCGACATACGAAATCAAAAAGAGTCGGAGAGCTCTGTGCAGGACGATCGGCCAACGGCGCCGATTGCCTAATCGGCTATGCAAATGGCTAATCATCGTCACTGTGTGTAATACTTATCTCTGGCGCATACTATTGCCGATAGTCAAATACCTGCAGGGCGCTGGGGCAGGTACGGTACCGAAACAACAGGCCTGCGTTCGCCAAGGGAAGGGGGCTTGCATTGGGATGTTTCAGGCGCTGCTAGCCCTGCCTACGGCAACGCATCAGTAGGACTGCCTGGGTGCCGAACAACACCAATTCAGGCAGTCAAACTCAACATAAAGACTATCACATCTCTCCTCAAATCAATGAGTGAAACAAAATCTACACCGAATAAGCAATAACAAGAGCCTTCTATCCACTGTTGACAAACACTAATGCTCGCTCGTTGAAGGCTGCGCCAGCGGCATTGTTTGAGCATTCCATTGGATCCTTCACGTCGCATAGATGACTGTATTTGACGCCGTACTTGACATAGTTGTAGTAGTGGATGTGCTAGTCCGCGCTCGATATTATGAGCCTAAAACCTCCGAGCCTTGCTATGATTGCGGGGAGGTTTTTAATGGAAGGGATTAAAAATTACCTCCTTTATAGTGTGATTTACAGACAGAAGATGTCCAGGAAGGCATAGACCTGAGTGCACATGGTCCATTCTACGTAATACTGCCTAATCGACCTCATCAAAGTGCCTCTTTGGGCGTCGTTGCCCTGTGCGGCGGCCTTCGCTGCGGAGCTGTACGGACTTGCATTACCACCCTCAAGACGCGTTGCTGTTAGCCTCGAGCCTGACTGGGCAAAAGTCTGTGGATTGTGCCACGGCACCAAACTGAGTTCCGCGGATAGGAAGAGCATTAAGATGCGTTTAATCTGGTGGGGAATTTGGGGGAGTTTTGGGTATGCTTTTAGGCACCGGATAGCACTAGGAAAGAACGTTGAACAAAAGACGCGTCGCCGACATGATTGAAGGACATTCTGTCATCGCTAAACCTACCTTGCTGGGACGTCTCTGCAATGACGTCGTTGAGTGTACGGAATAAGGATTTACGACGCTCTGACGAAAGGGAAGGGTACTGAATAGTGATATACAGTCAAAAATGGTTTAGCGCTAGTGCCCCACCTTTTTTACGGCAGTGCATTGAACCCGCATCGAAGCGGGCAAAACAAACGAGAGGACTCCAGACCACGGTGTAAGCGGCCTGTTCTTATTTTCTCCTTCGTCACGGATGTGCTGACATAGCTGAATGGCGCCGACGGGTCCAAACCTCACGTGTTATCTCTTACAACAACAACGCACGGAGTAAATGATGGCCTGATAGTTTTGGGGGACATATGTCCGATTTGCGAAGGTTTTTGGAAGACTCGAAGATCATGGTCATGGCGAGACGTCGAAACCGTCAAACTCGAAAATAAACCGCTCAGCATTTGTAATGGTTTGTATGTTCTCTTCTACTCGTTTGATCTTGAGTCATTGCCCGAGAATAGCAACTTTCCCAAGGCTACATATGGAAGGCAGCGAACCTTCGGTGGCGATGCGTTTGCTCTCAAACTGAAGGGCAATGAAATTGGATCTGATTTAGGAGAGGACAGATGAGCTGTCTGAGACGACGTGCCCTCGGATATCTTGAGCTTGCCTGTTATGAAATCTTGAGGGTCGATAACTCGCTGCTGTTGGGATTTCTCCTACAAAGCCTCTTCAATAGGTTCTTCAAGAGGGTCACTCCATTGATTTCCGCCACCCCGCTGACCTTGTGCTCTCCCAGCGCCCGATCCATCTCAGGTGGCTAGGGGCCCTGGAGCATCATGAGGACATCATTGGTCCAGCAAAGGCCTTTGTCAAATTCCAAGGGGGACTCGATCGCGCCATTCGAGAGCATCGAAACCAGCATACCCTCTTTGAACAGTCCCTAGAGGTGCTGCTGCGGCCGATTACGACGGATCAGGAGCTGGCCGAGATAATTGACAATACAAAGAGCAAATCGTGGCAAGACCCGGCCATTGAGCAAGAACTGCGAAGCAGTTTGGGCAAGGCCTATCCGTCGTACATGAGGACAGTCAGTGATATTCAAAAGATTATGATTGGGATCGCGACGAAGCTGGACAATGTCCATGGCTGGAAAAACTCAATCGAGATGGGCTGGAAGCTATCATCAGTCAGCATGTGGCAGCAAAAGTGGACGAAAACCTTCAAAAGTCCGAAATGTCAAGGCGGGTGAAGTTTACCACGAAGTAAAAGATCAAAAGATCGCTGGAGGAGCTCCAGAGCCCATATCATCCCTGCATCGGGTTTTGTCTCGACAGCGAGGGCCACCTCCGAGGTGGGTATAATGCTCAGCGTAATGCTGCGCACGTCGACGGAGGAGTCACCCTCGAAGACATTCTCACGAAGAAACCTGGCACTCTCAGTCCGCAAGGACGATACAGTCTATCCATCACACTCACATCGTCGATGCTCCAGTTGAGCCATACGCCTTGGCTTCAGGATACTTGGAGCAAGGCCGACATCATTTTTCTCAGGGCTAAGGACGGGTGTACAGTGTCTGGGATTGCAGTCGATATCCATACCTAACTCGAGAACACAAGCAAACGACCACGGTCGTCCGCCAAAGCAGCGGCGAACTCAACGACTCCTCCAAAGTTGTAGCCCTCGGCATCATGCTCTCGAAATCCTTTACGCGCTCCCAATTGAGGAACTTCTTATGCCCAGAGACCTCGAACCCAATAATCGACCCACTGAAATCTCATATCTACAAGCTGCGCGTCGTTGGTTGATGGGGAAAGAAGCCAAAGGGGAATTCTCTTTTGCATTCATCAAAGCCATATCGTATTGTCTCCAGTGCTTTGTGAACCCCAGTGCAAGTTTGTCGAACCGGGCATTTTCAAAGACCATTGAGGGGCACGTTTTAGCACCTTTGGAGGAGATGAGTATGTTATTGTTCGGACCATCGGCCAGATATCTTGGATTGTGACGCGAACCTTTCATGAAACTCGACGGAACTGGAAGCAAATATGCCCATAGTCATGCCGGATACCAATGAAGATATCGAGCCTTAGAAAGAATTAGCTCACTAGAGCACTCATCGACTACTTCTTCCGCTCCTGCTACCCCATACAACCCTCTGGAGAAGAACGTACAGATAGACAGCTGCAACAACGACTACTTCGGTCAGTCTTTGCCATTGTGGCATTCCCTACTTCCTTTTCTTCCTTCTCCTGTTCCAGAGACGACAAGAAGACTGGGCCAGTTGTCTTGAAATTGCTCGTAATGGAAGATGGAAGCGAGGGAACAGGGAACGAGAGGAGTCGAAAAGTATAACTTGAGAAAGATAATCTCCGTCTATACTCTATTTCGTAGTGTCGAATTACTATTCTGGCTTCTTTGGTCTCGAAATTGGTGACCTTTCTTCTCCTGTCTGTTGTCTGAGTTAATGATTACACGGGCGTATTTGGTGATCTTGTCCGGGTTTCCCAAACTAAACGACTTTGAAAGGTTATTGGTTTTCGCTTTTGTGACGCAAGTCGCAAGAAAAGTCATCTTCGTGGACTTTCTCTGCTGGATTACGATCTTTCTTTGCCGTTGGATCTTGAGCGGATTGTCTGGCCTGCTGGGTTTAAATTGTCACTAACGGCTCGCGGTCACCCTCCTTCATACAAAAAAGCGTAATTATATCTCTCTCCATGTCTTCTTCATCGTCACTGTCATAATGTTTCTGGTCTGGGGAATCTGCTTGATTACTGCTGTTGGCTTCAATCTTGTTTTCATCATTCTCAACTTGGGTTGCAGATATAGATGCCTCAGGGCAGTTTCCACCATGTTGTTCGCTACGTCGTCATCGTTATTCGTCAACGAAAGCTCAATAGCACATTGCAGGCTGTCATCATCGTCTTCCACCGCTTCTATCATTTGAAGGTAACGAAGCCCCCTCTTTGCCTTCTTCGGAAGGTTCATCTTCCTACGGTCATTCCAATCATCATCGACAAGATATTGGAGAATTTGAACCCCAAGCACAGCAAACTATATCCATATATACAATTGCCAAACCTGATTTCATCAAATATAACTTCCCATTGCAGACCTGAGCCACCACTGTTTTACCCCTAAGCTGTGAGCGACTCTCCATGTCCAACGATACCAAATCACATGGGAACTCCTCCATCCTTCTTCATAGGCTTTACCGTGACTCGGATGCCCTTAGAGTCAAGTTTGGGGAATGGGAGAAAGAAGTCGTGAGCCAACTCCACATCACTTTGGTCGGTCTCGTACAGTTCAAATTCGAAGTAGCGGAACATAGCTGCTAGTGTCAAGTAGAGTTCGGCGTGTGCGAGGCTGAAGTTGGCACCAGATATTATTAGAATACGAGATATGGGTCAGACAGGATGAGGGAAATCAACATCAACGAGAAAGGCAACTCACTTAATTCCTAAACAAGACCTCGTGCCTTTACCGAACCCGACAAAATAACGATCCAAGCTGGATCCGTTCTTCGCTTTCGGCGAGTCAAGCCACCGCTCAGGGACAAACGATGTCGAGTTGGGAAATATTTCTTCGTCATGGTTAAGAAAGGGAATGGTCATCGAAATCGGCGTCTTTGCAGGGATGACCCAGCTGCCGTATTGCATTGGCTTGGCGAATAGACGGGCGTTCCGCGACGTTGTCGAATACGATAGTCTGACAGCCTCCTTGATGCAGGCTGAAAGATATGGAAGCCTTTCTAGTTCCGTCCATTCCAGCGGTGCGGTGGGATCTGATTCATTGATGTTGGGAATTGCTTCTTCAAGCTCTTGACGTAGCCGATGAAGAATACTTGGGTTGCTTAAAATGTAGAAGGTGGCCACGCTGAGTGTCCAGCCAGTGGTGGCGAGCCCCGCTCCTATTATCAACTGTGCTTCGTCTTGTAGGCGACGGTCGGACTTCTCGTTGGGGGCCAGATCCCCATGAATCAGTTCGGAGAATACCGTTGTGTGGTCGGCTTTGGCAGCAAGATCATCAATCTTGCCGCTTTTCAAGTCGATAATTTGTTGGGCAAAGTCCTGCCCAGCTGGTGAGAAAAGTCCAAAAGAAACTCAATCTCCAAGGAATCTCACCCTTTGCATTTGAAAAACAAGGGCATACAATGGTTCGAGCCGGACTAGCCAGGACTGTGGTAGGCAATTCAAAATCTTGGGCACCAAGGGAAACTGAAGAGACATGTTGCCACTGATGCTGACAGCCTGGAACGGGTCATGCAGAATCGGGGTCCAGTTAGGAGCATCAAGACTATTGTAATCATGAGCAAAACAGTATTCCATGATAACATCTTCGGCAAAAGCCATATAGCCCCGATTGATTACCATCGCGGCACCGGATTGCTGGTATTCCCGTACTTTGGCGATCAAGTGATGAAGCTTCTTCCGAATAATGCCCTGTAAATCTATGATTCTCTTCCTCGAAAAGAACGGATTCAACGCGTTTCGTCGTATTCGATGGAGTTCATCTGGCGCTGTCGTCAAGACGGAATGTTCATTACCGAAGCGGCCGGACAGCCATTCATATTTGTCCACCCTTCCAGCCTTGGTAAAGATGGTCTCCCAGAAATCCGAATCCAGAATATGGACCTCATCTGGCGTTATGCGAACAATGGGCCCTATAGTGTCCATGGGAACAGGTTAGGCCTGGAGGCGAACTGGCATCCCTTGACAAGCGTTAGAGAAACGTACCGTACTTTTCGTGCAGGGCTTTTATGTGGAAGATAAACTTCCCTTGTAAATGGACATCGTAGTAGTATTCGTGCCACCTGCTTACAGCCGCGTACTTCGGCCCGGGGAACTTGGCCAACGGATGGAAATATAAGCGGTATACAACAATACCGAAGACGTATACAAGCCAGATCAGGGTTGCAGTGATCAAGCCGGAGTACAAAGAAGACATGGTTCGTTAATGATAATGTCAAAAAGGACTCTTTCGATGCCAAAGCGCAGAGAAAACCTTGGCGAGGTGATGGTAGACCACGGGTGGTTGACAGGATTAATGAAAGGGACAGAGAGAACTACAAAGGCACATACATGTACCACCGCTTTCACAACCGACTTTATCAAGTGCCAGCACAGTGGGTGCATGTGATGGGCGCTTCCGGCGCCGCAGGCCACGGCTGACGATACAGCGTGCAAATGTGGCTAGATTTTTACTCTGGTCCAATGGTCGCTTTTCTAGCGCCCACCATTGTCCCAATACCACTCGATCAATGTGGGGGAGAGAGCCTTCGACAATGGCGGCTTAGAGCACCTTTTCCCTGCGTTACAGGATTTTTAGGCCGGTGCCAGAAGCAATATGCTGTCCAATGGCAGCAAATTGGCAAAGGTCGTACCACCTATACCGTCCCTATGTCGCTAAGCTAGTTTGCTTGGTGGCGGGGCTTTTGACGCGATCTTCTGTCCTTCCGTTTCGCCTCGGAAACTGAACGGGCCGTGCCCAATGGATTGCATGTCACAGTTACTGGATCGACCCGTCTGCAGTACTGGAACAAGGGGATGTTTTGTCGGACCCTGAACGGGAGAACGCGCCGTGCCTCCCGGATCAGCTTAGCTTTCGGGATGACCCATCTAACGATTTTCGCTTTGACGCTTAAGTATATTCCTTACACGCCCAACATTTTCTTCGCTTTCCATCTTTTCATTAAAAACATGCACTCTCCCGTGTCGCCGTCGATAATGGCTTCTGAGGGGAATATCGGATATATCGAGCCAGAATCATTCAGCGACATTGATTCCGCACTGGGTGAGTGTTTCTCCGAATCAGATACCGAAAGCCTGAGGTCGAGCCTGCTGCAGAGTGTGTCCGAAAACGGCCGCGGTTATCACAAATACAAGTCTGGGCTCTATTTCATGCCCAATGATGAACGCGAACAGGAGCGGCTCGACATGCAGCATGAAATCTTTCTTCAGACGATGGATCGCAAGCTCCTTGCTGCCCCCATTAGCTCGAATTCTCTGGACGTTCTCGACCTCGGCACCGGCACAGGTATCTGGGCGATCGACTTTGCCGACGAATATCCCCAGTCCACAGTACTCGGGACCGACCTCAGCCCCATTCAGCCCGCTCATGTGCCGCCGAATTGTAAATTTGAGGTTGATGACTTTGATCAAACGTGGATTTTCTCAAAAAAGTTCGATCTAATCCACGGGAGGATGCTGGCGGGTTCCTTGGGCAACCCCAGAAGGCTGCTCCAGCAATCGCTCGAGGCGTTAAAACCAGGAGGGTGGGTTGAGCTACAAGACTTTGCTTTTCCTGTCCGGTCTGACGACGGAACCATGGTCGGCACCGCCTTTGAGCGACTAAACGATAATTTGATGAAAGGCCTTCAAATACTGGGGAGGGATGGGGCTTGGGCGGCCAACTACAAAGAGTTCATGGAACAAACGGGTTTTGTGAATGTTGTCGAGATCCGATATAAGTGGCCACAGAACCGGTGGCCGAAAGATCGGCATCTCAAAAGAATTGGCCAATGGAATATGGTCAACACCCTTGACGGCCTCCATGGATTCTCTGCGCGTTTGTGTACCCAGGTGTTGGGAATGAGCGTCGAAGAAGTGGAGCTTCTGCTGGCAGAGTCACGAGTTGACATCCAAAATCCAAAAATCCATGCTTACTGGCCTATGTGAGTGTCAAAATTGTGCACTCAGGACTGTTTTTGGACTAACGACCGAGGGCATAGTTACGTTGTATATGGACAAAAGCCTGAAGGACCGAGATAGTGGAACTGACTTTGAAGAGTACCACGATGGGATTGCCGTGCATGGCGGACGATCCGGCCAAGTACTTTTATATGTTGTAAGACCTAGGGGTCTTTGCCGCTTGATGACAAAGTCCTCAGGAATTTGGGGAGTCCTACACCAAGGACCCGCAGAGTTTTTCCAGGCAAAGTATCGAGTTCCCGGGGAATGCACATGGCTAAGCCCAGACAACACTCCCGACCTCCTCATCCTAGAATGGATATAATCCCACGACGACATCATTTTCAGGATCCCCGCACCTTAGAATCCCAGGACGGTAAAGGGGGACTAAAGATTCCGTGGCATTTCATCTTGGAACGGACTGCTTTTGGGGCGCTATGTCTTCCATTAGAACCTGCCGTATGCAAATGCGTTTCATCCACGCATATGCAGCAGAATTCTAGAGACGACCTTCTCAACTCTCGGACCCCTAGATTTCTCCCTACGATCACAAACAAGACAATATTGTCCATCATGCACCTGTTTCACAACCTCCCTAATTTCCATGACGAGAGCCATCAGTTCTCCCAGTTGATTCTGACGAGCCTTCTCCCAACGTCCATGTTGACAACTCTCAACCAAGCCATCGTCGTGGTGTCTAACGAAGACCCGTTCGGTTAACGCAAACCAGCATTGCAGTATCTTATATCCCAGGTGGAAACTTTCTTTGCCTGCAGTACTCCTGTATCTCGCTTCAATGATTGATGCGGGAGGGCCAGGTGTCCCTCCTGAATAGTTGTTACTCCTCTCAATGCTGTACGTTCTGAATTGCATTCTAACGATTTCGCGTTCATGAGAGCAGATATCTCGAGTAGGGACTGAGATTGGGCACCCTTCATTGTCACAGGCGCTTCTGTTCCGTGACTACTATCACCATATCCATCGACTTCAAACCTGATCATCCATTTCATACCCCCAATCATATACGCCCCGATTGGATAATACACACCGCTCTCCTTTCCAAACTTCACAAATGTGTTTTCAAACCCATGCCTATAGCCTGAATTGAGGGACTCCGTGATAAATCTTGACCTTATTCTTTTCCCACCGCGTCAAAATAGTGCACCCACCACAAGCTTCATATCGGTGCGCCAACTTTCACCTAGGTGTCCACAGGCAAAATCAGGAAGGTGGCAAATAAGGTACCAGAACCCGATATAGATTTTGATTGGGATTAGGACAGGTATTGGAGGAGGCGTCCAGAATGCAGAAGCACCTAGTCATTTGTCAATGCCGACTCTACCATCAAATATCGTGAGACATTCTATACCTGGGACGCAATCGTTATGTCCCTGGCCTTAGTCCAGTTGTCCGAAGCGAGCAACTTTGCAGCTCTCAATGTGAATGTTAGCATCAGAGTCTAATTCAGGATCATCAAGTTTATAATTGTGACGGGTGTCCTTTTTCGGCATTGGTTTCCATCCCGTCAATGTTTGGTTCAGCGTGCTGTTTTGAGAACTGAAGACAAGGGAACTCGTCACTGACGAAGATCGAGCGTATGTCATTTTATTCATCAGATTTGGGTCATGGTGGTTCCTCAGTCTTACAAAGCAATACAGCAGTTTACCCCTGATCCACTTTGCACTGTAGCATGAACAGACAGGCCACTGGATCAGATGATATATCCCATTGGGCTCGATAAGCCTCGCTCTGGACTCCACCATGAAGTCGTTCCGAATAGCTAGTGTGTTCGCTAGCTCTAAGCTGCAAGCCGCGCGTCAGTTGCCAACCGCACCTCTGACCAAGAGCATGGTTTCTATCACACTATTGAGCAATCTTCTTTCTCTTTCGTAGCGGATTGATAGGTTCATAGATGACGTAATGAGGCATATCACATCATAGGTTCCAAGATAGGCATAGGATAGTGCGGAGGCAGACAAGAAAGGAGAACAAGCAATAACAGCATACAACAAGAGGCACGAGTTAACAACGAGTTTTTGAGTCCATTGAGTTCCTTCTAGCCGTGTTGTCTTCCTTACGAGGTTCATGTGCTCTACACGGAGAATCCGGCGGGCCCATCTTCGTGTGTGGTTGCTCGACGGTCCTGACACCAATATCCTCCCTGCCTGATAGGCACTCAAAGTGCTAAGCTTGTTCACGTCAAACTGGGGTCGCAAATTGAGATGTATTGAATTCTCTCCCTCTTTGGTAACTGGGTATGCCAGATTGCCAGCATATATACATGCTTGGTTGACTCCTTTTCCTCTCCTATTTCTCCCATATATCCTGCATAGGGTGATAACCCCTTTTCCAAGTAAGGATTACTGGCCATTTTCAACACCTTCTGTTGCTTTATGCTTCATAACACATTTTGGAATTGAGGGGTCAAAATGATGGTCATCAAGAGCCGCCCAGCCTCAGTCCCAGCCAGGGGAAATTGTTCATCGTTCAGATGGCTGTCACAGTTTTCCCTGCATGATAATCCCCACGGGTTTTGAAGTGAGGATGGATCCCTTGACGACCACAACAATTTGTATTAGTACCATCACGAAGCTATCGATGGAGGTCGTTGTGTTCGCATCAACTGTTCGAAAAGCGCGAAGAGACATGGATGCCGTCTCGCGAGAACTCACTTCTTTAAGTATCTGTTCGACCATGCTTCGAGATGACTCCCAGAAGGTCAAGGGACTCTGCGCGAAGTTATATAGAGTTGGATCAGATCGCCGAAGGAATGAGCCAAGTGCTCCAGAAATTGAGCAATGCCACAACCGCCTGATTACGATGGAGTATCGGCGACGGGGATCAGGTCAATCAATTACGGTCGTCTTTGGAAAGCCACCAGTGATGCATCGATGTAGCATTGGATATGGCAACTTTGTGAGTCTATTGGTCCAGCTCAATGAAAATGCCTCCCCGGAGATGGCCCGCGGTAAAAATCACAGCATACACTCTAGGTCAATCTTAACTTTGAACACGGCTGATTCAGTGGAAGCCAGTTGCTTTCGGCGGTTCGAGATGACACTGAAGAAATCCGAACCGAAACAACTGCAATTTGGCAAGACACAGAACAAACCAAGGGGCTGGTTCAAGAAATCGCACCCCTCCGTCTTCAAGTATCAGATCTGAAAAGAAAAAAAGGGCATGACACTCCGACGATTTCTAGACGACTCAGCTATGTATGACGAATCTTCTGTTGATGAAACGGATCTGGGAGAGATTGCAGCCGATATTGGCGGCCGGCTTACAATGGTTGACGAAAGGGAAGGATGAGGGAGAAGAAGACTCGCTGCAAGAAGAAAAAGAGAATATATTTCCGTCAAAGCGAAGAGTCCCGACTCAACCTACGAAAATGATTGACTCTCAGCCGCTTGTACCACCGACGAGAAGGCCCGTTAATATCACATTGATCATTGATCATATCAAGAGGGCCAGGCGATCCTCCTAAGCAGGCCTAAGGTCCCTCACTGCGCCGCCAAAACAAATCTTGATCCTTCATCTGCGACAGTTATCAGCAACATTCTTCTCACGGGAATTCATATCCAACGTTCTCAAAGGAAGCTCTCGGCGGGAATTCCCATATCCATCGTTCTCAAAGACAGCTGCCTCTCAAAGATCTCTGTATCTAGAGGGCACAAAAGCAAATTCAGCAGAAGAAATGAGTTCCAAACGCATAGTGTCAGTGGTACAGAGCAGAGCCAGTACAAACCAAGCTTCGGTCTAGAGATGATGCAGAAATATGTCACTGGGACGCGTGAAAAAGTAAAGGATAATTCCCCGAATGTCATCGAAAATTCCTCTAATGGTGTATGAATACCTAGCGAATGTTGTCGATTGAAGGAAAAGAAACACGATTTAGAGACTAGCGAAGATGCAACAAATCAACATCTAGTACGACCAGGAAGATCCAACGTGATGCTTAACAACCCAAAGGTGCTCCAAATCATTGAAGATACCATCCGACACTGATTCTTCCTGGAATCCAAGAACTCCGAAGACATACAAAGCAAGCAACGAGAGACTCGAAAGAGACATGTGAGATGACATGAAGAACGACAGGGTCGAATCCAGCAACGTAATCAAGAGCAATCGGAGGTTCACAGGGGTTTTTTATTGTTTTTGGGTTTTGGGGGAAGGCTGCGACAAGGTACGGACGAGCCCTCCGGGAACTGGAAGGTCAGTAATTCAACCAGCAAACCAGCCTGGATGAGAAGAAAATAGAGATGTGGAAGGCTCGGCAACAGGCTAAAGAGTTGAATTAATGATCGTCCTGCTACGACATCAATCTCAGAGACAACGGAACAAGATCTTGACGAAGGTGCACGACTCCTTCGACCCGTCGTAGGCGTGAGACATTTCAATGAACTCATATGTGTAAATTTGAAGGCATTCTCTGTTTTCAACCACAGCATGCTGAGAAAACGACACACATTTATGTTTGAAGTTTCCGGTTTTCGAACTACGCTCGAGAAATGAGGATCCTAAACTGATGTTTGCGATTGCTGCTGCAATACTCACCGCATCCATATCCATCTGCAATCAGCAAAGGTGGAGGGATTCTCAGGACGACATCATCGGAAGTCAGCCCATAAGACAGCTACATTTTCAATAGCCATAGATGGATGAAATCAGGTAATTGGAATGGCAGCGGAATTTTTTCATGCGAATGGATATGTCGACTATCCTTCTGAAAAGATATCAATGCCGACGAAGAAAAGCATTTCGGTATTTATGTTCTGCAAATCACTGCTGAACGACTACGAAGTTCTTGTAGTGGAAGCATATACTCCAATCTCTTCTTAATCCCTACAATAGGATCGGGACAGCTTCTCATAAACATACATTGAAATGGTTCAGGCAAGCTTAGCCATTAACCACCTGCTTTGGCTCGGCGGTCTCAAGTGGTTATCCAAAACAACACCGTCAATTCAACATATGATATCTCCTAGGACCTAGCAACCAGCATGAAACCAACGCAACGATCTTACACAACGTCAATGTGGCTCTGAACTTCAAATATTCTAATCGTGCCCGGGACCCCGTGATTTATAACAACTTCGACAATGTCCCGCAAAATGCCTCCACAGCAGAACCAGGCTCCGTGCTGAAACTTCAAATTGACGCCAGTGCATCTCTCTATACTATCCCACCAGACGCAGCAATGTCTCGGACCATGTTCCAGTCCCTTGTCCTTAATGGCTCTGCCGTCCCAGCATCAGCATATATCCTGTGACCTTCCCCCCTCTGGAGAGACATCCGATGGCTGGCCAATTGTTTCTTTGGCTCATGGAAACTGTGGAAGTATGAGTGAATACGCTTCTTCTCACCCACGCACACAGCTGTACAACTTCGAAGTTCCTTTCGAGTGGGCGCTGTAGGGCCTTGTGGTTGCTAACCCCGATTACCAGGACCTCAGGCGTCAACAAATACGCCGGCAACGAGATCATCTACGACAGCTTCCTTGGGAATCAAGTCGAAGCAGGTGGACTTTTTACGCCGTTCAAGCCGCGCAAAAGGCTTTTCTGCAGCTCTCTCGTCGCTTTGTGACCATGGGATATTTCCAAAGCGAAGACACCGCACGGGCGATCGCGCACCGCCAGGCATCCAAGCCCGTCGAGAGTATCTAGGCGCTATCCCCATGTCTCTCGTTGCTCGATTCCTGGAACAAGCGCCTGGTCAACCAGTGAAATAATCCTGCGGCATGGCAATTCTGGTTTTCACACGGACTCCAGACTGTATTCCCAGACCTTTAATCTCTCGTCTCACTGGCCGGGATCCAACAACTTCAATTACTGTGCGAAGTCCAAGGCTGCAATACCGTGGTGTCGGAGCCATAGCCTGACATTAAGCGTCTAGTCCATGACGACTGAACACATAACCTCGCATAGAGAAACCGGCAAAAAGTTGCAGGAAGAGTACACGATTTCGACGATCAAGTCGGCCTTCGCGGACGAGGTATATCAGTATGAGGCGAGCTTTTTCGTTGAGTATGCCGAGGAGAAATATGAACTTGCAACGGAGACATGATGTATCACTCCCTTGGGCGGAAACTTTAAAGGATTGATGGCAATAATGAAAAGCTTGAGAGATGTATGTCTTCTCTCTTAGATGTCGTGGACTCTAGCTCATTCTTGCATATGTCATTGTCGCTGTCAAAACTTATCTGCTCTCGTCCATATTGGTTGAGCTCCTTATTATTGGTTTGACCATTTTACTCTTCATTTTATCAAAACCATTCAATCGTGTTTCAAAATGTCCACGCCAATCAAAGCAGGATGACATGTAAATCGTCAACGGACCCATTGCTGTTGAGGAAGCTGGGCAGAAGGATGTGCGCCTTGATACCACAATAGTGCATAGATAAGTAAGAATGGTACGTCGAATATACACTGTCACACAGGAATGCTACTGAAGACCCACTATAACAGTGGACGTGGAGCCCGGCGGACTTAAACAAATCAGCTGAATTACAGTAATTACCTTGACTATCGGAGCATAAATCAACAGACCTTCTTAGCATATCTACACTAAGCTTGCAACGTAGTATTTGTTTAGCTGGATATGGAGTATATTGAAATCACCCATTCCTGGCACTAAGATACTACTAGGGTAAATGGTTACTGCATCGCTGCTGCACAGCCACAGAAAATCACATTTCGTTCAGCTGACTGGCAACCATCCTCCATCTTAATTGATCCACATGGAGCATCGATGAGTATCGGAGAGACAGACGTAAGGAAAAGTGGAAACATATTACCCATATCCTCGCTGAATACTCAAAGGAAAGACACGACTTTCTGTTTTTACCTCCTTCAAGTTCTTTCAATTCTCCAACAAGACACTCTTTTTCCTATACATATAGAGCATTATATCTTGCATCCATAATGGCCAGTTGCGCAAATGCGTCTTCCCTGCTTCACTTCTGGGGACGAAGATCTGACCGCTTCGCCCTGCGAGAACTTGCTCGACAACAGCGTCGCTTACGTTCGACGCGGGATCGCAGACAATGTTGAATTTGGCCAGTTTGTCTTCGAACGGTTTCACAATACCGGTGGCGTGCCAGGATGGGTGAACACAGGTGGTTTGGATGCAGTCGCCGTTTTCGTGGTGACCGCGGAGTTCGGCGCGGAGGCCTGGAATTGAGTCAATACACAAGGTGCCGTGAAAGGGTAACAGATAGATGGTCGTGTATGTATGGTCATAGGCCAGCGCGGTCTGTCAGACTAACCTTCGTGGAGATAGAGTGCTCCGACCTTTGTGCAGCTATAGTCAACGAGACCGGGATTTGAGAAGAAACTCGCCATCGAGGCAATGGTGACGATGTGTCCTTTTCTCGCTTTGAGCATGCCAGGGAGGAACTCTTTGATCAAAATGAAGTGAGATGCAAGATTGACTTTGAAGATTCTGTCGGTCAGTTTCGCGGAGCTGTTGATGATGGTGGTACCGGTTGCTAAAAGACGATTGACTGGTTCAGCTGGCTGTCGAATTGCAAGGAGCAGGAAGGGGCCAAAGTAAAATTAAAAAGAAGGAAAAAATTTTACCGATGCCAGCATTGTTCACCAACACAGTAGGATTGCCATGTTGCTGGCGGATTTCTTCGGCAGTCGACTCAATTGCAGAGAAGTCGGTAAGGTCGACCTGGTAGTAGTGGACACCGGGAACTGGAACAGGACTTTGAATCAGTAGCTAGTCTTCTTGGCAAAGTTCCTGGAAGGGAGAAGAATTGCTCACTCTTCTCAAGCTCAGCAGGCACTGGGCTGATATCCAGAATAATCACTCTGGCATATTTCGAGAAGCCTTTGACCATTTCATACCCAAATCCGCTGCATCCACCTGTCACGACGACCAGTTCTGATTTCTTCGCATCTCCGAAGTGAAACGGCGCTCCCGGTTTCCTGAGATGCCAATGATTAAGTGCCAGTTTGGTGAGAGTCCGATTGAGTCTTCCGACCGCGCTGATGGCGAAGAGGTATTTGAGGGCCTTGATGAGCGTTGCAATGTGTTTGCGTGACAAGCCAATGTCACCAAGAACCTTGAACAGACGTGTTTGGTACTGAGTAGGTGCGCGAGTGAGGGTAACAAGGAGAGACCCTGTGACAAGCGGTTCAGTGGCCGCAAGGCGGAGGAGATTGATGGGGACAGTGACAGCGCCTGTGACGACGCGATTGACGCGCTCGATTGGGCTGGGCGTCGCCATCTACGCTGTCTGTTCGTATCCTTCGTGATTTGGGTATTACCGATACAAGGTTCCCGATGATATTCAAGAACGATCCAACATGACAAGTATGACACGGATGGACTCTTTTTACTCATACGCAAACTGACATCGCCAAGCGCAGGAAGAAATACCTCGGTCCGACAAAATGTGGAGAGCTTCCCCATCTTCCCCGCAATATCCTTGAGATAGACAGGGGTCACTGTACATTGAAGACCGTAGCCGAGCACCAGCAATCGGAGTATGTATCCGTCAAGCTAACCCAAGATGTTTATGAATCCCGAAGTTTGGAGGGCTCATCTATAGTTCAACGCCAGTTGCAGGGAAATTTCCAACCCAATTTGGCGGCCAGTGCCGCCGCGTTGGGAGGGTTTCTTCTCTCGATCCCAAGATCGCTACCCCTGGCCTCATCCTTCATCAAACCCCGGACAGAAGGGAGATGCTAGTCTGTACACCACCTTTTGTTATTCTGTACACCGGCTACAACATCCCCCCAGAACGCCACAAACACTGCGAAAAATGTTTGCATTCCCCATTGGGTTTAGCCCTATCACGCGTACCCAGCCTTCGTGGCCTTTTTGTCGCTTGCGCCTCGCACAGATAGATTCGATCAATCAATCTTCTCTCGGCCCAACATAAAAGACTCGTATTTTTGCTAGACCGTGTGCAGAAATGCTCAGCTAGTAAGCAAACGTCTTTCAGCTTTCAAATCGCTCATACAAGCTTGCAGAATGGTGGTAAAATAAGTGCTATTCTGGCGTAGTGATCCACCCTTTTGAAATTGGTACGTCGTCCCATTTAGCGTATGAAACGCAACTTTTTCCCACCACTCTCCTTACCTTACAACGAGGTAGAAAAGCTCGATTTTTTGGTTGATCCAATTTCAATGCTACATAGCAGCTATATTAAAAGTTACAGTGCTCTCAGAGTACTCGTTGTTGAGATTTTGGCGATTCAATGTTGCGAAAAGGGTGTACAGAGAACTGGCGACGATGTTCACGTGACCATTTCAACGCGTCACAGGCTTGGCGTTGTCACAACAAACATTTACTAAACTTCAACGATTCTTGACCGTGGAGCACAATTCGACCTCTAAACTGACATGTGTAGCGTTGTTGCTGACCGCAGATTCTCTCCTAATCCCGTGGTCGCTGCATGGGTACACGACGTCTGCGTTTCTTGTGATCTAGACAGGTACATCTTCCAACACGAACCAACGTCGGGAGCCCAGAGGAAGAGAAAGACACCTCCGCTTGAAGAACCCCCCCTGGTTTCCGCACCAAAGACACACCGACGCCGTATTCCTCCGAAAAAGAAGCGGGCCCGAAACTCCAAAGAGGGCGAGGACAATGCTGCAGCGCAGGGAGACCTCACACCACGACCTCCACGGGCAAAGCGGTCGAATGTTGCCCAACCCGACAATGACGCCGACTTAACGCCACGGCCTCGAGCTCCTACCCGGAGACTCGCTCAAGCCAAGGTCTCAACCTATGTACCCGTTCTCCAAACAATGGAAACCCCAAAGTCAAGGCCTGTGGAACAATCAGATTCATCAGCTGCTTCTACAAAAGACACCTCTAGGAGTCCAGTCAAACAAATAGGCGACCTTGTCTTTGCTAGGATGCCCATTGAGTATTATGACATTTCAGTGAACCTGGAGAAGCTGCCGTCTGACGCCAGGGATCTTTATAAGAAGCTACGAGCGGTTGGGTGGGCTAGCAGTGTCCTGCCTGCAGACATCAAGGTAGTCGTACTATGATCAAGTGACTTTTGACTAACCCTCTATAGGATGAGATCTGCGAGCATGTCGGAGAAACGGACCTTCTGCTCCCTCATATGTTTGATGAGGCTTCGGCTGCGAACACCAGGTCCAGGAACCAATTGATTCGGGAACTAGACACTGTCGACGAGATCTGCCAGGCAACATCACGGCGTTCATATGATCATGAAGCAGAACCTTCCTGGAATTGTGCGGTACACTACCCTATACTGCAGCTGGCTCTGAAGGTCTATGAGGGTGTCGTACTCCGAAATGCGTATGGAGATCATCCTGTCGTTAATTACGAATTCTACTGACCTTATCAGCACAACGGCCAAAATCTGCCCTGCGTTTGACAATCGTGACGCTAGTGGGAAACTCCTGCAATCAAAGATGGTCGACTTTACCATCAATTTGGCACCGGACAATGATCTGAGACGTCGTATCCTTGAGTTCCTTGAAGATCAACTTCCAAGTCTCCGAACCGTCAATCAGACCATGTATCACCCTCTTCGATTTGCACCAACTATTGTCGGCGTTGAAACAAAAGCACCAGGTGGATCGGAGCAGGACGCGGACATACAACTTGGCGTGTGGGTATCGTCGTACTTCAAGCGCATTCGCATGCTTTGCAACAACCGTCCCGTCCCGATCGCCTTGCCACTCTTGTACGTGCAGGGCAACCAGTGGTTCTCCCTATTCGCTTGCGATACACTGGATGGTACAGTATGTTTCTTGCTCATTGGTATTCAAAGTCCAAATTCTTACAGCTTCTAATAGGAAATGCTGACGAGACTTCTTGTTGGAAACACCAACACCGTGCTTGGTTGCTACAAGGTGATGACAGCTATTCGCATTCTCAGCGAATGGGGTACGACAAGCTTCAAACAATGGTTCGAGTCATCAGTCCTTCAGGAGTCAGTCGCACAACCCACACAGGAGTTGACGGACCTTCAGTCTCCGCCAGAATGATACCATGTCCCAGATGTTACGCAATTTCTGATCGGATTCATCCATCTCTCCAGTATCTCCGTCTTGGACGGCTTGCACAGCTAGCCACCTTGTGATGTGTGATGCGTCTGGCGAGGAGTGCAGGGAGATGTCCGTCGAGCATGAATAGTACGGATAGATGGAGGCTGAACGGGGATTTTTTTGGGGGGGAAGGGAAAGCGCGAAAGTGCCGAGCTTCGACAGTGCCATGTGAAGAGTGCCAGGAAGGCTAGGATGGAGAGGAATGAGTATGGGAGAGCCACTTGTTATGGCGAGGTCACAAGCGGCAGGGAGCCAAGGTCAGGGCTGAACCAGAGGAGGATTTCTCAGTCGAGAATATTACCTCAAGCATCGTCGACAACAGTGCTTTCCGGTTACCCATCGGTCAAGCCAATCTATGAACAAAGAACGCGGCGGTACTCGGGCGACGTCGGCGCCTGGACATGCCAGAGGTCGGCAACTGCCCTAACAATCCGCCGTTCTTCTAGACGGTGCCCCATCCTTCCATCCAGATCGAGGAGACCAAGTTGCTTACTTATCTCGGTCGTGCTAATATACTGTCCCAAAAAAGGCTGCTGAGAAACTCTCTTCGCCGAGTTAACCACCTTCACCTTTGGACAATGAAGTTATTTGGCGACGTCCCTATATCTGGTAGACCTTGGTTCTTTCGGCATCTGCCTTCTTTAAAGTACCGAATTCTTTTACGAGCATCACGAGAAAATCAATCTCTCAGTTCTCGGGAGTTAAATGATCGCTGGGCCAGTCTTTAGGGCCTCTTTCGTCGTACAATCAGAACAGCGTGGTTTTAGATAATTTTATCGACCTTAAATCAATCGATAACTTACTGAGTGCTCTGGTTAATCACACCCCCTGAGGTGGTCCGTACTCTAGACAGGATCCGATCAGGGGGTTGCTAAGCGGATCTAGTTACATGCTCTAGTTAACCCGAGGCAGTCTATAGACCGGATCCGATAGGGGTTGTTGAGCGGATCTAGTTAAGTGCTCTAGTTAATCGCACCCCGCACGAGGCGGTCCATGGACTGGATCCGATCAAAGGAGCGGACCACGTGACTCATTCTGTGTTAAGCTTTTATCGTTATGATTATCGTTATCAATCGAATCGTTTATCAGCTTATCGAAAACCACGCTGAATCAGAATGCCAGACGACGACCAACTCCATTCGCTCCCCAGTTCCCGTGGGGCGTTTCCTGCGTCACAATGTCAACGGGTACGCGGCCAACTCTGTCAGAAAAGATCATGAAAGAAGTGGTGTCTTGTTTTTCGATCTATGTGGCTGAGAGAGTACTTTGGATGGAATTTTGGAGTCATGAGGATGTTTCATACGCGTCATGTGTGTCTTTAGGGTACATTAATGCTGTCTCCCGGCTGAAGATGAATGAAGCTCCAGGAGAGGAAGGGAATCTCCGATGTAGTGCAAGATTGAAGTTGTGGGCTCCAGGTCAAGAATGGCTTCATGGAATCTGCGTGGCACCGGGGATGGTGGATCAATTTGTCGCTATGTCTTGCCGGGTCCCGCCAGAAAATCCCCTGGACTGTATTAATGTTTCCTTGTGCTGACGCTGCCACAAAGAGTGGTCTAGGACTACGCCGTTGGAGGCCAGAACATGGAGAGGAGAAGCATAGTAGCCCTGCAAATCGAAATTATACCTTCATACGAGAGAATGCCTCAGTAGTCCCTGACCTAATAGTTTTCCCATATTCGAACAACTCGAAAACACTTCTGGAGTATCGCCAGGAGATCCTTGCATCCAACCAGGCTAGAGCCACAGTCCACGAACAATATATCCGAGGAGCTCCGAACGAATACGACGATGTCCAAGTCCTCACAAGAGACGTCAAAGCCATGGGATTGGCAGTCGGTAAAAGACAGGCATGTTCCGGTCCCACAGCATCGCCTTACGGTTTTCAATGCAGTGGAATTCATTGCCAAAAGTTAGCGACCGGCCCGTCAAGCGGGAAAGTGGGCCAGATTTTGTTTCTGTCCTATTTTGTCCCTGAGTTACAACGGGTTTTATAGTAACATCTCAGTATAGACGTGAGGACTACCCATTTTCAGAAGACAAACCCCCTATTTCATTTCACTCTAAACCTTTTCTGTGCCACTAGTTTGCTCCGCTTCCCTAGTGTTTTCCCCCCTATTGTTGAGACTTTTCCACTCCATGCACAAACTACACAAGAACGCCACGCCACAGAGAGGAACAGCAGCAATGAAGACTGCCTGGAGAGACTCGTTATAGAGATGAATCAGGGTCGGCAGATCTTGTGCGGGGACCACCCTTCTGAACTGTGTCGCACCCAGCTCGATGACCGCCCGGATATTGACTCCTGGAATAATTTGTTCGTTGTTCTTGTTCAGCAGGTGGCTCTGCAACAAAGTATTTCCGACAGAGACAAAAACTGCACCGCCGAGAGATTGAGATGCGACAACCGCAGCAGTGCCAATGGGTACTTCGTCTAGAGGCAGCATGGCTTGCACGGCACTGAAGCCTTGTTGAATGGCCATGCCAAGCCCGGCAGAGACCAAGATCTCAAAACCAATCCAGTGAGAAGACGGGCTGGATTCGGTCAGTGTGGCGAGGAGACCGGAGCCAACTGTGCCAATGGCACAGCCCAGGATTGCCGGTGGTGCGAACAGTCCATTCTTCGACACAAAAACCCCGGCCAAGAGGGAAAACAGGGCATTCGCCACCATGTATGGAATCATGTTGACACCGGAGTGGATTGCGGATGTACCTTTGATCGCCTGGAACCATATCGGCAGGTAGTATGAGTGGACGAGGAGAGCGCCGTAGATCATGACAGCCGCGCCACAGCTCGCCGCCACTGTCCGTTGGCGAATAATGCGAGGAGGAATCAAGGCCGCATCCCCGCGATACAACATCCATGCAACGAAAATCAAGGTCGTTACCCCAAACCCGCACAGTAGCCCGATACACCGAGCACTGGACCACGAGTATTGCTGCTCTGAAAATTGTAGGGCCAGGAACAGCATCGTCATTGCACCCAACAGGATGATGTTGCCAATAATGTCGAGCTGGATCACACGATGCGTGAACGGAGTACCGGACATTGTGCTGCTGGGACTCTTGCCCTTGAAACACAAGCACACGGTGACAAATGTCACCATTCCAATGGGCAGATTTATCCAGACTGATGAATTGTTAGGTCCAAGATATTGCAATGAATCGAGACGGGAAACCTACAGCACCACCGCCATCCAATTGTGTCTGTAAAAGTCCCTCCCAGCAGAGGGCCACAAAGGGCGCCGACGCCGTACAGAATACCGACAGCGGCAAAAAGGACCGGCCGATGTTGCAATCGAACGGAGTGCGTTCCAACAACAAATGCACCGGTCAGAAGGCCAGCACTTCCGAGGCCCTGAATGGCGCGCCCAACGATCAAGAGGCTTGATGAGGAACAAATGGCGGCCAAAAGACTCCCAATCTCGAAGATCACCAAGGCCGTCAAGAATGACGACTTGGTTGCAAAGGACATGTAGATGCGGCCGTATACAGGCTGAAAGGCCGATGCAGTGAGGAGATACGCACTCCCGTACCAACCGATATCATCATACGAGTGGAATCGGGCGGTAATATCGGGGATCGCCTGCCGTAGTTAGCTATGCTCTCCCGACGTGAGGTGAATCATCATACTGTTGTTATGATGTTCCTGTCCAAGGAAATGGTGAAGACTGAGAGACATATTCCCAGCACGATCAACGTCAACGCCAAAGGTCCGGGATACTCTGCTGCGTCGTCTGCTGCGCCGCCTCGGACTTTGGGAGTGACCAACGGTCGAACAGCAGGATGCGATTCAAACCCAGAAAACCCAGACGCTGTGGACAGTCGTCTCTCTGCTGCCGGCGATGTCTGAATGGCCTGCTTGTCGAAAAGAACTTGCTTCGTTTCGCTGATTGCGTTTTCCAACATCTTCGTGTCCTGCCGGCTGGGAACATGCCACGTTTTCCGGAAATTGGCGCGCTGGGCTGAAGACATCGTGGAAAACTTCGAAGACTCTGCAGACTCGGGTCGCATGAGCGATAGACTGCTTCCTAGAGAGTGATATTGTTGTGAATATGCCGGTGGCGGCTGCGAGATGTGTGATTCGGGACTTGTCCGACCGTCACTGACTGAGGTTGAGCCACTCGTCGAGGGCACATTGGATATCGTGCCCATGCGTATATGTGCTGGTCTTCGCCCAGGGACAGAATTGCTTCTAGCAAGGCGCGGTTTCTCCCCATCTTCATCTTCACGATGTCTTTTCGATCTGGTTCTCCTTCGAGAAGAGGCATGGCGGACTGGTGCGGAGTTTATGTCGTCGTTGGCTGACTCATCGAGCCAGATGTCGTTGCTTTCGTGTTGATAGGCAGGGGGGAAGCCCGCCATGATGATCGAACTGGTCCTGTTGTTCTTTGGAGATTTATTTGATCTCACAGGGATCGCCAGGAATGAGAAACCTGACGGTTGGGGCCTACAGACTCTCTTTCTCTTCCCTCAGAAGCGGCAGATGATCCAGCGGCTAAGTGCAACTTCTCGAGCGAAAACACAGTAAAACCGACGTTTGATAGTGGTAGGCAAGAAACAGGTTGGAGGCAGATGTCTTCACAACAAGTACATCTATTCTTCCCTCATAAAGGTACAAAATCAAGAGAGCCTCGGGCTCATTCTGCTTGACAGGACTCTCAAATTCGTCATTACCGGGGTCATCCTTCCCTTAGGAATTGATTGCTCCAACAACACGCACTAGTACGCGATCGTACGCCCTGGCTGATTGCGATGAGAGGGTCGTAAATGAGAACGACCTCATTCATCAAGCCACCCTACCCGAGTCGACCCAAACTCTATTGTCTCAACGATAAGGGCATGGTCTGCCCCATGCGAAGCTGAAGTGTTGGATAGAGCGCCATGCTGGGAAGCAATGGATTGTTGGCTGCTCAGCGGCTCCACGGTGAGCATCCAGGATGTCATTCCGGGGAACGAAAAATTTAGTGGAACAGCTATCAAAGATGTCATTGTAAGATGTGATGTGTACAGACGGGAGATCTTTACGTGAAAGGGGATGGTGCCTATGATCGTGGCGATCGTCGTCAGAGTGGATCTCGCTTGTAGATATTAGTTAGTATCTGTATCTTCGTCGGTGGGTTTTGATCTAGGGAACCTTGAGCTGGCTGCCGGTTGCTGGCGCCAGGGATGAGTGGCAAAGGTGTCGATATCCTTCAAAAACTAAGACCAAGGCTGTCACTATCCATCGCCCCACAGCTGAATCTGCGGCTCGACCCTCTCACAGCTCTTGACACTTGTCATGTGAAAATCGGTTGCTGTGTGAAGAGGAAAGAGATTCCGCATACAGTTTTATCCTTGCACACTTTGGAAATCTTTACTCCTACTTGGAAAACGTGCTAATCCGAGAAAGTTTGCTCGAATTATATCAGTTGGTATGATGAAACCTTGCCCAATTGTGCCAAAGTGGTTACAATGCCTTCGATTCCGAGGCCGTCATAATGCCTCCCCAGTGCAATTTCGCTGTAGAATTCGTCCTCTAGGGCCGTCTGGCCTGCTAGAAGAGCTGCTAAGTGCAGGCCACGCTGTCGCTCCGCCTCAATGGCTGCACTAAGCTTCATGTTCGTGAAACTCTTTTCGGCTTTCGTTTCCGCGTCGCCCAAAGAAGCGATCGGCAGGAGATTTGAAGCTTCGAGTATTTGCTGGGGCGAAATAGTGATACGCCCATTCTTGAACACAATCTTGCTGAGGGCGGACGCTGCGATCGGTGCTTTTGCCGGGCCACAGGTGCTGTCGGTAGTCTCTGTCTTGAACATCGAGGTATCCCCGTTGTCATCCACCTCGTATTTCGGTGCTTGCTTGTCTTGATGGGGATACAAGGATGACATCTTGGGCCCCATCTTGAATCCTTTCTTGACGAAATGCGTGACCAGGTACACCCATTTCTCATCCCAGGAGAGAACTCTTGTCCACATGTCGTAACCTTCGTAGGGCAGGATCTCTTTCTTAAACGTGCAACTCACCGCGCCCAAAGCGACTGTGAATTTGCTGTGCGGTTTCCCACTCAGGCCATTCATGGTGGTGCCCCCACGGATCTTGTCGATGCCCTTCCCAAACATTGTCGTCACGAGGTGCACACGGGCGATATCAACGTCAGCAAAGTACGTGCTGTTAGATTTATGGCCGAAGACATCGAGTTCCATTAAACATGACTTCGACGACGTGATCAGCGGCTGGAAAAGCTGCTCGGGTCCAACATCTCGCTTTGGGCGCTGGGATCGGAGAACAAAGCGCAGACCATTGAGAAGTCGAAGATGATAAACGAATGGGAAGACTTTGAGATTGAGCAGAAGAAGCGTCAACGTCGACAGTTTCCAGGCATTGTCCCAGGAGATAAGCTGGCAGAAACCAACCCAGGCAGAGACCAGAGAATCAGACTCGAGCAATGGGGTGCTGGTGTAGTTGGCGAACAATGTGATGAACTCGGATCCCGAGGCCGGGGGGGAGGTCAAATCGGGCATATTCAGATCCGGTTGAGCCTTCAGCGTGCGGCATCGGCGGGCATCGGCGTTGAATGAACTGGAGATAAATATCGACTGATGTGCAGGGAGCCGCTAGGGTATGAGCACTCTTGAATTCGCGACTTGGGAGGGTAGACAAGAGTGAATAACCCAGTTCTGTTCGCAAAAAGAAAAAAGAAAATAAACAGTCACATGCATGAAATAGCCGGACTGATCAACGAAATTAATCTTTCTTTGTCTTTATGTGAGACAGGCCGTTATTGCGGATCGGCAATGCCAGTAAATCGACATGGCGAGGATTCTCGGCCTGGTGGCTTTTGTCAATAACCCACTCAACAGGTCCGCTGTCATGGGGAACGAGGAAGAACTTGACACTAGATTGGGTATTGTGGATGCAACCTGATCGCTGATGGCTTTTTTGTCCGGACGAGGTCGAGGCAGCTCGCACAGATATTTTAGCTGTCGGCCAGCAATCCTGAGGATACAGTGCTGGCCTCCAAAACAAAAAGGTGATGAAATTTCGGTGGATAGTGCTTCCTTCCTACCCACTCTGCCACCTGCGTGAGATTGTTGGTCGTTACTATCCACTGGAGCTCTGTTTGGATTTTTTTGTGTCCCGTGTCCGGTTTGATCCATTGACAAGTAATTGGATTCAGGTCGTCTGAAGCTCTTTTCCAGGGTGCCAGAGTTTGGTAGTCCCGTGTCAAAGGCTTCAATAACAAGCGATACGCCGACCCTAACAGTTGGAAGGTCCATGTTGTAACCCCCTTTGTGTAAATGGCCTGCAGATCTTCGACATCAAGTTTTGTCACCAAGACGTCAAGGTTAGATCTGGCCCCCTATCGTTGTTGGACAGCCGAGCATTAATTGAACATTGACAGGTTGACAGGTTCGTTTGAGCGGCATATCGACGATGACGAATCAGAGGCATGGCAAGGGTGGGGCCTGGAAATGATTATCTTAGAGATCATCTCCATATCCCTGTCTCCAGGTCTGTGCTGGAAGAGGAACCCAAGGACGAATATAGAAACCTAAACAGGATGAGGATCGCAACCCTATTTCAACCTCCTGGGACTAAAAAGATGGCAACCTCTTGGCTAGTGGTTTCACATCCTGTCAAATGGACACATGTTTCTTGGTTCAAGCCCATGTTATGCAGAAAATGCTTCTCCATTCTCCATCGTGCAGCGGAACGATCCTACCGATTGGGAAATCGGCTTGACACCACCACGTCAGGGACTAATCACTAATCCTTATTCCGAACTTGTTATCGACACAGATATCTGCATTAGCTATCGATTATAGCGGGGATGTGATGACATTGTTTTGCAGATTGATACTGATCACCCCAAAAACTTTCGAGCCGCTCCAAAAGGTCATGATTGGGGAGTCCCAATCGGTGTAGCGAAACTCGGGCCACAGCCAGCTCACGGAGTGTGCGGCCGGTTGCTCGGCCTCAGCGCTTCCATCAGGCTCGTATGCATTTCTCTTCATTCATGGTCACAACAATGGCAGTGGTGGCCGATTTCAGAACCTCCGATGCGAGTTCAGTGGTTTCAGGGATTGTCGGTACTTCCGTCCTCGCTGTTTTCTGTAAAGTTTTCTTGGATGGCTTCTTGTAAGTTGACAGATAAAACATGACGAAGAGAACCAGATACGAAGATAGAATAGCACATCCCGTGGCAGCAGCAACTTCCTGGCGCGGGTCACCACAGGCGCCGGTGTGAGGCAACCATGGCGCGTATGTGTTGGCAAAGTATGTGTAACAGGCGAAATAGATGAATCCTGGAATCATAGCACGTTAGCTAGGGGGGCAGTCTCTTTGGGGAGAAGAATGACGTACCTAAATCCAAGACGAATTGAGTGATCTGAAACATGGTAATGTATTGCTTCCACCACACCTTGACACCTCGTGCGGATTGATAATAATACCTAGAACCATTACCTTTCTGCCGGAGTCACCAAGAACGCCAACATACCAGTACATGACCACGTGAACTCCCAAGTTGAGAGTGATGGGAACCCACGACACGGAAGTTTGTCCGACCAGTTGTGTATAGCAAAGAAGTGCGGTTGCGCCGTGATGATAAGTGTGGAGAAAAGTGAGTGGCTTCTTCCTCAGGACCAGGAACACGGTGTCGAGCAACTCGAGATATTTGGTGAGATAGTTGAGATAATACAAAACCAGCAATTGTTGCGACCAGCCAGTTGTCCCACAAATGCCGTCGTACAAACCATTCTTCCACAGGGCTGGAACAAGTTGCTGGGCGAACAAGATGAGGAGTCCCCCAGAGATGGCCGTGAGGTAGAAGTTGTGGATGATGAAGAGATTGTTCAGTTTCATTGCCGGACGATTGCGCATCAGCTCGCGACCTCCGAAGATGACCGCATAGTATGTCGTGATAAATGTGACGGTCTCTTGGAATGTCGATAGAGGAGTTTGACCTTGAATGAAACGAAAGTCATCGGTAGAGAATCCCATGGTCATGGTATACAATCGATCGAACACCGACCAAGGATCAATCTTGATCACCGAATGCGACAAACTGGCCAGTTGGTGAGCCTTGGGCGATGGTGTTGCATACGGTAGCAAGTTCGCCGCAGCGTGGTATGTTGAATTCATGAACTCCATGGCTAATCAGAGTGCAGCGCCGAAAGCAAGGTGGAAGATTGCTCAAGCGAGTCTCGCAAAGGAAAAGCACCAGCAAAGCAGTTACAAAGAGACCCGGGGACAAGGACTCGTGCAAAACGTGAGGGAGGGCTCCTTCTATACCTCTGGGGAAATTCTCGTCAAGCCTTGGAACGAGCTGCCCGACTGTACTGGAGAGCGGGCGGAGACATGTGCATCCTCTGGAGATGCTGTGAAAAGATCTCCCATTCCATAAACCGATCAACTCTGGCATTTCGGGCCAACACCGACCAGAAGGTGCTTGTGGGTGACAGGATGCTGGAGCAAATGACTGCACGTTCCAATTTCCCACAAATTTCTCTTTACGAGCCACCCAACTGAGACTTGATGTCAAATTACCACCGGATTTGTCTCCAGGACTTCTGATCGACGATCTCTATGTCTCCTCAATGTCCTGTTGTTGTCAATCCGCTTATAAGTGAAGTATCTATAATAGGGTCAGCATGACACTCTCTTGGTACCAAGCCACATGGAGCCTTTGAAGAGGCCGACCACAACGTGAGTGTTGGAACTGACCTGAAGGTACAGCTGCATAGGGACTGTCAGGCGTCATGGGTGGGTAGATGCATCAATGCCTCTTTTGTCCAGCAAGGGCCCACAAGTTCTTGATCAGCCTGTCGTGAAGGTTCGGAAGTCAACATCCTTGAATGCTGCTGGGTTATCAACCACCGACCCGGGCTTTGACATTTTCAAGGAGATTTGGCACATAGGAATAAATTATTTCTCAACAGAAGCAAGGTCCCTTCTCGGCAAAGATCTTCATAACACCTGCCAGTATTATACGTAAACTCTGACCACTTGACTGACAGTTGGCATGACACAAAGTCTTGGACGTGTCAATATTTGAGGCTCTTGCTTTCCATTTTAGCTCACCGAGCTTATATCCAGGGACCTCAAATGCGTGAAAATTTTACTGACCTTCCATTAGTGATTTGATATCAGAGACTCGGGAAGAAAAAAAGAAAGAAAGAAAAATATCTCTTCGGGTTGCCGAATTCCTCTTCTTTCTGCCATTGACATTTGCTTCCCATGCGCTTGGTTGACAATTTTCTCTCAGAATGACGCTACAAATTGGATTTGTACCATTCATAGGCCTCACCACCCTCATTGCGTTGGTGATTGGAAAACATTCGGAGGCCATCGGAGTTGCAACAGCCCTTGAGGTTTTCCTGCCGGTCGCGACTGTACTGTATATCCTGTATTACAGCTGGATTTACCCATTATTTGTGTCGCCATTGAGGCACATTCCCACAGTTCCGGGCTTTCCTCTCTGGGGTCAATTTTTCACCATCATCACGACCGAATGCGGCGTTCCTGCGCGGGAATGGCACCAGAAATATGGGCCCATCATTCGATATTTCTTCCCATTTGGCAGTGAACGTCTGTCCGTGGCAGACGACGATGCCATCAAACAGATGACGGTCAGGAATCCGTACAATTATCCTAAACCTCAACGGGCAAGGCTATGGATGATGCCCATTCTCGGTGAAGGTAAGTGTATCTGGGCCTTTCAGTCTTTTTCGCTTTTTCTAATGTGAAGCAGGTGTTCTTCTTGCAGAAGGACAAACCCACGTCGTCCAGCGAAAAGCTCTGACGCCGGCTTTCTCCATTTCTTCCATAAGGTCGTTGATGCCGATTTTCTGGGAAAAATCACTGCACATGGCAAAGCTCTGGGAAACGGAAATGGCCGCTGAAAAGTCCACAAGCAAATGTTTCGAAGTTTTGGAATGGCTAAACAGGACGACTTTGGACATCATCGGTCGCGCCGGCATGGGAACTGACATTGACTCACTTGATGATCCAGACACGCCACTGCGCGATGCATATCGACGTTGCTTTGACTTCGATCTGCAGGCTCGAATCATCAATGGCTTAGCAGCTTTCACCACTCTCGTTCGTCTTCTCCCTGCGCGGGCGAATCGTGACATACTTGATGCTCGAAACATCATCCTCAGTCGGGCTTCGCAAATCATCAAGGAAAAGCAAGCGAACATTGGTGTGAAGGAGGGTCCTCGCCAGAAAGACATTATTGGCTTGATCGTCAGGGACAACATGACTGCGAGCAAGGAGGACACTTTGACAGTGGAAACAATGCGAGACCAAGTCATGACTTTTCTCGGTGCAGGGTAATGACCTTCCTTTTTGGGTGAGTGATCGTCGACTGATGGTTCCTAGACATGACACGACCGCCACTTCGGTGGCATGGACGCTTCTACTGCTGGCCAAACATCCGGACGTTCAAGCCAAATTGCGCGAAGAAATCCGTTCTCAGATGCCTTTCCTTTTCGACTCTAAAGCTCGGGAGGATAGCGAAAACATCGAGAAGGCAGATGTTGACTTGCTTCCATATCTGGAAGACGTGTGCAAAGAGTCTCTCCGCTACATCCCTTCCATTCCTATGACCGTCCGAAGAACGATTGCCGACGATACGTTGGCGGGGTATTACATTCCAGCAGGGACCACCGTTTACCTCATGTCCAACGCCATCAACCGGCTTCCAATGTATTGGGGTGAGACGGCCGACAAGTTCGATCCTTCTCGCTGGCGGAATCTTCCTTCGACTTACACCACGAATGCATTCATGACTTTCTTGCAAGGTAAGTGCGCATGTGGATTTTATCTCCACCGAGCTAACACACAAAATCTATAGGGCCACGGGGCTGCGTGGGTCGCAAGTTTGCCGAAGTGGAGATGAAAACCATCTTGTGCTCTTTGCTCAGCAAGTTCCACTTTGAACAAGACTTGTCGGTTCAGGATCCCGAGGAACTGAAGATGTGGAGGTTGGTGCTGAGGCCCAGAGATGGAGTTAGTTTGAAAGTCTCTCCTCTGAAGGAGTAAATTTGGTGTTTCGTATTGCCGAAAGTGTAAGACAGAAAGACGATCGATGTGAGGTTGTTGAACTCGTCGGATATTGTCACGAGCCTCCACCAAGCTCTGTTAGCGTTGTGACTTCATATCGGGAGCTTGAGATGAGTATCGACATATTTTTTCTTGTGGTAGAGATTTGAAATATCAGGATTGGGTTTCTCCAGATGTCGAGAAAATGTCGGGTCCACTTTGTTCTTTTGGTGATCGGAATCGACAGCAAGAATAAAAACCCCGGAGACGGCACATTCGGCTTGGTGGAAGGTTGTCGTGTCAATTATCATGCTTGATAGGTCAAACTCCACTCCTGAAGATCCACCTTCGGAAGTGGTTGAGCAGACAACCTTCATATTCTCTCGGTTTGACAACTCTGGTCTGGTCCTGATCTAGAGCCCACTGTGACGTGAGACAGCTGATGGAGAATGTCCGAAAAAGGGAACCAGAGTTCCGTGCGGCCACCGGGTTCCTGTCGATCACCGCGCAGACCAAAAACATAAAGCTAGCCCAACTGTCATGGATGAGACAGGGCAATGCTGAAATCTACATAGATTGTGCGCGAGACTCCTGTTGCAAAGCTAACCATATGACTCAGAAGGGTCGTGCACCATATTGGCTAAAAAACTTTGGCATTTCAAGGCGTACCCAGTTGGCACCACCGGAAAGGGTCCTTGTCACACCAAATACATCCAGCCAGCTCCGGAACATCGCAGATAATAATGCTCAAAGGTGAGCTTTTACAGAGAATTATTGACCGGCCCTCTCCACTTGGACGCAGCTGTCGGTTTCTCCCTTCAATTGGCCTGTGTCCCACCACCAATTTACCTTGGGGTGGACATACGGATTAGATTGCTGACACATTTCAGTCATCGATCTCTTCAATTTTGAGAAGGGATCTTCGGTCAAGATCATCTTTCCTGGCCGACGAGGGAGAGCTGCAAATGCTAGTGAAAGTCAACCACACTAGCGAATAGAGTGTTTTATACACACCCACCAGAATAAAAGTCTCTTTCTTGGGTGGTCTTTCACTTGCATACGAGCCAGGAAGGGCCTCAATACTGCAAGAACGCTTCCTTCTAAGAGTGTTCAAGTTTTCGTCTCTCGTTTTCCAGGGACCTCTCGAGCTTATGATGTCTGTTGCACCGGTGTTTTTCATCCTCGTAGCTTTTGTTTGCTACAAGATTCTCTCGGCCTTCGCTTTGAGAAGGCACAATGCTCGCCAAGCTGCCATTCGTGGATGTCTGCCACCACCACGTGCCCCATGCAAGGGATTTCTTGGTATAGGCACATTGAGGGAAAGTCTTCAAGCAACCCGAGAAGAAAGGGGGCCAATATGGATGCATGAAACACTGAACTCCATCGGGAAAACCGTCCACACCGTCCAAGCCTCGATCTTCGACTATGACTTGATCATCACCAGAGATGCCGAGAACGTCAAGGCCATGTTTGCCAGTCAGGCCCAAGATTTTGATATTGGACTGCACCGAGAAAAGTGTTTCAAGTCTTTGCTTGGCTCTGGTGTGATGACCAACCGACAAGACAAGTGGAGGCATTCTCGGAGCCTGATCAGGCCCCAATTCGCAAGAGACAATGTAGCAGACCTCAATCTCTTTCAGAGACACTTGGACGCCCTATTGCGAAGAATTCCACTGTCCAAAAATCGATGGACCTCGAAGGTTGATTTGTCTCCTCTCTTCTTCAACTTCACCCTGGACACGTCGACCGAATTCTTGTTCGGTCAATCGGTTCACACCCAAAATTCCACCGACCGTGTGAAGAGTTCATTCGCATGGGACCCAGACGTTCCTGATCTGACAAGTTTCGGACAACATCTGGACCACGCCAAGCACATTATCGACCAAAGAGGAGCATTGGCCAAATACGGGTGGCTTTTGCGTGATGGAGCCTTTCCAGATCATTGCAAAGCCGTCCAAGGCTGTGTGGATTATTTCGTCCGGGAGAAGCTGAGCCGCAGTTCGGACAATGAAAAGACCATCGCAACTCCGAATGGAAAGTCCAAATTCATCCTGCTCGACGAACTTGCAAAGGAGACCAGAGATCCACTCGAGTTGCGTTGTGAGCTGCTGAACATTCTGCACGCGTCCAGAGACACGACGGCTTCATTGCTGGGCTGGTCATTCTATTTCCTGGCGCGCCATCCGGACGTATTTGCCAGACTGCGAGAACAGACGCTGGATGTTTTGACCGACAACCCGGTTTCTGAGATCGCCTTCTCCAAGCTGTGGTCGTGTCGGTATTTGCAATATGTCTTGAACGAGACCATCCGCATCGTCGGAATTGTTCCCATGAACGAACGTGCCGCTCTCCACGACACAACCTTACCTCGTGGCGGCGGACCTGACGGACAAAGCCCAGTTTTTGTGCCAAAGGGAACACAGGTCCTCATTCCAACCTATTCGATGCAGCATCGTGAGGATATATGGGGGCCAGACGTTGAGGACTTCAAGCCAGAGAGATGGCAAGATCGAAAGTTTGGTTGGGATTTTGTTCCGTTTGGGGGAGGAGCACGCCAGTGCATTGGACGTGAGTTCATTTAGCAACACTCACCATGGATTGGCGCTGACATATCTTAGAACAATTGTCACGAACAGAAGCGATGTTCGTGATGGCGAGAATGCTCCAAATTTTTGACAAGATTGAGAATATGGAGGCACCAGGTCCGATCAGGATGCACCATAGCATCGAAAACAGGAGCGGAACAGGTGTACAAGTACGTTTTCATCTGGCTCCATCCTCTTCCGCGTATTGTCAACTGCAACCTCAGCACGATCTTAAGTTGGGCGACGAATACGACCTGGGCCTAGGTGTCGACAGAGGGGACTCGGCATCGTGAAGCTGGAGAGACCTACCGGAATGGCAAAAAAGACGCTCCATGGATCGTGGTACTTGCAGAATGCCTTTCCACCGATGTAGATTAGAGAGGAAAGTCTTTTCTCCATTGCGTACCGTTGAACCGCATTCAGCCGCATCCATCTTTGAGGTCGACACAGGTATGAATGCCGCGGAACCAGTGTGGTGCACCCGAACCTAGCCCTACAACATTGCGGCCCAGAAATATGGACACATATCATGACCGACCACGAGAGCGCGTTAGGAAGTAGCGGAGGGGTTTTTTTTCTGTTGATTTAGCAAGTCGAATCATTGTCCTAATAAATCAAGTCATCTTGATGTCTGTGAGCGTATTTCTCTTTCAACATCACATGTTGTCTCTCAGCATCCTCTTTCTCTCAGTCTCTCTCCTGATCCCCTTTAGCAACTTTGGCTGCCTTCTCGCGCCGCGCAGTGATACGTTCCGTGTAGGTTGAATGGCAAGTCCGACAAGAGGATCCGGAGACGCTCGAGGCAAACGGTAGCGATAGGTTTGTCTGCCACTGGTGCATCAAGCACCATCATCGATTGACAAATGAAGATGATTCATTGTGTGGGTGAATTGATCTGAGTGATGGACACAGAAAATGCGATTCTCTGAAGTCGTTGGACGGCGTGATGGCTTGGGGGTGGCTATGCTCGATCGGGAGGTGCATCGCCCGGAGCTGATTTAGGCGACCAGCCCAACGACGACAATTGTCTATTGATGAAGCCGAGGCTATTCTAGGTAAATGACCACTCCTAAGAGCTTTCGAACGTTGTGGCGGACAGAGGAACAATTCCCCGACACCTCTCCTCGGGCCTGGTTCCTTCCCATCTCTAGATGGTCCACCACCAATCGTCCGGGATGAGCCGCTGGTGTTACGGTCCCCTCCAGACACCATTCAGCATAAGTGTCTTGCCAAAGCATGGCGAGATCCAAGATGACCTCGTTCTTCAACGGGCTATTCTGACCACGTCTGGAATAATCGGGCAGTCACCCCAGGATTCAACCATCACACAGCAGCTAGTAACTCGCCATTTCTGTGACTGGCATCCTTTGCTCCCCTTTTTGGACGGTAACAAATTCTTTGTCGAAATAAAACTTTGTACATCATACTTTAAAGCCTTGCCGTATCTATTAGTCAGATTGATGTCTCTGCACCATCTTTTTCCTAGGACGCAGCACATCTTCTAAAGCTCAAAGAAGTCCGCATTCTCGTTATATTACAGCTCTTCGTCAACACTGCCTCCCTCAGAGGCCAGGGGTGCGGTGAGGCTCAGTTGCCGGACGAGTCGAATCAAATCAAACCACGGACTCACGCGGTCTCTGAGCCGGGATGAGGACGTGGGCGTTGTCCGAGTATACCTTGCTTCTACTCGAGCAGTTGGGAACACTTTACTTGTGCCAAGCCTATCCGTCGGGAGGGCCTCAGACGAAGGCATAGAGATGTAGCAAAGAATATATTGGTGGACTTTCGTCTGGGGAAAACACCTTTCAACACCTTCTAGCTACTGCAGCCCAGCCAAAGATGAAGATTTCAACAGCGTTTCTCCTGAGCCTGGCATTTGGCGAGATGAATCTGTCGAGCAACCAGCATCGGAATATATGAATGAAGCAACCACAGAATATGACAATTCGCCATCTGCGATGCCAATGTTCGATGTACGGAGCTCCGTGGCCAGAACTCCGGTCAGGATGGGATCATCTCGCTGAAGTCGCTTGTTTCGCTGAGGCCGTCGCGGTCAGAGGAGCTGCTAGTGGAGGTTGAGCTGGTGGGTGCTGGGCTTTGACTGGAACTATAGTCTGATTGAGAGACCCCGAGGAGTCTGATGAGGGTGATGGCGTGCAGTAACGTCGCGACATCAAGGAGGAGAGATGTTGTGGTCAGTTGGATGATATGGTATGGACGTGCAATGGCAGTCTCCATATCTCTCGGCCCAGAGACACTCTATGGGGTTTTGTTCTGGACATCGTGAATATGGCCAGAGTGGGTGAACGGTGAGGCTTTGGGTGATATCTCCGGGCCTTGAAGATGATAGTTCCCCATGGACTGGGGATAGAGGGGACCAGAAGTAAGAAGATGGAGTGTTGCATTAGTCCAGAACGTTGAACTGAGCAAGCCTAGGCCTTTGCCAGGTTGAATATTCACGTGAACGAACTGGCAATCTTACTCCTGGCTCTAATCTTCGGTCCGTACAAAGCCAAAACCCAGGGTACAAGTGTCAACGCGGCACCGATTCCGCCCAATAAACAGCTGGCGGCTTGAAATCCCAATCCTCGAAACATCTGGACGGTGACTAGAGGAAAGGAGCCACCCAATAAATTTCGACAAAGTCCCGAGGCTGCCAGAGCCGAGCTTGCATAGATGTGATAGACATCAGCGGTATAGTTGAATGATGCCAAGTATATACTGAAGATGCCCATGGTGGCCACGGCAATTGCAATTGTAGGAACGATCCAGTGAATAGAAGAATAACAAGTCCAGCCGAACCAAAACAATCCAATTGGCATCAGGGCAGATTCGACACAGGTGAACAAAAGTCTTCCCTCTGGACTTCCATTTATTTTCACCGGGTAATGCTTCACAGCCCATTTTTCCTGGTATATACTGAGGACAGTGGAGATGATGGCTCCAACACAAACAGCGGTGAATATTGCTCCAGTTTGCTCAAGAGAAAATCCGTGGTTGACCTCATAGACCAGAGGAACCGATCCAAATTGAAGGTAGAGAACGGCCCAAGAGAAGGAGACCCACAAGCTGAACCAAAAGACCACCGGTTCCGTGACGAGCATGTGGAACGGCCGGTACAGAGACACGGCTATCATCGTGCCTAGGGAAGATCTCTCCTCGTCTGCTTTCACCCTCCAACGTATACGGCAACACGGTCTGGAATTCTTCTCCAGGTCGTTGGCATCAATCTGCATTCCACGAGCTCCTGCTTCTTCTAGTTTTTCATACCACTCGTTCAAGCATCTTGCCTTTCGACTTAAAATGATGCTTCCGCGGGTTTCTTTGAAGAAGAGAGTGACCAGAGTCACCAAAGTCCCGCTCGTGATGACTTGAATCCAAAAGACCCATCGCCAGGACAGACGCTGTGCGACAAAGCCACTGACCAGAGGCCCAAGTCCAGTCCCCAGCAATGTTGCTCCGGTAAACAAGACCATGGGAGTATTTCTGTCGGCGGTCACCCAAACATCGGCGAGAATACCTCCAACCATGGTGGAGAATGTCGCTAAACCACGTCAGCAATCGAGTCAGTCCACATGTGGCAATGACCTACAGCCTCCGACACCAAGGAAGAATCGAGCGGCGAGCATTCCTCCGTAAGAATCAGTGAGTGCACAGCCTAGCTGACAAACTGAGAGGTGAGAGTCAGATTCTCCCGAACTTGACCAGCTGTGGAAGACTCACTGACGAAAAGCAATCCCGTCACAATAAAGACAGGTCTCCGGCCGTTGATCTCTGAGAATGGTGCCAAAACCATAGGAGCAATTCCGAATCCGACCGTGAAGATGGTGATGCCCATATTGTATGCCACATTCGACACACCCCATTTCTGGGTCATTCCGGCAGCGGGGGCGGCATAAGACCCTGCAGAATATGCCGCTGTTATATTCACTGAACATGAAAGGTAGGTCAACAACCTCTTTCGAGTTAATGACCAGGAGAACGGATTATCGTAGTCGCGCAAATTTGGACATGGCGGAATTTCAGCTTTGGGATCGGGTGGAAGAATTGGAGTGAGCGGGATGTCTGTTTCGAACGTTAAATAACGATATTCGATATCCGGAGAATGGTCAAGCGACGCCGTAAAGGCTGGGTTGTTTGAGACAGGAACTTGTTGAATGGTGGATGAGCCGTCTTCAGGGAGGACGGTCATGGCACACGGCTCCAATATTTCATCATGTTTCTGCGGGCCATGTTGGTCCAGCATCCTAGCGGTCGATGGACGGAGACTTGGGAACTCAGCGAGCTTCACAGGGCCAAACAAATACAGCCCCCCTCAACGGGGAATACCTGTGTTCGAGAAAACGAAACCTGGGAGTGGGAAGTCTTGGAGAAATATTGATATAAAGTCCAATCCAGATTGGCGTCACCGGCTCTGATAGGAGCAGGTCAGCATTGTGGATATCGTGGAGGGCGGTACATCTCCCCGCAGTTCCTTTCCACCCCTCCGGACACTTTACCGAGGCCTTTGCAATGAGGAAATAGAAAGTAGAGTCCTGCAAGGCCGGTGGATGTATGTTCTTGTCCGTATGCCGAAAGGTTTGCCCGTTTGGGAACACATCGTCCACTAGGTCTTGTAGTTGTCCTTCGGAGTTCGAAGCTGATCCCCGAATAGTGCATTAATTGCGCCTGAATATGCAAGAAATGGTAAGGAGCACTTCCCACTCGGGTTAATGTATCCGAAGGGCGTCCATACTGCTTTTCGCGGGTTTTGTATCACACAACTATGATGTCGAGGATGATGCGGTGGATTTTATCTCCGGCGACGTCACGTGCTCAATCATCTGACCTTTGATTTTACGGACTTCAAAGGTATATAGTTTCGAAGCGTGTACGGAGCGTACAACGCCTTAATATCCCTCTGATCGGATCCAGTCCAAGGACCACTTCTGCTTACTTCATAGTCTCTGTTATTGTCAGTTCAATGAAGCGGTTATGAAGGTCGGTTCCAAAAGCCCGCCCCCTACGAAAAGGGGAACGTGGCCGTGACCTAACAGGAATATCTATAGGGATTTTGTAGGGATTCTCGAGTCTCTCCTTCCTCTCTTATAGCTATTGTTTCCTTCCAGTTGGATCACCTTGCGAATAATGCGCTCAAACCACTTTCTAAATCTGGTGTTGAGGAAGCCCATTTCATGTCTTGATCCATGCCTTGTTTGCAGCCTTCGATCTCAGAGGGGCACCTTTCTTCGTGGTGATACGCTTGAGATGTGGTCAACAAGGCTTGATCATATTCAAATCTGAGTGTTGCCGTAGGGTTGCAAGATGGGACCAACGGGGTAGGGGGAAGGCTTGACTACTACCAAATCATAGAAACTTTACCCAATCAGAATGAGATGCAACGATAGCCACGGTGAGATCATGCGAAGCGCCCCGAAGACATCGAGCACGTAGGTTTGATTCTCCGAACCGATCAAGATCTGTGAAGAATAAACACCTACAGTTCCGTTGCTACTGAGAAGCAAAATGGTAAGGAAGCAGACGAAGTGGTAGACTTGAATGTACATTCATTGGTGTTCACCAGCCGAGATGAAAAAGCGGGTGTGATTTGCAGACGCCGAAACGTACAAGAGATTGATAATGGAAGAACGGGAGTAGTCCAATCCGTAGAATCGACTTCCTCGGTCGAACTTTCCATATAGGTCAACCCTCGATAGAGATTTTTAGCTCTCATCGCGGTTATGCGTTGCATCCTATTGATTCGGAAAGTCGATGATAGTAGTCAAGCTTTCCCCCTTGCATAGCTCTATGTATCATGTTAAGAATCCATTGGTCCCTTCTTGCAGTCTTACGGCGACTCCTTCAAGCTTTGGCAACCTGTGACGGCTTTGTCGAGGTTGGAAATGAAAATCGTCGGGAGAGGCCTTTGACCATTGAAGACGTCACAGGAACTTGTGTTCGAAACACCTTGATTTCCAGCACACCGCATTGCAATGCATATCCTTCCCTTGTGATTAGCACACAGAACATGTGGTGCATCCGACTCCCACGCCCGGCCCTATGGAGTACAGTATACAATACAACATGTCTTGGCCTTGGCCATGGCTATGGCTAGGAAAGGATTGGAGCCCTGAAGGTTACACCATGTCTTGAAGGCCAACATGCCCTGCAGGTCACCATGTCCTGACGGGCAACAGGTCCTGCAGGCTAACATTCTTATCGCTCATCTTCTGTGGAGATAAAATGATGATGGACGTCCCTAGCTGCTGTCTGGTTCCGATGTAGAACTAGCGCGGCAGGATAAGTCGTCTTGCTCATGGCGTTTTGCTGCTCTTTCCTCCTCGTCTTGGAATGCCTGTTCACGCGTCTGGTCTAGATCCTCTGGGGGAGTGCTCGATCGACGTCGCTTTGTCAACGGGACCATTCGGGGGTCGACCATGCCTCTTCTCTGCTTCACAAATGATGCTCGCTCTTCGGCATCGTTCAAGTATCTGTGAAAGCTTTCAGCGGAGATAAAAGTGCTGTCCTTCGGTGTATGGAATTTCTCGGTCAAGGCCCCATTGGCGAAGTCCTCAAGAAACAGACGAAGGCCTGCATCAGGGTTGTCATTAAAGGAGCCATCATCATTTCGAAAATCTGATAGAAGGTTAGCATTTGTGGAACGAAACGCCATCCCTTTGATCTCACCTGATCAACAACCGTTTGTTCGGCGACCAACTCGGTGCCCTCTTCATTTGTCCGCCATCTGGGTCTCCACATGGATAAACTAGCCTTCTTGTGGGAGTATTCGATCTTCAATCCAATCACCACGCGAATATTACCGTCTGATCCAAGAATGTAGTCATCCGCCAGGTGTGGTAATGCCCGTACTACACCAGGATACTGCGCATCTGAGTGCCGAAACGATGCGTCGGGATCATGCCTGCCATACTCAGAATAGAATCTTCGAATGTGATCGCACTAGATCCGCTGTGTCGGATACCTCTAGCAAACATCGCCGAAGGAGAATCGCTGCGGGCGGCGACCTGTCTTGCACCTTCGGATCTCATGAAGAATGCTGGATATCTGGTCTGTTGATTTCTTTCCTGTCGAAGGAGCAGTGAGGGGAATGTGAACGAAGCTGGTAGTTGGCGTAGAAGTCGACTTTCGAATATGGCCTTCTTGATTCATCGCCACATAGGATACAACAGCAGTACTGTGTACTGATGGACTGTGTAGTCCGGTTGATTGGATCTGTTAGTAGAAAGGGTTGGCCTTCAAGTGAAAACGCAGGAGTGACTCAACAACATGTGACCCGCCAAGGCCGAGGCTGCTTCCCCCAAAGGGCAATCTGAATTGCACTGGTGACAGGCAGATCGATAAAATTCCTCAAATGAAACTCCAATCCAGCACATCATCCGCAATAAATCTCCCTTGATATGGTTTTCCTCCTCATTTCCACCAGCTATCCTATGTCTTTTAACCCTTGACATTCGATATCCTCCGTTTGTTCAACCGTTTACACCCGGTGCAAGCATCGCACGCGACTCGTTGATCTGGTTCTCCGCATGCTTCCTTCGGCACGAGCCCGTCTATGACAACTTCGCTCTGACATTCATCCGACCTCGGAGGAGGTCCAATTTATCTGACAGGCCATCCTAACCTGAGGCGCAATAGGCGCCATGTCTGATTCTGTTGGTATGTTGGCATCTCAATCTGTTCTCTGACCCGCTAGCCTTGTCTTACAGGTCAAATCAAAGACCGCGTGTTCGTGCACGCTCTGGCCACGGTCCGTCGACTCCCACGAACCGGGTCTTCCAGACCACCTCCCTCCGCCCGCTTACGTCTCTATGGCCTCTATAAACAATCGATGGAAGGCGACGTAGAGTCGATACTGCCGAGGCCGACCCTTCCCTCGGTTTCACCCGATCCCAACAATTCAAAGTCAAATAATGTCCATCGTTATGCGTCGCGCGACCTACGAATACGAGAAGCCGAAGCGGAAATAGAGAAGTGGGATGCATGGCATAGTTGTGCTGGAATGTCACGTACGGAAGCCAAGAGACGGTATATCAGCACGCTGATCGAGACCATGAAAGAGTATGCCAGTGGAACTCAGGAATCCCGGGAGTTGGTCTCCGAGTTAGAATTTGTGTGGAATCAGATAAAAAGCCAGAGTGGAAGCTCGGAAGATGAAGATGCTGAATCACCTACGCGACGCCTTGAGCGGGCAGGGCTGAAACAGACCCAAAGGGTGGGCAGTGTACCGCCAGGCCCCAGCACCGGAGCAGAACGAGGAAATGGAGGCTTGAGCAGGCTGACATCCGATCCGAATCGATTGAGAGTCTTATCGCCTGTATCTCAGCGTGATAGCGATGACATTGTCGAAGGTGAAGAGGTGGATCCGGACACCGATGCTGTGATCGGCCCTCTGTCTGCAACAGGGGACCCGGCTAGCGATTCCGAATGGAGAAGTCGTATCGAGTCCCACCTACGCCATCTATCAACCGAGGTTGCCGCACTGCGCGAGCAGTTGTCCGCCAACCATCTCCTGTCCTCACAGTCGCTTTCTCCGTCACTGACGTCCCGGCGAAGGAGGGTGTTCTACCGAATTTGCGTCTGGGGGAAGTGGTTAGCGTGGGCCATTTTCCGCCAGATATTATTGGATGCTGGCCTGGTAATGCTCTTGATCCTCTGGGCGAGGTTCAAGGGGTATAAAGACCGCAGAGTGGAAGACTGGGTGAAACGCCGTTGGAGAGACGTTACGCAAGTACTGACCCATTTGAGGATTTGGATCAGAGGGACATTGCCCGCTTTTCAGACACGTGGTCTACCCACTGGGACATAGGAGGATTGGTCACGACCGTGTGTTCGAGGATTGGGCTTCTGTCCGGTGCTCGTCTCCCGCTCTCTTGGGTTCGGTGAACGGGGCATCTGGCCGGCCATGATCATTTCCACGCTATCTTCGCTGGTTGCAGCCACTCCTGTCCACGCTTCCACACATTCAACAAACAGGCGTATTCCAGGTCAACCTCTTGTGAAGAGGCCAGAGCGACACAACGGTGCATCGCACTGTGCACTGCTGCATTGCTTGAGGCTTCGAATTTATGACTCCTTCGCAAATGTCACAGGCAGAAGATGCGCCTACCAGCATAAAGACAATGATGAGAACAGTGCCCAGAAACAAACTCTTCTGTGGTCATACATCTAGACTTTCTGAGAATGGAGCTGGGATGAAGTTGAATGATGGACGCGCTACGATTTATGGGCGATGAGCTCTAAATATTTTCGCGATCTAGATGATGACGCGACTTTATACTCAACAATGCAGTATCTATTACTGTATTACTACTTTCACCAAAAACGAATTTTCATTTTCGTCCGCGGTCTTTGGATCTGTTCTGTGTCCGACAAGCTGAAGGGTTTGGCAAGGCTGTGCAACTCGCTTGTGCGCTGTCCCAAACTCAGCCTCCAATCCAGCCCTCCAATCTCTCTAGCCTTCGCCAGCCCCTGAAACCTGAAAATCTTCCACTCGCATAAAATTTGACTGTTACCGATTAGTTGTCGTTATGTCAATGTTTCGGGAAGGCCGCTACCTAATTGATTTATGGCAAATGCGACACGCACTTCGACTACGGAGGGCTTTTCTTTAGAAGGTGCTCACCGCGTCTTCTCCCAGACTGGACTTCGCATTTCAAAGGCATGTCAGCAGTTGGAATAAGCTCGCCCAGGGTTGTAGCTCCCAACTCACAACAGCAAGCGGTCGGTCTTAGACTCATTAACGGCCCCCGGCCAGGACTTGACAAGAAAGCGAAACGTTCAGCGATATCAAAGTCTCCTGTATCCCATCGGCTGATGGTGTGATACTGGTTGCGTCTGGGAACTGTTCCCGCTCTTCACGCCACCGACAGGGCCTTTGCTACAGATGCACAAACATCAACGCTCTTCTTGGGAAGTGTCAGCTGGAGAATTCGAGATTGAAGCCACGTATGGCATGGGCAAAATAAGAGTGACCCCTGTAGGACCACTGTATGCAAATTCTTGGACTTCAGCGCAGAGACCTCTACAGTCAATTCTACCATGTTCCCCAGACCCTCTCTTTCCCGGAAACCAATCTTGATGGATTTGCGCGAGCGATGCCTCGCGTGGTCAAGCACAAAGTCCTGGTATGTCTGCTTGAGTAATGTTTGGGGCACTTCCGTGGAGCAACAGGATATTACAGGGGGTTCGTCACTCAGTTAATTCAGAAAGACAGTCTAGAGGATACAACACTAAGTCCGTCTCTGACCATACAAACGCCATATAATTTGCAAGCGACATGGGAGAGCGCTCCCCGTGGATAGATCGATACCGTATCATTCAGGATGATCATCGCCAAAACAACATCAAATACCTTCCATGGGTTTGATATATCGGCAGGCATTGTTCACGATCAAGGCAGCAGAAAGAGATGCCCTGTCTGGTCTACCAAGGGTATCTCATTTGACCTCGCTGGACCAACGAGAATTGGAGGGAGAAAAGCCAAAGATATAGAGTCCTTTGATTTTCCCTTGGTTTATCCACAGACCTCCTCTCTGCGATCGAAACATCCAAACTTAATCTCTCTCTCCTCTTTTGCTGAGTTATGGTACACATGGAGCCAGTCGACGGGGGCAGGAATATGGGAACTGAACTCGATCCCCGTTTTAGCCCAGACTGGTCCGGTCGTGTCATGCAAGCTGAATGAACTCATCCCATGCCATCTCCATCTCCATCTCCATTTCGCCGTGATGGATCTTCCAGATGTTATCTCAGCCCCACTCAGCTCATCCCATATCTTGTCATGTCATATTATTTCGTTTCATCGTCCTTCTGCCGCAGCGACAAGTAGCCCCATGGCCTTACCGTGCAAAGTGCACATTCCACTTTCGATATCGGATCTTGGTCTAGCTCTGATACCGGTTGTTTCTGGAATCCCCTAGGCTTTAATGACCATTTCACTCCAGATATTCCCGTCGCTCGCTAGTGACGACACACATGGTAAGTGTGAGATCCAGTAGCTGACCTTAGTTAAACCGGCTGATTCAGTTCTGCTGAGTTGTGCGTGCGAGATGCTCATCCCCCGTGCGGTCCAGCTCATTCATCATCTCTTCTGCTCTGATCACGCCACCCCATGAGGATTCAGTTGAAGTGTCTTGATTCAAATCCGCATCACTTGACTTGGACCGCTTTCACTTGGCCTGCTCTGGCAGATATGCACCTGCAGCAAGGACAAGGTTCATGTTGGTGAATCTAACCAGATAGACGGGGCTCTGCTTGGTGAGGAACGCGCTGATCTGGTCGCTGGTAACGACGGCGTCTTTGCCACGCTTCTTATGGACGCTTGCACCCGCGACGCCAGCCGCTCCGGTTGCAGTACCAGAAGTGAGGTTGATGTTGGACGCAGGCGCATTCGTTCCGTTAGGATGAGCGCTATCTGATTTGGCCGAGGTGGTCCCGCTAGTGCCGTCCGGTTTGTGGGCTGGTGCGGCCGCCTCTTTGGCCGGGCCTGTGACATCCCACGAGCGCACGGTGCAATCTTGGCCACAGGAGACAAGGACGGTGGACTCAACACTCCAGCTCAATGACCAGATACCTCCTTTTCCATGGCCGCGCATCTTCTTCAACAATCTTCCTGGCCCGAGATCCCAGAGGAGAATAACACCGGTTTCATCTGCTGAGGCGAGGATCTTGCCATTGCGACTACATGCCAACGCGGTGATCATAGCAGTGTGTCCGGTGAACATGCGAACGGCGTTCCCGTTGTTGATGGACCACATGCGAACAGTCTTGTCGCTAGATGCGGTGAAAACATAGTTGGAGTTAGGATGGAAGGTGGCAACATTTACATCGTCGTCGTGTCCCGCCAGGAGACGGACTTGACGGATCTTGTCAGTCATCCAGACTCGGCCAGTTCTGTCGTGGCCGGCGCTGACAAAGTAGTGACCGAATGGGCCCCAGGAGACAGACCAAACGGGGCCGACGTGTCCCTTGTACACAACGACGCATTGGCAGACATCAGGTTCGAGGTTCCAGAGACGGATAGAACCATCGGCGCTGCAAGAAAGGAGCCACTTTGAGTCCGTATTGGGAGACTCTGGGCTGGGCTTATAGCTTGCGGGATTAAAAGAGACATCGTAGACTGGGCCAGAGTGACCGATGAGACGTTTCGAGTTTTCTTGAAGATTTGGGCCCAGGGCGGAACCATCCAGGGTCCATATACGGATGTAGGACTCTTCAAAACCGGCAGCCACCAGTCTCTGATCACCTGAGAAATCGATACAAATCATACTGTCGTGGGTATTGTGGAAAGTGTACATGACGACGCTAATTCCGACACCAATCCCCCCGGTGCGCGATTCAATCCTCAGTCTATCGCGGTTCTCGCGAATTTTCTGAACTTCCATTGCCACGTCGCGAGCAGTCGACGGGGGGAAGGGGACGTCGGTTCGATTGGGGCCTTCGTCTTCATCCTCTTGCTTGATATTGACGAGTTCGTGAGTCTGGACCAGGCTCGGCTGACCTGGTTGAGGCGGGACAGCGCCGTCGAGGTCCATAAGTTCTGCACGGACATCTTCTTCGAGATCTTTCTCCATGGGAAGTTTGCCAAGTTTGAGAGTGGCAAGGGTGTTGCCGACGTTCGGATCGGTCGAGGAGACGGCATTTCCAGGACGGTGACCGGGGATCCCCTCATCTTCGGCTGGCATGTCCTGTCCACCGATACCCCGCTGGATGACGGCGGCGAAACTGAAGCGATCGTCTGCTGCACGCTCGACTTGGCGCAGGTCCAGGTTCTGCTCGACAATAGAAATGAATAACTTGAATCCAGCTTGAGGAAGGCTCTCGAGGAACTGCATGAAGTAGTTGAATGCGGCGCTACTCAGCGACAAGCGATACTTATTGTCCCGGTAGAGTTTGGCCACCTTGTCTTCTCCATGTTCGGGCAACGCGATGTGCTCCAGTGCCCTCAAGTCATACTCATGTTCCTTCTTGAAATCCTCTGAGAATTTCTGGAACAGACGCGCTGCTTCTTTGGGATAGAATTGTTTGACCAAGTCGAGGTAGGAGTAGACAAAGATCGGCCACAGTAGTCGTTTTACTTCAGGTTTGTAGATGTCCAGGGCGTCATCAGTCCACGCACTCAGCCGCGTAAACATCTCGAAATAACGCGGGGGTCCTGAAAGGGTCGTTTTGAGGTCTCCATCTTTGGGAATCTCTTGATTTGAGGACTCGGCGCGCAGGGTGGCTTCCGTTCGGTGATAGCCTTTCTTTGCGAGATAGTCGATCACCTAATGAAACAGTCAGCTCAAGAAGATTGATCGGCGCAAGAGTCATGACACATGAGATAAAATCGGGATCCTGGCTTGAACCGTATGGATCGGTAGGACGCAAGGATCAAACACCAGAGAGCCAGAAGGGGGTGGTGGGTGGGTCGCAAGTTATTTGAAACGGTCCAACAACATGGCGACGCTGACAACCCATCTTGGTCCCAGTGCGTTGATCAAACAGTAATATTTGCGAAGTAGTGTCCCCCTCTTGGTGCTCTGACCATCGTCTATACGCAAGCAAACGATTTTGGGGTTTGAAGCAGGTAATTGCTCACAATTTGATTCAGATTCTGCTGGGACATGCCACCGCCACTACCACCGGAAGCAGTCGATGCTGATCCAGACGGACCAGAAACAGACCCGCCAGCTACACCATTGACCAGGGGAGCAGCAGCTTGAGTTGTTAAGGGGCCATTGGGTCCCGTGCTTGCGCTGCGAGGCGCTGGACTGGGCGCGCCGTGCCCAGACATGATTATATCGTGCTCATGTGATTGAAAGGACGCAGGAGTTTAGAAACAAGGTGGAAACGAGAGGTCACGGTAGCCTCATCAAGAGATCAGGATAGTAACAGGATGATGATGATGATGAAAAGAGAGACACGACTGTAGCATGGAAGGAAAAGACAAGTTTCTCGCTAAACATTTCGCCAAGCCCTGATATCACGCTAACCGCATTTGGGTGATTGGCCGGAAAACCTACTACAAAGAATACATGTGAAAGAAACGGGGACATTCTTTTTTCGACGCTGTGATTGACCATCATCTCAACCATCCTTGGTGAATATCATGTAAAATGAACAGCATTCAAGTGTGGCTCTCTGCTCACTCATTGCCTGATCTAAATCATGGAGGCTGATCGTGGGCCATCTCAATCAAAAAACCAGCCTTCATCCTTCACTCCCGCTAGCCGCATTGCCGAGTTGAACGAGATTGATCGATCTATTTCCACACTTCTCTCGGCGGCATCTGACGCCCTCGGCATTTTGTCCAATTCTCCTGCCTCTGTATCGCAAGAAAAGGCTCTAAAAAACTCCGAGTCTGCTCGCGCGGCCTTCACAGCGGCTGCCGAGGCATATTTCTCTACCTTGTCGTCGATTGAAGTTCGACTGCGCCGTCAAGTTTACGCATTGGAAGAGGCGGAACTGATAAGACCTGGTGATGACAAGGATGCGAGAAAGGGCCGAGCGTTGGGAGGTGACAGCGGTATAACCACAGCTGGAGGCGGCCCGCTGGATCCTAGCTGGCTGAATGCCAGAGTGAGTGACAAGGTCGGAGATGGGATGAAACGAGAGCTTTTAGCTCGAGCGAGAGAGTTTGTGGAACGAGTAGGTCGTGATACACCAGATGGCAATGTCGAAGCCGGAAAATCTGGAGCGGTCCAAGGCCATGACAATGACGAAGAAATGGGTTGAAATTCACGAGGGACACAAGCCGAATTTTGTTGAAGGCCATGGACGGAGGCATACGTATCGATATGGAGCTCTTCAACCATCGAAAACTTGATCGACAACGTCCCGACATCTGCGATGGCAGAGCATCGGACATCCGCACACCAAACGCGGACATTTTAAAGAGGCATCCTCTAAGCATCCCAAGAACGGCTCGTCTATTCCAGAGTACCTTCGCCTCATATCCATGGTTGTAAACTATGAGGAATCGTGAGTCACGACAAAAGGGACTAGAGGCTTGAATAGCAAAACGTTTCGGCTCTCGGTGGAGTTTTCTGTCATGATGGCTCCTAGCGAGAAAGTATGTCGTCCTTGCCCGCCATCGGCCTTGAGTCGACATGGAACGGCACCTGTAGACGATAGTGAGCACAACGTCGATCAAGCGGCGTATCAAATACAAGATTGAATTCTCACCAACGAAATAACTCAGCCCTATAAAGGAGTCAAGATGGAGGTGTGTTGGCCTGACCAATGGTGGTGCAGCTTGGCAGGGCCGCATTCGAACGTGGTGGCTCCTTCGCGTAGTTTTCCGTCTTTCTTCACCTGGATCTACTTTCCATGTTTCGTCCGACCCTTGTCAATCAGCTTTGAGGAATCAACCGGTGGCCAAATGCGATGACCAACCGATGGATAGTTCGATAACTATCCCCGAGGCCCGAATCTCCCGTGTTCAGTCAAAACTTGAACCTCGTCGCCAGTTCTCTTCATGGCCGCTCCCTCGCCCGATCATGATCGAGGTCAACCACAACAATTATTCGTCAGAGCCGATGAGGTCGATGCAGGAACTTCCATCCTATCCCCCAGTAGAGAATTGCCCCTGAGTGCTCTGAGTCCCTCGGATGCTTTTCCACCAGGAACCCGACCCAGAGCCCCCCCGCGTCCAGGGCTCCGACGTGAAGGCTCAGCGCCTCCGCCTCCTCCGCCATCACAACCACCTCCGGCTCCTCCTACTCACCTAGATCCTGCCGACTCACTAAGTTTACCTCAACTGAGGCAGTTGGTGGGACAATTTCCCAAATCCGAGCAGAGAGCCTATGCTTTCCAGTACAAGGATGCCGAGGATTTCGAAACGGAGATTGATGAATGGTTCCATTATACGGAATTAGACCAAGACCGTGACTATCTCCTCTCGTCTCTCGAAGCCTTCGAACAAAAATGGAAATCTTTCTGCCAGACGGAGCAGATATCGGAGGAAACCACTTGGATCGCCGTGAGCGAAGATCATCGTCAAAAATTTGTCTCGGACTTGGTCCATGTCTTGGGCGATGACGAATACCTTGCCCGTGCTGAAGCCCTGTGTTGCGTCTATTTCATTTTGATGGGAGCATGGAGCATTACCTCGGGTTTAGAAATGAAAGAGGCTGCCGCGGACGATGATTCACCTCAATCGGAACATGATAGGTGCCGTGTTATTCAAGTCCAGTGGATGCACAAAGGAGCAGATCTTCTCGTGCAGAGCTCCATAATACCACAGCTCTATTCGTGCTTGATACAAGCTACAAAGGCCCCCGATTCCTCTCCACCGCCGCCACCAAACGTCGAAGATGAAGAGAAAAATGAGGGAGCCTTTGGGGAAAATGAGTATCGAGAGCTCAGTCTGTGTCTTTCATGTTTTTACGTCTTGATCGAGTCGGCCAGAGTTCGAATCGACACTAAGGAGGGACAAAACTTACGACAGGCGATTTCTTCTCTGCAACCCAGCTTTTTGGTCTTTCTTGCCAGTACAATTTCACGGCTACGATGGGACGAATCATACAATATACCCTTGATGCACGCATTGCAATTATTCTGGAAGTCGATCCTTCTGCTGTTCGGTAATGTGACGGAACATTTGGACAAGATCAAAAGTATTTTACAACCGCGAGTCGACCCATTTTCAGCAGAAGCTGCTCACCCAGTTCTAACGGCCTCTCCCTTGGATTACCACCTTTTCCGACAAGAAATCACGTCGAAATACCCTGCGTACAACCCACCTTTACCTTTGGTACCTTTGGAAATGGAACAAAAGACCATGCTCCCCCCACTACCACACCATTCTTCTCGACCCGATGCACCTCCTGGAGCGGGTGGACAAGGTTGGACTGGGGCATCCCCTCGAGGTTCTATTCTTCACCAACCCGTTCATATTGCCACTCCGGCTCCATCTCCTCCGCCGTCACCGATCGGACCGGGTGGAAAAGCGGGCAAAAAGCAAAACTATCAAACCAACCAGAATTTCCCATTCCTTTATCCGCCACTGGATACCTCGAGCAACACCATAGGTGGCAAGGGCTCGACAGAGATCCAAGACTTGATGGTGGGAAAGAAATGGGAAGGAAGTGACATTCCCCGCTCGATCATGGAAGCAGGGGAACTCTTTGCCAGTCGAATGAGAATGACGAGGGCTATGCGTCAGCTGTGGAGAGAGCGAGACTTGTTCATGAAATATGAAAGAGGCTGGCAGGCAGACGTCAACAGCGAATCCGAGGAAGACCGCAACCGAGACCACAACGGCGACGAAAATGACATCGACAGCATCGAAGATCCCGATCTCCGCTCTCGCATGTGTGCTGTGGACGACTTCTTCCACCATGCTCTCCCGGATTTGCAATCGCTTGTCATTGTGATGATGAAAGTCATGCTCACCAACGTTCAAGACATTGCCGTGCGCAATGGAGGTCTTCAAGACTCGACCCAGCCGGGAGGCCTCAACCGCACCAAGTCCAATCCGAACATTGCTCAAAATCAAACCCTGCCTATCCCCCCTCCCCCGCCCCGGCCAGCCGATATGACGCTCGAAGACTTGGATAATGTCCGCTCCAGGGAAATCAGCCAGAAGGCGGTGTCTGGCGCAATTTTCTTGTTGCTGAAATGGTTCAAGATTTCTCATATTTTGCAATTCGAATACATGACACAACTCCTGCTGGATTCGAATTACGTCCAATTGACGCTGAAATACTTTGCTCACCAGAACCTCGAGGATCTGGTCGCTTTCAAGTATGATCGCGACGACTTGAGTGTGTGGCACTATTGTCACATTCACTCGGATCATCCGCCATTGTCCCCAACCAGTCCCGACGAAAGATCAGAAACATCAAGTGTGGATGAAGCGGTACCGCCACCCATCTCTCGGCATCGAAGGTCACCAACGTCCAAATCGGATGGCCCATCGACGTCTGACCAAGCAACGGCGCAGCAACAAACACCACAAAGCCCCGAGGCACAAGCTCATCCTTCAGTCGACGAACTGGGCAACCCATTGGGCCCTCTGCCCTCGACACCGATCATGACTTACTCATTCCGTCAGTTCCAAACATCGATCCACCTTCTCCGGATCTTGCAAAAGCTCACGCGGGGCAAATCTCACCGGATCTTGTTTCTCGTACAATTCAAATCATCCCAGATCCTGCGACGAGTACTGCGGGTTCCCGACGCGACGCTCCGGTTGTACGTGCTGAAACTGTTCAAGTCCCAAGTTCCATACTGTGGCCGCAAATGGCGACAGAGCAACATGCGGGTCATTACGGCAATTTATCTCCACTGCAGGCCTGAACTGCGTGATGAGTGGCTTGCGGGTATGCACGATGCAAATGTCGAAGGAGAGGTTGATGAGGCCGTCCCCTTGGAGTGGGCACTCAGAGGTCTGACATTTTGGTGGCAGAAGCGAATGTATCCTGGTGTCATGAAAAGGGGGAAGGGAGGTGCAAAATCCAAGGGAAAACCAAAGGCCAACGTATCCAAGGTGGCGGAGGCCCTTTCCACAGCCGCAACGGCCGGTGTCCCAGACGATAGAGAAGTCGACGCGATTGATATTGATGTCCCTGAATCCAGTCTGGACGACGGGGAGGATGATGACGACGAAGGAGGCCAAGAAATCGACGATGACGAGCGCGACTTCTTCAAACGAGAGCTCGACGCGATCGGCTGGGGCCTGGCCGGCCTGCGACTTGCGGACGGCTCCGAGGATGTCGTGTTCGGCGAGGAGGCACTCGGCATTAACGGCGCCGGGGCGTATCCCGTTATCAATGGCGCCAGCCAGATCGGTATCGACAACGCCGGACAAGGAGCATCCGGACCGTCAGCATCAGGCACCGGGTCTGGAGCACCACAGACACCCGTCTCACAGCCTCAATGGGTCGTCGCCGATGCGGCTAGCATCGATAACTGGCAGAATAGTTAGGAACGGGGCGCAGTTAGACGGACCATGGCCGAAGATCGTAATCGTCTGTCCTAGACAATCAATCCAGATCATGGTGAATCGGGGGAATATTGATGAAAGAGTGGAATGGGCGTAGGATAAGGAAGGGGTGAACCAGAATAAAAAGGGGTATCGTTATGTGCGATGATTGAATTGGAGTGGTATGGGGACGGCTATTTGGTGCATGCAGTGGATTGAGGTATTCTGCATCGATTATTTTGTGGACAAGACTACGAAGCACAAAAGTGAAAGGTGTGAAGTATGAAGTAAATGCATGAAAGAGGTACAGGTTGTATGTCCATACCGGATCGTTATACTACATGGCCATACCTCCTAGAGACGTCGGATGCGCTCTCGATACTTGGTCCAACGCTAGACCCGAGTGCAAATATCTCACGCCACAATCAATTGAAGCCTACTTCGGTGCTCATAGAGGACACTATATATGACAACATGCCACTCCTTCGCGCTCCGTGAATCGCCTTCGCACCATGCGCCTGTTATGCAATGCTCGATGAGGGCATAAACTTCGCTTGTACCCTGGGCTGCAGGTAGCTGTCTCGGGGGAGTTGGGTAGGTTTCCGACTATGCCGCTCAGTTTTGTTCCTGCTGCAAATTGGGCTGATCTCTCTCTCTCTCTCTCCTTTTTTGTCCATTATGGATGTTCTCACTCCAATACCTTATAGTTTGGCCGATCTCTTCTTGCTTCCACTCACACCCGTTACCTCTTTGCCCGAGAGCAAAAAGTCTGGATACTCAAAGTCGCTGCCGGGGGCGACACCGCCGGTCCGCCAGGCTCCGCCGTCAACGACTAGGTTGTCGCCGGTAACATAGTTTCCGGCATCAGAGAACAAGAACACCGTGGCATCCGCAATCTCCTTGATAAAGCCCCACCGGCCGAGGGGGATACGCTTGCTCGGGCCCTCGCCGGCCTTATGCTTCTTCGACAACCGGTCCATGCCCTCGGTCCCGGCAATCGGGCCGGGCGCGATAATGTTCGATGTCACGCCCAAAGGGCCGTATTCGATAGCGACGTTGGCGGAGAGGGCGTCGACGCCGGCTTTGGCGACGGACACATGTGTTTGTAGGGGGAGGCCGGTGTAGTGGATCGTCGCGGAGACGTAGATAATGCGGCCGCCGGGGCCAGAGGATGAGGATTTAGGCAAGGAGGATGTAGAGTTGTGTTTCTTCGCGGATTCAACGAGGTACGGTAGCGCGAGTTTCGTCACGTTGTATGAGCCGAGGATGTCGATGTCCATTACGGACTTGAAGGCGTTCGGGGATAGCTGGCTCATCGGCGCAAGAAAGTTTCCTGCTGCTCCGGCGCTGTTGCGAAATAAGTCAGCATGTATGTATGAATTGAGTGTCAAAGCCGACACCGAAGATGTGGTGCAGGAAAAGAGAGGCTCACATTAAGAAATCAATCCCGCCCAGTTCTTTTACACAGGTCTCAATCGACTTTTGTAAACTCTCGATGCTGCGGACGTCGACGGCGCCAATACCAATCACCTTGCTCCCGGGCCGCGCAGTCGCGATGTCTTTTGCCATTCTCTCCGTTTTCTCGACATTACGCCCGACGATACATGCGTCAGCCCCCAGGTGGACTAAGGCGCGCACCTGTGCAGAGCAGATGGTTCCATTCCCGCCGGTGCAGAAGACGACCTTCCCCACGAAGAGGTTGTCTTTCCAGACGGAGGAGAGGTATTCGCTCTTTGGCAGGGGCATGGCGTGATTAACAGCAAGGTGCGATATGCGACCTGGAATGAGAGGCAGCGGATAGAGAGGGCAGAACTAGGAGTAGAGCAGTATGAGGTCGACTGAAGGGGAAAAGAGGAAGGAGTATATGAACTTGTCCAAGTCATAAGCAACGGCCGTAAACAAATGGCACGGCGACCGAGGCGGTTCAATTCAGTTCCCTGCGATTTTTGGTAGCAACCGAAGAAGCCCCGTGGGGAATATTAATACCGAGGAGCTGACGCTTTCATAAAAAGCATCACCCACTTCGCACCGCCGCTACACCCGGATTCTAATATCTCCCCTCTATCTTAAATACCACTAACCATATGAAGAGCCAACGCAGGTAGGATGAAATATTTCGTGGCAGCTATCAGGCGCGCTGCGAATTGGTTCTGTTAGACGACCTCCCTTAGGTCGAAAGAATCAGGACGGCCTTCAAGTCTCACCGTAGCCGAACAACGATCAACTATTCCACCGCTCCATAATTGTCGACTCCACGTGCGAACACTTGCACTATCATGGTCGTGGCAGTCCTGGTGTGGAATTTGGAGATGAGCTCTCATCCAACCATTCAAATGGCAATCGATCCCTTACCTCACGTTTTCCCACCTGGCGTTGGATCTTCTTATTATCGCTCACATTGTGGAACACGGCGTTTCAGGAAGAGGTCTTGGCTTGGGTTGACACACATCCGTTAACCAATATCGCAGCTAGACAGGATTGCAGATAATCAGAATCAGAAGGTCCCTCGAATACCTTGCCGCAATCCTAGATTGTTCGTTGAGAGGTGCACGGCAGAGAGTCTCGTGTTAGGTAGGACCGGTCAAGGAGCTGTCGTAGGTTTAAGGGTGCTTCTCTGCCAAAATCAATCGAAGGGGATCGGAAGGTTTCGTAGAGGACATTGCAGTGTTCCTCGCGACAGCAGAAACTTGCCAGAAGCTCTCGAATCAATAGATTCTGAATTCCCTGCCATATCGTGAATGATCTTTGCTGTCAGTGCAGTACGGTAATCGGAGGCGTTGGATTGGAGGACCAGGCATCGCAGCTGCATCGCAAGCCCACCACCTCTTCTTTTCCATTCTCTCATGCTCCCTCGCTCGTCCTTTCTCTCCAACACTCGAATGAATCATTGTCCCTCTCCTTCTGCAGCTTTGAACAGCGATAGGACTGCGCTAAATCATATCCAACCCCACCATCTCTGAAGACAGATCTGTGGATTACCAAAGAATCTCCGTCGAGTTCCAACCCAGCTTCCTCCGCTCTTCAACCTCCCCAAACAAACCCTCCAAGGTATCAGAGATCCTCATAATTCGCAAGAATGCCTTGTCCGATAAGTGTCACGAAATTTGTCGGGACCATTTCTCTCGGTCTCCTGACTGTACGTCCCTGTTCTGACGGCCCCCCTAGAATTCTCCAGTCTAATTCTTCCCAGGGAACGTCCTATACCTTGACGAGCATAACTCTCCCATCTCTTGCTCTCCTCCCTTCAGCTTCCCTCGCTTCTCGCACTCTAGCCATCATCCAGACCCAATCTACCCGTCAGATCCTCACGCTGGCATCAATTTCTTCGCTCTCGCTCATCACAGCTTTCACCCTCGCCTCCCCGCGCGGTCGCCATCCGTATCTGCTCTGGACGGCTCTCGTCTCGTTCATTGGTGGCCAGGGCGTCGAGTACTGGTATAACGGACTTTCAAGATTCCCCCGTGTGAGCGGTCGATCCAGCAGAGGGAAAAGCGCTGCTGCCAGAGTCTCGAGCCCTGGTGGTTCCGAGAGTGGATTTATTGAAGTCGAACCACATGGAAGCGAAGATCAGGTTAATGGAGAGAAAGTCGAGATGGAGATGACGAGGGAGCGCAAGATACAGTGGGTGAGGAGTTGGATTGCCGGTATAGGCTTTGCCATGGGTGTGGTAGGTATCTGGGGCGATGGCGTCTAGATTGACGAGTTTGGGGCATCAAGCTGCAACCCTTCCGCAGCTTAGAAATGGATGACATGTGGTCGGGTCTTCTCTGGGACCTCGAGGAGCGTGTTGTGGCCAACAAAAAGAAGAGCATGGAAATTTGCAAATCCAAAATCACGACGTCGAACGACACCAACACCGGACAGCGACGGCTTCGGCTATCACCACAGAGTCGCTGTGCCTATCTATACCAACATTAAGTAACTCATCTTCCACCACGGAGCGCTGGCAAATTTTGTTCTCGACTCGATCACGAAACTCATCTCATTCCCCGATCGGCTCGCAACTCTTTTTTGAATCGTGGACTTCCACCTTTCCTTGGCTTTGGCTTTGGCTCTGGCTGTGGCTTTTGGGCTTCGGAGTATGAGTATTAGTAGGGTTAAATGAGCCAGATGATATTACAAAAATGAACAAGTAAAAATGAAATTAAATCAAAGAGATGAGACATTTGCAGATGAATGATGCCCAATGATGAGAAGCTTATGACACGAATACTTTCGTACGAAAAGTTTGGTTTTCGTTCCTCAGTATTGAGGTACTCGTTCAGGTTCGGTCTTCCCTCCCCTCTGAATACTGTATCGTCTCCTCTCATTTCATGTCGTATCAAGGCCCGAGTCGAAACACTCGCGAGACCGAACCGAACCAAGATGAAGGGGGCCACGATATACTTGACCGTATAGCATTCTCCGATGCCGCTCGTTGATGCTTCTTGTCTCTTGCCTTTCGGTTAATCAGGCCTTGGACTCTTTTCCGGTCATCTGAAGGCTACCCTTGGCCGTCTAACTGGATTCTGCGGGGGACCGAAATTGTTTACTGCCTGCAATCCTACTTCGTCTTGAAGGTCACGATCTCAGTCTTCTGAATGGTTTGAGCTGCATCTCAGCTGTGCATTGAGGCGCCGTGGCCAGGAGCACCGTGTATTCCGGTTGGCGGCGAAGTGCTTAACTATGGCGGTGCGATGTTCACCTCACTCTCTGGGATCCTCGGACCATAGATGTCGAACATCCAGCCCCGACCGCCGTATGTTTGTGGACCGGTATTCGAAGTGGATAAAGCTATTCCTGTGGCGTCAAAACCACCCATTCCCTTTACTGTGGGAAACGGTGCGCCCTTCCGGGGCGTTGGTATGGGAAGATGGTTACCCGCGGCGGCATGCTTGGTCGACTTTCGGAAACTTGGGCAAGCAGCAATGGAAGGTAGCGAGATGTGCCGCCGCGAGGCTGGGAAATTAAGGTTCAGGAACTCGTTCAGACCGTCTGACGGCGTTTCGGTGTCTGGGTTTGAAACTGGCTCCAAAGCGACGCATGAGATCACATCCGTCCGAGTACAAGCGACGTCGAATAGTTTCTCAACTAAGCCGATTCCATGAACTTCCACAGAATCTAGTGATAACTTTTCAACGTCTTTGATCAGGTCTCTTGCCACGTCAATCGGATACTTGAACGTCCCGGATGAGTCGGAAGAACTGGAGGACAGGCCTCCATTCGTGATAGATAGTTGCCAGACCATGGTTTTGAGCCAATGTAACGTGATTTGAATGTCTGCTGTTTGGCTTTCAGTTGTTTTGAGTTCCGGCGGTAACGCATCTGTCCGCTGTTTGTCGAAATTGCGATCAAAAAGTGGACAAGCACTTGCTTTTCGCTTTATTCCACGGGCCATGAATTCCTCATCAGCGCACCGGAATAGGTCGACCAAATGTAGAAATCCAGATATGACGCCTTCTTCGTGCGATTCTTGGGGCGTGGACAGTTCTATCGTCGGATGTAGACTTAGCGGTCGATGCCGTTCCATAGCATAAGCTCTTTCCGTAACCAGTAATAGCCAGTATGTTCATCTTCTATACATGCTTTCAACGGGGTCTTCGACTGGGTAGGATGCCTCTTCACGCATATCCATGATTTGAACCAGAGCGGCAGCTTTGCGCAAATGGAATCAGCATATATTCTGTTTCTCCAGCATGAAATAGCAGCCGAACAGGATGAATAATACTAGGATGGAGCTTAAGGTCGGTGAGTCGATATAAATTGATAGACTTTCGAACACGAATGGCAACGTCAAGAAGTATATTGCCGTAGCCATAACAGATTTCTGGAGGTTCACCTCCGTAGTAGCTTCCTGGAGCTCCTGGGAGGTTCATACCGGACTGGACCATGACGAAGGCACACAGCGATACCGTGAAACAGTACAATCCGGCGTCAGTCGCAAGGTGAGACGAGATGGAGTCTGTTAGAATCCGGCGGCTCAGGATCCATGCTGTGGTGTACGTGTTGGTGAAGTAGAAATCGACACAGTTCTCGATCGCGATTGGAGAGGAGGACAGGATTTCGCTTGCATGAAGGATATGTCGGCGAACTATTGAAATCGAACGTAGTGGGTTCATTGGCACATTTTTGGTGTCTTTGGAGGAGGATCGGACTGTTGTTGAGTCACCTGAGTCTCCGAAATCACTTTCGCTCTTGATTTTTTGGGACCTTTCTTCCGTGGTTACAGCGAGATAGGTGCATTGAAGGCTGGCCAGGCCACATTTTGCTACACGGTTGACCTCCCCGAACAATGGACTTTGTGTCGATGACGAGCAGCAGACGCTTTCCGGACTGGCGGCGACGTCATTTTATGTAGGGCCTAGATAGCTTGAGGCCGTTCGGGTTCTGCATAGACGGTATTCATGTGCCATGGAAGCCGGGTTGGTGGGTGGGCAATTAAGATGGCACAGTACTCGATGCGATACGGCCGGGACGGTTGTATTATTCACTCTGGAACCACGCCGTTGTTGAGTCGGGAAGGAAAACTTCAAAGCCAGGCGCAATTCGGAAGCTCCGTCGGCTTCACAGGTCAAAAGTACTTAGGGGTTCGTAGCGGATGTTCTGGGTGTGGTTGGAATTGGAGCATATACCTGTTTCGATCTCGTAACCCCGCGGTCGTTGGTATGGAAATGGGAAGTGCAGGTTGCAGCTCTCAGCCAGGGGCAACGACAGTGTCCGGGGGGGGGGGGGGGGGGG